GCGTTTCTTTTTCTTTTGTTCATCTGGACTGAAATAATGTTTATTATAAGAAGTAATATCGGTTGTAGACCAACACGCAGATTTAATAAACGATGGGTAGTTTTTTGATGTGAGTGTGATGGAAGATAATGAAGGAAAATCAAAAATAACACTAGAATCTTTCATTTGAACTATGTAGAAGAAAAGAAAAAAAAAACATGATATGCTATTGTGTAGATTTTATATACATTCACTGATGTTTTTTTTTAAAAAAAAAGAAAGCTTGGAAGAGATTCTTCTCCTGGTCTCCTTGCTTTGATAGGATGTATAAATAGCATTGTTTCAATACTAGTTATTTTCAACAGCAGCAGCAGGCTCAATAACGCGGTAAAAAGCACCTTGACGAACATAAACTTGAATTTGAGGATAATAATGACCAAAGATACGTGATGCATCAGGTATTGCTGCCATGGTTTGAATAATAGCATACTTCCAAGACTATAGAAAAGAAAAAAAAAGAGTCAATTTTATTTGTTCATTGTCTTTTTTTTTCATTACCTTTCCTTGTTCAGTATGTTCTGTTGTTCTGTTCAAAATATAGTCCATAAACTCATTTGATTGCGCCATAGTCTTTATAAAAATTAAGGAATGGTTTTATCTGCAAATCAACTTACCTGACTACCCCAGATATGTGATGCAATGGCTTGCATAACAGCAAAAGCAGCAATACAAAGGCTTTCTTCAGGTTGCTTTGCTTCTCTAATCAAACTAGACAGAGTAGAAGGATGGCCTAGGTTATGATAAGCAAAAAAAAAAAAAAAAAAAAAAAACCTCCTCTCGAGTTTCTCGGCATGTACATCGATTTACCTTCCATGCGTTGATAGATACTCAATGTCAAATCTTCAATGTCATCACCACTAGAACAAGAGTGAATCAAAACTATTGATCTATCATTGTATATTTTACCTGACAGAAAGTAATTTGGAAATACTTTGAAGACAGACAGCCTTCAATTGACTTACTGATCTACTATAAATCTCAAGTAGTTTTTGAACAAGCGAAGATTGGTGATAAACCAACTTGAGACCACTTGAATGTGATCCTAAAAGGCCAATAGCAGAAATAGTAACAATCTAAAGCAAGTTTGTTTTCTTTCACCTCTGGATCCAAGTTAAAACCTTACCATAATTTCCATGTTGGTTGTATCCAGACATGTTTGAATTCTTTCCAAAATTCGATACCTTGTTGATAATGGTTCAAATTCAACTGCCTAGTTTTATTCATAAGACATCGAGTCTATAGTAGCAGTGATAAGAATTACCTTATTTTCACCAAGATTACCAATGAATTTCAAGACAGCGCATTTTACGAGTTGAACAACAACATCTGTATCATCTGTATTATCCAACACTGTTACAATAGTGTCCAACAAGTTTGCTTTCTCTAAAAAGGACAGCCCAGCAGGAGTAGTTGCAATCTGGGTTACTTGTGAGTAGATACAACATAACCGTGTCTGCTTACATTATTTAAGAGTTCAATTGCATTGATCTTGACCAATAAATCGTCGGACTGAAGTTCCTTGACAAACACAGTCAACAAACCCGAAGATTCGCATTGTTCGAAATTGCTGTCTGAACAACTGGCTACTTTAATCAATAGATCATAGATTCGAAAGCGAATCGTTTCATTCCTAGCCATGTTAATGACAGAACAAGTAGGCTGTGTCTTACACTTGGAGTAATTGCTTCAACATGGCTACACAAGTGGCACCGAAAAGTGCTTCTTGTCCTGAAGGTATGCTTGACATCTTGAACAGCAATTCACATGCTTTGTTTGCTGTTCTTGTATCCTGAAAAGCGATCGTAGCTACTGTCAATGGAAACAGATCAGACTGCACCATCATCGCTACAGAAGCGTCGGATACAAGACATTTAGATACTTGTTGAAGTGACAAGTATCGAATCTCGGGAGTAAAATGAGTCAAACCTTGTAATAGAAAGCCCTACACGGTTGAGAATGATTTATTTGCTTTATTAACATGGCTTACTTTGTTTTCTTCAGACACAACGTGTTCAAAACTAAAAGGAAATAAGATCTTGTTGATGACTTCACATAATACAGTTGTCAGTCGCTCGTCTTCAACAGAGAATCCAAGATAAAACAATTCAAGAGGAACTGTATTTAGTATTTCCAACGAGCGTGTCAAAGTCAAGTTGTCTATAAAAAGATGGGTACATAAGAAAAGGTATAGTTGTGTTTACCATTTAAAGTGGCAGAGAATGTTTGAAGAGCTGAAGTCTTTTCTAAGACTGAAGCATTTGATTCAGGACTTAATATTCTGGCTAGTTGCTCAAGCGAGTTTGTAGCAATAGAAGACATTGTTTTTAAAAAAGAAAAAAGAAAAAAAGAAAGATTTCAGTATGCATGTAAGAAAACAAAAAGAACAAAAAATTAAAACTCAGTTTCTAATTCAAGGAACAAGGTTGTATGCATTGTCTATGGCTATTGTCATTATGCAAAAGGTAATATAAGATTAACTCAAATAATTCAATAAAAGAGAGAAATAGAGAAAGAGAGAGAGAGAGAAAGAGAGAGAGAGAAAGAGAGAGAGAGAAAGAGAGAGAGAGAGAGAGAGAGAGAGATAGCTTTTTATTATGTATGAAATAGTCTGTCTGTACTATCAAAAAATGCCAAGGCAAATACAATGGATATACGTTAGCCATCTTAAGGAAGAAAGCAAAAAGAGAAAGAAACAAAAAAGAGTAGAATAAAGACAATTGTCAAGACAAGAGTTGATGCCTGTGTTTTCAAAAACGACGAAAAAAAATCATGTAATGCGCGTCATTCAATACAGTTGAATAGTACGCCCTTTTTTTCTTTTTTCTTTTTGCCCGTCTCATCATGTCCAACGCAATCCAACGTTTCTTTGGCAAAAAGACACCAGATGAACTTGTAAGTCATAAGATGGCATAATTTACACTAAAAAACAACAGGTCAAAAAATGGAGACAGGAAATAAGAGCACAACAAAGAGGTATTGATAGACAAATAAGGGCTATTGATACAGAAGAAGCCAAAGTGAAACGATCGATTAAACAAGTGGCTAAAAAGGGCGATACCAAGAACTGTAAGATGTTGGCCAAGGAACTGATACGTTCACAAAGGCATAAGAATAGGCTTTATACCAGTAAAGCACAAATGAATTCGATTATTATGCAGTTAGAACATCAACTAGGTATATAGCAACATGACAATATGCATACTAAGGTCTTTTAGCTACATTAAAAGTAGCAGGTTCACTTCAAAAGAGTGGCGAGGTCATGAAGCTTGTAAATCAATTGGCAAGATTACCTGAAATGTCGCAAACAATGCAACAAATGTCCATGGAAATGACCAAGGTAAATAACAAGCATTTATATATTGATGGTTGATGTGCACTATAGGCTGGTATTATGGAAGAAATGATCGGAGATACAATGGAAATGATGGATGATGAGGATATTGAAGAAGCAGCCGATGAAGAAGTGAACAATGTCTTATTTCAAATCACAGACGGTTTGCTCGGCGAGGCTGGTTCTGTTGGCCCAGCACTCGAGACAAAACCTGGGGTTCAACAAGAAGAAGAGGAAGAGGAAGAAGAAGAAGAAGGACCTGAATTAGATATGATGCAAAAACGTTTACAGGTAAGAAATGGATCATAGGAACCATACGTTAATTCAATCTTGATCTATATAGGCACTAAAAGGATAAATATAAGGTTCTAAGCTAGACTTGTTACACATCTTGGTTCTCGGATATATAATAAATATAAAAAACTTTCCTTACTCTAATTCGGTAAATTCGGACAAAAGGAAAAAAAATGTACCTGTGATTTTATTTTTATGCAATTTTCCATAAACCTATTTAATCCAGGCGCAATTTTCATTTCTTCTGCTTTCTTTATTCTCTTGTCACCATGTCTCTTAACAGAAAAATCAGTGAGTGAGAGGAAAAGAAATACAACACTTTATGTGTTTAACTCATGTGTCTATATAGCTTTAAACAACAACGCACAAGTACCTCTTGTTGGTCTTGGTACATGGTTAAGTAAGCCTGACGAAGTCAGAAAGGCTGTCAAGTATGCTCTCGAAAATGGTTATCGCCATTTGGATTGTGCCTATGTCTATTGTAACGAAGATGAAGTTGGTCAAGGTCTTAGAGAATCTGGTGTTCCTCGTGATCAAGTCTTTATTACATCCAAGGTAAAAAGCAGCAGTATCGAGATGACGCTCACCTTCCTCACTAGCTCTGGAACACACATCACCGTAAGGAATATGTCAAGCATGCTGTCAAGGCTTCTCTCAAAGCTTTAGGTGTTGATTACCTTGATCTTTACTTGATTCACTGGCCTGTTTCCTTTGTCGTAAGTATGCTCGCGTCTTGGTATGATTTGGCTCATCAGAAATAATAGAACCCTGGTAAGCCTGAAGACACTCCCGTTGTCCCCAACATGGATTACCTTATCCCTAAAAAGTAAGTGCTTCTATCTTTTTTGTTTTTTTTATTAACCCTTCCATTTCTTTAGAGACGGTGTTGTCCAAGTCGAGACAGTAGATCATCTTGAGACCTGGAAGGCCATGGAAGAACTCGTTGATGAAGGTTATGTTAAAGCCATCGGTATCTCCAACTACAATATCGAAAAGACTAAGATCATTTTGGACAACTGCAGAATCAAGCCTGCCATGAACCAAATTGAATTACACCCTGCTTTGCAACAACCTGAACTTGTCAAGTTCTGTCATGACAACGGTATCCAGGTCACCGCCTACTCTCCTTTAGGTAACAATGTCTATGGTGAAGAACGTATTGTGGATGATCCTATTATCGTGAATGTGGCCAAGAAGCTCAACAAGTCGCCTGCTCAAGTCTGTATTGCCTTTGCTGCTCAACGTGGTGTGGTTGTGATTCCCAAGTCTGTCACACCTAGCCGTATTACCGAAAACTTCCAAGATTTCATTCTTCCTCAAGAAGATTTTGATGCCATTGCTTCTTTGGGCTCAAGAAACATTCGTTACAATGATCCTGGTACCAAGGAATGGTCTTGCTCCATCTTTGAATAAACAAAATCAATAATAATAATAAAAAAAACCATGTATATTAATGAGGCAAATTCATCAGAGATAAAATATCGTGTTCTAAAGAAAGATAAAAATGGACTTTTGGTATCCAGCTTTGCTCTAAGAGTGACTAGAAACACGCCTTTCTTAATATATTAACAAAAATTACAGAAATCTAGTTTCTGATATGATAATCTGTTGTTTGACTCTACAGGAAGAGAAAAAAAACCTCATACAATGACTATCAGCAGAAAATACTACTCTTTTTTTCTTAGATATAGAAATATGCCTTTGTCTTTCTTCCTTTAAGCTATACGTTCAAAAGTGGCACTTGGAATTAAATCTATTTTATATCATAGTAAGTCATGAAGAAGAAATAAACCCTTGCAAGCGCCATATAAAGACATGTTCTCTGTCCCTTCAGCAATACTGAGATTGATTTCTTTACCATGATTAATTACCATGCTGTATTCTTTCTAAAGAGTAAGAAAAAAAAAGACAAACATAAGATGATCTTTATTTGTTGATTACACAAAAAAAAATACCTGGTTTATCAATGAGACCGATGAACGACACGTATACTTTATATAACACCAATAGTCCCTTCATGGTACACTATGAATGACTAAGTTCTCCTTGGTTTTATTCTTCAACTATTGGTATGTTTCATGGCAAGCATTCAAAGTATATATTTCTCCTGCCCCTGAACATTTTGTGTTACTCAACATGCAACCCAAAAAGAAAAAAAAAATCCCACTCTATCTTAATAACATATGAAAATTGTCTTTATTTATAATAAACGTTTCTCTCTTACTTTCTTTCCTTTTTATTCACACACACGCACACATACGATGGCCGCTACTGCAGAATTGATCATTCCTCCCAAAAAGATACTTCATGAAAAAAAGCCTATTTCCTATCAAACCCTCTTACTTGGGGCAGGTAAAGCAAAAAGAACTTTACAAAAAAAAAAAAAAAAACTCAATGAATAGGTTTAAACATGTTTGAAACATCTACGCTGGGTCAACCATTTGAAGTCATGAAGACACAAATGGCTGCTAATCGTGGTCAATCTCTATCTCAATCCCTGAAGGCTATCTATAGTCGTGGTGGTATTTTTGGTTTTTATCAAGGTCTTATTCCTTGGGCATGGATTGAAGCCAGTACAAAGGGTGCTGTCTTGTTGTTTACAGCAGCTGAACTAGAATATCGCGCTTTATCTTCTGGTGCATCCCCTTTTCTTGTAAGTAAGATAGAAACAACGATAGATTGACTTAATTAGGCTGGTATTATGGGCGGTATGGGTGGTGGTATTGCTCAAGCCTATAGTACCATGGGGTTCTGTACATTTATGAAGACGGTAGAAGTGACAAGACAAAAGTCAGGTAGGACACAACACAACAAAAAGACACTTGACATTTTTTTTTTTTTTTTTTTTTTTTTTTTTTTTTTTTTTTTTTTTTTTTTTTTTAGCTAGCACAGAATCCACTTTTAAAATTGCTGCTGATATCTTTCAAAAGGAAGGTATTGTCGGCATCAATAAAGGTGTGAATGCAGTTGCCCTTCGTCAATGTACCAATTGGGCATCTCGATTTGGTATTGCTCGATTTGCTCAAGATGCTATTGTTAAGTTAAGACATGGTGAAAAGGGTATTGCTGACAACATGGATAAGGCAACCGCATCTATTGCTGCTGGTGCCATGTCATGCTGGAATCAACCACTTGAAGTCATCCGAGTCGAGATGCAGAGTCAAGTTCAAGGTGAAGGAAGACCTGCTAAAATGACATTGAGTTCAACTACCAAATACATCTATCAAAAGAGTGGCTTTAAAGGGTTCTATCGTGGTGTTGCTCCTCGTATTGGACTTGGCATGTGGCAAACACTTGTCATGGTAGCATTAGGTAAGTGTTTTGTCTATCTTAGCCACATACTAACTGGTTGATGGAGGTGATCATTTCCGTGCTCGCTTAAAGTAAACTATAACAATAAAACATACTTTATTCTAACATATCTATTTACAAATGGTTTGTTATTTTTGATTGGGTTTATATCGAGGAGGTTCTTGACCTATATATGTATTATGTTAATCAACCATCGATCTCATCATCGAGACTTGCCTGGTTGTGATTTTAAACATTCAAAAAAGACACCAAAAGGTTTAATGATATCAAAAGCTAACAGCCCTTCTAAAGCATCTTCGAGGTGTCCATTACAACGATGTTGATGAGGCTTTGTGTCGGGTGTGTCACTGTGTTTATTGAAAACAAAAGGTTTTTGCTTGTCTTCTGACATGAGAAAAAAGAGTATAAAAAGTTTTTTTTTTTCTCCCTGGCGTACCTATTTGAACCATTCATTTTCGATCTCCTTTTCTATACTCTTTGACTCTGATGAATGTAAGTCATAAAATAAAGTAAAAAGAACATGACATTTACAAAACTTCAGCCTTTTACTTTAGGATCGTTTGATATTCAACAATTTGACTCGATCGTGCATAGTTTTTATGAAGGCAATAACAATACGGAGGTAGTTCAGATAGTGTTCTCTATAGTGTATGTGCTTATGGTTTATGCAGCGACAAAAAGCACAGGTAGCATTGACTACTTTTCAGAGTGATCCGAATGCATGGCAGCTTGTGGATCATATTCTAGAGCAATCGAGTAGTCTGCAAGCCAAAGTAAACTAAAAGCCTACGCGTCATGATGTATTGACATGCATTAGTTTATAGCATTGGGAGTACTTGAGGAATTTATCAAGGTCAGATGGAATGCACTACCTATGGATCAAAGGCTCAGTAAGTCATGATCTACTTGGCAATATAACTCACAGTAGAAAGTGATGCGCAATTATATTGTCAAGAGCATTATCGACATTGCTTCAAATGAATCCACACTTCGATCACACACAGCTTATTTGAACAAGCTGGATTTAGTACTTGTTCAGATACTGAAGAAAGATTGGCCACAGTATTGGCCTTCTTTTATTCAAGAGATTGTTGATTCAAGTGCCACAAGTAGTAGTCTATGTGAAAACAACATGAAGATACTCAAATTTCTAAGGTAATCAAAACTCAAAAAAATACATGTCATTGATTGAGTGATTCAGTGAAGAAGTGTTTGATTTCTCTATGGATCACATGACTCTGTCAAAAATGACAAAGCTAAAGAATCAGATGGTGAATGAATTTGGCACTGTCTTTGATTTATGTAAACGAGTACTTTCAAGCCCTTCTAATGGTATACATTTGATTCATGCCACATTAGAAACACTGTATCGATTTATCAGTTGGATTCCTATTCAGTTTGTGTATCGACAAGATTTGATTCAAATTATTGAAGCCAACGTAAAAGAATCCCTGGTCATTTGTTATGTTTGGTGCTTATTATCTATTTCTACATAGCTCAGACAAGCAACATCACCCGCACAAAAGAATTTAGCACTCCAATGCTTTACAGAGATCATTGGACTGAATTCGGTAGACACACAACAATACAGTGATATTATCTTGAATATCTATTCCATTGTCTATAGTGAAATGGTGCCATTCGATACACAAGTCCATGATATATCTGATCCATTTATAGAGACCTTGGCTATCTTTCTAACTACCATCTTGGGCAAATACAGAACATTGATTGAATCAACAGAAAGTGGTAGTGTGTACCATGCGCTGGAATACTTGTTGAGCGTATCTCGTATTCCTGAAAGGGAAATATGGAAGATTTGTCTAGAATATTGGGGGAAATTAGTATATGTATTTCTTGACTCTGGTTTGGTGTGCTGACTGTGTTGATAGGCGTACGATATTGTACAAGATTCAAACCATGGTCAATCGTCTCCTTATCAAGCCATTCTAAAAGAACTGGCTCTAGTCATGGTAGACAATATGGTCAAACCTGACGATGTATTGATCATAGAAAACGATGATGGAGACATCAGCCGAGAATTCATCAAACAGAGCGACACCACTGTCCTCTCAAGATCCATGCGACATGTGTTTAGTCTGTTGACAAGCCTGGATCCAGTCTATATCCAGACCATGATACGCGATAAACTCCATCCATTCCAGCTGAACAAGACACCCGCTTGGTCATGGAATCAACTCTTTCATGTCTGTTGGGCCATTGGCTCTATTTCAGGTGCCATTACAGAACAGCAAGAAAACGAGTTTTTAGAGTCGATTGTCTTGAAAGACTTGGTTGGGTTGTTGCCAAAAGAAGGCACAGACAGTGATCAGGAATGGGTGGTGGCTTCTTGTGTTTTATACATTGCTTGTCAATATCCTCACTTTTTAAAATCGCATTGGGATTTTACTTCTTTCTTACTGAAAAAGATTGTTGTTTATATGCAGCATGAACAATTGGCTATCAGAGAAATGGCTTGTGATTCATTCTTGAAGATATGTCAGTGCTGTAAAGAAGAGCTGGTGATGCCACATCAATTGTCGAACGGACAGAATGAAGTTTCTGCTTTGGCTTCCTTTTTGAGTTTATTAGCCTCGATTGTTGTTGGCCTTGATGCTCATCAGTCTAGCATGGTCTATGAAGCCATGGGTACCTTAATTTCCACTTCAGTAGATCCTCTTGTACAACAGCAATCCATTCGTCTCTTGATGCACATGCCAAATCAAACAGTAAGTCATTTCAGCACATATAGTATGCCAAACCCTGCTTTGTAGATTAATCAAACGCTACTTGGCTTTGACAGTACAGTCCAATCACTTAAGACCATCATTCAAGTATTACGAGTTAATATTGCTGTATGTAAACCAGTAGGACCTATCTTCAAGACTCAGTTACAAGAAACAATACCCATGTTGACACAGTGCTATGAACTTGCCAGTCAACATATCAACCACCATGATGCACAAGTGCAACTCTATCATCGTATTCGAAAATTGATTCTTGAGCTACTCGAGACTTTCTTTTTGTCTCATGAAAAGATGGACATGCAAGATCAAACTATGCTCTTTCATCTTGTGCGTGCTATCTTAATGGACTATAGAAACTGTAGTGATCTCTCCAAGCGAGAACCAACTGTCTTGAGTTTACTTACGAGTTTATTTGAGAAAATACAGGCAAGTATCATCAACATTCTCGGAGCTAGGTGATCAATCACTGACTCTTCAAGACTAGGACCCCATCTGGCCAGATTTATTAGAAGAGACCATTGATATTGAATTCAGGTCCACACTGCCTATGATCACAGCCAACTTTGTTGATTATCCTGAATTTAGACATGAATTCTATCGATTATTACGAGTATTAAACAGAAGATGCTTTCTTAGTAAGTAAGGTGCTTTTTGAATACCACGACTCATGGCAATAGACTTGTTTCAATCATCTCAACTCTTTCAGCTTATGATTGATAGTATGATGTGGGGAACAAAGCATACAGTAAGAGAAATATCCCAGATGGCTCTCCAGACATGTTTAGATATGATCAATACAGTAGCACGTATGGAAGACGAAGATATTTCAAGTCAATTCTTTGAGACATTCTATGTACGCATTCTGACAGACATTTTGGAAGTGCTGGTAGATCCTGACTGTCGCAATGGATTCAACTATCAAAGTCAATTGTTGTCTCGCATGTTTGAATTAGTACAAGAAGGCGAGATTTATACTCGCTTGTTTGATCCTAATCAAGTATCAGATCCACTCATGTCCAATGTTGAATTCTTGCAACAGTATGTCTTGAATTTGTTATGCAATGCTTTCCCTTTGCTTTACAAGTAAATGCTGAAATACTCATACTGACCATTCTAACGCCTTGATTAGGGATCAAATTGAAGTACTTGTGATGGGAATGTTTGAGTACAGTGGTGATTTACAACGATTTCAAAATGATATTCGTGATTTCTTGATTGACATACGAGAAGTAGGTGAAGCTTCTGCAGGACAACAAAGAGATCAAGAAAAGATCAATGCAGAGCTAGAATTGTTAAGACAGTTGTGAATATGATACATTTATTGAACAATAAAAGGACTCTTTAGCGACGAGATCTTTTACTGTAATGGTCATCTTGATGTGAGGAAGATTCTCTATCTTGGTGTCTTTTCCGTCTATAGATAATGAGTCAGTCACTTTATTTTATGCGATTACTTACGAGTCTGAACGGGGGGAATCATCACGGTCTCTCTCTCTTCTGTCTCTGTCTCGATCACGATCACGATCACGATCACGACCGTTATCACGGCTGCTGTCTCGGTCTCTGTCTCGATCACGCCCACTGCTCTCTCGGTCTCTGTCTCGATCACGTCCACTACTTTCTCTGTCTCTGTCACGATCTCTGTCTCTGTCACGACCACTGGATGAGCCACGCCAACCACTTGAAGAGGATGATTGTCCAGGATTATTATTACGAGGCGCTTGGTTTCTTCCACTCATATGGCTTCCACCTCGCATAGGACGATTACTGTTGTTTCTGAAATCATTTCCATCAAATCCCATAGGGGGTGGCATATTAGGATTAAAGAAGGGCATGCCCATAGGACCACCAGGCATATCGGGAGGAAACATGTTCATTGGCATACCACCAGGGCCTCCAGGGAATTCCATAGGAAACATGCCATTCTCATCCATAGGCATATTGCCATCCATAGGGTTTATCCTAATCACCCATAAGTATATATATATGTGTGTTGGGCACTTACATTTCGTTACCACCCTCACGTTCTTTGCCATCTGTTGTTGTTGTCTTTTGTCTGTTGATTGGCATATTTCGACCTGTGTTTCTTGTATTGAAGTTGCTTGCCCCTCCTCGGCTGTTTCTCATGGCTGAGCTACCACCAGATCCTCCTTGTTGAGGTGGAGGCATACCCATAGGTAATCCCATCATAGGATTAGGCATACCAGGCATAGGCATAGGCATGGTGCCATCCATCATATTAGGAGGCATCATCATACCCATAGACATGAAGTCACCCATATCCATATCGCCCATCATCTTGAACCATTATTAAACAGATAAGGTCTATTATCACACTTACTTTTTTGTTCTCTCGTAACATCTTTTGCTTAGCACAATAGGATCGCCATGTAATTTCATTGAACCCATAATTAAAATAATCTGTAATGTCTGCACCTGGTTTTCTCCAAGGTTTATCTTCTACATTATCAAGATCCACTTCAATAATAGGCTCGCCATTATATTCACCAATGGCATCTAAATTGATACCGCCTTGTGATTTTGTAGCTGCTGTAGATGTAGTGGCTGCATTGGCTGTAGGTGTTGATGAAGTGTTGCCTTGTTGCCCAGGTTTGATATTGACAGGTGCATCATCTGTAGCTGGTTGTTCTCTAATGGGATCTGCATAAATAATACAATTTCAACATCATCGATAGATTACCCTTGTGCTTGTTCAGTAGATGGTTCTTGTTGAGGTTCTTCTTCTGGCTCTAGAATGATTTCCAAGTCCTATAGTAAGTATGAGATGACATGCGAATATAGTCAACACTGTTATGTTACATCGTCACTGTCTTCATCTTCTTGTTGTTCTGTATCTTCTTGTTGCTCTGTTATTTCAACATCGTCTTTAAGTGTCTCTTTCTCTGGCTCTACATTGGTTGATTGATCCATGCTATCTTCATCTTTTCTATCCATTCAGTCAGTAAAAGAATGTGTTGGTATACCCTTCACTTACTTTTCATGACTATATTAGAAAATCAGAGGTTAGTAGACTATTCATACAATAGATACATACTCTTTTGTCTCTTCCTCGTCATACAAGTCATATAAATCATCCACGTCTAACCTGTATTAGCATAAAATAGAGACGCGTCATAACACGAACCATGTTTGCCGTCCAAATTGTTTTTATTGTTGTTATTGATGTTGTTATTATCTACTTCAGAAGTACCATACAAGAACTCGTCGTCTTCGTCTGTCAAGTGGCTCATATTAATATATATATATATGTATATATATTCAAGTGAAAAGAAAGCAGGATTTGCACCTTTTTTTCTCTTTACAGTCACGCGTGACGAAAGCAGGTATATTTAAACACCGCAGTAGACCCAAACAAGCGCTTTATCCATCAATCAAGGTTTTTTATGTGACTCACAGAGTATGGATTCATTCAAGAGAACGATCCAAATGATATTTTCTTTTTATCTCTCTAAACTGGATGTATTCTTGGTGGTGAGAAAGACATGTCATTCAATTGCATATGATAAAGGCATCATGAAGCTTTCTATTTCTCACAAGCAAACATGCCTTTTGTGCGACTTGGGCTATTCTATTTGAGTCAATAGCTGGTTAGCACATTACTTATTCATGTCAAAGGAGCAACAGGTTTCAACAGTGAGCAAAGATATGTCTTCTTTTTTCTTTAGACAAATGAAGAGAGTACAAAGCCTGCTTATACACTCATACATACTCTGAATACTTATAAACAACATTTACTAACATCTACAGCATCTTAAAATTGATTTAGACAAAAAAAAAAAATTGCCAACTCATGATGTTCTTTTTGATGCCACACAATGAGAAATAGAGCTATCAACAAGCTTAAATACTCTAAATAACCGTCAGACGCTCTAGGCCTGATCCAACCGAAATCAGGTAAGACCATCTCTAGACACTTTTAAAGAAAAGAAAGCGAGTTTACTAAGACCAAAAGGTTGGCTTAATTTGAGTATTGCCTTCATAAATGCATTCAAAGTTCATTACACACTATAAATAGTAAGGCTCTTTTCAGTAAAGTTTGGATGCGTGCAATACAGACGAGTTGATTGGAATCTAGCACTTGGAGCTTTTGATGCCTTGATCAAGAAAATAATAATGTTGTTTGGACTGCACTTCTTACTATTTGTTCCCTTCCCCTCTATCTTGTTAAAGCATCATTTCGAGAGCTACGCTTTTCGAGCTCAAAAGAAAAATATACGTCAGTAAAGAAATGGCTTTAAAAATACATAAAAGTATAGAAAGACGTGAGCTTATGAACATCAGACGATAGGTTTGTTCTTCTCGAGACAAGGCTTTATAAAATCATACAACAGACATTGTGCCTTTTTTGCACTAAATGTATATATTCATGATTGAAATGCATCCAAATATCGATTTATATATATATATATACTATTTAAGCGAATGATGCATGTGTAGTGTCTATCAAAGAGTAACACTGTGCTTGTCTATGCCACTCTTCCGTAATAAAACAGTTTCAGTGCAATCATTTCTTTAGTACTGGACACATAATACTCAGAACCATTGTATCAACAGACCCAATATGATTTGAATGCAAGTACATAATAGAGCACCTTTGAGCCAAGACCATATCCATTTTTGACAAGGTATCTTGATGCGCATTGCTCGATCATGTAACACATACCGCCAAATAAATCTTGGCCTGACTGGTTTTTGAAAACCCGGCTTTTTGTGTAAACAATTGCCATTGATTCTTGCTCTCTTTTTTTTTTGTTACACACACTTCCCACTTTCCAGTGTAGCGAGAAATATAGAATTACTTTCAAGCTGATTTATCTACTTTGGTTCCCTAGGTTAAAAGAAAAGAAAAGGAACCTCTAGGAATATATTAGAAGCTGTAGCCTAAACACTTATTTGAAGGTTCTAAATTATATGGCTTGTTGTCAGCAAAAAAAACAACTTATTTTAGAATTCGAAAATGGGATGTTTGAACTCCGAAGATAATTAGATTTGTAAATAAAAAGGCAAAGAAAAGGAGATAATCACAAAAACTTGAGCAACAAAATCTAAAAACATTCATGTTTGACATAGACTCAAAAAGCAGAAAAGAAAAAAAGAGACTTGGATACAATGTAAAGAACACACACACACTAAGAAATGTAGCTACCGGAGAAAGAAAAAAAAATAGATCAAAAAACTACAAGTAGAAATGTACAACTATTTTAAATCGACTACATGGTCTTGTAACTTGATAAAACTTTTTAAAAAGGAAATAAGAGATCCGAAGTTTTCCTTACCCCAATCTTCCCTGATTTGAGTTATTGGTCAAGTTTAAACTCAAAATATAAAAATTTTCTTTTTGTGTACGAATAAGGAGATAGGCTAAAGAAGTAGGAAATAGGCTAAAGAAGTAGGAGAAATACTTTTTCTTTATTCTGGTACAAAGGCTCTAAAGGGCCTTTCAAATTGGACTTTTTTAAATTTAATTTAAAAATATATAATATTACAGAAAATGGAAAATGGCAAAGTCTAAACAATTTAGTACTTCTTACCGAAGACCATGACTTGGAGGTAATCGTAACCAGACAAGACACCAGCACCAGCGATGGCACGGAGGATGTTAGCACCAGCACCCTTGAAGAGAGACTTGGTACCTTCCTTGGCAACGATTTCACGGAAAGCGTGGAGAGAAGAGTCGTACTTGACGGCAGCACCGGAAGTCATCATCATTCTACGACGAACAGTATCGATGGGGTAAGAAGCTAGAAGAAAAAGTTAGTAATCATCATCCATCAAATCAAAAATACATACCAAGACCAGAACCAGTGGTAACAGCCCAACCAAGAGCGAAGGTAGCCAAGAAGGAGCTTTGGAGATTTTCGGGCATGAGGGGCTTGACGGAATCGTAGAGACCGAAGTAAAGACCACGGTAGACAATGATACCAACACAAGAGATGTTGAAACCACGGTACAAACCAGAGATACCATCGGAGGCGAGGGTCTTCTTGTAGACATCGATCAAACCGTTGAATTGACGTTCACCACCCTTCTTGGCAGACTTGGCATCGTTAGCAAGACGAGTACGAGCATAATCCAAAGAGTAGACGCTAATGACAGTCAGTAAGGTACATACACACACACACACTTTATAAATATCCACTTACAAGAAGAGGGAAGCAGCACCAGCAGCACCACCAGAAGCCAAGTTACCGGCGAACCAAGCCCAGTAACCATCTCTCTTCTTATCCTTGTTGAACATACGCTTGAACTTATCCTTGAAGGCAAAGTTCAAAGCTTGGGTAGGGAAGTAACGGATAACGTTGGCAGTGTTACCTCTCCAGAAAGAGATGGCACCTTCATCCTTCATGGTACGGGCGAAACAGTCACCAATACCCTTGTAGGGGTGAGAGAGACGACCTTGCTTGATCATTTCATCTTGGTTTTGGATCAAGAGCTTGATACGTTCAATAGGGGCAGCAGCAGTCTTGGAGACAGCGGCGGAGACACCACCCATAAGGAAGTCCTGAACAATTCTTTTAGTATCTTTATTACACAACATTCATTTAGTTACTTACGATGACGAACTTGTTTTGGTCAGTAGCCATTTTGATTTTCTGTTAATAAAGAAAAAAGGAGAGGGGAGTAATCAAAGGAAGAAAAAAAAATTTAAAAAAAAATAATTTTCAGGTTCTTTTTATAGGCTCATTGAAAAAAAAAAACGAAAAGCAGGGGGGGTGCTAAACAGGCAAGCAGTCCCGTTTTATTCTGACTGGATAACATTCAAAGCCAGTTTTTTATGATAGAGATCTGTTCATGAGCCACTTCTTTGTCTTTTTCTAGCAGGATCCTGGTCAAAATAAGACTCTTCATCATCATCATTTAATAGACTCTGAAGCATCAATCGTCGTCGACGTTTCGCAGCTTGATGGGTATCCATCATGTTTCTCAATAAATTACCTTGTAAACCGAGGTTATGAGGGCCAATAATTGATTGGTGAACATGTTCAATGGATTTAAAGTAGCGTACAGTCTATAGAAATTGTACCAATAAGAAATAACTTGACAAAAAAAAAGGGGACTTTACCTTAACATGAAGTTCTAGAGTAGCATCTTCATCACATATAATAAGACCTTTTGGATGCATTTGTATTGCTGATACTGTCCACATATGATTCACTCCTTCCTCTAGACATTTAGCCAGTGCTAGACTTTTGTGTGCTCCTGTAATCACCACACACACTTCCCTTGCATCCATCACTGTTCTATCGTATCAAGTTAGTTTCATTTTCTTTCTTTTTTTTTTTTGGATACTTTACGCTACACCAACTGTCAATGCCAATTTAGGTACCTTGGAAACATCCCCGCCAAAGAATCGTGCATTAGCAATGATTGTTTCATAGGCTAATGTCTTTACTCTTGTACGTGACGTTAATGAAGATCCAGGCTCATTGAATGCAATATGACCATCAGGACCAATGCCTATTCACTCATCAATACTCACCTATGCTTTCTTCTTCTTACCGCCTATAAACAATTCAATGCCTCCTAGTCTGACAATGTCTGCTTCAAACTTGGAACATTCATTGTCCAAATCTTCTGCATTACCATCCAATATGTGTACATTCTCTTTTTTGATATTGACATGCTTAAACAAATGATTCCACATAAATGTATAATAGGACTGTGGGTGATCCCTGTAACACTCAATATAACATGGCATGATTCTTCAGCTCAATTACCTTGGTAATCCCACATATTCGTCCATATTAAATGTCACAACATGTTCAAAACTCAATTCGCCTGCCTTATAGAATTCAACTAGTTTATGATAGACACCAATAGGTGAAGATCCAGTGGGTAAACCCAACACAAAAGGTCGTTCTGCTGTTGGTTTAAATTGGTTAATTCTTTCTTTTACGTAATATGCTAGATAGATGGGAATGAGCAAGTCAACTTAAACGCAATAGACATACCAGAGTACGCAGATACTTCTTCATAATCCTGTCGAACAATTAAACGCATAGTGAAATAAAGAAGAAGAAGAAAAAAAAGAGAAAAATAAATGAACGTGTTCCCCCCCCCTCTCATACACATACACATCTCTATATATATACACGCACAAAGTTGGACCCTGCCACCGGAGTTTTAAAAAACCACAAGTCACCTTTATATTATGTAAGTAATCCACTTTTTATCTTTTAAGCTTTCTCTCATTGTAATTCACAATACGGCGCGTCTTTCTACGACGAATACGCTCATACTTGTAATACAGACTAGCAATATCCTATTATTTCTGAATGAATACAGAATGCATGAATTTGTATTGAATTTACCTTTGCCAGAACAAATAAACATCCTCCCAAGACATTTCGCTGAAAATGTTCGGGAAAATAATAACGAATCCACTTGGAATGACCCAGATACCTAAAACGGTGTCATCAATACCACGGTCAAGTCAATCATGGCTTACCCTCCCACTATACTACTGATGGTTGGCCATAGCAGGGCTCCAATGACAGTCACACTCATGTCTCTTCCTTCTCTATTAAACAGAATATCGGTATCTTGATCCACATCTCTTGCTTGATTGTCTTCTATACTGTCCATATCTTCTATTACTTGGTTTCTTCTTCTTGGCAGATCCTGAGAACGCACGAGTCTTTTTGACAGTCTTTTTTGTACGAATGAATACAGGTTGTTATACAATAGCCTCACCCAAGGTAACAAACCAAACATGACAGCGGGCGAAGGAGGCCATATGATCTTAAGCGGATACGAAACACCCGTCATTTTGAGTAACAAAAGAGCCGCGACAGGTAACACCTTGTCTGCCCATTTTGTACGTGCTGCAATCAGGGCAACAGGAATGGAAGGCAGTCCTAACCATGTTCGCCATGTCCAATAGGCTGGATTACCAATCAATCGCTCGCCTTCTTTTGTGCCAAAGACGGTCAGAATACTATGAGCACCTAATGTACTGGATGTAATTAACATGGAACAACCCAGACCAAGCACTGTCAGATAGGGTGCAGCAACATGCACTAGGTTATCCACTATGCTCATGAAAGCTAAAGGAAAACTATGAGATTCAGATAAAACATAGCGAGTAGAGCATTGAGGACAAGCGACTTTCTTTAAAGGTGTGATTTTTTGAGTTTCGGCGATCCAGTCAAGTAAACACTGCTCATGACTTATAAGCGAGCAGTGACAAGGATAGACCCATTTGCCTTCTGAGTCTGTCTCTTCACCAAAGCATATCCAGCATCGCTTATTGTCTGTATATAACATGGTTTTTGGTTCTTGTTCGCCTTCTTCACTTTCGTCAGCTGAGAGTTGGCTTTCGTCTAAGCCTGGAATAGGTTGATAACTATATAGGCTGGCTTCACTCACAAGTGAAGAAGAACCAGGACAACGAAAATAAGACATGATATGTATATACAGGAAGAAAAAGAGAAAAGGAAAACCATGCGTGTGTGTGAAAAGTGGTATTTATGCTAAAACTTATGTAAGTTATCTGATTGGACAATGCATCATCCTTACCGAAGCCGGCATAACGTATTGATTGATGACGCTATAGCGAGATCAACAAAGTGTAAAACACTATCCTTTCTTGAGTGGTGTATACTATTTTCTAATTCAATTCTGCCCTATATCCCACTTTATCTTTCTGCTCATATTACATAAAGAAGCTGAAATAGATGACAGAGCATATAATGGTCCTTGGCAATGAGGCTGACAGTTGCACAATACAAAAGAGATATCCGAAAGTGTTACACTTTTGAGAATGAAAATAAATAAACAACTCTTTTTTCTCTCTCTCTCTCTCTCTTTTTTTTTTTCCTTTTCTTTTAGTATCTTTTGTCATGTTATGTCATAGAATAGGCCAAGTAATAGAAGCTTATTCTTATGAATTTCGACCTGGTCATGAAACAGATTTTGCTGACTCTTTGGGTGGTTCTTGGTAACTTGTTGATATGAAATACGTTATCTAATACAAAAAGAAAGGTACGTCTCGCCAAAAGCACATGGCATTGAACTCTTGACAATGGCTCCTTTTTATCTTGCCATGACAGTATATTTTGGCCATAAAGCAGTCATTAAAAAGTAAAAAAGATTGAAATTAGCTCAACATGGATCTGATGTTCAATAGTAAGCAGAATTATGTCTTGTTGACACAGCGTAGACACAGACCTCAACAATCCTGGCTTGAGTTTATGGCATTGGTCTTATTGACCTTGTCGATATCTGTCACAGTGGTTCATAAATATGCCTCTCATACTGAATTCTTTTTATTGCAGGCAAGTATTTGCTAATGATGCATCAAATCCAATCATCTTAATTACTTGTAGCCTTGTCATATGAGTGCATTTATGCTCGTCATAATTATGGCCTGGCCAAACAAGTCCAGTCTGTTAATACCAGCATTACTATTTAATATATATTTGCATACGCTATGGGGAGCTGTATTAGCCCTTGTCTTTCCAGACTTACGAGACCATGAAATGTTGGGTGAAGTATTCAATTTCTTTTTAGGTATGTTCTATATAATGTGCAGCCTCATGATACTGCATAGAGCATGGTTTGATTCTTGTCTTGCCCTTTTACTTGTTGACTACAAAACGACATGTTGTATTGCCCTTTAGTATAGACATGGCTCTGTTCAGTTTCTTTCTTTATGCAGCCTATCATTCACCTTTTCTTCAGATCATATCGCTTCTATCAGGGTAGACATCGCATTCAACAAAAAAAAAAAAATGAAAAACTCAATATAATCATAGGTACAATCTCAATTATGCATTGGTCACTCCTGCACGTAGGTTTTTCATGCATACATAGAATTGGAATTTATATGTTTTATAGTTGGATTTTTGATAGCTATAGGGAATTGGTATCGTCTTGTCATGTTTGGAGCAGCGTTCATCTTGATGTTTCTAACTCGGTATATCGTCGAGTTGTTTCTTTTATTTCAAAAGAAGCAAAAGAAGCAATAAACTCCTATCTTTTTTTTTTTTTTTTTTTTTTGTACACACACAGCCCATTCAGTGAGATTCTACATGTAAGAAACTCCTCTTCCCCTTAGATTCCCTAAATCTTATACAGTAAAACTACTTTTCTTTTTCTTTTTCTTTTTTCCTTCATTTCATATTCCATGACTCACACATTCGAACTTTGGACACCACCTGTACTAGACTTGTCCTTGGATTCCTTTTCCAATGATCTAATACAAGAGTTTGACAAGACAAGAAAAAGTATGCAAAGTGACCAATTGATTTATCAAACTGCCAATGATAAAAAACAAGAAGAACAAGATGCTAATGTTGAAGATACTACAGTAGTTTCGCCTGTCTCTTCTTTTACTACTGTACCTACTACAAGAGAGCATTCTCAAACTGAAGAAGAAGAAGAGGAGGAAGAGCAAGAGGAGATCGTATCTACCAGTACTACATCATCTCACCTGTTTCGCAAATCATCTACATTTCTAAAAGGCAGACTGAATTCAACTAAAAGGACAAGTCTAGTATCATCACCTGAAGATATCTCTAGCATTGTGTCTCGCCAATATCCTCCAAAACCTTTACAATATTCACCTATTGTAGAGCCACCTTCAGATACATCAGTGACTAGTCTTGAAGAAGCGGTTGCTGTGACAGCAGTAGCAACCAGTAGCAATCTATCGGCTACAACACATCATGATAAGAGAGAAACAAAGCCTTCTCAAGCTCACCAAAACCATGAAAGTCGCGCGGTTGTCTCTACTGGGTCACCTATGCCTTCCTCAACAACCAAAAGGCGTTCATTTTTCTCTTTACGTTTTTGTTAACTATGCTTAAAAAGGAGAAAAGAAATAAAAGGAGTGAATCAACTTCCCCTTTCCCTTAACAATTTGTAACGCGTCTTTTTTTTTTTTTGTGTATCTGAACGCGACTTTTTTTTTTTTACCAAAAACAGTAACTGCGTATATCGATATTTTTCTCTGTGTCTCTCTTTTTTTTGTTGTTGTTGAATACAAATGCCTAATGAGTGTGGCAATCCTCTTTTACGTGATTGGGTAAAAGAGTGGATGGACAATGCACAAGCACTTCAAAGCAAGGCTTACTTTACTTATAAAAAGGTAGTCATTCACTTTTTACAAGGCATTCTGTATTAAACTTGTCCATGAGGCTTATAATTCGCTGTGCAAATGTCCAGTGAGTTTTAGTCATCCTTCAGAAGCTTCTAAACTAGACGGAATAGGTCCAGGCATGGTAAAGAAACTAGAGGCCTGTATGAGAGAACATTGTAAAGAAAATGGAATACCTATGCCTGAGCTTCCTGGTCAAAGTAAGCAAATAACGTTTAATTCGATGCGACTTATGCGTATGGTATAGGCAGAAAACGAAAAGCAGTATCTGACGAAACAGAAGATGCAGAAACCAGTACTCGACCCACGAAACCTAAGCGTACTCCCAAACCGTATGTACCTGCGTATCGTACAGGTGGTTATGCTATCATGCTTGCCTTGCTTGATTTTCATCAGGTAGGACAATCCAGTGTCACTCGAGAACAGATTTGTCGTATTGCTCAAGCTCATTGTGATACTTCTTTGACATTAGCCGATCCAGGCAAGTCTTATACAGCATTCAATAGTATCAAGACCTTGTGTGATAAGGGATATGTTTGGCGAAATGGTAAACCAGCCAAGTTTCAATTGACGGAGACAGGCATTGCTTTAGCAGAAAGACTCAGGCAAGTCAGTGCTGCAGAAAAAGACGACAATGTTGATGACGATGAGACTGATTTGAGTCTGTATTCTCAAAACCCTTCTACAACACGTAACTCCAACAGGTCAGCGTTATCAAATACACCAGAGACTATTTCTTCTCGAGCAGACATCATGAACGCACTCGCTATGCCATCCACGGACTCAGAACCTAAAAAAAGAAGATCAAACAAAGGCAAATCTGCAACCAGTGCTTATTTAGATGATTTGCTCGAACGAATGGACCAGCAAGCATCGAATGAAACCAACATGAGTCTCTATGTACTGCATCCTAGTAAACACACAGGTCTCACTGTGAACGGCAAGACAGTCACCAACACGGCAACAACATTTGCAAAGCCCAAACTAAAAGCCCAAAGCAACCCTAGTTCATCTATCACCAACTCGTTTGCCCAAGGAGTCGTGCAAGACAAAGATGACAATGATTTCAATGACTTGATGTCTCATTCAGCCAAGAAGCCTGTAAACCATAAACGACATTTCAATGTAGACGAATTTCAAATAGACCTATCGCCTTCTTCTTCTTTACCGAGTTTCAATTCAACCATGGCAGATACCAATGATATTGTGGATCTCTTGTCGTCGCCTGAACCTTCCCCTCCCTTACCAGCTAAAGACTCATTTGACCAAGACTATTTCCCGCTTTCTCAGCCCCGTACAAAGACTGTTCTTCACGATACATTTCACTATACTTTTCTAGATGCAGAAAACCAGCCTGTGCGTCATGCATCTAAAGCAACGGTTGATGTAGATGAAACGCAAGCGAGTCTATCTTATCTTGTTCAGTTTTATGCTAAACAGGCCAATCATCCAAAAGCAGCGCATGTCCATAAACAACGCAAAGAAGGTGATCTTATCACAGGTTATATGAATCAAGATCACATTGACACAGTGTGCCCTGGATTACCTGCTACACCTGTCTTGTGCTTACACCAAGAAGACAATACAGAAGACACTTTTTGGCCTGTCAGTAATAGACCGTATTCCCCCACAGCACTGTCGATCGAGTCCTCACAACCCTCGGATCTAAGCTCACAAGCATTCTTTCCACAAGCGTCTCAGCTCAAGACAGATTATCATGCACTTGTCAACAAGGCGTTTATGGAACCCATGTTTCCTCATGAATATGACATTGTGTTAGTTGTCGATAGTCGAGAGATTCAAATGAAAGGAAACCGAGACTACTTTGAAAAGAACTTGACTGCTAAAGGTATTCAGTGTATAACAAGGTCTATGGATTTAGGCGATGTGATCTGGATTGCACGTAAAAAGGAGAGTCCGTCTGAAGAATTGTTTCTGGATTATGTGGTTGAGCGTAAACGACTGGACGATTTAGTCAGTAGTATCAAAGACGGTCGATTTACTGAACAAAAGATGCGGCTCAAACGATCAGGAGCTGAAAAGATCATGTACATTATAGAAGAATATAACCGAGAAGAAGCAGAACGGTTTGGTGCACAAGCTATTCAGACAGCCATGTCTGCCACTCAAATTATAGAAGGTATCTTTCTTAAGCGTACCAACAGCATTGATGAGACGATTGACTATCTTGTGTCTGCCACGAAACTAATTCAAAAGATATACCAAAACACGACACTGTATTCTATTCCAGGCCATATCATCACTCGACAAAACTACCTAGAATTAAAAGCAGCATGTCGCCAAAAAGCAAAGAAATCCAACGAGAAATCAGCTTATCTCGTCAGTTATTCACTCTACAATCAATTGAATGCCAAGAATGGGTCAACCAGTTTACATGAAATTTACTTGAAAATGTTGATGACGATTCGTGGTGTGAATGCAGAGCGGGCATTGGCATTAATGAAAGTATATCCTACACCCAAATCTCTATTAGAAGCATTTAAAGGCATGTCGCCCGAGAAAGGAAAAGTGCTAGCTAAAAATGTGACGAAAGGCAATATCAGTCGAAGAAGATGGGGCATTCAAATCAGTCAAAGGTTATATGATACTTGGGGTGCTTTCACTTATAGGAAAGACACCGATAGTGACGACGATCATCAAGTAGACGAACAAGGCGAAGAAGAAACCATGTTTCTAGAATAAATTGTATGTGTGTTTTTTTTTATTGAAAATAAGCATTGGCATCTATATAAGATTGTAATCCACCTACATCAATTCTTCCTGAAATAGGAAATGTAGAGACTCTAAAGCGAGGATAAAGATAAGCAAGACATTTGCCTGTAGCATCATAAGCTTCTTTAGGTGCATTGGTTGCTTTACATTCTTCAATAAAGGCTTCAATGAGAGGAATCGCTTGTTTATGAAACAGATAGAAGCAAGGGCATGCAGATCTGACGGAAGTAACCGTGGGTGCTGGCTTTTCCAAGAAACTGATAATGTCTCCCTGAGCGTCTGTCTCTACTATACCAAATTTGTGCACATCTTCATCTGTCACTTGATAAGTAGTAACAAGACAACTGGCTTCTCTGGCTTCAAATGCATGCAAGAACTGTCTTAAATCGAAATCATGCAAAAAGAGCGTATCACCACCTACCACAAGTACATGGTCATTTTGAAGGCCAAAGTGATGGATACCAAACAGGATATCAGGTACAGCACCTAGACGGGTTTCATTGGTCTCGGTGCCATCACTTACAATATGATCCAATGGGACATGATGTGCTAAAGCCCAGGTCTTGAAGGCATCATAACATTGTCCATTGGTTACAATATAAATACTGTCTTGAGCAGAGATGCCATGCTTCTCGAAGAGTTCGATCCAGTGGGTGATGAGAGCATCTCGGTTGCCTAGGGGCAACAGAGCCTTTGGAACACCGAGTAAATGTTTGTATTCTTCTGAACTAGACAAGTCGCGTTGAAGACGAGTGCCATAACCTGCACCGAGAATTAAGACTAGACGACAAAGAATAAGTTATCAAGTTGTGTGAATAGGCCTTGTGTACCTTTCATTACGAATGAACAAGATGATCTTGAGGAATAAGGAGAATAGGAGTATTTATGTTCTGACTTTAAATGCTTTAGATGTCATATTGCATTGTCCTCGATTGGTTAAAGCGTGTCTGCTGAAAAGATGCAATCTTTGGTTTGTGTTATCTTGGAAGAGACCTATTGAATCCAATCTAAGCAGCATTTCACACTAAGGGTTGACTTCATCTCAACATGATGTCATGTTTTATATAACAAAGATAAACCAACATGACATCCTAATTTCAGCAATAGATCTGAAGAGTCTTGATTGCCATGCTCCACTTGTTTGGTCAATCCCATGAGCGCATAATCATGACCATGATCTATATAGTTTAAACACAAAACGAAAAAAAAAAAGAAAAAAAAGGAATATTTATAAAATGCTGCGTGTCAATCTAAAAAAATATTTTTTCTTTCTTTATCATACACAATGAGTGATCAACAAGCAAGTAGATCTAATACAACAAGTACGATAACTAAACTTTACTTTAGACCTTAGAGGAAGATGATTATGTCCCCTATGTTCCCATCAAACAAAGACGATTAGAAAAATTACATAAATATGCTACACAACGTCGATTTGTTGACCAACCAGACAATGACAATGATGAAGACGACAATGTCATTTTAGCAGGGCCCAAAGCCAATGTCAGTCTATTGGATCAACGTATGCAACAAAAACTCAGCAATGCTATTCCAGGTACGATCATACAATGTGTTCTTCTTGACTTATACTTGGAGTAGAAAAGACCGAAGAAGAAAAGAGACTAGAAGAAGAAAAACGCATTGAAGAAGCACAAGCGCGCCATAAAGCACTTGTTTCTGTTCAAGAATCAGCCATGGGCAAGCGATACACTGAGCCTATGAAGACTTCGTAAGTGGTAAATAATCCAAGCAATCATGTCACTAAAGCCAAACTAGATGGAGTCCTCCTCATTATATTCGCAACTTGACAGAAGTGGACCATCAAGCGATTCGTGATCGATACCATATTCTGATTGAAGGTGAAGACCCTGTGCCACCTATTCGCCATTTCAGAGACATGAAGCTACCTGAGCCTATCCTTAAATACCTAAAAAGTAAAAACATTGAAAAACCATCCCCTATTCAAATTCAAGGTTTGCCTGTTGCGTAAATATATAAAAAAAAATTCCTGGTAAAAATACTAACGTGTGGCATTAGACTGACAGGGAGAGACATGATCGGTATTGCATTTACCGGTTCGGGTAAAACGTTGACCTTCTCTTTGCCTCTGGTCATGTTTGCATTAGAAGCAGAAGTAAGGTTGCCTTTGACACAAGGAGAAGGACCTATTGGTATGATTCTTTGTCCTTCCCGTGAATTAGCCAGACAAACATTTGACAGTCTAAACCATATGGCAGATGCACTGGCTAAAGGAGGATATCCTCAATTGAGATCTTTGCTGTGTATTGGTGGTATTAATATGATGGAACAGCAAGATGTGTTAAGAAGAGGCATTCATATGGTTGTAGCCACACCAGGTCGTCTTATTGATCTACTCAGTAAAAAGAAATTCAATTTAGATAACTGCAGATATTTGTGTATGGATGAAGCAGACAGAATGATTGATATGGGGTTTGAAGAAGATGTCCGTAACATTATGTCTTATTTTAAGGTAAACCACTATACTTTTTAGAGTAAGTTGTTCAAATTGCTATATATAGAGCCAACGTCAAACACTTTTGTTTTCTGCTACAATGCCTAAAAAGATCCAAGATTTTGCTTTATCTGCGCTAGTTAAACCCATGGTGGTTAATGTAGGTCGTGCAGGTGCTGCTAATTTAGACGTAATCCAGGAAGTCGAATATGTCAAACAAGAGGCAAAAATGGTCTATTTATTAGAGTGCTTACAGAAAACACCTCCGCCTGTGCTTGTATTTGCCGAGAACAAGAATGACGTCGATGATATTCATGAATATTTCTTGCTTAAAGGTGTAGAGACAGTTGCTATTCATGGTGGCAAAACACAAGATGAACGTGAATATGCTATTCAATCATTCAAGGAGTACAAGAAAGACGTACTTGTGGCTACAGATGTTGCTTCTAAAGGGTTGGATTTCCCTGAGATTAAACATGTTATTAATTTCGATATGCCTAAGGAAATTGAAGATTATGTCCATCGTATTGGCCGAACAGGCAGAAGTGGCAAGACAGGTGTAGCTACTACCTTTATTAACCAGAACTGCTCAGAACAAATTCGATTGGATCTAAAGCATTTGCTAAAAGAAGCAAAACAACGAATTCCTCCCTTTTTGGCAGCAATGGAAGATCCTACAGAGAAATACGGTAGTTTGACAGGAGGCTGCTCTTTCTGTGGCGGTCTTGGTCATCGTATCAATGATTGTCCTAAATTGGAACAACAAAGAAAACAACAGTTCAATACCATGATGGGCAGCAACCGAAATGCGGATCGTGGTGGTTTTTAAATAAAAAAAAAAAAAGGCAACATGTTCTCTTCAACTACCATATATAGCAATTTATAGATGACGTTTGTGATGGCAACACTGGTTTTTCTCTAATAGGAACATTCTCGAATTGAGCTAGAAAGTTTTAGTTACCTTCTTTGGACTAAACTTACTTTGAGGAACCTTTTTTAAACTTTTATTTTTCACTTTTTTTTTTATTTTTTTTACTTCTTTTTTTTCGATAACTATTAACAAAAATAATAAAATCCTTAATTCCACCGTTTTAGTGTAATACATATAAAGTAGAAGCCGAAAATAATAATAATAGAACAAAACTAACCTTTCAATGTAGATGAACCCATCAATCGAACGCCCTGGCTTTGATTCAGAGGAACACCAAAAGGTTCAGGACTTTTTGAAAAAGTACAATTTACCCCAATACATTGATACTTTTATTGCTGAAGGATTTGAATCACTGTCAGCTGTAAGCGATTTTTTTTTGTTCTTTTTTATTCTTATTCTTTTTTGTTCTTTTTCAATTTTTATTTTATTCTCCGTAATAACACTGATTTCGTAGGTTCTAGAAATTACAGAAGAAGATCTCATTGCTTTGAATGTAAAAAGAGGCCATCGAAGGGTATGGTAACTCATTTTTTTTTGTGGCTTTTTTCTAAAATGGTAAATTCAGGTCATTCAAAGAGGCATCGCTATCCTGAAAGGTTTACCAAAAAACCAACCTTTATGTTTACCTAATTCAAATACAACTACAACTACTACCACAACTACCACTGTTTCCTCTTCTACTTATAGGCCGTCTTATTCTGGTAAGCTCCATCTTAACCAGAATGTCGGTCATTTCGTCATGGTCTAATTTTTATTTTTATTTTTATTATTTTTTTTTCTATGAAGCATCAAATCATAACAATGAAACATCGTCCGCTTATGCAAGTGGCTATGGATCCATGAGTTCACCCCGTCAAACTAATTATCATGATAATTCAGTCAATAACTATAGGCCATATAGTGTTGAACAACAGCATCCTTTAAGTAACGCAAATCCACAACAAACTTCACAACAAAAATTACCCCCTATTTACCAAGTCATTAGGGGTATTGAAAAACCTTATTCGCCTACCCCTTCATTTGGGTATCCATCAAATAAGGATCGCGAAATAAAGGAAGCAAATCAATCTGAAGAAGAAGATCAAACTAAAAGTATAGATGATGATGAAGACGAAGAAGAAGAAGCAGAGAAACAAGACACGTTTGATAATTATGCTAGAAACAATAATAACAACAATCATATCAATGATGAGAACAGCAATAACAATAACAATAGTGGTGGTAGCAGCAGCGGTAACTCGTCTGAGGATTCCCCTTCACTCAAGAGAAAATACAAACGTCATCCCAAACCAGATAGGAATGCACCCATCAAACCGCCCTCGGCTTATATCATGTTCTCGACTGATGCTCGCTCACGTTTAAAGCATCATAATATGACATTTATTGAAATGGCCAAACTTGTAGGAGATCAATGGAAGAATTTGGATAACAAGGAGAAACAAGCGTATGAAAGAACAGCCATGAAAGCAAAAGATGAATATTTAGATGTCTTGCATGCTTATAAACAAACAGATCAATACAAGGTATTTTCATCCACACACAAAATACGTATGTTTACTTTTTCGTTCATAGGACTATCAAAAATACCTAAATAGTTTTAAAACCGAGCAAAAGGCGATCAATCGAAGAATCGCGCGATTAAGCAAAAAAACCAAAAGAGATTCTTCCGAAAGGTAAAAAGAAAGATAGATAAGCTACATCTTGCATACTTACTTTCTTGTAGTGGAAGCCTAGCAGACAATAGTAGTTCGAATGGTAAGCTATCTTGAAGAACTTTACCATCCATTTAACCCCTTGTTCACCAATAGAAAATATAAAGAGTTCATCTTCTAGTGGTTCTCTTGATATTTATAAAGTGCATCAAAAGAAACAGCTTGATAAGACTAAAAATAAAAGCAGATCAATCAGTAGTAATGAAGAAGGAAGCAGCAGTGGCAAGAATACTGCAACTCCTAGCATGGATAGATCTTCAACAACTACAACGACAGGCAATTCATCTGAAGGAAACAATCCAAGTAACTGTGAAGACACTTACTCACCGCAACAGAAAGCACCACCACTGATGAGTGATGAACAGGCCAATGCTAATTATCATCGATTACCTTTTGATGATAAGAAAAAACCCAAATAGGTTGTATATATTTATTTTCGATTCCAAGAAAAATCAGCAGAGTAAATTCAGGTATTACTAAAAACACATCCACCCACCCACCCACACACACATATATATATATCCAAATAAAAATAATCAGACCAGCATTAAGACAGTATGATATAGGTTCAGACAGCTTATTTATACGTACATGGCTATTGTTTAGAAGAGTTGAACCATAAGTGATCAATAAGATATGTTGGATCATGACGCGAAATGAATAGAAGACTTATTTTTATTATGCTATTGATGCTCAATAATAGAATGGTTATCTAAGAAATGATAATATGGAAAAGAATACAACAACGACCTTTGTAAGACAATATCGGCATCTTGCACTAAAAAAAAAGGTTTTTAACATTATCTGATAGTAAAACTTTCTAATACTATTCTTTTTTTTCTGATCTGTAATGCCTCAAGGATCCTTGCAGTCATCTCAAATAGCGTTCTAATTAGTGCTCCGTCCCCAATTACTGGTCCAATGTCTATATAGGGTCAAGAGTATATCCATAAAAGGTTTGACAAGCGCAATGAAAAAAAGTGAACACTGTTACACTTTAATTTTCTGGTCAAGAATACCTGAAATAATAAGGAAGCCTCCTCTTCCTTTTTCGATATAAACTCTTGGGCAACAGAATATTTAATAGAACTGTAGCAAACTAGTACGTTTACTCATTTGATTTGGGATATGAATTTCAAAATATTTCAAGCACACTTGACTTTTCCTTTGTGCTATAATTATCGCTTTATCTATTCTTGTTTAATTTGCCCTTTAAAGCCTTTTCTTGCATAGGGCAGGATATTGTACCAATATCATCTGTTTGTAACTTTTAATACCATCAAAACAACTGGTTCAAACATTAGATAAGATTTAAAAACTAAGTATATCAACATAATTAGGTCGTTCTTTGATGAACTACTGCTCGACATAACCATAATTTTTTCTAGCTAAAGACATGATGATTTAGTTTCAAAAATTGAATAGTATCACTGGTTTGACTATTGCAAAAAACTCATTTTTTGATGATAGAGGAAATCATACATTTACAGAATGGCTGCTTACTGAGATTGAACTTTTGCTGAGAACAATCTAAAGTAGCAATTATTTGGCTTTGGTGCAATAATATGTATATTGCTTGTTTTCGTTTTTATTATCTTATCTTGCATTTTGAAGGAGACATGTTCTATTGGCTTCTGATTATTGCGCTTTAGATTAGAAAATTACGCTTTTAGTTTTTGGTTTTTTCATTGTTTTTCATTGTCTTTGGACCTAAACTTGTGTACTTGCATCTTATCCTGAAATCAAGTCAAACGTTGATTCATTATAGGCATGCATTTACGCAGAATTCAAATTAAACAAGAAAGTATATTCAGTAATTCATCAAGACATGAAACTAATGAAAAAAACAGTTTTTAATAAATTGTTCATTGCTTTTAACACCCAAACAGCTTTTTGATCTGTTCTATCTATTTATCTACAGCTGTTATACCTATAACAGAGCTTCATGTTAAAATTTGGATACAGGTATAGCTTTATTTGATATCATTCGATAGGCAACAAGCAAATCCATCACACATCTGACAAGAAAGTAATGAAACAACCACTGCTCAAGTACCTTTTAAATTATCAAAGGCAACAAAATGATTGGTTAAGCCACGTACTCCCGAATGCGGTATTCTTATTTCCAGAAAATTTTTTTCGAACCCTTGTCTTTTATTTCACATTCTTGTCAAAATAAGGTTCATATTGTTTAGGAAGCTTATATTCTTGTTCAGTTGAGCTAAAGCGTTGAAAGAGTGGTACCTTGCAACCGTGTAGCTGTATCTGTTCAGTGTTTTGCTTCTTTGGCGCTGTTTAGATATAACGTTGCACTAAAACTTGTGTAATCAAAAGCTAGGGATAATAGCTGATGTTTATGCAACTACTGATTGGCTGCAGATAAGGGGTAGATATTAGACCAAAGAAGCAATTATGCATGCGTGATGGACTTCTGTTTAGAGATCAGGTTTTTAGGTTTACTGATTCTCAATACAAATATACTTGTATTTTGAGGTACTTGTATATGTAAAGGGAAAAAGAAGGCTTGGACAACCTTCTACACTGAAATTGGTGTTTCTCTATCGACAAGGCTTTCTCTCAGGTGTCTCCAAGGTTACTCAACAAGTCTCAAGAAGTCTCAAGGTCAATCAAGAATGGCTTTCATGGCTCAATGGATATCTAGTAAGCATCTTCCAATAGTACTGAAAGTATAATACACTAAAATCATTTTGTTTAGGTGTCTTTAAGGTTGATCATCTCGGTATGGTGCTGGTTCAAGACTGTCTTCTTTTGGTTCTACTCTGTTACGGTTAGCAAACTCAAAATCCCAAAGTATACTCCACTTACGGTTGTGTCTAAGGTGTATTCAAGGTTGGTCATCAAGGTCTGTTACTGGTTGTGATGTTTTGATAATAGAGTTATATAATAAGATGATATAGAGACCAAGGTAGATACTTTGAGACTGTTCTATACAATTTTATTGTTCCTTTTTGATTATAAATTATTCTAGCATATTTATACATGAAGAGATGTCGGAGTAAGTAGTAGTAGAGTTCATGCAAATGACTGAGTCTCTATTATCATAGACTACTTTAAATTAATTAAATAATGTAAATTATTGATCTTGGTTATAAGTCTTGATCTATTAAAAGATACTTTGTCTTATTCAGTACAAGAGGTTCTTTTATGTCTATTTCTGATGTAAATTGATTATGATATATTTTAGTATGTAATTGAAGACTTATTTAATGTTCAGATCATCACACTGGTTCAAGGCCGTCTCCTTTTGGTTCTGGCTCTCTTTGGCGTTTCACTGTATCCAATCAAGGCTTTAACAGGTTTTTGCGGTGTCGTCTACTTTTTTGAGTCTTCTTGTCTGTTTGAGAGTCTGATCAGCACTTGTGCAGGCAAGAAGAGGATCTGTTTAGGCTTAACCACCTTGGCCACATACAAGGTTGATATTGCTGTCCAAAAAAGGAGATCCTACTCTCCTGAAGAATTAGCGACCTTTATCACTGATAAATGTAGATGCTAAGATTTTTACCAAGCTAATGACCAATCGTCTTAATGAGCTGTTGCCCCATATCAAACTGCTTTTCTTCCGGGCCGATTAATCTCAGGTAATGGCTGGTTCAACCATATGCTTGCGACAACTCTCCGCGAAAACAAGTCTTTGACTCCTGAAGTTGCAGTTCTGTTGGACGCTAAGAAAACCTATGATCGAGTATACTCGCAAAAAAAAAAAAGAAAAAAAATTCAAAACAATTAAACTTAATTACTCCTAATATCAATCGCTCGAGCAATATGCTGCAAGAAATTCGAAACGCTTTGCAAGAGCAAGTATAACCGACTTGGGACTCTTGCCAAGCAAATACGGGCACAAATGGTGGAACTACAGGACGCGGCCACCCAAATCATAAACCAAACAAGAGACCTTAGAATAAATATAGCCTAACAACTACAAGATGGTTACAAACAATTTAGACAAAATCACAAAACAATCATAGATAGACTAACTGAAGACAGAAATACCGAGCAACAAGTACTTCCAACAACTCAACTAGCCGCCGTTCTTACAAAGAACGCAAAGAAAAAAAATACTGGGATGTTTACTATCTCAACAAAGGACGTCTTCCTCAAAGTGTAATCAGTTCCACTGTTGATCTGTCTAGACCGACTGTACAGACGATCTTGAGGGATCCATTCCTCACCATTGACGAGGTAAAAATGAAATTGAAGACTCAAGAAGTCGAGGTGAGTCAACCAACTGTTATTCATTATTCGCAGTTGGGGTTTCATTCTTACTACGCTGCTGATAAGGCAGCTTTGAGTGAGAGAAACAAGAAGACTGGCCTACGATGGGCCAAGGGTCATGCAAATTGGACTCAAGACCAGTGGAGAAGCGTGATCTGGTTGGATGAGTCTCGCTACTCTGTAAAGGGCAATGATGGTGGCATTTGAATGCTTAGAAAGGTTTGTAAGAGGTACAAGGATGCCAACATTATCCCTACTACCAAGTGAGGTAAGGGTAGTGTGATAATTTGGGGGGGGGTTGTTTTTGGTCGAGTTGTATTAGTCCTCTTGTGGCCTTAGAAGGTCCAGTAGGCCAAGACCAGTACATTCAGACTTTGGCTGAGGAATTTCAGCCCTGGTACTTGGAATTGATAGCTGAGCATGACAAGCAGTTCCTGCTTCAAAAAGATGGCGCTACCTGCCATACAGGTACCAAGTCTAAGCATTGGAAGAAGATCCATCTAATCAAGGCCTTTGAGTACTGGCCAGCTCAAGGTCCCGGTTTGAACCCCATCGAGTACTTGTGGTGGGGTCTTGAGAAGCAGACCGAGAGTAAAAGGGCTGGCATCAATAACACTGCCTTCAATTCGGCAGTGCTTGTTGATGAATGGGGGAAGATCAGCCTTGATCCTGCTGAACGTTTAGTGTCCAGCATGAGAGACAGATGTCAAGCTGTCATCGAGACTCGGGTGGCACTACAAAATATTAATAGACTTTTTTTAAATCAGATATGTTAAGCTAATAGACACTTGAATATCAGGCATGTCAGTGTTTTATTGAACGAGAGACAGCTTCTACTTTCATCACTTTTTTTACAGGGTTTAAAGTAAAAAGTTGGATAAATCTCTAAGGTCAAAATGCAACAAGCTCCTTTGAAAATATACTCAACATAATTCTTGTAGAGATATATTACTAAGGAATGAGTTTAGATGCATACAGGGACAACTGGACACCATCATAAAAGAAAGGGCTTCCAGAATTGACATAAAAGTAACAGGTAATTCATACAATAGCTTCATAACACAAAATACGGTTATTACTAGCTTATACATATACTCATACGCACTAAACAAAGGTTTTATAGTAATATATACATATATATTTATTCTATTCTATTCTATTTTATTTAAACTAGTAGTTGTTGTCTAAAATGTCCTGCACCTTCTTGACCTTGGCATAATAGAATTGAATACCTGCCAAATAGCCTCGTTTGATATCTTCAGCCTTAATCATTTCACCATGAAGGGGTTGGTCCAAGGTGTTGACAGCTTCATCAACAACGACTACTTCAAAGCCTTCATCCTTACCAGCAAAAACAGTAGCAGGAACACAGTTGTGAATCATCATACCAATCACAACAATCTTCTCAATACCCTTGCTCTTGAGATAATCCTTGAGACCTGTTTCCCAGAAACCATTTGAGTAGTATTTGACAATGACCTTTTCTTCGGGCAAAGGCTTAACACTTTCGTGGATTTCAGCACCAAATGAGCCAGGTACAAAGAAATTGGGAATAGGAGCGACTTCAGGCAATACATGATGAGCTACATGGACAACTTCTTTGCCATCTTTTCTGAACTTGTCGAGTACAATTCTACATTGCTCTGCTGTCTCTTCGGGCTGCCAAGTAGGGAGACTGCCGTTAGGGAAATAGTCGTTTTGGATGTCAACAAGAATAAGAGCTTCCTTCATTTTTATTGTTTTCTATAGATATAATATTTTTCCAAGTTCAAAATCTTTGATTATTTATACTGTAAATCATGATGAATAATAAGAACGGTGAAATTTACTCCACTTGTTCTGATTCGTTTGCAGCTTCTACTTATATCACTTCTCACGGGGTTTAAAATAAAATAAAAAAGTGGATGAGTCTCCAATTAGCGAGACTATATACCTTATTCGAGAATTGATTGCACATATTTAAGAAAGAATTGCATAGAAGAAATGTTTACTCCGCACAAATAGCGTCTCCAGATTGCACACAAATCAAATTCATTTGCACGATTCATATTTGGATCTAAAGCCCTCTCCCCCCCCCTCCTTCCCCCTGAAAGAGAAGTAAAGATGAGAGACATCAAGACTAACGCTGTTATAAATAACAGTATAAAAACAAGAAATTATACGAAGCATAGCAATGATAAAAAGCATGATTTTTTTGAGCTTATTTATGAAAAAGACTACACCGTTTCTAAAGCAATAAAGAAGCTGAAAATACCTTGCCGAAATGCCTACGATTGGTATAAGAAAGACCAAGATGCAATCACTGAAAACCAAGAAAAGCGAGACCTTGAAGAAGAAAAAGCAAAAAAAGAAAGTTGGTCGTCCCAAGATTTTGTGTGATAAACATAAAGAGTTCCTCTTGGAAAAGTATGGTGAAGATTCTAAAGCTACAGTAGATGAAGCAGTGGAGAGTCTTATTTCACATTTCGTGGGCCTAAAAGCTGCAAAAACCACCGTTTATGAATTTATGACCAAAGATTGTGCTTTAACTATGAAAAAGGCACACTTTGAACCTAAAGAAAGAAAATTCAGAAAAAAAGTATTGATGCAAGATACAGCTGAGCGAGCAACTTTAGTAATACAGATATAGACTACCTTAGCAACTGTATCTTTATTGATGAATCCGCCTTCCATGTCAACTTGAGCCGCACTATGGCATGGTCTCAAAGGGGAACTCGAGCTGCTGTTGTCCAGCCCAAAGCAAGAGCTGAAACTACAGCAATTTTGGGTTCAATTTCTTCACAAGGAATTACTAACATCAAAGTAAGAGTTCCTTATACAGAGGTTTCAAAGAAAAGAAAAACTGTAGGTAAACCTAAAGCAAAGAAAGCTGTTGGAACTGTTACAGGACATTACTTCAATTTTGTTTCTACCACATTATTATGGACAATGCGCTTATACATAGCTCGGAAAAAAATTAGAAGATTAATTGAAAGTCATGGATATGGATGTGTATATCTTCCACCTTATTCTCTTGAGCTCAATCTTATTGAACAGTTTTAATCCGTCGTCAAGAGTAAAATTAAAAGGGAAAGACTTTTAAAAGAGGAAGCTTTAAGTTCAAGAATAACTGACGCCTGTAATAATGTTTATTTTGAGGATTTAAAAGTATTTTGTAGCTATTAAAACTCAAAACTTCAAGTTTGTTTAAATAAAGAGCCCTTTTACTGTGCAAAATGAGTTTGATTTGTGTGCAATCGATTTCCGAATAAGGTGTATACCCAACTTAGAAAGTCTAGCACACCAAATCCATCATAGAATAACCTTAGCAAACCAACTATTTAATAAACTTGAAAATATCAATCTATCTATTAATATCTTACTTAATCAGTATAGCTCACAACATATATATATAACTTGCAATATCTGCGACTGGTCCTTCAACGATTTGGTTTTCCGTCCGTCTTCATTGACAGCCTGACTCGATTGTTTTTTGATACCAAAATCAAGATCTCTATAAATGGATGGCTTGGCACTCCAATTGTACAAGTACGTGGGCTACGTCAATGTGATCCTCTCTCACCTTTGCTATCTAATTTAGCCTACGAGCCTTTATTGCGATATATTCTAGCCGACTCGATTATCAAAGGCCTCTCCATACCGATCTTGGGTATAGGCAATCGACACCCACCTGCTCCTTTGAATATGTCTGATCATCTAGTATCGTCGGCTCCTATCACATTAGTTGCCTATGCTGATGATTTGGAAATTTTTCTGTCCTCGCCTGCTGAATGGCCTCACCTTTTACGCATTCTTGATTTGTACTCCAAAGCCTCCAATGCAAAGACGAATGTGACTAAAACTGTCATGGTCTCTCCGAGTGGACTTCCTTTTGCAGAATAGATATCTATTTGTAATTCGTTTGGCATCTCTTGGCATGATCAAACATCCGATACTGCTGCTACTTTGTTAGTCTATCCTCTCTACTCCAGTCCTGCTCAATATGACGTCTTTCTTGAGGACTTGCACTTGAAAATTTTTCAGTACACAGACAATCTGAGGAAAATGCATCTATCTGTATGTGGTATGGCTGTGGCAGCCAACGTGCTAGTTCTGAGTCGATTATGGCATATTATGCGAGTCATTGTATTAACCTCTCCTTGGCTAACATCAATTAAACGACTAGTGCGATATTTAGCTATGTTTGTACACCCATGCTACAACTACTGAAGCTCCTGGAGTGCTTGCCACCTTTGGAGCTGTCTTCATCATGGCCTGCACATTGGTTTTTGGATTTGCCTGTATCATTAGTATTAAAAGCCAAAACAAACTCTGTATTACCACTCCCCACCATCAAATAGTCCTTCTTAGTGCCAGATATATTGTGTTACAATGCTACCACTGGTATGCTTGAAGCTCATCGCTCATTCATCAAGTATAGACGTACCTCTTTGATGCGGATCTTTAATGCCCTTTTCTTGCCCTCTCTGTCTGACACTGTTAGTTGCGTTTTGCATACAGCACTTCAAGCTAAATGTAACTTTTTACCTCCTAGTCCTGTGGTGCCTTCTTCGTCACAATATCCTGATACGAGCAGTTATCTTCCATCGCTTGACCATTGGACGCTGCCTTCCTGTCGTCAACAACCCAAGATAGTCTTTCAATCTACTTCTGGATATGTCAGAAGATATTGGAGTGATCAACGCGACCCAGTTGAAATTGGTATTCCTTATCATACACCTTCCGCCCAATGCCTATCATCTTCACGATGGAGGCTCTTTTGGTTACTGGAGATTAACATGAAGGCTTTCACTCCCTGGTGGCGACTTCTGCATGATAGCTTTGCCAATGGAGGCAAGGTTCATACTTGGAAATCAACTACATTTACTTCGTCTGTTTGTATGATAGAGGAAAGTAGCTATCACTTTTTTGTTGATTGCCCAGTGAAATGGACATACTGGCAACAAATATTGACTTTTGTTCAACTGGATAATCAACTTCAAACTCCCATTGATTCATGGTTGACACTTACTTCGCTGGCAGATGAATCTAATAAGCTCCTGCTCTCAAAGACATTGGAAATATTAGGAAATGGTCTGACTGTGCTCTGGCGATACCATTACAAATGCGTATTTGACAAGGAGATATGGCACCCATCAGCACCATTCAATCTGTTTTTGACCGAACACCAGTTCTTCAATATGTAAATCAATTTTGATAAATAAAGTAATCACTTAATACAAAAAAAAAACGTCAGTTATGCTTCAAGCTGTGCTTTGAGCATTTTTGCTCTAAATGTCATATAAAACATGTTAGCCATGAACTTCTAAAAGCAACTTTTGTTATTTGGGGGTGCAAAAAGACATAGAAAGATAGAAACACAGGCATTTTATAATGCAATTGTGGAATAAATGATTATCCTGAAAGGACAAAAAAAACACGCTGCAAAAGAAAGTAAAGAAAAAGAGAAAAGAAAGTAAAGAAAAAGAGAAAAGAAAGACTGGAAAAGTGTTTTTATACTCTGGTGCATTCCCTGACCACTATTTAGACTCAATTATACTTAGCTAACTTTCTAAAACCGTCTTTCAAGGACTTATTAAAGGCTACAGGGAAAGAAAAATAACATAAGTGAGTAAGAAAGCATATAGTTTATGTCTAACTAGCTTATTGAACTGGCACTGTGATGACAGCACCATTTATGCAGCAACTCTTTTCTCACAAAGCTGCATAATAATAATGGATTTTGATTGCCGCCAAAGCTTACAAAGTAGTAGCATCAGACATATAAAGTTGTACCTGAGTTCAGTAGTACAGTTTGAACTCAAAGGACTATATCAATAGATTTAGAGTTGATTTTTAAAGCCAAAAGATTCAGTATTCGTTAAATCTCAAAAATCGAAGTCGAAAAAAACTCTTCCGATCTTTCTGATCAAGCCAATGCAATCTACACTTTGTACATGGTATGATGTCTAAGGTTCCTTCTACTAATATAATTTAACAATAGGATGTTATTTAGATGTACAAGCGTTTATTGTCTTCCTTTGCTTATCTATTCCTCTCCCTTTTTTGGATCTTGTCTAGATGAGTCCAACGTGACACTCCAAAAGTTTTTAATCAACCTTTGTCATAAATCGTTTGCTCATATTTGTCTATCTTGATTCGTATATAAGCTCAAAAAAGCTTTGTGAAATTGCAAGTGAAAGTTAGTAATAAAGAAAAGAAAGAGCAAAAAATTCCAAAAAGTAGATCAAAAGAGCAGAATAATCCTTAAAGTAAGGAGAAAATATCTAAGCACTATAGAATAGTGTGTTTATGAAAAGGTATTTTGTATGGAGGAACAAAAGTTCTTTAAACAGGTTGACATCACATAGAAAAACAGTCAAAAAAACAGTCCTTGCATAAAGAAGTGTATAAAGCACTTTGCTAATATCATATGACAAAAACAGTCCCGCTTTAAAGAAACTATAAAAAGGGGTCGTTTCTGAAAAGTATTTCAATTTAACTTCTTCCGGGCCCATTGACATTATACTAGTTAGATGTGAATGTAAGCTCGGATCTGATCCTTTTGCCTAGAAAGGGGAGGGTAGGGATGGTGGAGACTGTTCGCAGTCGTTGGCGTAGACAAAGGGCCAACATATCCCTTTCCGGGTAACTGGAGATGATGATAATAATCAAGAAAATGAAAATATTATTATTTTTTACTCTATAAAGGATGCTTATCTTTTACCTTTCCCCCTTTTTCATCTTGATTTGAATTGGTTTCACTTTCGCCAATAGCATTAGTTATTAGGTTACACAGTTATCGATATCCCTAAAAAGAACAAGTAAAAGTTTTCTTTTTCACTAGAAAAACAATCTTTATTTTCTATTTTATCTCTTTTGAAGCTATAAAATAGAACTTTGGTTTTTTTTTTGTTTTCTATTGTCTTGCATTGAACCAAAAAGAAAGGAAAAGAGAGAAATTATGCAAACAAAAGGTGCAGTTACACGAATAAGTTTTTTTTTTTTTTTTTTTTTTTTGCCAAAGAAAAGCACAAAATAATGAAATAAACATACACATCAAAGATCTGTTATCCTTATGCACAAGAATAATGATAGACACAATAAAGTGCGTAAAATAAAAGGATGAAAATGGTATAAAACTGTATTTTAAATGCAGGCGCGGTCAGATCACTTTCAAAAAAAAAAAGTGGGTTGTTTTTCTTAGTTGTTAGGTATAGAGATACACAAATGATATCAAACAAGAAACAACATCTGTCTATTTGATTGAATAAAGAATCATCCTGACTTCTCTTTTATTTTTGATTATATGTCTATAAACGCGCGCAACAGTGTAAAAGTGTAAGGAATACTTTTTTCTTAGACAATGTTCAAGTTTTAAAGTAAGCAGAAAACATTCATGAGAACATTTCCATACATGGTCTTTTTTAATGATTATTATCTGTTTGATTCATATCATGAAATCAAATATCTCTTTCAAGCAGTAAGATATCATTCATATTCATTGATATAACTTTACATATCTCCTTTAGTTGTCTTTAAATGATTACCTTTAAATACTTGGTATAAAATGTAGATTTAATACAGTTCTAAAATACTGTCTCGTTTAAACTAATGTTTTTGCTATTGTTGCTGGTTTTTTTACAGCTGGATTTGGTTTATGGTGGTATGTAAAACAAAATGTTACTATTCAGCTTATTTTTTATGATTCATAGTTGCTTTCTCGACACAATGTTGGGAAGTTTTAAATGGGTAAAGTCTTTAAGCAGCTCTTTTTACTGTAGTGTAATTTCTTGCTAATGTATTTTTTTATGCAGCAAGCAAAATATGTTTGTGGACGGTTCCTGCCTACAGATCAACATGCTGAACAACAGCGGTTGGAAGACTGAAAATTCAGATGATTGGGTCTATTATCCTCAGCAATATGGTAACATAATTTAAAAGCAATTGATCACTCAGAAAAAATAGTCAATGTATCCATGACAGCAGCCAAAGTCTCGGTTGCATTAGGCAAGTATACAAAAAAAAAACTAGCTGAACAACCTTTTAATGAATACGTAAAAAAAAGTGGGAGGGTGCTGCGCACCAAACAGGTTTAAACAGACGGGATTTCTTTATCAAGATGATGGATCCACTTATGCTGAAACAGGAAATAAGATAGTAAGCATTGCTGATCGCGGATTGAAACAAAACATCACTGTTACTGGATGGTATATGAAGAAATTTGTCGATGATAATGCTATGGTAAATGCACAAAACAAGCACTAATGTGCTGATATTCTCTATAGAACCTTACTATCATCCCATCCATTCACCATCCTGATAAACAATCCATCTTTTTTGAGATTGTAGCATTTGATAGAGCTATGATGATCAACTATCAGTTCTTTGACTATCAGGATAAACTCATTGGGAGTCATTCGAGTGGTGTGCTACGCAATGCTATCAGTATTCCGGATATTACCTTACCAAGATACACACGCCGAGTTGTAAGTAAGATAATGAATAGTCCTTATACTCATACGCCTTGAATAGTCTATTGAGTTTTATGGTTCAAGAGCAGATCCTATGTGCTTTTCTTATATTTACGCTGGTCTCTATGTGTATAGCCCACTTGCAACACTGACCCGAGTATGCAACAAGGCTGCTTCTATACTGCAATATCTATCACTCATCAACTTTGTAACCATTCCCATCATTTTCGGCATCATGTCTTTTGTATCTGATTTTTCTTTTCCACCGTAAGTATTTCTGTTTCGCTTTGTTGAAACTCATCTATTGTTTAGTCCTATTCGGTTTTTATGCAGAACTCCTTCTCATAAAGTGTTGATGTGTATCATTATAACTCTAGGTAATGAAGAAAAAAAAAAGAGCAGTAAATGATTTCTCAACTCTTTCTAGGTTCATTTATTTTGAATCAAGCATGGAATTTGATCAACTCCCAATCAAGTATTTTTCATGATTGGTTACCACGAGCAGCAAAAATAGTTGGTATGTGTACTCCATTTAAAATAAATCATTTATCATTTCTATCTACAGAACTATTTCTCTCTTTTTTTTTGTATGCTGTTTATTTTTATCCAGTATGTCAAATCAATTCGCAGAAACATGTACTAACTTTGTAAAGATGTTTCTATGTTACTATGCAAGCTATCGATCTCGCATAGCAAACTTGCTAGGTAGCTATAGACAACGTGCTTACTTTAGTTGACTTTGTTTAATGTAGGTGCATTTACTACGTGTGTATTATTCGGGCTCCGCATATCATTAGATCTCCCTTCTTTGGTTATCACTTATGCTCGTAGTTTACCATTCTTGATCGTCAATTCATTCGCTGCTGTACCTACCTTTATTGCATATTTTACTGTGTTGGTTTACTTTGTCACAAGGTATATAACATTCAGACCTTGTACTATGTGCGAGATAGAATTTCTAGAGGTTCAAGATATCGAAGAAGAATATGTCAACAAACTCATAAAATCAAGAAAGAAGAAGGAAACAAAAGTAAGGCTTATCTTTTGTTTGCTTTAATATAGCCATTGATCGCTACCATCTATATAGGGCAATGACCATAATTCGACATTTGGTCTTGTTTGGCTCATCTTGACAGTTAAGATATGGCAAGTTGAATTTTTTCCTCTTGTCAAATATGTTACTCGACCCGAATTTATGATGATGTGTATTCGAAAACTGTTTGGGGTACACAAACATGTCAGGTAAAATAGTCCTTATCAACCAATTCACTCACCTACTTCTACTATAGAATCCCTTTTGCGATAAAGACATCATTGACCTTATTGTTGTACTGTCTTGTTCAACTGGTAAACCAGACTATACTCATATATATTATCACTCATTTTAAATAGATTCCTCTTTTATTGACTCAAATGATTGGTGTGGGTGGTATTGTTCCTCTTCATATCTGTAGCTGGACACCTTACCTTGCTCAGTTCCAATATCACCCAAATCCAATGGAATTTGCTATCAAGACATTTCTATTAATACAAATTGCTGTCTATTTTGCTACATTAGGAGCAGGGGGATGTAAGTAAAATAATTGTTTTGCTTTAATTCTTACAATATACTCAGTCTGTATGATCTATTCATTGGGTATTCTTCGTCGATTTACCAAGGATATCTTACGACTAAGAAAAGGTGACTATTCTCTATTTAAAGGGAAAAGAGACCATGAGTAAGTATGACGTTGTGTATTTTAAACTTATATAGCCTCTTTTTTTTTAAAAAAAAAAACAGTTTTGACCTTGATGATGCGATTCGCTTCTTGGGTGTATTTATTGGCTTTGGTAAGTAATCAAGAAAAAGAGAATTTTCTATTGATATTTTCGGATAGGGTTTACGGGAACGCTTTACTTTATGGTGGAAGTGAGTTTGATTGGTGTTTTTATTACTGCTATCATTCAACTGGATCGACTCAGAGACTTGTTTTTTCGTCATGTTGGCTACGGTGTCTTTTTTGCTAGTTTTTTTATTGCATTTATTGTTCAATTGATACAAAAAAGGATTACGAATTTGATATTTATAGAGAATCGATCCAGATTTACAATTCAAAACCGCGCTCCTTTGTTACATTATTGGTATTTTATGATGCTGACATCTATGACGCGAGCCTTGACTTCCTATATCATTCGAACGCTCAAGTTGATATTGCGTTATCCTTTGTTCAGTCTTCGTGTAGATAGAAATGCTGAAACATGGAGTGTCCGTCGTGGAGATGGTGGGTTTACAGCTTATTGTGGTATGGTAAGTTATTAGAAAACGCCTTCAAAAAAAAAGATAAACTTAAAAAGAAAAATGATACAGTTACTAGCAGAGCATGAATACAACAATCCTGTTGTCTTGGTCTTTGTAGAATGTTTGTTACACTGTACATCATATTTAGATCAAAAGCAATACTCAACAAAAAGTAACATCAGGCTATGTAAAAAACACCAACAATATTTCTCCAAGAGACATGCGAAGGAAGATGAAGAGGAGATTTTCGAAATAACAGCACTGAAAGAGGATATGATCTTGAACAAGCATGCTTTGATAGATGATGCCATAACATCCGCCTCTCAAGAAATGACAAGTGCACCTACAAAAGTACTTCAAAGAGCCAAAACCAGATGGTTTCTAGCATACACATTGATACATAATCCGGGAGTAAGCAAACGATGTTATTTTCATGAGAATATCTCACCGATTTCTTTATTCCAGATGCGCCAATATCGAATGAAGAGATTAATCACATAAATGTGATAAGCACACAACAATAAACAAGTTCTTAACTATTGTTTACTAAAGAAATAAAAATGTAGTTCATAAAAAGCATGCTACCTATTTCTAATAACACTATAGAATGGAATAGGAAAAAACTCTTATGTTCAAAAGCTTACTAAGGCGCTTATAGAAGTTTTTTCTCAGAACCAATATGTTTACGATTGCTATACATTCTATTAGTAGTAGTATTAATGATCAAGGAGCATGTAGCCTTATGTAAATTTATGATTGAGGCTTTTTTCAAGATTTTATGGCATCGACTTCATTAAACCATGCAAATGATATTGTACCTTTTAACTCGATGTATCTTCATTATAGAGAAAAAAGAGAGCGAGTAATCAAAATAATCATTTAAATATATAATAGTTTGTGTCATATTACATGCATGCTTAAAAGGTCACTATTTATGTATCATGCTCTACGAAGTTAAAGTTGCTTTCCTCAACTTTTTGACATCTTCATGAACAAACATCCCTTTCTTTAGTTTATAAGAGCCAAGTTTCTTTCTTAAATATCTTATGTAAATAAGCAACTTTTTAGTAAGTTATTTATCCATGCAACAGATACACCAGACAAGTAGGAGCTTCAATAGTAAGGGAAACAGCAATGCATACAATTATTTTTCTTTTCCTTAGGCAAATAAAGGTAACATAAAGCCTATTCATACATGCATGGAGACTTCACATGACCAAAACTTATTTTTACTGACATTCATGGTACCTTTAAAGTCGATTTGATCCAAAAAAGCGATTTGTGAAAATTGGCCATTTCGGCCTCTGATCCAGATACTACTCATGGGAAAGGCTCGTTTGACAACCCTTTGACTTTGATCATGTACCATTTGACTCCCAAAGATTACTGCAACAAACTCGTGTTAATCTGCGGCTACAAATAGCAGAGAAACACATACGCTCAAGATTTTAATAGATATATGATATAGATGACCCAAATCATCTAGCCCATACTTGACCTCTTCTATTTCTACTTCAGTTATTTTCTTTATCTTTATATTATAACATTTTAATTTGCACCCACCTCTTGACAATGGTTTACATTCGTCTACGTGAAGCAATAAATAAAACACTTTTTTTTTTTTTTAAAAAAAAAAAAAAGACAACTCTTTGATTTTGTTTTTGACGCTACTCAATAAAAAATAAAGCTATTGACAAGATTAACTACTTATAATGAACACCAAGTGCTGTAATCTTTAATCAAAGTGTTTGTTTGGTAGCCGTAATATAAAAATAGCAAGATATGAGGGGGAAATCTCATAGCCATTTTTGTGTATTTTCTGGAGATTTTAGCAGTAGAGTTGCAGTGCTACTTACATCAATAGATTCAAAAATTAAAGATCTATAGCTTTTGTCACCATATCAAAGCCGAATATCTGCGTCTTTAAGCAGTTCTAAGCAAACACTCGATTTTTAGATGCGGCGGGACAAAGAATTGCAGTTGTCTTTTGACTTCGATCTCCACTCATAGCTATCCTGCATGTCTCATGCCCATTTATTCCACAATTGCATTATAAAATGCCTGTGTTTCTATCTTTCTATGTCTTTTTGCACCCCCAAATAACAAAAGTTGCTTTTAGAAGTTCATGGCTAACATGTTTTATATGACATTTAGAGCAAAAATGCTCAAAGCACAGCTTGAAGCATAACTGACGTTTTTTTTTTGTATTAAGTGATTACTTTATTTATCAAAATTGATTTACATATTGAAGAACTGGTGTTCGGTCAAAAACAGATTGAATGGTGCTGATGGGTGCCATATCTCCTTGTCAAATACGCATTTGTAATGGTATCGCCAGAGCACAGTCAGACCATTTCCTAATATTTCCAATGTCTTTGAGAGCAGGAGCTTATTAGATTCATCTGCCAGCGAAGTAAGTGTCAACCATGAATCAATGGGAGTTTGAAGTTGATTATCCAGTTGAACAAAAGTCAATATTTGTTGCCAGTATGTCCATTTCACTGGGCAATCAACAAAAAAGTGATAGCTACTTTCCTCTATCATACAAACAGACGAAGTAAATGTAGTTGATTTCCAAGTATGAACCTTGCCTCCATTGGCAAAGCTATCATGCAGAAGTCGCCACCAGGGAGTGAAAGCCTTCATGTTAATCTCCAGTAACCAAAAGAGCCTCCATCGTGAAGATGATAGGCATTGGGCGGAAGGTGTATGATAAGGAATACCAATTTCAACTGGGTCGCGTTGATCACTCCAATATCTTCTGACATATCCAGAAGTAGATTGAAAGACTATCTTGGGTTGTTGACGACCGGAAGGCAGCCATCCATTTATAGAGATCTTGATTTTGGTATCAAAAAACAATCGAGTCAGGCTGTCAATGAAGACGGACGGAAAACCAAATCGTTGAAGGACCAGTCGCAGATATTGCAAGTTATATATATATGTTGTGAGCTATACTGATTAAGTAAGATATTAATAGATAGATTGATATTTTCAAGTTTATTAAATAGTTGGTTTGCTAAGGTTATTCTATGATGGATTTGGTGTGCTAGACTTTCTAAGTTGGGTATACACCTTATTCGGAAATCGATTGCACACAAATCAAACTCATTTTGCACAGTAAAAGGGCTCTTTATTTAAACAAACTTGAAGTTTTGAGTTTTAATAGCTACAAAATACTTTTAAATCCTCAAAATAAACATTATTACAGGCGTCAGTTATTCTTGAACTTAAAGCTTCCTCTTTTAAAAGTCTTTCCCTTTTAATTTTACTCTTGACGACGGATTAAAACTGTTCAATAAGATTGAGCTCAAGAGAATAAGGTGGAAGATATACACATCCATATCCATGACTTTCAATTAATCTTCTAATTTTTTTCCGAGCTATGTATAAGCGCATTGTCCATAATAATGTGGTAGAAACAAAATTGAAGTAATGTCCTGTAACAGTTCCAACAGCTTTCTTTGCTTTAGGTTTACCTACAGTTTTTCTTTTCTTTGAAACCTCTGTATAAGGAACTCTTACTTTGATGTTAGTAATTCCTTGTGAAGAAATTGAACCCAAAATTGCTGTAGTTTCAGCTCTTGCTTTGGGCTGGACAACAGCAGCTCGAGTTCCCCTTTGAGACCATGCCATAGTGCGGCTCAAGTTGACATGGAAGGCGGATTCATCAATAAAGATACAGTTGCTAAGGTAGTCTATATCTGTATTACTAAAGTTGCTCGCTCAGCTGTATCTTGCATCAATACTTTTTTTCTGAATTTTCTTTCTTTAGGTTCAAAGTGTGCCTTTTTCATAGTTAAAGCACAATCTTTGGTCATAAATTCATAAACGGTGGTTTTTGCAGCTTTTAGGCCCACGAAATGTGAAATAAGACTCTCCACTGCTTCATCTACTGTAGCTTTAGAATCTTCACCATACTTTTCCAAGAGGAACTCTTTATGTTTATCACACAAAATCTTGGGACGACCAACTTTCTTTTTTTGCTTTTTCTTCTTCAAGGTCTCGCTTTTCTTGGTTTTCAGTGATTGCATCTTGGTCTTTCTTATACCAATCGTAGGCATTTCGGCAAGGTATTTTCAGCTTCTTTATTGCTTTAGAAACGGTGTAGTCTTTTTCATAAATAAGCTCAAAAAAATCATGCTTTTTATCATTGCTATGCTTCGTATAATTTCTTGTTTTTATACTGTTATTTATAACAGCGTTAGTCTTGATGTCTCTCATCTTTACTTCTCTTTCAGGGGGAAGGAGGGGGGGGGAGAGGGCTTTAGATCCAAATATGAATCGTGCAAATGAATTTGATTTGTGTGCAATCTGGAGACGCTATTTGTGCGGAGTAAACATTTCTTCTATGCAATTCTTTCTTAAATATGTGCAATCAATTCTCGAATAAGGTATATAGTCTCGCTAATTGGAGACTCATCCACTTTTTTATTTTATTTTAAACCCCGTGAGAAGTGATATAAGTAGAAGCTGCAAACGAATCAGAACAAGTGGAGTAAATTTCACCGTTCTTATTATTCATCATGATTTACAGTATAAATAATCAAAGATTTTGAACTTGGAAAAATATTATATCTATAGAAAACAATAAAAATGAAGGAAGCTCTTATTCTTGTTGACATCCAAAACGACTATTTCCCTAACGGCAGTCTCCCTACTTGGCAGCCCGAAGAGACAGCAGAGCAATGTAGAATTGTACTCGACAAGTTCAGAAAAGATGGCAAAGAAGTTGTCCATGTAGCTCATCATGTATTGCCTGAAGTCGCTCCTATTCCCAATTTCTTTGTACCTGGCTCATTTGGTGCTGAAATCCACGAAAGTGTTAAGCCTTTGCCCGAAGAAAAGGTCATTGTCAAATACTACTCAAATGGTTTCTGGGAAACAGGTCTCAAGGATTATCTCAAGAGCAAGGGTATTGAGAAGATTGTTGTGATTGGTATGATGATTCACAACTGTGTTCCTGCTACTGTTTTTGCTGGTAAGGATGAAGGCTTTGAAGTAGTCGTTGTTGATGAAGCTGTCAACACCTTGGACCAACCCCTTCATGGTGAAATGATTAAGGCTGAAGATATCAAACGAGGCTATTTGGCAGGTATTCAATTCTATTATGCCAAGGTCAAGAAGGTGCAGGACATTTTAGACAACAACTACTAGTTTAAATAAAATAGAATAGAATAGAATAAATATATATGTATATATTACTATAAAACCTTTGTTTAGTGCGTATGAGTATATGTATAAGCTAGTAATAACCGTATTTTGTGTTATGAAGCTATTGTATGAATTACCTGTTACTTTTATGTCAATTCTGGAAGCCCTTTCTTTTATGATGGTGTCCAGTTGTCCCTGTATGCATCTAAACTCATTCCTTAGTAATATATCTCTACAAGAATTATGTTGAGTATATTTTCAAAGGAGCTTGTTGCATTTTGACCTTAGAGATTTATCCAACTTTTTACTTTAAACCCTGTAAAAAAAGTGATGAAAGTAGAAGCTGTCTCTCGTTCAATAAAACACTGACATGCCTGATATTCAAGTGTCTATTAGCTTAACATATCTGATTTAAAAAAAGTCTATTAATATTTTGTAGTGCCACCCGAGTCTCGATGACAGCTTGACATCTGTCTCTCATGCTGGACACTAAACGTTCAGCAGGATCAAGGCTGATCTTCCCCCATTCATCAACAAGCACTGCCGAATTGAAGGCAGTGTTATTGATGCCAGCCCTTTTACTCTCGGTCTGCTTCTCAAGACCCCACCACAAGTACTCGATGGGGTTCAAACCGGGACCTTGAGCTGGCCAGTACTCAAAGGCCTTGATTAGATGGATCTTCTTCCAATGCTTAGACTTGGTACCTGTATGGCAGGTAGCGCCATCTTTTTGAAGCAGGAACTGCTTGTCATGCTCAGCTATCAATTCCAAGTACCAGGGCTGAAATTCCTCAGCCAAAGTCTGAATGTACTGGTCTTGGCCTACTGGACCTTCTAAGGCCACAAGAGGACTAATACAACTCGACCAAAAACAACCCCCCCAAATTATCACACTACCCTTACCTCACTTGGTAGTAGGGATAATGTTGGCATCCTTGTACCTCTTACAAACCTTTCTAAGCATTCAAATGCCACCATCATTGCCCTTTACAGAGTAGCGAGACTCATCCAACCAGATCACGCTTCTCCACTGGTCTTGAGTCCAATTTGCATGACCCTTGGCCCATCGTAGGCCAGTCTTCTTGTTTCTCTCACTCAAAGCTGCCTTATCAGCAGCGTAGTAAGAATGAAACCCCAACTGCGAATAATGAATAACAGTTGGTTGACTCACCTCGACTTCTTGAGTCTTCAATTTCATTTTTACCTCGTCAATGGTGAGGAATGGATCCCTCAAGATCGTCTGTACAGTCGGTCTAGACAGATCAACAGTGGAACTGATTACACTTTGAGGAAGACGTCCTTTGTTGAGATAGTAAACATCCCAGTATTTTTTTTTCTTTGCGTTCTTTGTAAGAACGGCGGCTAGTTGAGTTGTTGGAAGTACTTGTTGCTCGGTATTTCTGTCTTCAGTTAGTCTATCTATGATTGTTTTGTGATTTTGTCTAAATTGTTTGTAACCATCTTGTAGTTGTTAGGCTATATTTATTCTAAGGTCTCTTGTTTGGTTTATGATTTGGGTGGCCGCGTCCTGTAGTTCCACCATTTGTGCCCGTATTTGCTTGGCAAGAGTCCCAAGTCGGTTATACTTGCTCTTGCAAAGCGTTTCGAATTTCTTGCAGCATATTGCTCGAGCGATTGATATTAGGAGTAATTAAGTTTAATTGTTTTGAATTTTTTTTCTTTTTTTTTTTTTTGCGAGTATACTCGATCATAGGTTTTCTTAGCGTCCAACAGAACTGCAACTTCAGGAGAGTAGGATCTCCTTTTTTGGACAGCAATATCAACCTTGTATGTGGCCAAGAGGATGGGAAAGATCCATGAAAAGCATCCTGTATGATAGTCGATAGAAGATATCAAAATTCCCTAGATCGAGGGCAAAGATACTTGTAAAATTTGAATGGTAGACCATCGAGCCCTGGGCTTTTAGACAGAGGACTATGTTTAATAATGGTCATTAGCTCGTCTATTACTGACGGCTCCATGAGTGACTCTTGGTCGGTAGAAGAAAGAGTACTGTCCCTGGGAATTGATTGAACCAACTGAGTAGCTGCATTGTAATCTATTAGGTCTGGCGTATGCAAGGAGGAATAGAAGTGGTGAGCTTCTTGCAGTATATCCTCTATGTCGCGGACCATTGTACTATTATCAAATTCTTGTAAACATGTAATTGTTTGCTTTGTTTGACGAGATTTTAAAACTTGAAAGAAATACTTGTTGCTTATTCCCCCCTTGTGTATACCAGCGAGTGGCTGTTCGCATGCAATATTGGGCAGCTTTCGTCTCAGTCAATTGTTTAATCTGTTTGTCAATGTCAGATAGTTTACTCAACAAGAATGGAGTAGAGTTTTCACTAGTAGCCATCGAAATAGCTGATACGAGTTGTGTTCGTCTGTTCTGAAGTTGTATCAGAAGGTGCTTGGATTTGACTTTTGAATTGCTTGAATATGATTGTGCTAAGTTGCGTATCATGAATTTGAAGTCCTCCCATGTTCTCTGTCGCAGAGTGGCCAGCTCTGAATCAAAATTCACTTGAGTTGAATTAGTAGGTAGAGGGTTATTCGTATCTGGAATTGCAAGTTAGTGTTGAATTCCCCTAGGATAAAAGTTGGTTGAACATCTTCATAAGATGGTTGGAAGAAAGGGACCTCTGTGACTAAAGAGTCGTATAAAAGAGGCCGAGCTTCCTCCACTGCTGGCGCATATATGTTAACCACAGAACAAACAAAATCGTCGTTCCGGTCATATATATTCGCAAAAATGCACCTTCCATCTAGATAAGTAGTTGCATCTCTAATGGAAAGTTGCGTATTAATACAAACTATAGCGCAATATTGAGTAACATAGGTAGAGAATCGAGGAAGAACGAAATTGGTGAACTTGTGAATGTGTAAATCAGTGAATGAAGAGCCTCTACTGACAGAAATATCTTGAATACAAAGAACATCGATTTTTAAGAAGCGTGAGATGAAGTGTGATAGAAACTCCTTACGGAGTTTTGGTGATGACTCTTTGAAAATGCTGCGAGCATTTAGAGAGCCTATTCTAATGTGGTTACTATTCATTAAGCCTCATGGCCATCAGCACTGGGTTTGCGTGCCGCATCTGGCTCAGTACTGTTGCGCTCTCCTTCCATTAAATCCAACTCCATTCCTCGGGACTCGATCTCCTCCTCAATGTGTTCCTCCTCGTCCGTATGATGATCCTGAGAAACAACCACGGGAGAATCTAGATTCATATGAACTTCCATTGTATTCGAGGCCCATTGAGAGTGAGACGATCCATCAGGACGGAAAATTGGTACAGACGGTTTCTCTCCAAGGGCTGGTTGTGCCTTGCGACGGGCTGCCTTATCCTTGGCTGCTTCATATTTAGCCAACAAGGTAGAATCATCTTTCGAGCCTAAGTCTGCCTTGCAAAATCGTCGAATGTGACCCTTATCGTCACATTCGAAACACACCTGTGCCTACAAAGTAGGGCAATTGCGACGAACATGTTTTGCTTGGCGACGGTAGTAACAAATTGGTGCAGCACCTTTAAAAGAGGCTGGTACATGCTTATCCCAGTAACTGAAATAAAGCTGTCGAGTCAGATCCTTAATGTCAATGGCGTTGCCATCCTTGTTCTGAGCTGCTGTTTGTGTATCAATGATGAAACTGATCTTTCCATCAAAGAAACCTTCGCACGTAAACTTTTTGATCTGGCGAACTGTGCCATAATGTCTAAGCGATTGCTGTAGCCCTGTCAACAGTTCCTCGCTGATAGGGATATGAAGCAGAGTGAGAGCGACATGAACAAAGCTTTTGGCCGTGCTTTCCCTGGTAGGAGTGACCAAAAATGTACGCTCTTTAACAGTAATCCCAGTCGCTATAGCCTTTTGCTTGGGAGTGTAGCCAATTAGATGCTGGAATCCTTCCACTTTACCGAAAGTATCCTGAATTGCTTTATAAGCCGCAACATGATTGGCAAAAGTATCAGGAGGAAAGGTGAACAAAACAGAGCCAGTAGTAAGTAATTGACAAACAATGCTAGCTACTTTACGATTCAACATCTCGGATTCAAAGCTATGCGATTTGAAGATGACTTCAGGTACGTACTTAATCGCGCTGTTTTGGGAGCTGATCCTCAATGTATGAGGGAAGCGCAGTCTGTTACCAATCTCAGCAACCTTAGTCCAAGGTATTTCACTAAAGACTGTCATAGTTAGATAAGATAAAGAGGTTTGTTTTAAGGTTTGTTTATTATTACTACTCAAATGGCACACTCAGACTTTCTATTAGTTATGAATATGCGAAAGAGCCCCAGATCAAACGAAGAATGCCATGCAAAGGGAGGGTTCAGCAACTCACACTTCAATTTCTCTTTTACTATACGTGTTCGATGTACTCTCTGTTTTGATGAACATTCTTTTTTCTTTTTGCCAATAGTTCCAGACTAAAATCATGTTTTGGTATTAGAGACTCTTTGCTTAAAAGTCAGAATGTCAAGGTCCATACGTCAAAGTAGCATATAATGCCTGAAGGTGAGAATAGATTTGTTGTGACTATCAACTTTATTGTCAATATAAACCGGTTTCCACGGAGTTTTAGCATGTTTGCTTAATTTGAGCAATACAAAAATAGCTATCGAGTCTATTCTTTTGTTTCTTTTCCTTCTTTCCGAACAAAATGAGCTTCTCTGGCCCAGGCTACACAACAGGCGGCTATATGCCTTACCCTCCTCCACAAGGTCAATACCCACCACAACCACCACAACCACAAAATCCATATCCTCCTCCAGGTCAATACCCTCCTGGACAATGCTCACCTTATTACGGTCAACCACCACCGCAGCAACCTTATTACCCTCCTCCACCTCCTCCACAACCATTTTATGGACAAACACCTCATTATTCAGTAGGCCCACCTCTTCCACCAAGAAACGTAAGCTTTATCTTTTTGAAGTAATTTTGTATTTATATTCAGTCTGTTTAGGAACAACCTCCTCCTCCTCCTCCGCCATATACACCAGACCCAATTTTCTCACCTTCTGATCCAACTGTTGCACAAGCCAATTATCCTCAACAACCCTACTCTTCTCATAACCCATCTCCTCATCCAGGTAAACGCATATGGCTTTATACATGATTCCATGCTCATACAATCCATAGTTCCTTATGGAACACCTTCAAGTGTCAACCCCAATGATTTCATTATGCATGTAGATCCAAGATATCAACAAGCTCCACCCCAGTTTCAACTCTCCAACTGCCAAGGAAGAAAACGAGCCTTATTGATTGGTATCAACTATTTTGGTCAACAAGCTGAACTCAAGGGCTGCATTAATGATGTTCATAACGTTAAACACTTTTTGATTTCAATGTATAATTTTCGACAAGAAGACATGGTGATCTTGACAGATGATCAAATGGATCCACAGAGTATACCTACTAAACAAAATATTATTCGTGCTATGCAATGGCTTGTACATGATAATCGACCTAATGATTCATTCTTTCTTCATTTTAGTGGTCATGGTGGAAGAGTAAGTTAGCAAAATACAGGGTCAAATTGCTGATATCTGTTAGATGAGAGACTATGATGGGGATGAGGACGATGGTTATGATGAGACTATTTATCCAGTAGATCATTCAGTCTATGGACAGATTGTAGATGATGTAAAGTATACGTGCATACATACACAGACTTATGTGAAGTGATAGATGATGAATGATATACTAGTAAGACCCTTAGTCGTTGGGTGTCGATTGACTGCCGTGTTTGATTCTTGTCACTCAGGCACAGCACTCGATCTCCCCTATGTCTATTCAACTAAGGGAGCCTTGAAAGAGTCCAACTTTTTCAGAGATACTGGTAGTACACTCAAGAATGCAGGCAGGGCTTATCTCTCAGGCGATGCTACACGCGCTATATCTTCTGTCATGTCAATTGGCAATAAACTCTTGAGTGGGAATGGTCTAAGTGGTCAAAGTGCGACTACTAAAGAACGCATTCGGCGTCAAAAGGGCTCTGCTGCTGATGTAATCATGTTTTCTGGCTGTAAAGATGACCAAACATCGGCTGATACAACAGAAGCAGGCATGGCTACAGGTGCTATGAGTTATGCTATCACTACAGCCCTTCGTCAAAACAGAAATCAAACTTATCTGCAATTATTGAACTCGGTTCGATTCATTCTAAAACAAAAGTATAATCAAAGACCACAGCTTTCTTCTTCTCATCCTATGGATATGAACTTGCTATTTATGATTTAATTTTTTTTTCTTCTAATAAAAACACACACATGAATAAGAAACATTCCAAGATTAAAGACTATTTAGAAGCCAATGTAGTTGAATTCAGTCAGCCTGATTCAGAACGATTGTCTGCCTTGTATTCTGATTTTACAAAACTAGTGTTTCTTAACAAGTTTGCATACGATACGAATATCAACTTTTGGCGAAGAGTGATACTTGACTGTAATCTACAAGGCCATCTCGATTCACCTGATTATGCTTTGGTGATTGATAAAGATACCAGCACAGAAAAGTTTCATCGACCTATCCTAGGCAAACCATTATCACTTGAAGCTGTGTTTGTAAGTAGTTAGTGGATGCCTGTTGTATTCACATTCTGTGTAGGATCATATGGAAAAAGAACAAGAATTAGTACCTATCGAAAACTTTGATCAGATCTTTGCTCCTCCAACCACTTGGTTTGGTTGGATATATGATAATGTACTTCGACACACATGGGAGTGGCGTTGGCGTGTACTTACAGATAGTTTACCTCATCCTGCTAAACAGTATGTAGTAGTGCCTACACTAAAGGCAGTAGCGAAAACCATCATGGATCATCATCTTCAGACACCTTCCTCACGAGCAACAGACCATGTATTGACGCTGACACAGTTTAAAGCACGTTATGGCAATTGTTTTGTGAATCAGATACAACTGACAGATGCAGATATTCACTTGATACTCAAATATCTCCATTCGCAACATGGTGTAGCAGTAGCAGATCAAGTCAAAGGATACAGTACCACTTATACCGTCATTAAGTTTCCCTCCAGTCCAAACCAAGTGGCTACTATCACAGTTCATGATAAAGCCTTGGTCAATATCCGTACTACATGTTATGCATTGTCTGTTCAAGTGGATGAATTACAAAAGAAATCGGAAGCATTAGCAAAAGAATCAGTTGCTGAAAAGCAAAAAGGGCATACAGCAAAGGCATTGTATTGTCTAAAAAAACGAAAGAACTTGCAACAGGTTCTTGAGAGGAGATTAAAATCAATGGAAACCATGGATACCATTCTGATGAAAATAGAATCATCCCATGATGATCTCCAGGTAAGGTTGCTATGAAAATACTCAGATTGACTGATAAGATTAGATTGTACAAGCATTCAATCTGGGGGCAGATACTTTGAAGAGTCTATTGGGTGAAAATGGTCTGAATGTGGATACTGTAGATGAAGCCATGCAACAATTACAAGATGTATTACAAGATCAAAAAGAAATGGAAGATGCTATGAAGATGTGCATGGATGATATGCAGGTGGATGAATCTGATATTGAACAAGAACTGCAAGAACTTGTTCAAGAACAACCTAAGGAACAACCTAAGGAACAACCTAAGGAACAACCCATGAATGAACAACAAATTCAATCTGAATTATCCAGATTAAATCAAATGTTCTCTTCAGTGAAAAAGGTTCCTACTGCAGTATCTCAAAAGAGAGAAAGAGAGCTTGCTTCTTGATAAACCAATAAAGCCAGTTAATAATACATAAGTTTATTAGAAACACAAAATGTACTTTCCAACCTGTGTGAGTTTAGTTATTGCGCTAACAGATGCCAACGTCTAATTTTATATTGATTGAACCTTACACAATTTAACTAATCTTTTTGATCATCAGACTCCTTCGCAACTTCAGCAGAATTCTCTATTTGCAGCACATGTTGTAAGGAGGGAGATCTGGTTGTTGTTTGTCTACATTTCTAGGAAAATGACACTTTTCTATGACATTCTATGTGTATTGCATGATTTCTTCCCACGGTATAAAAAAATTAGGCTTTGGTGCAATAGAAAAAAATATAGATCTTTGCTTTCTGAGCCTATTGATGTAAATAATATAACCTTATTGCTGGTGAAATACTGTGTTGACGTGTGAAAACGTTTCGAGAGTTCTTGCTTGTATTTCATCATTTTCATAATCTATTTGAAAAGCAAATACTTTGATCGAAAACTATAGTGCCTTGCACATATTTTGAGTATTTAAGCTTGTCAGTAGCTCTATTTTTTGCCTTGTAGCGTCAAATAGAAGATCAGAAGTTATCAAATGGATAATTTTCACGAGTAGTACTTTTTGAATCAAAAGTCATTTTGGCCAAATTTCATAGGTTGCCAGTGACATTGTACCTCTTGAGCTGTATGTCTCTTTATTATAGATAAAACGAGTAATTAAATTAGAGCAGTGAGTATATGATAATGTACAGTCATCCGTACTAGATTTAATGTATCATATAAGTTTCCAACACTTTGACACTTTTATGAGCAAACAATCTCTTTTTTTTTAATTTAGGTAAACCAAGTAATTCTTTGTCAAGATAGTATATTCAAGTAAGCTACTTGATGATGTAAGGCTTATTCATGTAACAAAGGCTACAGGCAGATGAATGTTTTAATAGTAAAACAAGACGGCAATCCATACAAATCTTTGTCTTTTCCTTAGACTTACGAAGGTTTTGTAAAGCCTGTTTATGCATACATAAATACTTTAGCTACTCACAAACAATGTTTGTTAACATACAGGTACCTTTGGAGTTGATTTGGACCAAAAAAAAAAAAAAAAAAAAAAAAGCACTTACATTAATGGACAACAAACGATTTTCATTTAATGCAAATCGTTGTACTGCAGTAATCAGTAAATTACTATTTAAGGTTCTTGTATGGAATAAAGGTCTCTACAGATCATGCTGTATTCTGATGCAAGCAATCATCTATAAATATGAACCTATTTCTGACTCAATAAAACGCATTCTTTGTTTGATCTTAATTTTTCACTCTTATTTTGACATTGACAAAGTATCAACGAATAGCATGAATGAATACAGATGAACATGGATGAACAAGTGTAATAATGGATGAGCATGGGTGAACGTGAATGACCCTGGGTAAACATGAATACGCACAGATGACAATCAATAACCATGGTTTAGTAGAGAACAATAAAAATCTAGTTAAAACTGTTTATTTGATCTAGTTTAAACAAAAAAATAAACAAAAAAAAAAAAAAAAAAAAAAAAGTGAAAAATCAAATTTCTTTCTACTTGAAAGTAATTGTTTTTAAAAAAATTTCGTTTTTGTCAACCTAAATGGCATACTTTTGTATCTGCATAAATTTTGTCAAATTTATTTATTCAGTATGAAAAGCAATCTTAAGTATAAGGCTAGAATTAGTCCAAACTGCTAGGATTTGGTCAATTCATAAGAATAACTAAACTAGACTAAAATACTTCTTAAGGGAACAAGGACAAAGAAATATAGAGGGAAAAGTGCTGATGTGATAATGATTGCAGGCGTATGTGTGTAGCCAAAGAAGAAAGAGAAACAGCTGATTAATTGTCAAAAAGAGCAGAATGTTTGTGGTAGCATGCTGCATTGAGGGGATTTGGAATGAAATGGAATTGATAAGGTCCATTTGGCACCCTAATAAAATACAGAGCAGGTATCCTTGGTTGGTTTTGTGAAGAGTCAGTCTAACATGTAGGGCAGAGGATTAGAGACAGTTGTAAGTTGGTCAAACGCAGTATGCAGTTTAAGGCATTAGATGAAAAGTGGATGAGAAAAGTTTGCACTACATAAACAAGGCTTAGGGCTCTCTCCAGGTAGCAAAACGAGTCGTCAGCAAATTAGACAGCTGCGGTTGAGATTGTTCATAGAAAGCAAGATAAACCAGTGTTGTTCGTATCAATAGAGAATAGTAGGGTCATATTCGAGTGATCGTTCTTAGAAATTGCTTATACTAAGCCTTTATGCCTAAAAATCTCTCTAGTTCTGAAAGAAATCAGAGACAGGAAAAGATGTCTTGTCATGGGATGACTATATCAGGAAGAATATACACAGCGATGTCTTTCTTAGGTATGACAATATCGTATTTAGTAGAGTCCCATCTATGGTCTAGTGTGAGACTATGCTCAGCATATTGATCAAAGAAAGATTGAAAAGACTTCTCAGGAGCAATTGATACAACATTGCCTGTATAAAATAAACAATCGACACAAGTAATGAACTCGTTTGCGAACATATTGTCGATCATGGATGCAGCATACATCAGTTGAGAAAGACTATTAATATGGTAGTAATTAGACATAGTGAAAGAATAAATCCCTATAGTTCCCAACTTAATGGTGCAAAACAATATGAACTGGTGTTAGACAGAGCAGCTCTAATGGTATTGCAAACTGCTACATCGTAGCTCAATTTAACATAAAAAAAAACGTACTCTCTAGAGCCATCCTAAGCGGTGTCTAAGAATGTTGCCTGGTTTGGGGGGAATATTAATACAGATTTTGATTATTATGCTGAAATCGGAGGTATCTTTAAGATAGAAATAAACATTATCTACACATATTTGGCAACTCCATTATGTTCACTAGAGAGTTCTGTCTTTTATAAGTTTAGTTGCTGCTTCTTTTTCTATCGCTTTAGCTATCTTTTTTGATTATATATCACAAACTTTACGGCTTTGCACTTTTTCTAAAAGTTGCAAAATTTGTAAACATCAAAATCCTTCAATGGATGTAATGAATTTCTAGAAAAAAATTAATTAATTTTTAACATTTATGCCGACATACAAGTGTGCCATTTGTGTACTTAAAAAAAAATTTTCAAGGAAAAATAAAAACAACCATCTTAAAATAAATCAAAAGTATTTTCTGCATTAACAAAAACCAAAAAAAAAGTAGAAAATTTCTGATTTTCCTGTTTTAAATTAACAAAAAAGCTTGTTTTTCAATTTTTAAGTTTTAAATTAATAAACAAGTCTACCGGATGATGATTTTGCTGTTTTAGTTTAAAGAAGAGGTTACTGGTTGGTAGACTTGTTTATTAATTTAAAACTTAAAAATTGAAAAACAAGCTTTTTTGTTAATTTAAAACAGGAAAATCAGAAATTTTCTACTTTTTTTTTGGTTTTTGTTAATGCAGAAAATACTTTTGATTTATTTTAAGATGGTTGTTTTTATTTTTCCTTGAAAATTTTTTTTTAAGTACACAAATGGCACACTTGCATGTCGGCATAAATGTGAGTGGAGAATGAATTAGATAAGTACATCCGACGAAACTAGGTTGGGCCAATCATTTTTTTTTGGTCATTTCCAAATTAGAAATACAAATATAATTGTTTGTTTCCTACCTGTAGTATCTTTAAATTAGTCACCAAAAGGGCAATAAACAACCACGTTCTATGTGGCGCTTTGCCTATTATGCCGAGAAAAAACAACTGGTCGTCCACTTCCAGACCAGATTTGTGCTGAAATATATACCATGTTCTTGTTTGCTAAAACATCCCTATTCCAATATATATTACAATTTTTGCAAATTAATATACTATGGAATGATATGTCTTGATCACGGTGATTGCGAAAGTTCATCTGGTGGCATGTGTCACAAACCTATGTATTTTATGCACAAGAATATTCAGAGTCAATGCAATTTAACAGTATGTTAAAAGACTTACAGATGACGTACGGAATTCGTCTATGTACAACACTGATAGCTCACCTAACTTCTCCTGTCTTTTAAATGTCTGTATATAATTTCAGAGACACCGACATGCTTTCCTCTGAATCTGACATGGCTTTTTCCTTTCATGCCGTTACCAAAGATTATTAAAGGCATTTTTCCCCCATCCATTTCCATAAAATTATTCTTGTGTAAGGGCCGTCTAAGTTGGAAGAAGCTTAATATATAAACACTATAAGTAGATAGAATGCAATTATGTTACGTTATATCAGCTGGGAGGTGGGGAATCCTTGGATTTCGCCTGTTGAGCATTTTCTTTCTTTTTCGCCAGTTGGACTTTGTTCTTTTCCTTTTTGCTGGATTGTACTTTTTGCCACCACTTAACAAAATATTAACAGCTTCATCTAAGGCACATTGTCGGCCAACGTAGTTTTTCCATCTGATTGAGGCCGTCCGGAAGCTGTAGAAACCAAAAAAATTGGGCAGGTGTGTCATCATGTAATTTACATGTATCTCATAGTTATCCACGCTTGATGTTTTTGGGATGGGGATTCTTGTCTCCAGATCCTTTAGCCCTTGTATTGTCTTCAACTGATCTTCTTTTTCTGATCGGTTAGGTGATCCTGACATGGAATAGTATTCTTTGCTAGACAGTTTCCTGACTTAATTCTCACCATAATAGGCGACATAGGGACTGTTTCTATTGGGGTCCAAGAAACAAGGATTGAAGTGTTCATCGATTTCGCCCTGGTTAAAGTCACTAAGCTCTAACACAATTTTATCTTCGTTTGGAACTTGAGGTATATTTCTCGCGAAATTGACACGACAGGTATAGCCATCCGTATATAAACTATTGAGAAACATTTTCCCTTTCTGTCTTGGAAATTGTTGTAACTATAGTAGGCTATTGTTATATGTCATAAGTGATATATTAGCTGCCTTTTTTGGTGCATTTAGAAGTGTAAGATTACCTGTGGATCTTCGATTTCGTAAAATCAAATAAATCAAAAAAGCGTCGTGCAGCAAGTGAAAATTGACTCTCGTTATTCTCTTTTGGGATTTTGGCTTCGTGAAAAAGAACATCAACATTTTCGCGGTCAATTTTAATGAAGCGCCATTTGGAACTCGGGTTCGGGAAAAGCGAAAACAAGCGAGTTCGTTGCTCTTCTGACAGTGTCTTTTGTAGTTGTTCATAGTATTGCAGTATATGTTTCATCACATTCAAAGCTGACAACGGGTTAGTGGTCACTGCCTCCCTTGAACAGGGTAAGTAAGGTATTCTATTTTTAATGGGCTGGATTTCGGTGTTCAAGAACTGTTGAAGGCCTGGTGCGTTATCAAGTTCTTTTTGAGTCAAAAAGTCTTCAGGCAAATTAGATCTGGTAGCGTTCGTCAGCACCTCGTCCAAGATATAACAGTAGGTAGTCTTTTTTATGACGGACATGTTCATATCCTAATAAAATTGGTTAGATTTTTAAAAAAATTTTCATGTGAAGTACTTACAGGATATCTGATTTTCCAACATAAGTTTCATAATTTTCAACATAGAAATTACTGTAGGCAGTTACTAAACTTTCACATGCAGACGATACTATTTGGTCATAGCCCACCAAGTCACCTTTTTGTAAAAGCATATTAACATTTTCCAGATCTTGTAAACGGTTGGAAATTGCCTCGAGGTAGAGAAGTGATGGATAATAGTCTTGGAGTTGGTGAATATTGATGTTGCAAAAGAGTTGATTAAAGATATATTTGAATATATGTTCCACACTATTTGAGTGTACTAATAAGTAGTAATTGACAAACATTTGTGCCCGATAGATGACAGCACGAAGGAAAGTAGACTGTCTAACGATTATGTTCTGGTAACGCTCTAGTCTATTGGGGTCTTCTTGTTTATGCCTCAGGAACGACTTGAGAGTTAAAGAAGTTGTGTATCTTTGATGGTAGTTAGGAAATGCTCTTTCTAAAAGCTCTTTGATGCTGAATTCGTGATTGGTACAATCTCGCGAAGTAGCGCGTGTATTCCCTGACTGCCCGCAAAATGTACACACGGTATTAGCTCTTGATGAAGGCCCCGCCTCTGATTCCTTTCTTCGTTTTCTTGCGTCCGCTTTAGCTCTCTTTTCTTCGAATGTGTCTTTTCTTTTTTGACCTATAAAATGGCTTAGATAATGTATTACACGATTATTTTAAGAAAGTTTTACCTCTTCTTCGTGCTGGATCACCCGTATTTCTTTGTTCTTGCACTCCTTCTTTGAGTTTCAATTGTTTTTTGTTTCGTATTAGCTCTTCGGCTGCTGGGTAGAGTACTGGTCTCATATTGTTTTTTTTTATAAAAAGGAACAAAACAAAAAAAAAAGGAGAAATATTGATTTATTATTTGGTCTAAAACCATTCTCTTCGGGGAGAGTCAAATACTTGTAGAGTTCAAGTTGTAGGGTTTTATCAGTAATATTGTATTAACCAATAAAATTACATTTTGTCGGTTACTTTTTGACTCTACCTGTAGATTTTCTACATCGCCAACAAGTTCTTTACCTTGCAACTCTGCTTTTTCTAGGTTTGTCTCAATCTTTTTAGTAGCTAGTTCTTTCAAAGATGCTTTTGGCGTTATGAAATAGTATCAAAAATATACACCAGGGGAAAACCAGTAACTTCAAAATATAAAAAAAAATAGTATTTTTAAGGATTGCTTAACTTTGTCTAATGTTGTTGAATTTATTTAGATTATATAATTACCAATCGATCTGACGGGTTTCTTTAAGCAAAGAGTAAAAAGGTTAATAATAGATGCCTTTTTTTCCTCTTCTCTTACACTTTATTTCAATTTTTTTTTTTACAAAACTCTTATTTCAGTAAAACAATTAACAGTATATTTATTATATTCCAAAAAATTTACTCTTATCGCAATAATTGTGAATCCAGTAACTAGTTTATAACATGTATTATCCAAAGCAAGTACATAATATACTAACGAGCGTTAATTTAGCATTCGAAAGAGCTCGATAGAAATAAATAAGGATCGGTAATGTTTTTAATGAAAGCAAAGTCCAATGAATAACTTGTTTAGAAGTCGCCTTTTCTCTTCATCTATTATAATTCTTTATATATGCATACCGCCAAAAGTATGTATTAAGTCTGTCTTCTGTGTCGGATGCACGTTTGAACTGTGAGTGTCATTTTTTCTTCGTTTCAAAAAAAACATTTTCTGATACTTTTCTTTTTTAGTCTGATCAAGAGCTTCCGGTTGCCCTGACCTTATCAATTGTATTATAAAGTTTCCGTTATATTGAAACTCACTCATAACATTAGAATATATTTTGTTTATTATTGCATTGCAATATGCCTTTTTGTTCCTTTTTTTCTAAATAAAAACCAAAATTTGTAAAAAAGCATTCTATTCAGTCCATTTTAATTTTGGCTGTGACCAATATTTTTTTTTTTTTTTTTTTTTTTTTTTTTTGGTTTTTTTTGGTTTTTTTTTTGGTTTTTTTTTTGGTTTTTTTTGGTTTTTTTTGGTTTTTTTTGGTTTTTTTTGGTTTTTTTTGGTTTTTTTTGGTTTTTTTTTAATTTTAAGCGGATGTCTTATTCTATGAGCCAGTGGTAAAAGAGTGTACATGGATCAGGTTCAGGCGCAAATTCCGCATGCGGTTTGAGGCACATCTGATCGAGAAGAAGTAAAACGTTAAGGAGGTTAGTTCATCATGGCTTCCAATATTGGAGTAAGAGCTGCTTGTCAATTTTCCAAGTAATAGTAGCAGACAAATTGTATACAATTATGGTCTCATTATTATTTCAGCAAACATATAAATAGTCAATACAGTTTTTCTTCGCTATATAAACCGTCAAGTTAAAAAATCTAGAGTTTCAATCCATCGACAAAGATAATATATGTTGTAAAATTGTTGAATAAATTAACTCTTTAGCTTATTCATACAATACTAAAGCCTGCGAGCGTTATAATAAACTTGTCATATTCACTATTTCTACATCCGAATCTATTGGTGTGGTTGTGGCTAATCGTGGAAGTCTCTTGCATTTATTTATTATGATGTACTGTTATATTTGGGAGATATTCAAGCTTATTAAATATGCAGGGTTTTTGTTCATTGAGTATCAATTGAACAACAAAAACTGCTATATTATTGTTGGAAGAAAATTATAGCTAGAATTCTTCATGTGCTTTTTAATGATCACACTTAAAAAAACGCACACTTTTTACAGTATAAGTATTTTGTTTTAGTAATTGAAGGTTATACTTCGCCATTTACTACACAACTTGCTAAAACTCAATGTCCACAATAGGTAAGTGAAGGAGTTGATTTTGGTTCTTTCCATAAAAAGAGCTAACATTAGTCTTATTTTGTCCCATGTTTGTACCTGTGTCCCACTTTCCTATTAGTGTCACATTTTCTCAACTCTGCCAATTTTTTTTTATTGGCCCAACCTAGTTTCGTCAGCTGTAATACTTTTGACACACTGCAGTTTTTTTTTTCTTCACTGAACTCGTTTTTCTTCCCTCAATGGAAGAAATCTTTCATAATTAATTGAAGATTTGGCTAAAATCTTCCATCTCTTGCGCCTTAGTGTATTTTTGACATTTTTCTTCACGTTCTTGTCAAGGTAAGTTTTATATTATTCAAAAGTCTTGTATTCTTATTCACATGCTCTAGAGTTGGAAGAGTCATGTATCTCAACGGTGTATCAGTGCTTCGCTTCTTTGGCGATGTTTCAATACGAGGTTGCATTTAGAATTATGTAATCATAAGCTTATGTATGTGCTGGTTCAACTCTGTCTTTCTATGATTGTGCTTTATTTGGTGGATGCGTTTCAAGTTGGAAAGTCTTGGTCTACTCAGGCTGATCTCTCAAGTGTCTTTGAAGCTTTTTTATAAGTTTTACTGGACTTTCAGGGCTGGCTCACCCAGCTCTGGTCCTCTTTGGCATTTCAAAGACATCTATCCAAGGCTCAAAAAGTTTCAGTGGTGTGTTTTTCCTTTTTTTAGTCTTCTTGTTTCGTTTTGGGAGTCTGATTAGCTCTTGTGGAGGCAAGAAGAGGACTTGCTCAGGTTTGATCACCCTGATCAAATCCACAATATGTTGATTTAGTGTATGCCAAACTCCTTTGTATCTTTTGCGATTGTGTCCCTCTCTTCTGATCTCTACTTTTCGTTGCTTTGCAGTCGGTGCTTTTCGCCGAATGGATCTTGTGCTTGCACATTGTCTATCCATCTTCAGTTATTGACACAAAAAGCCTTGAATAAAAGCAATATATGAAATCCGCTTGTACAACTGCTTTATTCGTTCAGACTTGCTGCCTTATTATTTTCTTCTATTTTCAGTACGAGTTGGTTAGAGTATATTTCACTTATTGTGCAACAGCGAGGTTGTTTTCAACACGCTATGACATTACGTTTCGCTTTTGTTTACCTGATGTCTAGTCTTTCTGTAGCTTCAACCAAAACGTCTTTACAGTGTTTAAGTATTAGTAAAGAGCAAATTGGGGAAGTTCTTAGCTAATGCAGCGTTTTTTTTTTTTAGTTATTTAATTGCAGGCCAAAATTTATGTTAGCGCCCGCTAATAGTGTCAATGAATTTACATAAAATGAAATTAAAGTAGTTTTCATGACAATCTCGATGACACAATAACAACCAAATCAACTTTTTATTCTTTTTGGATATAGCACTTAACCAAAGATGTTATTTGAAGGACCCCAAATTACTTTAGGATCACAAGTGCGTACTTGATTTTCACGACCAAGTGCAGTAATGGCCTCAATTTCCTTTTCGTCTAGTTTGAAAAATTCAAGGTTTGCTTCAATACGAGAAGGTGTGACAGACTTGGGAATCACTGCATAACCACGATTGACACCCCAGTTAAGCAAGACCTGTTGAGGAGACTTGTTGTACTTCTTGGCAATGTCAGTCACAACGGGCTCTTCAACAGTCTTGACCATGTTGTTTCTGTAACCAGGATTACCAAGAGGAGAATAAGCAGTCAAGATAATATTCTTGCTCTTGCAGTAAGCAAAGAGTTCTTCTTGAGGAAGTTTAGGATGAATTTCAACTTGGTTAACAGCAGGAGGAATCTCACACTTGCTTAATAATTCTTCGAGCATAGGAATAGTAAAGTTGGAGACACCAATTGAACGAGCCTTGTGCTCCTTGACAAGCTTTTCCATAGCACGCCAAGTATCAATAATGGGTACACGAGTAACATCTGAAGACTTCAAATTATCTAACTCGTAGCCTTGAAATTTCCAAGAGAAGGGGAAATGCATCAAGTATAAATCGACATAATCCAACCCAAGATTTTTGAGTGAGCGCTCAAAGACAGGACCGACGTGTTCTGGCTCATGGAAATTTTGCCACAACTTGGTAGTAATAAAGATCTCTTTCCGAGGGATACCGCTTTCTTTGATGGCTTTGCCTAATACATCTTCTGTTCCGTCTGTTTTTTTTTCAGGCTATTAGTCTATTTGTTTGACATGTTTATGACTTACAAGAATAAGCTGTGTCAAAATGTCTGTATCCCTTTTCTAATGCACATTTAGAGGCTTCGTAGACTTGTTCAGGAGCATCATGACCACCAAAGGTACCAAAGCCAATTAAAGGAAAATCGTAGCCGCTGTTGAGCTATTCAATCGGCTTAGAATTAACTTGATCAACCCAGAGACACACATACCTTCACTGTAGGAACTTTAGACATTGTGGGAATATGAAAAAGAGAAAGGTTACAAAACTGATTCAACGCGTTTTATAGTTGTGCATTACGTGACATAATTTATTTTTGGAATAAACTTTATCTAAAGCGTTACACTGTTTTCGAGGTCGATTTGTCGGACAATAGCATTGAGTGTTTTATTGATCTCGTCTATACTCCGAACCCGAGGAAGAAAAGAACTACATGAGATGGATTCCATGGATTGATAGTCCCAATTGACATTTTTGTAGTCCTGCTTTGAAAGATGCATATAAAAATGTCTACAATTGTAATAAATTGCTGCTTTTAGCTATCTCAAGAATGTTTTTGCGCTTTTTTCATACCCAAGTTCCTTATAAAAAGAGCCTAAAAGAACACTTCCATGCAAAAAAAGACGGACTCAAAGATCGATTAGGAAACTGAGTTCCAAACACAACGCGTTAGAGTTTTGAATGATTTTTTTTGACGCGACTGTCACTTTACAATTCTTTTTCGTTTTATGTCTACAACTGCTGCTATAGAGGATTTGCCCGACGTTGGTAAGTCTTAGTAAAAGCGAAGAGTTGACATTGATATAGAGTGTAGAAAAACCCGAACAACAAAACTTTGTTAAGTTTTTTCGTGCTTTAGACACTGTAAGTAAAGAAATATCGAGTAGCTGTTATTTATCTATTTAAGCCTGAAGAAGGTACAATTCGATTATTTGCACGTGAAGCCAACGACTCGGCTTATTATACTTGTCACGGAGATGACGCTCGTTATGTAGCAAACCAAGTCTTTGAAACAACAGGTGTTATCAAATATTGGTTTGGTAAGTTCTATAAAAAGGAAGCAAAAACAAATAACACAGCATAGGTGATAATGAAACAGGATTGCCAACAACCAAATTGACCAACAATGTAGCAGAAACATTTATGAGAGATGTATTATTGAACAAACAGCTCAAGATTGAGATATGGAAGCAAAACAGACTTGAATGGCAATTAATCCGTAAAGCATCTCCGGGAAATCTTCAAGATGTTGAGGATTTTCTCTTCTCAAGCAAACAACTTACCTCTGCTCCTGTGGTAATTGCAGTCAAATATGGAGTCTCTGGCGAAAACAAGGTTTGATTTGATTATTTTAGGCAGCTGTGCTTAATCCGTAAAGACTGTAGGTGTTGCTTTTGCGGATACAACTGTTTTTCAACTAGGTGTAAGTGAGTTTGTTGATAATGAGCTTTATTCCAACTTGGAGGTTAGTATTGAGCACTAAAAAAGTAGCAAGTGTTAATATTTGCCAGTCTTTAATTATTCAATTGGGTGTAAAAGAATGTCTCTTGTTGGATACAGACAAAGACTATGAAGGTATCAAGATTAGAGGCATCCTTGATCGATGTAATGTTGTGGTGACTGAAAGAAAAAGAAGTGATTTTGACGCCAAGAACATTGGTCAAGACTTGAACCGTTTACTGGAAGGAACTATCTCTGTTGAAGCCTTACGTAAGTTTAACAATGCGATGAGAGTAGACCCCTTATAACATATCTATAGCCGAATTTGAAATGAAAGATGCCATGGCCTCTTGTGCTTGCATCCTTAAATATCTTCAACTGCTCGACAATGAAAACAACTTTGCAAGATTCAGTCTCAAGCATCATGATTTATCACAATATATGCGATTAGATGGTCCTGCTTTAGCTGCTTTGAATTTAATGCCTACAGCAAAAGATGGACCCCACAAATCAACTAGTGTTTATGGTCTATTAAACAAATGCAACACTGCTCAAGGAAGCCGATTGTTCGCTCAATGGCTAAAGCAACCTCTTTTAAACATCAATGAAATCAGTAAGTCAAGACCCAACACAATGTGATGTTCTTCTTTTTTTTTTTTTGCTGATGTTCGTATAGCAAAGCGTCAGGATATTGTTGAAGCATTCTTTGAAGATACAGAGACAAGACAATCGATTCAAGAAGATCATTTGAAACAAGTCCCTGATTTGCACCGACTTGCTAAACGCTTTCAAAAAGGAGTTGCTAATTTACAGGATGTTGTTCGTATCTATCAAGTAGTGATCAAATTACCTGCTTTAATACAATGCTTAGAAGCAAAACCAAACCCAAACCCCATTATAGCTGCATTGATTGAAGAAACTTATACAGCTAACCTTAGAGAATACACTGGTATTTTACAAAAGTTAGAAGAACTAGTTGTCACCACCATTGATTTAGAAGCACTTGAACACCATGAATATATTATTAAAGCAGAATTTAATGAAGAATTACAGAGTAAGTGATTAGACACAAGGCATCTTTTTAATGACTATTTCTTAGGACTTCATACTGAATTACAAGCTATTGATCGAGAAATGATTCATGAACATCAAAAAGTGTGCGACAAGCTCAATTTGGAAATAGACAAAAAACTCAAGCTTGAAAAACATAGTCTTTACGGCTATTGCTTCCGTGTGGTGGGACGTACAGAAGCATCTAAACTTCGCAATAAGAGCGAATATATTGAATTGTCAACACAAAAAAGCGGCACCTATTTCAGAAACAATAAGCTAAAGGAACTGAACGAGTCTTATAGCACCTTTTCAAAGGAATACGAGGAGAAACAACGAGATCTTGTTAAAGAAGTAATAGATATTGTGGCTACTTATTGCCCAACGTTAGAGGCATTGGGTGCTGTCCTTGCTCATTTAGATGTCTTGGTTAGCTTCGCTCATGTGTCTGTGATGGCACCTACACCTTATGTTCGTCCCACAATGCATCCATGTGGTAAGTCAACAACAAACTTTGGTTTTTCTTGCTGATGTCTATGATAGGTCAAGGTGATGTTATACTCGAAGATGCACGCCATCCATGTCTAGAAGTACAGGACTATGTTACATTTATTCCTAATGATGTGAGCATGATTCGAGGTAAATATTATTCAAAAAAAAAAGAGAAAAAGTATATGCTTAAACAAGAGAATTAGAAACTTCTGAGTTTCAGATCATCACAGGCCCCAATATGGGTGGCAAATCTACGTATATTCGCCAAGTGGGTGTCATTGCATTAATGGCACAAGTCGGCTGTTTTGTGCCTTGTACAAGAGCCACTTTGTGTGTGTTTGATTCCATTTTGGCTCGCGTGGGTGCTGGTGATAGTCAATTGAAGGGTGTATCTACATTTATGGCTGAAATGCTTGAGACTTCTACTATTCTTAAAGCTGCTTCTCGTAATTCACTTGTGATTATTGATGAATTAGGTAGAGGTACAAGTACTTATGATGGTCTTGGTTTAGCTTGGGCTATTTCAGAGTAAGCCAAAATAATCTAGTCGTTTGTTTTTGGCTAACAATATCATTTTAGACATATTGCTACCAAAATCCATGCTTTCTGCTTGTTTGCCACTCATTTCCATGAACTTACAACATTGTCAGAAACACAAAAACATGTCAAAAACTTGCATGTAGCAGTGCATGTAGGTGATGATCATGAAGTAACATTGTTGTATAAAGTAAAAGAAGGCTTTGGGGATCGAAGTTTTGGTATTCATGTAGCAGAATTGGCTAAATTCCCTAGATCTGTTGTGGAACTAGCAAAGAGAAAGGCAGACGAATTAGATTATGAGGCTGATATGCTTCGAGGATCTGCTACTCGAGCTAAAACTGAAACTGTTTCTGTAAGTGTCAACGTGTATGTTCTCTCTAAACTTATTTTGTTATTAGGAAGGAGAGGCTATTATGGAGAATGTTATCCGAGAATTGTCGAGTGTTCAACAGCAAGAAAATGCTGATGCTCAAATTGAAGCTATCAAGAGAAAATACCAAGCTGAAATTGAACAAAACTCTTATTTAAAAGAGCTTTTGATTACCAATAACCCATACAATACATTGTCCTGATTGCATAAACATATGAAACACTTGTTTAAGTGTCTTTTTTAAAGGAACACAAGTGTCCTTAATAGTCAACATCTATTTTTGAAAATCAGTGATAAATCTATGTTTTATTTTTTTTCTTTTTTTATTTATTTATTTTTTTCTATTTCACATCATGCCAGATAATAGACGTAATATGACAAGCAAAATAGGCTTGATATTAAGTTTTATTGGCATGGCAGGCCTTGTATTATCTATCTTGTCTCTATTACCATTAAATCTATATAATATTTACACCACTATCATCACTAGTTATAAACTACTCTTGCTTAATAAAGACTGGCTATCACCGGGTGCAAAACTATACCTCTTCTTTTTATGTGGATCTTGTTTTTCAAGTCTGTTTGAAATACTCGCAACACTCCTTGCCTGTACTCGACATCGTGCAAGTCAAGATGAACACACTAAAAATAATCAATCACAGCCAACACAACCACCACAGACCAAATCATGGTTTATACGTATCATTTGTTTTACCCTATGTTTACAAATCTTGTTTTCTTTAATCGGTTAGTGTTGTCTCATGCTTATTTATGTATTGACACCATGTAGGCACACATATTATATATAAAGCAGAGATCGATATTCCTAAAGAATTACAAGACAACACCCTTTTATCTTGTACTATTCTATGGATAAATTATATATCATTGCTTACTTTCTCTTTTATCTTGCTATTTGCTTCTTTCTGTATATTAATGGGTGCTAAACACAATGAGCATGAAGAAACAAGGCCATTGATGATTGTATAAAAACTAAATAATAAAATTCATGCACTTTTTTTTAACCTTTACTATGGAAACCAGAAAAAGGTAAACATCCCTTTCTTATAAACAAAATTATTAACAGTCTAGTATAAAACGCGTTTCTTTTTCTGATCAGAAAGCGAAAGTAGATGTCTACATTGAAGAGGTAGGATAAAACCCAAAGAAAAACAAAAAGGTTAATCTTGTAGATTCTCGATCCTGCTTATGGTTGTTATATATGGCCTTGTTCACTTGTTATGGCAGAATTTGTTTGGTATAACCGATTCCAATTTGAGCATAAAACTCTATTAGAAGTAAAGTACACTAGTGAAACAATATCATTCATAACCAACATAGGTAGGAGCAGGCACTTCATTACCATCACTTGTGCTTGCAAAATCTGTTGATGAATTACGACTTATCTTGAGCGATATACCTAGTATTTTACCTGTCATTCAGGGATGTGTTCAAAGAAACCATACCGATAAAGATATCTGGATTGAACCTATTGAATGGGGAGCAAGGGATAGTATTGATCATTTAACAAAGCGTGTGGAAACTGAATGGGATACTAAAATTGATTATATCTTGGGCAGCGATACATTCTATGAACCCTCAGGTAAACATAAAGTAATACATAATTATTGCTTATCATACTAGAATTCGAAAACTTGCTTGTGCTAGTATCCTTTGTCATACATACACACAATCCAAACTGCAAATTCTTTACAGCCTATCAGGAAAGAAGCCCTAAAAGAAGCATACAGCGCTTACTAGACAAATGGAACTTGAAGTGCAGGCTTATATCTAAACAATCATTTGAATTCGATGACCTCAAGTATACAGAATCACAAGACAATCAATCAGAAGTTCAAGTAAATGCAGGTACACTCTCAAGTGTCTTTTTGTTAGAGATTAGCAAATAAAGCGACTGCTTTTACTTTTTTGCATTTAAAAGTGGCTAAACATCGCTTTTTTTTCTTTCTTTCTTTATATTATTATCCCCCAATGTCCACTTTACGTAACGCAGTACAGAGAAGAAACCATAAAGAACGTGGTCAAGTAGCAGGCCGTGAAAGATATGGTCTTTTAGAAAAGAAGAAAGACTATCTTTTGCGTGCTAGAGACTTTCATGACAAGCAAAACAAGTTAAAGACCATGCGAGAGAAGGCTCTCTTTAGAAATCCCGATGAATTCTACTTCAAGATGATCAACACACAAACCAAGGGCGGTGTGCATATTCAAAAGAGAAATGAAGAGCTTCCTGACGAAATGATACAACTGATGAAGACCCAAGACAAAGCATACATTAAATACCAGCGTGATCTGAGTAAGAGAGTAAGTGTGTTTAATTGATCAACAAAGTTGTACTCATATAAAACTAGAAATTAGAGAAATTACAAGCATCACTTCATTTTGTGGATGATGCTAAAATGTCAGATGAAGAAGATGAGGAATCAGAAGATGAACGACCAGCAAAAAAGAACAAATCAAATCACATTGTCTTTGTCGATTCAGAGACAGAAGCACGTACATTTAACCCTGTCAAACACCTTGATACATTACCTGAATTGGTGAATCGTAAATTCAATAGACCTTCAGTAAAAACCCTACGAGAATCATCTATAGCTGCACCTGTTACTGGTAGAGAACTTAAAGATATCAAGAAAGAACGAGAGCGTTTGTATAAAGAATTGGCATCTCGTATGAAGCGTGAAGAAGAGCTAGGTAGAGCAGAACAAGAAGTCACAACTCAAAAATTATTACGTGGAAAAGGCAGAAGAAAGCAAGTTGGTAAAGACAAGTATGGATTGCCCGTCTATAAATGGAAGGCAGACCGTAAGAAATAATCAGTTTATTGTTGCATGACCCACTTTGATGGTTTGGTCGAAAGAACTGCAGGCAAATAAACCTTTTTTGTCCTTATGCCAGTCTAGAGAAATGATGGGATGTTTGGATAAAGGAAGGAAGTGCAAAGGTTCTGTAAGAGAGGACTGGTTGAATATAGATATCTGTCCATCACCACTTGCGACTGAAAAATACTCAGATGCTTGTGGTATATGTCGAATAGACCATAAAGTGTTTGCGGGTTCAGATGTGCTCTATACATTTTAGTGTAAACAAGTGATGACTAAAACTAGCTTAACTTACAATTATTTCTGTGGCATTGCCTGTTTTAATATCAATTAAGCAGGCACCAGATAGTGTGCTTACTAGCAGTTTTTCATGGTTGAAATCAATAGAACATATGCCGTCTTTCACATTTGTTTGCCATATATATTGAGATCCATCTACGTCAAATAACTTGAGATTACCATCTTCATATCCAACTGCAACTAGTTTGTGTCCATTAAACTGTCCAAATGCAACAGCCCATATGTCCTTTTGAGTTTCTTTTGATGTAATGGTCAACACAGCCTTTTCAGGTTGTCGAACGTCCCATACTTTGACAGTTCCTAATAATAAGATAAGTATCTTATGTTTGTCCTATTATTTTACCATCACGACTTGCAGTAACAAGCTCTTGAGGCTCTTTTGCTTGATTATAACTATCAATCGCGTTGATAATACTATCATGTGCTTTAAAAGAAACAAGTGGTATATCAAAACGCTGTATATCCCTAAACTGTTGATGAATACTTGTCATTACAAGTATACTGTTGAATTACCAGATCTGAAGGTGTCCTTCAAAATCACCAGTTGCAAGTTGGCGCGATTGTCCTGTGATAGTACCGCAACGTATAGCTGAACTTGTTTCTGTCTAATAAGAAAGTTCAAGTTAGAAACATGTCCATGTTGTGATTCATTCACCTCATGTTTTAACTCCAATTGTTTGCCATGAAGACCATAGACTGATATTTTGCCTGCGCCTTCACCTGTGGCACCAACGACACAAAGCTTTGAAGAGATAGGAATCCACTTTATATCATAAGGAGTAAATGGAAGTTCTTTACTGATCAAACAAGTCGCTTCAACTGACATGTTAAAGAAAGAAAAGAAACGAAGTCATTCAAGGTCAGAATTTCAATGCTCTTAAGAGTGCTTCCTTCAAAATACAAGAAAATGTATAAATTTCAATGGATACAATAGTCAGACTAGAAGTAAAAACCAATGAGGTGGTCCAAAAGACATGTAGCATCAAGATAAAGAAACCTCTTGTGGGGTATATGTCCATGATGAGTTAGTTATTTTTCACTACAAGATATCGTTGAGTCATGTACCTCTTGAAATGAATGCATCTTCTCTAACACGAAGGTATGTAAATCCTCTTAATCCATTGACTTGGTCAATAAACTATTAAAATAACAGGCAAATACACAGGATTGTATGACCACACAAATGTAGCCTAAAGCCTGTTTATACACGCATAAACACCCCAAATACCATCAAACAACGTTTACTAACATCCATAATATCTTTGATATTGATTTGGACTAAAAAAACCGACTTGTGATATTTGGCCAAAATGACCTCTAATCCAAAGGGTATTTAGTCGTGCAAATATTTACCTTGACAACTCTTTAAGTCTCTATTTACTGCTACGCAATGAAAAATGGAGCTATCAACAAGTTTAAATACTTAAAATGACTGTCATACGCATTAGTTTTTGATCAAAGTGTTTGAATGCTACTTATACTAAAAAGTGACAAGATATAGCTGAAAAGCCTCATAACCATTTTTGTGTATTTTCTAGAGATTTTAGCAGTAGAGTTGCTGTGTTCTTTATATCAATAGATTCAAAAATTAAAGATCTATAACTCTCTTCACTGTATCAAAGCCGAATAACTACGTCTTTAAGCAGTTCTAAGCAAACGCTCGATTTTTGTTTGCTTATTTTTTTAAAGATGTTTATTATTGCTTCGCGTAAAGTTACCTAAATGGCACTCAAGAGGCGAGCACAATTCATACGGAATTATATTATGCCATTGTGCTATAAATTAATTAAATAGAATAAAATGAAAGGTATGCCACTGTTATGAGTGGCAAAAAAAATTTAGAGAAGAATCACAGTCTTGTGTGTACTTGCTTTTCATCTACAAGCAGCTGTAAAGAAGTACGTGTTTATTATAGGATGGAGTAGGCTTCAAAGGAGACGCTGTCAATGACAAATCTTCATTGTGCTTTCCAGACTTGTGGGAGGGCGGTAATGGCAATTTCAACAACGGTCAAGTGTTTCTTTCGTGAATAATCTATTCTGGAGAAGTTTAGTGTAACAAGTGCCTGAATAACATATCTTCGACAGTGGTTGTAGGCCAAAGGAATTCGAAAATGAGATTGTTCCAGAAAAACTTCTTTGGTGGACAACATAAAAGGAAATGTTGCTCATTTTCAAGATGATCTGTGCAAATTGGACCAAGAGGCGAGGGGAGCGTATCAGGAATTACAAAGTGAAGAAATTGTCTTGTGGGTAGCTTGAAAACAAGGAATCGGTACAGCATATTACAAGCAACTGGCAGCAGAGACCAGCTCCAAAAATCGACCCAAAAGGCACTAGCGATAGCCTGCAAGTGCTCTGGGGCAGATGTAGCACACTGGCAAGTTAACCGAAACTCCTTTGTTGATACCCTGATGATTGGTCCAGTCAGAGTAGCAAACTTGAAAGAGTTGACAAATGGAACAAACGATAATGATGAAGGTGATGGCAAAGTAGGCAGCACCTCTGCAGTAGGAGGTTGGCAATGTTTGACAAAGAAAGGGAAGAATTGATACCTGTTACTCTCTAACCCTCGGATGATCTGAAGGTAGAATTTTTTGAGCTCTTGTGGAATATGATCCGGATGTTTCCAATGGATTAACTTAAGATCTTGGCTGAGCAACATGAATGCTTGAACCAGAACGAATTGGATTCGCTTAGGTAATGACGGAAGTCGTGGTCTTAAAGATTGTAAAACGACCTTCATCGGTAACCTAAGACATGCTTGGTGAGATAGGTTCATCTGGTCAAAATCTCGAGGCAAGCAATCTATTGAGGCATATAATAGATTGATTGTTGAAATACGTTTACCGCACCCAAAGTGAGAGACTCTAGTTTGTCTAGCCAAAGGAAAGAGCAAAGGAATAGCAACCTCATAATAGCCAGAAATATTTTGTGAGTATACGATACCAGTGTGCATTGGCAGAGTGATTCAACAGAGAGAAGACCCAACGACTACAAAGCGAATCTCTATGCAATAACGGATCAAGAACTCCCAGACCACCATCTTCTTTCGGCAGAATCCAAATTGACCAAGCAATTTTTGGAAAGATCCTGGAGTTTAGGAACTGTTGTGCTAAAGACCAGGTTCGAGAAACTTCTGTCTTCGTGAACGGCGTCACACGAAGAAGATACCAGCATTTGGATAATACCAAGGTGTTAACCATCGTGGCACGGCCTAATACTGACAAGAAACGGGCAGAGTGTATCAAGCAGGCAGCTATTATCTTTGCCAAGGAGGTTTCAAAATAATTTTGTCTTTGTGCAACCGATTGGATCAGTAAAAAGTCCAGACAAACAATATGCTGTATCTGTAGTGGTAGCAGGTACCTATGCCAAAACTACCAGGAGTTTATACCAGATAAAGATAGAGCCCCAATCTTGTTAAAGTTAATTTTTGCATTTGATGCGCTACAATACGTTGAGATATGTCGTTGTAGCATTAATAGATCGTTGGGGGGGGGAAGAAGAGTCAGGTCTTGGTGTTTTCAAACGAAACTGATATCCTTCGAACTCATCATCTTGTATAATCGAGCGTAGAAACAGGTCAAATACCAAGTTATACAAAACTGGAGACAGTGGGTCACTTTGCTTTAATCCTCTTCGTTTCTTGATTTCTTTTGTGAAAGCCCCATTAGGGTTAATTTTAATCTTGTTTTCTGAGAGCAATTTGTATATTGTATCAGCAATCACTTCCGGGAAACCATAGCCTATCAGCACTCTTTTAAGGTATGTAAGGTGCACCCGATCGTATGCCTTCTCTTGGTCAAGTAGAAGCGCTAAATCATGGTCACTACTTCTGTCCTGTGCCGTATCTTGCTGTACTCTAGCTTGTGCATCTTCCATAATAGTCTGGACTATTAATCCATTTTCTGCGTTAGACCGTCCTAGTATAAAACCAAATTGAAATTGGGTAATCAACTGTGGAGCAATTATCATTATGCGACGGTTTAGTATCCTTGTAATGATCTTATAGTCCGTGCTAGCCAGTGTAATCGGTCTGTAATTCTTCATATCGAATATATTGCCTTTCTTAGGTAGTAACACCATCAATTATTTTTTTCATGACATAGGAATAGTACCAGCTAAACTATCATTATACACATCCGTAATCAATGAATGAAAACTTGGATGATTTTTGGACGTGGCTGGACGAAGAATTAGAGCTATCTTTTAAGCTCAATCTCCGCTCATAGCCATCTGTTGTGCTGCTCAACATTGAATAAAAAAGCCATTTAAGATCTTTCTGACAAGCAAGATCTGAAGATATTTCTCGTATAACTGTAATCAACTGACACTACCTGTTCCAGATGAGTATAGCTAGTTTGATGTATATTAAACAAAAGTGTAAATGATTAAGTTAGGAATCTTCATGGCTAACAATGATGGGCACATTGAGATCACTACTAAAACGACAAGACAATTAAACTAAGATAGAAGACATCCATCGAAGCTGTTGTGATGTAAGAGAGAAGATAAAGACAAAGAAGTCGATTAGAACTTGTATAGGTTTATTATCTCAAAAAATATACCTATCTCGTTTTCTAGCTCTTCATTCTCTAGGTATTTATATATGAAGAGATGTTGGAGTAATTAGTAGTAGAGTTCATGCAAATGACTGAGTCTCTATTATCATAGACTACTTTAAGTTAATTAAATAATGTAAATTATGGATTTCGGTTATAAGTCTTGATCTATTAAAAGATACATTGTCTTATTCAGTACAAGAGGTTCTTTTATGTCTATTTCTGATGTAAATTGATTATGATATATTTTAGTATGTAAATGAAGACTTATTTAATGTCAGATCATCATATGCATATAGATTCTATATGTTCACAACAGAAGCTGCGGATAAAACTGTGATTGAAAGATATATTTATACATGACATTAATGCTTGGTCTTTTTAGGACATAACTAGTGTAAGAAGGGATGAATAATGCTGTGTATACAACAGTTAGCCCTCTTGCAAGCAAATTTTCAAAATGCTTTGGCCATCAATGGCCTTCACGAAGTTCCCACTTTTCAACGCACCGTCTCAAGTGAATTAGTGATGACTGTCATAGACTATATATACTTGGGTAAAATTTTGTACCAATGCGCATCAGAATCATCTATTACCAGATTAGAAGCGAAATGGTCAGAACACTCCATATTACATACGTCCTTACTCTTGGGCCAATCCCAGTTTGGACATGGACTATGGTGCGCCAACCCAGTGTATGCTTCCCACCCTAAGCTACAAAATACATTAGAGAGGACTATACAACATTTGGTTCAAGGATTTGATGAGAATATATCGCCCCAAGAACAATGAGTTGAAGTAAAACACAAAGCCAAGTCAATCATTAGAGGATATTCAGTGGATTACGTTGATTGGCGTACTAAGAGAATTCGTATTTTAGAAAAGAAACGCAATCGTTTACTACGCACAAAGCTACGTGCTTTTGGCTTTCCCCTTTCACTGATTGATAGCATTAGCAATCTGTTTTTTGATAACTCAGTGTATACTAATGTTAATGGATTCTTCACGGAACCAGTCAATCAGAAGCGAGGTCTACGTCAGAATGACCCTCTTTCATCAATACTGTTCAAACTTGCTTGGAGCCACTATTATTGTCTATTCTTCAGGATCCATTGTACCAAGATTATTTTTCTTCGAACTCCTCAAGCAACCAACAGATCAAATGTCTAGCATATGCAGACGACATCTGTGTCTTTGTTCACGACCAAAATGACTTTGTACGCCTTCAGGCTCACTTGAACAATTACGCTAAGGTCTCTAATGCAATCTTCAATCAGCACAAGGCCGAAGCATTTTCATTGAGTGGTGATACTGTATCTTCCTGGTCAACACTGTTAAGGCAACACCGAACTGACACCTATTATTCCAAATCTTCATTAACTACCCTAAGGTATTTAGGTTTCTACATGCCTTATACTAGTACGCAAAGAAATTTTGTTCAGGATATGCTACTTGACAAGGTACAGACACTGATTTGCGTTTTCTCACAACGACGCTTGTCTCTTCGAAGAGGTGCAGTGATTGCAAACACTCTCATCCTGTCCCAACTATAGTTCTGTCTGCGGCTTTTCCACTCGACACAAGCATTTTTAGACCAAATACGACGGTTGATATACAAGTTTGTCTGGTAAGGAAAATATCCCAAGGTATCTTTCGATCAACTATGTCTTCCCCGCCTACAGAGTAGCGCTTGTCTTCTAAATCCTGCGCGCCAACATTTGGTACTCCAGATGAAATGGCTTCTTGCTCTTTTTGATCGAAACCAAGGTAACACGCTGCTGAAGAGTGCTTTGAGCCATCATATACTACTTATGTCTACCAGCTCCTCCTTTCCTACTCTGCCTTTTTTTTCCCCGGTCTTGCGAAAACATGATCTCTGCCATCAGTTCTCTATCATTCCTGTTATGTTTCAAGCATTTGACCATTTTGGAATTGACTTTAACCTACAGCGAGTGCCTATCCAAACATTGTTGCATTTTCCTTTAATTAGGATATTCTCTGACCTGCCTTTTGGCCATTGGCTCTATCGACACACAGAATTGCCTGCAATGATCCTCTTCAAGTTTGATGAAAACACACACCGGCTACGTTTACAAGTACGCACAGAGTATTCCAAGTTTCCCCTCTTATTCCGTTCGCTATACAACTATGTACTAATTCGACATTGCGTACAGCTACAAACCTTTTTGATTCCTTATATCTATAATGAAATGGAGCAAGTAAATGTTGAAGAAAACGATCAAACATCAGTGAGCCAATTGCATGACTCTCCTCTTTGGAGCCAATACACGTCCAAGGCTTACAGGATGCATAACTATTCCAGTGCTTCAAATACTCAATTGAATTTGCCATCTAAATTGCTGCGTCTATTCTGGTCTTCCTCAATGTCCTTACCTTCCAGAACTTTGTGATTCAGAGTTATCAATAAGAAACTGCCTACAGAAGCGCAACTGTATAAAATCAATCGCGTTCCTGACAGTAATTGTCGCCTGTGTTCTTCGAGTATTGACTCGTTTGAACATTTCATTCTTTATTGTCCTTGGAAATGGACCATTTGGATTAAAGCCCTCACTTATTTCTATCCACAGATGTATTTTTCAGCTGATACGGTTTATCGCCTACTCTGTCTCGAATCCTGTCCTCCTTTTCTACTGCCTGACAGTCGTCTCTGTACGGTTCTATCTGTCTGCCAATGGAGAATATGGTCCGCTTACTGGCATTTCGCCTTAGACAATCAATCCTTCAACCCTGAGTGGATCAGTCCCGACATTATTAGTCAGACTTTGATCTCACTACACCAACATTATTTGCTCGTAAACGTTTTTTGAGTCTCTCAATGACTAATTTTGTGCACTCTTTTTTTTTCAGCTTATCCACGTTACACCCCTCTGTGATGTGTAACTAAAAACATACAAAAAAAAAAAAAAAAAAAAAAAAAAAAAAAAAAAAAACTTAGAAGTTATGCAGTCTTTAAAGTGTGAAAAATGAGTTCAGTCTAAAACTTCGATTTATGCAAACTTTCATATTTGTACAAATCTTTTTCCTGAAATAATATATACATCAAAATAGAACAAACAAGGGATTGGTTGGTGAAATCTAAAGAGTAAGACGTTTTTAAGAGAAAAGGCGGCGCTTCAAACACGAACAAAAGAAAAGGGAGTTTTTCTGTTGCACTTTTTTTCTCATTTTTATTTTTTCCACAGGGAATATGAGCCATTATACAGACAATCAATCCCGGGCTGTGCTTGATAAAGCCGAAAAAAGACTGGACATGCTTGAAAAGTTACCCAACCAGCAGTGGACTCTTGTAAATAACACTACTTCAAAAGACAAGATCTATCGTACATATACCACCAGTGACGATCACCCAACTTGGAAAGTCGAAAAACAACTCCATGCCAACCAAACTAACCTCGACTATATAAAGACATGTTTATTAACCATTGATTTGCGGCCGCAATGTAGGACACAACATATATTTTCCCGGTTTTTAACTATTGCATAATATTGACTTAGGGTATCCTTGGTTCACTGAATATAAAGTATTGGATAAACCGAGTTCTCATGTTCATATCATTCAAGCAAAAACAACAGACGAGTAAGTCATGCTTTTTTTTTACTATTATATTTTTTAAACAAAAAAAAAAAAAATACAGCCATAGTATAGATTGGGTAGAGAAAGTGATGGAGAGAAAACGTCAGGTTAGATATGTTGCTTGTTCAATGCATTCTGCTATCAACTACTATTTAGCAATACATGTTGAGACAAGCAATGGTGGTAGCACACGTGCGGTTGTTTACTACCAATGGGATCCATCGACTGCTACACATACCAGTGACATACTTTCCTCAGTCCTGGACAACCTATGTAATCTATGCATATTTTCATGGATCAGTCAATCTGATAAAGCAATTGATATCAAACGTATTTCATACACACAAGATACATGCGAAATTGACTATACTTGTCAACAGAAAGAAACAAAATTGCCTGCTCCAGCTGTAGATATTCATAAAATAAACCAACAACACAGATGGCATAGTGGATCATGGGATCAACAGTCTTCTCTCAGTCAAACACTACGGAAAAACAAATTTCTATCTTCTTCCTCTCTTGTGTTCAATTCAGCATCTTCTTCACCTCAACTTCATCCAATCACTCGATCCTCTTATCCCGAAAATCAACATATGTTTCCCTGGCTTATAGAGGATGAAAGAGAAGAACGAGACTTGCTTTATAAGCAACTTGATTCAGACGAATTACGGATTCAAGCAACCGATATGCCTCAACTGTCTATTTCACTTGTTGATAAGCAAGAATGGTCTGATAAGTTTGCTCAACTTTATGTTCGCTGCTTTTATCGCCAACCACTGAGCAATAAAGCAAATTATGTGATTCAGATACTTCATCCTCATAAATGGATGCAATACTTTAAAGAACACGAAGAAGAAACAATGCGGTTAGATGATGAAGATGAAATGACACCTATTCATGTGAAACTCGTCTTGCGAAAATCAAAAGATAGCCGATGTACAGTCAATAATAATGAGTGGCCAATCAGATCATGGCGTTTGTCCAGCAGTGATGAAGAAGAAAACGATAGTTGCCATACAGATGAGGATGAAGATATCTTTGTAGATGGTATGGAAGAAATCAATTCGCCCAAACAGACCGAAATGCCTAAAATAAATATTCCGCTTATGAAGCCATCTTCTTCTGCACCTGTTCCTACACTACAAACATTGCCTCAGCATGATGTACCATTCGCTGAATTCGAAGAGAAAAAGGCTGCTTCGATTCAAGAACCTGTAGATACAACATCTTTTGTAGATACTATTCCCATAGAAAAAACAAAGGAACCCAAGTAAATCATAGACTGAACCTCTGTCTGCTTCAACTAACATTCATCTAGTATACCCTCTTTATCTCAAGAAGCGGATCAATTGCCTGAAACAGATCCAGCAGCACTTTTGAAGGTATATCCACAATTTATTGAATATCTTCAACTATCTTCTTCACCTATCGTTCAAGCACCCACCCGAGAAAACGGTTATGTGACAGTACGACGATTTGACATTGCTCATCATCCTATGGGAGGCTTCTTGAGTGAATCTATTTGGAAAGATTGTAGTATTTGGGATATTAAGGCAGTCATTGAAAGCACAGGTGCTCGTCGGATCTGGGACAATACGTTTGAAAGCACTACACTTTTACATGCTCTCACACCCACCAGTTCATTATGGCACACAAAAGTCAAAGGTGCCTGGCCTATTCAGCCACGCGACTACGTTTGTTTTCATGGTCAGTACACATCATCAGGTGTACCCCGAATTGATCTGCTGTCGACGTCTTGTCTCGGTGATTCATTTCAATACAAACCGCTACCACCTAAACAAATACCTGGTTACACCCGTGCCATCATGGACATCATGGGCTGGCGATTGGAACGTGTGGACGAAACAAAGGCTCTTGTTCGCCAAGTGCTTGTGACTCAGTTTCCTTCTTGGGTCATTCAGTACATTACAAGTCGGTTTTCGGTACAGACATGTTCTGCTGTTCAGTTTGCACAAGACTATCTTGAGAAACATGGTGCTCCTCCGAGCCTTGAAAGCCTAAGTTGTGCTTTGCTTGTGGATGTCAAGCATGACCATGAACGTAAAAGCTGGCGTTGTGAATACACACGTCGTACCGATAAGAATGAATCAGATGTAGGCCCATTGAACACACCAAGCACCGTATCTGTGATTCGGTTAGATAAGAGAAGATGGGCTACTCGCAATGCTTATGCTGTGGTCATTGATCCTCCACCATCGCGTGTCTCGGCTACAGAAAAGAGTTGTGATCCTTATGGCGTATGGCTTACAGTAGAACATGATGAGGCATTTATCATTCCTTTACGAGGCAAGATTCTAGTGCTTATTAAGCCTGAAGAATCACCCTCAAACCATAATGAAGGTTGCTTGTTAAACGTCAATGGGATTGCTACTCCTATTCAAAGAGAAGAAACCAAACTCATTCCGACACCAAAACCTAAAGAAGAAAAGACGGCTGTAGAACCCGAATTGACAGAGGAAGAACAAGCCAGTGCAGCGCTCGATAAAGTATCACCCAAAGATCATGCACAAGCTGCATTATTGTTTTTAAAACAAACAGATGAACAGTTCGGATGGACAGTCCTTTCTGATAATCACAAATCGGGTATGCGTATCAGCAAAAAACCTGGCATTAAAAACAGCCAGTTGCCATTGAAAGACAACCATGAAATGCCCTCTAAATTACAAGTGTTTGATCCTTATATGGTCTACAAGGGCACCAAAGTAATTGAAAACTTTTCTGCTGATGAAGTACTAGCTGTTGTTAAAGATACAGACTATGTTCGAATACAGTATGACGATACCATTGAATCGCCTATTGAGCTTGTACGACAAACCAATTATCCTGCATGTAAAGTCATTCGCTATGCTGTCAAGGCCATGTTTCCATTCAAAAATCGGGAAGTGTATGCTGTCTCTTGTTTAGCACACGAAACATTATCTTCCAAACGTACATTTTACATTGAAAGCTCATTACCGGATTTTCCTCTCATCAATCCCAAAAAGACAAGAGGCCATTTGTTTATGTCTGGCTGGATTTTAGAAGAAATTGATCCTTACAATACAACGACAGCTAACCATCCTATTCCTTCTACACGGATTACTTATGTGGCAGCATTGGATTTAGGGAACTCAGTGCCTTCTTATATCAGTAATTTAGTAGCCAACAATTGGTTTCCTAAAAAGATACAAGCAGTTGAGTCGTATTTGAAATCAAAGGGACCACCTCCTTTTATTACTCAACCTGATCCTGCATTTGTGCTCTCTGGAAACACATTGGATAAAGACAAAGAAGATGTAAAGTGGAAAACCATTTATTCTAACTTTGATAAAAAGCACCAATTTGAAATCAAGACACGATTAGAAGTTAATGAAAATACCAGTAACAAAAAGACACAGCAGCAAAAGACTGAAGAAGGTACAGCTTCGCCTTATCGCAGACCCAGTCATCATACCATTTCAGCGTCTACTGATACACAAGGCCGTCGTGGCTCTTTACCAACTACGATATTAGCCAAAAAGCGTGTTGTCATGACACCTTCCTCAAGTGCAACCACCAATACAACAACACCTTTGACAGAAAAATCTCCTTCAACAACAAAGTCTTATACACTTTTACATACTACATTTGATCTTCGAGCCTATACAAAAGGATATGAAATTGAAGCTCAACTGTACGATGTATCAGACTCAAATCACGTAAAGAACATATCCAACAAGCTCGTTCTGTCTATTTCGGAACCTTCTCTGTCTCAGTTAATGGACGGTAAAAAGAAATCTACCAAACATACCATTACTGTCAAGACACAACAAGGCGTATCCTTATTTAAATCTATACCAGCCTTGTTTGAATTTGAGTTCAAGTTGATACCTATACGTCAAGAAGCAGCAACAAGCACAACCAAACTGACTGTATCTCATGTTTTGGGTGAAGATGAAGATGATGGAAAAGAAAAATGGCGTGGTACGATTATGGTGAATGGCATAGAAGCACAATTAAACACAGAGGTTCCATTGAAGTCATTACTGGCTAATGAAGAGAAGGCAATAAATAGTAACACAAACGATGAAACGATACCACAGGATAATCGAGGTGACATTGCTAATTCAGAGCCAAATAGTCAGATAGACAACGAAGCAACCTTGAGTTTAGACGACAATGCAAGCAAGACACAAATTGAAAGTGAAAATTCATCTCAGTACATTGGAGGAAGTGTTGTTGCCACTGCACTTGAAAACGTATCTGCAGGTGTCAATGTAAGTTGGTATATTTATCCTTATCAAACTCTAACTTATCTATAGACAATTGGCGCTCGTATGATGATTCCTTTTAGAGCAGCATCCAATTCATTTCTTTCATCTAACATGAATGAACAAATCTCATTAGAAGATCAACAAACATCTTCTGAAGAAGAAGAAGAACAAAAAGAAGAGGCAGGCATTCGGATCCAAAGTTTTACGCGAGAAGAAAGACACAAGATTAGGTCTGTCACTACATTGCATGAAGTTCGTTTATTACGAAAATCTTCAGATACCATGCGAAAGGGCATGCTCTTGCTCTCGATTTGTTTAGGACTTGCCATTGTGTTTGCATTGCTTTTACTACAGCCAATGCTAGAAAGATACTATGCTTCTTTTGGTGTTTCTTCTACCATTGCTTCATTGGATCATTCAATTGAACAAGGCATTGTTCGTCGATTGTTACAAATACCTTGGTTCGGAGGCTGGGATATTCAACTGATTGCTGTTCAAAGACAAAATTATTAATAATGACTGATAATAAATGTTTTGAAGTAGGAAGAATCAATAGCCTTAAATGAAAGCATTACAGCTTGAAGATTTAGTAACTGTAACAGGATCGGCTGAATGTCTACAAACTCCGTTTTCTTTTTCTTTTCTTTTTTTTTACAAAGATCGTTTTCTTTCTAAAATATGAATCTTGAATTATTAGGTAACTAGACGATGTGATCTATGAATCATGATCACTCATTATTTGATTAGATCCTTGGGAGCAGGAATATCCTCAGATTATTGAAGAAACACTTGAAGACGGCTATGTCCTCAACTGTAAATTCAATCGACGTGGTACTCTATTAGCAGCTGGCTGTTTAGATGGGCGCTGTGTTGTTTGGGATTTTGATACAAAAGGTGTTTCGCGTAATTTGATCGGACATGTTAAGCCAGTAGCAAATATAAGGTAGCAGACAAAAGGCATCCTTTCATTCAATAACGTTTGTTTCTTTTCTTTTCTTTTTGCATAGTTGGTCTCACAATGGACGTTTTCTCTTATCTGCATCAAAAGATTGGACTTGTATCTATTGGGATCTCGTCCATGGCACGAAAAAGACAAAGATTCGATTTGACACACCACTTATGATGGCCCATATGCATCCAAAGAACAAGTAAGGAAGCAATTGGACAGACATGGATTAAGTGTTTTATAGTAAGCGTTTTGTAGCAGCCTTGTTTCAAGAAAATCCAGTGATAGTAGACATTGAAAATGATACATTTACCAAGATAGATTTACCAACAGAAGTAGAAGATGACCCTAATACAAAAATGTAAGCACAAAAGTGTCTGTTCGATGAGTATGCTTATAGACTCTTAGATCATTTTATGTGACAGCAGTCATATGGAATAAAACAGGCAACCGAATATATACAGGAACATCAAAGGGTCATTTGAATATCATTGACGTAGAATCTAACAAGGCAAGTTTGAAGAAAAAGTAGGACATCCCTAATTCATGTTTAGATTGTCTATAGTACACGCATTGCCAATACAACAATAAAGAATATTCAACTAAGCAGAAATGGACGGTGAGTATATGATTGCAACTGCTGCTTACTAATGTACGGTAGTGATATGCTGATTAATGCCAATGATCGCGTTATACGGTATTATCGAATAGATGAAAAAGAAGGTATTCCTGAGTTATGTAACAAGTTTCAAGACTTGGTCAATCGCATTCAATGGAGTCAGAGCTGCTTTAGTGCTGATGGCGAATTTGTGATTGGTGGTTCAGGGCATAGAGCAGAACACAATATATACATTTGGGATAAGAATATGGGCAATTTAGTCAAGATATTAGAAGGACCTAAAGAGCCATTAGACGATATTGCTGTAAGTAAAATATAGATAGTCATCATACTCAATGAAACCAAGTGGCACCCTGTTAGACCTATCATTGGCTCTGTTAGTAGTTTTGGTAACATTTATATCTGGACATCCAAGCATGAAGAAAATTGGAGTGCATTTGCACCTGATTTTATTGAGTTAGAGGAGAATCTAGAGTATGAAGAGAAAGAAGACGAGTTTGATGTAGTCCCAGAAGATGAGAAATCCATGCAAAAGCAAGTAGATGAAGACATTGCAGTAGATGTGACTACATGCGAAACAATACAAGCATTTATTGATTCAGATCAAGATGAAGACGAAGTATTCTATTTGTCTCCTTTACCCTTTGAAGATGAAGACGAAGATGGCCATAAGGCTGCAAATCTTAGTAGTGATGAAGAGTTTGCCAAAAAATCACTCAAAAAGAAGTTTCTTAAAAAGAAAAAGAAGGGTTCGCTTGAAGCAATGGACGATAGACCTAGAAAACTACTCAAGAAATAAACATATGTGTGTTACATACTGGCTTTAAATTGGCTGCATTTGTTATTTTTCTCCTTTTTGTTCTCTTTTTCTTCGCTTTTATGACACTTTCTACAGCTCTTGAGACGCAAATAAACGAGTTTATTCAAAAGCTAAAGAGACGGTAACTATTTCTATACTGAGAGCGAGAGAAGAAAAGCTAAATAGTTTATAGTCAAGTTGTTGGCTCTTTCTTTGTTGCAAGAGAAACTGCTATTATCCTTCGTCAAGTTGTCTCAACGACTCGCTGGCGTGATGCTAACGAATTGATTGATGTTATCACTCGAATTGGCTCGAATTTGGCTTCTGCTCAACCCAATGGTAAGAATATCTTATGAATCTATAGTTACCAATAAATGTGTAGAATTCGCTATTGGCAACATTGTAAAGCGCGTTTTGAAAGTGATTCGAGAAGTATCTCGAGTCGAAATCAATATAGACAATTCGACAGAGATAGCTACACCTGATGATTCTAGTTTCAGTGAGGATGAAGGACACTATCAATCAGTTCATAATATAAGCGAAGCAAGGCCTGGATTATCCACTCAACAATCCATGTTTCGGTTATTATCAGATACCCATCAAAATAAGACAGAAAAGAAAATTCAGGACGCTTATCATTTAAAGCCTTTGGTTATCCAAGAAATCACAGAGGAAATTATTGCTGATCTAGACACAAAAGACACTGCTTCTATTTACAAGGGAATTGCAGATCAAGCGTTGGATTTTATTCATGCAAAGTAAGCGCCATCATCATGCGTGTCCAAATATAACATTTTATTAGTGAAGTTATTATGACAATTGGTATTTCTAGAACAGTACAGGAGTTCTTGATGAAAGCAGCACAAAAACGTAAAGTTCAAGTGCTTGTAGCAGAGACTGCACCGACGTAAGGAATTAGATTGTCATTTGTTTTTCTTATATTTTACCATAGATATCAAGGACACAAGATGGCTTTGTTGTTATCTCAAGCAGGAATCGATACAACTGTCATTGCTGATTCTGCTATTTTTGCTGCCATGCCCCGAGTAAACAAGGTTGTTTTGGGTGCTCATGCCGGTAAAATTTTATTTTCGATTGATGCATAATGTACTTATACGCTTTTTTTTTTTGAAGTCCTTGCCAACGGTGCACTTGTCTCTGTTTCGGGCTCTCATTTATTAGCATCAGCTGCTAAACACCATTCTACACCTGTCTTGGTCTGTACAGCCTTGTACAAGTTATCTCCTCTATTTGCTTATGACGCAGCTGCATTCAATATCACTGTTTCGCCACAGAATGTTATGAGTTTTCAGGAAGGTGATATTATTAACAATGTCACCATCACAAACCCATATTACGATTACGTTGGACCAGACTATGTCAGCTTGTTCATTCATAATCTGTAAGTAATGGCTCATTGTATCTCAAATATTAACAAAAAATGTCAATAGTGGATCAGCACCACCTACTTATATCTATCGATTGATCAACGATAATTATGATGGAGAAGATACTACTCTTTAAATACAGTGTTTATTTTGTATCTTAGTTGGCAGAACTAAAGTATTCTTGAGAACCCTTGGGATCAGGCTTGATTGTCTTTTCGCCCTTGTTCCAGTTAGCAGGGCAGACTTCTCCATGTTCATCAGTAAACTTGATAGCTTCAATAACTCTCAAAGTTTCGTCAACAGAACGACCAATGGGCAAATCGTGAATAGTAGCAGTACGAAGAATGCCCTTAGGATCAATGACAAACAAACCACGAAGAGCTAAACCTTCTTCAGGGATCAAGACTAATAAGAAAAAAAAATGAGCTTGTTTGTTTTTCATCATGCGAACTACAAACCATTGTAGCTAGTAGCAATTTCCTTCTTGATATCAGAAACTATGATCTGTCAATGCATTTTGTCTTATGGTATTATTCTATGCTTACCAAGAGGAATCTTGATGTTGCCAAGACCACCTTGCTTTCTAGGAACATTGGTCCAAGCTATCAAAAAAAATTAGACATTGATATAAACGCCTAGGCATGAGAATAAGGCTTACCTAAATGAGAATGAACATTGCTGACAAGAGTGTTAAATACATCAATAAGATACATGTATATAGACTTACTCTACACTAATACCAATGACATCAGCACCCAACTTCTTGAATTCATCAATTCTGTCACTGAAGGCAAGCAATTCAGTAGGACAAACAAAAGTAAAATCAGCAGGATAGAAGACCAAGACCTTGAAGCCCTTAAAGTCAGACAAGGATACTTGCTTGAATTCACCATCAACAAGGGCAGTAGCAGACCATTCAGGAGCAGGGTCTGGAAGAAAAAGGGAAGATATGAGTACTGCTTTTAATAAAAGAAAATTCTTTCTAATTACGTTGAACAGTAGCGCGCTTTTGTTCGATAGTAGTGTTTAAGAAACGAGTAGCAGTAGTGCTGACAAGAGCTTTGCGAGCTACAGGAACAGTAGGACGAACAGAAGCTCTGAAAGCAACACGGGGTGCAAGAGAAGCAGTAATACGACGAGCAGTAAACATGATAGATAAGAAAAAGAAAGAAAGAAAGAGATACGCTTTGCTGAAAAGTTTGAAGGATGTTAAACTCCACGCATCTGGGGTTTTCGCCTTCCATGGTGTGACCGTATTTTGTTTAATGCAATTGTACACTTGACAGAGTATGACTTTTTGAGACTTGATTGAACCTTAATTTCGTGTTGATTAATCTCCTAGGACTAGAGGCAACAACAACTTTGATAAAATTACTGGTGCTGTTAAGGACAGAAGCATATTAAGCATCAATTGGGCTAGTACAATATGAGGTCTAGTTGTCAATTTTGCATTGCTTCTTGACTTCAAAGTAGCCATCGATATGGTATCATTTATCATTGCTCTTATCGATAATGGTATTGAATTTCTTGAAGATATTAAGTACAGGCCTAGAGATGTCTTTATCATAGACATGGAGTTCGACTCTCAAAATAAGCATTAGAAATAGATATAAAGCTGTAATCATACATATCAGAATTATATTCGTGATCAAGATATCACAGAAAAAAACTAGAAGACTATGTAATTGAGTATCTTCGTGGTATACGATGTTACAATTATTCTATTCTAGGTCTAAACAGCTTTTGAACAACCTCTGGCTTCATGCACAAAGTGAAGACAGTCACAGCTGCATGAAAAGATCAAGTTTCAACCATTTTTTCTCTCTCTTTCTTCTTTATAACCAAAAAACGCAGTACTTTTTCATCCTAATAAATACACGGTATTATTATGACAACTACAAGGAGCAGAACAATACCAAAGGTCAAAACTGTGACAACTGAAAAGCCTTTGGAAACAACAACTAAGCCAAAACGGACATATAAGAGAAAAGCTGCTGTGAAAGAAGAAGGGGCCCAAGGGACAACCAAAAGAAAAAAAACGCTCAAGACAGATACACCTGAAGCTCATATCAAGACAGAAGGCGTTCAAGTCAAAAAAGAGAACGAATTAAATGAAGCTATTCCTGAGTCTACAGCAGAAGACACTCCAAGAAAGAAGACAACAAAAGCCAAAAGAATCCTACCCAAGACCGAAACTCCTGCTAAGTCTAAAAGTGAGACTAAAGCCAAAACAAAAGCCAAAGCACCAATTGAAAAAAAGAAGAAGAAGGAAAAGTTTACATTGCCTCCTGAAGCAGAATGTCTTAGTAGTGTTAGTATTTCAAGTAAATTTGTGATGCATATCTCATCATTTCTGTAGAACTTACGTGGACGCGTGATTAGAGCTATGAATCAGCGTATGTTTATCCTTTCTCGCAAGGTAAATGAGTCAGACTCATCCACCGAAAGCTTTGATGTCGCGGGAAGCGTTGGCAATGTAAGTAGACAATGATTGATAAATTATTTGTTAAATCGTTGAACAGGTTTACACTGTCAATATTGCTAGCAGGATCAGCTGCACATGCATGGATCATTCAATAAGAAGATCTTATTGCAAACACATTCTAATGATATTGGTCAAAGTATACCGCCTTCCATTTATTGATCTTATGTTCAAGTCTCTAAGCACAAAGCCAGATCAAAGAATTCAAGCACGCCAACATTCAAGTATAATTGACCCATCTGTACTTGTTTCTGAAGAAATTCAAAAGAAAGTTATGGGCATTTACTATCATAATCATGAACCTGAATCTTCTGAAACTAAGAGCGAACGGTATATGTGTTGGTTAATTAGTCTGTTAACTCATTCTCAATTGTAGTCGTCCACTTGATAACAATGACTGTCCTATTTGCTTTGAAGAATTTGAAGAGGAAAAGATCAACGAGACTGATTATTGTAAAGTGTGTGGCAATAATATTCACAAGGTAAGTTGAAGTTGTATATATACTTGACTCATTACATCCAAAGGAATGTTTCCAAATGTGGGCAGCTTCAAAGGGCAGAAATGTCACTTGTGTCTATTGTCGATCCAACTGGAATCCAACTTCAGAGTCTTCAAAGACCGGCAAAAAGAGTGCCTATGAACTCGATTATGCTCATGTAAATGAAGGCTATTATGCTAATTTCGCAAAGGAGTTAGGTCTGGAGAAGAAAAGAGATAATTCAACTTATGGAATCAAATGATCAAAACACTATTGAGCAATAAACTTATCGTATTTTTATGTTGTGCTTGTACCACGATCAAACAATCTGTCTTTTGGTAGTAGTACAATAAAAAAAAAGAGAGTTTGTAGTCCGCGGTATTAGCCTATTGAATGAAAGCGCCTGCTTGCATGTTCTTTTTTTATTTGATATATTAAGTCATTATTTATAAGACCTTAGATATCCATTGGTGTTTGTTTTATAAAGACATTACATATGCGCAACTGTACGAATATGTGAGAATAACAAACGTTTGACAATAAATAGCGCTTTTGTACAACATCACATGGACTTGAAAAAAGTCCATCATTTTATTCTTGATTTCATGTTGAGAGCAAGAAAAAAAGGATTATGACCTATCTTTACAAAACAAAAAACAGGAAAGAAAGAGTGTTAAATATATGCAAAAGAAAAGGCAAGAAGCCTAGGTCAAATAAATTATCTGCAGCATGATGACCGTTTAAGAGATTAAGGAGGTCTTGTTTGAACTATGGTGCATTTAGGTATTTCACATTCAATATGGTATATCAATTCAATATCAAAAAGAAACTATCATTGTTTATATATTTCTCAACAAACATTCGTTTAGCAACGTATATGTAGCCTCTTGATTTATATGAATAAATGTCTTAGAGTTTAAATTAAACTTGTAGATGGTCTTACAACGCTTTCCCGGTACCATTTCGGAAACCGGAACGACTGTTCTATCCATGTGTACATAGAGAGGCAGAGAATTTGATATCCGAAACTTTTTTCCAGAAAAGGAGCATTAGCTATTTACATTGCCTATTTACATTGCCTTCAGTTCGAGACCTTATGCACATATATGAATTTTGGCAAAATGATGCCGCGAAAAAGAAACAGTCTTGTTCTTAAAAATAATACCTCACAATTGAGAAAAAGATAGCCTTTGGATATGATGGTGAAGACTTTAAACTTTTAGATGACTTATATGGGCGAAACAAGCATTTTACTTTGCCTTTGTCAAATATATCTTTCCATTTTTTATCCTTTCCAGACTCAATAAACTTTTATCTTTTAGGTCTTCTAGAATCTGCTTCATTACGAGCAATGGATTCGAAATCTTTAATTTTTCCAAAAAGCGACAACTTTTACATAATTATATTGATTCTGAATAGCAATTGCTTCATAAAGAATAAGTTTGAGAGAAGAAACAAAGAAAAATGGAAAAACAAGTTTATTGATCAAAAGCATTTTATCAATTGATCACATTTACAATAATAAACAGTTTTCATTGATTATCATACAAAGGAACCTTTACTTTATCAAACACGTATAAATTAAAAATGAATGCTTTATTTGTATCAAAACTAGTATGAAATAGAGTAGGGAATGGTATAACGAATTTCAAAGCTTGTTGAAGCGCTCATAGTAGCTTTTCATTACAAAATTAATATATTTATGTAATAATGATCGCTTTTTGGAGTGGACGGAGTGTTCCTTTATTTCATGCTGTGATCAATCCAGAAAGATAGGACCAACATACGACATCCAGATGTGATGCTATTTTTCTTAGTTGTGCAACAATCTTTTCTAAAAATATATGACACTGGTTTTTTTTTTTCTTTCGACATCATTTTGGCAAAAGGTATACAGTCCGGGGCTTTGTTTAACTCTCTTGTGTGACAGATATTTGAGAAGAAGAAAAAAGAGAGTGAAGCATCAATAACATCATACATTCACATATTGCAGCACATCAACAGAGCATGAAAAACAGAAAGACAATCTAAGGACAAGAAGACATTGTTTGAAAAGGAAATTCTTTGTAGAGCAGCAAGCACAACTAAATTGTCAAAGTTTTATTAAAAAATTGAAGAGTTCTGTCGTTTTTTGTTCATGTTTACCGGATAAAGAAGGTGGAATGCTTACATCAGAGTAGACTATTGGGTCTACCATTGCAATAACATGATACTTTGTGCTTCATTTTATTTAATTTTGGCGTTTTCAAAAGGGGGACGTTTGCTACTTGACGTTTGGTTTTATGTTCATTTGCGAGTCAATAATGTGATACATGAAATCAACAAAGAGCCGATCATTTCCTTGCGTATGTTTTTCTTGTAGTGGCTTTGAGTTTTGTTGCGAGTGGTCCATAATGATGTTTCAAACTATTCTTACCAAAAAGAAACATGCACCGAACTTTCGTCTAAACATCCATGTACCAACAGAAAGCGCTGTGAGTAACCTCTTTTTCAAAATCAGAAGCGGATGCATTAAAATCATAGGTCAAGCTTATTTTGTTTGCTGTAATACGCAACTATCTGATCAAGTTTTTTTTGGAGGAATTACTTTACAACAGAGTAATACCGATCTCCGTCTTTTTTTTTTTATAAAAAGGCCTAAAACAAAGTTGCGTATAACTCTTTTTCCTCTACTTCATTATATAGCTTTGACTAAAATGCGCAGAGCTACTTTATTGCTTATTGCAAGCACTTTTCTTAGTGGCTTGTCTGCTCGTGCTATAATCGATGGTCCTGTTTCTATCGAAAAGAGAGCTCCTGCTTATGCTTGTTCTGCTGAAGACACACCTTCATTTATGGTAAATAATATAAGAATTGAATGTTTATATGTATGTATACTGACATTGGAATAGTTGTCCTACTTTTCAGGTGTATTTTTTGGTGATTTTAAATCAGAAGGCAGTCAAACAGTCCTTGGTCCTCTTGCAGTGAAAGGAAAGTTTGAAGCTAATGATATCAAAGTCAACCAACCCTCTGGTGACTCCTCTTCTGGATCTACCGGAGACCTTAATACTTCTGATTCTTCAGAATCCTCTAGTTATTCTAGTTCCAGCTCGTCTTCTAGCTCCTACAGCTCTTCCAGTTCTTACAGCTCTTCTAGCTCTTCTTCTAGCTCCTCTGGTTTCTCAAAGAGAGATGAATTCGAAATTTTGAGTTATGGTCTTGTTGTTGAAGGCGAAGTTGATATTACTTCTGTCAGTTTTAGTGGCGATATCTTTTTACCTAATGGTGCTAGTACTGAAGGCTTTGAAGTAAGCAGCTACTCTAGCTCTTCTTCTGAAACCATCATGGAAGATGGCACTATTATTTACTCCAGTAATTACACTTCTAGCTACTCTATTACTGAAGGTTCTACTGGTGTTTATGATTTTAGTCTTGCTGAAAGTAATGCTTATGCTGCTTCTGAATTGTTATCTGCTATGCAACCCACTTTGAGATTGGATGCTCAGGGAGCTTTGAGCTACATTGACAGCTCTTCTTCTTCATCCGAGCAAGTGTATCACGTTCTTACTTTCGGCACTAGTAGCAAGAGTATCCTTGAAGCATCTTATCTTTCTGAAGCCTCTACTATCTTCCAAGGCCAAGGTAGCTGGTCAGGTCCTTCTGGTATGAGCTGGCCATCTTCTGGTACCATCATCTTCAACGTAAGGAGTATTACATTTTGTAGCGTTGCATATCCTAATTTATCTTTCAATAGATCCCTGTTGACAGCGAATCCACTTTTACTCTCTCTACTTCTGAATCATCTGTAGGCTTGGATGCCTCTCGTGTCATTTATAACTTCTACGCTGTGGATGCTACTTCAGGCCAGTACTCCCAAAGCAGTAGCTTTACCCTTGAACGTAACACTGAAAGTTACTTTGGTGGTTTCACTTTGGCTCCTAGAGCTACTATTGTCGATGGTGCCTCTGGTTACTTTGCTGGTACTCTTGTGGGTGGCAGTTATTCTTCCAGTAGCAATGTTGAAATTGGTGACTATGAAGCTACTGGTGCCAACTCCAACGTCTTTGCTGGTTGTTTCCCTATCACATATACTTCTGTATCCCAAATCACCTCTGGTGGAGGTAATCAAACATCTTCTGAATCGGGTGCTACTATTATCTATGTAACCTCTACTGACGCTGTTACGTCTTCTTCCACAGCTACTGCTGCCACTACTACTCTCACTGAAGCTGCCACTACTACATCTACTGAAGTCGTTGCCGCTACTACTTTGTCTACTGAAGTTGTTGCTACTACTACCGAAGTTGGAGGTACTACTGTCTTTGTTTTCACTACTGAATCTGGTGCTACTACTACTGAAGCTGCTGCTACTACTACTGAAGCTGCTGCTACTACTGAAGCTGCTGCTACTACTACTGAAGCTGCTGCTACTACTACTAACTCTGTCACCACAGCTACAACAGATCGTGGCGTTGGTTCTGAAACTTCAACCGAATCTTCTGAAGCTACAACTACTCAAGAAAGTGACAGTGCTTCTGAAACTACCATCATTCTCGGTACAACTGAATTTTCTACCGCAACTACCGAAGTTGCTCATGGCTCAACTCAAACTATTGTTTTTGCTACCACAACCGATTCCTCTGACCATGGCGCTGCTACCACAACTGATTCCTCTGACCATGGTGCTGCTACCACAACTGATTCCTCTGACCATGGTGCTGCTACCACAACTGATTCCTCTGACCATGGCGCTGCTACTACTACTGAAGCTGCTACTACTACTCACAAGAAGAAGCCTTGTTCCAAAACCAAATCAGGTGAATATGCTGCTACCACAACTACTCACAAGAAGAAGCCTTGCACAAAGAAGACCACTACTACTAAGCACAAGAAAAAGCCTTGTACTAAGAAGAGCAAAGCAACCACTACTACTAAACACAAGAAGAAACCTTGCACCAAAAAGACTAAGTGTCCTGCCGGCTGTGCTACAAAGACCATTACCAAGGTCATTTACGTTACAGTCTCATAAATATACATACATATATATCCTTTTGTAAAGCATTAATTCATTTTCAAATACTATCTATATTTCTTAATAAAACCAGATCTGTTTTCATATATCTCATTGTTTTTTTTCTCTTAAGTAAAAGCTTGGCTTGTTAACGACAATGATACCGGATATTTAGTCATAGTTTCTCACATACATCGGCTAACCTCAATTGTGCGGAAATTATCAAAATTGATGTTTATTTACGGAAACAAGATTAAATAGAATAAACTTTCCTAAGCATACGTACAAAATACAATGTTTTATTTGTTAGATTAAAACTTGCCAGTCATTCTTCTGACAACAAACTTTTCAATCTCGACAAATACAATCAAAAACACAACACCCACAATGGTCATGACCCAAGATTGCCAGCCAACAAAAGTCAATTCTAACCAAGTAGAGATACCGGGCGCATAAATACCAATGATCATAAGTGAGAAAGCGACAATAAAAGCACCGATCATCCATCGATTACTTGTGATACCAGTCGTAAAAATGGACTGATGAACACTTCTTGCATTAAATGAATGAACCAATTGCAACGTAGTCAATGTAGTAAAAGTCTAGCAAGAAAAAAAAAATGAATACATGCCTGTGAAGAATTCAATTTGCTTACCATTGATCTTGCTTCTTGTAAGGGAAACTTGAGTACGTATAAACTAATACAATAAGAGGCTAAAGCAAGAGCAGCAATAATCATAGAATTTAAGAATATCACCATCCAAGTAACCTTTGTGATTACGCCCATCTTGGGATTACGAGGATTTCGTTGCATCAAATCCTTTTCGTTTGGCTCTACACCCAAGGCCATGGCGGGTGGAATATCAGCTGGTAACAATATTAGTCCCTGAATGTAAATTTAGTGATGACTTACCAATGATGTTTGCCCATAAAATCATCATGACCGAGAGAGGCACATCAATATTAGCAATCGTACAAATCAGCATTAAGAAGATTTCAGCACCATTACAACTCAACAAGTAGACAATAAATTTGAGAATATTGTCAAATACATGTCTGCCTTCTTCAACAGCTTCCACAATACTAGTGAAATTATCGTCCACAAGCACAATATCTGCAGCCTGTTTTGTGATTTCTGTACCTGCCATACCCATGGCAACACCGACATCTGCAGTCTTGATAGCAGGCGCATCTATTACAACATCAATATACTATTACTTTTTATGCTAAAACATACCATTGACACCGTCACCTGTCATGGCTACCAATTCACCTCTTTTTTGCAAGGCACTCACAATGGAGAGCTTGTTGTTGGGACTAACACGAGCAAATACACTGGGAAATGGATCAAGTTCCATAATAGCATCATCTGAAAGTAAGTCTAATTCACGGCCTAAAATAGCTCGACTCTATACATGTATTAGCGTACTCTAATAATAATAATGAGACTTACCATGCCAGGAACACCGCCCTTAAAGATACCAAGTTGTTTGGCAATTGCTGTAGCTGTTTCTACATGGTCACCAGTAATCATCATGACATGAATACCTGCTTTTTGACATGTCTCAACTGCTTCCTTGACCCCCTTTTTAGGGGGATCAATCAAGCCCACAAGACCCACAAACACAAGATCAGATTCTGCTAATTCAGGGTTAATGAGTGCTGATTCTGTTTTTTCTGCACCAGCTGTCGAAAGATCTACACGGTCGGCCGGAATTGTCTTGTACGCTAAACCAAGTACACGTAACCCTTGAGAAGCCATACGCACGTTTTCATCATAGACTTGAGATGCAAAGTCATCTGTCATAGCTGAAAATGTTTGCATAGCTAAGGATTTTGTCGGATGCGAAGACGTCGTCATGTAACCACTACAGTTACTCAATAATTCTTCAGGAGCACCTTTGCAGATCATAATGAGCGCATCTTTGTTGACCATGGTACCTTCTTCTTGTCTGTAAACAGAACTCATCAATTTACGTTCACTATCAAAAGCACGCTCAAACACCTTCTGGAACCCTAATTGCTCCCAATAAGCACGGCCTAGGCTGGCTTTTTGAGAAGCGACTGTTAAGGCGACTTCTGTGGGATCACCAATGGGTTTGAGTTCGTTTGTTTCCTCATCACGACGAATAGAAGAGTTGTTACAAAGACTAGCGATCAACATGGCATAATAAAGCTGGTTGGTATAAGCATCGGGATCAGAGACATCAATGGATTTAGGGCGCATGGCTGCATAATCAATCGTAGGCGAATGTACATCAGGGGAGGAAGGAGCAGTATGTCGAATATGAATCATACGACGACGTAGTTCTTCTTGTTCTCGAATGATTTGGCCGCGACTAGGGTCCAAGGAAGTTGATTCAGTAAATTTATAAAGTGAATTATCTGTTGTCCATATTTCAGCAGTGCCCATTTTGCCTTCGGTCAGAGTACCGGTCTAATACTAATCAGCATGATTGTCTTTATTTAGTTTTTTTTTTTGTACTTGCCTTATCAGAACAGATCACCGTAACACTGCCCAAAGATTCTACTGCAGGTAAAGTTCTCACAATACATTTTCTGGATGCCATGCGTCTCACACCAAGAGCCATGGTGACTGTAGTGACTGCAACTAAACCTTCAGGGATAACAGAAACAGCCAAACTAAGACCAATATTGACCATCTCTCGTGCATCATGCTTCCAGATAACACCGATCACTACCACAAGAGCACAAAGAGCAATGGCGAGGATAACCAAATAAATACCAAGTTTAGAGAGTTTCCGCTGAATAGGCGTCTTGACCTTATTTTTAGAACCACTTTGAATGGCGGCACTGATTTTACCAATCTTATCTTGAAATTAAAAACATATCAATATCTCGATCGACTTACTTCAGTTTTTGATCCAGTACGAACAACTAAGCCTTTAGCTCTACCACGAGCAACATTCGTAGACATAAAGGCATTACCTTTACAGTCACCTAAAGGAATTCTCCTAGTCTGATTTTTTTGTATGTTAGTACTCTATACATAAACAAAAAAAAAAAGGGATTTACCTTAGCCTTAATGGCTTCTGTATTCTTTTGAACAGGCAAACTTTCACCTGTCAATATACCTTCTATCACACCCAATTGAGCCACTTCAATCAAACGCACATCGGCAGGAACAGCATCCCCTTCCTCCAAAATCACCAAATCACCCGGCACAAGGTCTTCCGAGTCGACCAGCTGTTCTTGTCCATCTCGTACAACGCGTGCTTGAGGCACGGATAAATTCATCAGCGCATTCAATGTCTGACTTGCTTTCCATTCTTGACTAAACCCAATGATCGTATTCAACACAACTACGACCAACAAGACAATCATACTGTTGAATTCTTTCTCGGCTGCTTCCACAATAGCAGCTGCAATCAAGATCAAGACCATAAAGTCCGTGATTTGTTCCCATAACATCTTGTAGGGATTAGGACGAGGCGGTTTAGGTAGTTGGTTTGTGCCATAATGTTCGCGCAAGGTAGGAACCAAAGCTTGAGGCAAACCTTGGACAGGATCTGTTTGAGAAAACATGCCCAGGATCTTATCGACAGAGCGGTCAAAATAAAGAGCTTGAGGAGGAGGCAACAAAATATCATGCACTGGTTTTTTGCCTTGATCTTCTTCCTGCTTGACCTTTTCAGCCAAAGAAGAATTCAGCAATCGTTCTAGATCGCTTTGTTCACTTTCCTTGATCAAATCGTGCCAATCTCCAAACTGATGAGGGAAGAATCGAGTCAAAGCAAACACAACCACTAGAGCACCTCGTTTTTGTTCTTCTGTACAATAGGATTGGCAACGATAATGCAGCTTAAGTTGATGGCGTAAATGTGAGACGTCCATGCCGCTGAGGATACTGCGGAACTCAACGACTTCTTGCAGGAAATCACCAAACAAATAGAATGCATGATCTGCTTCTGCAGTGGTTCTTTTTTTAAGTAAATGTCCTTCTATGTGTCCCATATTGAGAAAAAGACCTTCGGAAAGACGTTTCATGAGACTGGGATCAAGGTGAGGTTGACTTCCATTCTTGATACGATAGTCCATGACATAACGAAGGCCCTCTAAAATTTCTTGAAGAGAAATGGCCTTGTTATCTTGTACATTGAATAAATCATTGACTATACATATATGTTATTTATCAACTGTGCAAAGAGAGAGAATCTATTTACCATAAACTTCAATCTGTTGTTCAACAGAGAGTTTACCATCATTGACAGAAAATACATCAATCACGGCATGTTCAATTGATTCTTGTATAGGAGGTTTTAATGCCATAAATGAACGAAAGAGAAAATATAAGAAAAAAAGAAAAAGGTAAACAAAACAAGCAGATTGGCAGAAATCAATGCATTTTTATACAGAATATTTTGTGTGTGAATTTTGCTTGGCAGATCCTTGGAACCGGAAGTTCAATCTGACTGTGTAACAGACAATTGCCCTTTTTAAAAGGAATAGCATGAATAAAGCCGGTACTAAGTTACACATGCCAAAATGATGTCGTAAACAAAAAGATTGGTATTCTTAGAAAAGACTGTGGCACAAACAAGAAAACAATGCCGTTCTCCTCAGAAGAGAATGTCATATAACGTGGTTTAGGCTCAAGTTAAAGGTGACTAAAACTTTGATTTTATGATTTTTTTTGTCTACATTGATTACAGCATAAGGCGTTAAGACAAGTGCTCAATTAGGATATAGAACCAACCCATTACTTATTGAGCGATGTTCAAAGATAAAGAAAAAGAAAACTTATACACTACTTCCAGTCTTGAGCAAAAAAAAAATGTATTGATAAACCATCAATGATGGTGACAATTATTGATTGTTTCTTCCTCTTTGCAAAATTTCCACTCAAGATGGTAAATAAACAAGTTACAAAACTGTATCCCATTCAACTTTAATAAAAATCAAAGATTTCTATTTACCTTTAGAATGGAAGCCTGATAAAGACTTTATTAGTAAATCGTTGCTAAAAGATACAATCTGGTTGTTCACTCTTTGATTGGTAATGTATTTCATTACTTGTATAAGAACCAGTATCTATTCAGCACTTAGACTGTATATAGATGCAAATATTCTTGCCAGCAGTTATAGTATAGCTCAAACAGCATGGACTGCCAAAAAAGTTGTATATACTTTGTATGTCTCGCAAAATGCAAATGATGAAAGACTTGTTCCAATACTTATCACTCTTTATGAGGAAGTTGACCAGGTCATCATGTTGGATAATATTGTACACTCTATTATGGTTGCCGAAGAATTCGGGATTTTGCCTGCAGTTCTGATTATCTCTATCAAAGGCTCCTCTAATCTGATGATGCTTTATTATTTTTAGTGCAATGTAAATCTAAACAAATGTTTCCTGTTTTTTCCTGATTTAGTCAACATAGTATGCGATGGGTGAGCGCATACCTTCACTTGCAGCATTATGTTAGTTTATATCTGATCCAAACAAAACACTTTCTATTGACTACAGCAGCCAAAATAAACAAATGAAGCTGCAACAAATCAAAAAACGTTAAATACAATCTTATTTTTAGTAAATCAAGCATAATTTCTCTTTTCTAAGCTTGATGCGACTACTAAAGAAAAACACTCGGCTCACTGCCTGTTTAATTGGTTTCTCTTCAAAAGAAAATAACGACATGAGCATTGAATTCTGTCAATGAGACAATATCTTAGAACAGCCAAAGAATGTATTGCTGAATAATTTCTTAAAGTATTGCGAAGCTTATTTTCATTTTCAATGACATTATACACTTATTTTGGAATGAAGTAGTACTTGATAAGCATCAAATGAAGAACGATATCAACGCCTTTTTTTTTTTGGGTTAGTGTGAGGTATCACAAGTTAAAAAAAAAAAAAAAAAGTCTAGAATTTTGAACAATAACCACTGTTTGTTATATTTTTACATGGTAAATTGTGTTGATTCTAGACAAAAGCAAGGATATACATATAGATATTTATTTTACACAAAGATATTCTAAACATGTTTAAATCGCAACAGTAACAGGTATTAATCGAACCACCATCACAATGCCATCAAAAGTACTACTACAGACAGCTTCAACAGCAGCCAGTGTATTATCTGGTTTTATCCAATCAAATCGCAGTCGTGCAATCATATCACTACTCTTGGATAACTCAATCTGCTTGGCCACACTTTCTCGGTCTTTCGGACTCACATAATCTAGTAATGATTCACCAATGCATTCAAATGGGTTCATGCCCACCAAGGCTAAACACATATTGGTCGCAAACACAATAGTACTATGGGATGTATATCGATTCAGAAATAAACAAAACCGAGGTTCTCGTTCATCCAGTATGGTAGAATCAATGTTCCAAGGATTCTTATTGGTCAAAAGTTTCTTGATACGCTGTTGAGAATTATTCCAAGCACCAGTGAGCTGAATGGTGCCATCCTGTTGGATTACGTAAGCTTCATCGGCTGAGCTGGTACGCATCTTGTGTTTGATGCAGTCTGCCGAGACGACAGCAAAATGAGTGGCAATCAATACATCATAACAATAATGAATAACCACATCTGTATTGATATAATGACCTTGTTTATGTCGAGAACGAAAAGAAGTTACACTCGATAAGCGTTCATTCTTGACATTGGTCGAATGAATCAGGGCAAGTGCATGACGTTCATCGGGATGAGTTATTCCATAGCCACCATTGCCTAATAATTCTTCTGGTTGCCAACCAAGTACGTCTGTTACACTTTCAGATACAAACAATACTCTGGCTTCTGGTGTATTGTCGTATATTGTGATATAGTTGATTTCCATCATATAGAAGAGTAAAAACAAAAAATATATATAAAAAGAAGAAGATAGGATGTGTAAGGGGGCGACTGCGAATTCACTTTCTCTTTTTTTTTCTCTCTCTTTCTCTTTCTTTTTTCTTTATGTCTGATCCTGTTCAACACGCTAATACGTTCTTAAAGAACTTGTCTCAAAAGAAATACGCGTGGATGGAAGAAGCTATTGCTTCAGTCACACCTTCTCCACCTCATTCTACTTCATCTACAGCCACACTTCATCCCTCATTGACCGATAAACCTACAGAGACAAAACGAAAGAAACAAAAGACAGAATCTGAAGCAAGAGCAAGACCTAAAAAGACACCGCCTATAGAATCACCACCTATTCATAGACAAAAGACAACAGTACCACCTGTACCTAAACATCAACCTCATTTTAAATACACGACATTCCCTGTCAAGGGATACAATATTCTTCCAACACGTAACATCACAAGTACATTTGCTAGAAACGATACTTCTTATTTTGCTGGCCATAAGGCAGGATCCAAAGACATTGCTCCCAATGTAAGTCATCATGAGTTATTCATTTGCTTATTCTATTATAGCCAGAAGAAGAATGGAGAGATACAATTGTGATTCATCCAGGTTCACGTAATTTAAGAATAGGATCAGCCTCAGAAGCATTTCCTGTCTCTGTTCCTCATGTGATTGCAAGACATGTCAACCAAAAACCAACTCAAGCTATACCACAACAGCATGACATAGATCAAGAAAAGCATGAAGCTGCTCTGAATGATATTAAGGGTGAACTTAAATGGCGCATGAAGAATGCTAAACGTAGAGCAGTGCCTAATGCTGAATCACAAGTGATTGGGTTCAACGCAACAGCCATCAAAGAGACTATTCTGGACCATAATGACCCTTATAAAGTTGAATGGACTGATCTGTCTGGTCAACCCGAGTATTTTGTAGGCGAAAAAGCACTGAATGTACCCATGCATCAAGATACACCCTATTATACACGTTATCCTTGGAAGAATGGTACATTAAACAACCAAGAGTATGAATCCATGCAAGCTGTCTTGAGTGATCTTGAAGTGATTTGGACAGAATCTATTGTTCAGCATTTAGACATGGACAAAGCAGATATCAAGAATTGCCATGCTGCATTAGTGATTCCAGATATGTTGGATCATAGTTATTTATGTGCCATATTGACCATGATGCTACGTTCAATGGGATTCAAGAGTGTGATTGTTCAACAAGAATCCACCTGTGCTACTTTTGGTGCAGGTGTATCCAGTGCTGTTGTGGTTGATATTGGTGCACAAACAACCACGATTACCTGTATTGAAGATGGTGTATGTCAAACAGACTCTCGTATGTCCATTCAGTTAGGTGGCGATGATATCACCAAGACATTTACTGCTTTCCTTATGGCCAACAAATTCCCTTATACTGAACTTGACTTGAATACTACGTATGATTGGCGACTTGCAGAAACACTGAAAGAGAAATGGTGTACTATGAATGAAGCAGACATGAGTGTTCAAGTCTATGATTTCTTTGCACGTACACCCTTTCATCCCACATTAAAATATCAATGCAAAGTATATGATGAAGTCTTTTTAGCACCTCTTTGTCTTGTCTATCCAGACATTTTAGATAAACAGCCTCAACATCAGACATGGACGCTTAAGAATGTTACAGATGATATTGTAGAAGATACTACGATGGTAAGTTCCAAAATACTGGATTTGTACTCATATCTGTAGAAACCAAATCAAGTCTATGACCATTATCCTCTTGATGTAGCTATTGCTCAGTCTATTGTGGCAGGCGCTAATGGATCAGAAGAGAAACTCAAACGATACTTTACGAGTATTATCTTGGTTGGAGGAGGAGGCAAAGTAGCTAATTTCAGCAAGGTACTTGAAGATCGGTAAGTGGATGATAGCCATTAGTGATATGTCATTATTCATCTTCTATAGCGTACTGTCTACAGTGATAGCACAAACAGCCAATGTAGATCGAGTAGAAGTAGTGCCTGCACCAAGAGAATTGGATCCTGAAGTATTAGTCTGGAAAGGTGCTTCTGTCATGGTCAAGTTAGACTCTGCTAAAGATATGTGGATTGGGCATACGGAATGGGAAGATATGGGTTCAAGATGTTTAAGGGAGAGAGCTTTGTTAATGTAACAATTCGATAAACGCGCCATTTTTATTTTTTATTTTTTTTTTTTTTTTACTTCTTTATGAGATTTACAGGTGAATTGTATACGTACGATACTGAGCATCGTTCAACTGCTTTTGAAGCCAATCCTCATTGTGATAAAGCGCTTGTCTTTATTGGTGGATTAGGGGATGGCTACCATGCTGTTCCCTTTTTAGAACCATTGTATGCTATGCTATCAAAACTGGGTTGGTCCTTTGTTCAAGTCCAGCTTGAATCCAGTTATGATGGTTTTGGTACATCCAATCTTCAAACAGATTGTCAGCAACTGGATTTACTTGTTGACTACTTAAAGACAGAGAGACATAAGTCAACTATTGTCTTTTTAGGTCATTCAACAGGTGAGTTGTACCTGAATCTTGTTTGATTCATAACGATAGCATAGGCAGCCAAGATTGTTACTGGCATAATAAATATGGCCAAACCAGTTCATCTGTCAGTGGTTATATTCTACAGGCACCTGTGTCTGATAGACAACACTTTGCAGCCAATCTAGATCATTTTGAAGCATCTTTAGCATTGGCTATTCAGTTAAGAAATGAAGGTAAAGGCGATGAACTATTGCCTCGAAAGACATTGGATGCACCTGTCACAGCAGACCGCTTCTATTCTTTTGCTGCTCGACTGTAAGTTGATATAGGTATTCATGAATGACTAAATGATCGTTAGTGGGGATGATGACGTATTCTCAACCGATTTTACAGATGAAGAAATCAAGCGATTGTTTGCTGATTTACATCAACCTATATGCTGGGTGTATTCTGAAAAAGACGAGTTCTATGCTTCTGATAAAGACAAGACACTCGTCATGCATCGATTCCAGTCTTTATGTCCTGCTATTATAGAGACACACATTATACCAGAAGGAGATCATAATATTACTCGAAAGGATTCACAAGAAGCTTTTTGTCTTGTCGTAAAAGGGTTTTTAAACCGATTTTCATAAAATAAAATAAAAAAACGCATTTTTTTTTTTTCTGTTTCGTTATACATTATGGTCTGTAAGAAATGTGAAAAGAAACTAACTACACTTGCTACACCAGACAAGTGGAAAGATGGAGCCAAGAATGTAGTGCGTAAGTACTAGAGTGACTGATGACTATAAACTCATTATCTCTTCTTAGCTGGATCTTCAGGTAGAAAACTGAATCAAAACAAGTTACTGTCTCGATCAGCTAAGATAAGGTAAAACAAGTTGGGAAAAAAAAAAAACTCAATTAGACTCATGTGCTGTAGATTCGATCCACTTCAAGCAAATAAATGTCGTATCTGTAAAAACAAACTTCATCAAGACAAAGCTCATTATTGTCAAGGTAAGTTACCATGCCGCAGTTTATTGTCATTCAACTTGTTTTTTTTTTCTTTATTTTCTTATTCTAGAATGTGCTTATAAAAAGGGTATTTGTTCCATGTGTGGTAAGCAAGTACTGGATACGACAGCATACAAGCAAACTTCAAAGTAGTTTTACTGAATAAACAAATTTTTTATATAATAATAACAATAATAATAAAGAACCATGAAAAGTGTGTATAGTAGCTTAATCTATTCTATATAAGCATAAGTTATATCTTTTGTCTTTTACAATCATTGAATATAATATCGACAGCAAGAAACGACATTGTGTCGAATAAGAAGATAGACATAATTGAATCTCCGTTTCAAATCGTTTGTCCTGCTTCAACGCGTTATTGTTTCCCCCTCCTTTTTTTTTCTCTTTTTCTCTGTATGCAAACATAACGAATGATATCAAACGAAACACCAGAATCGAGGTAAGTAACACTCTTGAGTACAGATACCATAATAACCATACAAAGTAGACCCACACTACCATCTACAGAACCTCGTCCACTTAATGTCAAAGATGCCTTGACTTATCTAGACAAAGTCAAGGCCACATTTGCTTCACAAGCAGATGTCTATAGTCGATTCCTCGATATCATGAAAGATTTCAAGAGTCAAATGTAAACTCTAGATAGACTACATCTGTATATTCACAATAGATAGGATAGATACCCCTGGTGTGATTGAACGCGTATCAAGTCTATTTCGAGGTCATCCTACCTTAGTTTCAGGCTTCAATACATTCTTACCGCCTGGTTATTGTATTGAGTGCAGTGTGGATGACCAAGAAAGGAATGTCATCAAAGTCACTACACCTTCAGGTACCACATGTATCACAGAAAATGAAGCATTGGTGCTTTCTTCTGATTCTAGTCCTGTTGAACACCCTTCTACAAAGACACCTGTTGAATTCAATCAAGCCATTACGTATGTCAACAAGATCAAGACTCGATTTTCAAATCGACCAGATACCTACAAGAAGTTTCTAGAGATCCTTCAGACCTATCAAAAAGACCAAAAACCAATTGAACAAGTAAGTCAAGATATCAGCGTTATAGGCTTGATGGATAACTGGGATTAGGTCTATGCAGATGTCAAGACATTGTTTGATGGTTCTGATGAACTTCTTGAAGAATTCAAACGGTTTTTACCTGATCCTAATAAACGCCACAAGAAACGTATGAACAGCATGCCCCATCTAAACCTGTCTAAAGTAAGTGGAATTTGATCCAACACAAGACACTGATAGCTAGGATAAAGCGAACAAAGCATCATCATCATCATCATAACGAAGTCTCCGATGTTCGTTCCAACATAGACAGTATTCAGCCTACATTTTCAGCAGAAGAAGCGGATTTTTTCGATCAAGTCAAGACGTACATTGGCAACAAAGCAACCTACAACGCATTTCTTAAAGTGCTTAATTTATTCAGTCAACATATTGTCGATCAACATGTGCTTGTCAGCCGAGTCGAGAGTTTTATTGGTGGTAATAAGCACTTGTTTGATTGGTTTAAAGAGTTGGTTGGGTACGATGGGATTGAAGAACAAAGTCTGTCTCGACCCACCATGCAGCCTATGCATGACCATGATGCCAGGAACTGTGGGCCTAGTTATCGCCATGTAGCCAAGACGTGGCAAGACCAACCTTGTTCAGGCAGAGATGCACTCTGCTGGGACGTTTTGAACGATATGTATGTATCCCATCCTACCTGGGCATCTGAAGACACTGGGTTTGTGGCTGCTAAAAAGAACCAGTATGAAGAAGCACTCCATCGGGTGGAAGAAGAACGGTATGATTATGACCTGAATATCGAAGCCAATCTAAACACCATTGCTGTCTTGGAACCCATTGCAAAAAAGATCATGGCTATGACACCTGAAGAAAAAGCAAGTTATCGTCTGGACCCTGGTTTAGGTGCCAGCAGCCCAACAATTTATCAACGGATCATCAAAAAGATCTATGGGACCACGAAAGGCATGGAAATGATGGACTTGTTGCACTCCAATCCTGCTCAAGCAGTGCCTATTGTGCTAAAGCGATTACGCCAAAAGGATGATGAATGGAAACGGGCTCAAAGGGAATGGAACAAGATTTGGCGTGAAGTAGAAGCGAAAAACTATTGGAAATCATTAGACTGTCAGGGTATTTCATTCAAGCAAAATGACCGTAAGGCCATGGCCACACGTTTGTTGCTCAGCCAGGCTGAATTACAAAGGGTTCAAAACAAGCCCTTTGAGTATGTGTTTGAGGACACAGGTGTCTTTAAAGATGCCTCTCGCTTGATTTACTTTTATTTGGATCGTCAGCCTGTGTATAATCCAGAGGATTGTGATTTAATGCGTGAATTTATGAATACGATGATTCCTATGTTGTTGGATGTCACTGATGTAGAACCCTCTGCTGTTGATAGTGATATAGTGATGGAAGATGGAGTCGATGATGATGCTTCTTCTGTTCAGTCAACACCACTTACCAGACCCTTAACAAAAGCAGCTAGAAGACGACGCACCACAGTAGCTGGAAGAAGTGCTAAAATGGGTACACAAGAAGATGATACTGGTCTTTTAAAGGATGTCTTGAAACGTAACATGAACAGTACTCGAAAGAAACATCATTCTGATGAAGATGAAGATGAAAGTGATGAAGAAGATCATGAAGAAGAAGATGAAGATGAGGATGATGAAGACCATGAAGAAGAAGATGATGATGAAGACGAGGAGGAGGAAGAAGAAGAAGGGGAGGAAGATAAAGTACGTCGTACACATACAAGTGATCAAGAAGAAGAAGACAACAACAATAATGATGAGGAAGAAGAAGAAGAGAACATACGCCGCCCTCGTCGTCCTCGTCGTGCAGCAGCAGCAGCAGTAGCAGCAGCAGTTATACGTACAAAAAAGAAGAAGCAACAGCGTATACCCAAGAACAAGAAATCAGTACCTATGTTAGCTTCTTTGATTGATTCAACGCATGAAGAGAATCAAAAAACATACACATTTTATGGTGACAATAGATTTTATTGCTTCTTTCGCTTATACCAAATACTGTATGAAAGACTGAGTAAGATGAAGGCATTGGATGCTGAATTCAAGCGAGATCCACGGAAATCACTCAGAGCGTATGAAGAAGCAAGGGATTTAGGCATGACACCCAAACGATTTAAAGGTAAGGTGTAATACTCTATTTACCTATTATTGACAGCTTTATATAGCCCTCCAAGTCAATACTAAGCGTGGTTCTTATCAGATCTTGTTATCACTGATTGATAAACTATTTGAAGGTGGATTGGATCAACAGACATTTGAAGAATGTGTCCGTTATATATTTGGTGGAGATGCCTATATTATGTTTACCATAGACAAGCTAGTGTTGTCCATTGTTCGCCATATTCATATCATTATCACAGATACACAATCTCAAGAATTGTATGAAATATTCAAGCATGAAAATAAGGCAGAACAAATGGATCAAGGTGACATTGGTACTTATCAAACACGCGTTTCTGGTGTTATTGATGCTACAGAAAACACTTTTGAATTTGTCTTTGTAAGTCTGTGAATTCTATCTTTCTCTTTTGTTTTACTGACTGTATAAATTCAAGAAACTGACAAGTCGAATATTGAGTATTCGATTATTAGATGGACATCATTCAGACCAATACAGTGGTTATGATGAATATGTAGCCAATTATATCAATTGGTCTCAAGAAACAAAGGGTGTCAATCAGTCTCTATTAACATCCCGGTTTTTACAAAGGTAAATAATCCAAAGATTACAATGGCTGATAGAGATAGAAATATCACCCACAATACAACACAAAAGGATATGATGGTACGGTCAGGCATGCAATACAAAATATGCAGAGATACCTATCATATGTTCTATATTATTGGCACAGAAGACGCCTTTGTTCGTCGACAACCACCACGAACATACCATCATAAAAATATATTCCAACAATGGATAGATCAACAATGGACATCAGAGCAAGAAAAGACTGAAGCTGAGCGTAATGCACTTTCTTTGCTTGAATAAATAATAATAAAAGCTTTTTTTTTTTTTTATGATTGTCTGTATTTACAAAATGCCCCAGATTTCTTCTACTGCACATACAATCTTACCACAGGCAACAGAGGCAGATAATGAATAATCGGATATACTGATCTTTTCGTCTACATAAGAATCTGCAAAATCATCTGTACCATGGGCCATAGAACCAACAGCAACCACAATGTTCTTGTCTGCTGGAATAGTTGGCATATATTCTGATAATTTGACAGTAGGAGCATCCCAAGAAAGAGCTATACAAGGCATGAGTATTTATCATCTTTTTTTTTTTCTTATTTACCAATTTTATGACTATTGCTGGGCAAATATTTATCGATAGGGTTCTCAATCACTCGTAATAATTTCTCATTACCATTGACAGCACGAATACTGAGCTTATGAAGCAATTGAACCATCAGACCTGCAAAACGCTTAAACGTTCTTGGGATACGAATATGTGGGTTGACTTCAATCAACACATTTTTATGGGTATGAATATAGACTTGCAACAAACCAGCCTTGTTGAGAGGACTATCTAACAAGGTCAACAAACATTGATGTGTAATATCAGGTCTAGCTTCGTAAGTTTCTCGGTTGTTCTTTTTAAGGATGTGAAGGTGATCATCGACATTCAAAAGTTGGTAGTGTCCTTCTTTGTTTTTACCAATCTTGAGTGTTTCTAAAGTAGCTTCTTCTAAAATCACAATCAAACGACGAGCATTTTCTTTTTCGATGGCTGTTTTGGGTACTTTGGGTGCTTGAGGTACCATGTGTACATCGACATTACGAGTAGCACCCACACGAATACGCTTGGGGTCGTTTTCAGTAGTGTCTTCTTGAGGACGTTTTTCGTTGGCCATGATATAAAAGGAACTGAAAGAAAAACAAGAACGCTTTCAAGAAAAAAAAAAAGTCAAAAAGTCTGCAAAGCCACTAAATTCCGTTAATGCAAACCAGATGGGGAGAAAAAAAAAGCAGTCGTTACCAGAACTAAAAAAAAAAAAAAAAAAAAAAAAAAAAAAAAAAAAAAAAAAACTATTTTTTTCTTTCATGTCAAAACGTCAACGTCTTATGGACCAAGAATGGGGTATTACTTCTTCTTCTTCTTCTTCAGAAGATAGTAGTAGTGAAGAAGAAGAAGAAGAGAAGAAGAAACTCCCCATTTTACTGCCTAATGGTTTATTTAAATTACCTTTTGAAATAGTATCATACATCTTTATTTTGTCTTCTAACCCTCACTTACCAACAACAAGTCGTTTCTTTTATCATCATCTTTACTATGCCCACAAAAATACCAAATTCGCCTTTCTTATGCATCGAGCACATCAAAATCCTCAGCAAGCATTCGAAGATGCCGTCAAATTCCCCTTTTTTGATATTGATCTCCTACATCGTTTTGATAAGTTATTCGGTCCCGATATAAACTATCAAGACAAGAAAATACCAGCCCGTCTGTTTCTTGAAGAACCATCCGATACACTAGAGGAACGAGACGCATTAGTGATTGCCTTGCTGGAACGAGGCGCTTCTCCTAATCGACCCAGGGGGTTTCCTTTGATCAAGTCAGCTCAATTGGGTAGACTAGACCAAGTCAAGCGGTTGGTTGCTTATGGAGCAGATCCTACTGCACGTAATAATATGGCATTGCGTGTGTGTGCTGCTCGTAACAATAGAGCCATGGTGGACTATTTCTTGGACGAACTGCATGTTAAACCTGACAGCGAGACACTGAAGACCTGTGTGCAGAAGAACTTGTGGGAAATGTTTCGTGTGCTTGTGGATCATGGTGCTGTACCTGATATGTCTACCATTGATTTTACTTAATGTATATAAACTTGTAAATATAGAATGTGTGTAACTACATATGTCTTTCCCATTCAATGTCATACAAGAACTTGCTTGAGAAAATTATAGCAATTCTTCTTCTTTTATCCTTTTCGTATGATAAAATACTTTACCTTCCTTTTATTTCTGTTTGCTGGCCAATGCTTGGGTCAACTGGGCACTCAAATCAATTATCCTGTCTCGAATGATACAGTTCAGCCTGGTCAAAAAGTAGATATTGCTTATGGCTATCAAAACATGGGTAATGGGACTTATAAAGTGGATGTGGATCTATGGCAAGATAGCGCTTTGTCCATCTTGGCTCAAAACATTGCTCAAAACGTATCTGTCACAGGAGGCAATTCAACAGGGACTCAACTTGCTTTCTATTTGAACTCGACTTATGGATGGACTGTGCCTCATGGACTGAACAGCACTGTCTATTTAACCGTAACCACAAAAGCAGATTTAGCTTATTCAAGTGTGGATATTAGTATGCGGTCCAGAGGAATTGTACTTCATGTGAACAGTGGTTATCAACATATGCCCCAACAATTCAGTCTTTTTGCTTTTGTTATGATTGTTCTTTGTTTCTTATTGTAATCCTAATAAAATGCAGTTTTTTTTTTTTTTTTTTGTTTGTATTGCAAATAGTCGTACATTGATTTATTTGTACTTGTCGCTGAGTCACGAAAAAAAAAAAAATCTGGCTGATGTTATGTTATTGCATTCTTCGCATCAGACATGCTAGTAATTTAATGCTCTTGAGCTCACAAAGTTCGAAGATAGTTTAACATTATCATTTCTATCACTTCAAATTAAAAGACAAATCCATTCATATTTAACCGAGCTCAAGCGTCGTCACTAAAGCCTTTTATGTACACGTAGCTCTTTTTTTTCTTTTTAGTCTAAAATGAAGTAAATAGATCGGCAAAAGAAAAAAAAGGAACAATACAATAACCAAAAAAGTCAACTTGGCAAATGCTGTCAGGAAAATCATGTGTACCTGAAAATAGTCAATAGCTTAGAGTGGCGGAGAATATACACACGAAAGCCAAGAGTTGAAAGTCTAGAAAGTGTCAATAAGATACAACAATCATGCAGGTAGAGAAAATATTCATCAGCCCCCCCTTTTTTTTTCTATGTATATGCTTTTTTAAATATGTGGCATGTTGGCTTATGTATTTATTCTCCTTTCTTTTTAATTGATTCTTTTGTATGTTGCCGTTTATTTTGATCTGTTTAGCTATGTTTTTTAAATCTGTTCATTCAGAACAACAACATACACTTCAGTCAAGCACGGTTCTAGACATCCTGAGTCAGTTTCCAGAAGCGTCTATTTTTGCCTCTCAGTTACAAAAACTCGACACGATACCTGGTAAACAAAAACAAAAAAAAACCCCCCAGAACAAAACACAATGACCTAATCCTGCTGCTAGTCAATATCACCTTGTTAGTGCCAACAAACAAAGCATTCAATCAATCAACACTTGATCATGATAGATTAAAATACCACGTATTGCCTTCTTTTTATCCTCAGCCATGGACGAGCCAAGTGGTACCTACATTACTTGATCAGTCACTGGTTAAATTAGAGAACAATACAGTTGAATCTGGCCTTTTACATACATCTGCTGTCTTGAAATCATTTCAGTCACAACATATTGCTGTCTACCTGATTGATCAGGGCAAGTATGTTTTATTTGACATACATCGATATTGATTGATTGGGCTTAGTACTTACTATACCATTGGATATGCGGACAACGCTTGCCCAACTCGGCTATACTAAAGCAAGTGAAATGTTATTACAATCTACATTGAACGACAAAATGACACCGGTAAATATATATATATATATATATGAATCGGAGAACAACAAGTTAAAAAAAAACAGTTAACTCTCTTTGTACCAAGTAATCAAGCTTTTGGCACTGTCAATCCAGTTACATTGGGTCAAGATATGAACATGTTGTGGCTGCAAACACATACAGCCCGAGGTTTTGTTCCAAGTCAACAATGGTCTCATGGTTTACAACTCCCAACTTTACTTGAAAACAACACGCTTGCATTGACATTGAAAGATGATATATGGCAAGGTAGACTTGTTTTAAGACGCGTCATGAATTTATTTATAATATATATAGTTTCCACTGACAGCTCAGTTTATTCCGCTGCAAATGTAGTAAGAAAAGATGTCATTTCGGTAAATGGAATGATGCACTTTATCGATCAAGGCAAGTAACAACATGGACTTGTGCAACCATTCTTAAAAAAAAACGTTTATTTTAGTGCTTTGGGCCTATCACTGGGACCGTAGCACAAAATCAAATAGTAATGCTTCACAACACAAATTAGTTCGGTCAACAAATATTTTTGCAGCCATGTTGGTAGGATTGATTGGCTGTGTGTAACTCTGGTTTCATTGTTCATATGTAAAAAAAAAACAGGAGGGCACCTTGAAATTTTGTATATAAAATAAACGATGGCTCGTTTTTTTTAAAAAACTTTTTTTTTCTTTTCTTTTCTCTCTTGTACTCTTTGATTCAACATGGCTAAAAAAGGTGGTAACAAAAAGAAAAACGCTGCTCGTAAACAACAACAGAAAAAGAACAATGCACCCGTCAATGAACAACAGGTGCCTAGAAACGATATCATCAACGAACCTACAGCTCAAGGCGATTCTCTTGAAGAACCTCCCAAGACAGAAATCAAGACAGAACCAGTTCCTGTTGAGATCAATCATGAAACTGTCGTTGTCGAACAATCCCTCTTACCCGAAACTGTCGAATTGACTCAAGTTGAGCCTATTCCTGAAGAAAAGAAGGATGTGTTTCCGGCTTTAGCTTCTGTCAAGATCGACATGCCTGCTCCTGTCAATGCTCAAGAGTCAGTTCAGGAACCTTTGCTACAAGAAAAGGAAGAACAACCAGAGGTTGTCATTGTGACCGAAAAGTCCACCGAAGAAGTCAAAACAGATGAAGTTGAAGCTAAGGAACCTGAAGTCAAGGAAGCTGAAGCTGAAGCCAAGGAACCTGAAACTGAAGCTAAGGAGCCTGAGGTTAAAGAAGCTGAAGTCGAAGTTAAAGAATCTGAAGTTGAAACCAAGGAACCTGTCATTGAAGCTAAAGAACCAGAAGCAAAGACCACTGAATTAAAGATGGCTGAGCCCGAAGCAAAGACCACTGAACCCGAAACCAAGACCGCTCAAATTGAAAAGGAGATCGAAGCCACTGTTGCCCAGACCAAAGAAGAACCTGAAACATTGGAAACTGAAACAGTAAAGGATGAAGTCAAGGTTGAACAAGAAGCTACAACCAACGACGATGAAACGTTAGTCAGAGCAACAGCTGAAAAGAGTCAGATTGAATCTACAACAGAAACTGTCAGATCACAAAGCGTTTCTACTGAAGCTTACACAGAAGTCACTACTATTCATGAAGATCAACAAGCAACAGAAAAAGTCTCCATGAAGAAGCTTCAAAAGCAAAAGAGTATTGCCAAGAGGAAGTCTCAAATTTTGGGTTTATTCAAGCGTGATAAGGTAAGTCATATCGATGTACTTTAATACTTTATTTCTAAATCTTTTATTCCATAGCTCGAAAAGGAAAATAAGTTGTTGCCTGCTATTAGTGAAGTTAAAAAGTCTGAAAAGAAGGCTGAAAAGAAGCGCAAGTCTTGGATGTTCTGGAAACCATCCACACCTGCTATTCAACAAAAATAATTGTCATAGATTCCCCTTTTTATTCTCTCTTTTACTTTTTACGCTTATAATCAATCCTACACTTTTATGCCTTATTTAATAAAAAAAAAACATGTACGCATCTCTCTTCACTTTATGCAAGGGGCAGGCCGTCACAACAGCAATAATAAAATTTTCTTGCTTGTATTATAATTTTCCTTTATATCATGTTGCGCATACAGACACGTACATTTTTTATTCTCGCACGAAGTTCTCATACAATACAGCTAAAACAAGTCTTGAAAAGACCTCTTCAGTACAAGTGGACACCTTTACAACAAACTACTTTAAAAAACCTCAACTTTAGTACTGCTTTACAACGTTCGTTTCTTTCAAATAAGAAAGAGTTCTTGCCGAGAAAAGAACAGAAAGAAAAGCAGGTATATGTGCTTCAAACTGAACAACGCGTATCTATTGACACATATCCAGGAACTTCGAGAGGATATTTATACGATCCCCAACATCCTGACTTTTGGTCGACTAGTGGCAGCACCGTGTGTAGGATACCTTATTCTACAGCATCAATATGACCAAGCATTAGGTTTATTTGCATTAGCAGGGTTCACTGATTTAGTATGTAAACTTATATATAACATTCTTTGACTTGTGCTATATAGTTAGATGGATATATTGCACGAAAATACAACATGAAGACATTGCTAGGCACAATTATTGATCCTTTAGCAGATAAGGTACTCATGACAGTCATGACAGTGACATTAGCTATGGAGGGAGTCATACCAGGTAAGAGCGCACAAAAACAAAAAGGGAACCTTACTTATCCATCTTGTTAGTACCACTGGCTACTGTCATTTTGGGTAGAGATACAGGTCTAATTTTATCTGCCTTTTATTATCGCTACATCTCTCTACCAGAACCGGTAATGAAAATCCAAAAGACAATAGAATGAGACGTATCTTAATTCCAAAATAGAAAACAATTGCACGTTACTTTGATGGTTCTATCCCCTCAGCAGAAGTGAAGCCAACCCAAATTAGTAAGATCAATACAGCACTGCAGTTAGTATTAATGGGTCTCTCATTGACTACTATGAGCATGGGTATGCCTTCAGCTGAAGTAATGACAGCATTACAGTAAGTATATGGAACCATAAGCTATAAATACTCATGTTCTATTTAGGTGGGTTGTAGGAGGCACTACTGTCTGGTCAGGAGCCAGTTATATGTTCTCTAGAAATGCAGTACGAATACTAAAACAGTAAAATATTTCTTACTTTAATTAAACTGCTGGCGCGTGCCTTGAGGTGGTACATTTTTTTTATACTAAAAAACCTGATTACAGAAAGACAAAAGAAGTCGAAAGACGGGGGGAGAATAAAAAGGCAGAGTTCATGAGTCTATGCCACGTTCTTTTTCTTTTTTCTTTTTCTTCTTCTTTAAAATGCCATTTCATGATTTAAAAGTTGGTAAATTACAAGCAATTGTTATTTTGAATCTATAGTAACAATGTATAGTCTTGAAAGTTTTGCCTTGTGATTCTCAACAAGTTTTTACTATTTCATCACAAAATCAACTGGCTATAGGTGATGACATTTTTATATTTGATGACATTCTGGACTCTAATCACAACGATTTGGTGGATATGATCACAAACCAACTTGCTCATGGTACGAAGTAACAGATATAAATTCATGACTAACCATACTTTAGGCAATCATGTTAGTCTCGTATATCATGTAAGCAATTCGTTTAATAAATTTCTTAAGCTTATTTGCAACACAGGATACCTACGACAGATTTGACTCAAACATTTTACTCGGCCTTGACTCCTTATTCAAAACATCTCAGAATGTTTATGTCAAATTTACAGAATACGACGACCAACAAGCGCAAACAGATTTAATTTCACCAGACAATACACAAAATGAATACCGTATTGATGCTATTGATTTAGCTGAAAAGTAAATAGACCGTCTGTGCGACATTATTAAGCTGATTGTCTTTTTTAGGTACTACCAATTTGGCCTTTCTCAGCATACAATTGGTTCAGTATCCATCTTTTCTATCCTAGTCAAAGATACAGATGCACAATTTAACCTGGTGAATATATCACATTGTTCAAACCATATTATGGACCAATTCTTTACTTTTTGCACTCAAGGCAGCCAACAACACAATATATGGCTTTATGAACTTGAACATAGTTCAAGCATTATTTATCTTAATTACATTCATCCCTCAGATAACTTGGCTCAATTAAAACACACATTGGATTATGCTTCATCACTTTCTCAACACAAATCAACAGCCCATACCACAAAATCAGTATTATCGTCTGATGAAAATCTACATCGTATCATCTCTCGTTTATCAAACGAAATACAAATGCTCAAGCAACAAAAAGGCAGAGAATCTACCTCGACTTACTCCGAGGGACCAAGAAATATCTCTATGTTTTCATCTGTGTCTAATTCAACGAGTGCTACTATCCTTACAGATGAAAAGTTTGACCATGACATACATGATCTTCATCGACAGATAGAAGAACTGGAGAACCAAGTTACTGTCACCCGAGAACGCAACACACTGGTTGAACAAGAATTAGTTGATATAAGTAACAACAATCAACGTCTATGCAAAATAAATGATACACAAGCCCAGCTTCTAGATGGACTAGAGCAAAAAATTACAGAGACAGAGAACCTTGTTCAAATCTTGTCTCGACAATTAGTAGCTGAACGCTCACTGTATGCAGAGCATTATGCGCCCGATAAACGCGAATTAGAAGACTGTCTAAAAGTGATTCAGCAATTGGTGTCTAAGCAAGAAGAACAGCATTCACATGCGATAGAAGAACTGATCATCATACAGAAATGGCTAGCTTCCAAGAATGATGCACTTATTGAAGAAGACGTGTTTGATACCTATTTAGATCATATCCCTGAAGAACAAGACTGGAAACAGGCATTCCAGCAATTGCAGCAAAAGACATTGGTGCTTGAAAGAAAATTAGTGGAAACAGAAGCTGATTTAGACGTCTGTCGACAAGCCATTCGAAATAATGACAACTCAGGTCTTGTTGGTAAACTCGAAAACGATATTGCTCGATTAGAGACAGTACAAGATAGCACCGCAGTGAATCAACATATTGAACACCTTGAATCTGTTGTGCAAAACTTGAACCAACAACTCTTGGATGCTACACACCGATCTATGGAAAAAGACAGGCAGATTGCCTCACTTCAACAACAACAGCAACAATATGATACCAAACATAAAAGCAATGAACTAACAGTATCACGTCACAGACGAACACTATCTAATCAGACTACACGCAGTAATAATCCTCAAGCAGAACAAGCTCAATTGATGCGCTGGATCTATGAAAACATTGATGACCCTACTGGTCGTTCTGAAGTGATTCAAAAGTTCTCTCAAATGTCTGATGATAATGCGCAATTGTCCATGTGGATTCATGATTTAGAAGCACAACTGTTCTCAGAACGACAACGTATGGCACAAGAAAACAAAAGCTTGGAATGCGAAGTCATGAATTTAGCACTTCAGTTAGAGAAAGAACCTGTCAAACGAAGAAGTCGTTCCTCAACACAAAGCAAACTAGAACGATCCTCTGTCTTATCTGCTGCTGAGCAGCGATCACGATCACCTATCAGTAGCTTCCCTCCTCCACCAACAGAACCACCAAGTGAACCTTTACCTCCTGTACCAGCACCATCATCATCTAAAAAACAAAGCCGTGTCTCAGACATTGTATCACAACTTGAATCCTCTCAATCTAAAGTCCAGGCTCAACAACAAGAACTTACTGCACATCATGGTGAGCTAGACGCTCTCAAGAAGCAATTGGAAAACATCTCTCTTGAACTTGAAAATGAACGCAAACTAAAACAAAAAGCTGAAAAAGCTCATCAAATCTTGGAAAGACGCATAGAAGATTTAATGACAAATAAAAAGAACAAGTTCCGTTGCTTTTAAGATAACTTCTTTTGTGCATCATTGAATTTTCTGATGGTTAATTTACATTCTGTTTCTCTACACAAGTCTGGCAATTGAGTAGTGTTGAGTTGATTAAAGAAAGTGAGACCTGCTCCGCGTTCAACAGCGTCTAGGGGTACTTTGAATGCTGTCAAGGGTGTTTGATCGGGAATGGGTTGATTGGGTAACACGAATGCACCCACAGTGTAGCGACCTTGATGGTGTGTCAAGATGACCTTGTAAAAATGAGTAGGTACAGCGACATTGGGAGGGTTGCCAATCATTTGATATTTGACATAAAATTTGCCATCAGCTTCTTGATGGGGTAAATATAAAGGACCAGTGAACACATAGACATCAGAGAATTTTTGAGTCAATTCTCTGCAAAAATGTTCAAGATGAGCCCAGTCTAATGAAAATCATGTTAGCTCAAGCAATTTATCTTTTTTTTTTGTTTCCACTTACAATCACGATTGAAGCCTTGACCAACCTGAGGTGCAATATTGGTCAAATAGAATGTTTCATCCATAGAGACTTGACTGTTCTTGACGTCAGCAGCAGGGACCATGTGTCCTCTATCAAATCCACTTCTGAAATAATCATTCAATTTAGCTCTAAACTTCTCAGGTACGCTGTCGTCTTCTCTGAAAGTCGATTTTTGTCTATCTACGTCGGGACCACGCTTCAAACTAGCTTGTGTCAAATGTTCAGCAACCCAGTTGGGGTTACGGTCACGACGGTTATAAGAAGTGATATAGGCACTACGGTAAACCAAATCGTTCACAGGACCGGGCAAACCAAAAGGCATGATATTCTTTGCCTTTTCCATGTTATTGATAAAAGGTTGTTGAGGTTGTGTTGGTACTGGTGCTGGTGGTGTGGGTGCTCTGTAGATAGCAGGTGCTGTAGGCTTTTTTTGGGTAAGCTTTTGATAGGCTGCGAAAGAAACAGCGCCTAGAGCTGCACCACCTAAAACTAAAGTTGCTTTTTCGGCTACCATACGAATAAACAATAACAAGAAAAAGAAAACAAATTGGCCAGGTACAACTGAGTTTATTTTACGGGTGGCTTACGCGCTCAACGGAGTTAGATGCAATAAAGAAGGTGTAAATTCGACACAAAGCGAATACAATCAATGTAACAAAGTAAAGAACAAGGAAAGTATAAGTATATCTCAAGTTGTATTCTGATTCACCTACATCGCTGGCTAATCTAAAAAGTCAATTCAAGTCTTATTGTAAAATTATACAGAAGAAAACATGACATTTTTTTTCTTTTTGGCTGTTTGTTTTGAACGTAGAGAAGTTATCAGGCAAATATTAGCTCGATTACTTCTAGACTCCGTAAAACCAAAATATCAAACTACTTGCTTTTCTCTCATTCTGAATAAGCCATCATACAATGAAAATGTGATGTTATTTGGGTCACAAAAATAAACATCATTTTTACTACCAAAACGCAGGTTCGGGTCGTAAATAGATAAACTACACTGCTAGTGCATTTTTTTAGAAAGAGTTGTGACTCTATCTGTCTACGACATACTATCATGCAAAATTCAAATTAAACAAGCATTTTTCAAAAAGTGGCTTCAATATTTCGATTAGACATAAAAGCAAAAAATGATGAGTGGTTCAAATAACATCAAACAAAACGATTATCATAGGTTGATTTGAAGACGTTACTGAGATATACAAACAAGAATGAAAGGGCTGCTACCCACTGCTAGTAAACTCTTAGTTTGCTGAATGCTGTTTTTTATCGTACCAAGAAAGGCAGCTGCCAGCAAGAAAACGTGAGCAATACGTTTGTAAATGGAACCAATGAATGTATTGAAATGAAAATAAAGAGAAACCAAAAAGAGACAAGAGAAGTATAATCAAGTTCAATGTATTCAACGCGATGGACAAACATTCATTGTGTTTTGTAGACCGCCTAAAGGGTGAAGTAATGAAGATCATTGTGATGCCCTTATTTGTTTTTGAAAACAGTACACTTAACAAAGCTGCGATCAATATGAAGAGGCTTTGTTATGATATTAATGCTATCCTTCTTTGTGACTCATAATCAACTGTAAATCAGTTGATTATGATTGAAGACTTCAAAACGGCAAGAACTTGCAAGTATTTATTTCGAGCAAACAGCGTCCTTGTTTGTATGCAGTGGAATCGGACATAAATATTACTAAGAACAAAAAAGAAAAATATCAGACTTTCCATTTAGAATAACCAAGGCCAACCTGATACACACAAGAGTTTCGATACAAGCAATAGTATGAATACCTTCCTACTTTTTATTATATAATATTATGCTTCCTATTATTCTATAACAATGATTGTCTTTCCGAAAAGATTTTGGGCCGAGCGTAATTTCCTTCTTTGTAAGACTTTGATTAGCGGTGAAATTGGCCAGTGAGAAAACCATGGCTCATTTGCCTAGACTATATACCTTGTTCGAAAATTTACTCCGCACATAGAATCTCCAGATTGCACACAAATCAAACTCATTTTGCACAGTAAAAGGGCTCTTTATTTAAACAAACTTGAAGTTTTGAGTTTTAATAGCTACAAAATACTTTTAAATCCTCAAAATAAACATTATTACAGGCGTCAGTTATTCTTGAACTTAAAGCTTCCTCTTTTAAAAGTCTTTCCCTTTTAATTTTACTCTTGACGACGGATTAAAACTGTTCAATAAGATTGAGCTCAAGAGAATAAGGTGGAAGATATACACATCCATATCCATGACTTTCAATTAATCTTCTAATTTTTTTCCGAGCTATGTATAAGCGCATTGTCCATAATAATGTGGTAGAAACAAAATTGAAGTAATGTCCTGTAACAGTTCCAACAGCTTTCTTTGCTTTAGGTTTACCTACAGTTTTTCTTTTCTTTGAAACCTCTGTATAAGGAACTCTTACTTTGATGTTAGTAATTCCTTGTGAAGAAATTGAACCCAAAATTGCTGTAGTTTCAGCTCTTGCTTTGGGCTGGACAACAGCAGCTCGAGTTCCCCTTTGAGACCATGCCATAGTGCGGCTCAAGTTGACATGGAAGGCGGATTCATCAATAAAGATACAGTTGCTAAGGTAGTCTATATCTGTATTACTAAAGTTGCTCGCTCAGCTGTATCTTGCATCAATACTTTTTTTCTGAATTTTCTTTCTTTAGGTTCAAAGTGTGCCTTTTTCATAGTTAAAGCACAATCTTTGGTCATAAATTCATAAACGGTGGTTTTTGCAGCTTTTAGGCCCACGAAATGTGAAATAAGACTCTCCACTGCTTCATCTACTGTAGCTTTAGAATCTTCACCATACTTTTCCAAGAGGAACTCTTTATGTTTATCACACAAAATCTTGGGACGACCAACTTTCTTTTTTTGCTTTTTCTTCTTCAAGGTCTCGCTTTTCTTGGTTTTCAGTGATTGCATCTTGGTCTTTCTTATACCAATCGTAGGCATTTCGGCAAGGTATTTTCAGCTTCTTTATTGCTTTAGAAACGGTGTAGTCTTTTTCATAAATAAGCTCAAAAAAATCATGCTTTTTATCATTGCTATGCTTCGTATAATTTCTTGTTTTTATACTGTTATTTATAACAGCGTTAGTCTTGATGTCTCTCATCTTTACTTCTCTTTCAGGGGGAAGGAGGGGGGGGAGAGGGCTTTAGATCCAAATATGAATCGTAATCGGTAGTCCTTAGTAAAATTTAGAAAAAAAAGTTTCCACTTGTGCAATCTGAAGACGCTATTTGTGCGGAGTAAACATTTCTTCTATGCAATTCTTTTTTAAATATGTGCAATCAATTCTCGAATAAGGTATATTTATTTCCGCATTTGTACGTGTAAAGTTTTTTTTTTGTGTGTGAATGGGCTGCTCAGGAGTATATAGCGCAGTCAATGCTGATGACGTTGACTTATTGGTCTCGATCAACCAAACAGTATGTTTCGTTTATTTAATTGGCTAAATGCAATCTAAGGGGGGACACGGTTCGGGCGGAGTATGGGTTTTATAAAAAGTTGGGCAAAAAAAAAAAGATATATAAAGGGCCCCCACTTTATTTGAATTCCATCTCTTTTAATTCATACACAATGGCACATCAATTTGGCAGTTGTAAGTAAACAATTCACAACCAATCATTATCATAATAACAATTAAACTATCTATAGTAAATACTTCATTGTCTTCAACATTTGCTAACAAGTTAGTTCAACAAGCATCCCGTGCTTCTGTCAAGCGCAGAAACGATGATGATAGTGACTATGATTACCAACCTGTAAGTATTCATACTATGCCGTTACACTATTTATTGACAAAAAACGATAGTCTAATGCATCAATGTCTTCTGCAAAACGTCATTTTGATCTGAGCACTCAATTCTCTCCTGATGTACCCAAACAAGAGCCACTACCTGCTATCACGTATGCTTCTCCTGATTATAGACCTCCTCCACCTACTGAAACGCCTCTATGGTTGCAGCCTATGCCTAGTACTGCTAATTCGCCCATGACAGAAGATGATTATTTTGAAGATGACAATGCATTGTTGACACCTTCTCTACAGAAACTTCAACAACAACAAGAACAAGAAAAGTCTTATTGGGGCGATATGATGATTGATCAATGGCAACAATAATGTCTATCAAAGGCTCCTTCTTTCCCTTCTGTATATAGTTTTTTTTTTTTCAATATTTAAATGCAAGACACAGATATTTATTTGCATGTAAGAGACAATAAAAAAATTTTAGTCAAGTCACAATCGTGTGATATATCTTTTTTGCATGTAATACAGCCCTATATTGTGCTACAATTAATTCACTTCGGTCGGTTCACACAGTCCGAGGAGCGTTTTTTTATTGTTCAAAGACACTGGAGATTGTATAATGAGGATTGTCTTGAGAGTTGTGTGCCCAGTGGATTAATTTTAGTGTGTTTGATAAAGATAGATCGTAATCTAAAAAATGTAGGAATTCATGTTCCATTCGTATTATTTGGAAATGACGTTCATTGGTTGATGTAGAACCAGAAGGGTTATTATTGGTTGTATTATTGGTATTGATTGTTATATTGTTGAATGTCGTAGACTTACTACGAGATTGGAAGTAATGGTATTTTAAAGGATCCGAGTCAGAATAGAATGTTTTGGGTGATGTAGGCGGCGAAGGCAATAGTTCTTGTTCACTGCAAGGCGGCATGATAGGTGGCAATTTTTTAGTAGGGGTATCTTTCTCGCCATTCAAAGCCGATGGTGAAGTATGGATGATAGATTTGAGGTTTGCATGCATGAATTTGGCTGCTATCATATATGCAATCATAATAAGACGATGGGCACACCCAGATGTTCCTTGTATGTGCTTGTACTTCTGTTTAAGTCGCTCAATATAGCCTATTGCAATCAATATCGTGACTGTGGGTGACACGGACTGCGTAGGGATATGGCTTCGGCAAAATTGTTGTAGTGCTTCTTCAAATGGCTTTTCAGGGCATAATAATGTCGTATCCAATAAATTTGTCATGAATTTAGCCAGATCTTCAATTTTTTCTTGCTTAGGGTTAGATTCCCAAGAACGAGTTACGAAATTTGCAAGGTTATCTACGTACATATATATTTATTAGTTTGACAGGTTTGTAGGGCTGAAAATAGACATTACAAACACAGCTTTGGCTCAAACGACGCCGCCCATTCATTTGGATTGCTTGCAACAATGAGCATGCTTGATGATAATTGAAGGTATAAGCATCATTCATTCGATTATTACTATTAGTGTTGCTATCGCTTGGTTTTCTGTGGTAAGGCTCTGTTGTTGAGTGGGTATTATTTTTACTTTTGGACTGATATAAGTTGGCTTTCATAAGAATTAGATGAAGGAGAAGACTGGAAAAGACAAGAAAAAAAGAAGGATTTGTATAACAAGAGCCTTTAAAATATCTATCAGCTTAAATGAACATCCGTTTTTGCATAAAAAAACAATTTTTATCTGGTTAAACTGAATAGCCGGCTACATTCTTTACTCCCTATTCGTAGCACCGGGCCGATAACTCACGCCACATAGTACAAATCATGATCACTATTATTTTTTTGCTTCAAATAAAGAAATAAGGACCTGCATGACACTACTCTTAAAGAAGCTAAAAAAGTGTGAAGAAGTTATTTCTTTTACTCATCGGCAAGTTTTTCCGCGACCTCGCTATTACTAATTTTATAGGATGAAAAAAAAGGGGAAGAAGCCTCGATAATCGGGCTATTTCTAATGTGCGCGTTTATGTGCCATTAGTCATATAAAACGTAATTTTTTGATTTAGTAGCACAACAATTAACCGAGTGAGTTTTTTTTTTTTTTTTTTTTTTTTTTTTTTGGATCGAATGAAATGAGTGGTTTACAAAATGAGATGGTTACACTTTTTTCGTAATCATGTGCCTATTTTATTTTGGTTCAGCTCTTATTTTTTTGTCAATATGATGCTATGCTTGATACCATTACATTCGCTTACCGAAAGAAAAAATGCGCCTACGATGCAAGTACCTTCAAATACATCATGGGTTTCTCCCAAACATGATTACTTGTATTCAGATCACCCTCAAATTTTCTTCTTTTTATGTGTACTCTTTGAGGTTTATCCAGCTATTTAACGGGCTCATTAATGGTCCTGCAATTGTCTCTTGTTCTTGAAAAATGTTATTCAAACTGCAAGTAAACAATTCTACTCGAATGTAGACAACAGAAGCAGTACTTTTAATGCTTGAACCCTAATTCTTCCATATTTCCCTGGAAAGATAAATCCTGCTATTGTTGTTTGCGGTCTTGTTGGTTTCATCGATGACTTCTTCTGAAAACAGCAACGCGTAGCATACCTTATAATTTAGAATACTGCGCTTTTTATTTGTCATATTCTCCACAAATTTATTTTTGTTGAGACAATGGCTTCTTGATTCTTTGTTTACGTTAACTATGCTTTTGAACTCAAAATAGTTCTGGTGTCTCAAAAAATGATCACATTGATCATTGTCTGGCGTGATCTGCAAAATTGAGAATTAGGATATTTGTATTTATTTCAGATGATTTTGCAGATCCTAAATTAGGTACACTTTCCTTTGACACAGTCTTGCTTACAATCACTTTCAGTGAGACAACAAGCGTTCTTAGGACCATTGCCATTTTTCTTGCCACTATAGCCACTAGTACAACTAGAAGCAGGTGTAGCAGTAGGTGTACTATTTGGTTTCGTACTTGTAGTTCTCTTAGTAGTGGTTGTAGTTTTTTTCGTTGTTGTAGTTGTTAGTTTTTTGGTGGTAGTCATCGTGGGTTTGGTAGTGGTTATAGTCTTTTTGGTAGTCGTAGTCTTCTTTGTTGATGTTGTTGTGGGCTTAGTAGTAGTTGTGGTCTTTCTTGTTGATGTTGTTGATGTTGTTGTAGGCTTGGTAGTTGTAGTTGTAGTTGTAGTCTTTTTTGTTGATGTTGCTGATGTTGTTGTTGATGTAGGATTAATAGCTGTAGCTGTAGTTTTGGTGGTTGTGGTAGTAGTTTTGGAAGTTGTTGTAATAGTGGTAGTGGTAGACTTGGAAGTAGTCGCTGGCTCTATAGTTGTTGTGGTGGTGGTCTTATGCTCTGCAGTGGTTGTGATTGTTGTTGTGATAGTGTCAGATTCTTTAGTAGTTGTGCTTGCAGTGTCTGTAATAGTAGCAGCTTCTGTAGCAGTAATTTTTGTAGTGGCTGTTGTAGTGGTTGATTCACCATGGGCGGGACAATTATAGTAGCTATGTCCATCTACTTTATCTTTTCCGCCGTTAATACATTTAATAGGTCCACCAGAACTTTCTCCGAACAATACACCAGGTATAGTAGTACTACCAATCTTTGGGAAAATAACAGCCGGCTCATAATCATCTTGATTGAGACAGTTTTCAGCATCAAGTTTAGCTATTGTGCCTTCTTCGCCGTCAAAGAATTGTGTGCATGCAAATTTGCACTCATTGACGCTAAGGCAAAGACGAATTTCAGCATGATCTTCATCAGGTGGATAGACATCAACACGGAACTGACGAATAGCAGAAGCAAACGAAGATGCTGTGATAGCAAGAACCGATAAACAAGACCAAGTCACTCTCATGTCGATGAGAGAAAAGAAGAGGAAGATGAAAAGGCATCGCACAACATTTTAGCTTTTTTTGAATTAATTATTGGTCTTGCGATTTACGCTTTATTGTGAAAGCAAAGGTGGTACGATGACAATTTGAAGCTTTCTCCGGATTGTCGTGCTCAACTACTTTTTGAGGTCTGTTCCTTTTTATCTAAGCTCCGCATATGACCCAGAACAAGGAAAAGACTTTTATACCATCCTATACTACTTATAAAGAGGATAATGAAATATAAACAATTGCTAAAAATCTCTACCACTATTTTATTTTAAAAGAGCAACTTAATGAGATTTTAACTCGTGTAGCAATTATTAAATAAACTAATGTTGACCTCTTAAAAAAAGCTATGCAGTTTGTGATTATTTCAAAGAAAAAACGGAGTTCTTAGACTGTGTCTTCAAATCATTCGAAGCTATTATTATGATGACAAAGCCAACAGTGACAGAAGGCCGAATCAATACTTCAATTGAATAAGTATGTAAAGACCGTGAGACAAAAGTTGTCGATTATATACAGCTCTTTATATGCAATGTATAATTTGTACATATAAGATGTTGCTAAAAGGATGACACGAATGGAATAGTCTTTGTCGTATAAATGTTATTCAATCGTTTTTTTAACGAACAGGAGTGAAGAAACTTGATGTGCTTACTACCTATATTAAATCACCAAGTTTTTACCAGAAAAAACGTTTTTAGTTGCACATTCTATTTCACTTGTCTTTATCTATACCTTCAAAGAAATAATTTTAGCCGATCAACGGACATTTATCAGTAGAATATTTGCGTGATGCAGACATTGTCTATGTATACAGATGCTCCAGAAAAACAATACAGGAAACAATAAAGGATTGTTTAATCATTGAGCGTTACAAAAATTATGTTAAATCGACTAAAATTCGGTTCATCGAACTCATTAGACTCAATGAATTAAATACATTTTTAAACAGGAGAGTTTATTTGAATAAACGGTTTAGTAACAGATACGCCAGACAAACAAATATTTCAGCAGTGAAAGTATAGCAATTTATGCAAATCTTCTTTTTCTTAGGCATTTAAGGGTAAAATAAGGCCTGTTTGCACTCACATAAACTCTAAACTTTCATAAACAATGTCTACTAGCATACACTATACTTTTGGAGTTGATATAGACAAAAAAAGCGACTTGTAAAATTTGACAAAAATAATTTTAACAAATTCCGATAAAAGTTCATAAAATTGATAAAAATTTTTAAAAATTGTTAAATTCAACAAAAATGTCAAGAAAATACTGTAGAAAAATACTGCCAAGAAACAATGTTATTGTGAATATGTACATGAATTCATAGGCACAGATTAATAAACGATGATTGTGACAAGAGACCAGATCACATATATGGTAATTACAATGCATCTATGGTCACTGACATTCACTTGTTCTAACAAAAGTACTACATCATCCTCATAGTCAGAGATCATTGACATTGTGACTTTACTATTATTGCTATTATTAATGGCACTCATAAAATGACAGTTGGAGCTGACAAATGCATTAGTATCGGCATTGTTAAACATGTAACATTTTATTATTCCAGTTCAGGTCAGACCATTTGTTTTTGGCTGAGCTGACAACCTCTTTAAAGGCATTTCTCTAATTGTCCCTGATCTAACAAATCAATTTATAGGTAAGAAACTAATCCCAAAATTTTATCATATTTCTTCTAAAAATGGAAGATCTATACAATTTCCAAAGGAATTCATCTATGTCTTGCCTTTTTGATGTAAATCTATTTTCTCTTCATCTTACAATAAATGTTAAAATATGGCATCTTAATAATATTTTATTTTCAGACTCCACAGTCATTTATGCCGACATACAAGTGTGCCATTTGTGTACTTAAAAAAATTTTTCAAGGAAAAATAAAAACAACCATCTTAAAATAAATCAAAAGTATTTTCTGCATTAACAAAAACCAAAAAAAAAGTAGAAAATTTCTGATTTTCCTGTTTTAAATTAACAAAAAAGCTTGTTTTTCAATTTTTAAGTTTTAAATTAATAAACAAGTCTACCGACCAGTAACCTCTTCTTTAAACTAAAACAGCAAAATCATCATCCGGTAGACTTGTTTATTAATTTAAAACTTAAAAATTGAAAAACAAGCTTTTTTGTTAATTTAAAACAGGAAAATCAGAAATTTTCTACTTTTTTTTTGGTTTTTGTTAATGCAGAAAATACTTTTGATTTATTTTAAGATGGTTGTTTTTATTTTTCCTTGAAAATTTTTTTTAAGTACACAAATGGCACACTTGCATGTCGGCATAAATGTTAAAAATTAATTAATTTTTTTCTAGAAATTCATTACATCCATTGAAGGATTTTGATGTTTACAAATTTTGCAACTTTTAGAAAAAGTGCAAAGCCGTAAAGTTTGTGATATATAATCAAAAAAGATAGCTAAAGCGATAGAAAAAGAAGCAGCAACTAAACTTATAAAAGACAGAACTCTCTAGTGAACATAATGGAGTTGCCAAATATGTGTAGATAATGTTTATTTCTATCTTAAAGATACCTCCGATTTCAGCATAATAATCAAAATCTGTATTAATATTCCCCCCCAAACCAGGCAACATTCTTAGACACCGCTTAGGATGGCTCTAGAGAGTACGTTTTTTTTAATGTTAAATTGAGCTACGATGTAGCAGTTTGCAATACCATTAGAGCTGCTCTGTCTAACACCAGTTCATATTGTTTTGCACCATTAAGTTGGGAACTATAGGGATTTATTCTTTCACTATGTCTAATTACTACCATATTAATAGTCTTTCTCAACTGATGTATGCTGCATCCATGATCGACAATATGTTCGCAAACGAGTTCATTACTTGTGTCGATTGTTTATTTTATACAGGCAATGTTGTGTCAATTGCTCCTGAGAAGTATTTTCAATCTCTCTTTGATCAATATGCTGAGCATAGTCTCACACTAGACCATAGATGGGACTCTACTAAATACGATATTGTCATACCTAAGAAAGACATCGCTGTGTATATTCTTCCTGATATAGTCATCCCATGACAAGACATCTTTTCCTATCTCTGATTTCTTTCAGAACCAGAGAGATTTTTAGGCATAAAGGCTTAGTATAAGCAATTTCTAAGAACGATCACTCGAATATGACCCTACTATTCTCTATTGATACGAACAACACTGGTTTATCTTGCTTCCTATGAACAATCTCAAGCGCAGCTGTCTAATTTGCTGACGACTCGTTTTGCTACCTGGAGAGAACCCTAAGCCTTGTTTATATAGTGCAAACTTTTCTCATCCACTTTTCATCTAATGCCTTAAACTGCATACTGCGTTTGACCAACTTACAACTGTCTCTAATCCTCTGCCCTACATGTTAGACTGACTCTTCACAAAACCAACCAAGGATACCTGCTCTGTATTTTATTAGGGTGCCAAATGGACCTTATCAATTCCATTTCATTCCAAATCCCCTCAATGCAGCATGCTACCACAAACATTCTGCTCTTTTTGACAATTAATCAGCTGTTTCTCTTTCTTCTTTGGCTACACACATACGCCTGCAATCATTATCACATCAGCACTTTTCCCTCTATATTTCTTTGTCCTTGTTCCCTTAAGAAGTATTTTAGTCTAGTTTAGTTATTCTTATGAATTGACCAAATCCTAGCAGTTTGGACTAATTCTAGCCTTATACTTAAGATTGCTTTTCATACTGAATAAATAAATTTGACAAAATTTATGCAGATACAAAAGTATGCCATTTAGGTTGACAAAAACGAAATTTTTTTAAAAACAATTACTTTCAAGTAGAAAGAAATTTGATTTTTCACTTTTTTTTTTTTTTTTTTTTTTTTTTTTTTTTTTTTTTTGTTTAAACTAGATCAAATAAACAGTTTTAACTAGATTTTTATTGTTCTCTACTAAACCATGGTTATTCATTGTCATCTGTGCGTATTCATGTTTACCCAGGGTCATTCACGTTCACCCATGCTCATCCATTATTACACTTGTTCATCCATGTTCATCTGTATTCATTCATGCTATTCGTTGATACTTTGTCAATGTCAAAATAAGAGTGAAAAATTAAGATCAAACAAAGAATGCGTTTTATTGAGTCAGAAATAGGTTCATATTTATAGATGATTGCTTGCATCAGAATACAGCATGATCTGTAGAGACCTTTATTCCATACAAGAACCTTAAATAGTAATTTACTGATTACTGCAGTACAACGATTTGCATTAAATGAAAATCGTTTGTTGTCCATTAATGTAAGTGCTTTTTTTTTTTTTTTTTGGTCCAAATCAACTCCAAAGGTACCTGTATGTTAACAAACATTGTTTGTGAGTAGCTAAAGTATTTATGTATGCATAAACAGGCTTTACAAAACCTTCGTAAGTCTAAGGAAAAGACAATGATTTGTATGGATTGCCGTCTTGTTTTACTATCAAAGCATTCATCTGCCTGTAGCCTTTGTTACATGAATAAGTCCTACATCATCAAGTAGCTTACTTGAATATACTATCTTGATAAAGAATTCCTTGGTTTACCTAAATTAAAAAAAAAAAAGAGATTGTTTGCTCATAAAAGTGTCAAAGTGTTGGAAACTTATATGATACATTAAATCTAATACGGATGACTGTACATTATCATATACTCACTGCTCTAATTTAATTACTCGTTTTATCTATAATAAAGAGACATACAGCTCAAGAGGTACAATGTCACTGGCAACCTATGAAATTTGGCCAAAATGACTTTTGATTCAAAAAGTACTACTCGTGAAAATTATCCATTTGATAACTTCTGATCTTCTATTTGACGCTACAAGGCAAAAAATAGAGCTACTGACAAGTTTAAATACTCAAAATATGTGCAAGGCACTATAGTTTTCGATCAAAGTATTTGCTTTTCAAATAGATTATGAAAATGATGAAATACAAGCAAGAACTCTCGAAACGTTTTCACACGTCAACACAATATTTCACCAGCAATAAGGTTATATTATTTACATCAATAGGCTCAGAAAGCAAAGGTCTATATTTTTTTCTATTGCATCAAAGCCTAATTTTTTATGCAACAGGATGAACAATTGGATTTCTATCTATTATTTAGTAGAATTCTTTTGCTTGAATTTGAATAGGACGACTAAGTTTGAAAGGATGTGCTTCTGTGTTGAAGACGTATTCGTCCAACGAGATCAAGTTGGTATCACTAAAGATCAAATAAAGATATTTGAGGGTTTCAGCAAAAAAGTAGCTATAAGAAGCAATTAAAGGTCTTTTCTTCAAGCAAACATCTATACCTTTCTTCAAAATCTAAAGGTCCAACATCTTGCATGTTGGTCACATCAGCAATACGAGTGTAGCCAGAAGATGTCTTACAGTACGTTTCAATAGCTTCAAAAATTTTCCAGGCCTTATCCTATAGAATGTACATACCAAAGAATTAGTCAGAAACGAAATGGATTAACAACATCCATTATACCTGGTATGACTTGTCACCTGTAATACGGTAGAAGTAAAACAAACTTTCAATTGTTTCTAGATTATTAACATAAAAGTATTAGGGCGATTATGTAAGTTAAATATATCCATACCAGGTCTTAAATCGTACCCTGTATCTTGAGCTACAAAACCTGCGGTGGACATCATCTTTTGCATAATATCAGGATAAGCAGCCATGTTTTGGTCCTTGTCAATCCAACTCCAAGTCTCGGGAGCCAAACCAGTAGGAGAATTAGTCCAGGTATCGTAGCATGATTGCATAAGTTCAGCAGCAAACATGCCTATACTTTCATCTTGCAAATAGCGTGCACCAAGTAACAAATTACCAGGGATAAAACATACCTAACCTAAATGTCAGAAATGCCGATTTGTTTTTTAGGTCGTTGGTATACCAATTCTCCACTTTGTAACAATTTGTAGTATTGCTCAAATTCAGCAAGATAGACCTTTCCATTGTGAGTTTCTGAACGAAGATAGTGTTTCATACTATCTACAGAAGTTTTCCACATATCAAGTTGGAGTTCTTCTTCACCACCCATAAGAATGTGCGTCTTTAAAAGGTATTCATAGTAACTGTCAGCACCGCCAGAAATGGTAATATAGGCTATACAAAAAAAAAAAAAAGCCATTGTAAGAACATATAAAAAGCAACTGAGCTTTTACTTACTATTAGTGGGTGCGAATCTTTCCAAGTCCCAAATCATGGGATATAAACCTGGCATTCTTGAAGGCACTTCAGAAATCATTTCAATAATATGATTACCAGCACGTTCATATCGATCATCACCAGTGACTTGACTGAGTCTAACAAGTTCTAATTGAAGGGAACCGAATTCAGCCAAGACTATTTCCGTGTCTCTAATGGGTCTTCCTCTAATGAGAGCACGGTGTATTAGAAAAAGTGCATCAAAAAGCAAACAAGATTCTTACGTAACAACATTTACAAAGGCAGCAGGTATACGATTGGGTGTATCGAAAGCGGGCATAATTACATATTCAGCTAGTTCCCTTGCTTTTTCAAGCAAGATGGGATCAGGTCTAAGATCATAAGCAGACAAAAGACCACCCAAGTAACGGATATTGGTTTCAAAGGTCTTGGAGGGCTCTTCACTATGAGTCCAATCAACTCTTCTTACATGCTCAAAAGCTTGTTGATATTCTTCTTCCAAACCCATAATAAGCAATGTGTCAAGAGCATCAAAGATGGTAGCTGTTTTTGAGTAACTGTGTTAACCTAGCATATTATTAATAGAGAGATTATCTTACCTCCCCAGCCATTTCTATATAAAATGGTAAGCTTTGTTTTTAAAACATAAACTATAACCTACCTAGAATCTGTAGTACCGTTTGTCATGGGCTGTAATTCGTCATGACCGTACGCATAATCAGTGTATCCTTTCCAGGCATGTCTAAATGCATTTCTAACCATTTCAGCTCTATGATCTGTATTAGGAATTGTAGTCTCGTTTGTGATCTGAAGGGCCGGTCCGCCTGCAATTCCGTTTGTAAATTGAGCACTAGTCTCATTTGTTGTGGCATTCACAGCTGATAATTGTAAGCAAATTGCTGCCAAAGCAGACAATCTCAATACGGTCTTCATGATTAGTACAAAAGATTCAAAAAAAAGAAAAATACAAAGAGAAGAACAAGAATGAATGAATTTATGCACATACTTAAAGCATCGGAACATATTGCTAATTTAACAAAATGGCGATTCCAACTATGTTTTTTTCCTTTCATGAACTCTATGAGTTCTGTGCGTCAACCCCTTATACCAATTACTCTAGGACTATTTATATAATACAATTAGAATGTTTTTTTTAGCTTTATTCTAGTACGTCGCCCCATTGGTTCTTTCGGGAGCTTCCACTCTTTTGCAAGACCTCTTCTCGCGTTCTTGGTAGTTCTTCTACATCAAACCCAGAATTTTCACGAAGTCTACTTGCTGTCTTTTCTCTTGCCTTAGCAAGGTCTTCAGGGGAGGTTTTCTGTGCCTCCTGGCGAATTCTTGCCCAGGTGTTATTGGGTAAGTTTTCTGCTCGAATCTTATCCCAAGCACTAGGCTGCTGAAGTTGTTGCTGGCGCGCTTTCGTTTCAGTGAATTGATCTTGTTGATCTGTAATATTCATATCGCTTTTGTTTGTTTGTCTATCGATCGGCATTCCCCATCCTAGCAGACAAAGTTGGTATACACAAATAACCTATTCGCCAATGTTTTACCTAATTCACCCAGTGTGTTTTCGTTGATATCAGGTGAAAATGAATCTTGAGGATTCTGAGCTTGATTCAATTCCTGCGATGACATTAAAGGTGGTCGAACAGTGTTTCTATTCTGTGGTGCATTTGGTATTTTTCTTTTCATAGCTTCCAATCTATGTACAATGATAAGTAGGGGAAAAAATGAACTCCCAATTCACTTACTGCACTTCTCGTATTACATTGATAAGACGTTGAGGATTAGGCAAAGAATTAATTGTCTTCACTCCTGCCAATGCACCCGAAATTAAACCCATTTGTGAACCCATAAGGAAACCACCACCTGTTACTGCGAGTAATTGAATGGGATTGAATCTCTTTCTTTTGCCTATTTTGAGTTAGTGCAATGATATAAAAGCACAGCCATACCTATAAGGAAAGCAGTGGTTGCACCTGCCATACCGCCAGTATAAGCTATATAATATTGACTTAGATTATTTCAAACGTTCTCGACAACTTACTATGAGTTTGAAGCTGCCCTCTTGCTGTTTCGATAGCCTTTACTTCTTGTTCTGTTAAGTTGTGTTCTTTTACTTTTTCGTGTACACGAGCATAAACGTCGTCGTTAAGCGCAGCCATATTTGTTTGATAAAGTAAAAAAAAAAAAAAATGAAAAATGAAAAGATTATTTCATGCCCTAGTGTTGGGCTACTGTACACAGACATGATGTGACGTTTTTTGCTGTTGCTTTGAAGGCCAGCAAGACCAATAAATCACGTACAAAGGAGTAACTCTCATTTGCATTACAGAAAATGGCTGACAGATACGCTCATTTTTAAATATGATCTATTGATGAATGACTTGAAGCTTCTGTACGCTATTTTTGGCTCAAGCCATATGCGAGATAAAATTAGAAATTCATTAGAGTTTCTACATCTAGAATGTATTTTTTCTGTCCCTTAAACAACATTTTTTTTTTAGAAAAAGATATACTGTTGCAATTCATCTATATTTTAAAACAGACGAAGCTCTTGAGAAACCTGAATGGAAAGTATGTTCAAACCATAAAGAACTGTGATTGACATTCCATAGGAAGGAATTCTTGAATACACAAATCATAGAGGATACGTTCTGTGAGAAGCTGCAGGAAAACAAGGAATCAACATATCACTATACAACTAAGACAAAGAGTTGCATAATGACTAATTTCTTTTTCAGCCGTGATTAAAAAAAAAAAAAAGAGACTGTTGCTACTGATAATTTTACTATACAGGGATCTATCCGCGAATTGTACAGTTTAGAGTAAGCTTGTATAGTTATTTATGTAGATAAGTATATAAGCATTTATTAGCTTTATACTGAGCAAAGAAATTAAAAATACCCATTGTAATGTTGCACCTGCTTCCTAATGCCAATAGGCTTTTAATTTTCACAAATCCGCTCCACTGAAGATAAGAAAGTTAGAATTGGAGAAAAGCCTTGTTTGTCTACCTATTTTCGTTTTTTTAATGCATACGCCATGACTCAAAATTTCCATTATTGGACTTGAGCCCTTTTTCTTTTCTTGTACCTGATAATGTAGGGTCATTGTTTGCTACTGCACCACCTATGATAGTTAATGCAACCGACTTGATCAAAACAAAATTGTTTTAATTGATTTAGACTAACCATATTCAACTCCCTCATATTCTTGTCAAGAGCACTGTTAACCCTTGTATCGACATGTTCTTGTTCATTATGCCAAAAACTCAAGAAGGATATGTACCAGGTATGGACTGTCCTTACACGTGTTTTAGACACTGGCTCGTGATTTAAAATGGGTACTTGGTGAGACGATTTTACTGCTAGTGGCTTGAATAAACGCTGTTGTCATTAGTTTGACAATGAAGCGAAAGTTGTCATAAGCATATTGAGCTGCGCATTATGTTTGGTATTTCTATTGTTTTGGTAATGAAGCCTCATTCAAAGTTGATAGCACAACTAATGCAAAAATAGAAATAGAAAAATCTTTCTTTTTTTTTCTTTACCTATTTTCTACATTAATGGCTGCATTGTGACAGTACGATACCGTTGTACTCCTTCAAGCATTTGATGTAGATGGCGTGGTGTTTATAGACAATTGCATATTCCCATAATTCCTTAGCCTTGTAGTGATTAAGGAAGTTTCGTCTTTAGATAATAACATTTATGTTAGTAGTGGTTTTTATTTTCTTTTATTATGAAATTGCTTGCCTGAAACTATTGATTTCTCGAGATGCAACGCCTCTATAGTGTCAATGGGTACAAGCGATGTACAATCACGTGTTGACACAAAGGTGACAGAAAGTAAAAAGCTCTACTTTATCACCCTTGACTTGCCTTAATAATAAAGCTATCTCGATGAAATAAACTTTCATGTAAATATTTGTTACTTCATTTTCAGTTGTATATACATACACACAGTTTTATCAAAGATATAGTCGCTTTGTCAACAGTTATTCTATACATATATGCCCTATATAAACACCTATTGCACGCATGCTTCTTCTCTTAACAAACTCATATATTTCACATGCCAAATACAAATATATACTTTGTATATTCTTCTTTGCATTTGTTGGCCTTGTACAACCAACTCGGGGAGATTTAAGGTGTTATATACCAACATCTTTACACTGTATCATCAAGCGGACGCATTATAAGATAATAAACGAAAATTTTCATCTTTTATAATCTTTTTTTTTATTCATATTCAATGCTCCTTAATAAATTTGGTATTCAATGTTTGATGGACTCTAAATAATTTCATAGCCATTTTATCCTGCTTGCATCATTTTTTATTGCATAAAAGAATTTAACTGTTTCTGCTGCCATTAACAAATGATAAAGTAACAACAGATTCCTTATTTTATAGCATAAAGTGGTTTATTGATTTGCATGGTATAAATTTTCTCTGTCTAGACAAAATATTTTCGGAATAAGGTGTACATTGAAAACGCATATTGATCCCCTAGTGTCACCACGTGTCATTTTAATGCGCTTGTTTCTCTTCAAAAAGGAAACAGGCGACGAGTATTTTGAGAGAATTTCATAAAAACCAGCGAGCCAAAGTACATGAGTGCCTCCATAATTAAGTACACACATGTATAAAGAGAAAGAGAGAATTGCCTCACAGCGGAAATCATAAAATCAAAGTATGACAAAGGTAACTGATGACGCTATTTGGTTGGTCATCCCTCTCTTCGCATTCAAATCATATTTATTCTTGCTTTTTCCAGTTTTTTTTTTTTTTTTTTTCACTCCTTTCTTTTGCTTTCTCCTTTTTTTTCTTATATATTTTATTTATTTTGTACATAGGGAAGCTATTTTTTTTAGAGAAAAAGGTACCATAGACATTTTAAGGTTTTTATTAAACTTCTCTTTTTATTATAGTGATATGGCAACTTCAGACGTCAAAGGTAACAAAGAAGAAGGAACTGTAGAGAGAAAGGCTCCAGAAGTCCAGCATGCATTTGTCACGCCAACTTCTCCACCTTACCCACCCTATGGTGCATACATTGACCCAGTTCAGCTTCAAGGTGGCTATGAAATATCTGATCCTGTCAACTTTACCTATGTGTATCCTCTCAGCCCTCAATTTTCTGTCCAATACTATACTGCTGATTATGGAAATGGGTATCAAAGTTATCCTGGATCACCTTCATTGCATCCACAATCACCTCCTATTAATCCTGCCAGCCCACCTTTTAGTCCCACTTTCCAATACCAACAAGGCATCACGCTCTCACCTCCTACACATGCCTATGTCCTGCCACCTCATTCACAACCTTTTCCTCCACTTCATATCAGTTCACCTGTATTGACAGGCACTAGCTCGACACCAGGCTCGCCTCCTCACCAATACCTTCCAGGTCCTTACATTATTCAGACGGATAGAAGCAGTAAAAGAAGCCAAGTGCAACAACAACTTGAAACAGAAGCCAATCACTATCATACTCATAATGTTTATGTCCGTGGATTGTCTAGTTCGACTACAGATGAATCATTTTTGGAAATGTGTCAAGTGTAAGAATACTCTAATTTTAGACCCCTCTATATGAATATTAAATCTCGTTCTTTTGATAGATATGGTCCTATTGCATCTTCCAAGGCAATCATTGACCAAAAGACAGGCGAATGTAAGGGCTATGGTTTTGCTATGTTTGAAAACGAAAAAGAGGGTGAAGAAGCAATTACAGGTTTAAACAAAGCCGGTCTCCAGGCTTCATTTGCCCGAGTTGGACAAGTAAGTGCATGATCTACTCATTCGATTTACTAAGCGAAACTTGACAGGAATCTTTCAGTTCAAAACTAAGATATCTTCAAGATGAGAACTCTACCAACATTTATATTTCAAATTTACCATTGGATACTACAGAACAAGTAAATTGCTTCTATAGAATATTGAATAGAATCACTTACACAATATAGAAACTTGAAGAGCTCTTCCTTCCATATCCAACAATTTCAAATCGTATTTTGCGTGATCCTCAATCTGGTTTAAGCCGAGGTGTGGGCTTTGCAAGGTAATAGCAATGTACATTTCTGTCAAATCTAAATTCAATAGATTAACTGACCGCGAATCAGCATCGGCTATCATTGAAAAGTTTAACGGACATACAATTGAAGGATCTTCTGCACCACTACAAGTACGTTTTGCCGACTCTCCAGCACAAAAGAAATTAAAGAGTCAAACAGCACGCAGTCGAAGAGTAGTAGGTCCTCGTGACTTTCAGCCTATGGCTACATTTTCTATGAGACCAATGATGCCTATTACACCCGAAACCATGTTAGGCATAGCTCCTTCAAATCACCATGCGTACTATCCTCACCACCCAACTGCTGACCCCCATTTCCATCAGACACAACAGTAAGTTTATTCTGACAGCTAAGCCCTATTTTCTTTCGTTTCATTGAACCCTTTTTTTTTTTTTTTTTTTTTTTTTTTAATATCAGATGTTCCGCTACTACTCATGTAACACCTGCTAAACAACAAAATAATGATGACAACCTTGCCAAAGATCTAGAACAAAAACTCAAGTTTTCAGAGACAGACACTAATAATACATCATCACCATCACCACCACCTTCAACATAAAGAAAAAATATATAGAGAGATACGACAATAAATAAATAAAAAGATTTATTTTTCAATAAAGGTATTTCTGTACTTTAGAGGAGCATCATCATCGTTGAAGTCTTCTTTAGCCCAAAATGGCAGTTCAGTTTCATATTCCCAACCACTAGCTGAATAACGCCAAGCATGTAAGAAGATACACAGTTGATCATAGTTCTTTCCTAATACAAGTGATGCACTGCATTCTGAGCAGCGTGTATTATCCGAGTCGTCTAGAGAAGGCGTTTCGGCCAGAACAGGCTGACCTGATTCGTCCCATTCTTCCATAGGAGAGTACTCAAACAGTTTGTCAACTAATAAGCGAGCATCTTTGTCTTCCATTCTTTCACCGGGCCGAATAAAAGGTGCCCAAGAAGTACCATTACCATAGAGTGGATCATTTGAGATTGGATACCCTAGGTAACGAAGATGAACTCGGATTTGATGTGTGCGACCTGTCAAAGGTTTACAGCGCACAACACTGGTTTTACCATTGTAGCTGAGACGTTGGAATTTAGTAACAGAAGGTTTACCATCTTGATGAACATAATTGACAGACATTTTATGTGAAATACATTTGATGGGCGCATCACAAACAATTTCACCACTAGCGATCATAGTTTAGTTTATGCAATCAAATATAAATATATAGACTTACTCTGGAAATTTGCCGTCAACTCGACAAATGTATTCTTTCCTGATGGAGCCTGCAGACATTTCGCGTTCTAATTGTTTTGCTCTAGCTGAATTGCGTGCAATCAACATTAAACCAGATGTAGGCAAGTCAAGTCGATTTGCAGCTAAATAAAGTATTAATACAAAAAAGAAATGAACAAGCATGACTTACGATAGAGTTTTGCAATGTCCCTTTCTTTTCTTAGCACATGAATAATTGTATTGTGTCTATAGCGACCTGCTGGATGGACTGGGATACCTCCAGGCTTATCGACTACAAAAAGATCATCATCTTCATACACAACTTTAATAGGTTGATCTGTACAAGGAGGTTCATGGCGATGAATTTTGTGACCAATGACGTCTGAAGTCTTGATAATTGTATCTGTTGTCACTTTTTGATCATTGATAGTAAGTAGACCTCTCTCAATCGCATACCGCTAACAAGGATAACAAGTAAGTATAGGTACAAACAACCTGATAAATTACATAATATTCTTCACTACGATCTCTAAATTCTGAGGCAAATACTTCAAGTATACTTCTTCCTAACCAACGACCCTTTGCATATGATTTATATTCAAAGTAATAAGGCTTGACTTTACGCATTTCTATAAAAAAAAAAAAAAGTTTGTTAATTCACGACAGAAAGAAATAAAATCAGGCACCATCTTCAAAAAAGTAATGTGCTGTATGCATATCATCAATGTCTCTAAAATCGTCTTCTTTTCTTCGCTTGTGTCTTTTCCCGAGCGGAATCTCTTTATTCTTGGCCATTTGATAATAAGGATTTGTCTTAGCCATAAGACGCTTTCTTTCTGCCTTTTCCTCTTTTGTTTCCTTTTTTGTCTTCTTTTTCTGAGGCTATTCTCGGTACATTAGATTGTTGTACACAATTTATGCTATGTTTTACTTGTTGAACGACCTCTTCGAATTCCTTTTTATCGAGATCTCTTTTATGCTCCTCTAAACCCATGATCTTGAAAAAAGAAAATGAAAAAAAAAAAATATGAAAAAATAAGGAGAAAAAGCCACAATTTAAATGTTTCCATTTGACAGCATGAATAGGTTGTTTATTTCGCAAATAAATCAGGCTTGTTTAGAAAACAAGGGCAGCACCCTTAGTCTTCTTGTCACCACCCAATTCAAAGTGCTTACATCTCTTGATGGCGAGTTGCATCTTGTACTTGCAAGCTATGACAATGTCAGTCATCATTCAAAACTACAATTTAGCAACTTACAGGTACATTCGAGACGGAGGACGATCTTTTTGGTAGTCTTGGCCTTCTTGTGGAAAACGGGCTTGGTTTGACCACCATAACCAGATTGCTTACGGTCATAACGTCTCTTACCTTGGGCGAAGAGAGAGGCCTTACCAGCCTTGTATTGGGTGACTTTGTGAGGAGTGTGCTTTCTACACTTGGAACCCTTACAGTAGGTGTTACGGGTCTTGGGAATGTTGACCTAAAAGTCGATCATTTAGTGTTTGTTCTAATCGTGTTTGTGCGCTTTTATCATCCATCCATCTATCTATCTATCCATCCATCTCTTTTATGCTCTTCCATCTCTCCCTTGAGCTCATATTCCGCTCCATCCGTAGTGAATACATACCATGATGAAAGGAGGAAGTTATCTCATTTGGCATCATTTGCGGGTATTTTCAGCTCATTGATTCCTTACACTTCCAATGTCATTTTTTCACTTCTCCTCTCGCTTATTTTCTGGGTGGTTTGTAGAGTTTTCAGTTTCCGATAATATATGATTGGTCAAATTGCTCTATATTTTTTGTGCCTGAAAACAAACTGTATTTTGACCTGTCAATAAGAAAATGTAGGTGCTTTTTTGTTTTGCTCAAAAGCCTTGCGTCTTTTCTTTTTCTTTTGGATTCTTGGATTTTTTTTTCTCGTAAGAGCACAAAGAAAACCAACGATAATACGCACATTAAATTGTACGACTTTATATTTTTAGAAATTGAATACTTCATATTACGTGCATTTCTAAGTTCATAATAGAACATTTCCTAAACTAGAATACTTTTGAATGTGCACGGCCAAGCCATCCATTTTGGCAAAAAACAGGTGAAAAAAGCCTTGATGTTCTTTTAGAAGATATTATCAAAAATGTACTTTTTCGAATGACAAAGTTGAAATAGACACAGACAAGTCTTTTCTTTCAGTCTCACTCCCCCCAAAAAAAATATATATACACACACATATGTTCTAGATGTTCTCCTTGATTTTAATACACTCCCTCCCCCCTATTTTTAAGAGATGATGTTACTGCTCAAATAAAGAAAGTAAAAAAAAAAAGATAATATGTTTGATTATAAATATATACAAGGGTAATTTCAAACTAACTTTTGTTAATCTATCTCCGTGTTTCCCTTTTCCCGCAATCAGGAATAAAAAGGATACCACATAGTCTCTTAACATATTTGGTTTGCGCGGATTTACACCAGCTCTAATTCCATATTTTGTACTACAGTTACAGAATAAAACAACAAAGAAAACAATCTAGAAATGTCATATTAATTGTTATTAACATAGAAAAACAAAGTTTAAACAAACGCATATTGATTCTTTTCTGATTTTCTATCTTTCTATTTGATGCATACAATATACACATATCTATAAAGTTTAACCACCAAGTTTCCTAAAAAAGCATCTTTTACAAGGTGAACGGACACCTAATCAATAACAAAAGGTACTTCCCCTTAGATCGTCAACTGTTTGACTAATTGATGATGGGGTTTAGAATGCATGTGTTGCACAAGTAGAAAGAAGTATATTCCATCGCAGTTTGATAGAATTAGAAGTTTGGAAACAAGTTGGTGCTAGGGCGATGGGAAAGATCAAAAAATCATTGGCATTGAACCGATGCCGATTGCTAATAATGAAGATATCTTTAACTCGTTTTTTTTTTTTGGGGGTGGACTTAATTGCAACAAACAAACATTATGACGCGTGCATAAAGTGTATTGTAATTGACTAAATATATAAAAACTATAATTTATTGTAAATTTCTTTTTTGTTTCGTACATGTTACACTTGTACTAGAAGTGTCAAAAGGCAGTGTTCCTTTTTGTTTCGATCGATTGAAATGTGCTTCAAGAGTTTCTTTTCTGTATCAACCAAGAAATACAAAGATGTTTGTATGTAAAATAGAGATATAGTTTATTATTTTCAAAGAAGAAAAAAAATTGAAACAACAAAGGGTGAAGGGGGGGGAAAGGGAATAAAATATATGTATATATAAATAGAATAAAAAGACAAGGTGTGTGAGTGAGTGTGTTGAATTATGTACAGCTATAATAAATAATATATAAAAAAAAAGTTTGTGTGTGCTTATTATATGCCAGTCTTAACAAGCTCACTTAAAAAAAGAAAGGACTTAAGAAAAGTAAAAGTCATTAGGGTGACTTGTTTGGCGTTGATGAGAGAATGCATATGTAACTAATAATAGAAAAAAAAATCGAGATTAGATAAATAGATACTATATAAAGTAAACTTACAGTCAGCAGTTGGTTCAGAGGCCAAGTTGTAAGGCGCAAAGAGCATAGAGTGCATCATATTTTGAGCTTGAATAGATTGATGTTGATAAAGATCAACAGAAGAGTTGGGTGTCATGAAGATCAAGTCATTATTATTGGCTGGAGTAGTAGAACTAGTGGTATATGGTGATGTTGAGATATTGAAATAGGTAGATGAGGTATTATCAGCTGTAGAAGTAATGGGGTATGCATTCATTGGGCGGAAATGATCATCAACAGGTGACCAGGGGGATTCTATTAATGGAGCGACCATGGAAGCGCTGGTTGCCAAGTTTTCTACTTCATTAATGGGAGAAGATTTTAGAGTGTGTAGTTGAGATTGTAACGGCTTTGTTTGCTTGACCATCTTCTTTTTCTTTTGGGGTGTGGCGATAATAACAGGAGCAGGTGATTTCTTATTGTTACTTCCTCGCATAGCTTCAGGAGTGGGAGGTGGAGACAATTGCAAGTCTGCTTCACTAGCCTTTCTTTTTAACGAAGCCTTTTCTTCTTCTTTGGCTGGTAGGGTAATGGTTTCAGATTTAGCATCTGTCTTTTCATTGTCTTGATCTAGAGAGATCTGCTTTTTCAATACAGCACTTGAAGCTTGAGCTTGCTTTCTGAGTTTTTCGTTCTCTGCGCGTAATCTTTGGATTTCAGAAGTATAATTGGATTCTCTTTTTAAACTTGAAGAAACAAATTCAAGTGATTTAGCAACAATCATTGTCTTGCTTGGTCGTCGTACACTCTGAAGTGAAGGTAGTGCATGTGCGAGTTGCTGGAATTTAATATTCAAATGTTCACGACGTTGACGTTCTAAAGCATTGTGGGCAGATCTTCTGTCATTGTGAGCAGAGACGTCACTATTTGTTTGTGAATATGATGTATTCCTGGTTTTTATCAAACTCACCTTTCATCGACTGTCAAATTAGCAGAGAGTGTCATTCCTTTTTAAAAAAAAATTAAAGTTACAATACTGTCCACAATTTTAATTTTAATTGTTATCATTTACCGAAAAATGCATTGTTTGGGTTTCGTAAAGATTGACCGTTTGTGGCGATTCTGAATTTTTCTGAAGGCATTTCGTATATTGTTTGTGTGTAAGTAATGTGCTAAGCAACAAAAAAGTAAAAAGATTTGTAAGATAAAGAAGTTGAGTGAGAAAGAGAAAAGGAAAAAATAACCTGGGGAGAAAAAAAAAAAGTGAGAATGATTTGTCTTTTATATGTTTTTTTTTGTCTTTTTCTTTTTTGGGGGAGAAAAAACGAAAGAAGAATCAGGGGGACCACGGGGAGGAGTTGGGGGGGGAGTGAATTCTATTTAGCAACCCGATTTAATAAATGGTAGTACAGTGTAAAAAACGAAACTCATTGGTGAGCATTAATGATCAGCAGAAAAATACTACATGCACTCAGAAAATAGCAGACACGAAACAGTATACTTGCTTTAACATAGTGCATTCTAGTCCGAGAAGTCCGTTTAATGTCACATTTCCATTTTGAGGCTACCTCATATATATACTTCTTTATAAACATGATTGGGCTTCTTATCATAAACGCCACAAATACTGCAACTGCTATTTTTTTTTTCAAGCCGAGATTTAATACATCATACAATTGTTAGAGAGACGACAACAAAAAAAAGCTGTCATGTATCCAATGTCATGCATTTACTTTGCATAAAAGTTATTCGCGAACCAACTATGAGAATTACGTGGATATGAAATCAACAATGAGAAAGAATAATAATAATAAAGAGGCAAGCTGACGGTTTTTTGTCAGTGCTTAGCGATCGATCTTGCGAAAAAAAGAAAGATAGAGTCTGAACATGAAAATAAAAGGAGAAGAAACAATGGATTCTTTGATATAAAGTATATGTGAATGTGTACTACCTTCAGGCAGTTATAGAAAATTTTCATCGTGAAGTATGACTCGTTTTGTGCTCTTTACCTCCTGCTCATATAGAATAAGCGTTTCTTGGTTGTAGACGATCGAATTCCTAAAGTATTAAAAAAAGAAGAGAATACATTTGTCCTTGATATGATTATTACTTTTTATTACTATTTTATTAGTGAATGTTACATCTTTATGTTAATCATGAGATACATAAAATTTAAGGAGGAGAGAAAACAGATAGACGGATAATATACTTAAAAAGCCAGAGACTCACTGAGACTGTTTCATGATAACCTGCTGTCATAAAAAAAATGTTGTTAATAGAAAACAATTTTATTATTATTATCTCCACCATCTTGTATACGATAGTTTTTTTTTTTTAAAAAAAAGATAGAATGACTTCATCATCACGCTTGCTGAAATTCAATTTCTTTATGCAAGAAGTCATCAACTCAAGAAAAAAAATAGACGGCGATGCAATTCAATATAAATAATTTACTTTATACAATAACAATAATTGCCATAATTCGGTTTTAAGCCTCTTTTGTTCTTCACCTATTCACCCCCCAAAAAAAGTTTTATGTTGTTTATTTGATGACAGATTTAAAGGTTACACTTTGCGGAACCCATGCATCAGGATGAGGGTTATACAATTAGAATAGATGTTTCTATAATTATTAAACATGTTGATCTTGAAGGTGATTTTTTTTTTTCAAAAGAAAGAAGAAATAAAGCAACCTAAAAAAAACAAAGAAGTGCATGAAATAAAATGGCGCAAAAAATAAAAAAGAAAGATCTGGGTTTGATAGAAAGAACCCTTTTCCCCTTTTTTTTTGTAAAAGAATAGCTTTTTATTTTTATTTTTTGTTATATCAACACTGAATTACACAAAAAAGCCCTTTTTGGTTAAAAAATCGAGTGCGCGGACGCAAAGCATCATTAAGTCCTTAACTTTCTTCTTCTGGCGGAAAGCTACCAAATCCAAGGTTTATTCCAACCATTTCTCGTTCCCAAAATTGCAACATATATTGATCCACATGTCCTACGTCTAATTGCATGTCATCTTCTTCTTGTTCGTCCATGTCCTCTTCGTCCGCGCTCTCGTCATCATTCGTCTTTTGTACACTTTGTTCTCTTGATGGCTGAACAATTTGCTCTTCTGATGGCTGAATACTTTGTTCTCTTGATGGTTGAGCATTAGAGGAAGAAGGTGACATGGGTCGAGAAGAGACTTCACTTGGTTGCTGAGTTTGTTCGTCAAATTCATTTTCATCCATATCCATTTCATTCCGAGCAACAATCGCAGCAGCAGCATCATTTTCATCTTCTGCTTGTAAAAGTGCTTGCTCATAATCTATTGACTTTTGCGATTGCTGATGATTTGCCCCAACCACTTCGGGGAGGTCTTTCCACCACTCATTCTTATTAAAGTAATCATCTGTAAAATCACCTTCCTGAATAATAACATTATCGAGCATTCTAAAAAGGTATTAGAGTATGCTTTAAGTACAAGTTGAATTACCTCTTTTGGTTTGCCTTCTTGAAAATGTTTTCTTCAATTGTAAATTCAGTAACAAATCGGTAAATATGCACGTCTCTGGTTTGGCCGATTCGATGTGCTCTGTCTTGACACTGCTTGTCCTATTTTTATAAAGTTAAGTCGCCTTTCTATTAAAGTATTGCATGCATTTTACCATAGACGGGTTCCAATCAGAATCATAAAAAATGACTGTATCTGCACCTGTTAAATTAATACCGAGACCACCACTTCGAGTAGAGAGAATAAAGCACAAGATACGCCTGTCGTTGTTGAAATGCTCAGTCAGGACTTGACGCTGCTCCACTTTAGTAGCACCGTCTAATCTTAAGTAGCGGTGACCATGCATGTTTAGAAAAATCTCTAGGACATCCAAGACGCGCGTCATCTGTGTAAAGATCAATGCACGGTGACCTCCTGCAGCCAAGTCTCTCAGCAGTTTATCAAGCTTTTGAAGCTTACCGCAATCGTATTGGAGCAGTCGCTTATCAGGAAATGCAATAGAGAGTCTAGATTCTATCGTGTGGAAAATATCATTCTCAACACTATGCGCCTCCCGCAGTTTTTTTGGTATAGGCAATTTGGTTGCTGGAACAACTGCTTTGGGCGTCACAAACCCAAACTCTTCTATCACATCTCGGTGTTGTTGAATTCGATCCTTATACGGTTGCACAGCATGACACACAGAATCGCAATAGTCAAAGTATCGACGGGGATGGTGTGAGAATGCATAAGTGGGTGAAATCATTTGAAGAAGGCTTGCATCGTACAGTGGCCGACGTGCACATCTAAAATGATTAATGTAATTGATTCTTTCCCACCTGCTTATCGTATGTTTGATTTTTTCTGCTTCTCGATATTTGGCGTATTTCTTTAGGTCATAGTAGTTTTTGAGTGAATTGACACTGCGGGATTCAGAGGTAGCAATGCGTTTTTGATACGCTGCTATTGTCTTGAAGATCTCTTTTGAGGCTTCCAATCGCATGACTTCTTGTGCTACTGTTTGACTCATGATAGCATTGTTTTGGGTATCTGTCAAGATCAAATTCAGAAAACCAAGATTGACTTTTGTATCATCTCTACTGGCAAATCGCTTTCGAATGAATGACTCGAGCAATTGTCCAACAAACTGCACACTGTCGTCCATGGCAAAACTTGTCAGAATAGGTCGCTCTTCAAACAAATCTGGATGGTTGCAGACTTTTCGTAATTGCATTAAACAGTTGATGATACTCAAAAAGTTGCCACTAGCCAATGTCTCCTTTGTCTTGCCTCGACTCATAAAGTCATCGTATAAGAAGCGCTGACGTTTAGATAATCGACAATATACTATATGTTCATGCTTTTCGGGCATTTGTTTTTCTACATCCAATTTAAGTCGACGTAGTAAATAAGGGCGTAATACTGTATGTAATTTTTGAATCGCAGCTTTTGATTCTTCATCTACACCATATTCTTGATGGTTTTCAATCATTCGATCTACAGGATGCGAAAACCATTCTTGAAACTCCTTTAGGTTAGCAAACCCGATAGGCATATCCTGAGAAACGCCATTTGGCATCAAAAAATAAAGCAAAGACCATAGTTCCATTAGATTGTTCTGCAGGGGCGTACCAGTCAACAGCAATCTGCGTTTCGAATTAAAGTTCAAAAGAACTTGCCAGCGTTGAGATCTAAAATTCTTGATATGGTGTGCCTCATCTAAAATCAAATAATGCCATGCTTTTCTTCTGAACACATTCTGGTCTTGTAAGACAAGCTGGTAAGAAGTGATACAGACATGAAACGCATTATCTTTGGACCAACCAGAACGCTTTTCTTTGCGCTCTTTGGGAGATCCATAATACGCCATAATTTTGAAACCAGGCAGCCATTTCTTGAATTCCATTTCCCAATTCAAGATAACACTGGTAGGTACCACAATCAGGTGTGGACCCCAGACCTTTTTTTCGCAAGCAAGGTAAGCTAATAAAGAGATTGTTTGAATGGTCTTTCCAAGACCCATTTCGTCGGCCAAGATTCCGTTAAGTCCGTTGTTATACAGACTGGCTAGCCAATCCAGACCAACATGTTGGTATTCACGTAATGTTCCACGCAAAAGATGAGGGATAGGCGTACTGACTTTGGTAGTAGCAAGGGTATTACCTGTGGGCTGAATTTCCTTTTTTTCTGTCTCTTGGGGCAATGTTTGTTCTTCTAATTGGTAATTATACTTTTGTAGTAATTCTTCAACACTCAGTTCTGCTTCGTCATTTAAAGCATCTAGTTCTTCATCGTCGTCTTCACTTTGGCCATCTTCTTCTATAGGTACATCTTGCTCTTCATCTGTCATGTCGTATTCTTCATTCTCATTCTCATTGTGATATTTATCCATCAATTCCTCTATTGACAAGTCTTGCTCTCTTTCTAATGCACTTGATTCATCATCTCTGCTAGCACTGCTTTCTTGAATGATATGTTCTTTTTCGTTCGCCTCTGATTCTGGTTGATACTGACGCAGTTCTTCTTTTCGAACACCTAGCATTTGTTCAGAATGCTCTAAAATCAGTTCCAAATGACGTCGTCCTTCTCTAGCTTGTTGTTCCTTGAGAATTTCTTTGTGTCGTGCCTCACATACACGCTCGACTACTTTCCATTTTTTTTTAATTTGCTGCGATGTCCACTTGGCCAAGCGAATCAATCGCTTTGTTTCCTCTCGTTCAATACGTTCATCATGTGTTCTAATCTGATCCCAATATCTTTCGACTGCTTTAGCGCATCTACGAGCTGCATTACGTCTGTATTTTGCACTTGTATGAAAGTTTTTGGCTGTCATGGTTATATCCGTCAATAAGTGGTCATGCACAACAGTATGTTTCTGAGGTGGATGAAAGGGACGGCGATGAGCAATCTGTTGTAATTCCGTAGAGAATCCTCCTCGTCGTTCTAAATCGTAAAGACGTTGACGAATCTTTCGTTCCTTTTCAATATAAGCTTCGCGCGCTTCTGGTGTATTGTCTTCCATGCCTTCGTCAGCTGCATAAAACGAATTTAAATATTCCTCTAGTGTAGCAAATTGACGATTGATACGACGTAAACCTGTGCCTGTATGGATGGTATTGACATAGTCATTTTCCTGTTTATTGGATATATGTGCTGATTCATAAATAGCACTCTGTAACAAATCAATGAGAGAAGGATCTTGAATAGTAGACGTGAAAGATTCATTTTGTCTTAATCTCTCCCACATGTCATATTCGTCCATATACTACAAGAAAGATCAGCCTTGTTATTTCATGCTATGGCTTGTTATTTTTTTTTCTTTACCTTATTGTAGCGCACATCGTTAATGAAAGCATTGGGATTGTATTCAAGTATGTTTTGGAATAATTCAAGGTGGTATAGTTCTTTCACAGAGGCATTATGATGTTGTTGAATGATCTCCATTTGCTTTAGTCTTTTACTGATCTCATCGTTTCGAGATGTATCTTGCTCAGAGATAGGTGTTAGCAATAGCTTTTCTCTTGCATTTTGTATGATAGGCATAGTTTGTTTCTTGATCACCATAGTCGTCGGTCTAGGTGGAGGAGGTGGTAGTGGTGGTGGGGAAAAAGACTGTTTGACTTTTCTTGAAGCTGCAGTTGTTGTCCTTGCTCTTTTGGAAACTACTTTTGTTTTCGATGTTAGTTTGAGTGTTCTCTTGGGTGCTCCCTTAGGTATTGCTTTGATTGTTGGTTTGGACGTTGGTTTAGGAGGTGGTGTAGGTGTGGTTCTTTTTCGTTTAAGCGTTTGTGGTAAGGACGACACAGGCTCAAACGTCTGAGGTCTCTTTCGATTCCTTCTGCCACCCTCAATAATATTACGTCGACTCAGGTCGCCATCTGTGTCAAAAAGAGAAGTAGCTGTTTTATTCTTGAGCTTTTCTTCTATTTGCTTTGCTCGTTTGGTGAGTCGTGGTTGTTTAGACGAAACTTCGCTACTGCTGCTTTTTGACGCGTTGTCTTTTTGTAAAAAGGAGTTAGTTTTCATATAAGATAGCAAGGTCTACTTGTTACCAGTATCTGTCATAAGAGAAAACGAAAGAAAAGGGTTTTTGTGAAAAAAAAAATCAAGGTGTTACTTTCTTTTCGAGATTAAAACTACGGTTTTTTATCTCATTTCATTCTGTTGAGACGCGTTAAAATATGCAAATCAACAGCGCGTTTTAGGCAGGATATTATCACACAATTTTTTAGTAGAAAAAAAAAGAGAGCTAAAAGTACGATTGTTTAGCTTGGGAGCTGAGGAAGACTATCTCTGGTCCGAGAATATATACAGCAATTAAAGAACCTATAGACTCAAAAAGAGAATACCAAATGACTGTTGACATTATGTTGGATTTGCATAAAAATCAAGTCCAAAGAAAAACAATACATTTCATGAAAATGAGACAAATAAACTTCTTAAATCCAAAAAAGCTTGAACACAGCAGGCTCTCTTGCCAAGGGCAAATATAATGTCCGCCTGTGATTCAAGTCAAACAAACGCTAGTTTGGATTAGAAGTCAAGCATTATGGCTGTGCCTTGAATAAATACTTATTTATTAAAAAAAACATAAAAGTTCATATAGTGAAGAGAGAATGAACAAAAAACAGATTAAATATCAGAAGTGAAATCGACTTCAAAGTTTGCAAAATCAAACCAATCTGGTTGTTGCTGAATGGGTGAGAAGGGCACTTCGTCTATATTGGAAGGTGTATCATCAGATGAGAACAAGAGAGAAGGCACATCTTCAGGCTGGCACCAATCGAATTCATGTACATTCCATTCTTGATCTTCAAAGATGCTAGAAGGTGGCAGTGATAATGATTGGAATTCTTCTTCTTGATCTTGAATTTCAAGTTGAGGTTCATCAAATAAACTCATGAAATTCAAATGGTTTCTATTCATTCTTTCTTGTTCTTGTTGAGCATCTTTTTCTTGAACTTGTTTGAGAGATTCTAAAAGGTTCTTTCCCCTTTCTTTGGCTGAATACAGTGCAGATAATGAGATCATATCTTCGTCTTCCACTAGAAGCTCGTCTTCACTGTCGTTGACTGGCTCTGTTTCATCGGTGCTACATCGTGGGCAGCAATAACAATCTTCTTTTGTGACACGATCGCCAGCACATTTTACATGAAGCCAGGTATGGCATTGAGTGCATTCAATCATATTCCCATCGCCTTCAGAACCACAGACGCATTGAACAGTAACAGACAGACTGTGTCTCTTTTTGTGATGGGGACATATGTTTGTATGATGCGTCCATTTAGCACGAGTCTTGTACACTGTATGGCATGGAGTACATTCAAACAAGCGCCGTTTTTTCTTTTTTTCAGTCTCTTTATGAAGATGGGATTTCGTACGTTTTTTGAGGTTGGGTAGAGGAGGTTTTGTGGGAGATGCATGGGGGATGCAAGTGGTTGGTGTGGATCAATTCGACGGCTAAGTAATTTGAGTTCTTCACAGGACATGATAGTACTTGACTGTTGAATAGCACCAATGGTCTTTCCTCCCATGGTAGGTCGCTTGGTTGTAGGCTCTGCTTTTGCATTGAATGTGTAAGGAATGACTTGAATGGGCCTTGTATTACTAGTTGAAAGGGGTAATGTATCATAAGAAACAAAGACATGATTGTTTTCTTTAGATGGTTCTCTAACAGATTGAATGCATTTTAGCTGTTTATAAGAGTGCCTTTTTTCTAGCTTATTGTCTATAGGAGAGAACACCCTATACCAAACGAGATTAGCAAGCTCAACTCAACTAGTTTGACAGTGTTACTTTTGTGCTTGAGAAGAAGAAGTCAAGCGAGAGAGTTTATGAGACGCTTTGACCTTCATATACTTTTTATTGTATAAAAGAAGAAAAAGAAACAAAAAAAAATGAAAGGATAAAAATAAATTGCCACTAAAAAAGGATCACAGTCGATGGTGTAATTCAGGGCTTTTCTAGTAAACATAGGCGTTGTATAAGCATGGGATTGCTGTCATTTAAAACGAGAGCATTTGATTAAAAAGGAACAAAGCAATAAGGAAGTTTACAATTGTTTTCAAATCCTGTTTAAACATCATTGGAAAAAGTCTAAATCGAGTATATCAAATTAAGAGAACTTGACACAAGCCAAAAAAGATTTCTTATGTCTGACTGGGTCTGAAGTCAAGTTGCACACTGAGCTCAATGCATTGTTATTTATCTGACGATAACGAAGATGCTTTTTTTATACTGTCATTGTCAAAAAAGTTTTACATCAAATAACTTGTTATTTCTCATTAAATAAAAAGCAAATTGCGTCCAATTGAGATCAAATATAGCCTTTGCAAAGTGTATTCTGTTGGTATTAGGTTTAGAAGCTGCTGTCAAAATAAACAAAGACTAAAATTGCTGTTTTTTTTATTATTATCATTGTTTTTTCAATACAAAGAAAAATTGGAACCGACTTGGCGATGTTCATAAAGGATAAAAAAGAAAGGAAGCTGTAGTGAGTAGTAAGAGTAAAAGTACTTGTTTTCTTTTTTCTAGTTGTAGTTATTATTTGTACCACAAATAAACGTCTTTTCATACTGTAGATCAAACTCAACAAATTATTTCAGCAAATGGTTATGCTGCTTTTAAACAACTTGCATGGTTAAAAAATAAAAAGAAAACAATATGGTTTCGAGCTAAATACCATTGGTTTAATAGTGACATTGTATTATTGTATAATTTTGTACAAAAGAAAAAAGAAAGCATAAGAGTCATAATCATCATAAGCCTAGAAAATATAAAACATATCTGTATTATATACGATGCCATCACCACGAACGAATAAGATTGGAATCTTGTGTTGTTGTGTTTCATGATTCAATATTGATGTCGAACTATCCATCATTTCTTGCACATTAGGGACCACACAGCTTATCACATCTCTTGATTTATAATCAGTACGTGAAGACTTGATATCACCAAACCAGACAGCAATATCTCTTGTAAAGTTCTCACCGTTTAAATGAAGCATTTGTTGTTGCTTATTATGAACCAGGTTAGAATGACTTGTGGTAAGCGTAGGGAAAGGTGTGATGGGATTAGGATTGGTTACATTTTCAGAGAAAGGTGAATTCAAATCCATGATGGCAGGAGGTGCCCAAAACTTATAACTTGCACAGTCAGTACCAACAATAGTCCAAACAGACGCATCAGACACATCTTCTGTCCAGCAGGCACCATTATTTAATTGATGTTGATAGTATCCATGGTCAGAACCAATACTACTGCGGCGATCAGAGGATACGCTGCTACGACGGCCAGCGCCATTGTGTTCTTGTTTCTGAAGTAGATTATCATTCAATGAGTTCACTCGACGACGATTGCTGGTATTTTTAAGCATGGATGACATAAGTGGCTTGCCTGTCACATCACAAGAAACACGACGTTTACGAGTCATTTTACCACCGCCAGCATTACTTGTATTATGTGAAAGAGACATAAGATCATAATTTTCAAAACCACTGATAGGATCTGTATTTGACCAAGAAGGAGCAGACAAAAGCGAAGATTCAATGGGTTGTTGAACAGGACGTGATAGCACAAAGGCACGTTCCGTAGTTGTCTTATGCATACCGACCACATTATCCAGACAGGCCAAATAAGTCACGGCTTGGTGGGTTTGAGGTAATTGCCATTCTTGCATCATATGAGATGGTTGTTGGTGATAGTTTAACTTGTTGTTGTGTGCAATGGAAGGATCTTGTACGATCTGGAAAGCCACTTTATGAAGTTGGGAAACAGGATCACCTAAGGCTTCATCGCCACATTCGCCACCAGTAGGACCCGAGAGATCTTCGACACGGTTACCGCCCATAATCATACTACCCTTGTCTACTTTACGAATCACCATCACTGGACTTACGAGGCCCGTATTGACACATTGAAGTACAATGGCTTGATTGTAATGAAGTGCAATAGGTGCTTGACCTGTGGCTGTCTGGAGTGCAATAGCAGGAGGAGCAGGGAAATGTGGATTGTCAGGATGATGAAATAATGGTTGAGGCTGGCTATCAGGTGAGCGTGTTGTATCCACAATCCAGATAACAAAAGGATCCCAAGAGCCTGTTCTGGCTACAAAGCAAGTGCCTCCAGCATTGTCACCGGCAGAGACACCCAAGTATTTGGTTGACACTGTTTGTGATCGAATACGATTAAACAAAGAAATCGTCGTACCATGATGAATACAGACTAACAGAATTGGTTACACACAAAGATGTATCAAAATACAAACTTACGCTCCATATTCTTCACACTTTGACGCTTCTTTGATGGTTTACTGATGACCTTAATGCCTTTTGAAGCAAATGTACCTAATTGGACACTGTTTCCTAAACTCACTTTGACCAATACTTCAACACGCTTTCGTTTTTCGTCAGCATCATTGATATGTAAATGTTTAGATACACAATATCCCGTCACGCCTGCTGCGACTGTATCACCCACGAATGGAACATTGTGGTTCTCGTTATTTTGCCATTCAATCATACCGTTTTGACTGGTCTTTTCACCTGAGATATGTACTACCACATTAGGAGACAATGGTTTTGCAGAAGAAGGAGAGTTTGTATGCCAAGAAGCACCTGAAAATATAGTAGAAGGTGGTGGACACAAGAATCTAGACAAAATTTATCAATTAACCAATACTATTGTGTTTTTTTTTACCTTTTTTCAGTGCCATAACTTTTTTGTGCTACCCTGCTTGTTAAGATCAAGATTCTTCTTTCGTCTTCAAAAGAAGTCAGGTATTTCTGGATCAAGGGTTTCATAATAGAAGCATTATTGGTCCCTTGAAGCATACGAGTGGAGATTGAGTTGTTTACATGACTACGCATTGCGTCCATATCTTCATCTTCTTCTTCAGGAATAGAGGGGTGTTGATAGAAACCCATGGTAGAAGGTGGAGAGGGTGTAGACATATGTAAAGAAGACTGCGAAGGTGAGTTGTTGGAAGAAACAGAAGAAGCAGACGATTTGCGTTTGATAAAGGATGGTTGTGCTTGTTGGTGATGATTTAAAGGCCAGTAATTTGTTAAATTGACATCATCACCTGAGCTGATAATAGAAGGCGTGATAGTAGAAGTAGAAGGTGTAGTGGAAGTGGGTGATTGATTTATCATAAACTCATGGAGGATATTTTCAGAAAAGGGATGTTGTTGAGGTTGTTGAGGAGAATGATTTTGATGATCGAATAGCATGCCGTCTTCTTGTTTTAATGCATCCAAAAAACTAGGCGAGAAGAAAGCGGGTGTTGTAGGTGAAGCAGTAGAGAAAGAAGCACGGTGGTGCATGTCAATAGGTTGTGTTATAGTGTCCAATCTGAGAGAAAGAGCGCGGCGATGAGGAATCACATCCACATTGTTTTGGGTAGTTGATGTTGTACCAGAACTTGAAGAAGACCAAGAAGAAGGAAGAGAAGCACCCAAAAGCTGTTCCAAATCGTATTGTTTGTGATCAAATGAATGAAAATGCATTTCGCCCACTGTAACAGAGTGTCTGCGAGACTCTGGATGTTGAAAAATAGAGTCTAAATTAAATTCATCATGCTGTTGCTGTTGCTGTTGCTGTTGCTGTTGCTGTTGCTGTTGCTGTTGCTGTTGTTGTTGTTGTTGTTGTTGTTGTTGAGAATGAGGTGAATTAGGTGAAGAATAAACAAAATCAGACCAATTATTCTTCACTTGTTCAAGGCAGTCTGGATTCTTTTTATTGTCAGTTGTCATTTCAAATAAGAAAAAAGAGAGAAAAAAAGATTAAAGAGAAAAAAAGGGGGTTCTACGAACGCCGTATTTTATTTAAAGGTCTTGTTTAACCCCACAATTAGAATTTTTAGAAAACCAATAAAATGCATTTCTTTCTATTATCTGAAACACTCTGGCACCACTCGAGTTGAACAACCAAGCTTTTACTGGGCTTGAATAAAGTATTCTCCGCGCATACAGCCACATGATTGTCCTCCCTCTCTTTTCCTTTATTTTTGGTTTTCTATTTCTTTTGTCATATAGGCATATTGAACTATAGACTGCTCTATACTACGCGAGACTATGGTTGGATAAAAAAATGCTTATTAAGGAAAAGAGAAAAACTAGAAAGAAAATAAAAACTTGTCCAATTAGTCAATTGGTCTAAAAATATGAAAACAAACCAGTTAGAGCTGTAACCGTAAAAGGAAAACTAGAAGTGGGATGGCATGCACATCTTTTTTTTTTGCATGAAAAAGATCTGAGCATCGATGACGACAATGGGGTGTATAAAGTGATTATGTAACGAAACTCAGTTTTGTTACTTCGTTTTTATTTTTTTTTCACTTTTTACTCTATGGAAGACGAACAGTGTCAAGCTATTCTGAGAGCACTTGGTGCTTTTGATTATGCAGCTGCTAACAAACTTATTGTCAGATTAGCCAAGGTAATTTTTTTCTGAGGGGAGGTTTATACCAGTCAATATAATAAACATAAAAAAAAGGTATACCAACCTATAGGCAATATATTGACACGTCTTTGTACCTGTGAAAACTCGTTTACACAACTACAGTTTCTTCGTTCAAGATGGTTTGTTATGAGAAAAGATACAGTAAAGTATATGACATTTGGCGCGCTCTTTTCTCTAAAGACTATTTAGTAGTCTGTTGAAGTGGTCTATACAAACCTTGCAAGTGAGCTGCCAAAAGAAATCCTAAATCTTCATTCAGTTAGCTGGCTATCAGTCAAAGACAGAGAAGGTTTGATAGTTGTGATGGATGCATTAAGAAAATTTTGTTTGGTACGACGTGAAATGATAAGTTCCTATCAATCTATTCTGGCTCAGTCCAGTAAAGGGGAATTCGATGAAGTCTTGAAAGAGATTGAAGCAATTCAGGAAAGAGCATTTGAAATGAATTTATCATCCTCTTTATCATTATTGGGATTAGGCGTAGAGAAAGAAATCAATATATTAACATGTTTGCTAAGAGCAAGAACATCTATCACAAACTACGCATTTCAAGATGCATGTATTGGATTATATCAGGCTAAACAAGACTTGTCTGAATGGAAAAGACTTTGCCAGGAACAAAGCTACCCAGAGGTGACTAGTAGGATTTTATTGCGTATGCTTATACATTGTCTAGAAGTCTTCAAGGCATGAAGATACCAGAGAAACATCTACTTGGCGATTTACTTTGTTTGGCCAATTGGAATCCAAAATAAACAATCACAAACAAGGCGATATTTGGCCTAATACAATACGATGGCATACGCGTGTCTTGGCCAATTTGACAGCCAAGATGACGTTGTACTTTAATCGAATCTTATTGGAAAAAGAAAGCATTGTCACTGAAGAAGATCCAGAGAAATCATTATGGAAAGGACAACGGATTGACTATTTTGACCAGTAGAGTATTGAAGAGATATATGTACATGCTCATATTATGATCAGGATATGCACATTTAGAAAGAGACATGGTGCAGATAGTATAAGCCTGATTTATCAAGTGACAAATAACGCGCCTTTTTATCCGCAAGGTTATATTTGTCCAGATACTCCTTATGAACCACCGCAAGGTGTTCATTCATTTCCTTTTATTTTCAGTCATCCCAAGGTAAAGTAGTTGCATTATACAATTTGTTTTGATGATAGTCCTAGGAACCACCCACAAAGCATTTGCCCAGCATCATCTCTATTATTCAAGGCAGCAAATATAAACTCGATGATCCTAAAGCGGGCCCTGTTCATTTTGTAGATTCTGTGATTAACAGCACATATTATTTAATGCGAATTGATCAGCATGTTGTCTTTGTCATCATTTATTTAGAAAAGACCCACTCGGAACCTGCTACAGCTGAATTTATGAATAATATTGTAACCTCATTGAGAGGTACTGCGGTGATTGAAGAGCTGATTCGTGTGGATTAGGATTTCGTCGATCGTTACGTAAGGGGGTTTCAGATAATTTTATGCAACTTGCCAATTTCATATAGATGATGAAATTAAAAAGTGTAAAGCTACTGATGAATAAATATAAAACAAAGTAATGTCTACTTACTATTGAACAAATGGTATCCATAGAATGAACAAGTCGGCTGTCTTCTAATACAAACGAGAACCGAACTTGTCTTTTGCTGTCTATCACAAAGGCTGCTCTTTGCGCTAGTCCAGTCTCGGGACTTATCACATTAAAATGGCGTGATACGGAGCGTGTAGTGTCGGATACTTAAAAAAAAAGAAAAAAAAGATTAAACCTGTGTCAAAATTGTGTTGAGCTTACCAAGAGGAAAACTAGGCACAAAGCCTAACGATTGATGTATAAATGCTTTGTGCACCATTTCTGTATCTGTTGACAAAGCAATTGGAAATGCATTTAATGACTTGAATCGCTCAGTATGTTGACTATAATCACTGAGTATATATTCAATACACATATCATATTTACTTTATCAGTGCTAAATCTTTACAAGAAATAGGAGTGCTATAAAATATTAGCACAGAATTCACTGAGATTGAACTTACAAATCACATTCATAGAAGAATAAAATGGCAGCTTTATGAGTTGAAAATAAATCGGACAGTTGTAGTCGACTGATTTCATGCTGAAATACAGCTGCACAATTAAAATCTGGTGCAACCATGATGTGTGGACGTAGTTGAGTAGCTGGATTGATCATAATAGACGCTGTTGAATCATTGCGATCCATTGTTTTTCGAGTGTTTTCTTGTTCGTCACCCATTCGACGTCTCTTTCTTGTTGCAGTATCATTTAGTTTCGTTTCTGTTAATAACATGGTCATAATAAGTTCTAGTTTGTCTATACAATAATAATAAGAGAAAAAAAAAAGAAAAAGAAAAAGAAAAAAAGAGGTGGCGCTTCAAGATGTAGTCACACCAAAATGCTTATTTCTCCCTAATTTTTTCGCCGGACTACCCTGAAGGGACAGAATCAATAATTGACAGGTAGCGGCATGAATAACTTTATTGTTTGTCTGAAGGAATGATGTTGAATACAGCATACAACACCAATCAACATGTATACGAAATTTGATGGATAAAAAAGTCAAAGTAGAGATACCTGCCAAAGAAATCATCCAAAAGACATGCAGCAAATTAAAAATGCTCTAATTAGGCGTATAAATGCAAATTGATGATTGGAGGATTTCATCAAGACAATACGTTACTGGCATCATTAGATTATGTAAATGAAATTACGCCTTTTAAGCTTAATATATCTTAGTTGTGTGAAAGGTTTGTAATTAAATTGAATCCGCGAATATATGGCTGCTTGTACTATATTTAATACATGTGCTAAAGACCAGGTTTCATGCATCATAGAATTGAAATAAATTTCCATTATTTTAACATTTTTTCACAAGTAAACATCCTTTTCTTTGATTTGGGAGAATCAAATGTCTTTTAAATATGGTGTTCTATCTGGATAAACCGCACTTTTGCTGGCTGCACCTTTTGCTGGCTCATGATCAAGATATTATTAACTGCCATCCTGTCTCGCATCTACTTGACTTCCATTTCCATAATGTCAATAGCTGCAAATATCATCAGATTTCATTGTTATTTCCTTCTTCTCGTTCACAAGGGTCGAAAAAACAAAGAACTGGCACAATTGATATGCTATATCGTGCCGTTGATTGTCTTCCTCGATAGTTTACTAATGCTCGTCTTAATACTGCTACCGCTATGGTACTACCATTGCAAGCTGTGCTTTACATTTCTTCTTCTTCTTCTTCAAGCTTCGTTGTTCTCCTTCATGTCAAAAAAATGTTGGTGGGAGATATCTTTCAATATGATGCTCGACTCAATTTTGTTTACTGGAAAGATACTCATGATCCTGCGTTAATTAACTGGAAGTGTACTCCTTCTCAGTGTTCAGAGGTCTTGCATCAGGGAATTTGAAGCTTCAACCGTTTTTTAGTTCTGTCTGTAAACCTGCCCCACTTGAGGACTCGGTGGTTTCGTTTGTGCCCTTGGTCAACCAATTTTGATTTCAAGATGATCAGTCGCTTGGCAATATTGAGGTTTTGGCTAAGACATTTCGGCTATCAGTTCTCTTGTCTGTGATTCCTCCGTTGGCCTTGCAAAACATTGCAGATGTGCGATGGAAGTTTTTTATATCCTTGTCACTTACCTCTATTCAACGCAATGTTTCTTAGTATCTCTTTTTTTTTATGTTGTTCTACAATGCTTTTTTGTTAAACACAAACAAATCATTTATCTTTAGATTTACTTGATAAGTTACTGGCTTCTTTATGTGATAAGCAATAAAAATCTATCTAATGTTTGAAACGTGGCCGACTGGTAGAATATCTTTTATAAATATGCAATTTTCTCTTTTTCTTTTTTCTCTCTTCTTTTGCATAAAATGACTATAATTACTTCCTCTTCTTTAAGAAATTGCATACTTATACAAAAGTAGCTGTTTTTTGGAGTGGATGGAGTGTTCTCTAACCACTTCCTCTCTAATCGGTACTCTGCGAATTTCGGTTTAAACATGTTCGATAGGGAATAATCCCTAAGAAAAATGTTTTCTTTTTCAATCAAAAATGAAAATCATGAGCTAAAAGCTGTCTGTGTCGAAGATGCATTTGAAATTTTGTTTTTTGCCACAAACCCTTTGCTGCTAATGACAAACTCTGACACAAGCAAATTTCTACAAACATATTGTGATTTATTGCCTAACAAACAGCACTTTTTGTCTATTTTACTTGTTCTCTTATACAACATCTGAAAAAAGCGCTTTGGAGATAGAAAGTCACTAGAATTATACACAATACACCGCTAAATTGTCACCAAGTTGTTAGCCTAATTCAAGCAAACAGCTAGTATTTTTAATAACAAGGCATCGTGATGGTTCGATAGCCTCTTTTTTTTTTTATTTCAACAAGTCATCAGCATACCATATATCTTGAGGACGTTTACGTTCAACACCAGGCACACGCTCGCAAGCTTTAGCAATTCTACACAACAAAGCTTCATGATACCAACTGGCCATAAATTGTAAGCCAACAGGCATATTTTGATGGAATCCAGCAGGTACAGAAACAGCAGGAATACCAGTCAAATTGCCTAAAGTACAAAAGATCATGCTTTGCGTTGTGAGTCTTGCATTTGACATGCCGTAGCTATGTGCTTTTTGAGGAATTTCGGGTGATACTTGAGCTGTTGATGGACAAAGGATCAAATCTACCTTTTTAAACACATTGCGTACATGATTCATCATACGTGTACGAATTTGTTGAGCACGGACATAGTCTCTTCCATCCAATGTACTTGATGTGCCTATCATGATACGTGTATGAGGCAAAAAGCGATGGTGATTGGCGTAATGTTTTGAGGCGAAATTAAACATTTCAGAACAGATCGTGACAGTATGCGCTACAACAAATTCAATAAACACGCCTATATATATATATTCTATTTACCGTGAGCAGAAAGATCCAAGTCAGGGATTTCAATCTCCACAAATTTGGCACCAAGCTTCTCCAATTGCTGTCTGAAATAATCTAATTTGTCAAGAATAGCGGGCTCAACAGCGTCTCTAGCCCAGCTAGGAAACACACCTACAGTTAAATCAGACAGGTCTTGATAACGATCATAGTCTTGAATAGAGACAGGTGGTTGAATGAGCGATGAAGGATCTTTTGGATCTGGGCCTGCTATAATAGCGTAAGTCAATGTCATATCATCTGCTGTAGCTGCAATAGGACCATAAGCGCCCAGACTTGGATCAATCAGAGCACCACCATAGCCTGAAACGCGGGCATATGTCGTCTTGAGTCCATAAAGGCCACAGAAGGAAGAGGGAATACGAATGGATCCACCACCATCTGCGCCAATACTGACAGGCACCAATCCACCTGCGACACATCCGCCAGAGCCTCCACTGGAACCTCCACATGAATGAGTGGAACCATAGGGGTTTTTGGGTATACCTGTGTTGGGATTTACAGTAAATGTGTCCCAGCCAAGCTCATTCATCACTGTGGATCCAACAATAATAGCACCCGCTTCTCTCAATTTGGTAACCAACGTAGCATCTTCTTTAGCAGGCTGACCATCATCCACAAAACATGTACCAACTTTGGTTTCTAGTCCTTGGATATCCAATTCTTCCTTGATGGCAACAAAGACACCATCCATTTGGCTTAGCGGTGCTTCTTGCTTGTATCGTTGTGATGATCTTTCTGCTTGCTCCATCAAGTCATCCACATAAAATCGAATCCAATGCATGTCTTTGCTTTGGTCAAGCTTGGATTTTAATGCCTGAGCTACTTGTGTAGGCGTCGTTTTGAATTCAGAGTAAGCAGTGTGATAATCCCAAAAGGACAGGAATGGTGACACACTTTTATGCTCTGGGTTTAATTTAGAGACAAAAGTCTATCATTCTATATGTAAGCACAATTCGAATTTTTTTCCCATTGTACTCTTACCGTATTCTCTGTATTTCCCGAGTTAACGAGATCAAGTGGGATAGACAACATGGTAGGAGGGTCTTGGATATCTGTGCGGTCTCTGTGTTTATGGAGTAGAGCATCGCTGGCTACTTTTTGTCGAACAAAAGGCAAATAATCTAACAGTTTGGCAGCCGCCAATAAAGGATATCCATAAAGCTCAGGTGCTTCAAACTGCAGAAGAATTAGTAAACGCGTCTTGTTTAAATTGTATATGTACTTCTTTGTTTTCTGTTCTCATAAAAACTTGTAGAAAAAGAAGAAAAAGAACTAAAAGGAAAAATCAGACCTGTTTTTAAGCTCATCACAATCTGTACTCCAAGTCGCTCAAGAACTAATAAGGCTCAAGTTTTGAGCAAACACTATCAAAAAAGACCAAATTCTCACGTATCCTATTCTCGTTTCCAATGTGAAGCATAGATAGCGAACTCAATTGACATATCTGACATCTTTTACCACTTTTTGTAGACATAGCAGAAAAAGTCCGCAGGCTACCAAAACCTTCGGCAAAATGAGCCTAAAACATTCATTTAAAAGTCAGGACATTGTTCCTTTTTATATGCAAAAAAAAAAATTACAGTTCAGTAACATAGTTTCCTAAAAGAAAAACAGGTCATTATTAAACCACAAAAACCGAACTCTTACCTGGAAAAACACCAACAACACCTCTCAATCTGCCCGTCCACCAATCATTTGCATCTCGCGTCTTTTCAACTACCTCAATCTTATCATCTTTTTTAAACGATAAATCACCTTCAGCTTGAGCTTCATAGTCATAGAGAGCAACAACGTAAGTCTTTGTACTTGAATTTCGAGAAGGTGGTACAGGTGGAGGTGCTCGAGGTGATACTAAACCTGCTGTTACTGAAGAAGAAGGCTGTGACGTGTAACTAGGTGGTTGGGTATCAGGATAATAGTCTTGCTGTTGATAGGATTCTTGGCGCTGTGGCTGATAATAAGATGATTGATCTTGTTCAGCATGATGGGGTTTTTGAGAACTTTCCTCGCTTCTTAATGCTGCTCTTTCTTGAATAGTCAATTTAGAATTGTTGGATGCTCCGGAAGCTAGTAAAATGTGTTATTTCATATATGAATCATAGTTCTCTTCATTACCACTAAGCCATGCTTTTCCTCCAGATCTGAGTAAATCCGTATTCTCGATCTCAGCCTGTGCATCAAAGTGTTGTTTTCTCCATTGATAACCACCTTGAATATCCATGGATTGCGTAACAAATTGTTGTTCATTAGCTGTTACGAGTTCGTAACATCGAGCATAAATCATGCCAAAAATTTTGTTCTGAAGATTGTACAAGTGCTCAAAAATGGCTTGCATCATGTGAAATTGCATCTCAAAGAAACCAGGCAACTGTTGCTTTAGCGTATTGTTCAAGTAATCATAGTCTTGAGTGGCTACGTCCAATTGACTCTGTATCTTGATAATTGACTTTTCATCGTTCAGACTGCGTTCAGTCTTGACGGTCAACTTGCTCAAGGCAACACGATGACGATCATAATCAATGAGCTTGTGGTTTCGCTTTACAATGGTTTTTTGGATCTTTTTGATAACTTCCTGTAGCTCATATGTGGGTCGAATGACGAATTGATCCACAGAGTCCTAATCAATAAACTTGAGTTATGCAATGGCAGCATAGGCTAGTTTACCAAATTGGGTAGGATTTCATCGCGACAGTAAGCCATGGCAGCTTCAGCATCGCCTACTGCTTGTAAGGCAGCAGAAGGAGTCGATTGTACTCTTTTCTGAACTTCATCTTGATCTGTTTCAACGCCAATCTGTTGACTATAAATGACAGACAAATAATTAGCCATTTCTGCTTGATGTGTCAACAGTGCTATCCAATATTATATTAGCACACTCATCAGACCATAAAAAGGCCTACCAGAAACACTATCACGAAAAGTCTGTGCTTCAATTCTTAATTGATCTGCCATTTTGGATGTTTCGTTAAATCGGGTTTCCAACTGGATAAATTCCGCGTCTTTCGTTACTGGTCCTTTGGTTTTAGTATATATGCTTTTATCCTAAATCTTACCATCGTCCTTTTTTGACATAATTTGATGAGGCAAACGGCTCATTGCTTTTTGAAAACCCTACAAATAAATGCCAAGAAATATGAGTTCGAGAATTATTTATCTAAACCACAAACCTTCCAACTCATTTCTTTACGTTAGGATATAAATAAATAAGAAAAATAGATAGATAACGTTCTTTTTTTTTTTGAATATAAAGAACGGAAAGAATGGGAAAGAGAAAGAAAAGAAGAAAATAAAATAATAGATAAAAAAAGCTTGGAGTGATGATGGAAACTAAATTTCAAGAGGCGACGGGTATTTGAAGCAAACATCTTGCATATTTCTTGGACATGTATTGTACCACGCTATTATTTTCTTGAGAAAATCATACTTACATAAGCATATTGTATATAGTTCGTAAAGAGCAATACATTCTATAATCTACATGTCTTCATAGTCACTAAAAGAAAGATACATTAGATATGTAGCTTACCATTGAACCTAAATTGTAAATCCAGATTCTTACAATTTAGTCGAAAGAGCACATTCTGAAAATACCAATCTGAAGGGATATCCATTTATTATGGGCTGTCCACGTCAACAGTTGAAATACAGTCCCAACATCATTTGAACATGATTGTGCAACTCTTTAAATTTATGGTGTTTGAAATGCCTATTACGCCAATAATGCACCTATAAAGACATCAAGGAGCAGTCTCGGAAGATCAATTCATTATGAAGTAAAAAAAAAAAAAAAAGTACCTGAATTCTAAAAAAGAAAACGTTTCTTTTTCTTTTTCTATATATATATAAATATTATGAACCGTACCAGGGGAAGAAGTATTTCTCAGCTTCACAACCCAAGTGATGACGAGGTAAACGCTCCATCTATAACCAAACCGAGATCCATAACTATTTTATCAGTTAACAACGATAGAAAGGCATTTTGAATTTGTCAATATGGCATTCAAGTACAGTATCAATGACTTGGAAATGATCATTCAAATGCTTCGGGCCAGGTAACAAAAAGACCCCTTCGATGATGGAGAAAAAATTGATTCACTCGGTTAGGCTTGCGGCCGAAGAAGTTTATTTGAAAGAACTCTATAAAGTCAAGAGGTTAGCTTCTTCGAACGATTCAGATAGACCTTCTTTTCATCATGAAACACAAAATTCGTTTCAAACAGCCGTAAAGTCATATGAAGCAACCATCAATGACACAATTGAGAATCGCGCCAGACATAAGGACACGATCAAACTTGAAATAGATGTGCTTGTTCGACAAAAAGTAATTTTGTTTGAGCTTATTTTGGATATACTGACATGAGGTCGTGTGTTACACTAGGAAATGGAGGAACAGAACCGAAAGACATACAAAACAAAATTGGCTGAAGCTAATTTGAATTACACTACATTTCGCAACCGTGATATTGTCAAAGTAAGCTAGTCTTTTTGATATCCATCAACTCATATACTGTAGCTTCAAAAAACATATACACACAAATGTGAAGATTTGAAAATGGCACAGAACAACTGGCAGCAGCTGCAACAACAAGAGGAAAATAATGAGCTCCTTAGGTCAAATAGAAATTCGATGGAAGTAAATCCTTCTCGACTATCGGGTGAAAGTACAAATCGAGAGATTGATAGTAATACTGTAACAGATCAACACAAAAAAGGTATGGCTGGATTGATCTCTCAAATGCGTACAAGGGCTGCCGCCAATATCACGCCAGCCGATCAAAATAAACAGATCACAAAATTCGCCAAAATGAAAAAGGATATTTCAGAGGCTGATGGTGAGTATAGAGATGGTATTCTTGTATTAGAAAACTTGAGAAAGAAGCAAACAAAGGCAACAGAAGAAGTAAACCGAGTACGTAGACTAGTAAAGAGAAATTATCCTTATTCTATCATTAGCAATTGAAAAACACCATCAAAAGAAAGACAGACACAGTCAAGACGTCTTTGACGAACATCCTTCGATCTGAAATGGAAAGCATACAAGTTGATATGAATGTATGTCTACATGCCCATTTTCTTTAACTTATAAGCATTGGTAGATTGCCCGTACATCTTTTGAAGCTGCTTCAAACATCGATAGTCTTAAAGATATTCAAATGTTCAATATGCACTATCAATCCCAAGGCTACGTCCAACCTACACCTGTGCGCTATGAAAACTTTTACATGGAAGGAAAATGCAAAGGTAAGAGTCTTTAGAAGGTCTATGTTGTTAATTGATTGGGTTATAGAGGTGTTATTTGGAGGTTCTTTGGAGTCTTATGCTCTTGAGCACAATGCTACAGTGCCCAAACTAGTCATAAAGTGCATTGAAGCCATTGAAAACATGGGAGGTTTACAAAAAGAAGGCATCTATAGGGTGTCTGGAAGACAATCTAATATTGAGCAATTAAAGCACCAATTCGAATTAGACGAAGATTTAGTTCAACTTGATCCATATGACGTGTTTACAATTGCCACTGTACTCAAGATGTATATTCGTGAATTAAAACGACCTTTGTTTGATTTCAGTGTCCAGACAAGAGTATCTTACAGCAGCAAGTATTTCTCTCGTTGAGTTAAATAAGAATACTAAAACCATCTTTCTTCCTTTAGAAAACATGCCTCAAAATCAAAGATTCAATATGCTTGAGAATAAGTTGGCTAACATGTCACTAGCTCATAGAAGCACATTGCATTATCTTGTTTGCCATTTGTCAAAGTAAGTTCAAGTCCATGGATCGTTCATATATTTATACAACATGATAGGATCAATGCAAACTCTCAGATGAACAAGATGAATATTCCTAACCTTGCTCTTATTTTTACACCTGTCATTTTCCATGATTTCAATCAGACAGAAGAAGGTACTACACATAGCGACTGGTCTCCTGAAGATTTGTTTGAAGATTTAATACTTCATCATGAAGTACTGTTTCATATCGCAGAAGAAAGTGCACGCAGAAACAATGAACAAAAATTACAAGAAGCATTAAATGGCAAGAATCCTTACAGCCAATTCTCTCAAAGTAATCTGTTGTATTTAAGTAATTCTACTGTACCTTATCCTCAGCAACAACAACAGCCAACCAGTGGCTTACTCTTGACTCAGCCTATGAATCCACCTAATCTACCAAAAACATCTAACTCTTCTGGAACTCCTTTAGATTACCAGCCATATCAGCAACAACAGCAACAATATCCACCTAAATTGACGACAATTATAGGCACAGCACCACCACAACAACAACAACAATACATGAGTTCAGTTCTTCCATCTGCTCCACCTGCTGCTACTTCAACACCTCAATCTAATGGTCATGTCTCACAACAGTATCAATCTTCTGAATCCAGGCTGCCTTCTACTGGACCATCTCCCTCATATCAACAACAGCAGCCTATAGCCTCTTTGCCAAAAGATAAACCTCTTACTGTTATTACAAGAAGAGGTTCTTCTATGAGTCATCATTACCTAAACAACACTGCACCCTCTTCAGCTATTGAGCCATCAAGTACCGAGTACAGCCCTATGCCCACCAAAAGAATTAGTTTGTCTGATTTGCCCAGAAGAGACAGCAGCGCACAACAAATAAAGCTCCCCCGACAAGACTCTTTGCGCAAAAACAGCAGTTCATCTTTGTCGAGTCAAACAAGCGCAGCTAGTACTAAAACAACTACAGATACTCAGCAACAACACACTTATTATCAAGCTAATTTCAGCCAAGATACCATGTTAGCTGCTGTTGAAGAAACCACCAATCTGGATGAACTTGTTGAATACAATTCTCCTACTATGGCTAAACCTCCCAGTTCTACTTAGATAATTAATTTGTTATTAAGCGGCAAAGCGAGTTTCAATTTTGATTATCTATCAGTTTATGCTTATTCATATTAAAACAAACAGATTGTTGCGTATAAAGGGCTTCCTTTTCATTTCTTTACCCTTCTTTCCTTCTATTTTCTTAGCCAAGATTGCTGAGCAGAAAATAAAAAATAGTAATTCTTCACTCTCTATGACGCTATGAGACAAGGTGGTTGATTTATTACCACTGTCATACATAGAGCAATAGAAAAAAGGCAATAAACCCGTGTTATCAAACATTGATGGTACTATTAATTAAACCTTATTCACTTTATAAATCTATTGTATTTCATACAAAAACCATTGAAAAAAAAAGTGAACCTAGCCTATGACAAAATGACAACAACATTGACATGTATAGCAATAAAAGGAAACACAAAATCAAGGAGTATTTATGTTTATTTATATATTTATGCTACACTATAATAATAGCGCGGATATAGATTTTCTTAGTTTATGCGGAAGATGATTATTACAAGGAAAAAAAATACTATGCACGAACAACACCGAACAATAGGATCTAAAATTAGTTTTGTGATGTTGCAAAAAAAAAAAGAAAAAAAAAAGGGCTTAGGGATGGTATAATTTAGGAAAAGGTATAGAAGACATCATTGACACCCTTTTTTATTCACATGAAATTGAAGAATTAGGGATCAACAAATAAACAAAGTCTTTCAGTATCTCTGAAAAGAGATCGATCGTAAAGAGAAAACCAAGATCGATCAAAGTCTCTCTTCCTCTGCCTTGTCTCATGTCAATGGTATACGTTTATAGTAACGAGCCATTTACAATGACATTATGTTATTCAAATTGATTTATTCTTATTATTGCATAATAATAATGATAATAAAAAAATCTAAACACCCATTTTATAGCAAATAAGGTACTATATACAATTTCATTTTCTTCTTTTACCCTACAAAACAAAGACTTCAAAGTACCATAGACACATATAGACATGGTACAACTTGTATAAATGAACTCCCGCTTAGCCACCCTTTTTTTTTTTTTTTTGGTATGCAAATGAAGGTGCTTCAACTTGCTATATTTTGTTCTATCTCCATAATGAAATATCACAGCCGCAATTTCAAGGATAGCACACACACACACACACACACACACACACACACACACACACACACACACACACACATACATACATATATAGGGCACATGAACTAAATTGATAAACAATGTAATTTATATGCAAAAAGATAATGCATGAAGTTTCTTGGCTTACCTCGTTTCTATCTATCTTTTTTTTTTTTAAGTTTGAATCACCTGTGTAGCACAGTTAGGGTTATGTCAACCTCCCCTCCTTTGGTTTGATATCAAGTAAGTGGCAAAACACACATGAGAGATTTCTCCTTTCTGTTATTCTTCTTTTAGGGTTGTAATACACTGAAAGTTTTTACGTCCTTTCACTTCCAAATTACTACTCGTGTTACTTTCTATTATGTATAGTTTAGGTTCTGTCATACTTTGCACACACACACATATATATATATAAGAGATAAAAAGCATTGTTTTTTATTACTGTTTTACCTTTATTTCTCTATCCCCTTTACCCTACATGCCCAATTTTAGTAGCTGCAAATCTTCTGTCCCAAGCGTAAAGACAGCAAATAAGACAAGCCCTCCTCCAAATATTCAACTAGAGGGCTATTTGATGAAACAGAAACATGGAAAATCCAAATCCTGGTTAAAACGATATTTTGTTTTATATGGTCAAGAATTACGATATTATAAATCAAGGGTAATATACATAAAGCATAACTTACTCAGCAACATATGACTCATGTTCCTATTTTTTTTTTTTTTTTGATAGAGTGATACCAATAATGCCTTGGCTGTCATTTCCCTAAATCACTACAGTCTTATACCTGATACTCAACCACACGAAAGCCATAAACCATCAAAGCACGATACATTCTGCCTTGTTTCTGATGATGAGACGAAATACGATTGGCCTGATTATTACTTACAGGCAGCTAACCCTGAAGAGAGATCAGTATGGGAAGACGCACTGCAACACTATGTTACTCAATTGACAAGTGTATTAGACAAATGGCTTGATAGACTCGATATTCCACACGACGATTTTGATGATACCCTCTACAGCGCAAGAAAACTGGACAGTGTTTCTATTCACTCTTCTCAATCGAATATACTGTTGTCTACACCGTCACAGTCACTCAGGAACCATAAATCAACAGAGTCTCTCAGCACCACATTTACATCGTTCAGTAGCTACAATCGACGACGTCCCTCAGACTTTACTTGCTCAAAAAGCTCAGATTTGTCAAGCAAGATCTTGGGCTCAAAAGCATTTAGCTGGACTCGTCCTAAATCGTCTGCATCTTCTGTTGTTTCCTCCATCACCGACTCTGAAGAAAACGACAGCAATGAATATTTACCCCAACATACCGCCTCCATGATACCAAACAAAGCACTTGAGATGCCAATTATTCATCCTAGCGAATACAACAAAATCTACACAAAAGAGATGCTATGATAAATTCACCTTTCTGCCATATTCTCCTTTCCTTTGTTTTATGTTCATTCTCTCTATGTAAAATATGTAACTTTATATGTATAAATAAACTTATTGTTCCAATTATGACACAAAATTATTAATTATAAGCTAATTAACTTGAAGAAGGTTGAACAGGAGCTAAACCTTGGGCATATTTTGAATTAAAGAAAGTATAACTCAGCGTGATCGTGTTGACATCCTTCATCAATGGATCCTCCAAGAAGTCAGGGTCAATGAAAAAGAAGACAGGCATATCCACATCTTCCCCAGGCTTTAGTTTCTGTTCCTCAAAACAAAAACATTGGATCTTGTTGAAATAAGAACCAGCACGGTACGGTGTGACATTATAGGTTGCAATACCAATCACATCCTCTTTGGCTTTACTTTTGGCCTTGTAGAACGTCAGGGCTGTCTCACCAGGTACGACATAGACTTCGCGCACCTCAGGTTTGAATGTCCATGGTAGGCTGTCGGATGTATTGGATTCAAACGTCACACGAATACGTCGACTTTGTTGAGGCACAAGACGCTCTGGTCCAAATCGTGCACTATCTACAACGGGTGTGCCACTGTAGCCTGTACTGGCACAAAAGAGTCGGTAGAGAGGAACTGCTGCGTACGACAAGCCAAGCATGCCGATAAAGATAGAGGCTGTGTACATGCCTGCTGAGCTGTTACTGCTGCCATTGCTTTTTGTACCTGTTGCGTAGGTGCGGCATAATGAAGGATTAGATCGAACATACATGAAAGATGCTCTTGAGGGCTGAGCATAAAGTGACCGTAATGAATTTCTAAACATATAAAAAAAGAAAAAGAGGGGTTGAATTTGAAGCTGATTTTTTTTTTCAAGTCAAAGGGGACTCTGCTTATTGAACGTCCGATGTGATGTCACTTTTTGACATGTTGAAAGTATGTTACACTAGTTTATTTACACTCTTCTACAGATAGCAGAGGGTATCCAGCCATACATGGAAGCATTGGAACCAACCAAACTACCATACCACCATTCTTCTTGTTCACAGCTCATTCCTATTGCATGCACAGGAGGCAGCCAAATCTGAATTAAATCATTCTTTTTTATGCAAAGCTTTTCAGGTGATTCATAGTCAGCAAGTGCAATGCATTGAAATACAGGCTCAGAGAACAACAAGTAGTCGTGCGGGGAATTTTTCAATAATGGCGGTAGTTTGGGCGCTGCTATTGTAATACCTTGATCCAATGCACTATGCATAGAAGATGACTTGTTGAAGGGTTCATATCCACTGTCATATCGTTGCTGATCTTCGAACATTCGTAAAATAATAATGTCATTGATGTATTTCTGAACTCTTACTAAGCTTTTTTGGTAGTCTGATTCTATCGATTGCCAGCTGTATCTTTCTCCAAATGGTAATTCAATGGTCAACATTTTCCATTCAGTGCGTTGATATTGCCAAAATAACGCTTGTACTTGAGTAAATGCATCAAGCACAGTTTGAAAGTAAGTACTGGACAAATGAAGAAATTGAGGTAATTCATCCACCAGTGTCGCATTCAGTGATGTATAGACTTGAAATGAAACTTGTTTGTGATCAGCCGTTGTTCTTTTGGAATGAAATGTACGGTCATAATCACTTAGGGCTTGATTCCTTTTTTGAATGACATGGTATGGGTTTTTAAACAACTTAAGATAAGATTCTATTTGTCGGTATACTTTTTCTTGTACGTGTGTTTCCTAGTCCGTATAAGTAAAGTATATACATGTATTTTGTGTGTGTGTGTGTGTGTGTGTATTTTTTACCAATGGATAAGATTCTAAACGAGAAACGAGTTTTCTAAATGCTTTCATACTTCTCAGTCCAATGCCATCTGAATCGCCATACACAGCCTCTAAATCCTGCACAAGTCGAGACAAGGATTGTATACTGTTTCTTGTGTCTAATATCCATTTTTGTACACTATATTCTAATTCTCGAGCCATTTCTTGCCTTGCTTCAAACTGTTGATACAAATTATCAAATTGAGTGTCTTGTGTATGTGATATCTTTTTTCTTCGACTCAACTTCTTATTGATGTGTTGTCTATACAGAGTAAATCAATGTATTTGTATTTGTGTATGCTTACATGACCTAGAACAAAAAAAAAAGAATAAATAATCAGCCATGATTTTCTGATCTTACATTGCTTCGATCTTTATTGTGTATGAGTTGTTCCGCCAAATCCTTTCTTCGTTTGATTTCATTGATGTTGTCTGCTACTTGTTGAATATCATGCAATGCTACGACAAGTTGGTTGTAATCTGAATGATGCTTGGGTGTCAATTGAACAATCTCTTTTAACAAGAGTGGGTATTTGAGTACTCTCTGTACTGGTTTAATCAACAGACTCTCCAAGTCCCAACAAGTGGTTTGTCCTTGTATTGTTTGATTGCATTGCTACATGAATGAGTTCTAGTGTCATTCTGATTGTATAAGCCTACCTTTAAAAATGCATGTATGGTTGTTTGTGTCTTGGTCAAGTCTTGTATTTTGTGTATAGCATCTTGGTGTTTTTTACAAAACTCTGCATACGTTTGTTCTATTTGTTTCATCTATCGTTTGCTATAGTCCAAGCAATAGAATGATCCACACTTACCATGCTATTATAACTAAAACCAACAGCCATGTCCGAGTCTTCCAGTAGCTGAATTAACTGATGACTGAGTTGAATCATGTCTGGCAAATTGATAAATATCTGCTTTAATTCAAATCTGGTGAACACAGTATCATCCATATAGATCTCTTGCACTAATTGCATATCTGACAAGTAACTCTTTTCAGTCATCAAGAGTTCCTGAAGTACAAAAAACCGACGACGGGTTGATTTAGAAGATCCACAGGAGGAAGTAGTCGTTGTCACAGAAGAAGCCAGACTATGTATACTTTGAGTCGATAGTCGTTTAAGCAAGACTGTTTGATCTTGAACAGACCAAAGTGAAGGTGTGGATTTAAGCAGTGGTTCATGAGGTCTGTTTAAATGATCAGATAGATCACTCAAGTTTTTTGTGATCATTTTCTTTTTCTTTAACATGCCCTAAGAACCATGAATACCCTTATTAATTTTTTTTTTTTTACCATTGATTCCACAGATTGTATTTTTGCTTTTAAAGTATGAAAAGTACTAGAATGATTGCTCATTGGATATTTATGATAAAATTAAATTAAAATTAATGTTACAATGAATATTAAACACTGAAGGAGTATGTGGCAAAAAAGAGAGAGAGAGAGAGAAAGAGAGAGAAAGAGAGAGAAAGAAAGAGAGAAAGAAAGATAGACAACATGCTTTTTTGTCTCCTTTGTTTATCTAGTCTCCTTTAATTTATTTAAATATTTATTTATAAATGACATTTGTATTAGCAAATTCTTGTTCTAGTCGATCTTCTGGTTGTTTGATTACTCACACTTTTTCTCTTCTTAAGTGTGTTTTCACGAGGTATATTCAAGATGCCTGCATCTCCTTGTGTGGCTACCATATAAGGCACCCAGGTGAGTTTCTCACTGTTTGCTATCAGGCGTGGTTTGTCTGGTAAGTCTGGTACCATGATCTGGTATTCGCCATTTGATTTCTTTAATAAGCCATTTAATTCTAATGTAGACACAATATCATCCAAAGTCATGCAAGTCAGTTTGCTAAGGGCTATACACAACATATTAGTCTTGTATTGTACTATGTATTTTACCTTCTAATGTGATAGTCGTGCCTGAATATTGAATCAGTTGATACTTGATTGTATATGCCCAATACTTGCGATAACTCAAGAGACCTAGATCAGATAAGGGTTTCTCTGGTGATCCAGCCTTGTCTTCCTTTTTTGAAAGGAGATAACTAAAATCAATCAAGAATTGACCATATCCCTTTCTTTGATATGCAGGTAATGTCATAATGCAAGATAGATTGTAGTCCAACAAGGATCGTTTTTCCTATCAGATAATAAGCCAACTTGCTTAACTCTCCCCTTCTTTGTTATACGCTTACTTTAGAGAAATAACCTACAAAATGACAGCCTGTCTCATCTGTCTCTGTCAAGATATAGAACAAAAAGGGCTCTACATCATAATACAGAGTTTTGTGATCCAAGAACATTTTGGCAAGCAAACATAGATTTTGACAATAAATCTTGTTCTTTCTACCGTCTACTTCGAATATTGAAATAATACCATCTCTATAGATCTCATCCCCTGGTGGATGCTTCATTGGGCATTTAATCTAGTATATGGTCAATATAAAAGGGGAAGGGTTTATTGATCTTTACCTTATGACGATTAGCAATGTATTCACTCTTCATGTATTTTAAGCAGAATTCACATATATAAAGTACTTCTAGGCGACTATATTCTTCAGGGTAAGGCGATAAATACCACACATCCACTAAATAAGGTCCAATCTGTATTTTGCGTATATGTTCTGTTTGTTGCTGATGATCACGCGAAGCTATAGGCAAAAATGATGTTGTAGGCAATGCGATGAGTGAACTGCTGGAAGAAACACTGCTATTACTGCTGATACTTGTGGGAGAAGAAGGTGAAGAAGGCAAAGAGCCTTTTTGTTGTCTTACTATAGCGCGAGTTTTGGAGATTGAACATGCTCGTTCGTCTTGTTCGTTTGGTTTATTCACTTTATTTGTCTATACAGGATAAGTTTTTTTTTTTTCTGGACTATTGTATGTTACATACTTCTGCAAGTTGTTTTGCACTTTCAAACCTGTCTATGCACTTTGCATCTGGCAATCCTCTAGTGTATTGATCTCCTAATAACAGTTTCTTTGGATGTCGATGATAAAGTGTTTCAATCGATGAGTATTGCGGTAGGATGGGTATGTCAAGTTGTACTATGGGCGCTGTCTTGTTGATGGTGCGTGTTGATGTTCTACGTATATAAAATTGCTTTTTTGAGATGGCCATTTTTTATTATTATTATTATTATTGAAAAAAGAATTCTATGATATTGTCTATGTACAAAAAAGTAAAGAAAAAGGGAGGTCCAATAAACTGCATCTCTTCACGAAATTAACAGATTTTATTTCCGCCAAGACGCGTCTCTTTTTTTTTTTCAACCCCATTATTTGTAGAATCAAAAAGACGTTGTTTTATCTATTGAAAGAGAATTCTTCAACAAGTGTTTAGTTATACACCAAAAAAAAAAAAGAAAAAAGAAAGAAAAAAAGACATGTATTTTACAACAGCGACTCAGTATTTGCATGAATATTTCTCGAAAGCAATTGTAGTCTTTAGTAGAACTATCATCAAATGGATCTCAATCAGAGAGGAAAAAGAAATTATTTTAGAATGATGTATGCTTTTATTAACTGTACAAATATGAAGAAGAATGCTATATTTATTATTATGCAAATACAATAATAATTTAGAGACGACGACCACGACGACCACCCTTTCTACGGGTAGAGTCAGTGGGAACAGGAGTCACATCTTCAATACGACCAATTCTCATACCAGCACGGGCAAGAGCACGGAGGGCAGCTTGGCCACCAGGACCAGGGGTCTTGGTGCCAGTACCACCAGTGGCTCTGAGCTTGATGTGGAGGGCGTTGATACCGAGTTCCTTACACTTGGCAGCAACTTGTTGAGCAGCCAACATGGCAGCATAAGGGGAAGATTCATCACGATCAGCCTTGACTTGCATACCACCTAATTACACATAAAGGAATACAGGGAGGGGGATGTGTGTCAGTAAGGGGGTTTGGATCCATAAAACACACACGCCGCTCAACACTCGAAAGTGTGGCATCCTTTTTTATCATTGTATCTATAAACTTACCAGTGATACGAGAGATAGTTTCACGACCAGAGAGATCAGTAACATGGACAAAGGTATCGTTGAAAGAAGCGAAGATGTGAGCAACACCAAAGACAAGTTCACCTTCACGGACTTGGGGACCGAGTTGGACCTTTTCAACGACCTTAGGAGCAGCCTTCTTGGACTAGATAGAGAGTGTAAGTCATGGATGGATGGATGGGTATGTGTCTATTTTTACCATATTGAATAATGGATGAAAAAAGAGAAAGTGAAATCTATCTACAGCACAACCTACATTTATACTCAATGCCCGGCTCGGAATCCACTTTCTTTTGACTCTTCATTTCCCCGCTTTTTCCATTTGTTTTTTTAAAAAAAGAAAGATAACTTTATTGAATAAATAGAATGTGGGATATATAGTTAGTAATTGGGTGATTTCAAGCCTCTACGACCTTCAAAGAAAGAAGGGTTGGAACTGAAAAACTAAACAAACAAAGCGTGAGTATTCCCCTGATAATTCACATGAAATTGTTTACCTTGGTATTTTCATGTTGTTCAACTCTTTGCCAAGGATAAGGGTTGTTTTTCTTGTCAATTTGAATATCAGGATGCGTCTTGAGCAAGTAAACTAAAAAGAGATAAGGATAAGAATCTTTTTTGAAATCATAATTAAAAGCTATAGCTTACGTGGATATCTATACATAAATAAAAGTTAATTCACATTCACTCCTTTTGTTAACTTACGAAACAGCAGCAGCACAACCAGCACCTGCAATAGCAAAGAGGGGAATTAAAGCAGCATTGTTACGCATGAATGAAAAGAAAGAAGGCATCTTGAGAATTGAATAATAAAGAAATATATAAAAAAAAGGATGGAAATGAGTCTTTTCCTTTTTATATTTAAATTAGCTTTCAGGGCTTTCTCACACATACAAGTTACTTCACACGAGATACATGCACGCATAACAGTTTAAATTAGTTTGAGAAGATATGTAAACATGATGTGAATATGATTACACAAACAAATCATTTATTGGGTAATGCTTTATTTAGTGATTTCATCAGTCTCTGGTATATCATTGATAAATTATCACCCAAAGGCATTGCTGAGTTAATTTTGACCAGTTTACACTCTCCCATGTTTGCGTAACTATAGAAAGCTATTTTTTTATCAAACCAAAAATAAAATAAAGTAAAAATAAATAGGATAAGGTAATAAAGTGTTTTATGACATGAAATGACGCTTCTGTATGATTATTTCCCATTTCTTAATTTAAATATTCTCCCTTTGGATTTGTGCTGTGAAGACAGACGAACTGACGTACTTGAAGCAATTGAGCGCTGGTGTGGTGACAATCGAACAGATACCATTGCATTTGAAATCATTGAGCGTTGTTGTGGTGATAAATGATGCCCAAATCTTGACATGACATTATCCATGTAATTCGGTACTGACATGGTAAACAATAAAGAACAAGAAGAAATAGAAAAAGGGGGAACGATTTTTTTTTATTTTATAAACATCGTATCCAATGGGAGAATTTCATCTTATTTTGACTTGGAGTTGATACTTTTACGAAAAAAAAACCCCGTAGATAAAACGGAAACTCATATCTTGTTACCGAGTTTTTTACAGAAATTATCGGGATAGAAATTTATGCTAAAGCGAATCAACGGAGCTTGTTATTCCTCATATTTTCAGATATTTGAGTATGGATTACTAAACCAATTACGACTGTTGTATTCCTAAAATTGATTTAAAAGTCTTTTCTTTCCAAGAAGGTGGCTATGCTGTTTTGTAAGGAAATCAGTAAATTTTGTTTAACCAAGGCATTGGTTTGTACATCTCCCTTTTGACGGATATTGTATTTGTATGTGTCTATCAACGCATTGATTTCATGTAGAGCTTGAAACTGTTGTTCTCCTCAAAATCACATTCAATTGTGGCCCAATTAAATGCTTTGTATAACGTGGCATATCTTTATCATGGAACATTCTGTGTGCAAGAAATGCAACTGGCACCTATTGATACAGTTGTCAATGGTATATGTCTCTGATTGACATGGCCACACTGAATTACTGTCTCATTTGCTTTTTTTTTTGTTCAAAAAGAACAATTCTGATTTTGAAGGCAGAAAAAATAAAAGTGTTCCAAGTATGTCCTGTGTTACTTTAAGGTTTTATTGTCAAAATAAAAATGGTAATTTTATGATTTAAGGAGGGAAAACGTTCTTATCAAATTCACCCAAGTAGTTACCGGCAGGATTGTAGTTACAGACAATGTACATACCACCATTGTTGGGACAGTTGTTGGAGGCACAACCAACTTCAGTAGTACCCTTCCAGACAACTTGAGTAAAGTGACCAGTAGCCATGGAGAAACCAGGCTTGTTGTAATTATAGTCCTTGACTTCACTGTACCAGCCTTCAACAGCACCTTGAATTGTGGGCCAGCCCATGGCAAGACATTGTCCTTCGTTATCAACGATTTGGTGCTCAAAGACACAGGTCTTGGCAACCTTCAAGGCATCAGCAGCAAGCTTGTCACTCCACTTGAGAGGATCAACATGGTGTTTGGCACGGTACTTGTTGTGATTATCTAAAGCACTTTGAGCAAAGTCAGAAGAAACGATAGTGGAGATAGCAGCAGAAGAGGTGACAGTCTTAGTGGTGCTGGCAGCCTTGGTGGTAGCAGCAGCAGCCTTGGTAGTAGTGGCTTCCTTGGTAGTAGTGGCTTCCTTGGTAGGAGTGGCTTCCTTAGTAGGAGTGGTAGTGGTGGCCTTGTGAGCCTTGGTCTTCTTGGTCTTCTTGGCCTTGTGGGTCTTTGTCTTGTGAGTCTTTGTCTTGTGAACCTTGGTCTTATGAGTCTTAGTTTTGTGTGCCTTTTTGTGTTTGCCATGACTTACAGTGACATGGTGGGTATGATGTCTGGTATTACCATGATGCTTGCTAACAGTAGTAGTGTGCTCCTTAGAAGAGTATTGAGGAGCAGCCAAGACAACCTGGGTAATGGCGAGAACAGCAGCAACCTTGGTGAAGAGCATGATTTCTAAATTGAAAGGATTGGAAGTGTGTGTGGATGAGGAAATCTGCAAAAAACTGAAGGATCATCGCTCTTTTTATACTAAATCAGTTTCGTCTATAATCGCTCGTACCAATTTCCTCACATTTATGACTTGTAGAACCTCTTTTATTGAACATGCCACGAGTATTTTAAGCGGAATTAATTGTGAACGGTTTTATAGTCTACACAATAGCTTGTTCAGCATTGTTTTTGTTGTTGTTGTGGATGGCGATGATATGCTGCCATAAAAGGAGTCCATTGCAAAGACAAAATCATAGACAACTTATCTTCTTTTTTGAATTATACGTGTTTGTCTTTTGTATGGGTCTTATTATTTAATTTGTTTTCTTTAATTGAAATCTTATAACAACCGCTGTGTGTCACCTTCTAGATGAGAGACCCTTCTTTCAGGAATACGTTGTACACAAAACAATTTATGCCAATGTTATACAGCAGCAATGCTCGTTTGCACAGTTTAGAGTTAATTGCTCAATATTTCTTGATTATTGATGCATGGACATTGAAGATCGCGCCACACTTCTCAAAAGATTGACTTTCTAGAACCATGATTCTGAAAGCTTGTCAATCACTTTATTATTCTACGAGACAAATTGTGTTTGGAGGCTAAGCTATGAAAAGAAATTAAAGTGATGTTGATTGACTTTAAATGAATGCACTCAATCTCATATGAAAGACAATGATCTATAAGCGAATGCAAATGTTCAAATCATACTGGGTACATGTGTTGATTTCTGCCAACTCAGATGCAACGTGAACAGGGCCTTTGTTGGGTTTAATGAGGAGAATGAATCAAGTAATTACTTGAAATATATAAGAATTCGGGTGCTCTGTCTCTCTTTTAGTGATTTATTTACCATATTTAGTCTTTTGCTTATACCTGTATCCTGAACCAGGAAAATCGGATTTACTTGTTGTATTGTATAAGAAAAAGACTTTGTTTTAAAAGAGATTCTCAGTCTATAATTCAAGTTTGTATCGTACAATTATGCACTGACAACGAATGCTATATTGTCCTTGATAGGAGCAAGCATCTGTTATTTTTTAAAAGAAAGATCTCGACCAGAAAAATTTAGGCAAATCCTATTTCCAAGTGCCGCTCCAACAAAGCAAAAAAAAACGAAAGCAGGTCGTGTACTACGTAATCCTTCCACTTTGATCACATACCATGGTCGCTCAAGTTCAAAAACAAGCACCCAAATTTAAAGCGTCAGGCATTCGCAACGGTGAAATAGTCGACGATATATCTCTTGATGACTATAAGGGAAAATACGTTATTTTATTCTGGTATCCTATGGACTTTACCTTTGTCTGTCCAACTGAGATCATTGCTTTTAACGATGCCATTGAAGAGTTCAAATCTTTAGACTGTCAACTTATGGCAGCTTCATGCGACTCTGGTAAGACGTACAAGATACTGTGGATTCTATATTGATTTCAGATACTAGAATTTGTCCATCATGCTTGGATAAAAACACCTCGCCAACAAGGTGGTTTGGGTGTAGAAACACATATTCCCATTATTGCAGATACAACGCATTCGATTGCTAAAGACTATGGTGTCTATCTTGAAGATGTAGGCGTATCTTTGCGTGGTTTATTCATTATTGACACAAAGGGCATTATAAGACAAATCACTATCAATGATTTACCTGTGGGCCGAAGTGTTACAGAGACCATCCGATTGGTGGAGGCTTTCCAGTTCACTGACAAGCATGGTGAAGTATGTCCTGCTAATTGGAATAAAGGTGGTAAAACTATTATTCCTGACAAGGAAAAGGCAAAGGCTTACTTTGCTGACGATGATTGATCTGATTCGTGTTACAATAAAAGCTTCACTTACTGCATTTCACTTTATCATTCAACAGATATTCTTTTAAGCTATACATGTATAGGAAGCCATACCATGTCAAAAAGATTCTTTTCTCTCTTAAAACCAAAATCAGGTTCTATCAGACGAAATGATCCCTAAAAACCATAGTACCTGACATCTTTAGTAACATTCAAGGATCAGTATACAATTGCTCTCTGTCATACAAATGTTTACCTGAGTTGACTGTGCATTGGCTGAAGAGAAAAAAAAAAAAGAACAGCCTCCTCAAAGCCCGCAAATGCATTCATGAAGATTTTTATATTCTAGATAGTAAGAAAAAAAAAGAGTGATGCTCAAGCAGAGAAAACATACTTAAATTCATGCAAACTAGATTGGATTCATCCGTAAGCCAAGGCATTCTGCCAAGCAATAATAAATTGATTGCAACAATGCTCATCGCTATCTGAATGCTTTTTCCTGCCTATTGTTTTGGTTCAGGTGCAGTTTCTATAGCAACAAATGCATATTCATGCTATTTTTTTTTGGGGGATGAATAAAGAGTAATGCACCTTTTTTGATTGCCTTTGTTGCCACTTGAATTCATTTAAATTTTCCTTATTTGTAGAATTTGCTATTGTGTTGCGAGGTACAAAAAGATATTTCATTGGCTGAATGACTTCTAACAATTATGGGTCTGCAAGTGATACACTTTTTTTTCTTTAGTATTTTAATTATTTTGAGAACAAAGAAAGTACACACCTTCTTCTCTTTTTTGTTCTGCAGCACTCTCTCTCTTTTTGTCTCTAGTGAATTAGAAAGAAAAAAAGAACATGAATGATACTGATTCACTAGAAGAAAAAGCCCCATCAGTCAAACCTCCTCATTTAAAGATTGATCGAACCAACAGCAATGTATTAAAACCAATGTCATCGCCCGAGTCTTCACCTTCTTCACCTACCTCACCTAATCACAATCGTAACTTGATGTTACCACGTCTATATAGGATGCTTAAAACAAGCCAGCTTGTCATATTGGCTTTGATTTTGTTCTCGTTAGGAAGCATATATGTCATGTTAGACAGTCTACAGAACCATCAGCGCGATGTTTCTGGCTGTCAAACAAGTTATATGAGACCAGAATACATCAAACAAACAGGATTTGATAGTGAAATGACTCGGTTTGCAGGCAAATATGGCTTGTATCTGTATCGAGAAAAAGGTGTAGATTTTAGTGACCAAGTAAATAATCAAACAATTATAACGATGAGGCTAATGTTATTTATTAGCCAACAGGTGTTCCCGTCTTGTTTATACCGGGACATGCTGGTAGTTACAAGCAAGTACGCTCAATAGCAGCAGAGTCCACATTTTATTATTATAGAAACTATGCTCAAGATGCAGATAGATGGCAAAATGGCGTCCGAAACCTTGATTTTTTTACAGGTAAAATAGATATGCCTTGTTGCTTGACTCATCACTTTCTTTTATTAGTTGATTTTCACGAAGAATTTTCAGCATTACATGGACAATCCATATTAGAACAAGCAGAATACCTGAATGATGCTATTGATTACATCCTCAAATTATATCCACAAACACGCAAATATGATACAAATATGAAATTGCCTGATCCTACTTCAGTCATTGTTATTGGGCACTCCATGGGTGGTATTGTAGCACGTACGATGGTCACCATGAACAACTATCAACATGGGACTATCAATACCATCTTAACCATGTCAACACCTCATATGCTTCCACCAGTTCCGTTTGACTGGAAGATTTCTAAACTCTATGACGATATTAACCAGTTTTGGCAAGAAGGGTTTTCTAAACACACACCTGTCAATGACAATGACGAGCATCATCATATGAATACCAAACATCATCAAATAGCATCCCTTCGAGATATTTCAATTGTGTCTATGGCAGGCGGTACATTGGACAATACTGTATGTTCTGACTCTACTGACATTGGCTCCATTGTGCCCCATACACATGGGTTTACTGTCTTTTCAACAGCTGTGCCGCATGTCTGGACTGGTGCAGGCCATGTCTCTATCTTGACATGTAACCAGTTAGTCAAAGTGGTGTCAAAGACATTGATTGATTTAGTGGATGTGCGTCGTGGTCCACAGACAAAGCCCTTGGAAGAAAGAATGCAAATCTTACGCCATGCATTCTTGAGTGGTCTTGAGGATCGTAAAGGCGATGGTCTTGATCTTCAACTAGGTAAACGAGAATATATAGACCAAAAGCCAGATCACTAACATCATAGGGCGGGGGAATAGGTAACCTTAGTTTCTTTAGCCTTGAATCATCCGAAACTTTCTTTTTGGACCCTGGAGAGCGTTTGAATATAGAACAAGACTCCTTTGCCAGAATGACTTTGATGCCTACTGTTGCTAATGCAGATGCCTTTGCTATCTTATCAAACAGTCAAATAGACTCTAAAGAAAGATTTGAACTCTTGCTCTGTTCTCATAGAGAAGCAAATGACAACAAGATTCACTTTATGTGTCGATCTATTAATCCAATTGCAGTCCCTATACCAGCTTCGACACAAGATGATGTCCATCCTTTCTCTGGCAACACTTTTTCATTTGCCAGTATCGAATTTAGTGAAATGGGTGCTTATCCTTATCTTGCCATTATCGATAGAGGATTAAGCAACCAAGGGTTTTTAATTGCAGAGCCTTTTAAGAAGAGCAACAACAACCAAGTGATACATCAATCCATGCTTTGTAAGATCATCAAATACATGAATGATATGTTTAACATACTTGTAGCTATTGCTTTAGAAGGTGTTCATGTCAAAACAGGTCCTGGATTATTTACTTCGATTCGCATTCCCTCTATTGAAAGTCCTATTCTAGCTTATCATCTAAAAGTATCAAGGCCCAACTGTCAGTTCTATCAACCTCATTTTGCACCTTTCTTGAGACAGTCTATCTCCACCATGCATGAATCTAAATTCTATGTCAATTTAGCGGGTAATCGAGAAGGAGAAACTGAAATATCGATCCATGGTCGTACAGCCTTTGCTTCTGTTGTCAGTGCCTCTCGAGACATAGATCAAAATGGTCTTTCATTTCAAGTATGGATGGACCCTGTGTGTCCTGAACCTTTACAACTTGAACTTTCGATTGATTGGTATGGCAGTGCAGGTCGATTAGGCTTTCGAAATGGTATTATGCTCGCTACATTTTCATTTATTATTGTCATGCTTGTCTTTGCTGCTCAAATTAAGTGTTATAATGATTCAGGCATTTATCCTCATTTTGGCCAAGGACTTGCATTTTGTCTTAGGCGATCTTTGCCTGTAGTCATGATCAGTGTGGCATTATGCAGTATTGCACAATCTGCTTCACCTTCTACTTATTATACATTTGATGATCTTTGGTACTTGCCTTCCACAAAAATTGCATGGCAAGATATCATGTCAGGCAATACAGATCCATTTTTTTGGTGGATCCCCTTAGCTGGTCTGACATTAAGTATGGGTATCGTAAGTCTCTTATGGTTGATGGTAGAAGGAATGGTTCGATTCGCTGCCCATGTCTCTACCTTCTTGTTAAAACAACATGGTCTTGGTATCTGGCCTATTTATCGCACTCAGGAAACACGACAGCAACAAATTCAACGTAGAGCAATCACGACACTTGTGCTGTTTCTATTAGTGGCTACATTTATTCCCTATCAATTTGTCTTTGTAGTTGCATTCCTCGTACAAATTGCCACTTGTGTTCGCTCCCTTGTACGATCCAAACCTTATTATGTAAGAACGAAACACCATAGTAACATTCACTCATTTTTTTTTTTTTTTGCTTCGATAGACAAACAGAATAGAACTGAAAAGATCCAATAGATACAATTACATGCTGTCTCTTTTACTTTTATTTTTTACTTTATTGCCTTTCAATCTACCAATTCTATTGGTCTGGATTCGCAATATTTCAGTGCATTGGTTTGTACCCTTTTCATCAGATCATAGTGTGTTGGCTATTGCACCCTTTATGATTTATGTTGAACTATTGACAAGCAATCGAAAGATGATACCTAGGCAAACAAACAGGTATGTTATTGTTGTTGTATGTCTTGTTGACTTACGTTCTATAGATTCGCAAGTATGATTACCTACTTGATCATGTATTATATAGTGATGTATGCCTTCTTGTATGGCATCAAATACACACATTGGATCTACTTTTTGACAAACAATCTTGTGATCTGGTTATTAGTACTGCATTTTCAAAACTCACATTATGGCAAGCTATCTTATCGGTATTTGATGGAACATGTCAAACTCGCTAGCAAAAAACATTCATAAATAGACACCTCTTTACATATTTAATCATAACCCATCACTAATTCCTCTCTCTCTCTCCTTTTCTTCTCTTTGTTCATCAATAAAGAAACTCCGCTCTTACTTGAACCCAAGCCACACAAAGACAGGGTTGGATTGCCAAAGCTTAATCTCTTTATTCAAGTTTTAAAAAAATGACACATTAAAGAAACTTAGTTCTTTTGGGCACGGGGACCCTTAGCTTCACGCTTAGCGTGAACCTTCTTGGGTTGTTGAGTAGAGATGATAGCAGAAGCACGAGCAACAGCAGCCTATAAAACACACATTGAATATCATGATGTACTCAGGTCAATCACTTACAGCACGGAGATCAGGTCTGTACTTGCTCTTGGCAATCAAGTTAGCAACAGACTTGGAAGTTTGACGACGGGTCTTGGCAATGACAACAGAGTTAGCAGACTTGGCAGGAGAGTTTTCCTTCTTGGCCTTGCGGGTAGTGACACGAACACCACGGGCAACAGGGAGAATGGAGACGGACTATAAAGGTGTGAGCATTCAACAGTTCTATCGGATATGTAGCTTACCTTGTAGTTGGCAAGACCAGAGTACTTGAAAGAGTTGATGTTCTTCAAGTTGGAGGGTTCAGAAGAGAATTGAACACCAGGACGCTTAACAAGGAAAGAGTTGTTGTTTCTGATGATAGCCCAAACCAAATCAGCACTCATGTTCTATAGAACGGTATTAATATCTTCATACTATAGCTGTCTTTGTTGGGCTGCAATAAACAGGGTGGCTGTGTCAGAGGGGGGGGGTTGCTGTTCACTTACGATAAATATACGTAGAAAAACGAAAGAGGGAGAAAAAAAATTTTTGCCACTGCTGTAGTCCTGTTAAGGTGGGTGCACTATAGTGAAAAAATTTAGAAAAGAATAGCCTTTTTGATTGGATAAGAACTTGTGGCTTATGAGCATAAGAGTGGACTGTACTTTCATGCGTGAACATCGAAATTGAATACTGTTTATGCTAAAAGTGACACAGAAACTGTGTCTACAATTACTTTTTTCTAGTAAACGTTACATGGGTAGATCAGTAACTATCCAAGGCACCTCAAGAATGCTATAGAAACAAGACAGTTACAAAGTTTATGGCTTTAAGACTTTGGAAACACTGCTGTTACATTACATTCATTGTTTACCGTGTTCAAATCTATTCTTTTTGACCTCAAGAGTGTCACGTATTATAGCGAGCTTAGCTTTTGCACATTTAGTGCATCGAATAGTTCTTACTTACTAGTCAATATTTACTAAAAAGAGCCTCTTTTGTACTGATTACAGTGTACATGAACTTTGAATGCAGATTTGAAGGCAATGTTCAAATTAAGTCATCTATTTCATCTTAGTAAACTCGCTTTCTTTTTTTTTAAAAGTACTTGAACATGGCTTCACCTCATTTCGGTTGGATCAGACCTATATTGGCTCATTTCAAAAATTCTTGTTTCATTTTCACGGACCTCCGTGGATCCCCCACGGTCAAAAAAAAAGAAATTCATTCATAAAACAGTCAAACCGATAGTACCACTTGATTCCTGGGCTTCAAAGAACATATTCTAAATGAAAAAAGAGGGTATTTTAGTAGCCTGGTTGTCGAGTAATGGTCCATCAGATAATGGCATGTTCAAGCCCTAATTTGAGTATTTTTGCTCTGCATGTCATATAAAATGTGATGTCCTTAGAGCATTTTATGTTATTTTGAGTGCCAAATAATATAAAGAAAATAGAAATATAGGCGCTTTGCAATGTAAACGTGGGTTAAATAAACATAGGATATGCAGAACATCTCAGTGTATCACCATGAAACTGTTGCTGAGCTGCATTCCCATAGAGATATCTGACATTGGTAGGTTCTGTAAACCACATGATATCTTGCTCTCAGTATGAGTGATGTACAAATCTCTTCATAGCTGTGAGATTGAAGGACGAACAGTTTGCAATATATTGAATGTATGTAATGTAGCGTGAGATCAATCTACTTTAAACTAATTGCTTCTGTTCGTTTTCTACTCCTTTTATAATTGTAAAAATGCCATGTCGAGTAATAGTATGTTGGAACGAGCAATCATGTACGAAGAAGATCCATAATGAATAACAAAAGCATATTATACACTCCTAGCATGTCTCCCCTGACATAGCCCTATTCTCTTCTAGGAAACACATTATTTTTTAGTCTATCTTTAGGTTGAACTGATCCAGTTTTGGCTAGAAGATCGCAGTGTTGAATAAGCTTTTAGAGAAAAAACAATCATACTAATGCCACAATGATAAAAAGAAAAAGTGTACTATACTATAGTAATACATTTCTTAGTACTCTTAACATAGATTTCTATTATATGTAGAGCTGATTTTTATTTAAATTAACTAGTCTAATTGGCAAGAGAAATAGTAGTAGCAGAAAGCAAGATATCAGTTGTGCTGGCAGCAGCAACAGTAGTAGCATTAGCAGTAGCATTAGCAGTAGCATTAGCAGTAGCATTAGCATTAGCAGTAGCAGTAGCAGTAGCAGTAGCAGAGGCATTAGTAGTGGTATTATCGGCAGCAGCACCAGTGTTATTGAGAGGGTAAACATATTGCTCATCCCAGTAAGGTTGAGTCACATTGTTACAGGCCAAGGCAGACACAACGTTGAAAGTCTTTTGAAGCTTGGGCAACCAGAACATGGTCATGTTGACAGTAGCATGGTTCAATTCGTGTTCAAGTACAACGTGACCAGTCTTGTCTTTGCCAGACTTGTAGTTCTCAATCCATTTTTCAAAGTAGCCATCCACGGTACTGGTAGGGAGGTTACCACCACCAGGAGCCTAAAAAAATAATGAGATTCATGACAATAAATAATAAAACTATATATACCTTCATGTCCCAATCGTTAGTGTCTTCATCCCAAATGACAGTTCTGAGACCCATTTGGTAAGCAATAGCACGGACACGGTCATCAACATCACCTTGAGGAGGTCTCCAACACTTGGTAGTAACACCAGTAGCTTCCTTGATAGCCTTCAAGGTCCAGTAGAGTTCAGCAACAACTTCATGGTTGTTCTTGGTAGTCATGACGGGATGAGACCATGTGTGAACACAGATATGGTGGCCATCGTTAAAAGCTCTCTTGGCAGCAGCAGGGTAAGTAGCGACGTTGGAACCAATGTACTATATACAACAAAATCAGCTGATTGAATCTATGTTAATTTACGTACGAAAAGAGTAGCCTTTTGGTTGTTATGTTCAGCCAAGTAATTGTACAAAGCAGGCTCGGCGTAACGGTTTTCCGTCTTTGCGTTTTCATCATAATAAAGGTTGAATGGCCCATCGTCATAAGAAAGACCCCAATCACCTTTTCTACCACAAGTATAATAATCTTGAGGGATATTAATCTTGGGGGTAACACAATTGGTATCAGACCACCAACAGTAAGGATCCTTGGGTCCGTCAGTGTCTTTGACCCAGTCACCGTTTTTCTTTTGTTTTCTGACAGGAGCATTGGGAACGAGAGACCAATCAATCTTTGCAATAGCAGCCTTAACTTCCTTGGAAGTAGTACTGGGCGTCTTCCAGGTTTCAGGGTAGCCAGATAAAGTGTAAGTAGGCAATGTCTTACTCATATTGTAAGGACCATAATTGTATTCACTAACAACATCAGTAGGCTTGGCCATTTCAGGGAAGTCAGGTGAATGAGAAGGAATGTAAGATTTGGTAGCAGTAGCAGAACCAGTTGTGGTAGCAGTAGGGGCGGCAAATGCCAATTGACTACCCAACGAAAGCAAAGCGGCACTTAAGATAGTGATCTTCATGTTGGAAAAAAAATAAAAGAAAGGAAAGGAAGTAATGGTTAATTACTGTATTGAAGTTGAAACACTTATATACCCATGAATATTTTTAGATTCTGTAAATTAGATTAGGGAAAACAAAAGAAACAATGCACAAAATTTTTCGTTGCGTCAGTGTAGCGTTGGATCTTGCTTTAAAATAGAATACAAACATATGTTGAAATCCAAAAAAAGATCCAATTATAGAATATTTTACCTGAAAAAGGCCATTTTCATCTTCAGATACGGGTAAATCATGATCAGGTTTTGTAGAATTGACCCAATTGTACCTGTACTCTTTTTTTTTTTTTTTCCATAAGAAAGAAGAGAAACGAATAAAAATAGAGCAATCGAGTGAGCGTTTATGACTGAGAATGCAATTTTGTAGATCAAATAATATAAAAAAGTTACCGAGATTGCCAAGACTTGAGGCTCAGCATATTAAGCTGCGAATAAAAGCATGTATCTTCTTGATAGCAAAAGCTTTGGGGTAATCGCTTGGTATTGATGTCTGTTGTATATCTTTTGAGTTGCTTGTCTTTTGTTGTTCGCGTCAACGTAGAATTTGGGATGCATCAATAAACGTATGTTCCCTTTTTTCTGCTAATTTTATTTCTCCAAAAATAATATTTTAGTGCAGACACTGCTGTTGAAATGAGCCAATAATCTCCTTTTATATAAAGGAATAGGCTAAGCGCTATTAGAGAGCACATGGAGAAAGTAGTAATTTAAAAAGCTACAGAATACACTGCAATTACAACAATAACAAAAAAAAATGATAGATTATCAGAGAGAATTTATCAAACCTCAAAAGCAAAGAAAAAAGATAGGCTATCTCTCTTTTCTTCTACTGTGCTTTGATTGATACAACTCTAAGAGGTTATGCTATGTAGATTTAGTATGAAACGGCATATTTCTTGTTTCTCGATGCACTGATACTTCTGTACTACTCTATTTCAACTCAAATAACAACGAAGACAAGTGTGTCAATTAAGCTTTTAAATGTTGCATATGATGGAGACACAATTTTAGAAAATAAAAAAAAGGAACTTGTCTTTTTCGACCCAATATATATATATATATATATATATGTATATATGTATGTATATATGTATATATGCAGCATTTTATTGATTCGTATCAAACTGAACCATGGCATCAAATAAGTGCTCCGCATCCGGTTTGTCAGCCACGACATCGACTTGAAAGTTTAAATCTTTTGTGATAAAATCCGCTGTTGTTGGACCAATGGCAGCAATGCGAAACAAACCACCAAACAATGTTGACATGCTATCTGGGCTTGCGTCCTTTATAAACTTGATTCCCGAAGGACTAAAGAACACTAACCATTCCCCTTCATGGTAATCAAGATGTTTCATACGATTTTTTAATTCTGGGTGTGGACATGTAGCATATGTCTGAACTTCATGAAACGGAATATGTGCTTCATGTAGTGCTTCGGGTATTAAATCGCGTCTTTTATCGCCCGCCAGAAACAAATAATGTGAGGAGTTTAGCAAATCTTTGATTAATTCGGATGCTCGAGGTGCTATCACCCAATGACGATGATCGTGACTTTGAAATAAAGGGGACTGTGCTAATACGTCTGCTGTTTTTGGACCTACAATGTAAATAGGCAATGTATTCCATTCCTCGTGCGTTTTATCGGTCATTCGACATATGTTGTACGCCTGATTTATTGCTTCTACTGAGCGCTGCGAAGTCAATATAAGACCCTTGCAGTCTTGAGGACCTTGGCTTAAGATAATGGCAAGTGCTTCAACGTTATCTAGAGCATGGTCTAACACCGGAATGAAATCGGGTTTGTATTGTTTCTCAAATAAATTACGATATGCATCGTCGCTTTTTTTAAATAAAATGACACGCTTTTTTTCCATCCTACGCGTGCGTGTGTGTATATATAAATATCAAGAGAAAAGCAAAAAAGAGAATCATCCATTTTTGGGGAGCAGAGTGGAGTTTTTAATTATTGTAATTTATTCACCTGTCGGAGACACTCCGAAATCAATTTAAAAAAAGGAATACAGGTTACACAACGACACTCAACATTACAATACAAGTGTGTGACGTTATAACAAATAAACAACAAAGAAGAAGTGAGGGGAGTAAAAGAGGAGTTGGACTAAGTTGTTTATGGCAACTTTACTTTGTCTGGTTCGCATTTTAGTACATGGAAACAATTGGTTCATTGTCTCAGAAACGAGACAGACGCAGAGTGGAATTGAAATTATTTTTTTTAGTAAAAACTTTATTTCTTGATCGGAAGTGTCTTGTCTTCTTACTTGTGGCACAGACAAAAGTATTGTTACATTGATAAAAAAAAAAAAGTGATACTTTATGAATCAAAAAGTAAAAAAAGAATCAATTCATTATACGTTTTTTTTAGTAACTAGGGGTAAATGACAAAAGGGCAACAATAAAGGAAGAAAAAAGTTAAAGGATAACAATGAAATCAGATGTGTGTGTATGTATGTGTGTGTGTGTGTGTATGTGTGTGTGTGTATGTTGCATTTTATCTTTATGACTCCTACACTCCTACTATCTTTTTAGGTTACAAAAGAATTAATGATAACTTCTTGTTCTCCTTTTGTTAGCTTGTGTAAGCTTATTTAAACAATACAACAACAACAAGAAACTTGTATAATAAAACAATATATAAAAATGGGAGGAGACATGCAATGCGTTTTTTGTTTGTATTCTTTTTTTTTGCCATTGTACAAAAAAGCATACTGTAAAAAATAATTCAAAGTCAGTTGAGCCCAGTCCAAAAAAAAAAGAGCAAAGAATAAAGCCAGAACAAAAAGAAATAAAAAGAGAAGAGAGAAACGAAAAAGAAAAAGATAGATCCTTAATGGTTTTTTAACGCTTTTCTTTTTTTCTTTCTTTTTTTCATCCCTTCTTCTCTTTTCTTTCCTTATATTTATAACTTATACTTATCTTTTTTATATCTTATCCTCTTTTTCATATTCTTTTATCCCCAAAAAAGGCCTTTTAGAAACATATATATATATATACCACTTATTCACCCTATATACCAATCTACCTATAAAGAAATATATATATATATATTCAAACAAAATGCTTTCTATCTCTCACCGTCCCTCTTCACCTTATATGTATTCACCCAAGGAAGATGTCTCTTATTTACATGAGCATCAAAGAAGATACCCTGTCCCCACGCCTCCACCTTCCTCAGCGTCTCCCATTGAACTAGCTCCCATCTTAGATATTTGTGATTCAACAGGTAAAATATTTATATTCGTTATGTTAAAACTCAAACTCTATTAGACAACAGACCACTTTCTCCAGACTCACCCAAGTTAAAAAAATTCTCTTCTTTGGGTGCAGATGGACACTTTGCTCATTCTGTTTCTTCTCTTACTCCTCATCTTGTAAAACCACCACCTTTCTTGGAGCCCAAACCAGTATTGCAAAGCCCTCAATGTCAAACAGGTTTCTTTTCGTTGGATCTATTCAAAGTATTTAAGAACAAAGCAATCATACCAAAGCTTCAAATCCCTATACCACGCAGATCTTGTTCGCGTCCTGTAAATAACTACAAAAAAGATATACCATCCACCAACAATGAATACAAAGACAGTGATAATATGATACCAACCCCCATGTCACCTATTATGGCTGCTGCCTCTGCTTCTGCTGCGGCCGCTGCTGCCCATAGGCACCCTGGTTCTCAAGTAGCCAAGACTCTCTTGAAATCCATTCAATCAAACACAAATGCCGGTATCAAACGATCCTTTGGTGTCCTTGAAGAAGACGATGCTTTCTCTACTACTTCTGATGAACATGACTTCCAAGTTGAATATAAAAAGTCAAATGTTGACCAAAGTATGTTCTTGACCAAGAACGCTCATATCAAAAGACCTCGTAATGCCTGGATTCATTTTCGTTGTCATTACGGACAAGCCCTTAAATCTCAAGACCCTACTCTTAGAGCAGAAGAAATCTCCAAGTAAGCTTTATCTTATATCATTAGAAACCAACTAACTTTCTTTTTAGGCGTGCTTCTCGTCGTTGGAGTAAATTAACTGAAAATGAAAAGAAACCATGGCATGGTCTTGCAGAACAAGAAAAGCTTGCTCATCGAGAAGCATTCCCTGAATACCGTTACTGTCCACGTCGAGCCAACGCCTCCTCTTCTCCCCCCTCTACTCCTGTTCCTCATGGTACTGCTGGCAATGTTAGACCTAGATCAGTCAGTGAAGTTCATACGCCACTTCACATGCACGATGTCTTTCATCGCAACAATCAAAAGAGGGTCAAGCGTGGCTCAAAATAAGCTACCTGATGATGCTGTTAAGTAGATCTTATTATCATGACATCTTCTCTATATATATATACACACACACAAACACAATTCCATATAGCATCACAATCACACACGCATATATACACACACACACGAAGAATTCTTTGCATTTGCTTATTCCCCTCTTTTTCTCCCCTTGTCTTTTTTGTTTCTTTCTTTTATCCTTTGTTTCTTTTCTTAGCATTTCAATAAAATACATATATACATTCACATTGACAGGTGGGACAATAATATACTGAAGCAACAAGTCAAGTGACCGTGCACTTGAGATGTGCCTCGAATCTTTTTGACAATTACCTATTGTTTAGTGCTATGCAATGTAACAAAGATAAGAAAGTTGCGAGCCAATAAGAAATGAGTGCTATTTTAAAAAAACTACTTGGCTATACTAGATCTACTGATTAGAAAGAAAATAAAACGAGTTTTCATTATCCAAACTCCACTCCTATTATTGTTCTTGGATCCGTATTACCGACATCAAGCTGCAACCCCCCATGGTTACATTGTTTCGAAGTCGGATACTCAAAAGGGGCTTACGGAGTTTGAACTCAAGGAGATCGCTGTTACCTTCTTATGCAATTCATCTCTCCTTTTCTTCTGCAAGGTGTCACCATGACCAAAATACATTTTATTATACAAGATGAAGTTCTTGATTAATTTCTTTAAACAAGTCTAGAGCGCTTGATTGATATTCTAATTTACTCGTGGCTATACTTTCGTGTAAAGTAAGCACTTCTTCTACAGGTGTTTGTTCCTCTTCAGGCTTCAATTGTTGTTGCTTTTGAATGCTTTTCTCTAAAGCATCACAATAGTTTTGGTATTTGATTATATCGTGTAATAAATATTTGGACCTTGCTTCCCAATTACTTAGGACTTTGTTATAATTATGGCATTTGCTTGTAAACTTACAACAATAAGTAAACAAATAAACAAAAAAAGAAAAGTTGGCTTACCTTGATTAAAATCTTACTCTTAATATCTCTATGACAATTAATTTCATTATTAAGATAAACTAAATGCTTTTGAAGTGCTTCAAATTGTTCTTTTTCATCTAATTGACTCGAGACCATCGTTGGCGTAGGCGGAATCCAATCTTGTATCATAATCGAATCAGGGTCTTGCATGTTATCATAATAGTGCGATTTTTGATGATAGCCTTTGTGCATCGCGTCCAGGTCCATCACTACATCATTCAGACAGTCTCCCCAGCCATATTCCATGTTACTCACACCACCAGGCAAGGGTTCTTTACTTTCCCTTGCAGCCCAATAGTTACAAGTCATCACCCATTCTTGTGCTTGCTCCGCTGAAGCTACTTGGAACAAATAAACCCCGCCGTCCGACTGTTGCAATGCAAACACATGTGGTCTTTGTCGGTTGTATCCCGGTGGCGGTAAAGGATTTGATAGTGTATGATTCAATCCAATCTTACCAATCAGTTGTGAACTAGTCTAATAATATAAAGTTAAACATAAAAAAAAGTTTATTTTTTTTAAAAATACTTACAGCCCATTTGTTGTGTTGTTTCATGTCTGAAAAATGAGGTACCGTACTTGAGTGACGGAACAGGCTTTTGTTATGATCGTTTGTGTCCTGTAGTGCATACATACGCAATTCGCCTTCATGTCCTACTTCTAAAAAGCATTCTTTCCATTCTCGGTGGCGTGCTTTTTGTGTTGCATTCTCGAGTAAATGTTTGCGCATCACAAGACCTTCTTTAAAATAAGGTGGTCGGCTTGAAAAAAGATGTGTGGCATGTGGGACATATTGCATTATTGACTGCGTTGGATGTGGCGAGCCACATCGCGAGCTTAAAGAAGCTGCGCTTGAACTGGCAGAGGAAAATGAGTCTCTTCGAGGTGACTTGATAGAAGAAGAGGGTGTTAATGGACGAGTGTATCCTGAGCTAATACTTGTTCTCGGTAAGGGCGCAGGAGAAGGTGGAAGAGGAATAGTGGGTGGTGGTGAAGGAGCTAAGCTTGTTGGTGAAGCTGTTATTATCTATTCTCCAAATGTCAATATTTACACATGGCTCGTATGAATCCTACCTGATCTTGTCCGTCTAAAATAAGCATACTTTCCCTGCCTGATTTACGTATAATTGAATTCACACTGCGTTTGATTCCAATCACCCGACGGCTTCCTAAAATACTGCCTCTTTTACTCAAGCTTGTTTTTCTTGATAGGGGTTGCAAAATTTGATAGTGTTTGACAGAGATGTACATCTCCTAAAGTCTAATGTCAGTTCTCTCTCCCCTAATTCTGTAGGTCGAAAAAAGGAACTATACCTTGAGGTTATATTCTACTTCAGCTTCCCAGTTCCGATAGTCAGGGCTATTGTGCTCGTCTTTCTGGTCACGAATGGTTGACATTGTGTTACGAATAAATTCAGAACGCGTCATTCTAGTGTGGTTTCCTTGAGCAACGTGTAGGTCCGTATTTAGCAATAGCAGAGAATAGACAACAGCGTATACAACATCTATAAGAATTAAGTCCTCTCTCTCTCTCTTCTTTTTTTTCTTCTTCTAATATTGTCTTACCTGCACTACCAAACAAACAGTTTGGATTACATTCCCAATAACGATTGGCAAAGGATTCCAAGATGCGATCAATTTGTTGTGCTTCTGCCTTGAAATAGAGCTTGTTACATAGCTTTCTAAATGCACTGTCTAGACGCATGTCAGAAAATACAAAGTATTTCATGTATTCATATAGCACAGCAGAATTAAATGGCTTTCTATAAACAAGTAGTGAGTATATATTGCTTTACCTATGGACTTACCCTTGACCCAGCCATTCGGCCATTTTCTCTTTTGCTACAATTGTTTCGTCTTCGTGCCATAAAGATAAGGCTGCATTCTTTATTTTTTCTTGCTCTTGTTGTTCAAGATCCACTTCAATCTTGGCACTATCATGATCTGCAACATGGATCTTGATTGTACTATGTAACTCTTTACTCTTAGGATCATCAAACAAGTGAAGTGTATCATCTGACGTTTTCCAGACATCATCTAGTGTTTTTGAGAATTCATCAGATAATTGATGTGGTGCCTTGAGTGTAGAATCAAGCGATAAAGAACTAAGTAAATGAGGCGCTGATGTCGATTTAGGCATAAACAAAGAAGATTCGTCTAAAGACAATGTACTTGTATGGCCTGACAATGCTTTTTCTGCCTGCTTGCGCAATGCCATTTTATCAGAGACGGAAAGTTCTCCTTCTTCTTCGCGTTCTTGTTTGGCTGTTCGAAGATCGACTACAGTAATGGTGCTTGCATGTTTATCTTCACCATTAAACAGTGTTTGTTGATTACTGCGTACGCTTAAGCGTTTACTGTTACCGCTATGACGCTTCCAATTTAGCATCGATTTAGCAAGATCATCATCAGCAGGCAATTTCTGATTTTTGCGTTTGTTGTTATGTTGTTGAGGAATAGGAGGTACAGGAGGGATAGGGATTGTAGGTGGAGGTGGGGCAGGTGGAGAACTAGAGAGGATTCTTTCACCCTTTTGAATGCTTACAACAAGTCCACCTGCACTTCCAAAATGGCCCCCACTTAATCGTTTGGTTAGACTGCTATTGTTCTCTTCTGATTGTTCAGTATGACTTGTTTGATTCAACAGTCTTTTTTCTCTTTCAATATCTTCTTGTGAGACACCTGTGGCATCTACAAAATCGTCGTCATCATCATCTGTTGTTGTTGTGATAGAATCCACATCAGCTTCTTCGTCTTCGTCTTCTTCAAAATTCTGTTGATGAGATACAACAGTAGTAAATGAACTCTCACTTTCACAAGCAACTGAATTACTTGAGTATCTTTGTCGTTGAGAATCATCGTCTATAGAATAAATGGATTCATCACCACCAAATGTTGAGTAAATAGAACAAGATCCAGATGATTTACGTAACGAAGAAGTAGAAGTAGAAGCAGTAGGCTTATGCATCTCTAAACTAGACAACTCAGTTTTGTCTTGTTCGTTCGGTAAAGGCGTTGGAATCAGAATAGGGTCAACAGTAGGTCGTTTTGTTAATAAATGATCAGGTAGATTAGTCAAAAATTGTTGTTGATTTGGCTGAGAAATAGCTCTTGATCTTGGGTAATTTGGTGGTGGAGCAAGTGGGATTTTGTTATGCTTTTTGCTCTGTTGATGCTGAATGGGACGAATATGAGGTTGGTCTGCTTCCTGGTTTAGAAAAATGTCATCGTCCAAAGTCTAATTAGAATTAGAATTTTCTGGCTGCAGGGTTTCACTAATTTAATTAATTTTATTTTGTTACCTTGCCTCTTTTTTTAAACAGTTTGCCAAATCCACTGGATGCATTTTTTGAACTTGAAATAGAAGAAGACTAATACATGGTCAGAATAGTCAACATAATAGACTTGTTCTACCTTAGAATGCTCTGAAGAAGAGCGTGGTGTATAACTAGGATATTCGTCTTTTTGGATTCCTAAAGCAGTATCAAACTTTGGTCTTTGGATATCATGAGTAGGCATTGGTGGTGAAGTAGGTTGATCTTTAGTTAATAGTCGAGATATAAACCCTTTCTTAAATGTATTGCTATCTAAGATAACTGAACTTGATCTTCGTCGAGCATTATTATTGGGTGGAATAATACGGGAATTAGGTAGCATATATATATATAAAAGAGCAAAAAAAGAAAAGAAGAGAGAAAAGAGAAGAGAAATAATAAAAAAAAAATGCTATTTTTACACTATGCAATAATAACAACAGCAACAACAAGAAGCAATGTATATGCATTTATAAACAGCATTTTAGTTTAGTGTAACCTATCGTTTATCATACATAATTAAGGCTTTTTTACACATGTCTATTCTGAATCATTGTATCTTTTTCGTAAGGTACGGTACTTTTTCAAGTAGTACATCGTTTCTAGTTCTTTTATTTATTTTATGTTACTATTCTTCATACTCCATCTTACCTTTAATGATATATTTTCCAAATTCAATCGACTTTTTTATCTCTTTTTCGTCTGTCAAGTCTCTTTTTTCATAAAGGCTGCTTTTAATTTGGGTCGAAAAAAACTTGAATATCCTGCAGGATATTCTCTGCCTAAATAGACCAGCTTTTATTTACTTTTTGTTATTTGGTTTTTATAATGACATTTTTTACTTGTTTATAGAGAGAAATAACTTGAGAACGTAGTTGAGGATTGGGCATAATGATGAAATAAGAGAAAAAAGAGGTATTTTCTCACGCCAGCAGAACAGGTCATTTGCATCAACAGTTGAACAAGACGCGTACTTTGATTGGTCACGAATAGATGCATGTCTATGTCATCAAGATGAGAAAAAAATTTTTTTTCTTTCTCTTCTTGGTTGAATGTCCGTCTCAAAAAGATATAAAAGGCGAGGACATGTTTGCCCTTGATGGTTTCTTTCCCCTTTCAATTATCATTGAATTGGGCACACACTTGTAAACAATTCAATAAAATTTTTTTTTCTATCTTCCATAATCTCTATCTATTGTTTGTAATATGACAAAGTACATTATTGTCTCTGGTGGTGTTATTTCTGGTATTGGTAAGGGTGTCATTGCCTCTAGTACGGGTACATTGTTGAAGACGTTGGGTCTCCGTGTCACTGCCATCAAAATTGATCCCTATCTTAACATTGATGCTGGTTTGATGACTCCCTTGGACCACGGTGAAGTCTTTGTCTTAAACGACGGTGGTGAAGTTGACTTGGACTTGGGTAACTACGAACGTTTCTTGGACGTCGAGTTGAGTCGCATCAACAATATTACCACAGGTAAGATTTATCGGGAAGTGATTGAGAAGGAGCGCAAAGGTGATTACCTGGGCAAGACTGTCCAAGTCGTGCCCCATGTCACGGATGCCATCCAGAACTGGGTAGAGAAGGTGGCCACCATGCCTGTGGATGACTCAGGAGAAAAGCCTGATGTCTGTATCATTGAGTTGGGCGGTACTGTGGGTGACATTGAATCTGCTCCCTTTGTGGAAGCCATGCGTCAATTTCAGTTCCGTGTGGGCCATGATAACTTTTGTTTGATCCATGTCTCCTTGGTGCCTGTGGTGGGTTCTGTGGGTGAACAAAAAACCAAGCCTACTCAAATGAGTGTTCGTGATCTTCGTGGTGCTGGCCTTATGCCTGATTTGATTGCCTGTCGTTCTTCCAAGCCCTTGGATGACAGTGTTGCTTCCAAGATCTCCATGTTCTGTCATGTTGCTCCTGAACAAGTGTTGGCTGTCCATGATGTGTCTTCTGTCTATCATGTCCCTATCTTGATGCGTGAGTCTGGTGTGATCGATTTCTTCCGTCGTCGTCTTAACCTGGATATCCTTAAGGTCAGTGATGAACGTCGTTTGGTGGGTGAACAACTCTGGAAAGAATGGACTACCTTGGCCTCTGGCTATGAACATTTACATGAAACAGTCACTATTGCGATTGTCGGTAAATACACAGATCTGCATGACTCTTATATCTCTGTCTACAAGGCTCTTGAGCATGCTAGTTTAGCTCACCAACGCAAGATCAAGATTGAATGGGTGGATGCTTCTGATTTAGAGCATGAGACATTAAAGGCAAACCCTATCAAATACCATGAATCATGGAAATCTGTCTGCTCTTCCGATGGTATTCTTGTGCCTGGTGGTTTTGGTAGTCGTGGCATTGAAGGTATGATTATGGCTGCTAAATGGGCTCGTGAGCACAAGATTCCTTACTTGGGTATCTGTCTGGGTATGCAAATCTCCGTGATTGAATTCGCTCGTAACGTGTGTGGTATGGATAACGCCAATTCTGCTGAAGTGGATCCTGAAACCAAGACACCTGTGGTTGTCTATATGCCTGAAATCTCCAAGACTCATTTGGGTGGTACCATGCGTCTTGGTCTTCGTCCTACTCTCTTTCAAGAAGGTACTGAAAACTCGCGTGTCCGTAAACTGTATGGTGGTAAGCCCTCTATTGATGAACGCCACCGTCACCGTTATGAAGTCAACCCTGAGCTTGTGGATAAGATTGAAGCCAAGGGTCTCAAGTTTATTGGTAAAGATGAGACTGGTCAACGTATGGAGATTGTGGAATTAGATGACCATCCTTACTTTGTTGGTTGTCAATACCATCCTGAATACCTTACTCGCCCCTTAAAACCTTGTCCTTTGTTCAGTGGCCTTATTTTAGCTGCCATTGGCAAAATTGACACTTTGTAATTTTAGTTAGAATGTAAATATTTATTCAAATGAAAGAATAGATTTGAAATAATTGTCCTTTACTGTTTTGTGTGTGTGTGCTGCAGTTGTTACATAGAGTTAATGGCTTCTTGTTTTTAAATCATTCTTGAAATAGTATACTTCTGTTTATGACTCTCAATAAATGGGTTCCATTCACTTTCAATAAAGATAAGACATTACCTTTTTTTTTTTTTTTTTTTTCATTGACTCTATCATAGGCCCCAAATCAAGTGAAGACAAAAAAAAAATGAAGTTTAAATTTATTCTTGGCCAGCATGAACAAAATTAGTAGTATTGAAATGAAGATCTTGTAGGTGCTGGCTGAGGTCTGTATTGAGTAGAGTATGTAGAATAAAGAGATGACTGATATGAATTATATACATTGTTGGATAGAGTGGGTGATTTGGGATAGTTGGGCACACGTCGTTGCAATTTCTGTTGCTTCTTTTTTACTGCAAGCTCCTTTTGTGAGCTAAATAATTTGCTTAGGGCAGCAATCACGTTTGGTCTATTCACATTGTATTTCTCGCCAAATGCCTGAGCCAATTTTTCTGGTTCGTCCAGTTCTCGAATAGGCACAGGTACCTTCAGACTGGCTGACAATTCTACATTCACAGTGACCAACAGACTATTTTGTGGGGGAGGAGGAGGGGCAGTTTCGGTTGGTATCATGGGACGTCGACCGCCTTGATAATTGACTGGCTTTGGTAACTCTGGTGCAGAATAATCTGAATATCTCTGTTTCGATGGATTTGAGAATCGAGATTTGCTATCCGCATCTTGGTTGGGTATGGAATTAAGCCAAGAGGGTCTGTCTGAAGGTATATTGTTATTATTAGTGTTGTCATTTAAAGTAGTGATAGTAATGGTAGTAGTAGTATTAGTAGCGGTAGTAGTATTAGTAGTGGCAGTATCATTCCAACCAGTGCTTGCATTCCAACTTGTTTCTGTTCCCCAATGATTATTGTTCCATGAATCAGTCTCTTCCTTTGTTTCCTTCGGTGTCTCTTGTGGCGTCTTTTTCGAAATAACAGAGCCAAGAGCGCCCCAGTTACTATCTGCATTGATTTCTGCCATGGTGGATGCCCAACTTGATTGTTTCTCTTCCTTTTTATTTTCTTGTCGAGGCATAGTTTTCTATAGACAATAAACAAACGCACTTATATGACCTCCGCTTACCTCTGACTGTTCCCAAAAAGGCGTATCGACTAACACTGACTGAGACCAATTCGATGGGTTTGGGGGTGGTGCTCGCAGTGTAGAGAACACGGCTGATTTTGTTTGTTTAGGCAAGGTAGATTTCTTGTTCATGGGCTTCTTTTTGGTGCCATTGGAACGTGTACTTTCTGGTAAACCAAGCGCCTGTTCTGTTTTTCGAATTGCTTCCTGCATCTTCTTTTTGGGTACTTGAATATGCTTTCTTTGGGCAAGAATGAGCTCTTCGTCGATAGGCTTAAAGTTTTTTCCTTTTCTGTGGAGATTACCACTGCCTAGATCATTGGGTCCTATTTTGATGTTTGGGTCGAGTAAAGCGTCCCATCCTTTTGGTGGCGACTCTTTTGCTTGGTCACCCCAAGTAGAAGCAAGAGGACCGTATTCTTCTTCGCTATCTGACATCCGTCTTTGTATTAAGTGTGAGTAAGGTTTATTTGAAAAAAAAAGGCCTCGCTTCCTCCTCTTAAGCTATCATCGGAGTTTTAATACAAATATCTTTTATTCTGTTTCTTTCATATATCTGTTATTTTGTTTAAGAATGTTGAATATAACCAGGGTTGATTTGTTTCATTTGTCTCAAGTGTATATGCGCCCTAATTACTTGGATTTCTGCTGATGGTATACATATATAAAAATAGCAGACGCGATTTCAATAAATGTGTGTGTGTCCGGTTCGGACTTTTTACTTGACAAGTAAGCTTCATAGCTAAAAGTAGATCTGCGCCGCAAAAAAAAAAATTCAACAAAAGAAACCAAAGGCCATGCCACCTTGAATTCTTCCTTTTTGACTATAATCCATCATGGGTGTGTATCCTAACAATTTCTAGAGAAAGAGTAGGTTCAATAATAGATGAAGAGGGAATAGAGTGTATCTAGATGGATGGATGGATAAAGAGAGAGAAACAATAAGACAGAACACTCCATAGACCGGACGAGAAAGGAAATAACTAAGCAACCAAAAACAGCATTCATCATAACAGCATTCTCTTTCTCTCTTTGCCCTTTTCGTCTTTATCTCCCTTAACCCAGCACTTGACTACTCTCTCTACTATTGAACCTACATTCATCGTTTGCATCATTCACTTATGTGTCTTTTTTTTATATAGGTAAGGGACAACCTAGAGGTTTAAACGCCGCTCGTAAGCTTCGCATCCACCGTCGTGACCAACGTTGGGCCGACAAGCAATACAAGAAGAGAGCTCTTGGTACTGCTTTCCGTTCTTCTCCTTTCGGTGGTTCTTCTCACGCCAAGGGTATCGTTCTCGAAAAGATTGGTGTTGAAGCTAAGCAACCTAACTCTGCTATTCGTAAGTGTGTCCGTGTTCAATTGATCAAGAACGGTAAGAAGGTCACTGCTTTCGTCCCTAACGATGGTTGTTTGAACTACGTTGATGAAAACGACGAAGTCTTGATTGCCGGTTTCGGTCGTAAGGGTCGTGCTATTGGTGATATTCCTGGTGTCCGTTTCAAGATTGTCAAGGTCGCTGGTGTTTCTCTCCTTGCCTTGTACAAGGAAAAGAAGGAAAAGCCCAGATCTTAAATCATTCTTTTTTTTCTCTGTATTTGATAATAAAACTGATACATACACACATAAACATTATTTTCATATAAAAAGTGAAATTAGCATGCACTCTAAATGGAGTAATAGGCTTATAGAAAAAAGGTTTTATGCATTGTTCCTTCCAAATTTCTTTTTTTTAAAACACAGCCATTCTTCATTTCTTTTACAGAGAAGGTAGTACAGAGGCTTGTTTGTTTGTTTATTATACATATGTGTGTGTGTTTTGTTCTATCTTAAAATAAAGAAAGAGGAGATAAACAAAACACATAATTAGTGTTATGTCATTTAGCCCATATGTACCCATAACAGGCTTGATAAAAGGAAAATGCTTTAACCTTCTAGCCTGGATCTGCACAAATTAATTTGGCGTATAACAAATTGCGCTTAATCGAATAACCGCATTACACCTTGTATTTGTTGTTATCTGTATAGTTTATTACATGAAAAAAAAAAGATTATAAGAAGGTATCTCTGTTCATGACATCAAATACAGCTGCTTGAGCAGAGATTCCCCAGTCAGAAAAGACTTCTTCTTCAGAGGGCTGTGCGACCATGTATTCATCAGGATGTGAAGTTGTTGTATGTACGACCGTTGGTAAGGGAGGTGGCGAAGAAGTAGGTAAATGGGTCCTTTCGTGTTTACGTAATGATCTTAAATGATAATAAGCTTTTCCGCAATCAGGATTCTTACAGAGATAGGGCCTAATATTAGAGTGAATTTTGGCATGTGTTGTTAAAGAATCAGGTCTAGAAAACTTCTTTCCACAGTCTGGTCCATAACAAGTGTTAGTGATCATGCAAATCGATGTCTATAGTATACCTGGTTCTTGACAAACAAATGGTCTTTCACCTGTATGTGTCCTAAGGTGATTATGCATTTTATGTCTTTTTGTAAATGGCTTTTGATTACGAGGACACTCTTTCCAGCAACAATAATAGTTTGCCTATACAATTAGCATATTGAAATCATTGGTACACAAATCATACCTTTCCACTTCCAATATGATCTGCCTTAACATGGTTAATCAACTCATCTAATGTCTTGAATTCAATTGAACAGTTCTCCCATTTACATAACTGAACTTCTTCTTCTTCCTCTTCTTCCTCCTCTTCCTCTTCTAGCTCTGTATCTGTTTGTGATGCAGACCTAACTTTATTTGCCTTCGTATTTAAATGGCCGCTTTCATCTAGTGTAACAAGGTTGATAAATGGCTGATATTTATATATATATATATACTTGCCTTTCCTATGGTGTCGTTCGTTTTCGAGTTCCATCACTCTTTCAAGTAATTGTTCATGCGTCCATAACTCAAGTTTGGCCGATAAAAGGTCAGGCATAGGTGGTGGTGTGGTGGATGCATAGATGTCTATTTTACCAAGGGATCGATGTCGTTTTGCCTTTAAGGACGATTTACGTGATTTAGTGACAGGCTCGGGTTTATTGGGTTTGATGGGAGTGGTGGTTGTATAAGGCGTAGATACCGTATGTCTTCTTGGCAATGTTCGTCTATGATTTGGGTAGGGCTGAGGCTGGTGAAAATGATGGTGATACATCATGCTTTGGTCGTCTTGAAATGGGATAGGATGAGGCACTGTAGGGATAGGCAACATAGTATTATCTGTCATGACCAACTGTGAATGAAAATTGGATAATGTATCCTACATGGTTATAAGCAATGTTATTCAATTTTTTTGTTTTATTTACCAATGGCTGAGGTGAAGTAGGTGACATAGCTTGATCTATCATCATATTAGAGGAATTATTGGTTGTTGTTGAAGAAGGAGAATACATGTTCAATAGGTTATGATTATTGCCTGTAAAATAATCATCCAAGTCCATTGAGTTCATCATCATGTTTGTTGTTGAGAGATCTAAGCTAGTTATTTGTTGTTGTTGTTGTTGTTGCGGAATAGCTCCAATTGGCACAGTAAATACGGAAATCGGATGATGGCTTTTTACAACAGGTGCAGTTGTAATATGAGGTGCATAATAATTGTTATTTATTGAAGATTCTGTCTATACAAAAACATAAACAAAGGGGAAAAAATGATACGCCTTCCTTCAACTAACTACTTACAAATTCTGGTGTTGTATATTGTGCCACGAGTGGCATCATTTGATTTGTAGTTACAGAAGCATAATTGTCTCTGTCTTGAGTAGGTACAGTATAGTTATTGATCATATAAAAAATAAAAAGGAAAGAAAGAAAGAAAGAAAGAAAAGAGGATAAGAAAAGGCTTAAAAATACAATAATCAAGGTACACAGAGTAAATGTTTATATATATATATATATATATGCGTTGTTTTAAACACAGACTACTTTTAACAATTCTCGAAATAAATGATTCTTGGGTAAACCAACCTAGAGATAATTAATATTTAATATTTAATATTTAACATACTATACTTACCACATTCCAATAATCGCCATGAATAGACTCTACAAACAGAGAAGCTTCACCTTGAATACCATAGCCACCTGCCTTATCAAATGGCTCATTGGAATCAACATCTAATTCATATATGAGAAGCATAAACAAATCACACACACGTACAAGCTTGTATTGTTTCGTCATCAAGACGGGTGAATGTAACATCCGTTTTCTCTACAAATCCAATACGCTCTACTTGACCAGATTGGCTCTTGAAAATAATTTGAACACCCGTCAATACTTGATGTGTCGAACCATTTAATGCGTGAAGCATAGAGAGTGCATGCAATGCATCGCGAGGCTTCTCAAGCACGCAATCATCCTTGACAACAATCGTATCTGCCCCAATCACAATGTCTGCTTGAGGAAGTTGAGCATCTTGCTAATAAACATTAATGCTTGTTTATGTCCTTATCATGATATATACCTCACAACGTTCAAATATTTCTTTGGCTTTCATATAAGCTGTATCGAACACATAATCTGCTCGAGTCTTGTATAGTGTAGGATCATTTTCATCGGGTTTTAAGGTGGGTACCACTTGAAATTTCAATCCCTTGTATTTTGGATGTGTGAATGGTTCCTTTTTTAATGCATTAAATCATACCATATCTGTCAGAATCTCACGCCTTCTCGGAGAAGCAGAAGCAAGAATAATGGATTTCTCGGATAACTTCTTTAAGGCAGGTAAATTCAATGGCATAATGAACAAAAAGAATAAAAAGAAAAGAGACTCGGCCAAACTCAGATTTAAAAATCCGAAGACGTCGTCATCAATGTGATAACCTTGAAAATATTTTTTTTTATATGTGTGTATGTGTGTGTGTATGTGTCTGTCATTCTACCCCGCTTCTTCCACTTATATTCAACCCCCTTCTCTAACATGGTATAGACAATAGATCATAGACAAGTATCACTGATATCTCACATAGCCTGTCCCTTTTGAAGCTCTTCTTCCTTTTGCCTTGATTGCTGGTATGTTCACCATTACCGGTACTGGCTTAAATGTGGTCAGATACTATTCCAACGATAGAAAGGTAAAATAAACATACAAAAAAAAAACAAGCGATTGAACACAGTCTGTATAGCCTGGAAGATACGGTCTTGATATCTGGGAAAGACAAATGATGGAACGCGATAGACGTTTGACTGGTTCACTTAGAGGACAAAGTGTAAGACATACTTAAAAAAAGAAAAAGAAAAAAAGATATTGATTTTCTTTTCTTTAGGATGAACCTATTGCACCAGCAGCTTTCAGTACCAATAGGTAAATACATATTCATATGTAGTTTATAGATAAACTAACTTCTATAAATAGTATTTGGTATTTGGAAAAGCACAGAAACCACTAAGAACCTCGACCTTCAGCTTTTTAATTAAATAAAAAAAAAAGGATGCTATTCTTCCAAGTCAAAATCATGTAGTTCAATCACTGTACGATGAGAAGCCATGGTATGATGGTCAGTATCTCGCTGTAGAATGACAACAGCCTTGGTCTGGTTCATTTGGACCTTCCATACAGTTCTTGCTGTCTCAGTAAACGATCGAATCAGAATACCATTTTCAATATCCCATAGCTTGACTCGCCCATCGGATCCACCACTCAAGATACGCTTTTGATCAAATTGCAAACAAGACACTGCATTATCATGGGCTGAAATACGATGCTTACATTCAAATGTCTCTATATCCCACACACGCAAACAGCCATCTGCACCACCACTGACGAGTGTTCTGTTGGATAGCTGTAGGTGGCCCACAAGCGAGGTATGGCCTTGCAGTGTCATTAAGCATTCACCTGTTTGAGCAGACCATATTCGAATACGAGAATCCAGTGAGCCTGTGACAACACGAGTACCATCAAAGGCAATGGCATAGATCTGAGAATGATGGCCTATAAATTCATGAATGCATTCGCCTGTGTCCATGTCCCATAAACGAGCCGTGGTATCATAGGAACCAGAAGCCACTCGGTTTCCATGGATAGCAATGCACCGCACACTGCCTTGATGTCCAGTGCAGATATGGACCAGTTGGCCCTGTTCAATGTCCCAGATACGCAAGGTGGTGTCTCTTGAGCCTGTGACAGCAATCCTGTCATTCTGTATTTTTAGGCATCGAATGGTAGAGACATGACCTTGTAGGACATGGCGTAATTCACCTGTGTTGAGGTTCCAGACTCTAGCTGCTCTAAAAAAAAAAAAAAAATTCAGTAAATGTACAGATCTGAACCATAATGCTTACCTATCACAACCACCAGTGACAAGTAGATGTTGATTCTGCTGTGTCTTGATAAACTGCAGCGCCCATACACCTCCTTCATGACCCAAAAGAGATCGAAGGTGCTTCCCTGTGGTTGAATCAAACACTTCCACCAGGTTATTATCACATCCAATCACAGTAAACGTATCGTCCATTTGAACTGAAGTGGCTAGCCCTTCTCCAATCTTACTTTCGCATGATATGACTTTAGCATTGCCTTGAATCCAGGCCATGTCAATACTGTATTGGCGACGAAATAGAGCTCGGTAGGTTACTCGTTTGTCCCAACTAAAATAGTTGTGTTTCAGACAAAGGGATTTCCATACGCCTTCATCTTGAAATAGATTAGCCCAATGACGAGAGACACATGAAGCTTGAGTTAGGGTATATGGGTCGTCTATCAAAGATACAATATGAAGAGCAATTTCAAGAGGTAGTTTGTATAAGAAATCAATCTTGAGTTTGGGTGTAATAAAGGTATGAACATAGTGCAGTAATTGACTATCGCAACAGTTGAGTATTTCAGTCAGAAAAAAGTAGCGCTGTTGAAAATTGAATTGTTGAAACGTTGTCTTGACTTGGTCCATATAGTTCATAGGTATTTTAGCATGTAAAGACAGGTAGCTGATAGGTGGTGTAGAAGGAGGAGAGGACATGAACTCTTGTAGCATTTTTTCTTCTTTTAAAGAAAAAAAAAGAAGAGAATAATGAATATACACACGCATAATTAAATCAGTAACACAAAACGCGGTTATTCTGCTGGGATCCAACTATTTCGTCATTTAAAGAGATCCAACTTTCTTTTATATCTCTTCTTTTTTTTCTCTTTCTCTCATGTCACTCAAGAATAAGAGTCCCACTCATAGTAATAGTAAGTCTACATTTTTGATCTAATGCCTCATACTTTATCTATTATTTAGGTGGTCATTCTACTATTCATTTAGAAGAAAGTGATGATAATGTCAGTATCAACGAACAACAATCCTTACTTTTGGGTCTGGATCATCAAGTTCCTAGATATATGACTGCTTCTCCTTGTACGTTTCGTAATATTTGTTGCATTGAAAAAAAATTAACCTTTTTTAAAGTACCTTCGGCCCGTATAAACGACAATTCTCCCAAAGACAAATGGAGCACATTTAAAATCAGATCCAAATACTATCTTCCTATCTTACAATGGTTACCCCTTTACAGTACACATTTCTTCTTGGGGGATTTAATTGCTGGTATTACACTCTCTTGTCTGTTGATTCCTCAAGGTCTATCGTATGCTACTGCCCTGTGTAAACTAGAGGCTATTCATGGCTTATATGCTATTGCATTTCCAGCAATTACTTATGCTATCTTTGGTATGTCAAGGTAAGTCGAGAAAGGTCGAAATCATATATTAACATAGAATAGACAAATGTCTGTTGGTCCAGAAGCTACACTTTCTTTACTGATTGGATCTTCCATTGCACAACTCAATAATGACGATGATGACCATGTGGATCCTTTAGCTTGGGCTTGTCTGATGACTATCTTTGTAGGTATCTTTACATTTTTATTGGGCATCTTTCGACTTGGCTTCCTTGACAGTCTGATGAGTCGAGCCCTTTTGCGCGGTTTTATTTCGGGTGTAGGTCTTGTTGTGGCTCTTCAACAAGGCATTATTTTATTGGGTCTAGTCAAATTGAGTGAAGAAAACGGCATTACGGAAGCCTCTAGTTCCATTGCTCGTCTCTGGTTCCTGGTAGAAAACATCCAATACGCTCATATTTTGACCTCTTCTGTATCTGCTGTCTCCGTCGCTTTCTTGATTGCTGCTCGTGTTACCAAGTCAAAAATGGCAAAATTCAGATGGTTTCAATTGCTTCCCGAAGTTCTTTTAGTCGTTGTTGTTTCTTCTCTCCTGACATGGCTCTGCGATTGGGAAAATCAGGGGCTTGCTATCTTGGGAAATATTGAGGGACAAGGTATTCCGTTGCCTTCAATTCCCGTTTTTCCTGAACGTAAGCATATGAAAGACATGCTGGTGACGGCTGCTATGATTGCTATTATTGGCTTTGTTGAATCGGTCGTGATTGCCAAGACGTATTCGACAAAACATAATTATTCTGTTAGTGCAAATCGTGAACTGGTTGCTTTGGGTGTTGCCAATATCGTCAGTGGTGTATTCCAGGGTATTCCTGCTTTTGGTTCTGTAAGTATATGAACATATGGTTGATTGCTCAGTGCTGATGATCCTGTTTTAGGTAGCTCGTAGTAAAATCAATGATAAAGCAGGAGCAAGAACCCAAATGGCTTGTTTGATTGCGGGTGTTGTTGCTCTCTTGGCCATCTTTTTCTTGCTGCCTTACTTTTATTATCTTCCTAAATGTGTCTTGTCTTCGATTATTTTTGTAGCCGTCTTGTCTCTGTTAGGTGAGTTGCCTGAAGACCTTCATTTTATCTTTAAGATTGGTGCCTGGCGTGATCTTGGGTTGCTTTTGGTGACTTTCTTTGCTACCATTATTATTTCACTTGAATTTGGTACGCTTTTAGCAGTAACTCTATCGCTTTTGTTGACCATCAAGGAAACAAGTTATCCTCGTATTTCTATCATGGTAACCATCCAAATATTACTGCGTTTTTTTACACCTTTTTTTAGGGACGTGTGAAGGGAACACATAACAAGTTTAGACCTATTCAAGACGATCCCAATGTTGTTGAGCACCTTGAAGATGTACTTATCGTACGCATTGATGAACCCCTTTTCTTTGCAAACACAGGTAACGTCAAAACAAACAAAGGATATCGCCTAGACTAATTGATGCATATGCTAGGTCAATTAAAAGACAGATTAAGACGTCTAGAACAGTTTGGTGATATGTCTATCCATCCTTCTGAAAGTCCTCGTCTTGGAAGTCTATCGTATATGATTTTTGATGTGGACAATATGCCTTATATTGATGCAAGGTAAGCGAGAGACAGATGTTTCTTTAACTAAAGTGTTCTAGTGCTATCCAAATTCTTTATGAAATCGTAGAAGCATATCATGCACGTCATATTAAGGTTTATTTTGTTCGTCTTCGTGAAAACCCCTTAGCTCTTTTTAGAAAATCTGGTTTACTTGATGTTGTGGGTCAAATGAACTTGTTCAGAAAAGTTTCTGATGCGATTGAAGTCATTGAAAAAGACATGGTGTATCAGGTTCAAGAATAATACCCCTCCCTTTTTATATATAAATATATACAATACAGATTTATTTTCCTTGAATTTCACAATTAATTTTTTGGTTTGCATTGGAGAGACAAATATGTTTGATGTGCTTACATCGAATATGGATAGTCAAAGCTGTTTCATCAGGTACAGACAAACCATAGATATGTGAAGTGGTTGCAAGAATACTACGTCCATTGCATGCATAATATTGCTCTTGGTCCTGCTTAGAAATCTTTAGGTAAATATAGCTCGAACTATTAAAGAAAAGTTGTCTTCTCGAGAAAACAAAGGTATCAAATGAAGTACATGGCATGTCAATTGTGTACGTATGTGTATTTGTGAACGGTCTATCTGTCATGTCTGAATCAAAAAGCATTAAATCTTCAAATTCGATTCTGTGAAGTGAAGGCAGACCCAAGGACAGTTCATATAAGGCCGCTGGAGTACAACTACATCCACAAAGTGTGAGCGATTCCAAATGATCAATCTTAAAGTCAAGATCAGAACTGACAAACATAATGTTGCCTGCTACGGTCAGTGATTTGAGTCTCACACAAGCTGAAAAGATATCATAAAAGTTCTGTTCGGGCCGAGTATCTGAGAACCGAATATCTTGAATCACTAGTTCATCCACAATGTCACCAAATTCAGCTAAGGCAAGAGACCAAGGTACCATACATATATCGTTCCGCATCTTGTAGCATATATGAAACCCAAAGGGAGCATGCTGTTTGTATGTTGTGGTCGAGTCTGTATAAGAAAGCGCATTCAGTTGGTTCCGGACAGACAGATCAATGCTTAAATTTCCTCTTGAAAGTTCATTCTTTAATGCGCGCGCAAGGTCACCCATATTGCGAAAACATTTGCTAATGATCTGAAAGCTTTCGAGCTGCAATAAGTACCGTGCTAATTCAAGCGTTGTGTTTAACGACAGGCGATTCGGTGCTCTGTTTGTCAGGCAAAGGTGTCTCAGATCAATAAAATGATGCTTGAAATAATCAACATGCTTTGTGAAAAACGATGCATTGACTGTGAGTTTCTGAATGGCCGTTGTGTTTCCTGTGAGCGATGGATCTGATTCTGATGTGTTAAGGTCCAGTGTAAGTTCTTTTAATAAGGGACAAGCATGCAATACATACACCAATTCACTCAATAGGCACTCTGAATGTCTTGTAAATGTTAGTTTGTGTAGACACTTGAACTCAAAAAACTTTTTGAGAAAAGACCGGTATCGCTTCAAGTCTGTCTCTGTCGTCCTTGGCGATACAGAATCGCACAGAAACACATCTTGCACTCTGTCACGGATAAACATGATGGCTCTGCGATAACAGTCATTTTCATTAGAGTTTTTAGGATAAGGTATGCTCGTAAGATACTTCCATCTTCCGTAGTGCAACTCTTCCATCAGCATTACATAGAACAACATGCTTGGCTTTGGTAAGCATATCTGATGTAAGAAGGGACTATACTTGACAAGTGTCGTAAACAGTTCTTCAGAATTATGTTCTGTTTCATCGGCAAATCCTTCGTATTTATCATCAAAAGAGTGCCACACTGTGAGCGTCCTAAGCTGATCTCCAGGCATTAAATCCGAAGTCGAAATCGTGTGGATAAACGAAACAAGTGGTTCAAAGTCAAGTATGTCGACGTCTGTATAACCGATCTTTTGGGCAGGTTTAGACCAGTTATGACAAACACGTTGGCATTGTAAAGCATCTCTTGTTTTTAGATAGTGAAATACATGCTGTAATAGTTCAGTGGGTAGATTGCTCCAAGCACTCATTATATAAAAAAAAAAAAAAAAAAAAGAGAGAAAAGCGTATTAACTTATTCAATCAGAGAGAGAGTTGGGTTTGACTACGGTAACACAAGGCCGGATTTTCATTCTAAAGCATAATTTTTTTTTCAAGTCCAGTCTTTTACCAGCAAAAGACTCAAACTTTTCGATAGGGGCATAACGAAAAGAGACGATATGAAGAAGAGAAAAAAAAAATTAAAAGATGCGTTTTATTTAGCAGAAAATATGCTACAAAAGAAATCAAAAATACCGTAGTTGAACATGTTTATGGCATGAAAAAAGATGCTTTCATCATCCAATGTTAAGCGAAAAAGATTTACTCGAAATAATCCATCGATATGATGAATGCAAGCTATATACGCGCTCAAGAAATTGGTATCTGATACATACGATGATATGGACAGAGCTGTGATAGAAGAAGAGTTTTTTTATGAGGTATACATAGGATGAATTGGCTTTTGCTTAAGAGAAAGGCATCATTGATCTCATTAGCTCATATAAGGACATTCTGCCTCTTGAAATGGATGTTTTTTTTTCTCATAGAAAATGTGCAAATCCTCTTGATGCGTTGAGCTAGCGAAAAAGAGGGTGCATCCTTCAAAAGAGCAGACGAATACGCATGATTGTATTACTACATAAAGATAGCATAAATCCTTTTTATACCCGTATAAATGTTTCAAATACCCACAAATCATGTTCACTGATGTATAGGCTATCTCTAGAGTCGATTTGGACAAAAAAAAAGCGAATTGTAAAATTTGATCAAAATGACCTTTCTTCTAAAGGGTACTACTCATGGAAAAGGCTCATTTTGACAACTTCTGATCTTCTTTTTCAAATCCGGCTTGCTCATATGAGACTCATCTTTGACAAGGCCCCCATTGTACCCACGGCCATATTAGCAAGCATCCGATTCAATGTTCGTCAGACCATTGAAGAGGATCAATGCCATTCAATCATATAACTTTTTCTATATATTTTATTTTAGTTTAGTTTATTTTGTTCAGTATATTTCGTTTTATTTTATTAACTTTCATTTGAATTGCACCCGCCCCTTCACTTTGACTATTAGTGTACGCGGCTCAATCAATAAACACATTTAAAAAAAAAAAAGATCTTCTTTTTAACACTACAAGACGAAAAATAAAGCTATTGCCCATTATAAATACTCGAAATGATTGCCATACACCCTAGTTCTAATTAAGGTGCTTAATTGCTAGTTTTGCTATGAAAGTGATGAGATATAGTCGAAAAAGCTCGTATATATTTTTGCGTATTTTCCCGAGATTTTGGCAGTAGAGTTTCTGGGGTCTTTATATCAGTAGAATCAGAAGCTAGAAATCTATAGATTTTGTCTCTATATCAAAGCCGAATAACTGCGTCTTTAAGCAGTTCTAAACAAATGCTCGATATTAGATGTGACAGGACAAAGAATTGAAGTTGTCTTTTAATTTCACTCTCCGCTAATAGCCATCCTGCATGTCTTGTGTCCATTTATCTCACATTTGCATTATAACTCGACTACGTCTCTACTTTTTTATAATACTTGACACCCTAAATAACATATGATAGCTTTTGGGAGTTCATCGCTAATGCGTTTTATATGTCATCTAGAGCAGAAATACTCAAAACACTGCTTAAACAGGCCAATCTTTGATGAACCATTACTCGACAACCAGATTAAAAAAACAGTCTATTTTTTCATTTATAACATGTTCTTTTGAGTTGAGAGATCGAATAGTACCATTGGTTTGGCTGTTAGGTGAAATTCATTTTTTGACTATGGGGGATTCACAAAAATCCATAATAAAAAAACAAAACTCGATCAGGATTTTTTGAAATAACTCAATGCAGGTCTGATCCAACCAAAATGAGGAAAGACCATCCCTAGACACTTCCAAAGAAAAGAAAGCGAGTGTATCACTGAGCAAGACAAGATATAAAGAATACTGACTCTCAGGAGCAACGAACAAAACACTTATTATAATCTTTTTAGGACATATTAAGAGGTAGCCCAGATGACGGCTATTTTACTAGGATTATATAAGACCCATATAATCATACTGAATGCTTCCACAAAAGCATTATTTAAAGATATCTCATATGGCTAGTCACTTTGCTTCACATACACTAGTTTCCATTTATACGATGATTTCTTTTTTCAAAATAGAAAAAAAAATAGAGAAATGATAGACTAAAAGTGTCCAAAAACGAAGAGCTACCAAAAAAGTGTATTAGCAAAACTAATAGATAAAAGTAAGGCGTATAGAATGGTTGAAAGAAAGTAGTATGTTGAATATTAATATGGTAAGCTATTCCTCGGAAACGTGTTTTCTGTTTTTTAGCTGTAGTGTACAATTTTTATAGTACTTTTGCAGATCTAGCACTTTGAGTGCACCTCATAAACCCAGAGAAACAGTTCGTATCAAGACATGTTATGTCTGTAATGTCCCTATCGATCACCAATCACAAAATAGTGAAAACTGAAGATTTATAAAGGCTATCATAAGGCCAAAATGTCGCTTTTTTGACTTTCTCAAAACTTACTATATTCCTGCATAAATATGCTCTTTTATTTATGCTCAAACATAAGAAATTCAAAAAAGGGAATTGGAAAGCAGCCATGATGGTTTATTTTAATAAGTACAATACTAAGCTATGCTTGATACCAAAAGCTGTATTACTAAGTACTAAACTATATTCTCTTAAAGTAAACATCAAAAAAAAATCATCCAAAAAAAAAAAAAAAAACTGAGCGCATCTAAGTATCATCTTGGTATATTAAAGGACTCTTGAATCATGATACCTTTATTTCTGAGTTCAAATGGCAAAAAACTGGGTTAATTTTTATTTTGGATCAGTGTATAGTCCAAGTCATTATCATACTGTAGTATTCCTGTGATAAATCTAATCTCTTCGCTGTCGATGATAAGCAAGTGTCTACTATTATGCTATGACTTATCAATTAATAACCCAATTTTTCTTTGCTAATTTTAATCGAATGTGTAAACGTATATTGATTATTGAAGGTGGGGGTTGTCGAGATAATGTACGATTGATTTCATTAAATTATAGTATTTTCCAACCTAGATGTACCTTTACTGTTAGATTGAAGCTATAAATATATAGTAGTTTATATCGTATTTAATGCGGGTACTAAAGGCTATTTCTCAAAAGTCATGCATCATGAAGTTCATCAACACCTTGATTTCTTTTATAAGCAAACATTTGAAAAAGTCTGTTTGCTGATTTAGGTTTGACCTATAGCTGGCGATGCAAATACGGACCCAAAAGCTTGATTTGAGCTTTGATCAACTAACCAACTTCCTCATATCCTTTTGTTCTATTTTTTCAAACATACATGTCTGAAATATCATTGCGACAAACAAAAGCGTTGACTGATCTTGTAAAACATGACAAGTCAAGTTAGGCAGAAAGTAACAATTTGAGATGGAAACACTCTAATGGATTTATTCAGACAATAAACATTACACAAAAAAGCAACTTGATTTCCCAGAAGCCTCACCTGATATGAAATAGGAGAATGTACATGTAAAGTTTATTGACAGCCATGTGATTCATGCAGAAGATCACATAAAGAGGTTACACATTCATTTTTTTTTTCTTTTTCTTTTTTTTTTATCGTGTTGAGTTCAGTTGACCACATTTCCTGCAAGTTCTAAGTTCCTCACTTGCAGCAAACTTTTCAATAATAGGTTTCAATTGTGTACCGAGATCAACACAATGAAATGATTCTTGATAAACAATTTCACGGCATGCTTCATTTTCGCAATACCATCTCAAAATATCTATAAAGAAATGAGTTATTTCACAATTGGCTGTCACACATATTACCTGTATGATGAGGCAAGCGGACCCTTTCTACAACAAGCCCAATTGTGTTCTCGAATCGAACAGGATTGTGAGGTGTGTTTGCTATAAACATCATTAGTTTAAATACGGAGAATATGAATACATTACGAGGAAGAAGAAACATATCACCTTCTTCAACATGAATATCCTTGAATTCACCATCATCAACAACCTTGATTAATAGCTTGCCTTTGACTTGATAGAACCATTCCTACATGGCATGAATAACAACACTACATGATAGTCACATACTTCTGTCTCATTGATGTGATAATCTGTACGCTTATTAGGTCCACCTACAACCATTACTATTGTGTCATTTCCTCTAAACAGAATAGAATTGTTCACAGGTGGCTGGAGCTTGTTCGAGTTCTCTTTAATCCATTTAGAAAAGTTAATAGGAGGTGGAAGCATTTTAGGTTGAAGAGGATGGAAAAAAAAATAGCGAGAAAAATAATTTACCTTTATATGTATATGTAAGCAGATCCTACTGTGACTCGTTCTGTTTGTTTATGGATAATCTGATGATCCATATCAAAGTGAAGATCAGTTATCGATATGGCACAAGAAAGTATTCATTGAGCTGAACCATTGCTCAACAAATGGCATCTTTCTAGCAGCAACACAAAATGTCTCAGTCTCTTAAGAAGCTTGCTTGGTTTTAAATAAAATATCCTTGCTGAATAGCTTTTGTGATATTTTTGAATAAATAGTTAATTTTGGTATTGAACTACTGTTACATGGAATGTTTACTTATTCTACTTGCAACATTCTAAAGTCTCACGCATAAATGACATACATTTATTATTTTTATTGTTGCGCTTGCGTTTATTATATGTATGTGTGTGTGTGTGTGTGTGTATTCACCACAGTGACAAACAAAAGGTTCTTTTGGACAGTTCAAACCCAGACTACCTCTTTGCAGGATAGCTTTCTCAGGAATTGACAATGGGATCGTGAAACCATGCCTATTGCATTTAAAAAATTCATCTATCACTTGAAACTATACAGCCGTTTTGCTGCATTAAATAAAAAAGAGCTCAAGCAAGAAGAGCCTGAATTTCAAGCACTACCTGAAGTAAAGACAATCTCTGCTGATTTTGAAAGCAAAAGTTGTAGATACAAGCTTATTACTTTTGTAAATAATGCGCTAGTAGTTGAAGCAGAAAGAAGGCTGTCGAACCAAACCTTTATCAATACAAAAAATAAGGATGAGACTTTGGGAAGCATATCGGTTTCTATAAGTAAGCAAAAATGTGGTGAATGAAGCTATGGGATATGAGAAGAGAGATAAAAAAGACTAAAGATCCTAACTGTTCACAAGAGCCTGCATGGCTAAGTCCAAAGACAGAAAAAGACAAAAATGATTCAAAGGGCAAGAAAAATCAGCACATCAACACACCTCTAAGTAGTTGATAATGATGATTGGTGATCAGGGCATGAGCCTTGGCTTAATTGATATGGCTAGGCAATTGAAATTAGGTTTGTGTTTTCAGAAATGGAAGATATGAAAAGAAAGAAGCGCAAAAAAGATGGAGGAATGAACAAAAAAGTTCTTCATCCACATACAGTCAAACCTATGGAGAGACAAAAATGAATATATATATATTTTTTATATATACTCCAGGTCTTATCCTTCCTCCCATATAATAGGTCTGATGCTTAAAAAGGGCATACATTGAGGACCAAAAGCATGTTAAGTGTGCCAAAGGGCATCAAAAGTAATCTAATAGTCGTAAAGTATGTATGTGGATATAGTTATATAAATGAATACTTTATATTTGGGATAAGCAAAGGGATAATGTAATGAAGGCATCCAACAAAAGGACAAATCATCATTAATAATACCGCTTGATGACCGAAAATAATCTACATTTAACTTATGTCAATGTAGAATATCTTTTCAATACTTCTCAAGAATGCTTTTAGGGCCTCTTTCTTACTATTTCATTCATGTTTGTATCGTACAAATGCAAATTCCCAACTGTTTTGCAGTAGCAAAAAGCATTCAAACACTTCTCAAACAATAAATGCCAACCATGTATAGCGGATGATTACGCTTATTCAATGCTTTTATCATTACTGGGTTGGTTTCAGTGCTTCAAAAATTCTTCATATTTGCATGATTTCCGTTTTATTGCTACAGTTTAGGCAAATACTATGTAGAAGGACTCAATGCTCCATATTGCTCCTTGTTAGCAGTATAATTCATGAGTTCGAGCCTGCATACAACAAAGCTTTATAAGTCAAAGAAAGAAGAGCTCTAGTGGAATAAACTCTGCCCTGCAGGATCTTTGAAAAAAATAAGCCATGATTCATATCCATGCTGCTATCTGCACAGAAAACTTTAGTCATGTGATTTTGGCTTGACCCCTTTTTTCTATTTTTCTTTGTCACACATTGTAACAAACAACTCTTTCTGTTTCTTTATGCAATGAGTTCCGAGTTAACGCGTCGGTATCCTCAGCCGGTGTCAGTATCAGCAGCAACTGCGCTTCATTATCGGCAGTTTCGTAACTCAAGCAGTGTAGCATCTTCTTTGGGTTCCATCCCTGAATCGACTGATCTATTAAATATCAAAGCAGATTTGGAATCACTCTTGCCCATCTCTGAAAAAAGAATACGTCATCTTCAGCGTGATCTAACAAACTTGAAGAAGAATATACGAGCACGGGATCTAAGTAAGTACAGATCATGTTTATTTTAGACTAACATTGAACTAGCTGATGAAGAGCAACGGAAGTTGGCTGTTAATTTCCAACAACAACAGCAGCAGCAGCAATTATTGCAACAACAACAACAGCAGCAACAACAACAGCAGCAACACCAACACCAACAACAACACCAACACCAACACCAACAACAACAACAAACAAGTCCAACCTTATCCGACAAAATACAAATAAAACAAGAATCAACAGGTTTATACTTTATTGTTTATAAAGTATATTGACTCTTCTTCTTTTGTAGATGACTCTTCCGAAATTTCACATTCAACTTCTTCACACAACAAAAACCAAATGGAAAGACAACTGTAAGGACATATCTTGTTATGCAGACTATTGATTTGAAATAGTGCATTAGAAGCTATACGAAGGAAAAGAAAAAGAGATGAAGATTCAAAAAGTATATCCATATATGCTTCATGTATTCACTAAACAAGACTATAGACTCTATATCCCGTAGTGAATTGCCTCATCAAGTTGTTAGATTAAAGCGACTTGATGATATGCCACCTCTTGGTGTTACACGTAGTGTCTCCACTCCTCATCCTCCTCCTCCTCCTCCTCCTCCTCCTCCTGCTGCTGCTGCTGCTCAGGTAAGTTGAAGGTATTGACAGCCACTCTTTAACAAGTCAATAGAAAAAGAAATCCAATGAACCACACAAAAAAAGCAACCATGTAAATAACGAAGATTTTATACGTGTCAAAGCCAAAGACCAGATCCCAATCTTAACTTTCTGGTCTGCCATGGACGCTCATTTCCGCCCACTGTCAGAACAAGATCGTGCCTTCTTGTTGGCTAAAGAAGACGATGAAAAACTATATACCATTCCACCTTTAGGAAGACATTATACCGATGTTTGGTCCCTGGATGATTTCGAAATGCCTGGTTTATCAAATACACCTTCTTTAAAATACATGCATACAATCACAGAAGATCAGCTATTCAAACAAGATGTCAGTTGTGGATTATTAACAGAGAGACTATTGAGTAGTTTAGTGAGGGATTATTCAAACATGGAGCATGATATAGACGAGGAAGAAGAAGAAGAAGAAAGTGAAGATGTAGTGTATGATACACACATTGTTGACTTTGAAGACAGACTAAAAAGGGAATTACACTATGCTGGATTGTTTACTGAGGATGATGCAAGTATATTCTATTTATCTGATGTTGCTTACATAATACATAGGTAGAGTGGAATACACAAGAAGATGATGAGATATGTGCAGAATTAAGATTAGTCACAAGAGAACTGAAAGAACAGTACAAAGTGAATGAATTTCGTAAAAAGAGACTCTTGCAGGTAGTTGATAATCAACTTCAATATGAACAATACAGACATGTACTCGATAACTTGGATGCACAAGTAGAACAAAGCTATTTAAAGCGATTTGTAAGTCTATAAGAAACAGACAAGCTATAACTAACATGACAGAGAACACAGAAATCAAAAAAGAAGAAGGCGCCTTCTTCTTCATTATCATCAAAATCAGCCTTGTCTGAACATGCCATTTATGCTATGAATAAAAGAAAAGCATGGATGGATGCATTAGAAGGTATCTTTAAGGATAAAAACCTTGTTATGCCTACACATTCCATTTACCTGGAAGATTGAATAAACAGTTTCAAACACCGTTATCACGTGAAAATAGAGTATGAATTTCATCATCGTGTTGTATATCTATTTATTTTTTCTCTTTTCTTCTTCTTTATTATTATGACTAACCACTGGAATATTACTGTAAGTGAAGCCTTATATACAATCTTATTGATTTTTGTCTTTAGATCCCCGAGACTCCTTCTCCTAACTATGTTATCGTTAAGAACATTGCCCTTCAATCTACTGAAAAAACAGGTAAGTACAACCCATATAATGTATATTCTTTTTTGCTTAGTTCCTATGTTAGTCAAAGAATTCTTTTTGTTTTGTGGCAAAATCAAGGAATTTGAATTAAAAGTGTAAGTAGTATTCTAAACTTAAGGCAAGTTGACCAAGTAGTTAGTGATGAAGATGATGAAAAGCACAAGGCTGCCTTGATTCATTTTGAAAGAGAAAGCGCTGCCAAGACAGCTGCTCTCTTGAGTAATGGTAAGTTTTTTTTTGTTGGGGATAATGTGTGTAACCTTTACTTGTGTTTCAGCTTTGCTTGATGATAGTCATATTGTCGCAACACCTTATTTTGATGTTCCTTCTGCTGAAACACACGAAAGAACTGTTGAAGGTGAACAACAAGAAACTCAAGAAACAAAGCCTAAATCTCGTATTGCTGCTGAAATCTTGGCTAATGGATACATGCTTCAAGACCATGTTGTTGCAAAGGGACTTGAATATGACAACAAGTACAATGTCTCTTCTCGATTAACTGGTTTCTTGAACACACTACAGTCCAATGGTAATTATGATTATACAATTAAGCGGTAAATTAAATATCTCCTCTAGTTAAGCAATTTGATGAAAAGTATCGCATTTGGGACAAGGCAGTCAATATTGATCAAAAGTACAAGATTGGTGAAAAGGTTCAAAACGCCGCTCAAACAGCTCAATCTAAGGCTCAAGCTGCTCTTCAAACACCTACTGGACAAAAGGTACATGATCTTGCTCAACAAACACTTGCTCAAGTAGCTGCTGTTCATTATGAAGCCAAGCGTATTCAGGTACATGAATAGAACAATAAGAACCTTGAAATTCATATTATTCTATAGGGTGAAAAATTGAATACTGATGCTGGTAAAACTCATGCCACTACTGCTACTACTACTACTACAACCACAGAATAAAATTATGTAATTTGTATTATTGTACATCTAAGCTTTCTATTTAATAACAAACAAACAAACGAAAAGACTTCTGAGAATCATGTCGAAATCGATAACCTAAACCCATTATTGACACTGTAAAAGCATTCGTGTATTTCTTTTCCCTATACACTTATTGAGTGTCATTTTAAACAAAAGGCTATCAGATTCATCGGTGATTTCTGCAATTTAAGGGGGAAAGAATAAAAATACAAAAAAGCTTCTAGAAAAGGATAAGTCCATATATTTATTTCGATGAAGGGGGAGGAGAAGAGGGGGTGAAGTAATGGGCGCAAACATCGACTCTGGTTCAAGAGAGAACAGAAATTGGTTTCCGGTGATTGACTAAATATGGTCAAAAATTAATTCTTTTTTGTACCCCTTTTTTTCTTCTCTTACCCCTTCTTCATAGGCAAATTTTTTTTTCTGCGACAATTTGCATAATTCTCAAACCCTTATCTTGTTTAAGCAAAATGATCAAGAATCGTACGTTTATGTGCAGTTGCTCTTTGTTGTTTCTATTCGATCAAAAAGTATTATTACTATTTTTTGAGTGTGTAAATGACAAGTTCTCCTTTCATTCCTCTTTCTAGATTTTTTTTTTGAATGTCAAGATATCATGGATTAATTATGTATAATATATGTTGATAAGCTCACTAGAATACCCATTTGACAAATGAAGAATTTGAAAGGGGTTCAGTGGGGGCAAGTGCGTAAATCTACAAGTGTCAACTTCTGAATGAATGTATGCTAAGTATATCACAGACCAAGACATGTGTTTATTAAAATAGCTTTGATTGTTTTTTACGCTTTTTTCTTTTTGTATAGTGATGATATACTTTTGAGTGTAACCATGCGACATCCAGAAAATGAGAGGCACTTCCAATTTTATACAATGCTTTCGATTTCTTTGATGTTCATGAACAAAGTCATAAAATTAGATCTATAATGATGGTCATCATGTCATAGATAAAAGGATATCTTTACTTATTTCTTTGTTGAAGAAAGCAAAAAGAAAAGACTTCATTTGTAGAAATAGGGGTTGTCTATAGGTTTAGGAGCATGATAAACAATAAAGCATATAATTATCGTTCACATACCTACTTTATTTAAAATATAGTGACCGGTATACAAAAATAAACTTGTTTGTCTCATATCATTGTTTCTTGTGGCTATTTTTCTTCTCATAAGGTTGTAAAAAAAAAAGCAAGCAAGAAAGAGGGGAGGATGTTGTGCTCTTGGTATTTCCTTATATAGTAAAAATTCAGTATCCTTTCTTTTATTATCATTTATTTTCTGCATGAATTATGAAAAACGGCAAGAAAAATCAACATAGTCAAGATGATGCATTAGAATCAAAGCTTCATTTATTTAATAAGAAAAAAAGGTCTTTTTGATAAAGAGCGGTGTGCTGTTTGTTTACAGTAGGATACTTTTTGCACTGAAATAATAATAGTAACAATAATTACAGACCATATAAACTATTGGAATGCATCTCATATATATTAGGAGAATAAGTTTCTCGCCAGCGGTCTTTGACCTTTTATGGTAGTTATACGGAGAAAGCCTCGGTGGAGGAGAAAACAAATAGGGGCAAGAGGCAATTTAAGCTTTCTGGAACAGAATCATTTGATTATTTTTGATTGGCAGGACAATCACTTTGTGCTGTATTGGCTTTTGAATAAAAAGGGCTATGTTTTCTTATTTTTCATCTTTACAAACTTGAAATCCAATTTATGAAAATGGTGAAAACTACAAAGAAATCTACAATTCCTCGACCCTTAAACTGTTTTTTGCTCTATCGTCTTGAGAAGCAAAAGGAAATTGTTGCAAAATGCACTGGTGCTAATCACCGCGACATCTCTAAAATCATTTCCAACTGGTGGAACAATGCAACTGAAGAAGAAAAGAAACCTTTTATAGAAAAGGCTCGTCTTGCCAAGCAAGAACACATTCGATTGTAAGCATTTCAGCTTGTTTAATTTAATTAAAACTCATCTCATCATTAGGCATCCTGGATACAAGTATACACCTAGGAGGCCACTCAAATCTAAGCGTGCTTATGTTCGCAAAAATAAAAAGGAACAATTTACCTCTCGTGTGAAGGAAAACAACAAGTTAATGGAACTCATTTATGAAAGTCCATCAGCCCTTGACTCGCTTGCTCAACCTATCGAATCTCCCAAAAAACAACCCAAGTCTCAAAAGAAGCAAAAGCGTCAAGAAACTAAATATGAACTGACCCTTGAAAAACCTCACTTTCGTCCTGACTGTCAGTTCGCTACTCCTGTCAACCATTGTTCTTTTGAAACAACGCCTCAATTGAGCCCTTATTCTGAATCTTATTATGAATATGAAGTTACTTCTCCGTGTGTTAGCTCGCCTGTTTCTTATGCTTCGTCAGACATTAATTATACTTATCAGAAACATAATTCAGTCTACAGTGTGCTTGATACACCTTATATTAACGACTCAAATGCTTATGGTTTCCAAACTCTTGATTGCCTTCAATATGGCGCTTCCATGGACTTTACTTGTATGCAAAAAGAGCCATATCAATTTGGTTATATGAATCAACCTAATATATCTGAATACTATACACAGTCTCAACAGCAAACTCAACAATTTGACTTTATGATGCAATGCTACAGTCCCGAATATATTGATCCATCTCTTCTTCAAATCTAAACTCGCCATAACTTAAAATTATTAACTTAAAATTATCAACTTAAAACTTATTATTGTATTTTGCCTATCCAGGCTTTTAGAAATATTCATAGAAAATATATTAGCAAATTCCTTTCGTTTTGAAAGGGAAATAACTTTAGGAAATCAACAACTACTTAATTTAAATTAAAAGCTAAATTTATGCAAATATGCCCATATACACAAAACATTGGCAAAGTTTGTTTATGTTATTTTAAATATGTCACCTTACAATACTTTTCTTTTCTTTAATAAAGCTTACGCCTGTCTAGAAAGAGCAAAGTTGGGAAAAAACAGAGTCTTCATGCTTTCTTAATTTTGCAAAGATTTTGAGCCATATAGTATCACTTTTATCATCTTCTTTGAGTCACCGACTAACCTGAGCTGATAAAGTATTTTAATGTAGCTTTAGACAAGAGAACATAGAACAGTAAGCATAAATTACTGTGATCTTCTTAGTTTTATCCGATGAATATATAGAATTTAAAGATAAGTATAAAATATGTAAAAGTAATATTATTTGTCCTTAAGGTGTGTTCCTGCTGGGGCATGTCAGATGGTAAGTGCTTAAGAGAATCGGTGCTTGTACTGACAGTTCTTGAAGTACCGGAAACCATAATAAGTTAATTCAATGTGGAACTACCTACGTTGTTAATGGTATACTTTCCTTGATTACTTCCTGTAAGCACTTGTTGATTAAGTTCCATGGTGGGTTGATCTACGGATGGCGAAATTGATTCCATACTAGGCTCCTTATGAAGGTGATGAGGAATTTAATTACAATTTTTAGAAAGTGTGTTTCGAGCTATGTAAGTGCCTCTTTATTAGTTGTATGCTAGTTTATGTTATTATTCAAATTCGATATGTATACTGATATATATATATATATATATATAACTTCCACACCACAACTATAGATGTCAAGGACGGTGAGACAACATTTAATTCTCTATTTATATACCCCTTTCTTGAAGCAGTGGCTACTTGATTAAAAGAAAGTGAAGATTGATGCAAGGCTGGATTCCGGCATGAGAAAGCACTATTGATATCCATGGGTAAACAGCTCAAAACCCTCCCATTATATAAAGAAGAGAGCCATAGCTATCTGGTTGATGGGATCATTAAGCTATATGGTCTCAAAAATGTTGAGGCCTTGTTGCTTGAAACGTCAGGCTGCTTTGGTTCTAATGGTCGATCAAAAATTTCATAAGAGCCTCATTGGAAGTCTTGCAATGCTGAATACTATCGCTGATGAGTTTTCTATGTCAACCGTGCAAGTATTTCAAAAATGCAAGATCGTTTTCGTACATGGTACAGATAAGGTACAGAATTCATTTTTTCATTATTTTTTGCCCTGTCTGTTACTTTATTTAATAACTTTAGAACAAAGTATTTATTTTTGGAGCTTACGTTTCGAGTCAAAAGGCCCCATCTTTGAATTGTGGCTCGAAGATACGTTGCATATCAAGCCTGATATCGATGACAAACTGGACACTCTTCCCTGATTCCTGAAGCTCCTCTGGGGCATGAAGGTGTTTGTCTATTTTTATTGTCCATTTGAATTACACATGGCTAACCTTTGTTTTTTATGGTAGTGCCCCTTGACTGAGAACATCTTAAGTTTTGTAGATGAGAAGAAAAAGAAATATAGTCCAGATCAAATCCAACACTCTTTTTTCTATAATTAAAACACCGTACAGAAATACATAGATTGATGTGGCAGCCACTATCCTCATTGTTAGTACTAATACAATCTAATGCGTAGATGGTATTAACGCCAAAGGAGAGAGAGGCATTTGGAAATGCCAAGCAACAATACATCCTAAACTAATGTCGGTTGCTTTATTACTTTCAATTTAATAATTTTTAAAATTAAAGCTTCCATCAATAAATAAATTCCCCAAAGCATAATAGATGAACACCGTAGACCGTATAGAATAAAAGCTTAGGTTGTTTGTTTAACAAAAAAAAAAAAGAGAAATGACTAATGTTCAATGTAACCACTATTTGTATCAATCACAGCTTAGTATTGTTACTAACTTATTTCTCTCTTTTATCTCCTTTCTATTCTCCTCTTTCTTATAACCTAATGTAAGCTTAATTTCTAGAATTTAATTTTTTCACAATAAAGTGTACAAGGTAGATTTGATTTTTCATAAAAAGCATGTTTTGTTTATTCTATATATATATACATTTCTAAACTGCATAAGCCTTCTTACCATGTTCCTATGATATATACAAGTTAGCATATACGCTATCAAATAAAGTTTATGACTTACACTAATGACACAAATGTGATCCAAATCTCTAAAGTATTCGTTGTAATCCAAAGCATAACCAACAACAAATTCATCAGGAATAGAGAAACCAACATAATCAGGAACATAACCATTGCTCTTGGGAGTCTTTTTGAGCAACAAACTAGTAACCTTGACGGACTTGGGAGCAAATGTATCCAACTTCTTCAACAATTGAACCATAGTAGCACCTGTATCAATGATGTCTTCGACAATCAAAAGATTCTACATGGTGTGAGTACATATCGCTCTCGAGAATCGTTCTCTTTCTTTTACCTTGCCTTCGAATTCCTTACATTCTTCATCTGTGATTGACATAGTCACACCTTCAGACTTATCATTTTTGTAGGACTTGACACGAATAAATTCCAAGCTCAAAGGGACCGTCTTGCCTTCTTTGGTAGTCAATTTTTTGACAGCATTGACTAAATCAGCAAAGTATTGATGACCACCCTTCAAGATACAACAGACAACTAAGGGACCTGTGGTATCTTCAACGATCAAACGAGCCAATTTGTTGACACGGTCCATGATAACACCATGAGGGATAAGGATAGAAGAGACATCCTTTTCATAGTGAGTGGGGATAACAAAGTGATCAAGAGAATAATGATTTTTCTCGGTAGTCACATCAATCCATTGAGAAGCGTCCATAGGCATCGTGTAAAAACAAATGTAGAAAAGAAAGAAAAGAGAAAGAGAAAAATACCAGGTACATTTGATACCTAAAATTTTCGCTGTGACGTTGATTTTATGCAGGTCGAACTTGTCATATCTCATCAGGGTTTGGATAAGGCTTTTCTTTTAGCAGTTGTTTGTAAATATTATAGCGCTTGGCTTTGAGTTATGATACTGGAAGGAATATACTAGACATGAAATACAGAAAAAGGAAACTTATTAATGTACAACAATATGCTCATTTGATCAATTATTATGATGAAAAGAAGCATTTTTTCTTCAATGCTGGGCATTATAAAGCATACTTCAAGAAAACTTAGACAAGATGAGGGAAATATGCTGCCTACTTCAATATTTATTGAAAAGGAACCATATTGCATAGATATGTTGTTTTTTAAAAAGATAACTTTTTTGAGTGTTACTTAAATGATGGACAGAAGTAAAGAAGACTTTATTCATTATCAACAGATTTGTTTTGTTGCTTATCATAGAAAGAAAACTTTGGTAAATAAAAGAGCAAGCTATACATTGTTTAAAGACAATATTTCATGATACAATGGGGGAGAAATGTGTGCTCCTTTTATTTCAGTGTATTGTCATTTGTGAAATCTCGGGATCTTTTGTTTGTCATTGTCTGTCGTTTTTGACAACGTGGCCATGCTTTACCCTTAGACTTTGATTGTTCCTAAATCTGCCTAAAGCAATTGACTTGAATCCGTGACTGTCATTGTGTATAAAATGGCATGAAAAACACGTTTGATTAACCTTTTTCTTTTTTGTCAAAACATGTCGCAGTTAAAGCGTGTCGAAAAATATGCAAGAAAACTGCACGAAGGCTGCCAAGATCCCGTTCAAACAGACGAGATCTTACAGACTGTTCATGATATTAGTGCTGAGCTTATCTCAAATATAGCTGAAGATAATTTAGGTAGTCATGTTCCTGATATAATAGCCAACAAACTCATTGCATAATAGATACCATATGCTCTTTATTGTTTTCAAAAGAAGGGGCTGTGCTCTGTTTTCTGTCCAAGTTCAGAGAAACAATGACAGGCGATATTGCCTCTGCTGTTTCAGAAATACTTAAAGTCTTGTGTACCTTACTTAAAAAGCGAAGAAAGAGTTCTATCTTGCAGAGATATGCAAAGGCTTTATTGGTACAATTGATTTACCATTATTGATTGTATTCATCACTAATGAATCATATAGAGTCAATGTACTTTTATTGCTAAAAAAGCAAGTGCAAACAATAGATCAATTGCTATTGAAGTGATTATGGTCATGGTAGATCCAAGAAATCGATATGATCCACACGAACTCAATGTACCTGCTCTTTATGAAATGTAGTTTTATCTGTTCTATGTTGTTAGATCCTCATAGTTCTATAGATTTTCAGGGCAATATATCACTGAAAAGAAATCAGCCATTGTGAAAGCAAAAATATTGGAATTACTAGGCACCATTGCAAGATTCTACCCTCAAGTAGTGACGGAAACAAAGCTCAAGACACTAAAGAGATGGTGCTTTGACAGTGTAACTCATCAAGTTAGCAATCAAGCCAAAAGCGCAGGTGAAGGAAACATTATCAGTGGTGGTCTGACATGTATCAATTCTTTGTTACGCCGTCCTGATCTTGGTATCACTTGTGGATCCGAAGAAAGCAACAAACTATTTGATGTTCTCGTCAAAGTCTTGATTGGGTTTAAAGACGCTACTCGTTTTGCTGCTCCTCTTTCTGCTCTTGTCTTGTTTAGGGAAAATGCAAAATTATTCGGTCATCTCATCTTGCCTCATTGCGAAAAACTGTATGATTGCTTGCAGTTTTGGGCTTCACATCATAACGTAATCTCCTATAAGTTTGGTGTAGCGGCTTATGAGGAGTTCTTGAGACAGGCAAGTGTCGTTTATGTTATGCTTTTTTACTGACTATTACATTGAAAGCTTTCTGTTGTTTTGTATGAAAACATTGAAGGTATACGGGAAACTGCTATCTTTGCTGTAAATTACAATTATGTCGAATTACATTTTGTTTTAATGTTTATTTTTGTAGGTTTTTATGCAAAAGTTCAACAAGACTTTGGAAGCAGCTGACAGCTTAGAAAATATTCATCAAGTGTCTGCAGCTATCCGTAGTATTGGTTACTTTTCCAAGATCTTTTCCAAGAAACTAAATCTGAAAGAAATTGATCATCTTCGCAACAGTTTAGTGAGAATCAGTGATTGGTTTTATTCAGAGTATGTTGCATACTAGTTTTTCAATAGCTCATCTCTTATCAAAATAGAGCAAACAACAATCAAAGGCAATACCTTCGCCATCTTCCTGCATTTATCAAATCATATACATTATTTGCAGAAGAGTTTGAAACAGTACCTGTAGAGCTAATGGAAACCATTCATCAAATGTGTGATATCTTTATTACAAGATATCATGACATCTCAGGCTTTTATAGAAGAAATGGTTGCTTGAATATCCGTAACCTCTTGACTATGCTCTATAAAAAGAGCGAAGGTGTATTTGGGAACTTTGCCAATGCATTCTGTAGGTAATCTATTTTAACAGTATTGATATGAACATATTTTCTCTAGTTCAAAAGGCATTGATATGTACCTGTACAACAATTCGTACATTAGAAGAAGAAGAAGATCGCCCACTTTATACTGAACTGCTTTACTTTTGGGAAATCATTTTAGGTAGATCAAGACAACAGTTTATGCAAGTCAAGACAGAAGAAGACCCCAAGCAAAAAGAAGACGAGGAAGAAGATGAAGAGGACGCTGTCTTTGAAAGTGTAAATCATTTTTATCAAGAGATAGATACAGTGGATACTGAAGGTTTATCAGAAGCTATCTATGATGCGTTCATGGCGAATTCTCTTAAGCTTATCAAGACATTTAACCTGAAGCTCAAAAATATAGACGAAGATGATGTAGTGAGTGAGGAAGTAAATATCGTGTCCAAAACACTTTGTCCTGTGAATCAAAAAGACTTTATTTTATTTCAAAACTTCGTTAAATTCTGGTCTATTATCTTTGAAGAAATCGACCATTCTCGCTTGACACACTGGGTCTATATTGCAAGTACAACCATTATTGATCAAAGTGTACTACATCCTTTGGTGAGTGGGTTTTATCGAATGCAAGCTGGCATGATGATTGTCTGTGAGAGACTCCAGTTCTTTAAACGGTGTCACTTGTTTTACACTCAAGCAAAATCAAACACTAACAAAGATATCCTTCCAAAGGTAAATTCACTGCTGCTTTTCATTTGTACTCACAGTTAATTTTTTGTGTCTCTCCTTTTATCGATAGCCTCAAGAATATGTCACTTATCTGGCTATTCGTGAATATATGAAGGAAGTGTGGCATAGGCTTCAACAATTCACAGATGAATTATTGGCGTCTTGTCTTCATTTGATCTTATCATATCCTGTCGAGTTCTTTGATATCGGAGAATTAATCACACCTCTTGAAAAAGCACTTAAGCTTGGTATTACTTATCATCCTCTTGCTGCTATTGCCATGGATAGCTTGGAAAAACTGCTTCATCCTAATCTCAACTATAATATTGATTCTACATTTTTATCACGTATCTTGCCTTGTATTAACGAATACCTTCTGGTTGGTGTTGTTTCTTTTAATGAAGAAGAGGGGATCAAGAGAAAGGACTTGAAGATACCCACATCACAACAGCGCCGATACGAAGTCGCCAATACAAAAAAGACAGCAGGTCAATTAGGTGTTGTTAAACGTAATTACTCTGATCTTCCTGCACTTCAGAGAAGGATGATGCAATTCCTTGGTAAATTGGGTGGTAAAAACAAGCAATTGTTGCTCAAAGACGATGAGTCCTTGCAAGATAGTGGCATGCTTGCTTGGGACCCTGAAAAAAGAGTAGAACTTCGTATTCCTTTCAAGAATGTCAAGGTCACTATCTATCTAGATGAATATCTTCCACGTATATGTGAACTTGCTGAATTTTCCCCTGATCGACAGACCAAAATAGCAGCATGTGAACTTTTACATGGTCTTGTGCTCTATATGCTTGGTAGTAGTGCTATTCAAGCAGTGAATCAAGCGGGACCCAAGAAATCTCTTTTCCATATTTTCTACCTTCATATATTTCCTGTCATGCTAAAACTGGCAAATGATCCTGATCAAATCGCACGAGAAATGTTTCAAGCTCTTTATGCACAAGTTATTCATTGGCTTACCAATAATGCACAATCAGAAAACAATGAAACAATTGCTTTACTGCAAGCGCTTTTAGAAGCATCTTGTAGCTCAGATGCAGGTCTCCGGGACTATGGAGCTGAATGTATCCAAGAATTTGTGAAATGGTCTATCAAGCAAACATCTCGATCTACTGACAGTGCTCATAACATCAGATCATTACTAAGAAGACTCTATAATTTAATGACTAGTCCAAGCACATCGAAGCGATTTGGTGCATCTTTGGTATTTAACCGAATTTACCGCCTCTTCCGAGAAGAGCCTGTTTTAGTCAACAGTTATACGTTAGAAATTCTGGGCCAGTTGTTTGTCAGCTTGAAAATAGCAGAAAGCGATCATCCATCAGTTGGTACTCGAGACCAAATCATTGAAGCCATTTCACATATTAGACGCATTATTCGAGAAAAATCCTCTGTCTTTTTGATTCAAAATGATCGACAGGCTTTCATTGGTAATCAATCCGTCAACGATCTTGTAAGTCTTGTCCTTTGGACTTTTGAGCAAAGCGGGAAGCTTCAGCGTACCTATGCCAAAGTGTGTATTAACTTTTTCACTGAATTTTGCGTATTTTTACCGGGCATCAAAACACCTAAACAATGGCTCTCAGCGCAACTTTCCGCTAATTCTCTTTTCTTGATCAATATCTTTGAAACTGATCAACTAAAGCCACCTTCAGTAGCTGACGACGACGATAATCAAATGATGACTATTTATCTCCATTGGATTAAGCGCTTAAACAGCACAGTTGATGGTTACATTTGGCTAGTTGAACGTCAAATCATTGATCCGTTTACATTACTCGGACTACCATCTTCCATATTCTTACTTGCAGTCTCCTTTTTTGTACGAAACACACCTTTTGACTATCTTGAAGAGAAGTTGGAAGAAAGCGTTATTGAACGAAACAAACTCCTGTCTATCTATACACATATCGCCACTAGATTGATTTATTTCTTTGATCTTGTACTTCGCTCTCAGGAACAAGGCGATCAATGTTACCAGTATCTTGAACGTGTGTTTATGGACATCTTGTGCCATAAAAACTTTACAAATATCGTTGCATCTACCTTACTCTTACCCAAAGAAACATCAGAGACAATACAATCGTATCAGGGCAACGCGATTACTCAGTCTGGCGTGAAGCGCATGTTTGACATTGCCAAGAGCTACATTCTGATAATGAAAGAGAAGTCTTGTTGGAAGTTTATTGATGGCTTGACAGTCTCTATTATCAAGACTTTGCAGTCAAAAAAAGTGGATATTCTAATACATGCTTCTTTGGAGATGGGTAATTGTCAATGAAAATTAGAACCGCATTTTATTTACTCACCTTTAATAGAACGATCAGTTTTAATTGAAGTCATTCAAACCGTGGACGGTATTCGGTTTCTTCAGTCAGTTGGTTTGTTTCACTTAGTCTGTCAACAGGCAAATGAATTGAACGAAGATTACCCAAAAGATGCAACTGAGTATTGCAAGAGGCTCTTTGATAATTACCTCAAGTCTTGCAAAAAAGCAGAAGAACCTCTTCAGCTTCAATTGACAGGCAATTCTATTGCCATCTGCTTCACTCAGCTAGGGTTTGCAAAGGAATATGCTCCACAGCTATTGGGTATAAGTGGATATCTACAACCATTGGAAAAGATAGAAAAGACAGAAATATTTCAAAAACATGCTGAATATGTAAGCGTTGGTTCTTGTTTCTATTTGCACTCACACACTTCGCTGTAGATGGTAGAATCTATTGCTAATCATTTCGAAGTCTTTTCTTTGGTTTTCAAAGAAAATATATCTTCCCCTGTAATGCGTGAATACTTGTTCTTGTTGTTTGAATTTCTCGAAAGCAACAAACTAAGTCATCGAAAACTGGTCTGGAATATAACAAACCATGTAAGCTACTCTCAGACATTAAGCTGATGATTTATTCCCTCTTTTTTTTTTGTCTTAGATTGTAGATAACTCTGATTTTTTGCGTGCTATGTAAGTATTATACATGTTATGAGTATGTTAGTACTAAAGAAACCAAAAAAAAAAAAAAAAAAAAATAGAATTGATCAATGGAGCAGTAATGAGCAACTTTTAGACCTGGTAGCCTTCTTGAAACTGTTGTTCAATGCTGATCCCGGTATTTTAACAAGAGGAAAAAAAAAGCCTATATTTGATCTTTTGTGGAAGACATTTGTGCATTTACTGCATAAGGATAACTCTTTTAAAGTAAAAAATAGTGCGCTTGACTTATTACCGGTGTTTATCTGTATTGACAAAGAGTTTACTGAAGAAGTAAGGACGCCCAAATAAATTGCATCAACACTAATCCCTCTTTTTTTAAGATATCAGAAATACTAAACGAGTCTTTTATTAAAGATACTCCCAATCCATCTTCCCTTCTAAAAAAAGGAACCGCCATGTAGGTCATTTTTGATCAATTTTATGAGACAATGATACTAATATTAGTTTTTACCATAGATACAATGAATATATCAGTGTCCTTGACAAACTCCTGAATACAATGATAACATTCAAGTCAGCTATGATCTTCAAATTACTTAAAGTCACCTTTATTCAAGAAGAACATCACATTCATGAGCAAGTTATTACCAGCAGTGTTGAGAGTTTCTCAAAAAATTTAGGACTGGGAAGCTTTCTAGATATTACGCAATCCTGCTTCGAGTAAGGCAAAAGAAGATGGTAGACAAAAAGAGTCATCTAACTCTGTATAGATTGTTTAAAAGCAATGATTACGTTTTGATGCACAGAAAGAATCTGGTCGAACTGATCATTTCTCTTTTTACAAATGCTAATGACAACCATGTCATCGCGTTCTATGAAAGAAACATCAGTTACATTTTAGGTGCTGCTACAGCCGTTGAGGACAAAACTCGAGTAGTTGTTGACAAAGCATTGGATTGGGGATTTAGAGCTTGTTGTCTTCGACTGGTTCAAGTCATGTATGAGCGATTGTCTAAAGAAGACTTGGATAAAGGTAGTAGACTTAATCAAGCATGGCTTTCCTCAAAAGAAAACACAAGAAAAAAAATTATGCATGCGTCTCTTTTGGGTGTATTCACTGCAATGCGAAATGATACAGCAATGGAGAAGCCAGTGGAAGGGCGAAATGAATACTTCTACTATAATCAAGCAACAGTGAATGCAATGATGGCAGCTCTTTTGCGCATGTCTGATAAACCAGGTCTTTATGAGCAGTTTTTTTGTAAAGGCTCATACAGCTACATCTGGAGCGACATTATTGATACGAGGGACCGCATCTATCTTACACTTGAACTAGACCAACCTATGCCAAAAAAGAGAATTCATGACCTATCAATCAAATCAGGTCAACAGCCTTTAGAAATCGATCAAACTAAAGGTTACATGGCTTCTATGGATTTGATAGGTAGCAGGTTAGTCATATAATTGTTTAGAATATGCTGCAAATAATTAATTACTACCTTAAATACAGCTTAGCTCAAGCTACACTTTCAGAGGTAAGAATATTCATGTCTTCCATATCATTTTAATTCAAATAATTTATAGATGGTTTTACAAGAAAACCAAATTAACGACGAACAGGCAAGTGCTGCTAGCGACAATATTGCTCCCAATACAACTAATGACAATACTGATGGAGACACGGTCATGGAAGATGCTTGGGATGACTCTAAAGAAGATAGTATGGAATACGAAGGTGAAGAGTTTGAAATAGACATCTTGAATCAAAAGCTATTCATGAGAACAGTTACTGCTGCTATTCAAAAGCTTCATACAGAGATTACTCCTCCTGGTGAAGATCCTATACATATGCCGAAATGGATGCAGGATATGAACAATGCTTTTACATCAAACGATGATATCAAAATTCAAGTGTATATGGCAAAACTCATTGTTAATTGTCCCTTTGCATTTGAAAAATATGCTGAGCATTGGGTTTTACCGCTTATGACTTTTGTCACTCAGGGCCATCAATTTGGTACGCCCATCAATTACCTGACACAAGATCTATGCATTATCCTTGCTGTTTGGGGTCGACAGACCAGTATACCTTCTCCCCATTCAACATATTCAAGACGTACTTTGTTTGAGTTATTTGTAAGGCCAGCAAACTGTGTAAATATGTCTATCTAATCAAATTTTCTTTAGGAGTATTTAATCTCAAATGCGTATCATCATAGTCCTCGAATTACAAGAAGCAATATCCAAATCATTAGAGGAATTTTTGAGAATTGGGGCAAATGTTGCCCTATTCCAACAGTAAGCGATATTCTGTTCATGATATGGGGCTGCTGGCTTACTTTCTTTGAAAATAATTAGAGAGCCATTTACAAAAACTTTACTCACCCGGCAGGAGAAGAGCATAAAAATATTGTTGGATTACAGTTTGCTGGTATTGTGTATAGTAATGGTGGCAACATATATGATTCAAACGAGTTTACATCTCTTTATGACTTGCCTGAACCAATCTTTTTTTCGGATATGGCCAAGAATATAATGTATAAGGGTAGAAAGAGCGCAGACATACCAGCGAATGCAGCAGAGGTAAGTGATTTTGCATGTATAAATTTAGATCTCAATTTTTCTAGTTGATGAGTTGGTCATTGAAGTTTATGAAAGATCAGGCAAGTCAGTTTGAAGGGCAAATGCGAATCGTGTATAGTAAAATGGCAAGTGCTTAATCTAATTCAGTTGCAAGGTTCTCTAAACTATTTTTCTTTAGCTCTCGGATGTTGGAAACTCGAGAAGTCATTCAGAAAAGCAATTACTTAAATGCATGAATCGTATCTACTTGCATGATATAGAGCTAGGACAAGAACTGCTTTCAGCCGTAACTTATCGACTCAACAGATTAGATGCTGAAGACAAGGTGCTTGCATTAAATTATATCAATGCTTGCTGGTCTAAAGAAAGAGATCAGGATATCTATAACTGTTTGTACAGTGCAGGTATCCCCAAAAATTTTTCTAGTCGAGATGAAAACCTTCAAATAGTCATCCTCAAAGTCCTTAATACGATATTTGAAGTTTTAAAAAAGGATCAAGTTAAAGAAATTATTAAGCAAACAGTCGATATCTTTTCGGAGCATACCAATGAAGAATGTAGAGTAAGTCATATAAGCCAAATGTATGACTGAGCTTGTGCTAATCTTTTTTCTTTACAAAAGTCATTACACTTCGAGTTTTTAAAAAAAGCTTACGAAGGTGGCATGAGTAAAGACATGCAGCGTACCATCAAAGCAGAAATATTGAAGGGGTTGGTCGACAAGGACGAGAGAATTTCTTTTTCAATACTCGACTTTGTCAAGAAAACATGGGCAATCACAGACGATATCAGAGCGACCATTTTAACGATCACAAGGTAAATGCTTTAAATTTGTTTTCCATTTAACAAACTTAACATAGTGAATTATTTATGGACGAGACTCAAGACATCTATCTTTTATATGCAACTCGTATCGTACTTGACAATACAAGAAGTACATATGATATCAATGAGCCTTTATTTGATAAACCTTTACCTGAGGCAAGATTTGATGCTGGGTATCAAAAGATCAATACAAACTGGCAGCATAGCACTTCATATATGATGCCACTGTTCTCGGCTTCTCAGACAAGAACGGTAAGAAATTGTTCCCCAAGTTTCATGAATACTCATATTACTTTTTAGTTGGAAATTGAAGACTTGGAGCTTGAACTGAGAAAAACTCAAAGCTTGCTTGAATTTAGCACAACACAAGGCACAGGAAGATCCTTGGTGGCGACATTCAATCCCGACACCCAAGAAAAGGCCACCTCTGAAAAGTTGGATGATTTCTCTGTCGTTAAAGATATCTTTGCGTAAGTAGATTGACTCATAAGCTGAAGCATAGTATTTATTGTGATCCAATAGCCCCAAAAGAAAGGTGGAAAAAAAACCAAGCCCTTATTACAATAAGCGATTCCTTGTTGAGACAAAAGGTGTTACTAGTCGCTTCCACGCTGATCGTAATGAACAGCTACAGAAGAAATATCGCAGCCTGTTAAATTCAATGAAAGAAGCAGGCGAGAAGAAGGTATCCTTGAGTCGAGAGTACCGGGTCGGTAAGTGTGTTTTTCTTCAGAAGCTTCTTTTAATACGATTATAGGTGAACTGCCAGACGTTCAGATTCCTCGACGAGATTTGATATTTCCCCTTGAAATACTCGCAAAGACGGATCACAACATCTCCCGTCTACTTTACAGCAGTTTGATGGTCAGCATTGTAAATGAAATGAAGCAAGAGGTAAAGTCAATGATGAATAATGCTGTGCTAAAATAATTAATTAGTCAAACGGTGAAGAATATCAAGAAAAAATTATCAAAATGATTGATAGTAACCTTCGAAGCAACACAGTTAATTTTACACCAACTACTGGTTCCTTTTTGAGAATTATCTTTGATCTCGGTGCACCTGTTGATGGTTTGGTCATTAAAGAAGCTAGTAGTAGAAGCTATAATCATCATATTGGTATTGCAATTCTCGAAAAACAATTGTCAGATGGTGATCTCATACCTAGACGTAAGCTATTTTTTAATGCTATTCGTTTGTCTGACTATTGATCTAATTGTTTTAGCTAAAAAGAAGGCCTTTAATAGCCTGCCACCAGCGAAAGAAAAATGGATTCATTTGGCGTTACTCTATCAACATATTGATGAATTAGAAATCTTTCAAAATACTTATTTGGCTAATGTAGCTACTAATGAATATGCAAAAGGTTAGTATCGTGTGTAGAATCAACATCGAATACTCATTCTGCATTTGTGTATAGCCGGTGTTAAAGCTCAAAACGGGGGTGATTATGCAACATCTTTCAATCATTTTGACGAGGCCTTAAACAAGAGCAATCAAAATCATGATGTTAATGTCACTGAAAAGTCTCTTTGGGAACAACAAATGTTGTACTGTAGAACCCAGTTAGGACAATGGGATTTGATTGCTAGAGATACGCTTAGTATGACTGAAAACAATCTTGAACGATTATGGGACGATTGTCAGGTATACTTTTTGATCAAAACAATTCACTTAACATTTATCAGGATCCTTATTTGGAATACTTTATGCGAAGTTTCTCCAAATTAAAGAAGCAAGCAATAGTTTATCAACCTGACATTTTAGAGGATTCCGAACTAGTAGGAGGATGGACTACAAACCATCCTAATCCTATATACCAATTCTTGGACGAAGCTTATGAAAATGAACCTCATAAACGAGAACTTTTCAATGATTTTGCTTGTGGTATGTATCCATCCCTATGAATTGCACAATCTAATTCAAATATATATTAGAATGGACCTTGGTAGAAATATATCGTCAAAATTATAGTCGTGGCAGACAACTCATTAGCAAGTCATACGATTCATTGTTGAATGCATGGACAACACTGCATCCATTGGCACATACAAGTCGCTTGGCAAGACTAGGACAATTGCAACGGGTGAGTTGAAAACAGGATTCTAATGGACACTATGCTTATCATTATTTCTTTTAGACGGTAGAACTGGAAGACTATCTTAATCTTCATAAGAGTTTTGAAGATGGTACGATTCATGTAAACCAGGCCGAAAATTTTGTAAAGCAGCTTATGATGAGGTATCCCGATACAAAAGTGGATAGAATGGACGTATGGTATGATATATTATACTCGCGCTTTGAGTTTCTAGAGAACATGAAACATTCCAACTTAGAGGTAACAAAGGATGTGGAATAAGCAAAATGCATTAATATGTTCATAGATTGCATCGCAGTTGGAATCACTATTAGATGATGCTCGAGGACAATTTTTAAATGTGACAGGAAAAGCAGCACTTGAGCAGCATAACACTACGTTCTTCACTATTATTTTAGACAAATTGAAAGGCTTAAACAAAATAATTGAAAATCAAATTGGATTCATTGAATATACCCAACATGAATCAGAGCATAAACCACTTGATAGAAAACCCGGTTTCATTGCTAGTACCATTGTCAAGTCCTTGTTGTTTACGGTATGTATTCTTGAGTCATCGCTCTAATGTTGGTTAACATCTTCTGTTTAATAGCCTCCTTCCAATTGGAATACAATCGAAAACTTTAACTGGAAAATGATTCTTGTACAGTCTTTTGACACTGTAAAGAACCAGATCATCGCTGAGCCTACATTATTTGAAACAACGCTGAATACAGGAAAGCAAATTCTTCGGAAATACGCTCGAAAGTTTGACTTTGGTCATAACATTGAAAATGCAGATGTTTTTGTTAATTATCTTGAAAAAGCTGGTTATGATACACTTGTTGAAGCTGGTCAGTTGATTGCAAATCAGGTAATTTTTCTAGGAGATTTATGTTTGATACTGAGAACATGTAGGATGAAGAACGTTCTGTATATTTATGGAAATTTGGCAGATATTGCGATGAAGCTCTGCATGTATTGCAAGACTCAAAGTCAACTCTTCAACCTGACATTAATGTGATTCAGTATAGTCATATTGTCATCGAAAATTATTTTGAAGTTTTGGACCATGATAACAAGGAAGCACTTGAATTCTTTCCCCGTTTGCTAGAATTGGTAGAATTATATCCTGATAATGGCCCACTCTTTAAAAAATGCGTAAGTTGGTAGCGGTATACTTATGATCTTCTGATTACTGTATAGTCGATGAAAATTGATGCTTGTTGGAAGTTTATTCGCTGGATTCCTCAATTGGTTTCTTCTATGGCCACACCAATTGCTGCTTATATTTTCCCTATTTTGACTCGCATTGCAGAGAGCTATCCTAGAGCACTGTATTATTCATTCCAGATGTCTTGTGAGTTTTATGAACTCAAGAAAGACAAGTTATCCAAAGAAGTCCGACATCAGATTGAGAAAATCATGCATCTTGTTCGCTCTCCAATCATGGAACAATTCTCATACGAATTAAAACGATTGTCAGATCCAGATCATATTGCCAAAGACTTCGTGGAATACATAAGAGTAAGCTTATTTTATGACTAATACACTTACTCATTTCCATTAGTCTATCATCATAAACAAGGAAGTTCCTGAAAGCTTTGTCGAAAACAGATACGAGGAATTCTACAACCTTTTGCTCAACAATTATAGTGAAAATATGGGATCAATTCCAAAAAAGATGGCAGCTGCTCATGGTAGTTATTTTATTAGAATGTTTGGAGAGAATGGTAAAAACATCTCCAAATTGACTCCTAAGCAATTGGATGAGCTCCTGAAGTATATCAGAAGCCATATGGAGTTAAAAGGAGAAGAGAAAAAATCACATTCTAGACTAAGAGAAGATCGAACAAATATTGCTTCTTATTCCAAATGGCTCTATTCTTTTAAGAATACTGAGCATGACGAGGTACGCGTTTTATACTTATAGAATTAGAAAAGACGATCATTCTAAATAACTGTAGGAAATTGAAATACCAGGCCAATATGATGGCCACTCCAAACCATTTCCTGAGATTCATGCAATGATTGCTTCAATCAATACCAAGCTCCTCATTCTTGAATCGCTAAGAAAGCCTAAAAGAATCACTATTTATGGGACGGATGAAAAAGAATACAATTATTTGGTCAAAGGTGGAGAAGACTTGAGATTGGATGAGCGTATTGAACAGCTTTTTGTCATCATGAATGATATGATCAAGAAGAATGCATTCTGTTCTAGCCAAAACGTTCAAATCGCTACATACAAGGTAGAAGAATATATTCTGTGTTTTTGTTGTTTACCGTTTTATGATAGGTTATTCCTATGGCTTCGAATCTTGGTATTATTGAATGGGTGAATAATACAGCTGCCTTGCAGTCCTGTATTAATAGTACTGGTGCTCATCAAATATTGGTCAAAAGAGCAGTAGCTAGATACAGTACTTGGATTGAAAGTCATACAGCCAAGTCTTCTAAAGAAAGTTATGGTAAGCCTTTGGTATTATAAATTACAAGAAAAATGACCATGGATTTATAGGAAAATATTATTCTGCTTTTGCTGATAATCGAGAAAGAATTGTCAGAGAATTCAATCGCTGCTCTGACTTTTTCCCTAGTACATGGTTGAGGGACTTTGTCTTCAAATTAGCATCTTCTCCTGAAGCATTCTTGTTCTTGAGAAAGGATTTTACTTATAGTTTGGCTTGTATCTCTATCTTTGGTTACTTGTTGGGTATTGGCGATCGACATTTGCAAAACTTTTTATTAGATATGAAGAGGTAAGGTATACTTTTGGATCAACATTTTCTTACTTTTTGCTAAGTGGCCGTTTGATACCAATTGATTTTGGTTATGCTTTTGGTGCTGCAACAGAATTACTTCCTATTCCTGAACTTATTCCATTCCGACTTACTCGTCAATTGGTGGGTGTACTTGAACCTTTGGGAGTATCGGGTATTCTAGAAAATGCAATGACAAACATATTAAGTGGTACAGTAATCGATACTTTTCTTTATTGACAAAACAAATACTGATTTTTCTATAGCTATCCAAGATCAAAAGGAGTCTTTACTAAATGTCATGAGCGTATTTGTCAAAGAACCTTTGTTGGAGTGGCAGAAAAATGCTGCTCGAATGATTGAGTCTCAAAGTAAGTGGTACTTGCCTTTGTTGGCTTTCTTAACATGCGTTCATAATAGGGAAAAAAGTACAAGACCCGGAAACATTGGAACAAGCAATACAATGGTATCCTCAAAACAAGATTGAAATTGCAAAACGAAAGTTGAACAAAGAAAACCCAGCCAGTAAGTCAAAGACACTATTGACAGACAGCATCCTAACATGTTTGTGCTAGACATTCTCATTATAGAACTTACAAATGGCCATGGAAATAAGCACTATCATAATGATGCAGTCGCTATAGCGAAAGGCGTACCTGACATTGATATTAGAGCCAGAGTAGACGATGCTTGCAGCGAAACAAATGAGCAAGTAAAATGTCTGATTAACCTTGCTACAGATCCTCGAGCTTTGGGTGTTACCTGGGCAGGTTGGCAATCATATTTGTAATTCACCCCTTTTGTAACACTAAACTAATTACCCTAAATAATGAATAAAGATCACCTCATAATGATCCCTTCCTACAGTATCGTATTTGGTGTATGCTGCTTCTTAGACCTTCCAAATCAGTTGGTAAACCTAAAAAAGGCAAAGACAGAAATATTTTTTCTCTCTTCTTTCTCTTCTCCTTAAAACCACACAATGAGCAGCAGTCCAAACACAAGTACAAAGGTATGCGATTAGCTAGTAGATCTGTTGGCTCAACTTGTAAACTAGCGATTGTATATTGGCAATCTAGACGAGACAGTTAACGAGTAAAAGAAAAGCCTACTTGAGAGTACACTTTGCTAACCTTTTAGATATGCTATTATGAAACTTTTTCAACCTTTTGGAAAAATTACATTTATTGAAGTTATGGTGCATTGGACAGGTATCAAAAAAGGACAACCAAGAGGCTATTGCTTCTTAGAGTTTGAGACGAAGCAAGTAAGTCAAAGAAAGAAAGACAACGTGACTTATTTTATTCTAGCAAGCATCAAATGCAATTAATGCCATGCATGGAAAAGTAATGAGAGGAAAATCTTTAGTGGTCTCGTTTGCACATATGGTAAACAAGCAGGCTGATGAAACAGGTCCTTACTCATACATAGACGCCTGAACATGATCAAGTGAAAACAAAGCGAGCTCAAATATCACACAAGCCAACAACAATTTCTTTATTAAAGGGTCAAAAAATGAAAAACTCATCGTAAGTTGTCTGGTATGTTTGCTTCCTGCTAATATTTGAAAATCTTTCTCTAGGACGGATGCCAAAATAAAAGCCATTGAAGCGAAGCTAGCGTTGCTTAAACAAGATCAACAAACTTCCTCATCAAATCATAAATCACCATCAAACACAAAAGAAAGATATAAACCATACTAGAAATCCTTCATAAAAAAAAGTATCAAGTGAGAATGCATAAAAATAATTACTTTAAATCTTTTTCGCATATAACACTAACTAAATTTTACGCAGTAACAGAAGAGAAATACCAAAAAAAGTTTAGTTGCAGTTAACCCAATTGCCATGAATTCTTTGGGCATAAGACGTCTCTTGACAGACACATCCAAATGAAACATTCTGCCACCCAAGAGGCGAACAGTACTCAATGTAAAGTCCCACTAAGTGGAGATTTATTCAAGTTTTTTATTTCAAACCCTTAAAAAGTTATAGAAGTAGAAGCTGTCTCTCGTTCTAAAAGGCACTTAAAGGTCTAATATTAAAGCATCGGTTAGCTTAACATGTCTAATCTAAGAAAACATTATTAATATTTGGTGGTGCCACCATGAGCTTCGATAACTGCCTGGCATCTGGCTCTCATGCTGGACACCAAACTTTCAGCAAGATCAAGGCTGATCTTTTTTCCATTCATTAACAAGTACTGCCTTCAATTCGGCAGTGTTTTTGATGCCGGCCCTTCTAGGTAGGGTTAGCTCTCCATAGACTCGCCCTAAATTTGGAAGAGCCGACATTGACTGTGACAGAAAGAATTAAATGGTCAGACCACATTGGCGATAGTTGAGTAATAGAGGCGTCCACCAATCCTTGTTTTAAGCCTTGACTCATATATATGTAGTCAATGACGGAGGTGACTATATCCGTTGGACCTCACATTCGTCAAAAGGTGAGTATGTCTTGCAAGTCGTTATAGGTCATGCGATTAAAGAAGGATTGATCTAGTAAAATTCTCCAATTAAGATATGTATCCCTATCTAATGTCGACGATAGCAAATATGAATAGTTAAAATCTCCTGATATAATAAGATTATCAAACGATATTTCCTGACTAAAATATTGTAAGAGGGCGGTCAGTTTAGTGTAAAATTCACGTCGTATAGTCGCTAGAGAGACTGGAGCATAAATGTTAAGGATATAAAAAGGATCGCAAAAGTGATGTGGGTGAGTGACTTTGCATATTTGATATCTTGTGGAGTTGAAATGAGTGGAAGTATCAATGAGTGTAATATGATAATCTAAAGAGGATGACACTATTCCTACGTGTGGTGTCCAAAAGAATTGAGTGGGTGGTAGACGTATGTTTAAGCTGTCAATCACTTCGGGAGTTGAGGTATGTGTTTCTTGAAGGCATAATATCGAAAATAGTTGGATACTGTCATTATTTGTCGTTTTCATTAAGCCATTGGCATTGAGTGAGGCATATTTATATAGGCATTAAATTAGGTGGAGGGTTTTACTTACTGACGGTTATTTTCGTAACCGTCTGTCTGATCTCGGTCAGTTATGATTTTTGACACTTGATGCAGTGTTTGATTCAATTGGGTGAGTTCAGCTATTTCCATTGTAACTTATGGTTTCTTTTGTGGACTTTTTATTGTTCGTTCGTATCTCCTTTTTGGAAGAGTTCTCCAAATCCTGGATGATGGCTTCAGGTAATTGACATTCAATAGACCGATCCGGATCTCTCATTTTCTTGTCTGATGAGTTCAAGTATTTCTTCTTTTGGCAATCCATATGACATTTGTACCACGATGCGCGGCTTTGAAAGAAGTAAAGAACAATAGAACTAAAATTTTTTGTTATATACTATTACTGAAAATAAAGTGCGGCTTGAAGACCTATAGCCACTTCCGACGTCGGAGTGGAGGCAAAGCCTATTGTGTTAGGTACGAGACACAATTACAAGTATGCCATTTATGTACTCAAAAAATATTTTTTGAAAAATGATAAAAAAACTTGTTTTTCGATTTTCCCGTTTTAAAACAAAAAACAGGTCTACCAACTAGTAATCCCTTTTCTGAACTAAAACAGTAAATTCATCATCCGGTAGACTCGTTTATTTATCCAAAACAAAAAAACCGAAAAACAAGTTTTTTTTTTTGTTTTGTTTTGTTTTTTTTTTCATTACAGAAAATGTTTTTAATTTATTTTAGGGTAATGGTTTTAATGTTTTTTTTTATTATTTTTTAGAAGATATTTTTTTGAGTACACAAATGGCATACTTGGCATCTCGGCATAAATGCCAGAGGACTTTAAAATTGTCAAATATTTTGAATCTGACAAATTTTTTTTATGAGCCCATCTCACTCATCGAAGAGTTCTGGCGTTTATGAGCTTCATTGTGAATCTTTGATAGCTTTAGAAATCTTATATTGCTTTAGAAAAAGAAAAATAGTGCAAATTTGAAGTAATTCTCAAATGGATTCGCCTTTTCCGTTTTAGAAAGCTCGCTTTTTTTTTTTGTTAGAAGTACCTAGAAATTGTCGGTTGGATCTGACCTACATTGAGCCAATCTGACATTCAGAAAATTTTCGATGAACTTTTTTTTCATTTTCAAGAGCTCTTGTGAACCCCCTCTCATGGGTCAAAAAACGACTTTTACCCAACTACCAAACCAATGGTACCATTCGACTATTGGGCTCGAAAAAGCATGTTTTGAACGAAAAAAGAGGCCATTTTAGTAGTCTGGTTGCCGAGCGACGGCACATCAAAGATTGGCTCACTTAAGCTTTGATCTGAGTATTCTTACTCTAGATGTTGTATAAAATATGATAGCCATAAACTCGTAGAGGATAATGTATGCTACTAAAAGTACTAAAAAAACATAGAAGAGTAAAAACATAGACACTTTACAATGTGAATGTGAGGTAAGTGAACATAGACATACAGAGTTCGAAATAGAGCAACTTTAGTTCTCCATCCAATCGTATAAAAAATCAAGCTTTTGCTTAGAACTGCATAGAGACGCAGCTATTAGACTTTGGCACAATAATGAAAGCGATAGATTTCTGTTTTATGATTATATTTATGTATAATATGTAAGACCTTTTCTACTAGAATTTGAGAAAATGTGCCAAAGTATTTTTGGGATTTTCCATCATAGCATACCATGTTTATATTATGATCAGTAAGCAAACACTTTGATTAGAAACTATAGCTTTTGACGCACATTCTGGGTAAATAAGCCTGTCAAGGGCTCTGTTTTTAGTCTTGTAGCGTCAAAAAGAAACATTAGAAGTTCTCAAATTAAGCTTTTTTCATGAATGATACCCCATGGTTTTGACCAAATTTAACGAGTCGATTTTTTTGATCCATATTAACTCCAAGGGTACAGTGTGTAGTACTAAACGTTGTTTATCGGTATTTAGAGTAATTTATATGAGTGCAAGCAGGCTTTATGCTACCTTTATATGCCTAAGGAAAAGAAGATTTGTATGTATTGTTGTCTTCGTTATTGAAAAGTTGTTAGCTTTATGGACAACAAAAGAACTTCAGCATTAAAGGCACTTATATGACAGCGTGAAGTGATGTAAAATCAGTGCTTCTACCCATAGTGAAATTCAAATGAAATAGCCAACTTGATTGACTCTCTAACTTAGTACAAGTATAAACTATCAGCAGTGAGCATACTTAAAGTTCGCTAGACACTCACTGGTCCAAGTGGGCGAAGACTACCTGGAGCTCAGAGGCCTTACTTATAATTGACTAATATAACTAAAACAAATTAAATTGCTGGTAGAAAAGCAAAAAGGAAAATTAAACATGCCTCTGAACTCAATTAAGGTGTGCTCTTTTTTATTCAAAACAAAAGAACGAAAAACTTCTTTTTGTGAACCCCTCCCCCATTTTTGAAATAAGGATACCACCATTAGTTTTATCTTTACGTAAGCAATTTTATAATTCGATACAATAAGCTATATAGGCACAGAAGGGCTGGAAGCGTCTAATCTTTTTTTTTCTTATTTATTTTGTGCCATGTTTGTATTGGGTGCACAGCATGTATGTGTATTTATTGAAAGAAAAAAAAAGTTCATTAGTGAGCTCGCGATGTGTCGCTACAAAGCAGTAGTAAATTAAAAGGTATCGATAAACGTATATAAACTTTTAATGGGGTTATTAAAGCAAATAGATAAAAGTTTGGTCTTGCTCGTCACTAATATCATCAAGATCATAGTTATGAGCAACAGCTGCCATACTATTGGCAGTGCTGTTGTTCAATAATAAGAGACGGCGACGGTTTACAACGGCCATTCTCCAGCGAGCAATGAGTAAAAGTGAGATTACCAGGACACCAGCTACCAAGTAACCTATCATACCAGCAAGATAAGGAGGGCTTGTCATCATGAGAGGGCCCACAAAGTTACCAATAGTGTAAAAGATCATCAAAATGCCATTGTAAAAGATTTTTTTAGTGTAACCTGTTACGTTGTTGGAGATGCAAGTAACCATGAGTACATAAACAGCAACATAAGACCACGAAAGGAAAAAGCCGAGAATTTTAGCTTTATCCATAGGAATCACAAGCAAAAGAAGCAGACCGAGAACATCAAAGCACATGAGGAAGCAAGCAGTGTAGATAGTTTGATGGTACTTTTGAACAAGTACAATACCGATTACAATAAAGAGAATAGTAGATCCACCAGTACCAGTACTAAGCAACATGGATTGCAATTGCTATATTCAAAGCTATGAGTCAACTTGAAAAAAGTAACAAGAACTTACATCAAAACCAAAACTGGCAGCAATTTGACCATTATAGATAGTCATGGCACCATTTTGAAGATTAATGAACAAACAGGCGAAACAGAAACACCAGAAGCGGACTTCCTTGATAGCTTCCAAAATTTGCTCATATTTAATTTCAGTCGTACGAACCGTAGCGTTGTCTCTGGTTCGTTCTTCTACCAACATTTCTTGCTCAGCATTTAATTGCAAAGCTTGAGCTTTGGGTGAATCAATCAAGAAGAAGAAAGCAGTGATACCAACGAGAATAGTACAGCCGCCAAGAATAATCATGACCCTGAAACAATTGATGAGATATTGAAACTTGTGTGTTTTATTCCATACCATTGCCATGCCTTGAGTCCTCCAATATTTGTCATATGGCTGATACCGTATGCAATGAGGCCACCAACAACAAGAGCAAAACCGTTACAGATCCAGAAAGCACCAAGGCGAGCTACTTGTTCAGATCTTCTATAGAATGTACTGACAAGCAAAGTTAACGATGGATAGATTCCGGCTTCAAAAAAACCAAGCAAGAATCTCAAGGCAGCAACTTGACTAAAATTGTGACCCCAAGCAGTACATAATAAGATAGTACCCCAAATGACAACAATAATGCCAATGTATTTACCGATAGGAATACGCTGAAGTAGATAGTTATTGGGTAACTACATAAAAAGGGTTTAGTTGCAATATCATACAATTTGAAAACTAACCTGAAAGACGAGGTAGCCCAAGTAAAAGAGAGATCCCAATAAACTGTATTGACTTCCGACCAAGCCGATATCTTCCTTGAATCCCATCAAGGCAGCATAGTTAATAGTGGATTTGTCTAAGAACTAAAGATGATGCGTCAATTTTTTGTGACATACTAATACATGTTATATTTACTTGCAAGAAATCAAGTGTACAAATGATGGGCATAAGCATCCAATCAATCTTCCGTACTAGCGATTTTTCTTCTGAAGAGTATTCATTTTCGCTATTATAGGCCATGTCATCAATGCCATTGTTATAGAATCCATCTCGGTGCCACTTTGATTCTTGGTAGTCTTCTAGCTCTTTTGCAGCATCAAGTTCAAGGCCATAGTCATCTTTTGTGTGTTGATTGTATTGTGTAAAAGTGTTGTTCATGTAATCAAAATCTTTTGGACCTGCCGACATTTCGATTTATGTATATGTTATACACAGCTAAAAAAATGATAGAGAGTAGGAATTGGTCAAGAAATAGGAAGAAAAGAGAGATAGAGAGATAGAAAGAGAGAAAGAGAGAAAGAGAGAGAGAGAGAGCTAAAAACCAATTTCTTTTTTATTCAAATGATGTCAAGTATAGAATCAATTGATTTAGGTAAAAATTAATAAGTGAAGAGAAAAGAAAGAATAACAACATAAGAAACAAGCAATTCTTTTCACTATTTTTATACTAAGGGAGATCCAAAATTAAGGTTGTTCAAATATAGCTCGAAAATAAGAGCCGATTTACGCATCAATACAATATAAAACTGACTAATGGCATGATTCCTAAATGTTTGATTGTTTTTTTTGTATACATTACTATCTTGTGCACTCTTTTTTTTATGGCGCCAACATGCATCTACCCTTTCTTAAATAATCGGATTGATAGAGTTACCATTTTTTCGTGTCAAAAGTGTTCATCAGGGTAACTGTCAGGGTTGTAATATTTCCGTTTTCATACTCCACCAGTAGACAGCTTTTGCAATTCCGTAATTGCCAATACAAAAATAGCGCTATATTCAGACATATTTTTATAAGTTAACAATAGATATCTATGAATTCAAACTTTACTTTTCTTGCTTGCAGTTTATTTTAGTTAGTTCCAGAGCATTTAAAGTAAAATTGCATTTGTGAGGAGTTGTGACACACGAATTTTGAGGTACACTTAAAGTTACACTTGTTACACAAAGCAAAACTGTGTCATTTACAACACCATTTTTGACCCAGTACGCCCATTTTACCGCGTTTACGGAATCAAGAAAATAATCCAGCTTGCACATACAACAACGTTTGTACTAGTTCATTTATGTACACGATATTCAAAAAGGCACTTTTTTCTGGGCAAATGTTTACTACATGTTAATAAATTTTTCTAAAGTAACGTCGACATTGAATCTGCTTTCTAGATCTTTTTTTATATATTGCCTGATTTCTCGGGCGAGTGCTTAATTCAGTATTTACCATGTGATATCGTGTAACTTTTTGACGGCTGTAAATCGATTTTCACTTGACACTAACCAAAACAAATGAATGCCTGATGGTTTGTGTGTGTGTGCGTTGATATCTCAAGATTGTGTATTTTTTTTAGGTTGTTCATCCAATGAAAAACACAACACTGGCATTGAATGTAATGACAAGGAAAAAAGTTCTAGCCAGAATTAAAGAGACAAAAAATTGTTGCTTCATTTGCTTTTGATACAGATTCAAGCTTATTATACAATAAAGGCAATAAGAAATATATTTTAATGTCTTAGTCATGAGTGACACATATTCATACCATTTTTTCCAATTATATCCGAGCAATCACCATCATACTTTCGGTGAAGTAAACAACGCAAGAGAGTAAATGACATTGCAGTAGATACCACCATGTACAGACAAGGCTCCTTAGTAATGGCGGTCAACAATGTTAAGAAAAAAAAAAGCGGCGAAAAATGTGTCACCCCAATGATATAGCAATTAAATAAATGGTTTATGCCACTAAAAAAAAAAGAACATTCTACTAAAGCATTTTTTTTAATGTATGCACACAGTGCTGCAAAGATCGCCTTTATCATTGATAGCTATAGTTTTACTGCAATGTCAATAAATCTTTTTAAGGAAAGAAGGACATCAAATCAAAAGTAAGGCCTCAAAGATAATTCAAAAATCACATATGATTTCAACTAATGTCATTGCTTTGAATAACGTCTGCAAAAGCCTTTTGTTATTAGCTGTGGTGTAACCAGTGACTGTAAAAAAAGCTGTCCTTTCCTCTTTTCTCTCTCCCTCCGCTTTTTTTTCTTAAGAACGTTTGAAGGTCAGCTTTTCTTTTAGTATGTTAAAAAAAACCATGTACTGATAAAGAAGCAATAGACTTTGTCAAGCTCATTTTTGGGAATTGAGTCATTCTTTCACCTTTCAGTCAAGCTTCATGTGACGTTGAATCCGAAGTTTCTTTTTTTGGGTTTTCGTAAAATTCTTTTTCTCTTTCTCTTTCCCTTTTTTTTTTTTTTTGTAAACAATGAGACCTTACATTCAGAGAATAGCAGCTGCTTCTTTATTGTTGAGGTCTTCTCGTCCTGTCTGGGCAAGTTCGGCTTACTTGAAACCTGCCTTAGCTCACCAACTACCATATTACTTTCAACAACAACAACAGCAGCAGCAGCCTGTGCAGCTTATTGAGTCTTCTCGACACTTTAGCACGAGTCAGCCTTCTTATCATATCAGTACAGCTCCTGTTATCTCAGAAGAAGAATCCAATAATACTAATAACAATGCAGCATCGGAAAAATTCCAGTTTATTGCTTATGCTGCCTGGCACCCAAAAACAAGACAAAAGCCAGTATCACAAAAGAAAGTACCCTATTGGAAAGAACATCAAAAGCCTGGTAAAGTAGATGCAGGAGAAGATGCATTTTTCCAGACAAATACGCCTGAAGGACTTGCGATTGGTGTTGCCGATGGTGTTGGTGGCTGGGGCTTAGTGGGTGTCGATCCCGCCTTATTCTCTTGGACATTGATGGACAATGCTGCACTTGTAGCCAAGACAGAGAAATCAATTGATGCTCATCAAATTCTCGATATCGCTTTCTACGAATTAAGAAAAAGCGGAAAGGTGGCTGCTGGAAGTAGCACAGCTTGTATATTGAACTTGTCAAAGACGACAGGACAAATGACAACGTGCAATTTGGGTGATTCTGCTTTTGTACTTGTACGCGATAAAAAGATTGTCTATGAAAGTCCTAGTCAGCAACACTACTTTAATTGCCCGTAAGTGATATGTGTTTATGTATATATGACCACTAATAAGGATATATAAGATATCAATTAACAGTAGTACCCGACACCTATCCAAATCGAGATCAATTAGTCACCGACATGCCAAAAGACGCAGACAATAAGAGCTTTTTCTTAAAAGAAGGCGATTTAATTTTACTGGCTACAGACGGCTACTTTGACAACATGTATTCAGAAGAGACACTTGAAATGATCAACGAGGGCATGAAACCTATTTTAGAAAATGAAAACAAGGATGATGAACTAGTCACAGCCACCATAAGAAGTCTGGCAAAATCACTTACTGATAGAGCACGACGTTTAAGTCTCAATCCTAAGCGTCTCAGTCCTTGGGCAAAGGCTGCACAGGCTCATGGAAGCAATTATAGAGGTGGAAAGGTGGATGATATTACTTGTATTGTAACTCTTGTATGTCGCAAGAAACAATGAACTTGATAAAATTGTGTGTATTTATTATTTTTTGATTAATTTCAAAGCTAAATAAACAAAAAAAGACTGTACATTTATACCTAAACTTGTTGATAGTCAATTCTTATATCTATTTTTATCTCAATAATAGTTAAACACAGGCATTGAACAACATCGAGTATATTGCGCAACAACGCGTAAGATCTGATTAAAACAGAGCGTGCGAAAAAAAAAAATACGATTGTATGGTAAAGAACTATCGCGATAAACAAAAGCAAATAAGTCACATATGGGCTTTAATGGAATAGCATTGGTGTAACGAGTCACATTAATTATTGTTGATTAGAAATCAAGCCTGAATACGGATTAGATTCTCCGTTGATTTTAATCAATAGAAAACTCAAATTTGCTAGAATATAAGTATGAGTCAAAACCAGTAAAATAGAAACGGATGCGTCCTCATCCCCTCCGCCAAAAAATCGGGAAAAGGCTACAAACGTGAACCTCGTTTTCATAAACTACAACTTTGAAAAGAAAAGCATGATGGCTTGATGAGCTTAATTAGACTACAACAATCAAAATGCATGATACGCTTTGAAAGAAAATTTGCTAGGTCTCTCTTTAACAGCTATTCAGAGATCATACAATAATATTCTCTGGATCAAAAAAGTGAAGGTGGGAAAAATATTGGATTACTAAACATTTCTTTCTGTCTTTCATTTAAATAACCTTCTCCTTCTTCTTTCCTTTTTTTTTTTGTGATCTCTTTTCTTAATGCCATTTTGCTTGTCAAGTACAGTCAAAAACGGCACTCATGTCAGCCTAAAAGAACGTCTGATAAAATCTCCTTTAATGTCATGCATTGCTGGTGCATGTATTCTATGGGTATCTTTCGGTATTCGACAGTCCCTTGGCGTCTTTTTGATCCCAATCACATTGGATACAGGCATGGATCGATCCACGTTTTCTGTCGGTGCTGCCCTGATGCAACTCTTGTGGGGTTTTGGTCAACCATTTTTGGTGTTTTTAGCCGAACGTAAATTTGGATTTGGCAAAATGATTTTTGGTTGCAGCATAGTATATGCTGCAGGATGCTTTATCTTGTATGCTTCAAATCATTCTGCAGGCCTGTATGTTTTCAGTGTAGGTGTCGTCATTGGTTTAGCTGCCGGTGGTATATCATTCCCTATTGTATTGGCCAGTATTGGTAGACGATTTCCTCAGCATAGTAAACGTCAAAGTGTTGCTTTTGGTATTGTCTCGAGTTTTGGCAGTTTTGGACAATGTTGTTTCTTACCTATGGCAAGAGGCATGCTGACAATCATTGGCTGGCGTATGGCCTTTGTTGTCCTGGGTAAGTGTCCCATTTTGATTAGTCTAAGTTTAAACCAATCTATATAGGTATTATTATGGTTGTATTATCACCATTTGCTTATTTCCTTCAGACTATTCCTCCTACACCTGCATTGCCTAATACAGCAACAGAAAAGAAAGACAATAAAGACGAAGAAATCAACCTTGATACAGCAGAAGATATCATGATAAACGAAGAAGACAGACCTTATGAAGACATCTCTGCTCCCGACATCAAGACAGCATTAAAAGAAGCATTTACAAATCCTACATTCATGCTTATCACTGTAGGATTCTCTGTCTGTGGATTTCACATCTCTTTCTTATCTACTCATCTCCCTGCCTACCTTCAGGACAATGGTATCAACACTTCATTAGCCTCCTGGACTCTTTCTATCATTGGTTTGTGTTCTATGTTCGGTGCCACACTCGCTGGCTATCTTGCAAGCATTTTTAAGCCAAAATATATTCTCATGGTTATTTACACGCTCCGGGCTATTTTGATGATCATTGTTGTGTTTATCCCTATTTCTGTTACCACTGTTGTTACTTTCTCTGTCTTTTTTGGCGTAAGTTGCATATTTGTTATTGTTGTCCTAATATTTGTAGTTTATATGGTTATCCACTGTTCCGCCTACAACCCAGTTTGTAAGCGATGTTTTTGGTCAAAAATATTTCGGTACTCTATCTTCTATTACATTTGTAGGCCATCAAATAGGAGCTTTCTTAGGTGCCTATGTTGCCGGAGTAGTTTATGATCAATCGCACTCATATCGCCGTATGTGGTATGGTGCTATTGCTATTGCTGCATTTGCAGTAGCGTTAAATTTCCTGGCTAGTGTCGAACCTATGAATGAAAGAAGAATCCGATTAAGTAATGCCGCACTTAAAAAATGAACAAATAAAAATAGAGTATGTCAATCCTACATCACCGATTCCTTCTTTTTTATTCTAGAATATGCTTAATGCGCCACTAGAAAAAGAAAATCAAAATGAAATATTGTTCTTTCTATTTCTTTTGTATGTACCACTATGTTATGATGAACGAAAATGAAGTAGAAAACATGGTTCAGGCAAACACAAAAGTCTTTATACATACAAAGCAGCAGGAAAAGAATGTAGTAAAAGAAAAATTCATCTACCTTATCCGTGAACATCACTTGACACCTACCAAAGCAGCCAAGCAACTCTCGATTTCTCAGCGTACGACCAACCGTTGGTTTAAACAGGCCTTCCTGATCATCCAACACAACGATTATACCTCTGTAAAAACAAAAGCAACTCTTAAGAAGAGACTATCGAGAGAAAAACGCAATGATTTCTCGACTTTGGAAGAACGATATCACTGGGCAATGCGTTGGCTTATTCAGACAGATATGAATTTCACTAAGAACTGTATCTTTGTTGGCAAAACAAGGTTTTGTGGACCCGATTATACAGCACTGGCCTTGTGTGCTTTTCATGCTCAAGGCATTGTAAATATTCATGTCATTAACAAAAAATATGGTGAGACAGAACAAGAGGATGAAAATGATTTGTCATCGTTTTTACAGCATACATTGGACGTTTTAGATCAAAATAATGACAGGCACAAAAACTATTATATTGTGATTCAATATGATTTGATTGAAATGGACATAGCTCGACGAGGATACACATGTGTCTGTCTACCGCCTTTTTCACCTGAACTAAACCCAATGGAGCACTTTTGGTCTGCTTGTAGACTCAAACTAAAGAAGACATTGTGTGCCAAAAACATGTTGATTTCAAAAATTGCTGATATTTGCAAGAGAATCAAGTTAACACATCTTGAATCGTTCTGTCTCAATTCAAGCTCAAACTTTGACCATTGTATCAATAAACGATTAATTTAATTCATACCGCAGCCATAGAAGAGTCTTCTAGAAAGTGATTTATTTAATGAGTAATGCATGCATGTTGATTTGTTATTGACAGCTTGTCCCGCAGTATAACGAATCAAAATAGGACGGAGTATAAAACTGACTTGTGACTTGGAATTATTTTTATTACTTTGAGGTCTACTTTTGCCAACTTATAAACCCTCCCTTTTTACTAAGCCTTCGACACAGTAATATGACTGTAAGTGTCTACGATGCCATGTAGTTTTACGCTGTTTAGATAGTAAAAAGAAAAATGACAATAACATTAATGAGATGGATGGATGGAAGGAAGGATGGATGGATAGATAAATATTAATTTGGATTGATTTCGAAACACATAGTTACGATAACTTGGTAATTTAATCATGGTCATGCCATGCATTACTTATGTGTACACACATACAGAAAGTGATGCACAAGGCACACTACAACTAGTCAACACTATACTCAACAAAGAGAAGGACAACAATCAACTCGAGCTTCTCATATTTTCTCTAATGTTATTGTCGTTTTATTTTTTGCTGTTTTGAATATGCGAATGCTGCGGCATGTAGCTATAATGATACTAACTCTCTCTAGTTGGCCGTCGATCTTCTTAACCCTTCCGTTGAACACGAGAAGCGCTCTCACAAGCTCAAGAGACTTGTGCAATCTCCTAACTCTTACTTCATGGATGTCAAGTGTCCTGGTAAGTTTTTGTATTTGTCTTATATATGACTTATATGTCTTGTATCTAGGTTGTTTGAACATTAGCACTGTCTTCAGTCACGCTCAAACTGTTGTCCTTTGTTCTTCTTGCGGTACTGTCCTCTGTCAACCCACTGGTGGTCGTGCTCGCTTGACTGAAGGTTGTTCTTTCCGTAGAAAGGCCAACTAAATTGTGTACAAAAAATATACATGAACCAAATAAAAGACAACAAAGAATATCTTTTTCTTAATGTTCTACTCTATTTTTATTCAAAGTTGTGATAGAAAATAAGAGCATCTACAAGCTTATCAGGACTGTTTCTTAATCTACCAGCTCTGGGAACTCGGCCAATTTGCTCAAAGCCTAATCTTTTCCAAATGGCAATAGAAGCAGGATTGTTCTCAAACACCAAATTAAACACAGAAGCCTTGTAACCAATGGCAGGTACTAACACTTTGAATGCTTCGCCCATGACAAGGCCTGCACCTTTACCACGATAATGGTCCATGACAAAGAAACCACCGTTACAGATATGAGAACACCTACCAGGATAGTTTGGTTTGATATAGAACATACCAACCACTTTATCTTGCCAATCATATTCAACACCAGGTTCAATCAAACTATCTGCAGACATCACAAAAGCGTCTGATCTATTCGAAGTTGGTAAATTTGATTTGATTTTTTTAAGCTTTTTTACCCTAGAAAATAATCTCTAAATCCTTGTTCGTCTAATAAGTTTTCTTGAGGATAAGTAGATCTAGTTAAAATTGAGCGCTAAGTTTTATATTTTCTTGTAAATTTCTTACCCTGCTTCAATTTCAGCGTTGAATCTTGCATGTAAATAATCAACTAAAGACTTATTGTTAGGATCTACTTTTTGAATGATGCCTTCAGTTCCGTCTCTCAAAACTTTCTTGATAGGTAAAATACTATCCAAATCAACAGAAGAAGCAGGTTTAGGGATTTTGCCGTAAGCAGTAGACATATTAAAAGATGAAGTAGAAAAAAAAAGAAAGAGGAGAAAAGAGTGTTTAGTAGTCAAAGAAGATGGGGGAGAAACTTTTTCCCAGACTGGCTGTCAAAATAGACACCAATAGAAGAGAGTAGATCAGATCTGTACCTTCTTATGGTACCTTGTAGAAGAAGCAATTATCGGTCAAATGAATTTCCGCCAAAGATGTTAAAAGGGTAAATCAAATCACTTTGTTATTCACAAAAAACTAGCCTTTCTTTTTATTATTTTGCATTGAATAAAAGGGTTAGCTGCCACATTGAATCATTGCTAGATGGGTATGATGATTATACATGTAACATGGAGTGTATAGATGATATGTATAATAAAATATACATATTTCAATATATATAATATATATATATATATATATGAATGAGTGATTTTGAATATAAATTGTGTGTGTGTGTGTGTGTGTGTGTGTGTGTGTGTGTGTGTGTGTGTGTGTGTGTGTGTATGTATAGATGTTGTTGTATAAATATGTATATAATGCATAAATAATATTAATCCAATTGCCAAACATTGTCTCTTACAAACTCTGCAATAGATTCAAAGAACCCATTCTAAACAACTCGTTCAATATCTACATTATATCTTTGTTTGATTCTTACTTGCATGCATGTATCATTATGTGTACCGTTCTCGAAATCCCTCCATACTTTGACTCCACTTGTTTGAGAAATGTTGTATAATTTTGCCATATGCCCAGGAGGCACTAATTCATCTTTCAAACTCGACAGAAACAAGATAGGAACATGGTGTACATATTTGATTGTCTTGTATGACCTCCATGTCTGATGCACCAAATAAACTAAATGTCTTAGGGCGGGAAATATATGAGGTACTAAAAGAGGCTTATAAAAAAAATAGAGTAAGCACAAATGCAGTTTGTCACAACTACTTTACCACACTCAAGAATGTATTTTCAATAATAAGCGCATCAAATTTATCTTCATTTCGAGAGACAAGACTGATAGCTACTGAACCACCTAATGATTGTCCATATGCAACTAACTTTGTATGCTTGAGAATTGGGTGTTGTTTAATGTATTCAAGTACAGTCTGTTATTTGGAAAATAAATAAATAAAAAGAGTGTGAATTTTTTTTAGTGTAACGAACATAACCCCATTTTTTTTTTTCATACCTGCGCGTCAATCTTTAAACCTTTTTCTGTGGGTTTGCCTTCACTAAGACCATATCTAGAAGAAAATAAATACATGTCACTCATAGAATCATAAGAGTTACCCTCTATAGGATAGCATCACTACATTATAGCCCAGCTTCTTATAAAACACTTGCGCAATAGGCAACCGATGTCCCTGTGAAATATATCCAAATCCGTTAATCTCTATGATTTCCCCTCCCTCCCTTCTCTAAAACACAATACCATGTTTCCTGTATGTGCCTATCATAAAAAGTCAGATTGAAATAGACATAATGAATTGTACTTACATGAAAGCAAACAACAGTAGGTGATTGTATCGCTACTTCTTCACCACGTTGTATCATGACATATGCTCTAATACGATATCCATCCTCTGTTACTAATATCACTTCTTTATCAGGTAGACCAAACTGTGAAGGCCTTGCTACCTTTTTTATATATAGGATCAATACAGGTTTCTGTATAGAAATGTCTACTTACCACTGTCCTCGACCCAGTCGGGAAACCTGAAGCATAAAGTAATTCGCATTGATAGGTATAAAGTAAGAGTGAAAGTGCTACTGTCACTGCTATTGTAAAATAGAACAAATACAGAAAGTAAATCCACATGCTTTCTTTTCTCCCCCTTCTTTTGCAATATGAAGAAAGAAAGAAATAAAAAAAGAGGGCAAGCTCGTAGTATAAACAAGAAGTACCATATCATAATAACCCCATCTATCACGTGATGCCCCCATTTTTTCGCAACACATGAAAATGCTGAACTTCAAACCCATGTCTGCTCATTTAAAAAAAATCCACTCAGCTTCCCCGGAGATACAGCAATGAGTAACAATATTCTGAACTTGACAAACAACGATAGTCAACGAAACTTTTTTACTGAAAATTAGTGGCCTGAGCTTAAAGCTTGTAAAACAAGTAAAAGAAGTGGAAAATAAAGTCTAAAGTATCAAATTATTTACGCAACGACCAGAAGTTGAAAGATACTTTTAGACTTTTGTAAATATTTTTATGTTGGGAAGTAAACTGCTTATTTAGGAGCGATATCTTTCCTGAAGATTTTTCTGCAGAAAAAAGGACCAATCAAGATGCTAGTGGTACTGCTATTGGCGGCAAAATTGACCTAAAAATGTGCACATTATCTCCTTTAGAAATTGTTGACCTTCTGTGTTAGATCTGCAAGGACGACAATAGAGTCAAAATTTTTTGCTGATCATAAAAAGCTAATATTGACTGATTTTATCAGAGTATATTCCTAAGCTCACTCATAAAAAAAAACTTGTTTTTCAAAACTAAGATGTTCTAGTTGTCTGTCATTATTGGATTTAAGTTTTTTTTCCTCTTTTCTTTTACCAGATCCGTTTTTTTTGTGTTGTTAGAGGAAAACCCAAACTTGACGGGAAATAAAAAAAAAAACCTTATTTTCCCTTTATGCGTACAACCATTCCATTTCAATGATCATTTGCTACACATCTATCAAGTAGGAATAGTATAGGGCCTTTTTCCATCACAAGAAAGCTAATCGTTTGTACATAACAAAAGATAGTGAAGAACGATCTTTGTTCTAGGCAGCTTTTTCAAGTTTATATATAAGTTTTTGTTCCTCTCAAACAATCTTGGATTCTGTAGGGGAGAAAGAGTGTATAGAATATCACATTTTCTTATTCAGATGTATGTTTTCATTGTGAAAAAAAAAGAGTACTTTGATCGTCCATCCAATAGGATTTTTTCGATGGCATACATTTGAGTCATATTCTGTCTCTCTGTTTCTCAATATTGCTCACAAACTAGAAAATATACACTTTATGGATACCATTAAATCAATAAAAGGAAGAACTATTTATAGAACTCTTCTCTCTTCCTTTTATTTTATTTTAAAAGGTATTTACATATAAGACGTATAAAAAAAAATCAGGTTGAGAAGGTCAAAGCAAAGGTGTCTTCATATCTTGAAGAGAGTGGATCATTATCGACCAAAATATTTGATCTCGACATGTTGGAAGGTACTGGACTATTAGGTAGTAATTGGCTCTTGGTTATATCAAGCATACTAGGTGATAAAGATGAAGGTGATGAATGATTGGACGTATTATACATAGTCAGAGTAGCATCAGGTGTAGGTTGAATAGTTGGAAAAAGAGCTAAAGAATCACTCGAAAACAGGTTATGAGGATCGAGGCCTTGTATTTCAGCAAGTTGACAGATCGCCATTTGTTGTTGTGTTTGTATCTTTTTGGACTGTTCAAAGCATTTTAGCAAGTGAGAAAAATTATCTTGTAAGGTCTGAAACTGTTGCAGTAAATCTGTTTGTGTCATTTGCAGTGCGGCAAAGGAAGCATGAATGTCACCTGTTTCTCGTCTCAATAATTCGGAATCCATAGCTTTACGCTTAATGTCTTTGAGTAAGTCTGGACGTCCATGTTGGAATTTAGGATGGGAAAACTCCCAGATTTCATTATCGTTGTTGTTTCTTTGCCCTCTGGGTGACTTGTTGATTTTGTGAAAACCATACCTGCATCATGTTAGCAAACCAAAATATAATGTTGTGTATTACTTACATGTTTAAGAGACGAACAAAGCTTGAGAAATTGCTGTGTTTAAAGTATTCTGGCAAGACAATTCGAGAGAATTGAATGGCATGGCATACAAAAAAAGAAGTGCCACTGGGATTCCATGAAATAAGATGTTGATGATAACATTCTTCCACCATACTATTCAATATATAAACATATATTTCTTGTATTTTTATAGACATACGAAAAGAGCTTGGTAATGAAACTACTGACACCCTTTTTATTAGAGTGTCTTGTTGATCTCTCTTCTTGTAAAGAAGGTACTTCATAAAGAGATACTGCAGAACCATTTGAATAAAGGGATGAAGTACTGGAGCGTTTACTGCGATCAAATGAGAAATAATTGTCACTCCAATCTGTTGGTTGAGGCATTTGAATAGAAAAAGTATCTATAGTTGACATTTGTATTAAAAATATAATAAAGAAAAGAGAAGAAGAAAATAGAAGCCTCTAAATCTAATTTATATAATGAGAGAATAAAATTGGCTATAAAAAGCATTTTTTTGTTTTTTCTGAAACATAAGTCTGAGTCATTGGGCAAGTCTTGTCAGTGTGTGTGTGTACGCATAGTTTCTTTCTTTTCTTTTTCACTTCACAATCAGTTCCGTAGTCATTTAAACATGTCTGAATTAAATAACTAGAATAAAAAGGAAAATTCTGATATCTTAAAAGTATATGAATAATGGAGAAAGTATGTTTATTTTATCCACAATAAACAATTACTTGTAAACCGTATCATTCGGTAATGGTTATCGATGAGATGTTTATACACTTTTGACATATGTTTAGGATACAGAGCCAATCTCCGAAGATTGAAACATGACTATAAAATATTAACTTTGCTTAACATGTTCCAACAAAAAAATAACCAGTTTAAATTGTTAATTAATACGAGTCTTTTTTTCTCTTATCTAGAATGAGTTGATAATGTTCCATAAGCATTGTTCAATCAACATGCAAAGCAGAAATAAGGTTTATTGTTTATGCTGTTTCTTTAGGGTTGTTGCTCTAAAGGAAGTTCTTAAAGACGATCATTCCGAAAACATGGAAAATCAAACAATGATATGACCAAAACGAGGATATGTTCAACATTAACAGTAATGTTCTTTTTATTCTTTGCGTATAAATCTAAACCTTTTTATCCTTTATTCATGCAATTCTTTGACATTTGCATTGATGGCGTGATTAATTGATTTACAACAGCTTCTGTTGAAAAAGGCAAGGTCTTTTTAAAATATTTTATGCAAAGATGATAATTGGGTTCGGTATTTCAATAAAACTTTACAAGAGAGCATATGGCTTATTCAGGTCATAGCAAACCAAATAACGTGTTCAGTTAGATCTTGGCATAGTCAAACCATGAAAAGAATCTTGATAAAAAAACATAGCATTCTAGGCGCATTTGATATTTTACAAACTGAGCCATGATGCGTTATACAATTTCCTTCCCCTATCACATTTCTTTCCATGAATTCTTTTCATACCATTTATACAGTGTTTAGTTATGTTTTTTTCCCATTGTTTCTCACACATTGCTTTAAAAGAGAGTTTCCTTGTGAAGTTTGCTTATCACATCTTAAAATTTTGCTTGTCAAAAAAAAAACAATTTTTTAGTTTTGTCTTTTATTGCATCCATTGTGGCCCTGAAAGATGGCTGTCATGGTACCAGTATGCACATATGTCACCATTGCGTCTAGATCTTAATAGACCAAATTTAGATGCTCTGCTCTGTGTGCCTGCTTTTGTTTTCAGGGTATGTAACAACAGCTTGTTCAGATCACATACTTTTCGCAAACTAAAGATCAGCGAGTGCAAGTTGTATAAATCTTAAACATGTTTTATGCACTTTTGCATTAAACAATCAATCACTCAATTGTATGAAGACCTCTAAGATACGTTTTTTAGTACCAACTCTTGTCTTTTTGATCTTTCCAAGCTTTTTGTCTAAGTCGTCAAGACCATAGTCATCCTTGAATGCCTAAAATTTTTCTGTTTAAGCCCATGTTTGAAAAGAAAAAAATATAACTTGAATATTTTACTTTGAATTTGTCTTCAGTTTCTTGCTTCAAGGCTGTGTCTGTCTTTACTGACTTGTCAAAGAGCCTTTCATGAATAGTCGTTCTGGATTTATTTGAAGTTTGCAAGTCATAAAACTCACTCAATATTGTATTCATCCCAATGTCTACTTCAAAAATCGATAGCTTTTGCTTAAATATGTGTATTTATATGATAATATCAGAGATATTTCATATATTAAAAGTGACCTCTTACTAACAAAAAGAGGTGGGGGGAAGAGCGGTGACAGCAAAACAAAAATGGCCATTTTTGCTGGCCAAGAGGAAAAAATAGAGGATGACAAGTTGTACTAAATAGAAAATCTGGGAAGTGACATCTAATGGCTCTTTGAAATAAACTCTTGGTGGATTAAAAAGCAGAGTTGCAATTAATAACGTTCCAGTGGGATGAAAAAGTAATTGATAAAGATCTTTTTCTTTTTCTTAGACATATAAAATTATTGTAAAGCCTGGCTATGCAAGCATAGATACTCCAAATACACACAAACAATTTCTACCAACATCCATAGTATCTTTGGAGCTGATTTGGATAAAAAAAAAAGAGGCTTGTAAAATTCGGTCGAAATGGCTTCAGTTCCAAAGAGTATTACTCATGGAAAAAACTTATTTTGACAACTTTCAATCTTCTTCTTAACGCTACAAGACGAAAAATGAAGCTATTGACCAGCATAAATACTCAAAATGACCGCCAAACTCTTTAATTTTTGATGAAGGTGTCTATCTGCTGCTTCTATAATGAAAACGGTACGATATGAGGGAGAAAACTCTAAGCATTTCTGCGTATTTGCTCAAAATTTTAGCATTAGAGTTGCTATGTTCTTTACATTAATAGACCCAAAAAGAAAAGACCTACAACTTTTGTCACTACAACAAAGCCTAATAGCTGCATCTTCAAGCAGTTCTAAGCAAACGCTCGGTTTTTTTTAATGATTTTATTTGCCGCGCGTGTTAGTGGTCTCGAGAGGGACCCACTAAAAGAAGTGCTCGACAATTATTTATTATAAGAGGGTTAAAAGAAGTAAAAAGGGTACTACAATTTCAAAAGTATAAAGAAATCAAGAAAAAAAAGAGCAGCTATTGCGAGAAAAGACCTCTCAAGATGAAAGGTCATTTTCAGCAGCTATACGCTTAATTTGATAGCGAGTGCTGTGAAGAACAGAGAGATAATGGAATGGCTGGTTCTGCATGGTATGAGCCCAATGGACCTTCCAGATTTCAGAGAGACAGATCAAGGTTACCATGGCTACTGAAAGAGGACAGTTGGTTTGAGACCGAATCCGAGAAAAATTGAAAGATGCAAGTGCATCAAAGACTAGATCCAGAGAGGTGCCTGGCCACAAAAATTCCCTGATCAAGACATCCCAGAACGGAAATTTTTGGGGGCAGCGAAAGAAGAAATGGTACACAGTCTCCTGATCACCACACAAAATGCAGGTAGCAGTAGTGAAGCGAGCAGGAAAAACCTTGGATAGAAGTAAGCGAGTGGGAATCTTGTGAGTCAGAAATCGATACATCACATTTCTCTGCAATGTTGTGATAGGTATACACCAAAATTACTTCCAAGCAGCAGAAGAAACTTCTTGCCGAGCAATGATATCAGACAAGGCAGCTTGTGTGATGACCTTACGGAAAGTATAGCCACCATTTTTGAGGGCAATGAAATTTTCATTGTCTAAAGGCAGTTTCAACATACGCACAAAAGAAAAGAAACCAAGAGACCGCTGGATTGCAGGAGTATGCACAGAATTGTATAAGTCTAATGAAGTACGAACAAGGCATTGACCAAAGAATGGCTCCAGTTGACAATGATTTTGATTCACTGCTTGAATATATTTTCTGACACTACGACGGATATCCAGGGGAAAGGAAGAAACTGGTATTGGTGCCAAATAGTGGCCCTGTGGATGGTACTCATATAGATAGGAAACTGCTACTGTGCGTAGCTTGAGAGGCAAGTCAAAGGTGTCAGATGGCAAAACAATTGAGCGTAATGGCAGTAAAAGGCATTCGATAGGGTTTGGGATGTATGAGTACTGTTTCCTAGGAATAGCATCCATTGTCTGGCAGCACGCTGTGACACTATTACTTGCCAATTGCCTGAGTTGGCCTGGGCGAGAACGAGGAAAGAGCAGACCCAAGAGCAGATGTTCAGTCTGAAGCAAAGCATGGGTAAGTGCTGCTAGAAAGTCTTGTATCAGAGAACGTTCAGCTTGAGGACACAAAAAAGGATGAAGGCAATAATAATACAGTGATTTCTGCTGAGAGAACAAGTCAAGAATGCCAAGGCCACCATGCCACTTTGGTGCAGTCATCGTTTGCCAACTAATGCGAGGAAAGATTTGCCGGTTGACAAAAGTAATGACAGTTCGAATGGTATTAAGGATTGCTTGAGTGGTAGGGATTACCCGCAAAACATACCAGCATTTAGACAATAAAAGTGAACTGGCAACTGTAGCTCTACCAACAACAGAAAGATTGCCTGAGGCATGGATATCCGCCAGTTGAGTCAGTAATTGAGTGAGGGACGAAAAAAAATGAGCGCGCTGGTCCAAGGATTGGATAAGGGGAAAGCCTAAATAGATAATGGATTCAGCATCTGTACGGCATCATATCTTAGGAATGTCAATGCCTTGTAGAGTAATCAGCCATTTGTCATCTAAACTGTGGCCAGAAAGAGAGATTGCTCGCACTTTATGGTAGTTAATCTTGGCATTGGATGCTTTACTGTAGGCCTGCAAGTGAAGCTGCATTCTGCGAAAGTCACGGATATTATGAAGAAAAACTAAAGTGTCATCAGCATAACTAAGCAATTTGTTAGCAGGTAAGGTGATAGCTTGACTAAAATCATTATGCTTGAAGCGATAGCCAGAAAATTGAGTGTCATTCAATATCGACTGGAGAAGTGGCCCTAAGGCAAAATTGTACAAAATACAAGAGAGTGAGCAACCTTGTTTGAGGCCTCGGCGCTTTGGAATTAACTGCTTAGAGAGCCAACCATTGATGTTGATACAAATGGAATTATCTCTGAACAAGGTAATAGTGCTGGCAACCAGGGTCTTTGGAAAACCAAAGTGCAACAACACTTGCTTGAGATAGTCAAGGTTGACACGATCATAGGCCTTTTCTTGGTCTAAAATAATGCCGAGATCTTTGTCTGGTCGGCGGTAGCTTGTTGCTGCATTTTCCATGATCAACGCCCGGTTTTGGATGCAGCTGGATGAAGAATTGGAATTGCCTTCTATTTCAATCTCTGCGCACCACCATCTAGTCTGTCCTATGTCCACTTACTACCACATTTACATTTTAAATCAACTCTTTTATTTTTATTTTTTTATGCTACTTGGCACCCTAAATAACATATAATAGCTTTTAAAAATTCATGAATGATGCATTTTGTATGACCTGTAAGGCAAAAATGCTGAAATCACAGCTTGATGCACTATTCTTTGATATTATATTGCTCGACAACAAGATTACCAAAACAGCCTGTTTTTTCGTTTAAAACATGTTCTTCTAAACCCAGAAATCGACTCATGAAAGGTCCCGAGAGGTTCGTGAAAATGAAAAAAAAAATCTCATCCGAAATTTTTGGAATGACCCAATGTAGGTCTGATCTAACCAATGTGAGGTGAGATCTCTAGGTACTTCTGAGAAAAAGAAAGCGAGTTTATTAGAAAAAGGCGAATTAATTTGTTTTTTTGGATTCTATATATCTTGCAATTTTATTATATTCTACAATAATTAGAAACGTGTTGTTTCTTGAGTATATCTGACTTAGAAGTTGATGGCTTGACCAAAAGAAGCAATCAAACAAGCTTCACGAAGGGCTTCAGAAAGAGTCTAAATAAAAGAAACATTAGATTATGTCCAATCCAAAAAAAAAAAAAATACTTACAGGATGAGCGTGACAAGTACGACCAACATCTTCAGCAGAAGCACCGTACTCCATAGCCAAGACACCTTCAGCAATCATTTCTCCAGCGTTAGGACCAATGATGTGAACACCCAAAATACGGTCAGTTTCGGCATCAGCAATCACCTTGACAAGACCATCAGTATCATCATTGGTACGAGCACGAGAGTTAGCAACGAAGGGGAAGGAACCAGTCTTATACTTGATACCTTCTTCCTTCAATTGAGATTCGTTCTTACCAACCCAAGCAACTTCGGGGTGAGTGTAAATGACAGAAGGAATGGCATCGTAGTTGACGTGACCGTGACCAGTAGCGATCATTTCAGAGACAGCAAAGCCTTCATCTTCAGCCTTGTGGGCTAACATGGGACCAAAGGTAGCATCACCGATACAACGGATGTTGGAGACATTGGTCTTGAATTCAGAATCAACAACAACACGGCCACGGTTATCGAGTTCAACACCAACATTTTCAAGGCCGAGACCAGTAGTATAAGGACGACGACCAATGGAGACGAGAACAGCATCAGCTTCAAGCTATATACAGCATATTAGTTACACACTCTGCCTATCTTTTTTTTAATACTTACAGTTTCAGCCTTACCGCCCTTAGCAGCTTCAACATCAACCTTGACAATATCGCCATCAACCTTGGCACCGTTGACCTTGGTGCTCATCTTGAACTTGAGACCTTGCTTGGTCAAAGTCTTATGGAAGCTCTTGGCCAATTCGGGATCCATGCCAGCACCAATAGCATCCAAATATTCAACCACAGTGACTTCAGCACCGAGACGAGACCAAACAGAACCCAATTCGAGACCAATGACACCAGCACCAATGACAACCATCTTCTTGGGGACCTTTTGCAATTCTAAAGCACCAGTAGAAGAGACGATCTTCTTTTCATCGATTTCAATACCGGGAATAGGAGTGACTTCAGAGCCAGTGGCAATGATAACATTCTTGGCTGCAATGCTAGATTCCTTGCCGTCCAAACCAGCAACAGCAATTTCAGTAGCAGACTTGAAGGAACCAGTACCCTTGAGGTAGTCTACACCGTACTTTTTGAAAAGGAATTCAACACCCTTAGTCAAACCAGTGATAGCCTTAACACGGGCTTTGTGCATGTTGTCCAAGTTGAGCTTAACATCGGAAACTTCAACACCACGGCTCTTCAAGTTATGCTTGGTTTCGTGATAAATGTGAGAGTTGTTCAACATGGCTTTGGAAGGAATACAACCAACGTTCAAGCAGGTACCACCGAGGGAACCGCGCTTTTCAATACAGGCAACCTATATCACAAGTATGAGAATATGCTTTATCACTTTGACCTATTGTACCTTGAGGCCTTGTTGAGCAGCCTTGATAGCAGCAGGGTAACCACCAGGGCCACCACCGATAACGACAACATCGTATTCGGTCTCTATAAATCAAGAATAATATTAGACTTTATATTCAAAAGGACTCTACATCTATGCACATACCAGCAGGGGTGCTATAGAAACGATAGAATTGAGTAGCAACAGGAGTACGAACAGACTTGAAAGCAGCGTTACGAGCAGCAATCTAATCATAAATTACATAATTGATTAGTAATGAACAGCATTGATTAATTTCATGTCTATATTTACGTTGGCCAAAGGGGCCTTTGAGGCAACAAGTCTAAACATTTGTGTTTTATTAAAAAAAAAAAAGGAAAGCGGGGGAAGAAAAACCTGGAGCATCTTATTCTGCGCTCTTTTTCAACGACGTCACACTAAACGGAGATGTTGTATCGAGTTTAAAAAGTGATAAATACGTCGCAGTAACTGATCAAAATGAATGCCACAATGGAAGAGAGAGACAGAGAGAGAAAGTACAAGAATATAGTTGAAGTCTGTTAGAAATACGAAGCGAAAAACGTTTTCACTTAAAGGCAGAAATATAAACAAATAGAAACCTTTAGTTTCAGCTGTTTTTGTCACTTGACTCTTTTGCTGTCTACTACTTGCTGGCACCTGTCTTTGATTGATACCTTTGTTCCAGACTATTCTAACCTCTATGCAGCTCATTTTATATCCCTTATGGTGGTTTGGGTATTTTTGATTCTTCCCTGCAGAAAAGCGTCTTGTATTACCACCAGTTACACTCTATTTTGCTTGATTCTCACGATAATACCGTACCTGTACATGCTGCCAGCTTTTCTCAACACAAAAATCAATCTCATAACTGTTTTAGGTGGTCTTGTTGATTGTATTCCTAGGAAGCGTACATTGATTTATTCGTTGCTCATTACCCTTCTGGAAGCTGTTGTTGTGTCCCATCCCCTTTTCAGAATACTTCTCACCTATGACTCTCGCTAATACTCATTTTGTCAGACTGAACTTGCTACTGTAATTTGGCTTATGCAGTTGCTAGTTAGTTCATATTGGCTTTCTGTCATTTTATTGTGTTCATAGCGGAAAAAAAACAGAATCTTCAGGCAAATAGGATTGAGAAAGATGTAGATGAAGAAAGATTTAAACACATAACATACCTTTATTTCATCTGAATTTTGCATGATAGTTAATGAGGAGATATTAGTCAAAGGTAACAAAACAGCCTCAACTGAAGAAGTTAATCAAAAAGCAATTACATCACCTATGTAATAAACCAAACATACGTCTACCTGCATAAACTCTAGAAGTTTCACTGCTGTTGTACAATCTAACCACCGGCCCACCGCAGTATATATCCAGCGTCCGATGGATTAGACATCTTTTTTTATCCGACCTGGGGTTAAACAATACACATTTCTAGAAAATATAAAAAGGGGAAGAAGGGGATTTTTTGACCTTTATATTATTACTCTTTCTTTTATTAAAATGACTTTAAAACCTATCTTTTTCTTTGATTTAGACAACTGTTTATATGTGAGTCATAAGCAAGAATGTACATCATGTAACTTATACAATGTGTATAGGATAAAAAATTAAATGTTCTCAGTTTAATGAGACAAAAGTAAGTATACATGAACTATACAGCAAAGGAATAGTTGCTTATGCTTATAGGATTCGAGAATACTTTGTCAATACTATGGGCATTCCAGCTGAAGAAGGTAAGAAAGATACCTGCGTGTTGGTTTTGTTGACGTGGTTTGTATAGTTGCTGCACTTCAAATGAAATATATGAAGACATACGGTACATCACTTAAGGGCCTTCAAAAAGAATATCATGTCGATCCTATTGATTATGGTAAGTTTGTTGTCTATGTCTAGTAATTGTCACCTAACTCTGAAACAGACCAAAAGGTAGACCAAGCTTTGCCATTGGATGGTTTGATCAACAAGGACGAACCACTTAGAGAAATGCTTCATAACATGAATTGTAAGAAGTGGGTATTCACAAATGCTTATCGAGTGGTAGGTTATTTTTTGATGATCATGTAAAACATTTGCTAACCTTTTCTATGTAGCATGCTGTTCGATGTTTGAAATTATTGGGTATTGAGAATGAATTTGATGGTAAGAATAAAGAGAGATGTGAGTGAATGAGTCATTGATGATGGACAGGTCTGACATACGCAAACTATGCCATTCCTGATTTTAACTGCAAGCCAGGTAAGAAAAATAGGAGACAAGACAATATGTCTAACATAAATTAGATCCTGCTGCTTTTATGCGAGCCATGAAAGATGCAGGTGCTGTTGATCCTACACAGTGTTACCTTGTTGATGATTCTGCTCAAAATATTGATGCTGCTCAAGTAAGTTTTTTAGCATTTGTTTTCATTAAACTCATGACTATATAGCAATTGGGCTGGACTACTGTTCATCTTGCAGATGATGCATCACAATCCAATCACGGTGACTTCCAAATCGACGATATTCATGATTTGTATGAAATACTGCCTGAGTTTTGGGAACCCAAGACCGAAGTCAAGATTAGAAGACAATCTCTTGGTATTACAGCTGAAGCATAAATGCTTTTGTATTAGACTATGTGTTTGATTTTTAATAAATACCTATTTGGCTAATTTAACTAATTCAGAATTCCTAATTGCATCATTTTCAGCCATTTGTATCACATAAAAGATTTTGTGGAGATGAAAGCTGTATATTTTTAATTGTTCCCCTTTCGTTGACAAACGAATAAATGCTCCTTATTGTATATCCCTAAGATCTTTGTTTTTCTCTTTCTTTCTCTTTTTTCTCTTATGCTGTTATCGAAAGACTTTTTAATCATCGCACTGTGTTGTTTATTATTATTCTCAACCACACTGGCTGACGACTCATTGATTAAAATAAAAAGCCCCTCTCTGGATCAGACACTTGTTCCTGGAAAACCAATCAATATAGAGTACATTATCAATGCTCAAAAAAAGAGTAAGAATACATACCAAAGTACCTTCTTTTTGTCTCATTTCTATTTAGATGCACCTCCTCCTAATTATCCTTCTTCTATGGATGTTTATTTTCATTGGAAAGGAGACTCAAAGGAGTTAGAATTTAAGGCGGTTAGTGGATTGGTGACACAGGCCATAGCTAATGGTGCTGAAAGCAAGACATATCGTCGCACGATGAAACTGCCCAACTGCCATTTCTTTAAACGATACTTGCCATCAGAATGGTCTTTTACTCTTGTGTTTCAACCAAACTATCCAGAATCTATTGATCCAATAGGACCTAAACAAGCTAACATTGTTATTCCTGTTCGCATCAATACTACAGCCACAGACGATCCTCATCATAACAACAGAGGGTGTTGATACTAGTATATTTGTATACATACAACAATAAAACCATTTGAAACTGTTTCATGGAAAGCATGCCATGTAAAAGAATATCTAAAGGGCTGTGGGTCGAATCGGAACGATACCTAAGTTATGCTATTTGTTATTGTTCGCAACATTTTGGTTTGTCAAGATAACTCCGTGGTTGAAACATATTTGTTTAGACAAAAGAATTAGTGTCTATCTTTGAGGATAGGCTTAGCTTATGGTAAACTCGATTTGACAGAATCAGCCGTCAGAATGTGTTTTTTAAAAGCTATTTCAACTTTCGGTGAAAAAGGCAATTCAACATGACAATCCTTATTTGGGTAAGTGGATTCTCTCTTGGCTAAACATGTGGAGAGAAATAAGTAAGCTTAATGATATTCCTTGATTTACCTATTACCATGTGAAAGGTAGCTTCAAGGCCATGGGTATCACTGATGCCAGTGATCAAAGAGTGTCATCATATCGAAATTGATTCAATTCTCCACATTTCTTGCATACTAGAAACAAGCAAGAAAACTAGGGCATCTTTGTCTTTAAGCGAAAAAACTAGACTTTAATACTTTTTTGACGGCCTTTTTTTTTTCTTGATAAAAATAGTCTTTGTTGAAAGGATACAAAGCGCCTTCAGTTTTTTATAAAATCCTTATGCACCTACTGATGAATGCAACAGATCTAATAGAAATCAAGTTTGGCTTCATTTTCTTCTATAAAATAACTTTATGAATGACATTGATTATTAAACCATGTACAGTTCTGATTCCTTGAGAGTCAATTCGTCTCATAAGGAGGGATCCAGAAAAAAAAAAAAAACTCTCCATGGAGGCTCTAGAATCCACTAATTGAGTCTTCCCCTCTTTTTCATATGCCTCTTGTTCCGACATTAGCCATTTTCGCTGAGGATGAAATCGGAAAACAAACATATAAATATAGATCAGATCTTGGCAAACCTTTACATTTTTCTATCTTCCCTTTCATACAAAGAACACTTTTCTTAAAAAAAAGAAACACAAACAAACTTCTCTTTAATTATTCAATGAGAAGTAATTCAATCGCATCTTTATCCGCATTGGTTTTTTCTTTATTTCATCCACCTTTTATTATTATTCTCCATAACGTTAATTAAATTATTTTGCTCAACATGGCTACTTTTCCAACCTGGATCAAGAAAAACAACGCAGACAGCAAGGCTATGTCACCCAGACAAATCGCAAACAAGGCTTATTCACTTGCTATTAAAAAGCTAGACAAGGATGAAAAGAGACGCAGACCTCAATACAGCATTCGTGAAAAGCTCTTGTTATCCAACACCATGGCCAAGGCTGAAAGTGTGTTAAATAAGCAATTACCCCGCTCCAATCGTAGAGTATTGGCTTTTGAACAAGACGATGATGTTCTTGCTCCTCCTCTTAAGAAACTGGCTTCAATGAAGAAGCAAGAAACTGTAAATATCAAGCAAGAAACAACTGTACATAACCAGACCAAGAATGAGTCACTACCTATACCAGAACAAATCATTCTTTCAATTGCAGTCATTGCTACAGCATTACAACAACAACAGCAACAACAACAACATTCTCTACTTTGTAGACCATTCATAATACCTTCCAATTTGACTAACTCTCTCACTCCTATTATTTAAATAAATAAAACACATTCTCAATAAAGACTGTATACATGATCTGCGCCACGGAAGTTTCCGCCTAGAGTACCGATTTCATCCGAGTGTTTTTCTGTTCTTTACCCCAGCTTTTTCTTAATATGAGCACTAGCACACAATGGCAGTGTCACAATAGCATCATTCTGAAACTCTCCCTTTTTTTAGATCATTACGCTTAGATGGCTGTGTGTATGTTTCATTTCAGGTTGTTCTCATCAGAACACTCTTTGTATTTAGCAATATACGTTGATAGCACTAGGGATTTTTATCTTGAGAGCAAAATGACATGTCGCTCAAGCACTATATCATTTCAAAATTCGACAATCCTAGAGCTTGATGCTAGCAAGGTAAAAGAGGATGCTATAATTAGCAAACTTCTTCTCTTTGACATGCTTTTGTGAGGTTTTGCAAACCATTGGTTTGTTCATGCACTTTGATATGTCTTTAAGATGATTATTATTCTGTCTTTGTTATCGTCGAACAAGACAGACCAAAATTTCTTTGTCTTGAATACCAAGCAATATATGGCTTTCAGTTAGTTTAAACAGCCAAGACTATCACTTCAAGCACTCTTTCAAACAGTTAACTCTTACTCATTTACACAAACCTATAAATGTCTGCCTGAAGTCATTATTAGCTAGTTCCTGCATCAAGTAGAGCTTTTGAGTGTAGCTATATGCCTTTTACCTTAAAGAAAAAAGGCTTTTAGCTAATAGAAAGCATATTTTTATGATGCTATAAAACTTAAAAAGAGCAACCAAGATAGCCGTACGGACAGAATGGCCGTTTTTCGACGTTTTTCCCTTTGATTCCTACACAGCTAGACTATATATTCTTCCCTAGTTTAGTTTTTGAACACCACAATCTCTCCCTTCTCTTGTTTGATGTTTGAAAGACTTGTTGCTTTTGCATAGATCTATTTCTTTGCATGAGAAACTCAAAAAGCAGCATATTCAACGTAGTTTTAGGCAAGAGTTTACTTGAATTATATGCCATCCTTCAGATAATCAGACCGAGATTGGTAGCCTGACTTACTCAAACAAAACAACTAGATTCAATCATAACTATGAACACTGCTTCTCATATTTCATGAACAGATGTAACAATTGAATAGGAACAAATAGCACACAGGCCATTGCAGGAAATATGTGTTATACACTGCATTCTTTGCTCATTTGTTTTGCTGATCTCCTTCTCTTGACATGTTTTTTTCCTCTTAAAAGCTGCTGCGATTTAGGATGGCGCTAACAACATTTATCTTTTAAGAAATTTAGCGTTTTTGTGACAGTCTGGTTTTTTATTCCTTGAAAGACGTTCAGTTTGGTTTTTTCTCAACCATGTTTTGTTTTGTATGCTAATTGTGCAGGCGATAATTTTTTTTTTTTTTTTTCAATTTATGCAAATGTTCTCTTTATCTGTCTTGAGTCCGTCCAAAGCTTGCTAGAGCATGCTTTTTCGCGATCTGTTTATTTCAGATGGCGATTACATAGAAATCAATGCACCATATAAACACTACCTTTTTGCTATGAAATTTAGCGAGACTGCTTTTGTTTCTTTCTGCTTTAGAAGCAAACAAAATGAATAAGTTTTATGCTCAAGCATTGCATTTTGCTACAGGCCAATCAAAGCCAAACACATTATTCTGCAAAAGTTTATGTTTACGCAAAGCTACATTTTGAGTAAAGTACATAGTTTGCTTCTCTGGTGTACTGTTTTGTTTTATGCATTATCCTTTCAGTCAAAGCTCAATTTCATTCATGACCCCTACAAATCTAAATTACGTTTTCTTGGTTGATTGTTTATATTTGTGCTAATCCAAACATCTATCGACTGCTTTGTTTATTAGCAAAGAGTGTTGATCCTTTTTTTTTTTTTTTTTGAGCATTAGTATAAATAGAAAGGAGGAGGAAGAGAACTATAAGAAGCCATCATTAGCATTATTTTTCTTTCTAATATGCAATTCAAGTTCTTGACTCTCGCTGTTATTGCCTGCTTTGTTCTTTGTGCTTCTGCTGCTCCTGTAGGAAGCACGTCTCCCTCTGATGACTCAGGTTCTGCTGGTGGTGGGGTGGATCCTAACTCAGATCTCAATGAACTTTTGAGCGATAGTATGAATGCCCTCAGTGGCGCAACTGGTTCCAGTGATTCCTTTGGTCTCCAAGGTCCCAATACTGATATGGGCGCCGGTGTTGGTACTGATTTTGGTGGTGTTGGTACTGAGACAAACGCTAATACGGATGCTAGCGTTAGTGCTGGTACAGACGCTGGTGTTGGTGCTGAAACTGGCGCTGGCGTAGACGTTGGTAAAGATATTGTTACAAACGGTGGTGCAAGCGGTGGTGCAAACGGTGAATTTGCTGCTGGCGCAGGCGCTAATCACGGTGCGGCCGCTGGAGATGGTGCTACTGTTGAACTTGGTGCTAATGCAGACGCTTATAATTCTATGGGCTCTTCTGATTTTGATGCTGCTGGTAACGCCGGCCCTTAATAAGCATGTCCTTACAACATGCTTTCAGTAAAATAACATTGTGCATACTAAATAAACCATGAAATATCCTCAGAACCGATATGTTTTCAGTTTATTTAACATTTGTTTATACCTCAGCATTATAGTTATATGAAATCATGATCACTTTTTCTCTTAATGAGTAGAGAACAAAGCAAATCATGTATAAAGACTTAATTTTTTTTTGGGAACGGGAAAACTTTAAATTGAATTCAAGGGTTGTGGTTGTCGCACAAGCAAAATTTGATTTACAATATCTGTTACTGACGTATTTTGTGAAGCACACTCAGCTATATGTGTGTGTGTGTGTGTGTGTGTGTAATCCAACAAGTTTTTCTCTTCCCTCCCTCCTTCTATCAAGCATGTGTATTCAATGGCAATAAAACAGATCCATTGTCATGAATCATTCGGTGTGCGTGAGGATGGTGGTTACTGCCAACAACATCGTTTTTCGGTTCGAGGACTGTATTTGTTATGAATCTACAAGATCTGTTGTTACTATGAGCATTTCTTTACGCGAGCTCTTTTCGAGAATATCGAATGATTGGTTCATCTTTTGACGTCATGTAGAATATGTTTTGTCATTGCTGTGATGAAGCAACTATGAAGAACAACCACTTGTAAGCAACAACGATTGTTGTAATTATCTTTAACACGATATAGAAAACTGAAAGTATAAACAAAAAGGTGTTTGATCAGCTGAATCCGTAAGAGAAGAGAGTAATGATAAACACCTTGTTACCAAAGCCAATTGTTCAGTAGTTAGAAATTCATGTAAAAAAAAATCTTAATTGAGCATATAGAAGCCAGGGATTTTTTCCTTTGATTACACAAGAAAAAAAATAATGGCGATCCCTTGATACCCATATTTGTCAAATAATATCATGATTACTACTTGTCTCCTTCTCTTTTTTCTTTCTCTTTCTTGTCGAATTACTGTTACTTTGTCCATGTAACATTAACTGTATCATGATTTGGCATCTTGAAAGAGAGAAATAAAAAAAATAAATATATATCTTAAACAAACTTCGTCATAGCATAGCGTCACAGGCAAGCAGAACAAAGACTTCCTATTGGTTGTGAGCCAAAAAACGATGGATTCAATTTATTTATTTTATCGAATACAAACAATCTAACTTGATTTAGAACTTGTAAATGACGTATCCTGTCCACTGTCAGCACTAAAAGTAGAAAAGTCTCAATTTTCTGTGCCTTAAAAAAATCAAACAAGACAGAAAATAATTTGTGAGAAAAAGAAAGACAGACAAAAGGAGTATTTATTTCTTTTTTTCTTGTTTCTTCTTTCTCTCTTTCTCATATTTTTTTTAGAAAAAAAAAAGCTTATTTATTATATCATGACACAATCAACTACAGAAACAAATAATGGTTACTTTTCATTAGACCATCCAGTCATTAAACCAAGTCATAATAATAAAGTGGCCAAAAGTGGTTTATTAAACAGAAGACAGCAACATTCGGCTTATCTCCAACAACTGGAATTACCTTCTCTTCCTCCACTTTCTCAATTAATTCCTGTCTCAAAAATCAAAAAAGAACAACCAGAGACCAACTTGGAAGTTACGGCGACAACAGCAGATGTGGCAGCTGCTGTTGCAGCCGCTACCAACATATATCATCCACTTCAGTCACAACAACCTCCCATGTACTTTAATAGTAACGAATTTAATCAATCTCAACAAGCTTTTCCAGCCAGCAACATGTTGATGGATCCAGTTGCCTTTTCTTCCAACAACAACATGATGCCTCTCGATCCTATGTATTCGAACGGCATTGACCCTTCCAATGACCCTACAGCAGCAGCAGCAGCAGCAGCAGCAGCAATGATGGCCACTACTGCTTCTACAAACACACTTGCCAGTAATGCACCGAATGGCTATCTATATAACCAACCTCCTATTATGCCAGCTCAAGAACCCATGCAACAACAACAACAACAACAGCATCAGCAACAACAACAACAACAACAACAACGATCTCGTCAAATGTCCAATTCAAGCGCTTCTTCTGCTGAAAAGATATACTCTTTTGTGGCTATTCCTGGTACGAATCAAAAGAAGAGACCTCGAAGACGATATGATGAAATTGAGAGATTATACCATTGCAACTGGCCAGGCTGTACAAAAGCATACGGTACTCTAAATCATCTAAATGCGCATGTCAGTATGCAAAAACATGTAAGTATATTTCAACAGTGTGATATATACATGATATTTACAATATTTTAGGGTCCTAAAAGACATCCTGCTGAATTCAAAGAAATGAGAAAAGAATGGCGTAGACAAAAGAAAGAAAAAGAAGCTCATAAAAAGAGAAGTGAAGAATTGTTAAAGCAACAACAACAGCCTATACTGAATAATGCTTCGTTTTCCAACATGCCTTATACTCCTCTGCCTACAAATGGTTCAATGCCAATGAATAGTTTTTATTAGACAATTTCTTTCTTTTATTTTGTATTTAATCCCTTTTCATCTTCTTTTCTTAAAAAGAAGACCTGCACATATCCGTACATAACATTTTGTAAATGAAAAAAGTGACAATACCATTGAATAAAATATTACATCATTCATTTTCACTGTAAACTTTCTTTCTCATGGCTGGGTTTAAAACGACCACAGTAGTAATGCGGAAAAATACACAAGAAATTCTTTTCTTTTTTTCTTCTTTATTAATATTTACCATGGAACCTCAACAAGAAACAGAATGGATAAAGATAGCCAAAGAGCTATTTTCTAAATTCAACATTGCCAATCTACTGTTTTGTTACTGTCTGCCATTCTTTTATGTGTTTTATCCAGCATTACTGATGCCTGCCATCTTTTTGCGTTCACTGTCGTTTGTTATTGGTTGGGCCTACAAACTTGTTTCTGCACATCATCATCATACTGAGTTTCCTGGCAGAACAAACGATAAATTCAACAGAAATCAAGAAGTGGACAACGAAATGGACAATATGTATTTCTGGTTACAGCGATGTTCTATCTGCCTTGACCAGACCTATAGTTTGTGCCTAGAGTCTTGTCGTGATCAATTTTGTCAAGATTGTTTCTCAAGGTAAGAAAATAATTCCCACCCGTCTCAATAACATTAGAATGTAGATACATTGAAGAAATTGTCAATCAGTCGTGGGGATTGGGCGTCACTCGCATTAAGTGTCCAGGTAAATTGATATTTTAAGCATTGATTGTTTGACTCATTCATTGTAGTTTGCCAAGAAGTCATTCACCAATCTGAATGGAGTCGATATGTATCACCACATATTGTTGAGAAATACAATAGATATAACCAACCTTATCGTCCATTCAGTCGACACTGTCTTACTTGTCAAGACCCTGTTGCACCATGTCAGTCACCTCGTTCACAAGGTCTGTCAAGAGAAAAGTAAGTTTAAAAACATGTAATTTTTTTTTCTTAAAAACTCTTTACGGTTTAGTCGACTTGAGAAAATTGCAGACCATTTAGATAAATTCTCAAAATCGATCCATCATCCCACTGTCTCAAGACGAGCAGATGACATCTTGGCCAGTTTTCTGGCTGCTTGTCAAAAGACTGGATCCACTTTTCGTATCGGTAAAGTCCAAGACCTTTATAACCAAATGATACCTGGCTTATGCAGCATTGTTGGTCAACAATCTGATCTTTATGAACAAGCTTCTGATATATCTAAACAACTGGTTGCCTTGGAAGTAATACCTGAGACATGGAAACAAACTCAATTTTGGCATGTAGCCAATTTCCCCATAGAGACATGGTAAACCCCATCATTTACGTCAATATCATCTCATTTTATCCATAGTACCAATTGCGGAGATAAATTATGTCTTCAATGCGGTGAATATGCTCATCACAACATGAGTTGCTTGGAAAATCTGCAGCACAAATTAAAGCAAAGTGATACTCATACAGAACTAACCATTCAATGGAAATTAAATCACACGTGAGTCTAAAGAGTTCTTTAGATTAGTTGGCTTACAGAAAAGTATAGTCGACCTTGTCCAAATTGTTCTGTCATGATTAATCGTGATGAAGGCTGTAACAAAGTGGATTGTTTGTTGTGTGGATACCGTTTTTGTTGGCGATGTGGAACAAGTTGGTCACAGGTAAGTACATACACACACATATATATATATAAACAAACAAGATAAACTCATTTTTTTTATTATAGCAAACATGTGGCTTTTATCAATGCGGTGAACAACAACAACAACAACAACAACTAAAAGAACGACAAAAAGATCTAGAATTTAATCATAAATCAAAGGTAGATGCATTAAAAAAAAAGTTATTATTTATCTCTGTATTAGGCTGAATTAGGTGTACCTGATATGCATGCAATTGATGCACGTCGACAACATCCTTTATAAATGATACCAACTTATCTCCCTCCCCCTTCTCCTTCTTTCCAAATATGTATAAATAGTGTATAAGCTTTGTTTTATTTTTATTTAAATGCCAAAAAAAAAAGAATACGATGTTGTTGTAGTATGTAGGATGAAATATGTACATTTTTGTCTCCCTTTTTTTCTTCTTTCTTTTTTCTTCTTATTTTATACATGAAAGAAGCAAAAAAAAAAAGAGTATATACATGAAATGAGGTTAGGAAGAAATTAAGTCAAGAGCCAATCGAATATCGTCTTCTAATTGAAGGTTCATGTTGAATAAAGCTTCTTCATTTGTGTCATCACTGACAAATTTTCTTTTTTTATGATCGGGTTCTTGTTCTTCCTTGACAAAGGGTACTTCAACAAAGTCCAGTTCGGCAAAGATATCTTCTTCTTCGTCTTCATGTTTACGCTTGGTTACAATAGAGCTGTCATCATCATCTTCTTCGGATAGTTCGGGCATGTCGTCCCAATCAAGGACAGCCAATGAGTCGTTACACAAATTAGGTGAGCTTGGAATAGATGTTAAGCCAAGAATATTTAGCAATTCGATATCGTCGACTGTGGCTGTGACTGTGCTCAGATCCATTTTTTGATTTGTCATAATAGAAATAATTTTTAAAATTAAGAAAGGAAATAAGTCTGAGGTATTTATATGAATGTCGGGAGGGGGGTTTAAAAAAACGTTTCGGGGGTAATAAGCGAAAAAAGAATTTTCTTGTACAAGCAATCGGGGATTAAACTATCTGAGTTTGAAGTTTTGATCGGTCATGTTTCGCATCACCTATGAGAATAGGGTTGTTCAATATCAGCCAAGAATAAAAAAGAGGGTTGCACGTGTGATTCAAAATGGTTTGTGTCGTATCAGCCATATGATAATGACAGTCTTTCTGGAATAAGCGCTTGTTTATTTTTCCTTAACCAATCAGATGCTTCCAAATAATTGTAATAATCGACTAATATGTACAACCTTATTGAAACGGGAGAAACCCGAGTCTAAAATAAAAAAAAAGTTGCTTACATACAATAAGTGGTTGAACGTCATTTAATGAGAAAAAAAATTTTTTTTTTTTAGGTTTAGGCGTTCATTTGTGATCTCCAAGTAAACATTAAACTTGATACAAATCAGGCACATTGTTTAATCTTGTGATGTTGTCAATATATAGTCTCCTTTGGCCTAACTCCTTAAAAAAAAAAAAACTTGTAAAACAAACCAATTTTTTTTTACTGAATTAAAGTTTGAGATGGGCATGTTTTAATTAAATAAGTTGTACAATGGGATCATCTTAGTATGAGAAAAAGTGTATGCACGCTCGCGCGCGGGTTAGTCTTTTCTTATTATTCTTGCCTTTTGATGTTAAAAGTAGTACAACGACTAAGAAACTAGCGTAAAAATATAATAAAATAAGCATATCATCCGTTTATTTAGTTGTATAGAGAGGCATCAAAAACTCCATTCTAACTTTATTTCATGTTCTTTTTGGATTTGGTTTCCTGAACTAGGAAATTCGATTCGCTTGAATGAAGCATGACCTGGGTATCAGACTCACTTCTTGAAGGCTTTAGTGTAACCCTGCTATTGTTTTGTCGTTTGTTACTATTATTGGAAGGAATATCATAAATGGAAGAAGATCTCCTTGACTTGATCAGGTTACTGACACCAGGAAGCAAAATACCCTTTTTTTTGGTACCTTGCTTAGTTCTTCAATTCGCTTTCTTTCTGCTTCTACCATTTGTTCTCGTTCAGCCTCCATGGTGGCAGAAGCGATCTTTTTCGTATCATTCGACTTCTTTTTCCATCGTCGCCAACCTTCGAAATCAATCAAGGATTGCATACAGCCCCATTCAATGATCTTTTTTTCAAGCCATTCTAGACTGACGGGCTTGGTCAGAAAATCATTGCATCCAGCAGCCAGGGCAGCATGTCGATCGGATTCCAACGACGAAGCGGTCAATGCCACAATGATCACAGGGGAACGGAAAATAGAGGGTGGTGCTTTGTCTGTCTCTGCCATACGTTGAATATCCGCTGCGACTGCTTCAATTTCATAAGAAGGTTCTTGTGCGTTCATCAAAGTAGCTGCTGTAGCTGCTGCTGCTGCTTGTTGTTGACGCAAAAAGGAAGAGGACATGGGCAAGACACCAATCTTTTGTTCTTTTTCTATAGATCGAATCATTTTTGTCGCTTCAATACCGTTCATGACAGGCAATTGAATATCCATCTAAACAGACATCAGTTGCATGTACTTGTCGTTATATGACTTACCAGAATCAAATGGAATCCGCCCATTTTCCATTTATCGACTGCTTCTTTACCATTACTAGCCACAGAAAACTTGATTTTATGCTTTTTCATCCAGGCAGATAAAATGGCTTGATTAATAATATTATCTACATCATGGTCAGCATGCTTTTTCTATGCATCCATGTTTACCTTCTACAATTAACACATTGATAGGTGGACTCACGACATCAGCAAAAGGTGTACCCTTTGTCTTTTTCTTTTTCTTGTGTAGTTTGATCGTGTTAGACATTTTCTTTTTGGGCGTGTCTTCTACAGGAACTGAGGATGGTGTACTGTCATTAGACAGTTCGTTTGTTTTCTCTTCAGAGACAGCAGACGATGAATTGGGTGCTGATACATCAGATGAGTTTAATAATGCAGTTGAGCCACTACTGTTTTCTTCCTGTGTGATGGCAGCAGCAGCAGCAGCAGCTACACTCGCTCCTGGTATGGCTACTGCAGGCGATGTCGATCCACCTAGAGAACTCATCAAGGGCGTGTTCTTGGCTGTCAAATAATCATCGACACCACCATTATTGTTTGTCGAACGACGTCGATGCGTAGAGGCCCCAGGACTTGCTTGTTGTTCTTGATGCTGCTGTTGAGAGGAGAAATAGTTATCAGGAGGATTAAAAATGCCACTAAGAGGTCTACCATTACGACGACCTGGTGAATCACCTGCGGGCGGTGTCTGACCGATCGAAGGAGACACTTTGGCTATTTCATTCGGTGATTGTTGCTGCTGAGCCATTTCTCTTTGAACCAGCATGGAAATCGCAGGCGGCATAGGACTGGATGGCGATGTAGCAATCGCACTAAAGTGGGGCTCCACAACAGCATTATACCAAGCCGTATGTAATGCAGTCAAGAACCGTCTTGGTCCTGCTGGTTTTGGCACGACAACAATGCGAGGCATGCTGAATGGATCGCGTGAGGGCAGAAATGCATAAGATTGAATGGTATCTCGCACCGCCTTGTATTTTGTCAATGAAGTGAAATGAATAATGGCTATCGTGCCTTGATGAAAGAAGTTTTGGTGCGACGTAGATCCTTTTTTACTATGGTGATGGTGATGATGATGGTGTAGGCCACGGCGATTATGATGCGCCTGTAAGACAGTAGCTGAGACTGGTGGCTGTGCATGGAACTCGTTGAGTTTACTTTCAAGTGTGGCAATATCATCATCAATCAAGATAAAAGCAGGTGGAATGGCATGAATGTGTTCTTCTTCAATGGCTGGGGAAGGGACAGGGGGTGTGGTGGGCACACGCGGATGAGGTGTGGGCAAAGCTGGGTCTGCTGTTTCTTGCTGTAGAGAAGGCGTAGATGCAGCAGAAGAATAAGACGATGTACTACTCTCAGCCGCAGGTTCTTGTTGTCTTGATGTGACAGGAACATGACTGATGTCTGTATTCCAACTGGCTAGAAAGCTCGTTAAATGTTTAGCAAAGATACTTTGTTCATGTGCATGAAGCACCATTTTAAGACCCTTTAAGTTTTCTATGAATTTCATCAGTTCCTTTAGGCTTGGCTCATTCGAGAATTTGATATTGGCATAATGGTTTTTGAGCAAGAAGCTGTCCCTTAAAATGAACATTTTGCTTGCAGTGTCTCTTTGACTGCATTTCAGCTCAAAAGTAAATTCAAATCGAGTTTGGTTACTTTCAAGGTTCTCCTCCACAGTGCTACTGGCATGGATATAAGATAAGAGTTGAGCTGTCAAATTAGCATTGGGTAAAAGAGCAGCATTGGCATTGCGAATCGAAGGAGAACTGGTGTGAGTGATATAGAAAGTAATTTTGGATATGTGAGGGTCTTTGAGTGGTGTGATATTGAGTCCTACTTCAATGCAGGCACCAGGAGTGCAACATTCTAGTATGTTTCGTAAATGCTAAGTACAGGTTTAGTCAACATATTTAAGTGTCTATTGGCTTACGTTCAGTAAAGCATGTCGAATAGCGCCTTCATCGCCTACGACAAGCAGATGATGCAAATTATTGTCGCAATGATAAATGACAAAATTAACATCCAACTTGGAAGCAACACCAGCCAAGGCATCACCTACATTCTGGAGCAATTCACCAATGTCAAATTCAGCATGCACAAGCTCTGGTAGTTGAATAGACTGTGTGTTTCGAGACCAGGCTTGCTGTGTCAACTTGGACAAAAGAGGTAGATGTGAACTCACATGACACACTTGTCGAATGGTGGTATTGATTGCTGAAATACTGGAGATAGGCACAGCCAGTGAACAAGCTGACAATAGTTCATGTGTGTTGGCCAAGATAGAAGCAGGTGAGAATTGTTCGAGTGTAGTGATGACCATCAACGCTACATCTTGAATTTCCTGTGATATTGTACTCAAGAAAGCAATGCGATGATTACTAAAGTCTTCCGTGCACTGATCTACAATAACCTGGAGTCGATTTCGCTCATCAACAACACGTCGCTTGAATCTTTCTGTTTTTGCATCATTCGCGATCCATAAGCGCTTTGCAAAGGCAAACACAAGTGCTGCAAGTAAAGGTACGGCTACAAACTCAATGTGTTGGCGACCCATCACTAGATAATTGGTAGATGCCATTACAACTGCACTTGTCTGTGTCCAATTGAGGTATTGTCGAAGATGCTCGGTTCTGTTCCTAAGAACAAGCATCATAAATAGCCACCAAAGTAGATAGAGTGGTAAAATGACATGTGGCATCCATTCCTGATAATGGGAGACCAGGTAATACCAAGAAGGTATACTCCAAAAGACCATACTACAGGCCAATAAGGAAGTAGACAGACAAAGTATATTGGCAACGGTGATCATACGGAAAAGTTCTCTCAATACTTCATCCTTGTCATCATCGTCGTCTTCCAGATCATGAAGTTGAATAGGAGGTAGTCGAATCTGGTATATGTTTTCTTCCAACGGATCAGTGTCAGATGATGAACTAGAAGTGGAAGTAGAACTATGAAGGTACAAGTCTGTCGTTGTCCAGGCTGATCGAAGATAACCAAGGCGTGGTCTTGTTGGCTTTAGGTCGTTTGGTCGAGCTTTTGTCTCGAGATCTACCATCTCTTTCTCTCTTTCTTTTTTTTTTTCTTGTTATTTTAAATTTGGCGTAGAAAGAAAGAAAAAAAAATGATTTGCCTTGGGAATTTCTAAAATAATGCTGTCTCTATATCAAATCAGTTACAAATATGAAAAGAAAAAGGAGAAGCTTTTTCATTCTTCCCCTCATTAAAAAATAAAATAAAATATAAAAAAAAGGTTTTTGTTACACTAATAGTCCATAAACCACACTTTACCCGGTGAGGTGCTTTCTCGGGTTAGGAATTACCGGACGGAGAAATGCTCCATGATATGGCATGATGTGGTTAAAGACAATTATCTTCTTTTTTTATTTAAGCAATAACTTGTGTCTAAAAAGGAGGGGGAGGGAGGGGGGGGGGGAAGGAAGTTTTTAGCAAGATACAGGTTGAAAAAGAGAGTTGATTTGATATTTGATCAATTTTTGATTGAGCAAATCAAATTTTTTTTTCACCTGACAATGACAAAGCAATTATTCAAATAAGCATTGTCAAAGTAGCTTTTTCCATTTATATACACCATTACATTACTCTAGACTACAAAAAAAAAGGAAACTGATCTGCTTGGATTTGATCCTGAAGGTTCTTTCTATAAGTACAATGACTAACTATGTGTCTAACAACAACAACAAAAAAGACACAAGGCAGGAGAGTATCAAGATGGATATGCTTGGTGGTATGCGGTGTTTAAACTCTTTCGGCTGTCCGGGCAAATGAAGGGGGAGAGTGGGGGGGGGACTAGTAAGCAGCAAATAGGCCAGGAAGCAACAAGACAGCAACCAAATAACTAGACGTATAGAGTATGCAAATAAAGTTTCTTTCTTTTTCATCTCGCGAATAATGGATACTCTTACCTTGCGCGGTACTCTCGAAGGTAAACAAGAGATGGATGGATGGATAGATGGATGTACTAATCAATATGTATTTAGGTCATGGCAACTGGGGTAAGAGAAAACCAATAATTTTTTATATTATGCATAGATACATGTTGTTGATCATACCATATAGTCACTGCCATTGCTACCACCTCTGAAGCTCCTGATATGGTCTTGTCTGCCTCTCGTGACAGATCTATCATTGTCTGGAACCTTACCAGGTAAACATTGCAGTTGTGGTGTGTATGTGCGTATGACTTATTTTGAATAGAGACGAGATGAACTATGGTGTTCCCCGTAAGTCTCTTGTTGGTCACTCTCATTTCATTGAAGACATTGCCATCTCTTCTGACGGTCAATTCGCTTTGTCTGCCTCTTGGGATCAAACCCTCCGTCTTTGGGACTTGAACAGTGGTAATACTACCCGCCGTTTCGTTGGCCACACTAACGATGTCTTGTCTGTCTCTTTCTCTGCTGACAACCGTCAAATTGTCTCTGGTTCTCGTGACAAGTCTATCAAGTTGTGGAACACTCTCGGTGAATGTAAGTACAACATCACTGAAGATGGTCACTCTGAGTGGGTCTCTTGTGTCCGTTTCTCTCCTAACCCTGCTAACCCTGTCATCGTTTCTGGTGGTTGGGACAAGCTCGTCAAGGTCTGGGATTTGGCCAAGCTCAAGCTCCGTACCAACTTCATTGGTCACAACGGTTATGTCAACACTGTCACCATCTCTCCCGATGGTTCTCTCTGTGCCTCTGCTGGTAAGGATGGTGTTGTCATGCTCTGGGATTTGAACGATGCCAAGCACTTGTACTCTCTTGAAGCTGGCTCCAACGTTCACGCCTTGACCTTCTCTCCTAACCGTTACTGGCTCTGTGCTGCCACTGCCAACGGTATCAAGATCTGGGATCTCGAATCCAAGTCTGTTGTTGATGAACTCCGTCCTGAATTCCCTCAATTGGGTAAGAGAAAGAACCCTGATCCCGAATGTTTGTCTGTCTGCTGGTCTGCCGATGGTGCCACTCTCTTCTCTGGCTACACTGATAACATCATTCGTGTCTGGCAAGTCACCCGTACTCTTTAAATAAGAGAGAGTATATATCACACTTTTTTTAGATCAATAATAAAGGAGTATTCTTCATCTTTTTTTTTTTTATTTTTTATTTCGCACCTTTTTTTCTCTCTCTTAATATGAATCCTCCTGGATTTTTTACTTCGAATGAAACGAGTAGCTGGCTACTCTATATACTCACTGACTCTGCTTTACCAACAGGTGGGTTCGTTGCTTCTTCAGGCTTAGAAGCAAGTTGGCAAGCAGGTCTTGTGGATAACAAAAACCTGGTGGACTTTGTCACATCGTCTTCTCATAATTATGCTTCCAACACGAACTGCTTTGTCAGAGCAGGTTATGAGGCACCTGATCATGATGATCCTATTGCTCATCTAACAGCATCTGATGCTACTTGTGATGCTGTCATGGCAGCCAATTCAGTAGCTAAAAGAGCTTCCCTTGCACAAGGTATTGCTATGCTCACTTTATATCTGAAGTGTTTTACCGAGAAAAGTCAAGCAGACGATATCAAGGTTGTCAAGAAGTGGAAGAGCATGATTCGAGCAGAAAAAGTTGACGGTCACTTTGCTATTTGCTATGGTCTCATTTGTCGTTATCTTCAAGTCGATTTAGGTATAAGCAGTTTAGTTTGACATGGACTTATGGATTGCGATTAGAGAACACATTGCATTTATGGCTTTATCTGTTTACAAGAACCATTTATTCTTCTGCAGTTCGTCTCAACATTGTAGGTCCTTATGAAGCACAGAAAATGTTACTTGAGTCAAGAAAATTAGTTGAAGTGATCCTGGATCAAACCAAGGATATGGAGATAGACAACTGTTGTCAAACAAACCCATTACTCGATGTTTGTCAAGGCATGCATGACCGACTTTATTCTCGATTATTTAATAGTTAGGATATACACATAATAAACTTAGACTCTGCAGTTTGTAAATGCCATGACCAAGATGTCAGTGGCACCTACTTCAGACAAGCGATCCATAACTTCACCCTTACTCTTCTTTTCAATCATGGCAGAGACAGCGACCCAACCTTCGTGAGAGTCCAAGGAAGAGACAGTGGGGCCTTGACGACCAGGTGTGATTTGAACAGCGCGAGCCAAATTGTCGCGTTCAACGTTGTAGGTACACAAGACATATTTGTTGGCAGTGATGACACCACGGATACGTGATGTAATCTTATCGATCAAATCCTGATACTGTGAGTTCTTGTTACTCATCAAGACAGATTGAGTGTCTAACAAAGTATGAATGTCGTGAAGACCAGCTGCACGCATTGTTTCACCAGATTCTACAAGATCAACTACATAACGTATAAGAGACAGTGATGTTGTTATCTATATGCACTTACTGATACCGTCAGCTAGACCTAGAGCACAAGCAGCTTCAACGGATCCAGAGACATAGTTAATGATTGTCTTGGTACCCTTGGCTTCATCAATGGGTTCAAATACCTTTCTGGCAAAAGCATCAAAACTGGTCACAATACGCTTACCAGCCAATTCCTCAATGTTGGTAAAAGGACCCTTGACAGGCACTTGAACACACAAACGACATTTACCAAAACCGAGTTCCATAATCTCTGTTACTTTATCCTCTACCTCGTTTTCGACAATCATGTCTTGACCAGAGATACCCAAGTCAACATTACCTTCAGCAACATATTTAGGGATATCAGCAGCAGGCAAAAAGATGAGAGCAATAGGCAAGTTGGTACTGAGGGCAATATCTTGACGTGAACGACGATTGAAGTGGATATCCGAGCCTGTTAAAAGCTGCATACATTGTTCATATAGACGGCCTTTTTTAGGAACAGCAAATAAAAGTCTATCGTTAAGGTCTTGAACAAAATCCATAATGTTAGAAAGAAAAAAGAAGAAGAAAAAAAAAGAGAGAAATCCGATCCTATACATTTTTTTTGGAACTCAGTGAAAAAGGGGAATTTTAATTTCTACAAATCTAAAGAGGTTCTTTATTGTTGCTGAGTAGCTTCATGACCAATTCAAACATAAAGACAGCAGAAGCATTAGTAGGGAATGCGCGCAAAAATGAAGGCAAAAAGCCTACATAAAAATAAGTAAATAAATATCTCGTCATTCCTATTCCAGCTTTTTTTACCTCTATAAAAACCAGCTAATCCTTCTGTTCGGTATAAATAGCGAGCCACTGCTGAGGGTGTAGGGAACTTCTTGGGATGCACATCAGGTTGTGTCATGTAGCGGTTTTTCACCACGTCTATATAGGCATACGTTATGTAATTGTGACTCATGAACATTCTGAGTTACCTGAAGGAAAAGCGCCAATCCAAAATGCAGTAGCACTTAGACCACCAGCAATAAATGACACTGTTCCGTCACTTAGGTTCTTTTTTTTCAATTCGCGCGAAAATACTTCGTATGAACTCCAGAAAACAAAGAACCAACTACGAAATAACATGGTAGGCAACAAACCTTGCCATAAGCCAAATACACCATTGTTCCGCACCTAATCAATGATTATCCAATCCAGCCGCTTAATCTACTTACCACTTGTCGAATACAATCAATAGGCCCTTTATAGATTTGTGATTTTGTGTCGTATTGCACTTGTAATCGAGCTTTGATTTGCTCAACAGGCGTAGCGACAAAAGATACAGTAAGACCACCTGCTAACCCTGCAAGACCATGTTGAAATAGACTGAGTGGTTTATCTCCGTTCCATGCTTGTTGAACCATACGCGCATTATGAAGTGTTCCTAACCTTCATATATGTATGCATCAGTCAAATGCTATTGTTCCCTGATATACATACATAAGCGAGTCCATAAACATCCAACCAACAAGAGGCGGAGTAGCTCCTTTATAGACACCTCTTATTCCTTCATTTCTGACAGTTTTTAAGAAACAATCCAATGGTCCATTAAATCGGCCGTCTGATTTACTTGTTGTTTGCATACGAATTTTGACAGTATCTATGCGCATATCAATACCCTTACCTTCACATTGTGATCACTTACCGAAGGGATGTCCAACAACCAGTTTAGTTATGCCTGAAGCCATGCCAGCAGCAAAACCTCGGACACGGTTCTGCAAAGACTGGTCTGTCAACTCTGGGTTGGCCTCAGCAGCAATTGCTGATAGATGTAGATATATTAGTCACTCATGTTTGTATTTATAGACATATACCTTTTGACATGTTTGAGAGAAAAGAGAAAAAAAAAGAAAATGCATATATCAAAGTATAGATCATCTTACTAAATCAAGTCACGCATCGAGTCTATTCTTCCTTATCCAGTAATTTCTTTGAGCCAATGGAATCCTTGTTGCAGATAAAAGAAGAAGCGGTAAGCTTCAAGAGTTGTATTTGAGCATATAGTCCTTATATTTCATAAAATATGGCATTATTGGCATGCTGAATTCTCTAGTACATTCGAGAATAATTCTTGAACTTAAATGCTTACTTTTAATTTTGTACCCGCTTATGTTAAGATAGTTTGAAAATGCTAAAATGTACTAAAGCAATCTTTGTTCAATTGACACAGATAAAACTCTGATTTGTTTCCAATTAATATTGAAAATGACTCTACTGCTAATATTTCTGTTTGGTAGGACAACAGGCAAGAAAAAGATAGTCATGTGTCCTCAGCTTTTTTTTTTCTTTTTTCTTTTTTCTTTTTGATCAATCTCCCCACACATTAAATTAGACCATTCTTTTCCTTTTCTTTCTTTCTTTCTCTTCTTTCAACCCCCCTCTTCTCTTTATTCATGTCTCAAGGAGTCACTACTACTACAAACAATAACAACAGCAACAACAACAACAACAATAACAACGGCCTAAACGCATATCAAAACTACTTTTCGTTTACACCAGTGTCTAATCTCGAAAGCCAAGGGAAAAGGAAAATTATAACAGAAACATGTACACACTGTCAAAAGGTATATGCTCTACATTTAGATGCATTTACTTATTCATATATTAGGCAAATTTAGTCTGTGATGGAAGTAAGAGCAAGCATTTATTTTTTTTATAGCATCTTTTCTCACGTTTTAGCTTAGGTCGACCATGTCAGGGATGCATCAAACGCTGTTTATCAAACAGTTGTTCAGACATACGCAAAAAGAGTAAAGTCGCTACTACACCGTCCTCAGAAGAATGTAAGCATGAATTTGTACCCGCTCTTTTTCTAAAAATTACTTGTTTTAGTATATTCTCCTACAGCCGATGTACCATTTACGCCAGCAGATCAACCACTTGGTATGACTATTCTATGTTTTTTTTTATTTACCCCACAAATTTTCTAACTAGGCTACATTTTAGGGAATTCAAACTTTATTGATACCTGCCAGTTATTTAATTTTTCTCTCACAGACCTAGGCTTTGGATCAGAAGCTACTGGGCTTGAATATGGCATACTTGGAAACATGGGCGTGGAGGAAAATAAGCCTGCATTAACAACAAACACAAGTAGTAGCAGTAGTAGCGGTACTAGTGATAACAGCAGCAATCTTCAAGTACTGTCTGCCTTATTTCCTTTTACGTCTTCTTCGCCTTCTCCCACAAGTCCAATGCCTCAACAACAAATACAGTTTCAACATACAAATTCGCCTACAAAACAACCACAACGTCAATCTTCTTTACAATACTCTTCTTCACCTGCGAATAACAAGCGAGATAGTATAGCATCTACAGCATCTAAGAACAGTAGCAATAGCAGACGCAAGGGCAACAATGGCAACACACCTGAAGCAGTCTATAACAGTGTACGTAAACCATTCAATTATGCTGAGGGATTTCATTACTTGATCCAGTATGTCACAGATCGTATGGCACGTGAGGACTTGATGCGAATCAGTAGAGCATTGTCGCTTTTTAGACCATCTTTTCTTTCTCTCATCATGAATTTGACAGAAGAAGATTTGGTGTTTATGGAAAAATGCTTCCAACGTACCTTGCTAGAATATGAAAAATTAATCAGCTTTTCAGGGACACCTACGGTTGTCTGGAGAAGAACGGGCGAAGTATGTTTAGTAGGCAAAGAATTCTCTCTCTTGACACAATGGACCAGAGACATGCTCCTGAACAAAAAGACGTATATTTATGAGGTAAGACGAATATACAGCCATTGTTTTTTTTTGGTACTAAACCTGTTTCAAGTTGATGGAAAACCAATCGGCTGTAGAATACTGGGAAAAGTTCTCAACTCATGCTTTTGATAATACAGATAAAGCCTGCAGTTATTCTTGTATTTTACGTACACCTCAACAAAAGCCTGTGCCTTGTACGTTTTGCTTCACTATCAAGCGAGATATTTTTGATTTACCTAGTGTCATTGTCGGCAATGTAAGTAAGTCCATGGTTATACGCAACCTAATTCTTTTTATAGTTTTTACCCATTCTTAGTTGATTATTCCCCGCATATTGTGTACATCTTTACTTCATTTATAATGCATTCAAATAAAACTAGCCAGAATTATCAGTCTACTTTAATTATATAATCATGTCAAATAGGCTAAAAGGGCCGCTCATTGCTGTGGTTTGACTGATACGCAATGAATAGGATTACAAGGTTTGCATTGGAAAATTGTATGTACCACTGGTCTTGAGTTTCTATGGACAACATTCGTCAGTGTCCTTGTGCTACATTTACTGCATATTTGACTTGCCAGAGTGATGTACACTTGATCGTCATTCTTGACCATCTTCTTGATAGTTTCTGTAATGCTTTTGGTGCGATAGATGCTTATCCAGTCAACATGAGGCAATCATAGCTTTGATATGCTTAATTTGAGCATTTTTTTAAAAGAAGCATGAATCTATTTTGAGCCATGAGCTGATTTACAGTGCTTATGGTTCCAAATGGCGGTTTTCAAAAATCATTTGGCGGTTTCCGAAAACCCAATTGGCGTAAATAAAAAATCAATAAGCATGAAAAACATTATCCAATCAGCGGCTCTCAAAGTCTCAATAAGCATAAATGAAATTTCCAAATAGCGTATCATTAAAATCAAACAGCAGACTCGCTATTGGCTCCAAATTCAGTGTTTGGCGATGATATGACTGAGCTGAAAAAAAAAACGACAGGATTAGATTAAAAGCGATAGGGTTGTCACTTTCAACTTGTCACTTTTAAAAAAAATTAATTGGGTAGGCTTTTATTATTTTTTTTTGAGAAAGAATATCTGAAAAATCATATTGATGACAATAAAATGTAGAATATTATATAAGACATTTGGTTATTTTTAAGTTCGTTAAATGTGCTCTTCAGTGTTTTGTAGTTCTTGTATCTTGAAAAATAACCTTCAGCCAATCCTTTGTCATAACAAACTTTCCAATTCATCTGTTTATGGGTTTTCAAGTATCCGTTCTTGAACTCTCTAGTATACTTCATGTCATTAAGTTGTGGTTCAGATGGCATTGGCGGTAAGATATCGATGTGTGTACTTCTTTTTGGCAGTTGAACATTAAGTGGCAGATCCAATGGTAATGGCATCATATCAGAATCGTCAAGAACTGGCCACTGGTACTTGTATAAGCAGGTCTCTACATATAGTACACCTGCACTTGCCAAACTTTTCATTTTTTTTATGCCTGTTTCACCTTTGTCGAACACCTCCAGTATCCTCTTGAATTGCTTCTTGGTTTCAATGGCAACGTCAATTAATCGCTCCACCATCGAATTGTGGTCCTGTATTTGATGGTCCAGTACTTCTTTTGCAATTTTGTATAATAAGATAACAGTAGGGTCCTCCTTATATTTTAATCCGAATAATAAACATTTTTGTTCCATAAGTACATACCCTACTGTCGCCAGAGGCTTGCTATTGATGCTAGTATCATTTTCGTTATTGATATCTTCATTGTTGTCGTTATTGGTATCAGGATTGCTCCGATTCAAAAAAAGACAAAAATGTAAAAGCCTTATACTGTTGTCACGGATTCACAAGGTACACAAAGATGGTTCGCTGCTGTTCTTGCCTTTTTTTCAAGGATATTTGATTCATCCATTGGATCCTTATCTACCGATTAGCTTTGAACCATATCTACAACGATTTGTTTACAACGACTGTTCAATCCTCAATTTCAACAACTCTGAGCTCCGCCAAATGTACTCAAGACATATTCCTGATATACAGTCAATGAAGGCTAGCATAAACACTACCCGATTTAAGCGCTTCCTTCGGATTTCAATTCCAGGTCGTACGAGGAACCTGTGGTATCGTCTTTTGCACAACAAAATCTCCAGCAAGACAATTACCGCCTTTATCCTGCAATTGCCAGGTGATAAGTGTGTATTTTGTGGTTTACCCCAAACTCCAGAGCACATGTTGTTTACATGCATGGCTAACAACGATATATGGCTAAATAATATCAATTTATATTTCAAACACCCATCTCGCTTCTCTCTTCCCCAGTTATACTTGGATGTAATTGATTTGAACGTTGATCATTACCAATTATTAGATACATACCTTCGTCTCAATAGCTTTGAAATTCTTTCTTCCGTCTTCTCCTCTATTTGGAATACCTACTGGCGTCATTATTCTGATCCTTGCTTTTACGATGGTCAAGTTATACTCGACGAAGCCATCAAAACAATACGAAAACTATCTGCTTACAAATACTTGTAAATTCTGCCTTTTTGAGACAAGTCACTGCTTCTTGCAATTGTTCTCTTTTAAATATATACCCCTATTCGATGAGTTTAATTAAATAAATCTTCATTCATAAAAAAAAACGAAAACTTCATGTTAGGGACTACGATTTAGCGCTTTTACTGGATCAAGAGAAGGCATATGATCGGGTACATCTTACATACCTTAAAAGAGTGCTGATAGGCTATGGTTTTCTGGAAGTGATTGCTGATACAATGCACAAATTACTCTCAAAAAACAAGATCAAAATTAACATTAATGGGTTCTTCACAAAAGAAATCAGGAAACGAAGAGGACTAAAACAAGGCGATTCATTATCACCAGTTTTGTATAACTTGACATTTGGCCTATTTATACGTTCGATTATACAAGATGGTGGGTTCAAAGGATATCAGTTTCGACTGCAAACACCAAGACCTGACTCTTCCCTTCCTGCTCCTATAACGGCTAAAATTTTTTGCTATGCAGATGATGCTTTAGTATTTGTACATAACTTGAATGATCTAGCAATACTACAACGACATATATCAACGTATTGTAGCGCATCAAATGCAAAAATCAGCTTTAACAAGATTGAGGCTCTATCTTTATCTGGTACAAACTCCTGGTCGTTTTGGCATAGGTACCTGCTATCACTACAGATACAACATATTCAGTCTTCTGTTGATGCACAACCTATTGTTTGTCTGGACTTTCCACTGATCCAATCGGTTGCACAAAGACAAAATTATCTTGAAACCTTCTTGGCAAAGATAAAAGCTGCCTGCTTGATACACTCTACTCGTTTCTTGTCAGTGTTAGGCCGTGCCACGGTGGTTAACACCTTGATATTATCCAAATGTTGGTATTTTCTTCGTGTAACACCGCTTACGAAGACTGAGATTCTTCGAATACGGTCTTTAGCACAACAGTTCCTAAACTTCAAGGTCTTTCCAAAAATTGCTTGGTCGACTTGGATTCTGCCGAAAGATGGTGGTCTGGGAGTCCTTGATCGATTATTGCAAAGAGATTCGCTTTGTAGTCGCTGGGTCTTCCCTCTGTTGAATCACTCTACCAATGCACACTGGTATTGCATACTCGCAAGGCACATTCAAAATACTTCTGGCGATTATGAGGTGACTATTCCTTTGCTCTTTCCTTTGGCTAGATACACTAGAACTTCTCACTTTGGGTGCGGTAAACGTATTTCAACAATCGATCTGTTATATGCCGCAGTAGATCGCTTGCCTCGAGATTTTGGCCAGATGACGCTATCTCACCAAGCATGTCTTAGTTTACCGATGAAGATCATTTTACAATCTTTAAGACCATGACTTCCTTCATTACCTAAAAGGGTTCAATTCGTTCCAGTTCAAGCATTTATGTTGTTCAGCCAAGATCTTCAGTCAATCCATTGGAAACATCCAGATCATATTTCGCAAGAGCTCGAAAAATTCTATCTTCAGATCATCCGAGGGATAGAAAGTAACAAGTACCAATTCTTCCCTTTCTTTGTCAAACACTGTCAACCTCTTACTGTAGAGGTATTGCCTACTGTACCATCATCACCATCATTATCTTTTGTTCCATTTGTCAACTCCTTCCAATTTGCGACTATGACTGGACTAATCATCAGGGTATCGACAAAGGAGTTTCTGTTAACTTGCCAGAGTGTTACATCTGTCCCAGAGCGCTTACAAGCTATATCTAGTGCCTTTTGGGTCAATTTTTGGAGATGGTCTCTGCTGCTAGTTGCTCGTAATATGCTCTACCGATTCCTTGTTTCCAAGCTACCCACAAGACAATTTCTTCACTCTAGGACAAGATGTTCAACTCTTAGAAGTAGCACATATCATTATAGAAAATTCAATCAACTAAAAAAAAGGAACGTGTATACAAGCGGTATAGCATAGCACAATACTTCATTTAGAAAAATCTCGATCAAAAAAAAGGATCTTGCATCTTGGAACATTTAATAAAGAATTAAAATAAAAAAGAACAAAACAGAGTGTCTATTCTCCTTCATCTTTTTTTTTCTTCTCCCCAGATTTCCATTCGGTGATTGGACATATATAGGCAAAAAATTATGCAAGGAGAAGCTTCAAAATCTTTAGTACAGGACAATATTAAATGATATATGTAAATACGGGATAAACACCATGGTATCTACCCCTATTTATACATATATATAGGTGCATATCTTTTCTATTGCAACAATACTTCTAACCACGTTGTCTACAGGCATTACTAAATTAGTAAATTAAGCCTAAGGATACTTCAAAGTTAGAGTTTATAATATTTATACAGCTTTAATTATATTTGACAAGACAAAAAAGAAAAAGAAAAACAAAATGTTGTTTTCTCGATATATTAATCCAGAATTGTTCTCATTCTGAACAAATAATTCTTATTTTACTCCCTTAACCAAAGTGTAATTGAGAAGAGTAGGTTTTTTTTTGGCTATATATGAGCCAAGTTTTTGTTTTGAAATTATTCTCTCGAACCCTTTTTTATGATCAACAATTAAATTTTTTGATTTGTTGATAATAAGACTAGCTCACAGACGATTCCAAACAGTTAGTTCTCTTTCTTTGCGGTCAAACAATACCTAAACTATCACTTATAGATTTTTTTAAATCATGGCTGTAAAAATAAAAGATTTTATAGTCGACCGAAGACCTCGTCCTCAAAATCCTAGGCCGCCATCATCTCCACCTTCTCCACCTTTACCCGAGTCACCACCATCGTCCGTTACAGTTCTTTATGCGTGTTATCATACTAACCATACAATTTTGGCTAAGTATTTTATCCTTAAAAAGATACGCCTTTCTTTAAGGATTCAACAACCATCTTACACTTCGTAGATGTTTATCTTACTCCAATCTTTTTTCCTGCTCATTCTTACCAATAATATCCATCCTCTTTCTGGACCCTCTAAGCTTTAATGCGTCACTCCTTGATGTATCTATTTGGCTCTAATTTCTGTATGGTTTTAAGTAATTTAAGTTGATTATGCTCTATAATAATAATAATAATAATAATAATAATAAAAAGCGCTGATATGTATGTAAGAATTTACTTGGCATTGTATGTGAACAGTAGACATGTTTATTAAAAGGTGCATCTTGTAGAGTATCGACCCAACAGCTACTTGTTTCTAGAAAAATTCTCTCCCCTTGTCATATTAGCCCTCGTCAAGAAAGCTCCCTAATGAAAAGAAGATCGATCATATCAGCATTTGCAGTAAACACAACATATATTTGTCATCTTACAGAAATACAATTTTACAATAAGTCCTTTTTTGTGGTACAAAAAAGTGCGCCCTGACATCTGTCTATTTATATTTATGAAATACAAAGAAGCCTTGCAAACTAGAATATCTGATAATTGAAAAGAAATAAAACAGTTCATGCAATCTAAAGATTTAGATTGATGAATTATATCTTTCAATTATAACTCAGCTTTGGTGATGAAAAATAACAAGGCTACTATTCACCAAAACTATTTGGCATCCTATGTATTAGAAACAATCAACGTTTATGAAAACTGAAAATAAAGAGGCAAGATTATTAGAATAATGGAGCTGATGAATTTCGAGACTTTGTCATTTAAAACCACTAGTTTTTGACTCACTTTGGCTTTCTAGAAAGCGCACAGATGGTTTTTTTGATCTCTCAGACAATAGAGATATCAATTTGGCTCACAAGCTGGCCTCAACAAAAATGGAAAATTAGAGTACATGGTTGGAAATGCTTGTTTTAAGGTTAAGAAGGCTGTTATCGAAATGCATAAAAATTAGTAAAATCTCAAGGTAAACAACAAAATATCGAGACTTTTTTTTTTGAAAATAATACATAGATCTCAATAAACATAATAGTCAAATGAATAATCTAAAAGACATGTATTTGCAAGAAAACTTGCTACAAAAATAGGTGCACGTATTTTCGATTTGAGCTCGCATTGTAGTATTGAGAATGATGCTTGCAACAAATGACGACGTACCATATATTAAGACAATGATTCCATGCACAATCATTAACCGCTTGTTAGCATAAAATGAATTATTTATTGTATTTACTTTATAAATGCATTCATTTGAACTGTCTTACTAAATAGAGCAGCACCTTCTTTTTGTAATGTGCGGGACTTTGTTCGAAAATAATTAGAGTTAAGAAGACATATAGTAGACGAGTCTAATAAGCTCATGCTTTCATATAAAGATCCATGCTGCTTTCAAGTGTCTGCATTGCATTAAAATAACTATTACCGTATATTAAAAAATATCAAAAATGAATATTGATGTATAAGCAAAGAAAATCTTTCTAGACAAAATTTAAAAGCGGCGTACAATTTTAATTACAATAGGTATCTTTTATGATTTCTATTCTTCATTTTTAAATGTCTAAAGTTTTTAAAAAGTTGTCTACTTGAGTTCTTATCAAATACTTCGTTAGTTCAGGTTTTTGATTTTCGTTTACAACGCAGCTTACAAAAGCCATTATGCCTGATTTTCCCCGTTTGGTGAGTGTAACTGATTTGGCAGTCTAGGTCTAATCACATTATGTAAAACAGAAGTATTGGTTCTTTTTTTAATTCCCAGTTTTTGTTCAAGACAGGAACACAAACATATCATTTTTTCCAGGTAAAATAAAGTTCTAGAAATTAAATTACCCTTGATCGTGTTGTACAACATGTTTCCTTTAATCTGATATATTTGGATACCAAGAACGAGCATGTTAACTAGATTCCATGTTTATTATCACCTATCATACAATCACACATACTCTAAAAGGAAGAATTGCTCATTTTTGAAGCATATGAAATCTTTACTATTAACATCATTTATTGGTACAAAAAAAAGCACCACTTCATATGTTAACTAACAGTGTTTCTTTTGCATTGACGCGTTCTTATGCACAGAAATATTACTGTTCACAAACGCAGCTCTTATAAGTAAAAATTTACTATTAAAGAGAATTAATATTGGCTACACTTAATTAAACAAAGATAAGAGGGCTATCTAAAGAATAACCAGAATAATCTGATAGCCCTGTCCAAATACCCGCCCAGTGAATACATGCTTATCTAGCATGCATTTTCATTTTGTGATACTATTATGCTATAATGTTAAGCCAAAAAAAAAGAGGTGTGATATCTTTTGTTTATATATGTGTGTATGTCTTTTTGGGTAGAATATATTGAAGCGTACCTGTCTTGAAGCTACAGATAATAGATTCTTTCTTCTATCAAGATTCACAAGTTAATAACACTTAAAGAGAGGTTTGCTTGTGTAAAGCAATGCCTTTTTGATTGTACTAGGGAACACATATCTGAGATAGAAGGTACAAATCATTTTATTAGGTAACCTTTATACATAACTTCTTGATCTGTTTTTGGTCAAAAGAAACATATATGGACTAGCCTAATGATTAATGTTAATTTTTCTATTAAAAGTACTCTAATGAGCTTGTACTGCCATGAACCTGATTAATGTATGGTGACAAAGTTAATTACATGTGTGAAAGATAGTAAGCACGCAATTGACCATTCATCGCATTGATTTGTCAAAAAAAAAAGCGAGAGGTCTTAATGCCTCTCTGCAGCGAAATAACTGGACTTATTTAAAATCTTCAAATGCCTAATGAGAGTCGTTAACAGAGAAGATTTTGTCACAAATTTAATTCTTTGTTCAGTGCTCGCAATTAATATTAAATGATAGTAATTGTTAATCCTTTGTTTGTTCTTTTTTCTTACAAAAAGTAACACAATTATATCTTATTAGATTGGTGATCGCGCTTACTGATAAACATTGCCAAATTGAGCCTGGATTGTGGATGTGGATGTAAAGATTAAAGATGAGTCCCTGGTAGCACTGAAGATCGATCCTTTGAGTTGTACCCTTTGTACTCGTTATACCTAAAATTGACTAAAAAAGAAGTATTTTATGAAAAAAGAAATTAGCGTATTTGACATTTTCATATAAAAGAGACAGTTTTCAAATGATTTGCTTCTGCATCCAAACAACAGTTCTTTCCTTTTTCTAAGAAAATGAAGTTCTCTCTTGTCTCCTCTTGTGTCGCACTCGTTGTCATGGCTATGGCAGCTGAAGCTGCTCCTTCCGGCAACAAGCTTTCCATTCCTTTGACCAAGAATGAAAACTACAAGCCTAGCGCTAAGGCTGCTCTTGCTAAGGCCAAAGCTAAGTACATCAAGCACATCATCAACCCTCTTCACGGTACTCCTTCCAACGCTACTACTGATGCTACTGGTGCTGTTCCTGTCACTGATTACGATGGTGATATTGAATACTATGGTGTTGTTGGTATTGGTACCCCAGAACAAAAATTCAAGTTAGACTTCGATACTGGTTCAAGTGATCTTTGGATTGGTAAGTCAATCAACACTGTCTTGATTTTTTCATTAACATTCTATAGCTTCTACCTTGTGCTCTACCTGCACAACTCACACTCGTTACGATTCTACCAAGTCTAGCACCTATAAGGCTGATGGTCGTGCCTGGTCTATCTCTTACGGTGATGGTTCTACTGCCAGTGGTATCCTCGGTACCGACACTGTCAACTTGGGTGGTCTCAAGATCACTGGTCAAACTATCGAGTTGGCCAAGAAGGAATCTAGCTCCTTTGCTAGTGACCCTATTGACGGTCTCTTGGGTCTCGGTTTCAACACGATCACTACTGTCCGTGGCATCAAGACGCCTGTTGACAACTTGATCAGCCAAGGCTTGATCTCTTCTCCTGTCTTTGGTGTCTTCCTTGGTAAGGCCTCCAACGGCGGCGGTGGTGAATACATCTTTGGTGGTTACGATTCCTCCAAATTCAGCGGTACCTTGAAGACTGTCCCTGTCAACAAGTCTCAAGGTTACTGGGGTATCACTGTCGGTGGTCTTACTGCTGGCGGTAAGAGCGTTGCTAGCTCCTTCTCTGGTATCCTTGACACTGGTACCACTCTCTTGCTCTTGACTGATTCTGTTGCTGACAAGGTTGCTGCTGCTTATGGTGCTACTGCTAACAGCGATGGTACTTACCTTATCAACTGTAACACTGCCAGCTTTGCTCCTCTTGTCTTCACCATCAATGGCGCTACTTTCCAAATCCCTGCTTCTGATTTGGTCTTTGAAAAGAGCGGTAGTACCTGTTACGCTTCCTTTGCCAAGGGTGGTCTCAGCTTTGCCATTTTGGGCGATACCTTCTTGAAGAACAACTATGTTGTCTTTAACCAACAAGTTCCTCAAGTTCAAATTGCTCAAATTTAATACTTTTAAGTAGCATTTATTTATTTATTTACTTGTGTATTATATCAATAAACTTTACAGTCTTTTTAAATCAGGATATAGATTATTGTATAAGTGATTTACCTATTGAGAGCAGCTGTCATTAGATCACCCATAGTTTCTCCCTTTTTCTTTTAGCACTTGCTCGAGGACACTACTAGAACGCATTTTTCATCTCGAGCGTTGCTTTATCTTTGCCAAACATGTTTAGAAAAAAATAAAATAAAAGTGGTACATTTTTTTTTCAACGCATCAAATACTTTTCTGAATGCTTCCATTTTTCATTTCTTTTACAAACCTATAAAGTTCTTCTTCATGGTTCTCCTTGCTACACAAGTGATCGCTCTTCAAAATCTCAATTTATATTTTTTCATTGTACCCAACCTCAAACAATTATTCGATCATTGGCACTAAATTCATTGTTTAGCGTCTTTCTTTAAGATGGATGCTCATCAACCTCTGCTTCTCATTTCAAGCATTAGAGAAGAGGCATGTAAGACCTTTGCTTTCTAGGTCAATATCTTCTGTGTATCTATTTTTTCTTCTTGTGTTTGTGCACAATATATTTAATATCAAAAAGCCTATTGTTTTGAGACCTTTGTGATTTTAGAACCCGTGGTCTCCCGTATATTATTCGTTTTTTTTTTGGAAATATTAAGCGCTATTTTATAACAAGACTTAGTACCTATGCATAGTCACAATGCCATAGCCAAACTTGAAGAGAAGTTTAGCGTTGAGAACAAAGGGCCTGGAAGGCATCGAACAGATAAAGTTTCGCGCACCAAGATTGTGCACCAAAAGATTACCACATTCTCTTGCTGTCTTCTGCTCCGCTCAACAAGCTATTCAGCGTTGCCACACCAAGAACAACATTCTCGATCACTTACTCTGCTGCTGTTGCTTGTTGTGTTTAAATAAATGTTGCGTAAACGCCTCCTTTAGGACATAAAATCAGTAATGCGCTTCTTATCTTGGCAGTCACTGTTACTCATATCATATCTTTATTAAGTCGCCGTCTCAAACAAATAAAATAATTTATCAGCCAATTTTTTTCGATTTTTTCTCTTTTTTCTTCTTTTTAAATCGAAAAGAAAACGGGTCTTTTTTTTTCTGTACATATAAATAGAGAGAGAGAATGTCATACGCACCTTACGATTCATACTTGTCTAATCTTGACTCACTTGTATTTGATTCACCAAATGAAGTGGATCAATCTGAAAAAGAAGCTGCTGAAGAACTCGATTTATGGGTACGCAAAAAAAAATTTTCTAAATTGATGACAAATCAAAACTAACAAGTCACCTATATAGAGTAACGCACAATTTACTTTTGATGTGAAGCCTGGTGTTGGTATCTACGATGAAGAAAAAAAGACTTCCCCTGTGTCTACACCTGCTACTCAATTCGAAGTTGCTTCTGGCGGCTTAGATGCTGCTACTTATGATGCTCTCGTAAACTACCTTGACTACGAGTTGCCTAGACAACAACAAGTCAAGATGGAACAACAACAACAACAACAAAAGACTCCTATTGTCAAGAAGCAAAGAGTGATTCAACCTCGTCCCTTGGCCCCTGCTTTGCCTACAACCACATCTATTGCCCCTCTTCCTGTGCCTATCGCAGCTCGCCAAGTCTTGATGCCTAAACCCCCTGTGGTTCCTGCAAACATCTTTTCTACTCTTTTAGCCTCTCAACAACAGCCTCTTGTTCCCAAAAAGACAACTGCTGGTGTTAAGCGTCCTGCTACTGAAGAGCCTGAACTCAAGACAGAAGAAAACGTCAATCCTGACGAAGACAAACGTCGTCGTAACACAGCTGCCAGTGCTCGTTTCCGTATCAAGAAGAAGATGCGCGAACAAGCCATGGAAGAATCTGTCCGTGAAATGACCATCAAGTCTGATAAACTTCAAGACCGCGTAAACCAACTTGAATCTGAGATTAAGTTCCTTCGTAGTCTCTTGTTGGACAAGACCAAGCAACAATAATTCAACATTTCTTTAAAATTTCAACAGCATCAATTCATCAAAAATCCAACTTTTTGTATTATATTTCAACATTCTCCATTCATCAACAAAAATCCAACTTTTTGTATTATATTCAACATTTCTACGCTTAATACCACAAAAATCCAACTTTTTGTAATTATATTCAACATATCCCTCCCTTTTTTAATGTACAAAGAAAAATCCAACTTTTTCTTTGTCATTTACTGTAGTATATTTCTCAACAAATTCATTCTTTATTTAAAATAAAAAAAAGACCCTAATTCAACATTAAAGATGTTGTACCATTTGGTACAGCATACAATACAAAAAAACACGTCTTTCTTGATGACAAATAAGCAATACATGCTTTGCTCTCATTGGTCCTTGAATATCTTTTTTATCCTCACACGATTCATTTTTTTTCTCTCTTTTTTTCATACTGTTACCATGTCAGAAGCACCAGCTACTATAGCTACTTCACCAGCAACACCTACTCCTTCTGAGCCTTTGTTTCAACTCAATTTTCCTTACGGTGCACAACCCGATATCAGTAAGCAAGTGTCAAAAAGCACTTTATATTTACTATTTAGTTCGTGCAAATCAAAAGGATGTTTATTATCAAGCTATTTTACAAGAGCAAGTAACACGCGTTGCTCAACAGTTTCTCGGTAAGCTCAGAAAAAAAAAAAAAAAAAAAAACTAAGCAAGTTATAGGTGCAAGACGTCAACACCTTTGGCAAAAAGAAATCAACACTTTTAGCGATTTTTGTTATCATGGTCTCACAACACTTGTTGGAACGCAAACATTAGGTGAAGAATATTGTGATCTTGTTCAAATCCATCAAGGCAGTCAAACTTATCCAGGTGTTTTGGTAAAGAAAAAAGAAGGAAAAAAGGAGAGAGAGAGAAATTCATGCTGATCATTTATATTATAGCGTCGATTTATGGAAGTGTTTTTCAAAACCCTTTTACCCTATATCTATACCCGTAGCCTATCCGAATTTAAGAAACGATCGCACCATAATTTAACCGAGTCGAGATGGCACCATCTGAATAATGTGCAAGCATTTTTCACAAAGCATGTGCGACCTATCCATCTTGCTGTATTTTATTTCTTTGGTGCTTATTATCATTTCTCTAAACGATTTACAGGCATTCGTTATGTAAGTACTACTTTTGGCAAGTTCGATTCGACTTACAATTCAGATTTTCACGCGACAACTCGGTCAACACGAACAACGTGCGGGATATGAAGTCTTGGGTGCATTGATTGTGATTCAATTAGTCATCCAAACAGGTATATATATCCGTAAACAAGTCACCATTGCACCACCTAAACAAGACGAAGAAGAAAAAGAACAAGAAGAGAAACAGGAGATTGTGGATGAAGATGATTTTGACTTTATGGACTCTATCATAGATGAAAAAAGAGAAGAATTAAGCTATGAAGAAGCTCAATTACTCAAATGTGCTTTGTGTTTAGAACAGCGTACAACCACAACCACAACACCTTGTGGACATTTGTTTTGTTGGAATTGCATTATTGAATGGTGTCAAAACAAACCAGAATGCCCCTTGTGTCGTAGCCATGTAAATATCTCTCATTTGATTCCTTTGAACAACTTTTAATGTATATAACAAAAAGATCATCAGATTTTTCTGTGTGATATTAAAAAAGCTTGATATTTCGGGTACCTTAAGAAACGGGGAAAATGTTGGACCGCGAGTTTCTTTTTCTTTTGTCCTAATGAAGAATTTATTTTTTTCGAATCCACAGAATTTTCTGTTTTATTCTTTTTTCTTCTAATACCTGTTTTTCTCTCTCTTTCTCCTTTTTTACCCATACAACTATAAAGAAGTGAAAGGAAAAAAAAGAAGAAGAAAAAATGTTTAACCGTCTAGTCTGCAACAATTTTTCGGTATTAATTCTTCCAAACGCAAAAACATGAACCGAAGTTTCACATGTTACACAGCGAAAATCTATCAAAACCCGAGAAATGAAAAAATAATACCCACATGAAGTATTTTATCTTAATTGCAAAAGAAAAGAAGAGGAGCGTTAAAAAAAAAAGATAAATGATCATTTCTATTTATTTATAAGCATTGCATTGTTTGTCATTGATAAAAAGAAAATAGACTTTATGCCATGAACAATAAGCACAGAATGGTTCCCCGATATCGCTATAGTAAAAAAAAAAGAAGATTCTATATATTTTATCCGTTGACTTTATGATATCATTTTATAAAGTAACGCATTACTTTTACATATAGAAAAATCGAAATACTCATATGGTTTGTTTAGACGTTACAGTTTTTCTTTTTTGTTTTTGACTGCGGTTCCCGACTGTCCTGCATTAGTCATGCTGGCTTTATTTTGTGTATCGGAGACATCTAAACTTTTTTTTTTTTTTTGTTAAACACACAGCCTATCCTATTATTGTCGAATGATGTAGATGATGATACACGTACATGTTGTTAGAAAAAAATTTTTTTTATCTCTATATATATAAGCTGACGTCTTTAATTTCTTTTTTTAATACATTTTAATCATGCTCTCATTCATTTCATGCGCGCTTTTATTGTTTGCGCCCACTGCATTAGCACAACATGATCATGCCAGTATGATGGGCGACGAGCCTGTACCTGCCTTCAATGCTACTGGAAATGAGCCCATGTCCTACGCTCTTTTTCCTGCTGAAAAGGGATACTTTTATATTCATGTCGCTATGATGGTCATCGCATTTTGGATTCTTATGCCAATTGGTAAGTTACAAGCAACATTTGGAATTCATATATTAATTTCTCTTAGGTGTCATGTTGGGTATTGCTAAATCATCACTTCATGTGCCTGTTCAATTGTTATCTTTTTGTTTCGCCATGGTTGGTTTCTTCTTTGCTAAATTATATGGTCATTCTACACCTCATTTATACGCTGGTAATTCACACCATACACTGGGCTGGATTTTATTCTTGTTCATGATTGTTCAAATGACTGTGGGTGTTGTGCGCAAAATTGCCAATGCTGTAGGTAAACATAATCAATATAAGCGAGTAGACGAAGAGGAAGAGCATTTCCTTCCCGACTCTCCGTCTACTTCTTCCTCGAGTCATAGTCAACATTCAGATCTCCAAAGTGAAACAAGCGGTGAAACCCTCCATATGAACGAATTTGACTTTGGCAAACACAGTCGCTCCACTTCTTTTGATACTGACCATCCATCCAACATGTCAAGCCAGAACTCCGCACAAACGGTCACGATGCACATGTTTAATGCAGTGTCACCCTATATACCCAATTTCATTAAAAACGCATTTGTCAACTTGGCCTACAATCGATTCACTACTGTTGTCTGCCGCTATTATCACATGGTTATGGGCCGCACTTTTATTGTATTGATCTTTGTTCAAACATTGAGTGGCCTAGTAGTCTATCATGGTGTCTGTCGATCTTGGGAAGTCCTTGGCTGCATTGCTCACTTAATTAAGGGTGGCATCTTTTTCTTTTATGGTATTGGTACCTTTGGTCGCTATTTGGGTGCATTTGCTAACCGTGGATGGGCATGGAACCGTGTTGAAAATGGCTCTTCTTTTAGTTTTGAAATGATTGAGTGCTCTCTTATCTTTATTTATGGTATTACTAATACTTGGATGGAGCATTTCGGTCAAGATTCTCGCTGGACACACAAGGACCTCGAACATGCTAGTCTGGCCTTTATGTGGTGGTGGTGTGGTCTCATTGGTATTTTGGTTGAAAGCCGTGCTCTTCGTCGTCTGCTGGAACGCACTGTACTCCAAACAAACAACCTAGATAAGAAGGATGGATATTCATTGAATCCTTTCCCTGCTATTACTGTATTGATGACAGGTGTCTCTATGGGCAATCATCATCAAGACACTCAATACTCTAGCAATGTCCATTATATGTGGGGCCTCTTGTTGTCTTTTGCTGCTCTCTGTCGATTTATGACTTATATCACACTCTATCGCAATCAACCTCAAGATGCTCAACCCTCTCGTCCTCCCAGTGAATTGCTCGGTGCATTCTTATTGATCTGTGGTTCTATCTTGTTTATGGCATCCAATTCAGGTACCATTCTTTGGTTGCGTAGAAACAATGTGGATTCCATGTTCTTGATGAATGTCTGTGTTGCTCTGACATCCATTACACTTTGCTATGTTGCTGCCATGCAAATCATTAAAGCATGGGCAGAAAAGCGTGAAGCATCAAAGAAAGCCTCTTACTAACTTAATCTCTACTTATTTATTGTAAATACTTCCTTACTTAATAATAAAAAAAAATAACAATTCTCTTCTAAATTTTTTTCCCTCCTCCTCTTCTCATTCTCTCTCTCTACAAAAAATTTTATTCCATGTCAGACGTGAAGCCTGCTCATCACATTACATCTACCATGTTACCTGACGGGACAACGATTCACATCAATGGTAAACCTCATTGTTCGCGAACAAACTAAACTCATGTATATAGATCATGTCTATCTTACTCCAGAACACTTGGGCGAGCCTTATTACATAGGCAGGGTTATGGAGTTTTGTACTTCTCATAAGCGCAAAGGTCTTCAAGCCCGCATTGCTTGGTTCAATCGCCCCAAGGATGTCATCAACAGGAAATCAGCCGATCCTTGTTTATTAGTAGCCACCATGCATTCAGATATCAACCCTGTCTCTTCCATTCGTGGCAAGTGTACAGTCATTCACAAGTATTATATTCCTCAAGATCAAATGGACATTTATCGTAAAACAGAAGACAATTTCTATTATAATCAGCTCTATGATCGATATATTCAGCGTGTGTATGATGTGGTTCCTTGTGAGACTGTACAAAATGTGCCCATGGATACATTGGAAGCACTAAAGCAACGCTATCAATTCATTGTGGTCGAACAAGGCAAAGCAGCCGATTTGACTGTGGCCAGAAGAATGTGCTGTGTCTGTCAAGAATGGTGCCAAAGGTAATGAAGAAACGTACTATCCAGTATTAAGACATTCTATTTTAGTGCTGTCTCTGTCAAATGTGCAGCTTGTCAGAAGAGTTATCATATGGCTTGTCTAAATCCCCCACTAGCCAGAAAACCTTCCAAGGGTTTCGCTTGGCAGTGTGCATTTTGTACGCGACAAGAAGCCCTATCTAATCCTCAAAGCCCTACTACCTCCTCATCCAATGCTGCTTCACCTGCTCATGAGAAAATCAATGACACAAAACCTCATGCCTCATCTACAAACAAGACAGAAGCCAAAAGACAAACACGCTCCACACGTTCACAAGTCTCAAGGCTTCAACAAGCACAACAACAGGGAGCCAAACCCATATCGTGTCTAGGGAGCTCATCATCCCTTTCTGACACTCATAACGCACTCAAGAACACTGGCTTAAAAAGTAAAGTAAATCCATATTTATGTATGTTGGCTAACCTAGACTGTATAGGCCAACAGATAAAGATGACGCACATGTGGCCATTTCGATATTTTGGTGTGAATACAAACATTCGTGATATTCTAGGTATGTTGCTTCTACTTGTTTGAGCGGGCGTTTAATTCATAAGGAATTTCATAGATGTGGATGATCGTATCTATCCAAGAGCCAAGAGTAGAATTGGTACCAAGTATCAAGCTAATATGCCTGGCATGGACCCCAATGGGAGTCGTAGTCTATCGCCCGCAAGTGATGTCGCTTCTTCTTCAAGTAAATCAAAGAAATACGAAAAGAAGAAGCTTCAAAAATCAAATAGTAACCAAAGTAATGGTAAAAAATCAGGTAAGTCAATGCTCTCTGTTTTGAATGTCAATCTGAAATCTCTATAGTGGAAGCAAGCCCTAAAGAGTCTATGTCTGACATGGAGGAGCCTATTCCAGTACGAGGTGGGGATGATACAGTCACTTGTCTTTATCGACCGGGTATTCTGAATGAAGAACAAGTGGATGATTACATGAATCAAGTCAAGCAACTTCAACATTTACCACTTCCATCTTATTCTCCTGATCTGCTCGACAGAGCTCTTTTAGAACTTGAATTGAATAGTTATCATACAGACATTGCTTATGAGCATATGTGCCATTTGACAAAGGAAGACTTCAAGCATGTAGTTGAATGGACGCCAAAAGAGATAGAAGCCTTTGAGCAGAGTATTCGTGAACATGGGCATGATTTAAACTATGCCAAGAACAGTGTCAAGACAAAACCCATGGCAGATATTGTACGTTATTTCTATCAATGGAAAAAGACAGATCGATATGAACCTGTGTATTCTGAATGGACAAAGATCTATCGACCTCTTAAACGATTTAAGAAGTTTCCTCGACAGGAAGAAGAACACAAAGAAGAAGAAGAGGACCATTCAAAGGCCATGACAACTGAAGAAGAAGACCCTACGATTGTACCACGCAATACTTATGACAGAGGATATCAATGCATGAATTGTTTGACAGTAGAATCGCATACATGGAGAAGATCACCTTCAGATATTGACCGAAAGAGACAGGTGTTTAACAAAGTGCTATGCAATGATTGTGGTGTATTTTGGCTAAAGTATGCAAAGACCAAACCTATTTCTCCAGAGATCAGAATTGCCAATATCAGTGCACAACAAGCAGCTTCTGATGTTAAATATGAAGGTATACATTGTACTACATGACATTAGTTTTCGCTTACATATAACATCATAGATGACAAGAGACGTAAACGACCAAGCGATTTTGTACCAAGCAGACCAAGCAAAAAGACCAAAGATGAGAAGTTGACCTTGAGATTTATTCCTTCAGCTTGTCAGATATGTTTGAATATGACACCGGACATTCGTCTCTATACATGCTATGACTGTGGCATGTCTGTCCATAATGATTGTTACGGTATCAGCCAAAAGGACAAGCAAGGTTGGCGTTGTGATCCATGCGATAACAAACACAAGCCAGTATCTTCTTATGTCTATGAATGTGTTCTTTGCTTTAATTCAGAGGCCAAGCATCAACCACTCAAATGTACAGCAGGCTATTACTGGGCTCATGTTCAATGCGCCATGTTTATTCCTGAAGTCAAATTTGTTCATCCTAGCCTGCTCTCTCCTGTGGAGTACATCAGTTGTGTCAATATGGCACGTTTAAATGCGGATTGCGATTTATGCAGTGATAAGCGTGGGGCTTGTGTGGCTTGTTCTGAATGCCAAAAGACAGTGCATGTTCAATGTGCTATTCATCACCAATTCAAACTGGCGTTTGAGATACAACCGAATAAGATGGAAAAGTACCCTACAGTGCCTGCTGGTCTGTTTGGTTCTTCTCCCTCAGGTCTTATGGTGCCTCAAGTATGGTGTCCCTCACACTCTTTATCAGATAAACAATTGATTGAGTTAGATACACGGACAACAGACGAGGCAAAAGAGGTAACATAACCATGGTCTCTTATTCAGTATACTTATTGTTCTATAGTCTGCATTGATAGTTTATGCTAAAACATACAAGGGCGTGGCTAAAGGCACTACACCTGCCATGCGACGATTTAGAGCTACTTGGCATGCGTCCAGTAAAATCACACCTTGTTCTACTAAAATACCTGATCCTCGAGAAGCAGCGATAGAAGCATTGACCATGGATGACTCCCCTTCACCGCTTCCTTCACCTATTAAAATCTCGATTTCATTCACTAATACAAACCGCGTCTGTGCCACAGAAGGATGTGAAGTGCAACACACACCTGTTTGGTGGTCTATAAGTCCAGATTCAGATGAAAAGATATGCCATCGCTGTCACAAACAACGCACATTATAATTTATTCGCTGTATCATAATAAAAAAAAACCCCCTCATTCACCATATTGCTTTTCCTGGATAAACCAACGTATGATTCTCTAAATAAGTATCTGGATTGACTTCATCTTCTGCTTCTACTGTACTCTTGGCTAAAAAGACAGGTGAAATAGATAGAAAGATGTCTTGTTGATTTAAATGACGATAGACATGTTTGACTTGGCTTTGTTTAACAGGATCTTTTGTCTTTAAATAGTAGATTTCAATCACATCTTCTTGACCATGCATAGGCAGACAAAGATCAGAAGCCATGTCCACTAGTTTTTCTAATCGTTGTTGAATATCGCTTTGAGTTGTATCGTAAATAAAAGACAGCGTGTTGAGCATGTCTTGTACAAGCGCTGTTTTGGCCTGGTCAATTGCTTTGATTGTGCCCGGATCTTTTTTCTGAATGAGTTCCGCTGTTGCTTTGGCTGTCTTGAGTCTGAGATCTTTAATCCAGTCTTGGTGCTGTGTTTTTACATAGACATCCACAATTTGATGGAACGCCTTGTTGATCTCTGTATCTAAATGAATGGATTTAGGACACAAGACATGCTTAACTATCTTATCAATCAGATAACGTTCAACCAACACAGAGACCAATCCATAATCCATTTTTTCTTCAAACAAAGCTTGAATCTGAACACGGTCTTGATCCCATAGCTCGCAAAAGAAACGAGATAGTTCTTCTTTGGACTTGTTTGTGAAATGCGATTTGACATTGGGTGGAAAATTATTGACTTTGCCCGAGAATTTACCGAGCTGAGCAATGATGGTCGAGAAATCATCATCTGTCACTCGAATGGGTTTGGTCGATTCGTACAGTTGACTCTGGACCTGTTTGATATCGCCACGTAGCTTTTGATTGGTTTCTTTGGCTGTAGTTAATTGAGATTCAACAGAGGCGCGAAGGACCTTTTCTTGTTGTAACTGATCGTTTAATGTCTTGAGTTGATCGACTAATTTGGCTTGACAGTCTTCAAAGAATTTACTGCGTCTGCTCAACATTTTTTCTCGAGTATCATTGGAAGATTGAGTAACAAGAGAAGTTAAAGGAGCTATGGATCCCATTTTATAACGAAAAAGAAAAAGAAAAAGAGAGAAATCTAATTTTAATTCAACTTAAATAGTGCAACCTCAGTTTTTTGGCTTAGCCAAAGCATACAAGTGGTACAAAATCCCCAAGCCAAAGAAAGAAAACCTTATTTAGACCTGTCTCTCAAAGGTGACAGCAACACTCTACAAGAAACTCGAGTAAGTTTTGCTTAATTGTCTATGACCGATAGAGGCATTTGCTAATTTAGATTGCATGAAAGAACAACATCCTTTACCTTTGTGGTTTCTCTTTCTAGACAAAAAAAAAGAACTCTTTTTGATTCACTTGAATCAGATATCAACCAAGCTTATTCAAAGCCTACACATGATGCAAAAAAAAGGAAGTTCCCAAATTAAAGAAGAGAACTTTATTAAACTCTTTCCAAAATAACAGCAACACCCTATTGAAACAAAAAAGTCAGTAAACATTGGTATACATAACAAGTTACCTGTCCACCGCCAATACATGCAGAACCAATAGCGTATCTTTCCTTCGTACGTTGAAGGGCATGAGACAAATGAGTCAAGATACGAGCACCAGAGGCACCCAAAGGATGGCCAACAGCAATAGCGCCGCCATCTATATTTGTAATTTCTCTTTCAAGACCCAATTCTTTTTCACAAGCCAAATACTGAGCAGCAAAAGCTTCATTAATTTCAATCAAACCCATTTGTTTCAGTTCAAGACGAGCACGCTTCAAAGCACCAGTGATGGAAGGCACAGGACCAAGGCCCATCAAGGTAGGTTCAACAGCAGAAGCTTGCCAACTTACAACACGAGCCAAAGGTTTCAATCCATACTTGTTGACTGCATCTTCACTTGCAACAATCAAGGCAGCAGCACCATCATTGATACCAGATGCATTGGCTGCAGAAACAACGCCGTTCTTTTTAAAAACAGGCTTTAATTTTGTCAGGTTTTCCAATTGGAGACCAAAGCGTGGATGCTCATCTTCCGATACGAGTTCGGGGCCTTTACGACCTTTGATTTCCACAGGTACAATTTCTTCTTTGTAGATACCGGCTTTGGAGGCTATGATATGGAATCAGCGCATTTGATCCTTTAATTTCATGCATACCTTTTTCATAACGTTGTTGACTCAGTAAGGCGTATTTGTCACATGCATCTTTGGAGATACTGTATTTCTCAGCAAGATTTTCAGCCGTGATACCCATGGGTGTGGGTGTAGGATATTGATCTGTCAATGCAGTCCAAAGTGAATCTTTCAGTGTAGGATCTTGACCTAATTTGAGTCCCCATCGAGAAGCACCAGAAAGTGTAAATGGAGACAAGGACATGTTTTCGGAACCACCAGCTAATACAATCTCACTTTCGCCCAATACGATTTCTTGTGCAGCATTCACGACACTCTGGAGACCCGAACCGCATAATCGATTGACCGTTAAGGCAGGTACAGTCACGGGCAATCCAGCACGATGGCCAATATGACGCGCAACATAGGCACCAGCAACATCTGTCTGAAGTACATTGCCAAATACGACAGAATCAATAGGAACCTCTGTAGGAAGATCAGCAATAGCTGCTTTGGATGCAAGGCCACCTAATTCAGCAGCTATGTATCATTGGATTAATATGCATGAAAAAAAAGGACTATCTCATTTGTACCTGTAATGTCTTTTAACTTTCCACCAAAGGTACCAAAGGGAGTTCTGTTCATAAACAATATTAGGCTCAATTGAATGTTGTGTTCTTCTTACCTTTTAGCTGATACGATAAAGACTTGTCTTAATGCCATAGTTTATAACCGAACAGGGAATAAAAGAGAAGAGAAAAAGAAAAAGAAAAAAGCGGTTTTTTAAACCTCGTTCGTGTGAAAGAAGCATGTGAAGAAGTAGCACTGTCTCTTTTGTAGGACTAGCTTGGTTATTGTTGTTATTGATGTAGGTGACAAAAAGAAGAATAGTTTGTTTGCAGAAGACTGCTTTATGATAAAGTAGGATGAATAGAGTAAGTTTTCTCTTTAAAGAGAATCAAAACCGTCATAAAAGATGACTGCTCGGTAACAAATATGATCAGCAGAGCCATAAAAGTGGATCTATCAATTCACGTGATAAATAATCAAGCAATGACACCGGGCATACAATTGATTCAGACACACATTTTCATGTTAAGACAGACACGCCTTTTTTCGTTTCTTTTTCTTTCTTGTTTATATTATTCATGACTGAGGTAATATAATCACAACAAAATAAAGCAATAATAACACATTTTTAGATACCATTAAAACGCAAGAGAATTACCGAGGATATCCTGTCTTTCTCTCAAGCTCATGTTTCTTCAAATCAATATAATGGTAAGAGAAAATACACCAAATACACTTCTCACTCTTTCTACTAGACAAAATCAAAAAGATTGAAAACCTTGTAGAGAAACTAGAATACGAAAAACAAAAATTGGAGACACAAATACAGTGCAACACTATCACACATAACTTGGCTCTTCAAGAAAAAGCGAACACGATAGCAGAACTTGTATCTGCTAAAGCAGAGACACAAAAAAGAGTCATTTACCATAAAGAACGCTATGATGAAGCCACAGAAATCTTGGCTGCCATGAAAGAAAAGCATAACTCTGTTACTGTATGTGTCCATTTAACCAATAGCCACTAACACCCTGTAGAATGAATTGAGAGAGACGATGGAAAGACAAAGAACCGAAGCAAGAGAATTCGAGAATATCATTCAAGATCAAACAGAAGAAATCAGAAAACTTCAGACAAGTATTAATACAAAGCAACAAGAATATTCAATACAAACCAAAGGACTCAACAGCGTCATTACTTCTCTAAAAGAATCGATTGAAGAGAAATCAACAAAAATTCAACAAGGACTTGAACGTGAATTAGTCTTGACAGAAAAAATTAACCATCTTGAACAACAGTTACATCATATCTGTCCTGCTAATCAAAATGCCTATGAAGCATTAGAAGCACAATATGCAAGTATATCTAAACGCTCCGTTCAGCTTGAATCTGAAAACTTCAAGTTGAGACGTGATTTGAAGCACTATGAAAGTATATCTCAAAATATGGAATTGTTGAGATCAGAAAGAGACAGTCTAAAGCAACAGGCAACTGAACTTGTTCAATTACGCGAATCCAACTCTCAACTCCAAGTAGACAATACTAAATTACGTGCTGAAAGAGCTGCATGGACGTGCTATTTGGCTTCTCAACCCGAATTCAATACACAAACACCCGATAGTATTGTCTATCGTCTTTCCAAACAAGCAGAAGAAGCAACATTTGCCAAGAAATCTATTGAGCAGTATCAAGCTCAAGTACAGACTCAATGGCAAGTGATTCAATCTTTGGAAAACCATTTAAATGAATTGAAAAAGGCAGTTGTGGAAAAAGAACATGCATGCGCCATGGAAGCTTCTGCTCGTCAAATGCTCTCTTTGAATGCAGAGGCATGGAAGCGCCATGTCAACATGTTGGAAGGACAACTGGCATTGTATGATCAAGAAGAAAAGACTCTGCTGGAAGGAGGCAGTTATGATGAGATCAAGTCTAAACGTATTGAAGAATTGGAACAACACTTGAAAGAATGCGAGCAACAACTGATGACACAAGCACAACGATTAGCAGAAACAGAAACAAAAAAACAAATGCCTTCTATTTATATTGCAAACGGTCCTTATGAACAGCTTTGTTCTGGTGTCCAATTGACTGAATTCTTGTCCACACTTGTTGATAAAGAAAACAAACTTATTCAAGAACTCAAAGAAAAGAGTGTGAATGAAATATTATTAACAAGACAGAATGAGTCAGCTAAAGAACAAATTCAAAGGTTACTGACTCTACAACCAGTTGAATCTAGACAAGATGGTGTATCCACACAGACACAAACAGATCAAGAAGTTCGCATTCTCACCTTGTTGGATAACCCTGCTTCTCAAGACTATGCTATTCGTAAAAGTCTGTTAGAGCGACTCCAACAAGAAAATCAAGACTTACTTCAACAAGCAGCACAGGGCACAATAGATGATCAAATCACAGTTCCTACATCCACATTGGACAATCTGAAGACGGAAAAAGACGAGCTACAAAAGACGATTGAATCACGCGATAAACGTATTGCTCGGCTACATTCAGTTTGGGGTTCTAAGATTCAAGAAATATATACTCATATCCGTAGTTTGCTAGGCTACAATGTCACTTTTAGAAATGATGGGTTGATTCGATTAGAGCATATCTTGGTTGATCCTGCTGAACTCGCTTTTCTTGTAAAGCAAGATGAGACTCAGACTATTTTGAGATTTGTGGGGTCCAAGAAGGATGATTACATGTTACAGTTGGAAGACATTTATCAAACATATATCATTCAAGACAAGAATGTGCCTGCCTTTTTAAACGCTGCTGCTCAAGATATTTATGTTCATTATAGAGAACAAAACGTTGCTGTTGAATTGGAAATGCAACAACATGAAGAAGAAGATCAATTAGAACCTTATGATGAGGAAACACGTATTCATCTTGATATAGGAGACCAACAGAGCCATGAAGATGTAGAAGAAGATGTTGAAGAAGATGTAGAAGAAGAGGATAATGAAGACGAAATCGAACCTTACGAAGAATCTGATACCAACGAAGTTTTATTAATTGATGATGATGATGATGATTAAACATGTCCTTCTGTAGCAAATACAAAATGATGACTAGGATGATATGTTTCTTCTTTGATTTCCAATTGAACAAGGAATTGTTCACCATTAATTTTACCTAAATAACATCCTCGATTCTGTTGTAAATCCACCATGATTTCACCTGGCAGCTTTTTTTCTTTGCCCAACATAATTTGTGAAGGTGCATTCTTGGCCAATTTGCGCTTAATGATCTTTTGATTCGGAATACTAAAGGATTCAAAATGGGCATCTGTACCATCTAATTTACGCCAACAATAAAATGTGCCTAATTTGGCATATTCCTTGGCTAATTTAGCTTCCTTTTTAGCTTGATTGAATTGAAATTCTTCATTGCTATAGAAATCAGGCTGTCGTTTATTAGTAAATAAGCCACCTAACATGGAGAGACCTCTTCGAAGCATTGGAGGAGGCGGAGGCGGAGGGGGTGGCATCATCATTTCTACTGGCGGTTGGGAAGGAGGTGGTTCTTCCATATTTCTTTGTTCTGCTGGTTCAGAAGGTGATTGTTTCCCAGTTTCATTAAGTTCATTTGGATTAACAAAAGGTGGCTCATTGTTTATCCATAAAGGATCTTGTGTAAGATTCATCATATTCCACATCGGGGGTGGAGGCATCATGGGATTCAATACGGGTGGGATGCCCATCATGGCTGGATTAAACAAGTTAGGATTACCAGGTGAGTGAGGAAATCCATTATTGACCATCGCCAACCAAGGATGTATGGGTGGGTCTGAAGTAGTTGGTACATTGGAGCCATCGTTTTGATTCATCATTTGGTCTACAAAAAAGTCATTTGTGTTGTACAACGAATTCCTTCTTGAGAGTGGGTGTGCAGTATCAACCATGGGGTGTGGCATAGGAGGATGTAGTACAATGGGTGGCATTGGAGGGGGTGGAGGGGGTGGAGGAGGGGCTCCACTAAAAGAGAAACTGCGATTCATCCTAGGTGGATGTGGTGGTGGTATGGGGCCATTGTTGCTCAATGAAAATCTTCTTGGAGGTGGATAGAATTCGTCTTGTTCACTTTCGCTTGTTTCATCAGATATGTGGGGTGAATTAGGTACGCTTCGTGCTACTCGATTTGTGTAGGTCGGCTGTGGCGGATAAAAATATCTTGGTGAACTCATAGAAGATGGAGGCGGCGGAGGTGGAGGTACAGAGAATGAATTGAGCCTTCTTTTAGGTCTCATTCGATTCGATCCAGTACTGCTGATGCTATTTTGCCTTGACAAGTAACCTTTTGAGGGGCTGACGTCATGAAAATACGGTTCTTCGTGTTCGGAAGGCTCGCTTTCCTCGTCATGGGACAAAAACACCTCCTGATACTGTCTTCTTGAGGGCCTTGCTGGACGCATGTAAGATCGAGATGAAGCGGATCGGTGTGGTTCTGGGGAATGCCGTCGTGGTGAAATTGGATGTCCCCACTGTTGTCTTGTTGGATATCTTGCATAATGATTGAAATCATGAGAAGGATCATATATTCTGTTAGGTGCTCGATAAGGTGGACCATGCATATTGAGCTCATACATGGCTCTTGATAAATCTTCTTCTTCATCTGAATAATACTGCCTTGGACTGTTTCGTCGGGCCCTGTTCTGTCGGTTCGGATGAGGATAAAATTGTGGAGATTCTTCTTCTTCATCCGAAGAATAATAATTTTCTACTCTTGTATTGTAATTCATGTAGAATAAGAAGAAAGGGAAAAAGGGAAAAAGAAGGAAAAAGGAAATTTGTTATTGTTATTGTTATTGTGTTTACAGTGCTCACGATCCCATTTGCGGTTATTTAAAATTTGATGTTACAATAGACCTTCAAGTAACTGTTTAAAGGAATGATCTAAACACATGGTGTAAAAAGAGATTTTGCTGTCAATCTGCTTTTAGAAGAAAACTTGATATAGAACGAGATACCAAGTCAAGCTATGACAAACTTGCCGATAGAATCTTTTTTTGTACAGGTCATATGGTATCTTCATCTTAAACTATCTTTGGCCAACCGTATCTCATCTATAGGATAGCGCTTGTTTAGACATCAGAAGTAACGATGGCACCATGGCATTATTTTCACTCTTACCAGAAAACATACATCGTCTATATTCATACAATCAAAGTATTCACTATAGGTTTTTGTATCTTGCATTAGTGATGTACTTTGTTAATATAATATGAATGAAGCTAAGAGGCCTCTGAAACCAACTTATTTTCCAGATTTCTAATTCGATTTTCATTTAAACAGTGAAGAAGATCTGTATTTTTTGCATTTGTTTACTATAAGAATCTAAGGCTTCTCTGATGAAATAAGCGCTGGAGTATAAGGCATAATAGTCAAAGTAAAAATATTAGCCAAAGAAATCATCCGAAAGACATGTTGCAACATAAATGAATGTTTTGTATTAGGCGTATATATATATATATATATATATATTGATGATTGGGCTTTCTTATAGACAATATGATACTGATTTCATTGTACCATACAAAAAAATTTTAAATTTTAGGATGGGCACACCTTTACTATAAAGAAAGCAAGTAGTCAGACTGGAACAGGAATTAGGATTACATTCGTGTACGTTCTAAAGGTTATTCGTTGCAAACCATATATCATGAAATCTAACAACACTTTAATACTTTTCATAATGAATCGCTCTCTTTATTCAATTCAAGCTTGTCGAGTTCTTTCTTTTAAGAAAGACATTAGGTAAATATATACGTCGACAGTAAAGAAGAAACAGCGCATCGCACAAATTATTGTCTTTTTCTTAAGCATATGAGGATAGCTTAAAGCCTGTTTATGCCCGCATAAATTATTCTAAATGCTCGCAAACAATGTTCACTGAGACTTATCATGCTTTTGGAGTTGATCTGAAACAAAAAAAAAAAAAAAAAAAAAAAAAAAAAAAAAAAAAAAAAAAAAAAAGCGACATCAAAAATCTTTATAATCCAAGGGATATTACTCATGAAAATACTCGAATTGACAACTTCTGATCTTTCTTTTTGACACTACAAGACTAAAAAAAGATTTGTTGACGCACACTTTGGGTACCTAAGCCTGTCAACAGCTCTGTTTTTAGTCTTGTAGTGTCAAAAAGAAAGATCAGAAGTTGTCAATTCGAGTATTTTCATGAGTAATATCCCTTGGATTATAAAGATTTTTGATGTCGCTTTTTTTTTAAGGTCTATTTTGTACTGTTCAATCAAACTCTAAAAGAACTATTGAATGCTATCATGCTTGTGCTAGTTGAGTGTGGTTTGATCTGTCAAGAAGTTTGGGTCGTGCGTAATATGAGATATACATGCTTCCTCTATACTGGTAACGACCTTTAAAAACCTGATTTCTCTGTTGATCCTCTTCCAAATCCAGATTGGTTTATATTGGTAGAAACCCTTGAAACGAAACCTTGAAATAAACTAATGATTATGTTAGTACAATTTCAAATGAGGTCAAAAGTATTGTTGCTTAGAGAAAATAAACCATTTATACAATCTAACTACACTACTTTTATATCAGATGAGGCATATCGAGAATTTTCTCTGCGTTTCATATATGTCTCTTGATGCCCTTTGATGCTAGAAAACATACTCCTAGGCCTAAACCGACTCATTTACAGTCGACTGAATACGATTTCAAGGCATCTGATACATGATCATGAGCTATGGTATATAACAGCTATCTCTCGAGGTAGAAATAATAGTTGCTCTTATCAACAATTGTTTTTTCTCCTAGCACTATCTTCTTGCCGTCATTCGCAGTCTATGATCAACTCTTCTTTTCGCATTTGTCAGCACTACATTCCCATTAAAGTTAGTGAGACTGTTGTTTAATCGATGTCTTTTATTCCGAATACAAGTTGTATCCTTCCTCCTAATTCCTATGAAAGAGTTTTAAAAGAAAACTCTTAAAAAGAGGGCTAATCAAACTCGGCGATGATTTAAATGTTGGGACAAGATCCCAACCAATTCTTACAGCCTTTAAATACGTAGAGATCTCAGAAAACCATAACTTATTGACATTCTTAACGAAAGAAGATTGAAGATGTTTATGTATACCAATCAATTGAACATGATTGACAATAATGTTAGAATAAAAAGTCTTATTCTAAGGTACACCAATTGGTTTATAAAAAGAAGTAGAAAATCTTGAATTGATTGAAGTAAAAGAGACAACAGCTATTGAATACCAAATAGGCAATGAAGAATTTTTGTCCTACCATGTTCTTGATCATTTTGTATTTGTGCCATTATCTTCATTTTCTTAGCTGTTGATTATTGAAAGATCTAAATTAGTGATTGAATATCGTTTGACGCCAGTATATATGTCCCCAGTTTTGTAAGATAGCTATTGGCTTATGCAAAGCGTATTGCTTCCAATGTGTTAAAGCTCCCTTTCACAATTAAACTACACACATTATTTGTTGAATAATAATATGCATATATATCGAAAAAAAAGTTGACCTAAGGAAATTTAGACGTGTAAAAACCTCTTGACGCGACGCGTCTCTTTCCTAAAAAGAGAAAAAGAATTTCGCGTTTATTTTGCCTAATTCATAGAATAAAGTTAATTCACAATCAGTCGCCCTTCCCTCAACCAAATATGCATTACACAGTGAAATTTTTTTCTCTGATGTTTATTTGACATTTGATGTGACAGTTTGGACTGTTTAAGCTGAGTTTAAGCTGATTGCCTCTCAGGGAAATATTGAACCAATATAATGGATTTACAAAAAAAAAAATGCTAATATAAAGTTTTTCTTGTCTCATATGTGTTTATTGTTCACATAAGATTTTTTTCTTTCATGCTTTTATGCTCGATAGAAAGAAGACCACAAACCAAGCAATAGATAAACTAAACATTGTTTTTATTCGAGTAACAATAAAAAAAACTTTTTCTCTTTTGTGTACTGCTTTCGTGACTGCAAACGTTACTTTTGGCTGGGCTTGAACAAATTTTTTTCTTGCTTCTAGTTTAAATACTTTGACAAGAAATAAAAAAACTTTTCTACCGTATCTTTTTCACTTTATATTTTCTCACCTTTGTAGGGAGATCAACCAGCCGCTTTGTGTGTACTTTGAATATATTATAAAACAAATCATCATCAAAAAAAAGAAATACCACTTTGCATTAGTGCTGCTTGAAACACGATTTTCTTACCCTTTCTTAAAAAACTTTTCTTTACCACTTCATAATTTTACCCCTTCTTGATATTTATTTGAAATGGCAGAGTAAGTGTCTGCACACGAAGACAAGTTCTCGGTAGTCTAACATATTCTATAGCGTTACTATTGCACACCAACCCACCACGACTACAAACGAAATTGTCTCAGAATCAAGATTTCCTGATTCCCCACAAACTGTGGATGAAGAACAATTAAACCATTTATTAGCTGGTTCTTCTGCCGATTGGCCTAACAATGTGCCGGTCGAAGACTTAACTGGTGAGGTCCAAGAATTAATGATGAGGTAGAGTGTGAAAAAAAATTTTTTTTTTATTTGCATTTGTTTATTTATTTGTGGAACAAATAGAGAGTCAATGAGTTCCTGGCTTCAACCTTGGGTAGCTGAAAACGCCAACTGTCTTGTTGGTTTTGATGCTCAAATGTATGCTCAATCGCTTCAACTTGAAGATTTGTTTGGTCAAGACCAATTAAATTTCACTCAAAATATCACACCATCCGCATTCTACGATGAAATCACTTTTGGTAAATAAGAATTGATTTTTGTTTGAATGAAACAGCTAACTTACGAAAATAGTTCCTGATGATGCTTCACTTCAATTAAGTGCATCTGCTTCTTCGGCTTCATCTCCATCTGACAGTTCTGCTCAAGTCAGCCCTATTGTAGAATCTGCTACTACTAGCCACCTCGACCAACTTGAACAAGAACAAGGCATGATTGTCGAAAAACTTGATGTTTTGGAAAAAGAAGAAATTGAAATTGAAGAGATTCAAGTGGATGAACGACCCGCAATGGAAGTTGTCAACACACTGAAACGTAGAAGAGACTCCTCAAGCTCTGAAAGCTCCAGTGACGATGATTCCTCGTCCTCTTCTGGCTCTGAATCTGAATCTGATTCAGATAACGAACCGAATGTTATCCCAACAACGGTTGCCAACATGAACAGCCGTGGTCGTATGAACTACTCATCGTCTTCTGACTCTGATTCAGATACTGAAGTGATGGCCGGTCGTCGTTCCCGTGCTGTGTCTCCTGCCTCCAATCCCTACATTTACATGCACAAACGTCAAATTGAAGAGACCTTACTTGACAGAATCACCAACCAACTTCATCCCGAAAAATTGCCTGGTATCTTGCCCATCTTGTCGTCAGAAAAGGCTAGTAGTCAACACGAAGACGAAGTAGAAATCGACTTGTCTTGTCTGGCTCGCGAACAACTAGTTCAAGTGTTGTCTTATGTGGACGCCTGTATCTTAGAACAAAATGGTGGCCCTGCTGTTCGTGTTGAAGATTATATCCAAAAAAAGCCTATCAAGAAGGGACCTCGTACTCGTCCAGCACTGATAGAAGAACCTCGTAAGAGACGCCCAGCTAAACAGAGACGTAGACCCATCAAGCCCAAGAGTAGATCATTAGCTGAATTGACAGAGGATATCGATGCTGGCTCATCATCATCCGACGAATCTTCTGAAGAAGAACTTGCGCCGAAATCCAAACGCTTCGAAGGCCCCATGTCCATGGCTTCTCTTTCTAAATCAAATGGATCAAAATCTCGCAATAACAAAAAGTCTGGTAAAAAGTGTCGTACTCGACGTAGAGATGAAGATGCTACTGTTTCTTCTTCTGTGACAGTGATTCAAGATCCTAATAGTATTGCCTCATCTCGGCCCAAACGAAGAGCAGCTGTTCATAAGCGTAGATTATTAGAAGAAATGCTTGCACCTTCTGATAATGAAGAGGAAGACGATGATGATGATAGTCCACTCATTGTGTTTGGTGATGAAAAGATGGATTTTGGTGTTGTGGATAACTGCACTATTACTCATCAAGTTCCAGTGATATCTACCCAATCCGAAGTAGTTGTTGTGGCTGCTACTGTTCATGAAGATGAGTGTAATGAAGATACCGACGAAGAAATCGACATTATGTTTTAATTTCTTTAAGCCACTCCTCATCCCTCTGTACATTTTGTAATTCTCTTTTCTATCATCATACAAACAAAAAAAAGTCATTCTTATTACTATTAATTCCATTTCATCTATATATTTTATACATCCCCCCCCCCTTGTTTTTTCATTTTGTTTTTTTTTCATGTCAAATAAAGAAAAAAAGTACATTTTTATATTATTTTATTTATCGCAAAAGAAAAAAAAACTATAAAAAGCCCTTCTTTTTTTTTAGTCTTTTTCTCAAGTTAATAATGACTACTTTACCTTTTATTTCTCGTAGATCCACTGTATATGGAACACATGCAATTGTGTCTAGCTCGTATGTAGAGACTTGAGAAAAGAAACATGTATTTATCGTGATGATAGTCAACCTTTAGCTACTCAAGCAGGTATTGAGATATTAAAGAAAGGTGGCAATGCTGCTGTAAGTAACCCCCCTTTTTTTTCAACACGTTAGCTTAATTTACACTCAAACGATAGGATGCTGCTGTTGCTGTTGGTAATATAAATGAATCTTACTTGACCAATGATGACTAATGCTTATTATTTATTTTAGCTGCTGCACTAAATGTCACAGGTAATGTCAGTTCTCCGCAACAATGTTGAACCTATTTAAACAATAGAACCTGGTTCCACTGGTATTGGTGGTGATGCCTTTTGTCTCTTTTATGATGCAAAATCTTGTACTGTCAAAGGGCTAAACGGATCGGGAAGGTAAATTTTGATGATCATGATAAAGGAATCGCATTAATTTTGATTAGAACACCTGCTTCTTTAACTTTAAGTCATCTTCGTGAGAAAGAAGGCGTTTCAGGTTATGTTTTACCAAGCGATAGCATTCATGCTGTCACAGTACCTGGTGCTGCTGCTGCTTGGGTAGATACAGTTGAGCATTTTGGATCAGGCAAGCTCGATTTGTCTAGTATTCTTGCTCCTGCTATTGAATTAGCCGAGCATGGGTAAGTTACTTTAGAAATGATAAATTTTTGACTTATTCTGAATAAGGTTTCCTGTCTCTCATATTTCTGCGAACGGTGTAACGTATAATTCACACATATAAAAATGATGCCTAATGACTGATTATAGTGGAAAGCAGAAGCCAAGAAACTTCTCGAGACAAATCCAAATCAAGAAAAAAATGAGTGGTTAATTGATAATAAGCGTGCTCCCGAAGAAGGTGAAATCATGAGCATTCCTACTTTAGCCGAGTAAAGTACATTAAAAAAAAAGGATGATGGGAAATATTCATTTATCATTAGGACATTCCGAACACTCGGAGCAGAAGGTAAGAAAGGGTTTTATCAAGGTCGCATTGGTCATTCTATCATTGATGCTGTACAATCAAGAGGAGGACTTATGACTTTGGATGATCTTGCTCAACATACGAGTGAATTGCTTGAACCTATTTCATTCGATTATCATGATTGGACCGTCTGGGAAATTCCTCCTAATGGTCAAGGTATTACAGCTTTGTTAGCTCTTGGTATTATTGAAGCTCTTGAAGAGGCTGGCAGGATAGATTTCTCAAAAATCGAACATAACTCAGCCGAGTATATTCATATTGTATCTGAAGCTTTGAGAATTGCTTTTGCAGACACAAGGTACTATGTTGCTGATCCTCAGGTGCAACCAGTGCCTACAGAAGCACTCTTGAGCAAGGTAAGAATCGATCTTGTTTCTTTCTTTTCTTAGATATATTATTCAGGAATATCTCAGAGAACGCGCTAAATTGTTTGATCCAAGCAAGAGAAACGAACATATCATCAAAGGCTATCCAGAAGAGAATGGTAATACTGTCTATCTCTCAATTGTAGATCAAGAAGGCAATGCCTGCAGTTTTATTGTAAGTTGCTATTACTTGATGAGGAATTCAAAATTAATGTTTGTCTTTACAATAGAATTCAACTTTTATGCATTTCGGGGTAAGTGTCTATCGCCAACAACAAGAGAAAGACCTAAGGAGTTTACATAGTCTCATATCATTGCTGACAATACGGGTGTTGTTTTGCATAACCGTGGCTGTAATTTCGTTTTAATTGAAGACCATCCTAATTGCATTGCACCTAGCAAAAGACCTTACCATACTATTATTCCTTCCATGATCACTCGTAAAACAGATCATGGCCATGATCTTGAAGCCTGTTTTGGAGGTAAAGTACAATGATAGTGGTTACAACATACTCAATTGCATTTTCGATAGTCATGGGTGCATTTATGCAACCTCAGGGCCAGGTACAAGTGGTCCTCAATATGAAGCATTATTTATCCAATCCTCAACATGCACTTGATTTACCTCGACTCTGTATTGCTCCCCCTAAAAACAATCCTAGAATGACAGCTAATGCTTACTCATTCACAGAAGTAAAAGATTCTGTTATTTACTTAGAGGATGGCATCACCAAGGAAACTATTCAAGGTCTAGAAGCCAAGGGACACACTTGTTATACTCTCCATAACCATGCTCGTGCCATGTTTGGTCGAGGTCAAATCATTAGATCAAAGGTTGATAAACGGACTGGTCACCGTGTACTTGCTGCTGGTAGTGACCCTCGAGGTGATGGCTGTGCCACTGGCTGGTAAACTAAATAAAACCCCCATATTACTATGTTTGACAATGAATAACAAAAGATCTTTATATTGTATGAATATGTATGTATATATATATAATGATGCATCTTCAAGTCTTTTTATTTTTTCTGTTGCATACGCTCACAATTTTAGCTAAACAATTTATTTCTTCTACAAATTTCAAAAGATGTTAGTGGATCATACATCATACAACTATCAAATGCTTACCTTGTTGGCTTCTTCTTCGGCCTTATCACGAGCACGCTTTTCACGGGCACCGAGGGTACGGGCAGCAGAACGAGCATAACGGAGCTTCATGTAAGCACTGGCGTTCTTTTCTTCAGCAGTGATGGCACGGGCTTCAGGGCCAGCAGCAACTTGTTCAACAGGGAAGAGAGGAGAACGGAGTTGAACAGCAGTGGCAACTTCAGCAGCTTCGGCATCACCCTTCTTGGGGCTAGTAGCCTTACGGGGGAAGACAATGAGCTTAGCCTTGTAAGCCTTCAAGCGTTGAACGTTAAGTTCAAGAGACTCGTTGGATCTGTTGCGACGACGGTGGTCGACAGCAATACCAATGGAACGAGCTTCCTTACGGCGGATACCAGCTTCCTATATCATTGGACATCAATAACTCTCTTCTCTTTCTCTTTTTTTTTTCTCGACTTTTTTTTTTTACCTTGAGTTCTTCAAGAGTGAAACCACGACCAGCTCTCAACTTCATGTTGTAGCGGACAGTGGGGCAACGAACAGCAGGACGGAGGAGACCGTCAAGAGGTCTGGGAGCAACACGGCCAGCCTTTTGAGCACGTGCGATTCTTCTAGACTTCTTGCGACCAGCTTGATCGAACCAAGTCTTAACGCGACGGTCCCATTGCTTGCGGAAGTGCTGGTTAGGCAATTGGTTGTTGTGCTTCAAAACCATGGTCTATGTGTTGCAATGTATAATTGAAGGTTGAGTTGAAAAAAAGAGTGGTGTAAAAAAATATATGGAAAGAATAGGTTAGTGACATGCGTTCATCTTTCTATCAATCCACATCCAATTCATATCCAAAATGATGGATCTACTGTCGTTGATCATGATGGATTCTAAGCTTGGATGTGTTCTTGTTTGACTATACATACGTAAGGATTACCAGTGAGGGGGAAAGAGAAAGACTATACAGAAGCATGGTGTTCAAAGCACCAAAACGCTTATTTTGGAATTCCGCTTGATTACCGGAAACCGGACACACTCGGACTGGGATCAAAGAAGTGCATACAGTGACTCTTATTCAAAATTTTCTGATACCTCTTGTCAACTGTTTTTTTTTATCAGATCTACATAGACATTGCTTATCTGTTGACATTGATTTCATTGGATAACTCTCTTTTGTCTGCTGTGTCAATGTTATCAGATTGAGTTTATGTGTACTCTCTATAGTTTTTTTTTTGTCAAAGCCATGAAGCTATTATTCACTTTTTTCCAATGAATCAAAAATCAATTGGACTTAACAAGTTTTGGTATAGTTGCTCAACCGAATAGCAATGGCCATCTCTTTTTGTATATTATTAGATCATATAGATATAAACACTTCTTGTCTTGTTTCCAATTGAAAGAGTAAAGTATGATGTTCTCAAGAGTTTAGAAAGTATTATACTATGAAAAAAGCAGATCAAGCGAGAATGTAGTTCTCAAAAGTCTTTTTAGTTTCTCCAAAAAGAAAAAGAAAAAATTAAAAGGTTATTTTTCGACTATCAATGAGAAAAAGAATGGCAAACAAATAATTGCTTTTTTATAGGCTCAGCATCACGTGAAGGTAACAGAGTTTGTTAGGTAACATTGGTACATAATTTCCCTCTAGTCATCTTTAAGAAAATGCCTGAAGTGTTGTCTTGGTAGCTTAGTTTTACTGTATACTAGATCGATAAATGGAGATTCATTTCTACAAAAGTGTTACTCTCTTTGCTTCAAAGAATAAAAAGATACATTTTCCGATTTACAACATCTTCACAAAATTGGAAGGGTAGATCCAATACTGCGCATAATTCCATAACATTCTGTTACTCTGGAGCAAAACAACAAAAAAGAGCAAGAGTAGTACAAAGAGATGTGGAGTACAGACCTTACATCATTCGATTGTTTCTGTCTTTTAAAGTTGGTAATTCGCATTAATAATTGTCATGTTAAAAATACTTTACTTTGTTGTGTAGCCACTGTTATTTTTTTTAATTTCAAGTTTTTCATATGAAAGATCTTCTTATCCAATAGTCGAATCCCTATTTATTCCGTTCAACACTTTTTGGTCTGATGTTGTAGTCGTATTTGAAGACAACCATATTTTTTCTCTAAAACATTTAAGCGAAATTCGTAACATTGTAACCATGTGATGATGTTTGAATTGTTTGAAGAAGAGAATGTCCTTTTAAAAGCAGCCGATAATTCATCATCAACTTGTTACGGTGTTTCATTGGAAAATGACCAATTGATTAAAAAAAAAGACATCATTTTTTGTCACAAATATCTATGTATTATTATACTATGGTGTTTTTGCGTAATTAGGAAAAGTGAGCTGATATTTTATTTGTCCACATATCAATACGATCATGGCGCGAATGAATATCTGATAAGCTTGGGATCCTCATGTGTGTGTGTGTGTGCGTGTGTGTGTGTATATATATATTTTTCTTTTATTCAAACTAACTCATTGTTTAAGTTACACGAGCACTGGGCAGTGTCTGTAAAGAAAAAAGACAAGCCGTGATTGATTGTATGATAAATATCATTCTATGAATTCAAGAAGTGGAAAAAAAGACCCTGTTGGACCTTACAGGGCAAGAATGGAAATATAATTTATAAATGGATCAAGACGAATAGAGAACTAGTCGCCGTTTTAACTAACAAGGTTGTATTCCCGAATGTTTTTTTTTCTTTTTATAAATCTACTTACCTTTGGGAAACAAATAGCCCCATTTTCTTGCTTTACACAAGTCCAACTAACTCTATAAAGGAGAATATAAAGAGCAAAAGAAGTAAATAATAAGTTCTATTGTACTTTACTGAAAGAAAAAAAAAGGGTCTCTTTTATTTAGACCAGGCGGGTTAATACGGAAAAAAAGAAAGCCCTTCACTTATTGAAGGAAGTCTTTTTTTCTTGCTCGAACAAATCATTCTTAAGCGGTACTTAAACACTCGATTTTTATTGCAGGATTGGGAAGAAGAGTGTGGGGCAAATGATACCATTGGCCGCATACGACTCGAGAGCATCGGAAACTAAAACACAGTTGCCAAATAGAATCCCGCGTGATCCCATTCTATTTTACTCTCTGAGAAAATTAGAAATAAAAAGGGCGGGAATCCGTTGAAAGCAAACTTTCTTTTTTTTTATTGCCCTTTTCCTTTTTGTTGTTGTTGTTATTGTTTTTACAAACCCTTTTTATTATCTAATACAGCTTGAAAAAAAAATGAACAGTATCAGTTGTCCTGCACCTCAACTAAAAGCAACTGGAAATTTCTTTTCTCCTGAAGCTATGTCCTATGGTCGTAATACCACAAAAATAGAATCTTTTGAATTCCAAGAATTTGAACAATTGAAAACCACAGATTTTATGATGGATGCATCAGTAAATTCAATCAACAATCTTGCAACTAATCCAGTCGCTTGCGATCTCCAAGAAGTGATTGCTTACTATCAATCACAGCCTGAACTTTTGAGGCTGATTTTATTGAGCAAAGTAGAAGAGGACAAGCGTCGTTCAGAAGAAGCTAAACTTAGAGCTAAAGAACTCGATATGCTTTTGCTCCAACAACAACAACAGTTGGCTGCCGTTGGAACTCCTGATACCTCTTTTGTCTCTCCACAATCTTGTGCTATCAATAATAACAATAACACCTTTGTGCCAAATGGCAGTAACAATTTGATGAGCACAAATCAATTCGTTAGTCCTACAACAAGAAAGCTTAGTGCTCTGGACATTCTGATGGACGATTCTGACTGCCGTAACCGTCGAGACTCTGCATTAGGTTCTTCTTTTGATGGCAGTGCTAATTCTGAGGAATTAGACGACTGTACCTTTTCTCCAAATCCATCTATGCTTTCTATGAGGTATGTTTCATTTATTTTAAAGGGTCCTTTGATCTAATTGGTTTTCTTTGTTTCAGCTTTCCACCACCTATCCATACAACAGCTAATACAAACACTAGACACTCACTACAACCTCTTTCTCCAGCATATACTTTATTACAAGCAAACTCATTAGAAAACAGCTCTATCTCTCCTCAAATCACTCAATCTCCTGAACAATTGCCTGAACAAGTCCAGGATCGTCGATATGATAATACTTATTTCCCCCAACGTCCTCGCCGTAGACGTGAGATGCAGGCCATCTCCAAAATCGTTGAAACAAGAGAATACCCTTATATTGATGGCTTCTTTTGGAAGAATAACGGCAATACAATCCAAAAGAAGACTGGCAATAAGAGTGTTTATTACAAGTGTTCCAATAGTACCAAGGTATGTTATATATAATTATGAATGTATTTATCTAATGTTTTTCCTTAGGGTTGCCCTGTTAACAAAACTGTTACTTGGAAAGATAACGGTGAATACTTGATCAAATACAGAGGTGAACACCTCATTGATTGTGGCAAAGTTCAACGTATTGTCGACATGTAACCTTCCCCCCTCCTCAGAATAATTCTTCTATGTCTACTTTTTTACTTTCACCCTTAATCTGTATATATTCTATATAGCTCCACTTCATGCTACTGTAACAATATGATCTATGTAATTTTAATGTTTACTTACAAGACAAAAAGCAAGCAACGTTTCATATTTTTCGCCTTTATTTCCTTGTACTTTTATTTCCCTCCTCTTTCTCTCGCTCTCGAATAAACAAATTCAAAAAAAAAAATTGTTGTTACTTTTAAGATGACACGGTTGTAGACAACCATCTGTTTATGAAAAACTTTTTTATTCTTGATTCGTAAGAGAAAAAAAAAACTAAATCATCTGCGTTAGTTTGATTCGAAATTAAAGAATTTCTTGGGCGTTTAGTACGTAACACAGTTTAGAAACTGTATCACAGGCACGCAGCTTCTTTGTATCTCATTAGTCAATAAAAAGTTTCACATTTCAATGTTCATTTTTAGTACCTTACAGTGAGAGTAGTAAAAAATAGTATTGAAGCTATGAATGCCTCAGACAGACAATGCCTTCCTTTTGAATAAGCTCCTAAACAAAAACCATCATTGCTTGACCCTATCTTTTCCTTGATACATGTGCTGGACAGCTATATGCGCGATCCTGCACGAAATGGACTACTTTTTCTTTCAAATTGTAGGGGGGCCATGGTTACGTTTATCGAAATAACGGTCTTTATTGTCTTTGTTTAAACTATTTCGTCCAATAGACACGACTCAATAGTCGTGCTTTGAAAAAATGGATTAGATAATCAAAACATTGATTTGAATACCCCCAAAAGTTCAATTTTCAACTTACCACACTCGCTTTGGTCTCCGTCTAAAATCTTTTCTTACAACTCAAGGTTCGATGAAAAAGGACAAATGCTTTTAACGAGAATAGTTTATTATACACAAATTGCGTCTTTATGTGAGTCGTTCTTGGGAAGACGTTTATTTTAATCTTCTTTTTTCAATTTCCTCCATGATGTGGAGCTTTCTTTCAGCTTCGCACCATTCACTATGAGTAGAGTAGTAGAAGGAGTGGTAGTATTGTCAGTGCTCGAAGAAATGCCATCTGTGGACAAAAAGGCAAGATCATAATCCATTGTAATATCCACTATCATCTTTGTAGAATCATCGTTTAGTTATTGAGGCAAAACACAAGAACTATATAAAGATATATGATTTGACGCTCGAAAACTATGACCAAGGATACAACAATAGAGAGATACCACCCCGTTTATCATTTGGTATATTAGCTTCTATCAATAATTTTAGTTGGTTTGACGTATAATTTAGGCTTGTTAAACTGACATAAAGTAGAAATGATAAACTTAATAAAGGAGGAATGACCGATAAGTCAATGCTTTTTTCTCTTTTGATGTAGGCTTATCCTCACAAAAAAAAGCCGTTGTTAAATCAATTGTATCTGCATTGTTGTTTCAAGGAAATACTCCAATGCCCACTCCAGAATGCGGCTAGTTTTACATATGTGTTTTTGTTTTTTTTTAGGAGAGAGCGAGTAATAATAAAAGAAAGAGACGAACAGAAAAAATAGCTTGTTAATTGGAGCCGCTGAATTCAAGTTTTCTTAAATAGGAGCTCATTAAATTCAAAGAAACAGAGTCGATCAATGAGTGATATTGGCTTAAATAACAATAAAAAGAAAAACATGCTAAGTAATGAAACCTGCTTCTTTTGGGTTGCACAGCATTTCAACAGCATGGTATAAGTCTTGAATAGACTCTAAAATCACTCTTAAGCCAATATTGTCATAATTCAAATAACTACATAAGCAAAAGTACTTCTTTTTGTGTAGTTAAACACTTGAGATAAAGCCAAGATTGTCCCAGCGAAAAAGTAGCTGTGAAATTCCAGAAAGAAGGCTCTATTTATACTGTTTGGTTCTTGTCTTCATACTGAAATAGCAAAGGATAAGTGTATACAACGTTGATTTGCTTACATGATAATGATGACAACTCTGTAAAGAGCAAGTATTAATTTAGCTTTTCGTCTATTACTTCTTAAAGCAAGTATCTCTTGTCTTTCTCAGCGCTACAGATAGTAATGCTAATGCCACAAGTAAAGGACACCGTTTTAAAATGTCTTCAATTATTTTATATTTGACACAGCTATTGACAACTAAGAGATATAGTCTTCTACAATGGATTATCGCACCATCAACAAAGGCCAGACTGACATATTAAAAACTTCCTTATATTAAAGAAAAATGAGGCAAAATGATTATTTCTAACACTGCGAATACAGCTGAGTAGAGACTTTTGATATTAGATTTTCAAATGGTTCAAGAGCACAGCTACTTGTGTTCAAAAAAAATATATATCAGCACATTGGATTAAGAGGCGCAAGCCAAGATTATTATGACAGTATCAAAGATATTGATAGTTCGCTCAATGGTATGGTTATAACGCAAGTTTATTGGGCTTAAGCCAGAAATGTCGATAGCCAATGAATGACTAAACCTTTTATTGCTCTTGTTAATGATAGTTTTGACAAAGCTCTCTCCTTTCCTTTTTTTGGTGTCATCTTGCTATTAATGGTTTACGGAATAACAAAAGAATTGGCTTTATCGAACTTTTTTTATATATTATTATTGTTAGTCATTTGTGCACTTAAAAGCGAAAATAGTACTTTACAGTTTAGCAGTATATCGGAATGTAAAAAAAAAAATCCAACAATTGGTCTTGACAATGTTGGGCTGTGATGTTTTGAGGCATATATAGACATTTTGTATATTTGCAATAGTCCTAAATATACCATACTTATAAATGTGTGTGTATATTTACCTATGTGTGCAAATAGTCAATGGTGAGACTTTTTTCACAACAAAAAATTCACCATTATGACTCCCTTGAATGCTCATCCAATGAATTTTTGAATGGGGTAAAAAAAAAAAAATGTGTGACCTAAAAGGACCTATTCATAGCAAAAGAGCTCTTAATATTTGCTCTATTATATTGTTCTCTCTCTCTCTCTCTCTCCTTCCTTCTCTACTCTCAGTCTCTCTTTTTTGTTGTTTCTTTGTTTCTGTATTTCGAACACTATGTTTGCTACACTTGAACTACCACTGAGAGGTATTTTTCTATAAAGTTGCATATATATATATGACCTGATGCTGACCTGCAATCAATAGATGACAGCAGACATAAACGTCTCAAGGTTGGACGTGCTTGCCACCCATGCAGAATGAAAAAAATAAAGGTACGAGATTTATTACGGTTTTTTTCCCGAGAAAAATCTAATGATCATTTAGTGTGATGGAAAACAGCCATGTATGCAGGTAAATAGTCATTATCATTCTCATTTATATCTAACGTTGTTCTATAGTGTAAAGGTAGATATAGATTTATATAGATAGCGTTGGCTAATATTCAACAGCAAGAAGACGTAAATGTATGTATCTGAAAAATCCAGACGAAACCTACATTCGACTTGATCCGGTCAATGAACCACAACCCGATGTCTCGGCCATAGCAGAGTCTTACTTACAAGACATGAACGATCAATTAAAGAAACAGAGTATTAATGATGACAACAAAATATTTGTTGCCGACAAACCAGACAATTTATTTGCTTGCCATAATGAAGATCATATATCCCCATTATCGAACCCATCTTCGTCTCAACCAGCAACACGCCCTGATAAAATGATTGAACAGCTCACAGATGGGCTGGTTCGTTTGACATTACACCACGATACTTCGAAACTGGGCAAGGAAAATGTAACACCTTGGCGTAGTTATGGTGAATTCATCCGCTGGACACCTGAGCCACACTTGCCAAACTATTATACATCGTCAATTGATATGCCATCACGGTCTACACAGGAACATTTAATCAAGGTATTCTTTGATGAATGCTATCACATTCTACCTACTTTATCAAGATCTATGTTTTATGATCAGCTTAAAGTGAAAGGACCACTTATCACACCTCTTTTGCTAAATATCATCTATGCACATGCGGCTAAACGTATCAATAATCCCGCTTTCCGTTCAGAATCCAATGATCCATCCACTCAAGGCGACTTGTTTTATAACCGTGCACGACGTCTGGTGGATGATTTTCTTGGTGTACCTCGTATTTCAACTGTAATTGCTTTACTTTACATGGCTCTGTACGATAGTGATTGCAAGAAAAATGGAGGTGCAAAAGTACGTTCCAGTCGTGCTTGGATGTATAGTGGCATGGCTATTCGAATGTGCTTTGAACTAGGGCTACATACAGCCAACTATAGCAGTCAAATGTCTCAATTTGATATCGAACTACGTAAACGCGTACTTTGGACTTGCTTTGTGATGGATAAACTAGAGAGTTGTACAATGGAAAGACCATGGATGATCAAATCAAAAGATGTTGCACTTGATTTTCCAACACCACTGCCAGAAGATTCAATTCAAGAACGACTTGTGCTAGAGGGTTTTAATCAGTTGTGTAGGCTCATGATGTTGATGGAAAAAGTGATTCATTTCTTTACTTACAACATCAAGAGTTTGAGCTTATGGACCATGAATGAAGAGAACCAAATCCTACAGTTCTTAGACGCCATTCATCAATGGAGAGAAATGCTGCCAACTGAATTAAAATGGACTACACCAGCCACGAATCCTGGCGTAGCACGTTATCTTCCTCACATACCTTCCTCAGCAGTGGTGTCTAACCTGCATTTAGTATGCTATGATTTAGAGTTATCGCTTATTATGTGTTGTCGCTATCAGGACGAGCAATTGCATCGAGAGCGTCGGCGTACTTTGGCCAATACAATCACACACATTGTATCACTTACAGTTCAACACCCACACCTTATGTATAATTTTGCCATTTCTACCTTTTCTAGTGTCTTTGCTGCTTTAACTCATGCTACAGATTTCGACAATCCTCGACTGGACATTGTAGAAGGGGCCAAGATACAGTTTAGAAAGAGTTTAGAAGATGTACGTATGATTGTCGAACGTATTCCTATGCGCGACCTGCACAATTTTGCTCGATTGGTGGACCTTACACTTCAACCGACTACAAACAATAGTAGCCATGTCAATATGGGTAGTATATCCATACCTTCAACTTATGCGTCTGCATTCTCGGCTATCAGTGATCTCTGTCATAAAGATGGAGAGACCAGTGGCACAATCACTCCCAATACCATGGATCTGTATGGTCATCCAGATGTGCTTGAAACCCGGTCTGGTTATGGCTCTGTTTCTCCTGAGAGACGTGCATCACCGTTCCATAATAACCTTATGATTTCAGGTCAATTTGCATTTGATGCATGCTATCAACAACAAACTAGTTCACATTCATCACCCTCAGGATCTGTGTCTGCAGCAGCAGTAGCAGCAGCAGCGGCAGCAGTGGGAGCAGTAGGCACTCCAAGTGCATCTTCATCCTCCAATCCCACTAACAAGAGCATTGAGCCTGCTGACTATACATTTGAGTTGATATCTGTGGGTGATGAATGGGCTCGATCGCTCATTTATTAAAAACCTCTTTTTGTGTAATTTAGACTCTCTCCCCCCTTTTGTATAAACATATTTAAATAACTCAGCAAGTAAATATATATCTCATGCAATAAACAGCTTCTTTTTCTAAATAAATTATGTGTATATGTATGTATTTTACAGAATAAGAAAAGAAAAAAATGCATGGTAAAATGGATGTCTAACTATTATTCTTGGTCGACTTTTTGCTTCTTTGAAAGGGTTTCTTCGTCGTCATCAGCACTTCTCTTCTTTAAACCCTTCATCTTTCTTGTTTGAATCTTGCTCAAATCTTGTTTACCAAGATGAATACGGCCATATTTATCACCCATTTCATCCACTTCAATGTTCTTGACCTTCTTGGGCTTCACTTCCTTAGGAACCTTACAAGCCGCCTTCCAAAGATCAGGCTTGGGTAATGTAGTACGTCTAATCTTCAAATCATAACTGGGACCCATCTCTTCCAATTCCACACGAGGTGTCTTTAACCCACTCTTCTTCATTTGAATCAAATAGGTACGGAATAAGATACGATCGTCAGGTGTAGCTGTCAAACTCACGACATGTTCCAAACCACCTAAATTAATAGCATCTGATTCCTCACCATTGAAAAAGTCCAAAAAGAGATTCTTAATGTGTTTGCAAGTTTCGTCAGATTCAAAGCGATCACCTTGGAAGACCATCAATGGTTTCAAACCCAAAGAACATTTAGCACCCTATAAGAAGAAGAGTTAGAAATAAAGCTTGTATAAATCAACTACATACAGGAATAGAAGACATAGACTTGGGGTTTTCAATGCCGAATTCATACATATCCAACACTTGGTGATTAAACATACGGGCGAAAATCAAGTTGTGAGGTCTCTTTTTTGTGTGTGTACCGACAACAAGGAAGGCACAATCGTTCTTTTGAGAAAAGAATTCGAGTTTTTCTTCGTCTTCAAAAGGTTTGAGTTCATTCTTTTTGGTAAAATGAACAGCATTGGGACGTTTCAAAGCATACTACAGAATTGTGAGTCATGGTGCCTCGCTTATGATCGAGATCCTTACGAGATCTTTCAAAGCATCGTTGATCACTTGACTGGTTGTAGATCCCCGCACAATCAAGCTGTTCTTGGGGTTTTCATGGACTTTGGCTTCACGGTTCTTCAAGAAACGTTTAGCACGGGCATTTTTAGGCTTACTATAACAAATGTCAGGCCTTATGTTAAAATGTGTCTTATTGCTTACACTGTACGTAACATTCTTGGTATAAATAATAGACAAAAAAGCTAAAAGAGAGAAAAAATATTAAACCGAGATTGAAAATCAAAAAAAATGGGTGTTAAAGAATTAGAGGTCACTGTGGCTTACTCAAGTTGCATTTAAGAGATCTCTCTTATGCAACAAGAAATATCCATGTTTATTGAAATAATTATTCTATGTTAGAGGAAGTAATATATGTTGGTATAGTCATCAAACAGAAACAGAAATGTATTTTTTATATAACTTGCGAGCGTCTTTATCGTCTGCAAGATTCAAGACAGCTTGGCCGACCCCTTTGCCGTCGAAATGATTTACATTGTATAGCTTGGATGCTGTGTATTCAAGTTCAAACTTGACAGAGCCATCATTGTTTGCCTTGTCTAGATCAACATAGTATTGTTCCCAATCACGAATGGTGCCTACAGGATAATCGCTACCACTCACATCATAGGAATAAACACGAAGAGCAGGATTGTTAACAGGAATAATAGAGGGTGAATTAAAGAGAGCAACGCCAGCACTATCAACGTCCTTTTTGTTTAGTTTCTTTCCACCGGCAGCAATAAAATCATAGTTATCCTTTTTCCCGGGAACAACCACATTTAGATTGTCGTCTAAAGACATGCGTTAAAAATATTAATTTTACAATATATATATATATATATACTTACTATTGGTGTGTCCAGTGAAATGACCAGCAATGACACCTGAGTATTTACCGAGCAAATTAAAATATTGCTTGTAACAAGTCGACTTGTAAAGCTTGGAACCATCATCGTCAATAGGAGGAACATGACTCATGATATAAGCTTGATGTCCGTCTTTTTCACTAAAGCTTTTCAATGTTTTCTCTAACCATTTCAACTGAATTGCACCAGGACTATCGCTCTTATCGCAATCAGAGGCCTCATTGTTCTTTTCAAAGAAATACATAGAGTTCAAATTAATAATGCTCAACTGATCATCAATCACTTGTTGAACAAAGTAGCCTCCAGAATTAAATTCGTCAGTCAAGTTAAGGCCAAGGGGCTCCCAAATAGTCTCAAGATGACCAAAAATTTTGTCGTTGATTTTGACATCGTTGTGGTCAAAGACATCATTGTTACCAATCGTAGGCACCTATCATTGACATGTTAGTGTATGCATACACATCATATTTAACTCACATAAGGTACGTATTTGGTATCATAAGCAGATTGAAAGTATTTCATAACAGATTTATGACCATCAAGGACTTCATCTTGTGTTCTAGGTAAATTATCATCTCGATCCTATAGAAAAAGCAAAATTAAGCATGGTGTCACAAATTAAATACAGATTGAAATTGGATGCTTACATGTCGTACTGTATCACCAGTATAGATAATAAAATCAATATCATTAATTTCGTTCTTGAGAAAGTCAAATGTAGCTCTCACAAGAGGCACAGGCGAGTCACAATCAGTGCCTAACGCACCAAATTTGCCACTCTCGCTTGATCTTTTCTTTCCGTACGTATGGCATAAACTGCGAGGATCAGCACCTTCTTTATAGTTAGGATCAATATGAATATCTATGGTCTTGGTTTAGCATATGTATGCAAGTTTTTTCTACAAATCTTACCTGTGATATGAAGAAATTTGCCATTTAATTTGGATCCTCTTTTGACAAGTGCACGGTTTTGTTGAAGAGGTACAGCATTTACAGAAGACTGAAAAATCAGAATAGATGCTGCAATGCAAATAAATGTCTTGAGACCAGTCATGATAAAAGAAGGAAGAGTAGTAAAGAAAAAAAAAGAGAGGGATGAATGAAAAGAAGATTTATATAGTGCAATCTATTGTCCTTTTTTTTCAATCGCCTCTTCTATGCAACAAAAAAGGCTTTCTTTATTCTTTTTAGTAACCTTTCATTAAGATTGTTGATCAGTAGGCCAATGTAACCAATATTGGTCACGCATGGGCTCTCTTTTTACTTTGAGCTTGTTTATATCAAAGAATTTTTCTGCTAATGAAAGAATTACTTTAAAAGGCATTTTACACTAGTACGCTAAATACAACGTATCATTGGTAAAGTTCTTTGATCCGATATCGATTTATAACGACAGCTGTTTCGTAACTGTTGTCATTGCGTCAAAAAAATCAAAGAAAAAACAAAATTGAATGGTGGTGTTTCAAATACCCACTGAATACTTTTGTTTACTCTAGAGTGTTGTACATATTGCTTGTATCACAATTACATATCATAAAATTGACAAGTTACAATTCTTTAAAGACCCACATTCAGAGCACGATCAATACACATAGACTCAAAAAAGAGAGATCATGGTACTTCAGGTGAATAAACAAAGATTGTGTATTTGTGCCTCTATCATTTTATGTGTGTACAAGGGCATAGATACAAGACTTTTTTTTTTTTTTTTTTTTTTTTTCAACAATGAAAAATTCTGCAAAGTTCTCAACAGAAAATGGTTTTGATTTCACATATTCTGTAAAGACAAATTTCCGAACTTTTATCTCGCCTCAGGTTGCCACACTCAGCATAAGTCATGCTACACAATAGAGTATGACAGTCAAAGAAGATCATTGTGTTACTAGAAAATAACCTTTCGAATTAGATTGGATTATCCGAACCAAAATATTCCTTGTTCACCGTGCTTACAAGGAGAAGCAATTATTAAACGCTCTCCTTCGCTTATTGTGTTGATATGAAAGCTCTGTTTCATTGCTCTTTTTTCGAGATAGGAGCATGATTGCATGGGATGGGCTAGAAAGGGGTACGCCTTCTAAAAAGAAAACAACTCTTAGTGCTAGAGCGATCTAAAAGAAAGACAAAAACAGGATCAATTCTTTGTTCCTGAATTAACTGTTGCTTAAAATTGTTTGATGCTTCAGTCAACAAGAGATCAATTAAAACATTCTTAGACTCCTTCAAATGTTAAAATTGTATAGCTCTTTCAAGAAACGCAAGCAAGAAGGATTATCCTTATCAATTGACACATCAACCTGCTAAACATATTAAGCATCAAGTAATCAAAAGTGTTAGAAAAGAGGAAAATCATAGCATATCTTGTAGTGAGATTAGCATCTTTCAGAAGAAATCTTTGTGTTTCTGCACTTTGCTTTTTTCTTCTAGAACATCAAGAAAAAAGTGCATTTCTTTACACTAATCCTAATAATACATGTCTCTGTTTTCAAGTACAAAATGTTCTTTAAAATTATAGCTCAATTTTCCTAATTGACAGTTGACTTGCAAGTATTCGTCCATGAGCTTACTTTGCAGTTTTAGCCCCTTTAAATTTGTAGAAATTAAGTGCATGGGCGTTTTAATTATCGCTTCTAGTTGATTGGTCAAATGGATATACCTTGTTTCTGTCCTGACTGACTCTATAGGTCGAAACATAAAGTTGCGCTGTAACAATAAATAGGTTGAAAAAACAAAGTCCATTACTGAAAAAAGAAAAAGAAAAAATCTGTTTGCTTTATGCCGACGATAATACATTACAAATATAAAAGGTATGTCCAAATCCAGTTTGGATATGAATTAAAAATACAGAGGAAAAAAAAAGAGATTTGTCATAATAAATATCATAGCGTATGTTACATAGTGGGAGCTGTCCTTGTTGAGTCGTAATAAAGCATAATAGTTGTAATAGATCATAAGTTTTTTTTTTTTTTTTTTTTTTTTTTAAAAAAAAAGTTTGTTGTTTTTAAACATCCACAATACGTTGTACCTTGTTGCAATCAGGCAAGTGTTCTCCTCTGTATTTAATAAGATATTCACCATGGTCTTTCCATGTCACAGTCTTATTTACTGGGCAGCCCTGTTCAATACAAGTTTAACATCATAATATCATACGTTTTTTTTATTACCTTGTTACTGTTGGAGCACTTATAATATACACTTTTATTGCCCGTCTTCTTTTGTACAGTGTTACCGTTATTCTTCCAAAAATAGCCATCAACATATGGATACTCTCGTGTTTCGACAATTTTTGTAATAGCTTGCATTTCTCTTCGTCTACGAGGTCTAGGAGGGAAATCATATCGCATATGAGCACTGTTAGCTGTGGTTGTAGTCGTAGCTAAAGAGGAAGAAGAAGAAGGTCTATGCTCTAAATGAGGATGATGGTATTGCTGCTGTTGATGTTGTTGTTGTTGTTGTTGTGCAAATACATCATTTTCAAGGCGATAATCTGGAGAGAGAGGATGTTGCTTATTGTTAGTGTTGTGTAGTGACGACATGACTGCAGCAGTATGGTAACTATATATTTAAAGTTTATATTAGTAATTTAATTTCTCGGGACAAGGGTTCTGACTCGGGGAAAGAAGGAGTATATCGTGGGGTAGACGGGAATTTCCTTACCTTTCCATATGTAGAAGGGATGATGCGGAGACTGGGGTATTTGATGTGGGGATTGGAGAAAATGTGCGGTCGTCAAATTCATCGGAATCAGCACTACCAGTAAATGATGAACCAATCGTAGAATCCCGTCTATGTTGCTGTGGCATTAATGGATGGTTAGGTGCACAATGCGTGGGGGATGACAAAATGGCATCTAGGCTTGTGCGTCTCAAATGATTGAACATTCGTCCATCTGTAGAAGAACTGCTACTCATAGGTGGTGTAGGTTGTATATTAAAATTTGTCGTATGTTGTGGAAATGAAGAAGAAAGAGACATAGTGGGATCATTATTGTTTGCAGTATCGTTTGTATTGCCAATTTGATGAGTGTTATTATTGTTCAAAATTTGCTGCTGTTGTTGCTGTTGCTGCTGCTGTTGCTGAATTAACAAGAGATCAAGTTCTTTAGCCCTCAATTTGGCTTCTTCTGCTCGTCTTTTGTCTTCTTCAAGTTTACTTAATAGAATCAATCGCAATAGTTCGGGTTGTGATTGATAACTATAAATGATTTCTTGAAGATCCCCTGAAGCAGGGTTTTGTTGTTGTTGTTGCTGTTGAGATTCTTGCTTTGTGTTGCTCATAAGTGGTGAAGTCAAGTTGATGCTGGTCATCATATTATTATTATTGTTGCTATTGTTATTACTATTGGTGCTTATTGATTGACGTGAAAACGAATGAAATGGGACCTGCTCATGATGGTAAAGTTGAACTGTCTTTGCTGCATCTTTTTGCAGCGAAAAATTATTGTTATTGTAATCGGACATCATATATAAAAAAAAAGGGGTCCTATTTATTACAAGAATAAAAAAGAAAAAAGAGAAAGAAAATAATGAAAAAAAAACCTGATTTTTCTTTTCAAATAATTAGAATTACCGCACTCTCCCACACTTCATGACTCCACATTTACTAATGTAACGAGCATGTCGGCGTGAAAAAAAAGCGGGGGAGGGCTGGTAGCCCTGAGAAAAAAATTAAAAATATACAGTGAAATTAGGATTTTCTCCAGTTTGTCCCCCAGATTTTAAGTTTGTTTTACTTAATTTGTAAATTAATTACGTCTGTGATTTTTCCAACTACAGAATGTAATTTGAAAGCTTTTCCCACAAAAATGTAGTTCCTGATTTATCCTTTGACCTTTTTAGATTAGTTTTTTTAATGTATTGTTGAAATATGGCCAAACAAATGAATTCAAGACAAGTCTCTGATTGATCGTAGCATATTTGACATTTAAACTATTTTATACTTGATTTACATACTCGTATATAAGAGTGAGACTTTTATAATCTAGAAATCATTTTTTTACGTTTATTATTTGAATTGTTGCGAAAGAATCTCTGCTTTTCTTTTTAAAATACATCATTTTTGTCTTTAAAACACATACTGCTTTTCATTGATTCTTTGGTATTTCTAGTCATTCATTGGCATAGCATTGTATAATTCTCATGGTTACTAAATTCTGGTTTGTAACTCCTCATATATTGGTCACATTAGTAAGTGGGGGAGTCATGTCTTTATGGGAGAGTGCGGTAACTTTGTTCGAAGCAAGAGCGTCAACATGTGACACCGTGTCAATATTTAAAATTGTTTGTCTACACGTGTTAGGACGATTCATTGAATAACTGCAATAGCGTCTTTGACGGAATGGACAATGGATTTGAGTGTTATGCAGAGAAAGAGAGAAGGAACATCATATTGTAAAGAAAGGAAAGATGTTAAATAGATAGATATAAACACTATAAAGAAATGAAGACTTGCAATCTATTTTATTCTCTTCCTCTCGCTTGATGTGTTTGCAACATCAAAACAACTGTATAATATCTAGAGTGTTCCTTTAAGAATGTCTGTGGCGTTAGGATAAACTTTTGAATGGTTTAAAACAATATTCAGAGTTTAAAGAATTAGGGTTTTCCAGCTAATTCACCATTTTCCGTCTGCTTGGCCACATAACAGGAAAAAGAAAACTGAAGCAATAAACAGAATGGACAAAGAAACAAAGTAGGAGGTACGCAAACAGATCAAAAGAAAGCAGAAGAGTTGTTTTAAGCGTTTCCTCACATTTATTTGAAAAGGTACTATAAAAAACTTACGGCGTAAGATTAATATGTCTTTCAAGGTAGCCCAAAGTAAACCCTGCATAAGGTCAATTCACTTGTTTTCAAACTAATCAAAGTTAGAAAGCTAACTTTATTCTAACTTGAATAATGTTTTTAAACCCTTTTATTCTTTGATTACGCTGCTTAGATTATATAAAACGAAACAGGGTCATTTCTTGCTCGGGAAGAAAAAAAACCGTCCAAGAGTATCCCAACAAACACTTTCTATATTAAATCTTAAGAGAATTTTCATGTTCTACAAATAATTACGCCTTATTGTATCAAAGATAAGCCTGATTTAGTTATTCATCAACCAGTAGAATCTCTCCCTTGATTGATAACGAGAATGAGCATAAGATGTTTGTGCGTACACACACACACACACATACACACACACACGAAATATATAACGTGGTATGGTGTAACCTGTACTAAATAAGGTCATTTTGACGTCCTGCAATATCACTGGTTTGGATGTTTTCTCTCTCTTCCCAACTCGGTTTCTCTTTTCCCCCACATTTTTATAAGTAAAAAAAAAAAAAAATATTTAAAATGATGTAGAGCTGCTTTTCATCTGCATAAAGCTTCAAATGCAGTGCCATGTTAAAACATGCAGAAATCAGAGAACTGAAATAAAACGATATTACCTAGTTGAATCACCGTTTCTCATATCCAAAGCTGCTCTTCTCAACCTCAAAAGTACTAAGTGTTATAGTAAGATTTGTTCGTCTACTTCTTGTGAATCGAATGACGCTAAAAAAATCATTCGCTTATTAGTCAATATCCACTGAAAGGGGCCTCTTTTGTACTTTCTGCAATATACAATGAACTTTGAATGCCAATTTGAAGGCAATGCTCATATTTAGTCTTTTTTTTTTGTCCTAGTAAATTCGCTTTCTTTTCTTTAGAAGTATCTAGACATGGTCCTTCCTCATTTCGGTTGGATCAGATTTTTTTTTGTAAAATATATTTTATTTAAGATGTGTTTTTTTAGTTACACATCGCTGAGGGGTGTAACATGGAAGTTCTAAAAAAAGGAGTATATAGAATCATTCAATGAAAGCCTTAAAGTTCGTTTATCATCAAAAGATGTTGGTGTAAAAAAATCAATGTCTAGCTAATAATGTTAGATATGATCCACTCAGGGTTAAAAAGTTGCTTGTCAATGGTAAAGCGCCAGTAAGCGCACCATATTCGCCATTGACAGACAGATAAGACCGTGAAAAGTCGTTTGTTGGGCTGAAGGAAGGAGGGGCAGGACTGGAGACATAGTAGGGCATGTATTGAGTTAGCGGAAAGGTACAGGCGCGGGTAAAAGCAACTAAGGACCTCTATCCATATGGCCCATTCCAAAGGACAGTATATGATGAAGTGCTCAAACGAGTCAGTACCAGAAGAACACATGTTGCATTTGCTATCTGATACCCGGTTAATCGTGTACAGTCGTAATCCTGTAAGAACTTTCTTGTTAATCACTTGGAACCAAAGAGTTTTTGAAGGCAATGGCATAGTGGAGGATCAGAGTAGATTGAGCAGATTTAGTCGAGCATTGGATGCACCAACATATTTATGCATTCTATAAGCCTTTGAGGTGTATTGACTCCAGACAGGAGAGTCGTGCAACTGGGCCACTAATGGCTTATCATTTTCTTCAACATTCACCTGCTCTACTTCATTATAGATGGGGGTATCAAGAAATATTGGAGCTGTGCGCAATGTCGGATTAGCACATCATTGTACAGTGAGTAACATAGAAGTGGAAGCTTTGTGTACTCTGTGCGTACTTGCAGACGGAGCCAGTGTGTGTTCTCATTGAACTTGAAGAAGATCGCTGCAGGTGTATCAGTATGACGATGAAGCCAGTGACCAGAAGGCAAGTCAGTGAACATCGTGATCAATGGGAGATGTAATAATGTTTGAATCGGCACTCGCTGTAGTTTAAAGTCAATCCCAAAATGGTCAAATGCTTGAAACATAACAGGAATGATAGAGAGCTGATGGCACATATCATAATTTCGCAAGACTGGAGAAAAGAAAGGTAGAGAAGGAAAAGAGGAGTTGGTAGACATAAACATCAGATGGTGATTCAACGCTCACTGCAGTAGTGTGTTACCCTGATCGCGATCAAAAAGAGCAAAAAGCCACTTCATCTGGAGTACTAAATGTTGACATGCAGGGTTTAGAAGACCAACGCCTTCTTGTAGGCGGGGAATACATAGTTAGTCGAAAGATACCTTGGGATATATCTCTTGCCAGACAGACTTGTATATCAACCGTCGTATTTGTTCTAAAAAGGCTTGAGTCGGGTGGAAAAGCCGCAGACAGAACCATAGTTGGGACAGGATGAGAGTGTTCGTAATCATTGTACCTCCTCACAGAGACAAATGTCGTTGTGAGAAAACTTAAAGCACTGTTTATACCTTGTCAAGTAACATACCCTGAACAAAACTCCTTTACGTACTAGTATAAGGCATGTAGAAACCTAAATACCTCAGGGTAGTTGGAGAAAATTTGGAATAACAAGTGTCTATTCGATGTTGCCTTAACAAGGTTGATCAAGAAGACACAATATCACCACTTAATGAAAATGCTTCGGTCTTATGCTGATTGAAGATTGCCTTAGAAATCTTAGCGTAATTGTTTAAGTGAGTTTGGAGACGGACAAAGCCATTTTAATCGTGTACAAAGAGACATATGTCGTCCGCATATGCTAGACATCTGATCTGTTACCTTCTTGAGGAGTTCGAAGAAGAGTAAACTTGGTACAACGGGTCTTGAAGAATAGGTAGTAGGAGTGGTTCCAAAGCGAGATTAAAAGCATTGGTGAAAGAGGATCACACTGTCGTAGACCTCGCTTCTGATTTACTGGCTCAGTGAAGAATCCATTAGCATTAATATACATTGAATTATCAAAGAACAGACTATTAATGCTATCAATCAGTGAGAGAGAAAAGCCAAAAGCATGCAAAACTCGAATCAGATAGTCTGCATGAACACGATCAGATGCACCAACATTCCATTATCGCCAATAAGTCTGCCATTGAGAAATTCTGTTTAATAAGGATTGATAATTTTTTGCATGATTCGACCGAAGCGTTTGGTCAATAGCCTTGTAAAGATTTTTGCATCGCAGTTAATTAGCGAAATAGACCTCCAGTTCTTTAGGTCGCTAAGATCGCCCTTCTTTGGTAATAGTCTTACTCGAATGTCTTTCCAAGATGGTGAAACAATCCCATGAACAAGAGCATCGTTGTACAGTTGTTATAGCAATGGATCTAAAACAGGAAGCTCAAAAAGCAGACTTATATACACATAACCTAGGCCATCACTACCTGGGCTACTTTGTTTTGGACTGCGTGTAGGCATTTCCTGAAGCATATTGATAGTTATCGGTTCAAGCAGAAGATCTTTATCGTTTTCATTGAGTTTTTGTTCGAAATTAACTAGCCCTAGAGTAAAAACGGCCAAATCACAACTTAAACAAGTCAATCTTTAATGTACCATTGCTTGACAACCAGACTATCAAAATGGCCTCTTTTTTCATTTAAAACATGTTCTTTCGAGTCCAGAAATCGAATGGTATTGTTGGTTTGACTGTTTTATGATTTTTTTTACCAATAGGGGATTCATGAAGGTTCGTGAAAACGAAAGAAGAAACAAAACTCGATCAGAAAACTTTGGAATGGGCTAATGCAGGTCTGATCCAACTCCCAAGACTTTTCTCGGGAAGCGAAGTTAGAAACAACTCCTAAGCCTAAAAAAACTAGCAAACAACGATTGCATGCTCAAGTAGTAGCTGCGAAGACTCGAGTGTCCTTGATGCACAAGGACGTAAATGATACCCACCCCGACAAATCTTCTTCACTAGGTAAAGTACAATCGAGAATTTACAGATCATATAGACCTAAGGATGCTTTTCTTCTTGACATCACCAAGGTCAAAGCTCAATACACAGATCTTCAGTGTCTGCAAGAGATCAAAGCCCAACGCCCTACATTTCATGCTTGTTCTTTTCTCAAAGATGGTTCAGCTCGATATCTCGAGATTTATATTGAATCTCAACATGATGTCAATGATCTTGGTGCGAATCATTCCGTGCCAAGCCATCGGTAACAGTTGGATGGTGACCCCATATCAAACTGTCTCACCTATCAATGTTACCCAGATCCGAAGCTCTGGAAGGCCTAAAGGTCAGTTTATCTCCTTTCGGCCAAGTTATTGACGTCGGCATTATAACCGAACCTAATACTGGGTTTTTTATGGGATCCGATTATGCTGTCATTGGTATTCCCAGACAGTCAGGAGAAGACCAAATCAAGTATCAGGAGTTAGCTCACAATATCCGTTAGCGGGAGGGAAAGGATGAAATTCTCCATGCTACATGGAATAACATGCCCACTTGGTGCCGTTATTGCCATTAGACTGGTCACACGAAGTTTGAGTGTGAAAAGTCCAAGGCACGAATCATTTGCTATCACTGCCATTTATTTGGTCATCGATCTTTTGAGTGCCCGCGAAAAGCACCCATCAATCCATCAAAAAAGCGCAAGACCCCAGCGCCTAAGAATCAGACCTCTCAGGAAATGCCCCAACCTGCTTCTAAAGCGGATCAACTGGCCTCTTCAACAGAAGTACTAAAGACCAAGTATGTTCCAAACGACAAACGTGCTTCTTTGACTAGGGCCAAGAAAAATTTGAGACCAAACTCAATTAAAAAAGGAAATGATAGTAATGATGATATGTCTGAAGATGGCGAGAGTGACGAGGAAGGTTCAGACTATGTACCAAACGATGGTCATAATAGTGGCAGTGACAGAGATGAATCTGAACAAGAAGAGAGTGTTTCAGCAATGAAATTAGATGGAGTCAGGGGAGACGCTATGATTGATTTAAAAGATTTATTACCTATGCAGATGGATCGCAAACAGGCATTGGTTCAACAGATCCACCAAATACAGCAAAGGTCTACAAAAGAAATATTGAACGAGGCTGACCAAAACACTTTAGCTGAACTCTATCAACAATTGCTCCGTTTAGAAGAAAGTATACATTCGACGGGCCCCTTTGCAGGCCATCAACAAGTATATCTCACCATATCCTTATGACTAAAGAACTCCAACTACACTATGCGTCATTAAATGCAAACAGTTTAGTGAAAACGAATCAACCTAAAACACAAAAAGAATACATTCGATACTTAAGACTTTTAAAACTAGACATAATATACTTCCAAGAGACTCATGCGGATACACAATCCCGTATTGAAACACTCGACATCTTTTTGGACCCCCCCCCATGTGGGGATCGTATGCCTTTCTCCTAGTTTCAATCTATCCATCATTGACACTTCACACTTCTCATCTTCCGCTCGCTTCCAGCTTTGCAAAATGGTGCATCACAACACTTCTTTGAAGCATTTTATATACTCAACGTTTATACATCTGCCTCTGACCTCTCAGAGGGCAAAAACTTCTTCAATCATTTACATAATATACTAAACGACTTGAGAAATGTCATCTCCTTATACCAACTGATCATCTCTGGAGACTTCAACTACTCTCATTTACGGCTTGCTGATCTACCTTATACCGCCTACCCACAATTGAGGCCTAGACTAGAACAATCATTTACCAATGCTATGACTATTAACAATCTAGAGGACAATCTCACGTTTCAAAGACGCTCAAAGGATAGTTTCTCTTTCTCTACTATTGATTATATCTATGTTGGCGAAGATATGCAGCAAGGACTAATACAAGTCAATATCTCTTCGTCACTAGCATTTTGGACCGATCACAGTATATTGCAAGTTGATTTTGTGTTAGGTATGTCCAAATTTGGTCCGGGTATATAGAGAGGAAACCCAACTTTTGCAACACACAAAAGGCTACATGCTTCATTAGAGAAGAGAATCAACAAATTGGAAGAGCAATGAGCTGGTAAGAATTCACCTCAAAAACGATGGGAGCAAGTCAAGTTGGCAACCAGAAAAGTTGTGAGATCATATGCAATCAGTCATAACAACTGGAGAGAGCAAACTCTACGGCGTTTAGGAAAAAAAAACGAAATTGTATCTTAAAAACTAAACCGTCTTTAGCTGTCAAGTTGCAACTCATTCCACCTTTGGACCCTCAGATCCACAAGCCTCAACAGGAGATTGCTCAAATTACGACCATTAAATCTGGAATCCGGTGGTAGAAAAATGGTGAGACAAACATTCCTTTTCTGAAGCAGATACATCAAAAACGAACGTTACAGCAATACATGTCTGGATTCAGATACTTTAATGGTCCTCATCCTGGCATAGTAAATTCTGGAACGCTAAGCATGAAGTGCATCGTTCAAGACTTTTACCAACGACTATACACGCCTGGCACTGTCGCCCCTGCAGACATCAATACCTACTTAGGTGACATATAGAACTTGTTAGTAATGAACCTACAGAAACAATCATATGCTATTCAGAGTGATTAAGAACATGGAAGAGTGAAAACATGGTCGATTCACAATGCAAATATGGGACTAAATGGACATAGGACATACAGGATGGCTACATGCGAAGATTGAAAACCGATTCAACTCGACTCTTCTCCCGCCGCATCCGAAATCAAGCTTTTGCTGAGAACTGCATAAAGATGCAGTTTTATGGCTTTGGTATAGTGGCAAAAGTTGTACGTCTTTGCTTTCTGAGTCTATCAATGTAAGAGAAACACCAAGTTTGCTGCTAAAGTATTGAGCAAATAGGCAAAGGTGCTTATGAGTTTTTCCTCTCATATTTCGTCTTTTTTATATCATGATTAGCAAGCAAACATATCCGCCAAAAACTAGAGCCTTTGACACGCATTTTGAGTATTTATGCTGGTCAATAGCTTCATTTTTTGTCTTGTAGCATCAAAAGGAAGCTCTCTTTTTTTTTAAAAAAAATGTGTTCATTGATTGAGCCGCGTACACTAAGAGTAATAGTCAAAGTGAAGAGGCGGGTGCAATCAAAATGAAAGACAATAAAATAAAACGAAATATACTAGACAAAATAAACTAAAATAAAATAAAATAGATAGAAAGAGAAAAAAAAGTTACATGATTGAATGGCATTGATCCTCTTCAATAGTCTGACGAACATTGAATCGGATGCTTAAAGGAAGCTCAGAGTTGTCAGCTTGATGATTTTCATGAGCAGTACCTTTTGGATTCGAGAGATTTTGGGTCATTTTTTACATGTCGCTTTTCTTTTGTCCAAACTGACTCCAAAAAATACCCTGTATGTTAGTGAATATGGTTTGTAGGTATATAAAGTATCTATGCATGTATAAACAGGTTTATAATCATTATAAGCGTCAAGTAATCCACTGGTTTATCAAGGTATCGTTTTAGAATATGTATACTTTTATAGCGCACCTTCATTTTTTCTCCAAGTATTCTAAACATATTTTGCTGCAACTCGTTGGTTGTTGTTGACACGCTTTACAGGCCAAATTCCATAAATCTGACAGGAGTCAATCAATTCCAAACTCTCATTTTAAAATGTATATGGCCCAATCTTACACCTACGAAAGAAAAATTGATGCTTTTTTTGTTATTATTGCCACCTATTTCCTCTCATCTAGTTTTGACTCAGCCGCCCTTCTCCTACGATTCGTTCGTTTGTAGTGACCTATAGTGATTCGTTCGCTATTAGGAGGAGTGGGGCTAGACGGGCTACTAACTATGACTAGTTTGCAAAATTCATCTATTGCTTCTGATTCTATTGACCTTTCGCTTATGATTCGCTCATTCGTAAAGACCTACGGGGGGCTCGTTCGCCATTAGGAGGGTAGGTCAAGATGGGTCTTTGGCGAGTTGTGCGCTGTTTGAAAACTAGAGAGTGTTATAGACATTTTATTTAGTCGATGCAAATGTTCGATCAGCTCGGAAATAAAAATTATCAGTGCTAGCCAGTGCTACAAACAAACGAATACAAGCAAAAGACTTCTTCAAACTCATGATAATTACTTGATATTAATATTCAAACACGCTTTCTATGTCTCAATTTGGCCGAAGTATTTCCTATCACTCTTTTCCTTTGGTTAGCTTGATTGGCCCTTATTCTGAACAAAAATAATTTTGCTCTTCAACCTCTTTCAAAAAATGAAAACATGTAGTACCCTCATATATGCATAATCCCAAGCGATTCTACTGTATTTCTGATATTTGGAAAGCAGAAATTATACTGTTCCTCTTTTCTTTATTGAAAGTTCATTTGAACCTCTTGAGATAATAAAAAAATGAGTTTTTTTTTTTTTTTTTTTTTTTTTTTTTTTTTTTTGGAGATGTTCCGAAAGTTGAAAGGAGCATGTATGATTATAGTTTTTCAATTTATTCCATATAAATTCCCCCCATTAGACTCTGCGCTAAAGGTTCTTGAAATACTAAAACTTTTTAAAAAGCTTTTACTTGGTAGGAATTATACAAACGCAATGTTGTTTGAAAACAGTGAGCGTCAAGTCGCTTTTCCGTATGGTCTTTTATTCTATAGCTAAAATGATAGACTACATGCGTCCAAGTATATCAAGTATATATCCGCCATTTGCTTCAGTTTAGTAATACAGGCTGTGGATATAAATCAAGCCGTGTTCAATTGTCTGGCTTTTTCTTTTTCAAAGTCTAATTACCGTCAATATTAGCAAAAAGATATTCTCGATGATGGAGTTTATTCTAGTTGGAATCAAAGTATAATTGATAGGGTACTTCTTGTTAAAAAATGAATCAAATATGTCCATTGTTCAGGATGACTAAAGAGCAATGCTTGTGAATTTGTGGAAGAATCGTTCAGATTAAGTGCTGAAGATAGCCCATTACTACATCAAAGCATTTCTTTTTTAGTCATACAAGAATAAGGTATATGTGTTTTTTTTACCTCATAATTTTTCTATCATGCAGCGTATTTAGTTGTTCACCTTGTTCTATTTTTTTGTGCAACTTTATACCAGCATTTTTAAAGAGTGTTCCAAAAGATACTTAAAAAAAAGGAAAGATGTGTTTTCTTGTTCATCATACGACTCTTTAAATACTCTACACTCCAATGAATCAAGAACCAAGTAAACATCATGATTGAAGCAAAAAGACGTCATGTATTGTTGCTCTAGACTTTATTGTAGCAATCAATTACCTAACATGAAAAATAAGAAATAAAAAAAAAGACGATTGTATAGCATTTGTCATTCTATCAGTTGTCCGGAACAACTTGATCTATACAGATACTGTTTGAGAAAGGCACTTTCTAGCCTCTGTGTTTATTTTATCAGTATTACTTTTTCAAACAAGTTTAAATGAGGTTTCTGTTAGTGTCGGTATCAAGTACAATGATGTGTACTGTGCTCTAAGAAAAAATTTGATAAACGATTAGACTTTCTTCAAATTTGGCTGAAAGTTACAATCTCAAAAAAAAAAAAAAAAAAAAAAAAAAAAAAAAAAAAAAACTATCATATTAAGAGCTGCTTTAGGGATGTTAAAAACAACTATTGAAAAGAGCAGCAGCAGCAGATTTGGAAAGCCCAACATAAGCAGCATAATCATCGAAGGTCTCTCGGAGTGCAACAAAATCAATGGAAGCTACACATGTTCACTTCTTTGCGTGTCCCAGATTTGCACCTGATTGTCTCTTTCGTCGCTCGTTTTATTGATGCGAGTCATTTTGGAAGAATCAGGTTTTTAAAGAATAACACTTTGCCTATCATGTTTGAAATTTTCATATTTGATTTTTCTCCAACACCAAGTTCCTTTGTGTGTATCAAACAATTACTCTTGGAAGCAGGAGTACACAAACAATGTTTCTGACAATAGAAACGAGTTTTCTTTTTTATATAACGTTAGCTGCATATGCATCACAACATTATTAGTCTTGAAAAAAAAAAAGGAAAACGACAAGATGAATGCGTTTTGGATAACACTCCTTGGCTAATGAAAGCTTAGCCGTTGGAAGATCATGAACCTGTCAATTTGATTTCGCCGGGCCATCAAAGAGAGGAAAACAAAAAAAAAAGTTAAATGTCCGCCGGGCATTGGATTTTTTTTTTGTGTACTTGTGTCAGTGAATTACTGTATCGTTAAGCCGTTCTCTTTTCACTTACTGGTCATTTGTATGTATAACATGGCATCCATCCATTCATAGAGTCAAGGATAATCATCCATCCATGTACGAAATGAAGGATGATGTTGTTTTGAAAATTTGACAGGTTACTAACATTCTCTTTTTTTCTACTTTTCAATCTACTCTTACCATTACACTTCATTCAACTTTTTGTATGTTTTCAACAGATCATGGTTTTGAAGCACAACAACCAGTTGCCTAACCAGCACTTCCGCAAGCAATGGGACCGTCGCGTTAAGACTTGGTTCGATCAAGCTGGTCGCAAGAAGTCTAGAAGAATCGCACGTGCTCAAAAGGCTGGCCGTGTTGCTCCCAGACCTCTTGACGGTCTCCTCCGTCCTGCTGTTCGTTGCCCCACTGTCCGCTACAACATGAAGTTGAGAGCTGGTCGTGGTTTCACTCTTGAAGAACTCAAGGTAAAAAAAAAAAGTCGAGAAAAAAAAAAGAGAAAGAGAAGAGAGTTATTGATGTCCAATGATATAGGAAGCTGGTATCCGCCGTAAGGAAGCTCGTTCCATTGGTATTGCTGTCGACCACCGTCGTCGCAACAGATCCAACGAGTCTCTTGAACTTAACGTTCAACGCTTGAAGGCTTACAAGGCTAAGCTCATTGTCTTCCCCCGTAAGGCTACTAGCCCCAAGAAGGGTGATGCCGAAGCTGCTGAAGTTGCCACTGCTGTTCAACTCCGTTCTCCTCTCTTCCCTGTTGAACAAGTTGCTGCTGGCCCTGAAGCCCGTGCCATCACTGCTGAAGAAAAGAACGCCAGTGCTTACATGAAGCTCCGTTATGCTCGTTCTGCTGCCCGTACCCTCGGTGCCCGTGAAAAGCGTGCTCGTGATAAGGCCGAAGAAGAAGCCAACAAGAAGAAATAAATGAATTGACTTGAACCTGTTTCTTTTTTTTTGTAAAAAAAAAACTTTTATTTATTGTGAGAGAGAGGGAAAGAGGGGTATGATGTGAGTGGCTTAGTGTTGTCTTTCCATTGCCTTTGTTAGGCAACATCAAATGAAACTGTACTCAGAAGGAATAAGCTATACAATGCAACAATCCAGACAGATGATAATGTATATGGTCAGTAGACATGAATGATTTATCTGCAGTTCTCCCTGTTCCTTACATGTACTTCCTGCGTCATATATACGGTAGCAAGCTATGCATCCATGGATGAACTGATGTCTCTTTAAAGAGAGGGGATAAGACAACTTTTATGCAGCTGTCTTGAAATTCAGAATTTAAAATACATAGTGTTTATTTGGTATCATATATATATATATAAGTTGACTTGATTTTTATACAAATGGTAATGATGTAATTCTTAGTGATGAAACGAAATGACTTTTCTTATTTTCTTGGACAAGTTTTTTCCTTTGCTTGACAGTTTGGACGATTTTCTTCTAAAGACCTGTAGAGACGAAGGAGGAGAAGTAGGCGTGGGCGGTAAATTTTCTGTGATGTCACTTGTATTCGTGATCAAAGAAGGAACAGGAGGAACTTGTTCATGATGAGGATTGAATCTTTCTAGAAACATGCTTGTTCTACGACCAATCTTTTTTACCGATTCTTCTGTGATACTTGATCTGGCACGGTGTAAGATACGCTTAGGAGACAGTTTAGAAGATTTAGGCGTGGGCGGGGGTGTGATGAGCTCTTGGTTCTTGTGATGATGTTCGCCCAAATCAAGATCGCTATCATAGTATAAACAGTCGGATTGAATCATGCCACTTGCCATGCCAGGCATAGCAGGAGGAACAGGAGGAGACGATACCATTTTGATTGAAGGTTTTTCAAATTGAGTTAAAGGTGTCTCTAGATGGCTAGAAGGAGCACTAAATAAGCTATTTGTCATACGAGGGCTGTCATCACCACTCTCTATGGTGCTAACTGAATTTGACAAGGAGATGATTGTGTTGTCTCTCGCTGAAGAAGAAGAATTTTCTTGTATGTTGTCCTTGACTATAGCTTCATCTTCTGTCTCATAGTGGTGGTGCAGTTCTTGTTCTTTCAAGTCCATTTGTTGACTTGATTGAATAGAAGGAGCAACATTTCTGCAAGAAGAGGATGGGGCATCTAAAATTGTTGGTTTATTTTAAATGATGAAAAGAATGTTTTTACCTTCTGTTATGCTATTGGATTCAATAGAACTTGTTTCATTGGATGTAAAGACATTGTTGGTTGGTTTTGACCAAATTTTTTCAAGGTAGAGTATAGAAGCTACTCGCAACATAAGATTATAATACAAAACGATGAAGAAAAAGAGAGAGAGAGAGAGAGAGAGAGAGAGAAAAGAAATACAAAAAAAAGATTGCTTAAATGCAAAAAAAAAAAAAAAAAAAAAAAAAAAAAAGATTCAACACATAAAAAAGGGTTTAAGGGGGGAAGGAGGAGGAGGAGAAGGAACTGAGGAGTGAGTAGGGGGCGAAACTCAAGCCAAATACAGGTGTGTCACACCTATTATTACATAGTTTTAGAGTGCACTAAACTGCCATTATTTTACGTTTTTTTTTTTTGTTGAATGGTAATTTTTTCAATACTTTAATCTTTATACAAACATTTTTTACACATTCTCCAGATTGCCGCAGTTCCATAAATAACAATTTACGCAGCTAAAATAAAATAAAGAGGCACAGCAAAACACAAACAACTGGTATGCCGATCTTGTTCAAATAAACTTTGCAAAAGAAATTTCTGTTATAAACAAGTTCAGCTTCATTGTTTGTAATCAATTGTTACAATAGTATCATAAAAAGTCTGAAACGTTCTTCACCCTTCAGAGTTACATAAAGTTTTGTTTATCATTTGCATCATACAGATAGTCTGTGTACACTTGATATTTTATGATTGACATCATGTATACGATTTATTTTGTGCTTCACATTAACTATTCTTTTTATTCTTTTCATTCAAGCACTTTTAAAGTGATCTTCTCTTTCTTTTTTTTTTTTTAAAAAAAAACAGAGAATCAAATAACTATTTTGATGAAACAAAGGAGGGGAGAGGTATCAGCATTTCCTTGTCTTTTCTGTACAAGGTAAAAATCCAAGTCAGATGGATGGTGGAACCAAGGTAGATCCGAAGAATTGGAAAGTTGTCTTGAAACACATCTATGCTATTGACTAGGATAGTTATTTATGAGTAAAGAAGTAGCTACTCTCTATAGACTTCACTGTGGATCTATGTATGGAACACAAGCGTAGGTATACTGGCTTGAGATCCTTCAAGAGTAATGCGGTTTGGATCCGACTCTATATTCTATGAAAACGATGCTTATTTGGTAATACAAAAATGTCGGTTCGTGAATTCTGTATGGCATGTATCAATGCAAGCCCTGGAATAAAATAAAAAAGAGACAACAATTGTGATTAAGCCAGAAAATATGGTGTCACTTGAAAAAGAGACAGAGACACTTTCCCTTATTAAAGTTACAAGTGGTATAGTCACTCATTTCTTTTTTATTTTTTATTTTATCAAAGCAAATTACTTGTCATCTTTCATCATTAGAAACAAAACGCTGTAGCTATGTTCTACTCAACAGATATTTTCTATAGTCAAACATAAATCATGTCTTGATTTGCTGCGTAGTCTTTATTCATGTCGCGTTATTTTACAGTTAATTTTTTGAAGGAGGTGACACCTAGAGATACAATCAATAGCTATTCAAACATAGTGTATATTTCTTACTAGAATAACACCATCACCACGAACAAACAGCATATCAAAGTTTCTTTTTACAGTCTATCATCATAATAAGAACATGTACGCGTGTAGAGAGTATGGACTTACTCTAATCACTTGTTCTTGAGCATCTTCAATGATTTCAACAATAGTAATAGTCTCTTCTACTTCACCCAATACCATGTTCAAGTGGCCATCATAAGCCTAATCACACGTTCAATGACTACTATAGAAATAAAGATACCTACATGTAAATTACCACGTAATTCACGATCTCCTCTCAATTTAACATAGATGCGTTCGTCTAAAGAAAGTCTCACAAGATCAAGAGGTTCTTCAACAGAACCTACATCTAAAGAAGCATTGTTGACTTCAGTCATTGTTTGAATAAGAAAGAATTTTTTCAAAAAAAAAAAAAAAAAAAAGAGAAAAAAAAAAGAGGGAATCAGTGTGGGTTTTTAAGAAAGCGCAATTGTTTGCGTGGCATTATTTTTCTTTCTTTCTCTTTTTTTAAACAAGATGGTCTCTTTGGATGCTTTGAATGAACAACAAAAAGATACATTAGCACAATACCAGGTAACTCATATTGTTGTCTGTGGTGTCATGACTTATCCTATAGACAATAACCCACATTGATGACTTGGAAGAAGGTATCCATCACTTGATAGAACATGACTGGAATCTAGAGGCAAGTAAGTCATGTAGAAAGAGAGAGACTTGACTTATATCTTCTTTAGAGAGCTATTCAAAGCGTATATGAAAATAACACGACTACAACACAAGAAAGACAAGTGACACCACCACTTAGGCCAAATAGACCACCTTCTCTTTTATTATCTATTCTCTTTTGGCCTTTTGGTCTTGCTTGGAATGTAACATGGTCTATTCTCTCTTTCGCCACTCGTCTTATGTCTTCTCGTCCTGCTATCCAACAAACAAAAAAAGATCCTCGTACCTTAGCCATTGAATTCAAAGAGACATTTGAAGCCAAGTATGGCACTCACCATATCGAATTCTTCAAGGGCGGGTATTCTCAAGCATTGGAAAAAGCAAAAAAGGACCTGTTGTTCTTTTTAGTCTTGTTACATAGTGATGATCATGATGATACAGATGCATTTTGCAGGCAAGTCTCAATGAAGATATCAAAAGAAAGCTCATTCTGTTTAGAGATACACTGTGTTCAAGTCGTTTGATTGATTTTATTAGACAAAAGAACATACTTGTCTGGGCTGGTGATGTACATGCCTCTGAAGCTCATAAAGTAAGCTATACACTTCAAGCCTCTACCTATCCCTTTATGGCATTGATTGCGCTACAATCCAATGTGGGTAGTTCACCTAAAATGACGGTCATTGAGCGTATGGAAGGTCCTTCTCATCCAGAAGAGCTTGTCAGTCAAATTGAGCATGCTATGGATCGTCATGGTGCTGTTGTCCATCGATTGAAGAACGAACGCGAACAAAGAGAACAAGAACGACAGTTGAGAGTGGATCAAGATGCAGCTTATCATGAATCATTAAAGGCTGATCAAGAAAAGGCACGTAAAGCACAAGAAGAAAAAGAAGCGCAACAAGAACAAGAAAGACAAAAGCAATTGGCATTGGAAGCCATTGCCTTACAAAAGCAAAAACGAGAACAATACATACAGTATTTGTATGGTCAATTGCCTGATGAACCTACAGAGGGTCCAATGGCTAAATTGAGTTTTCGTTTGGCTGATGGTGATAGAGTGATTCGTACATTTAAACAAGATGCTACTGTGGATGTAAGTCTATCTATCTATGTATATCAACATATGACTTATTATGATATAGACCCTGTATCAGTTTGTACAAGTCTATCCATTCATCAAGAACAATCAAGCCAAAGATGTATCTGTTAAAGCACCTTCAGACTATCAACATCAATACAAGTTTACTATCCATAGTCCTTATCCTCGTATGGAGTATGAGCCCAGTTCAAAGCCATTGATTGATATCAAGAGCTTATGGCCAAGTGCTACTTTAGTAGTAGAAGAAGAAGAAGAAGAAGAAGAAGAAGAATAAAGTCTGTTTTATTTACATAAAGGAAGGAAGGGGTATCTTAATGTGTATGGTTCTTTAAGAATTGATCCACAGATTCAACTGTATCGGATCTTGCCATGTTTGCCTGAACAATATGTTCTAATGCCATATCCATCTTGAACTGTTGTGGCTGAATGTATGTCTTTAATAACTTGAGTAATTTAATCATTGTCTTTTCTTGACAATAACCCACAGGATACTTTGTAAAGAAATTCGAAAATACTTGACAAAACAACTGTTGGTCATTCAAAGGTCCTACAAGCATAGGCAGTAGTTTTGATTTAGATACAAATAATTGGCCTACAGCTTCGAGTTGAGCTATTCTTTCTTGGGTAGGTTCACTTGATCGAAAGGCTTCTTCAAACAACACATTCAGACTTGTTTCCCAAAGACATGTCCTTGCTAAAGGATCGAATTCAAATACAGGTGCCAGTACGTATTGGTATACATCAGGCTTCTGTTGAACCAGTTTTAAGAGAGGACGAGAAGGCAAGGTTGTCTTTTTAAAGATAGCAGGAAAGAACCATTGTTCATGAATCATAGTAGACGGAATATGATCATGATCTACTTGAGATAGAAACACACTCAGGTCGTCTTGTTGAGGATGAATATCCTTGTACAACAAGTGTCCCTTTTGAACCAAGGTAGCAAATCCATCAAACGAGAGTTGTTGAATTGTTCGAGAAAAATACGTATGAGTATCCAACAACATATGAGAACCACGCCTTTGTTGGTCTTGTTGCTCTATGGGTTTACCATAATGTTGCAAAAGACCTTGTAACAAACAGTGCGGTAAATGAGCACCCAAATGAAACAGGGTATGGATAAACTGCCCATGACAATGTTGAGGGATACTTAGTAAGGCATAATAAAGAGCAAATCGAGGGCCAAAACGAGTGACAATCCATGCAGCCTTGGATCGAGGTTGAATAGCCACTTGGTAAAATGCACGACACGTTAAAGCAAATGCTTGAGTACATTCAAGTGTATCCAACTGCTGATAAATACAGAGCAAAAGTTCTTTAGGCAAGTTGGATATAAAGTTATGCATCATGGCTGTCTTTTTCACTTTTTTAAAATGGATTTTTTTAAATAAAGATTTAGGTGCAAATGCAAGTGTCATTTGTTAAGAAGAAGAAGAAGAACAAAGAACAAAGAGGTCCCCCTCCTCCTCTTTTTTCACACACACACACACATATATATATATATATGTGAGTCTTGATAACAATCCTAAAGGATATTCACCTTTCTTTAAATCACGTTTGCTTGAAATTGAGTTTTGATTGGCTGAAATTCACAGAATGGCACAAACATCCTGCTTTTCCAAAAGATCATCCAACTCAAAAACCAATCAGCGTTTATTACAGCTTACTTTCAATCAATTCTTTCACCAATGGCCACACTTGTTTACGCGACATACGAACATTGCCTTGATCATAGAATGTTAAGCTATCTGTCTGAAGTGCATCAATACGAGTTAACTGGACTTGATCTGTTGTTTCAAGTGCTTCTTGAACCACTTTTAACTTGGGATCACACACCATCACTGCAAGTTGCCTTTTATAGTCACCTGCGCCTTCTTTGTCATGATCAAAAGCAGTGAAAATGACCTCCATATCCAACTGGCGTTCTTGTGTGTATTTCTTTGCTGCTTGTTCAATCTCTTGAGGCGAATCTCTTTCTGCCCAGGCATGGAAATACCATGTCACTGCACTTGTACCAATACGATACCCCTTCACAATGAATTCCTTATAGTCTCTGCGCAAGATATGATAGCTTGACATCGTATCTACTTTGGATTTGACATGTTCAATTGCCTTGAAGTACTGGTTGTCTATCAACCCTGCTTGTCTTGTCTTTAGTTTCTCAAACAGGGCAACGTCTTTCTCGGTCGTTCTGCCCAGTTCCCATTTGAGGTTGACCGTGTCTACTAACAAGGGAGCCAGGGCCAACTGAGTTACTTGAGTATGGTGGATCCATGCTTCTTCAGGAAACTGCTCAAGCACTAATGTGACACAAGACCCTACCATCTCAACCACACGTAAAGGTGCGTCCAAGTAGAGTTTTTCATCCACATGATGGTCAAGTACACCTACTACGCGGTCATGCCATACAGGCGTATGGAAGGGTGCAGTAAGATGATTATGGTCCACCAGCACAATGCGAGGACAGGTCAAAGCGTCCCAGTCAAGGTCATCGATACAAATCAGTTGGTGGTAGTCGAGCTGGGTTTCTTCAAACACGTATTTGAGTTCAGGGCGAAGTTCGAGGTCGTCGCGGGGTACTTTGATCAGAGGAAGATAGAGTGTGGATGTGTCGTTGAGGTAGCTTAGATAGGCAAATAAGAGAGAAGAAATAATCGAGTCAAGGTCTAGGCATGTTTAACGCAAGTTGATATCTGGGTATGTTTACCTGCAGAATCATTGCCTGTCACAATGATTTTGGGGATATCTTTTCGTGACACATTTTGACGTACCGTGTCAAGAAAACCTTCAATCGTTAACATATTTAAGAAAGAAAAACAAGAAGAAAAAAAAAAAGGAATATACTTTTTCTCTATCCAAGTGACTGCCAATCATCTCATCATGATGCTTCAACGGTAATGTAGTCTGTGTCAATCAAGTCTTTCTTTTATATATAAAAAGAAACTAGTGCTTTAGCCAAATACCTGCAAGTGTTTTTTTACCAGGAATTAGGACGAGAATCTAAACTACTTTCAATTGAGTTCCTTAAAAAAAAAAAGTGCCAGACACTCAATTATATCATTGAACATCATTGCTCATCTTTACGGAAGAACTAGTCCAGGTCAATTATCGCCTGTTAAATCTGACATGATTTCTTGACAAAAGTCCCAAAGAAAGTTTACCTCGCTTATTCCAAGAGCTCCGGAAGTCTCAAAGACAAAAAGCTTCATGAGTAAACTGTCTTCAAGACGAATATAATTGTTGATTCCCATCCTATGGTTTGCTTTGGTTAATTATCACTATCAGGATTCCATATCGAAATACGCTGCCAAACTGCTAGCCCATCTATAAAAGAATTAACCTTAAGCTCTAGATTGAAGAGTGACCACACTCTTCAGCTCCAAAGCAGCCAGTCTTGAATAGACCAATTTCACTAGAAAGCAACATAGAAGACATTCCTATATTCTCTTTTGGATTCATACAACACCGACACAAGGGGGCAAAGTCACACAAGAGTCAGACAAGGCCTGAAGCGAACATAAGAAGAGGTCATCACACCAGTGCACTATGTTTGTGATTGTCTTCTAGTGTTATTCCAATACAACAAGTGCAAAAAAGTCTTTTTTTTTTAACTGGCAACAAGTATATAGCTTTTTCTATCCAATTGACAAAAAAAAACCAATAAAGGCAGAGCTATTTTGATAGAAGAGTAGTATTAACTAGGTGATCAACCAAGTGAGAGAGAGGCAACAATACCATAAGGGCGAAAACATGATACTTGTTGATGGGAATAAAGAAGTTGAAAAAATAATCAAGAAACGTACGTACCTCATAAAGTCATTTTAGGCATATTTGCTGGGATGGCTGTGTCACTTAGACAAGAGTTGATAAGCTGTAGCATGTCTTTGGCCTTCAAGGTGACATTGCATGCTTCTTTATCCAAATCCCATTTCAGCAGTGCAAGTGAACTCAAATGACAGTCACTGTCCTGGTTGATTTGGACAGGGTCAAATAAAGAAACTTTTTTTTTTATTATTATTTTTGACACTTGTAGCCATGTTGAGTCGAATGAATCAAGCCAGCATCAAGCGCATTGGTAAGACAAATCCATTGACCATAACTGACCCCCCAATTAGCAGCTACCCCTCTTGTTCTTAAGCAAGGATTCCATGGCTCCGCTACTGCTTTTGCTAAAAAGCACCCTAAACAAGTCAAGAAAGAAAACCTTGCCAAACGTGCTGCCAAAATGGCCGAATTCGAGCGTACCAAGCCTTCTTTTATTGTATCTAAACCAGCTCCTTTCTTCAACACTTTACACACACCTGCTAGTGCTTACCAACAACAATCCACTGGCTACCAACACTTTATTACAGAAGCCGATCAACAGTTTTTGTTTGAAGAGACACCTAAGAAATCAGTCGAGTCCAACCATATGGCTGCTATTGATGGTATGGAAGAAGCCCTGAAACAAGAAAAGCATAAAGTCGAGACATTACAAAAACTAGTTGGCTTACAAAACGGAAATGCAAAGGCAGTACAGATCTGGAATGTGCATCAAGCCATTGATTGGTTCAAGCAAAAAGAAGGTGATACGGGTAGTCCTGAAGTACAGGCTGCTATCTTGACTGTACGCATACACAACCTTCATTCTCATTTGAACCAACATCATAAAGACAAGCACAATTACAAGCAGTTGCGTAATATGGTTCATCAACGTGCAAAGATCCTCAAGTATCTTAAGAACAAGGATGCTCATAGATACTTTAAATGTTTAGATGGTTTGGGACTAGAGCCTAGAGCTGTTGAAGGCGAGATTACTTTGTAAAATAATAATAATAAAAAGAAAGAAAAAATGGTATTTATTTACAAAAAGATCTTTTTCAATAGCTTTATTGAAAAGTCAACAGGATTTACTAAATCTTGGTCTAATTGACGAGGTTCAAAGGATCTATAGATAGTCAAAAAGAGTCTTTTTTTAAATAGCTTACCTTGACAATAATTCATCTGCAAGTTCAATGCAAAGTTGAGTGTGTTTGTTTGTCTGTGCCATTTTGATTTGATAGACAGGAATATCGATGGACACTAGCTTATTGGAAACAACGTTCACATAACTCTTAGGCAAAGACACTATATCATAGGCTTCTTTAGGAATTGTCTACAAAAAAAAAAAGACATGAGTGTCCTCTCTTGTTAGTTATTTTATACCTGAAGAATAAGCATTGGATTTAACCTTAAGAACAGAATGGTTTCTTTCAATTTTCTTGTGTTTATCGAAATTAGTTCTTTTGTTATACTAAACATAGGCACATCAGTATCTCAGCTCTGTCCTTAGGTTACTTACATAGGCTGTCTTTTCATGATAATAAGGCATTGTTCAATCACAGGCCAAATAAGTTGATGCTGATTCATAAAAGCAAACGAAAGATTCTTCCAGGCATCAATACAGATCATGTCTCGGGGTATACCATATGAATAATGGACAAGTTGGACTAAACAAGACTTGAAGGCCTCTTGATCTATTTTGCTAGACCATAACTGAATAGGAGCAACAAGTACAGTATGGATCAATTCAGACACTTGTGATTCGCTCATTTCCTCTTGTGCTTGTTGAATAGGATACAATTCTTTGGGTGTTCTTATGGGCTGTAATGAAGGCATGCAAATACTCTTTTTAGCCTTGATATCTCTAACCTAACATATGAGTCCTTGAATCTCTTCCCGTCATACTCGCTAACCTAAGCAATTCAATATAGTACAAAATACTATCACTTTTCCATGTCTCATGCAACAAAGCCTTTGAGATGAGTGCAATATAAGTCATTCTCTCTCTTTCGTTCTCCTTGGCTTGGATTGCCTTTTTCATGAGTTTTTGAATAAGAATAGGTAAACCTGTCTATGTATAAGCCTGTTACTTGTTTGTCTGCTTTTACTTACGTATAAAAGACATGCATTCAATCAATAGTTCACAAGCCTTGTCGCTACTCTTTATGAGCGGTATAAGATTACCTTGTAAAATAGACCTAGTAGCATGATCAATCATCATGTCATGTTCAACAAGACTTACAATACTGATTCTGAATCTTGTTGAATCAAACAAGTCAACAAACGGAAAGAAAAGTCTGCTCTGTCGTCTTGTTGTGCAATATGCCACAGTGCATTACAAATAGGCGATTCAGGCTCTTTGAGCACCATGGGCACTAATCTTTTGATAGATGTTGTATCTGTTGTCTGATCTAGTATGGTCTGTATCAGTGCAGGATGACACACATTCTCTGTTGAAAATAGATGTGGTAAAGTAGCAATCAATGAAGGCAGCAACACAAGGAAGGGGCTATCCATAGACAAAAGTGTGTTGTATTCTTCTTGTATGTGGGTTTCGATTTCGTCTTGCTCAGTGCTATGGACAGTAGACAGATGGTACCATTCCCCCTTTTGGAGTAGTGTCAGTACAACAAGTTTAGCAAACTGCAAATGGACAGACGCAAGTATCTTTTTCTGCTTTTTGAATGAGATTGGCTTCTCAGTGGCAACGGCTTTTGGAGTTAACCAGACAAAGAGCTCATTCCACATAAGAAGATGGTCTTTGTGTTGTAAGATTTGATGTAGTTGCTGATAGGCTGCTGCTTCCAAAGGTCCCTTTTGAGCATGCCACTAATAAAATACCAATGAATACCATGTCATGGTGATGATGTATACCTTTTCTAAGACAAACAAGACTCTGCCTATTTGATGCCAGCTTGTTGACAAGTGGTTTATGGTATTCACTTCTTCAACAACCTGAATTTTAGTATTTCCTATGATAGGATGTGCTGGTTGAGTCAAAATAGATTGGAGCAACTGAATGGCTAGTTCACAAGAAGAACATGCTAGTAGCGTAGGCTTGGATTGCTTCTCTGCAATATGGATCAACAGAGGCACAAGGTCTATTATAAACTGATCATGTCTCTCTTTACCAGCAACATGTGAGAACAGAGACTGTAAGAGTACAACACACGCTAGTTGAGATCGTTTATCTTCCATCATAGTTAATTCGTTCTTTAAAATGGCCTGAACTTGGTCTGTTGTCTGTTTGGATTGCAATGTAAAATAGCCAATGATGCGTATAGCAGGCGTATTGGCTTGTGTGTTCTTTTTGAGGATCTTTTCTTTTAGAGGCACATACACATGCTGAAAGCTGGTAGTAATATCGTTTTGTAATAGATAATGTTCGATTGAAACAATGGCTCGGACAGTAGGTGCTATCGAGTATCATTAGTTCTCCCGTAAGACATGAGGTCAGTTGTCCTTACAGTCAGTCATAGCAAGTACAAGTTGAGAGGCATCGCATGTCTGAATCGTATCCACTGCTTTATCAAAGACGTGTCGGTGTACATTTAATAGTAAGTGTAAAGCCTTGCCTAAAGGAAGATCAGAAACAGCATCCTCGATCGCTTTCTCTAGTTCTTGAATCGGTCCTGGTTTTTCTCTTTCAAGTCGTATACTCAACAGTCCTTTTTGATCCTGATCGAGTAGCATGAGATGATAAATATATTTATTTATGTAGAGTCAACAAAAAGAAAAAGGAGGGTGTCTTTAAATAGGCGACTCTAAAAACAACCGCATAAGTGTTATGCTTGAGATACGTTTGGATTTACCCCTTCATTTTTATTTATTGTAATTGATTTTGACAGGACAATAAAGACTGTTTTATGTCTAAACAATAGCAGCCTTTGGAACATAAGATTCTTCAAGATATTTGACATCTTCTTCAGAAGGTGTAAGGTCAAGAGCACCTATCAAGTCATATAATTGCTTGCTCTTACTGGCACCAACAATAGGAGCAATGACATAAGGCTTCGTGTATTTACAGGCCAAGGCAACTTGAGTAGGAGTAGCATTGAGTTTCTTGGCCACTTGAGCCACTCTTTCAACGATTTCATCATCTGCAGTATGTTGTAAATAAGGAAAGAGATTGTTTGTGGTTCATTGAGACTTAGAACGTTGCGTATTTCTGTTGACACTCAAGAGATCACCTGAAGCCAAAAGAGACCAAGGGATCCATCCAATACCAGCATCAAGACATTAAGGGGCCATTTCACGTTCTTCACGGTAAAGTAAGTTGTATAAGTTTTGCATGGAAACAAATTTGGCCCAACCGTTCTTTTCAGCAATATGGTTTAGTTTAACGAATCGCCAGATAAAGATAAAACTGCAGCCAATATAACGAACCTAAGATATATTGTTAGTCTTGAATTTTTTCGAGTTTTTTTTTTTTTTTTTTTTTTTACCTTACCAATACGAACCAAGTCATTCAAAGCCTCCATGATTTTCTTCATAGGAGTTTCCTATCACGCATGAGTAAATAAAGATAAGAGTGATTTACCTACAGTATCAAGACGATGGATTTGATAAAGATCAATGTAATCAACACCGAGACGTTTCAAAGAAGCATCACAAGCATCCATGATATGCTTACGAGAAAGACCAAACTTGTTGACCATACCAGAATCAAGGCTCAAATCAACAGCACCTGAGCGATCTGTCTCAGGAAACATAGGAGAAAAGACCTTGGGAGCAATGACCACACGACTTCTAGGAACATTTAATCCTTTCAATGCTTTATCGAGAATACGTTCACTTTCACCATTGGAATAGACATCAGCCATGTCGAAAAAGTTAATACTCACATTGTAAGCTTCTTTAATGACCTCAATGGACTCCTCTTCACCTTTAACCCATTCAGCCTTTGAAGCATTCTATTTAGGATCACCATAGCCCATACAACCCAGACAGATTTTAGACACCTAAAATACACATAAGCTTTATATTGATCTATGTATAGAAAGACAATTTACCTTCATGCCAGTGTTGCCAAGGCGAACATATTGCATTTTGTTATTAGAAGACATATCGAGTTTTATTTTTTCATTCAATGCCATTTTATATAAACTCTAATCATACTAAGGAAATAAGCTACGTATCTCACTTTGAAATACAGTTAAACAAAAAAAAATTAGGCCCAAACCATGATGAACTATTCTCTGCCAGAGACTCGTCTACCCTGAACAAATACATGCAGCAAGTTATAATGACTGCCATGGAATAAGAATTTTTCCACTTTCTGTAACATGGTTTCACCACCCATCAAATCAATCGTGCCACCATTCAAATCCACCCATAATGCATCAAATGCTTTTCCTTTTTCAAAATTACCAATCTGATGCTGTAAGCCTAGCACTTGAGCACCACCCATTGTGGCTAGATACAATAGTTCAGAAGGTGTTAAGGGTGCATAATCAGGGTTATGATACAGATCACGCTGTTTGACCTTGACAGTCTTGGAAGCAAAGAAACTTGTACGGACAGCATCCAACATGGAAGGCGAGAACCCACCAGCAACATCTGTGCCCAGTCCTACCTTGACTCCCTTCTCCAATAGACGACGAACATCACACACACCACTATGCAACGAGAAATTCGAATTGGCACAATGAGATACACCTGTCTTACGGGCCACTAATAAATCTACTTCTTCTTCTGTCAAATGCACACAATGAGCCATATAGGCTCGTTCGTTCAATAGACCATGATCATCATAGACACTGGTATAGTCTTTACTGGCTTTGAAAAGAGAGCAAGCAAGCTTGATCTCATCTGGATTCTCACACAGATGAGTTTGAATAGGTAGGTTGTGTTGATTGGCAAGCTGAGTTAGACCATGCATCAGTTCAGAAGAACAAGTAATCGCAAATCGCGGTGTCACAACAGGTGTGATAAGTGAGTTATTCTTGGTCTTGACATACTCAATAAATGTGCGTGTGTCTTGTAGACTGGAGCTGGTTGATTCGACATAATAGTCTGGTGCATTTTGATCCATATTGACTTTACCCACATAGGCACGCTGGCCAAGATCTGAAATGATATCCACTAGTTTCTGACAGGCTTCTAAATGAATGGTAGCAAACCAGCTACATGTCGTAGTACCATTCGCTAAGAATCGCTGAATGACTTTGGTGTAGGCTTTACTTGCATGATCTATATTTTGAAAAGCAGACTCACAGGGGAATGTGTAGGTATTAAGCCAGTCTAATAGAGGAAGATCCATGCCTGATCCAGCAAACATATATTGTGGCGCGTGCTATACACATCAGTTTTGTGTGTTTGCTTATATGTGAACTTACTGCGTGTGTATCGACAAAGCCAGGCACAAGGAACTGCTCAGGGCCCAATTCTTTGATCTGGTTGTTTTGTGAATAAGGCGCTTTATTTCAATGACATAGCTTACCTGTGTGTCCTGATAGGAATGAGCAGTTAAGAAGGCCTTTACATCTTGAACATCTTGAGCAACATTCACAATCACGCCATTTGTAGTGTCAACGACCAAAACACCTCGAGAAATGATGTCCAACTGACTCATAGAGACAGCGTGAACAAGTGTACCATAATAAGCAGTGTATTTAGTCATCATATAAAGAGAAGAACGAAATATGAGCAAATCTAAGAATTTATATCTTTCATTCATGCAAAATGATTGGCTGGGAGAGTAGCAACCATAACAAAAAAAAAAAAAAAAAATACCGGCTATAATCACCCATGATAAGGTATTTATTATTTATGATTACAAAGATAAAAGATCATCAAAAGCAGTGGTTTTCTTTGGGGTTTGTGGTTGCGATTGTGGGTTTTTGGAAGCCCAGTTATTCCAATCAGCTTGTACACTGGTGCTCTTTAAAGTGTTCATAGAAGGACCGGTTGTAGTAGCGGTTTGATTAGGTTTTTTACCTAGAGAATCCAATGATACAAAACCAGATGCTTGTGCCCATATGCCTGCTGTAACAGGTGCAGGAGCAGGCTCAACTTCTTTTGGTTTCTCTGGCTGGTGGTAACCAGGAGAAGCAGGTGTTATGGGTTGCTTTGCTTCAAAAGCAGCCAATTGATGCGTAGGAGTAGTAGACTCTTCCCCTAACAAATCAAACAAATCAGGCTGTTTGTTGCTTAAAGACGGTTCTTGAGCAGGTGTAGCAAATTGGAAATCATCAAAATCATCATCCAATACATCCTTTGTGTTCTTTGGTTGTTGTTGTTGTTGTTGTTGTTGTTCTGCCACTCCCCCACACTCAAAATCACCCCAATCATCATCGTCATTGGTTGTAGTGTTGTTCTTGCTTGTACTAGGTTCAAAATCTTCTTCTTCATCATCAATATCGTATTTACCAATGTTTGTCTGATGAGGATAAGGTGTAATGCCTTCACTCTCAAAAGTGAGTGAATCACCATTGAAGCTAATACCACGGCCCTGATTACTACCAAAACCATCACTTCCAAATCCAACATATCTAGATAGACCACCACCATGAGTAGCACCCATAGGTGTGCCTAACGAATCAGAACCTACACCAATGTATTTGGTTCTGTTCTTTTTGGCTAGTTTACGTTCTTCTCGAATACGGTCTGTACTACCCAACAATTCTACAACTTCTTTCGCTCTGTTACGCACTAGAACAAAGGTAAGTGACTACGTTTATATGTGTATAAGCTTGCCATTCAGTCCTTCATCTTTTCCTTTATCGTCTACATAAAAGAAATTACGCATAATTTTGATCATAGAAATATGCGCTCTAGCATCATCAATGACTCGCTCTGAACCATTCTTGATGAGATATTCTAAAAGTACTAATGCCTGCCATGAAATTTAGTTTCTGATTTAAATTCATGTAAACTTGCCTTGTAGATTTGTCTCCATTGTTTCGATTCTTTTTCAGTAAAGCGACGATAAATGGTAGGCATGATTTCATTAAAATATTGACTATATGAGAGGTGAGTAACACACTGTGTACATCATATGATATCGCTTTTTCTTTACTAATTGTAAGTGCCTTGGGCTATTTCTTGTAATAGAGTACTTGAGGCTCCCCAAGGTTCATTGTTGGTTGCTTCATGCACCTTGGCTTCCATTTCAGTATAGTTTAATACCACATTTTTACTAAATAGAGAAAGAGAAAAATGAGATAACCCAAGGAATGGCATGACCCAAGTGACTTACAGTTTATTCACGACATCCTATATACAAACATGAGTCTTTATTTCTAAACCACCATGACTATTTATCTTATTTTTTTTACCGAGAATTTACCTTGACTTCCCAGACGTCAGGGATTTGAAAGTTCATATTCGCGACAGAGAAAAATAGAAAAAGAAAGAAACAGAGTGAAAGAGCGACGGGAAATAAACTCAAGCGAATAGAATGTCGTATATGACATCAGCATTGATCAAGGAATGGTACACAAACAAACAAAAAAAAAGAAGTTTATGCGTTTTATTGAGATGGATTCTTTTCTTCGTCACGATAAATTCGGCTATGACCACTTTGAGAACGATGGAGAGTCAATTCAGGCAAATCTTTTGGTAAAATCCAATTTAGAAGGATAGCTATGAGACCTGTCATAATGTATCCTGTCTCTACAATGGTATTGATCGAGTCATAAAAACCTTGTGCGGCTTCATTAGTTGATTTGGGCATCACATACGAGAACCAGTCAGGCACAACAGACACACCAAGTCCAATAGCCAAAGCAGAAGCAACAATCACTCGGTCACGTCTGGTCCAGTCCAAATAGCCCAAGATTCTGACGCCCGAAGTCCCCACCGAAGAGAAAATAAAGAGCGTCATACCGCCAATGACAGGATCAGGAATCGACAAAAAAGCCGCTGAGATTTTCGAAAAGATGCCACAGAGAATGAGAAGGCCTGCACAGACAAGGCCTGCAGTTCGAGAAGCACAGCGTGTGACAGCAATCACACCGTTGTTGTTGCTGTAAGTGATGACGCCCATGGTAGAGCATAGGCCAGAGAGAACAATACTCACACCATCACATAAGAGGCCGCCTTGAGACCGTTCTTCAAACGCTTTGCCTTCGATGGGTAAGCCAGATACATCACTTGCAGCCGTCAAATCGCCTAAACACTCAATCATCATGTCGAGACAAGTGAACAGAAAAGGAAGAATAGCGGGTGGATAGATACTGTACTTGAATGTCTTGACCCAGATAAACGTAACAGAGGGCGCAGAGGTAATGCTGCTGTTGTCCAGCATACCCAAGGCACCCGTGATAACGATGCCTACAATTAATCCTAAAATGACAGAGACGTTTTTCATAAATACAGAACCAACCAGTTCAATCAGGATAATGAAGCCAAAGACAGCGGCTCCAATGCCAAAATTAACAGGACTGCCCCAGGCTTGAGGATTCGGTGCATGGATGTCGGGACAGAGAACGTATTCACCAGAAGAAGGCCTGTCCATACAAGGACCAGATCCCCCTGCCCAGTTCTTCATGGCAGTTGAGATTAAGGAGGTACCAATGACCACAAGGACTGTACCGGTGACGATTTTAGGAAACAGTTTACGAAGTACACGATGTGGTAAGAAACTAATACAGATATTTAAGAGAGCACAAAGCATTTGAGTGCCTAAAATAGCTCCAAAGGCGTCAGGGCATGGCAAATAATTAATGGTGCCATCTTCTAATACTGTTGTTGGGCATCGACCATCTAGAATAAATCAATATCTTTTTTTTTTTAGTATCAACTTACTTTTATACATGTTTGAGACCAATGCTTGTGATGCAGGCATGTTAGCAAATGCAACACCAGCAATTTGAAGTAGCCTATACATGCATTAATTCAATTAAGAAGGCCTTTCAAGAACTTACCCAATACCGAAATAATATCTTGTTTTTGGAATCTTGAAACGTACAATTTGAAAGATACTTGTTTGAGAAATGAGTACTTTACACGGGACTATCTATGGTATATACCTCATGATACCACTCACGATCAAAGAAACAGAGACCATGAATTGTCGAGTTTCTTCATCTAAATTCAAGTTATTACTACCAGGACCAGAGAGTATAATGGTCGGGGTTATAATGCCAGCTATCACAGCAAGAAAATCTAGAGATAAATGGGTCAATAAGCACATTTTAAAAAAATGTTTGGTTCCTCAACTTACGTTGAACACCCATGAGAATAGCGACAAAGACAGGCGGTACATCATTTGGACCATAAAACAAAGGCGCTTCCGTTTTCTTTTTGGATTTTCCAAACGGTATTCGAGGCATGCACAATGCATTGTAATCGTAATCGCCAAACAATCCATCATATGAAAAAAATGTGCTTTGAAAGCGTTCAAATAAGGGTGGTCTGTCCTGTGTTGACATGTCTTGCTGAGCAGAATAGAGCCGTAAATCTTCTATTTTCTCTGTTTCTATCACTTGAGTCATATCTGACTTTAGTGTTGTAATGTGCATATCATTTTGTTGCATCGACATGGCTGAATAAGATATAGGAAAAAAATAAAGAACGCATCGATCTTTATAAATGAATGCGAAGTATATTGATCAGCCTATTGGATAAAAGCATTTATCTAAGATGTGTATTTAGTACAAGATAAACCAGATTTGTGTGGTACATAAAAAAGATAACGATAAGCAGGCTTTACTTTTTTTCGCATACACTTGTAAAAGATAACAGATGTCTTTATTTTCCTATCTTTAACAGATGTGTCATTTGTCAATTTAATCTTCTAGAGTAATCTTACTATTAGAACTCAATGCATGTCATCTTTTTCAAAAAGGCTTTTATTTTTTTTGCTATCAGCAGAAAATAATAATCGCTTTCACACTCGTAAACAAGATATGTTGATAAGTTTGCAATGTATTTAAAGCGTCTTGAAGGCGCTATAGATTCTAGACTAATACACAGATTGTATCTTTGGAGGGACCTTGATAATCATGCTGTGATCATTCATGTTGACCCAATGTTCGTTCAACCGTCTTAAAGTAGTGTATGACATATTTAACCTTATCCTAAAACTTTTGAACATAAGCATATACATCAAAAAGAATATCTTGGTGCATGAAGCATAGAGATTTAAGCAAAAAGATTCGAGAAAGATACTTGTCTATCTATAAGACGATACAGAAATGTTATATATTTTATTGTTAAATCCTTTTGGTATATGAATTAACCGATGATGGAACCGAACCCTCCTAAAAAAAAAAGTGACAAACACATACGGTTGTATGACCATATAAAGGTAGCATAAAACCTATTTATACATGCATAGGTACTTTATATACCTACAAACCATATTCACTAACATACAGGGTATTTTTGGAGTCAGTTTGGACAAAAGAAAAGCGACATGTAAAAAATGACCCAAAATCTCTCGAATCCAAAAGGTACTGCTCATGAAAATCATCAAGCTGACAACTCTGAGCTTCCTTTAAGCATCCGATTCAATGTTCGTCAGACTATTGAAGAGGATCAATGCCATTCAATCATGTAACTTTTTTTTTCTTTCTATCTATTTTATTTTATTTTAGTTTATTTTGTCTAGTATATTTCGTTTTATTTTATTGACTTTCATTTTAATTGCACCCGCCTCTTCACTTTGACTATTACTCTTAGTGTACGCGGCTCAATCAATGAACACATTTTTTTTAAAAAAAAGAGAGCTTCCTTTTGATGCTACAAGACAAAAAATGAAGCTATTGACCAGCATAAATACTCAAAATGCGTGTCAAAGGCTCTAGTTTTTGGCGGATATGTTTGCTTGCTAATCATGATATAAAAAAGACGAAATATGAGAGGAAAAACTCATAAGCACCTTTGCCTATTTGCTCAATACTTTAGCAGCAGACATGGTGTTTCTCTTACATTGATAGACTCAGAAAGCAAAGACGTACAACTTTTGCCACTATACCAAAGCCATAAAACTGCATCTTTATGCAGTTCTCAGCAAAAGCTTGATTTCGGATGCGGCGGGAGAAGAGTCGAGTTGAATCGGTTTTCAATCTTCGCATGTAGCCATCCTGTATGTCCTATGTCCATTTAGTCCCATATTTGCATTGTGAATCGACCATGTTTTCACTCTTCCATGTTTTTAATCACTCTGAATAGCATATGATTGTTTCTGTAGGTTCATTACTAACAAGTTCTATATGTCACCTAGAGTAAAAACGGCCAAATCACAGCTTAAACAAGACAATCTTTAATGTGCCATTGCTCGACAACCAGACTACTAAAATGGTCCCCTTTTTCATTCAAAACATGTTCTTTTGAGTCAAAGAATTAAATGGTATGATTGGTTTGGCTGTTTTGTGAAATTCATTTTTTGACCCACGAGAGATCCACGGAGGTCCGTAAAGATGAAAAAACAAAACTCGATCAGAAATTTTTGGAATGAGCCAATGTAGGTCTGATCCAACCGAAATAAATCAAGGCCATGTCTAGGTACTTCTGATGAAAAAAAAGCGAATTTACTAAGATGAAAAAAGCGACTTAATACGAGCATTGCTTTCAAATTTGCATTTAAAGCTTGTTATACACTACAATTGATCCTTAAGTGGCCCATTTTAGTATATATTACTTACCAGACTGATTCTTATTCTTACACTATTTGATTCATACGATATAGATGAGTAAATCATACAATAATACATGACACTTCTGAAGCTAAAGAGAGCGACTTTTAGCATAACTAGCGATAGATGTCGTATATTAGAACAGCGCCAAAGAAGCAAAGCACTGAACAGACATAGTTACATGGTTGGATCCCATATACTCTTCCATGTTTATATGTCAAATGAATGAGAATACAAGCTTTTTGAACAAATGACAATGGATCGAAAAGTGCCACATTCGGAGTCTAGTGGCTTAGCCAATCAATTTAATAGTGTTTGTTGTCCTGATTGCATAATAAGGATGCACAGACAAATGATTTCTTATTAAATGTATCATAGAGTTGCTTTTTGTGTTTTTAAAGATATCATAAAATTTAGGCTTATGCTTGAATTGATAGATTGAGCTTTCTGATTGGTAAGGCAGCTGTAGATGGACAGATAAAATCAATAAAAAAAATGTTTGGATGTCAAACAAACCTATCCAGCCGAACATCTGTCAAATAATTCTTTGCTTTAATTTCATACCTGACCAAATACTTATTTGATTTGAATCTTACGTGAAAGTAGGTCGTAGACAGATAAACAAAAAAGTTAAGGGAGTTGTTAGCAGCCCATAGTAAGAAGACGTCGCTTATACACTTTTTTGAGAAAGCTCATAAGCGTAGTAGTCTTTCTATTTACGGCAGAATCCTGTGTTCTAGCAATGGGGACGAAACTTCAAAAGGATGGTGACATTTATTTTTGTGATCCAAATAACATCACCCTTTTGAATATCCTACACTAAGAAACCAGTACTTTTTGAGATGCCGAAATACAAAAAGTGTACGTTAGGACCTAAAAGCTGACATCTCATTTTTAGAAAATTGCTAAGTAACATTTTGATAGCTCTACATTTTTGTGCACTTTTGACTCATGATTCTTTTTTTGATTTTCAGATTGCTTTGTTGTCTTTCAGTATACTTTTCTATATGTACACATATGCCTGCATTGCGTTGCATAAAAATCTATCGCATTAGTATGGTTCTACAAGCCCTATACTGTTACTATAGAATGAGTATTTGATTTCCATTTTTTTAATATAGTATTATTCTCAGTTTTCCATTGACGATTGTTTCTAGAAATTGAACAAGACAATTTTCCTAAACACATTGAGCAAAAGAATAACGATAGTAAAGGTCTATAAATAACTTTGCTTCTTGAAAATAGGAATTGACTGCTTTTGCTCCTCTGTAACACATAGAATATTGCATTGTAGTACAACTTATAGGCAGTCCAATTGTTTTGACATAATTTATGCACGTGAGACAGGAAAGTGTTTTATTTTGTTTATACATGAGTGCTTTTCTTTTCTCTCTATATGCTAATCATGAGGCTGAATTAAATTTCATTAGATGGTGTTGCTCGAGTTCTTGAAGCAATATTTGTTGTCGAACTCAACCGAGGAGTGCTATTACTGCTACTTAAATTTAAAGCACTTGTTGAAGCACTTTTACTACCGACCGTGAGTGCTTGAGACAATCGATAATCAGGTGTAGTGAGATAAACAAGGTTTCGGCTGTCGTTCAATGGCAAATTGGTCCGAGAATCGTTATCGTAATACGAATCGTCATCATCGTTCATCATAGCATACTTGGCAAATTCCTCATTATCTCCAAAGAACTTGGTGATCTTTTGATGCTCCTGTTTTGATTGGTATCGATGGAGTATCCATAAAAGTCCAAGAACCAAAAGGACAAAAATAACAACTGCAGCTCCTAGAACCCCCAAAGCCAAGGTTGGATCTTGTGAAACACTTCGGGTCCATTGATACAGATACCACCATTAGAACAGGTACCTGACAAACATTCACGATCCTGTTCGCATGGTGAATCATTTACTTTCGATTCAATACAAACAGCACTGAAGCAATAGGTTCCGTCAGTACAATTGTCTCGAATGATAGTCTGCTGAAGGCTATCTCCCGCTGCATCATAAGTAATATAGACTGTTCTATATATTAAGATGGTTAGATAAAGAATACAATTTTAATAATACCTACAGATCTGAGCCACAATTGCCTCCAAGAGGAGCACCCTTAATAAAACATGTTGAATTCAAACAAATGGCATTGTTTCCCGAGCATTCATCATCTCTTTGCTGCCTCAGAAAAGTTAGATTTCTAAAAAGAAATGATGGTTGCTTACAATTTCACAGCGTTGGCCTGTTGGCACAGTGGGTGTGCATTTCGAATTGTTATCAGGGCAATAAGTTGAGCTATTGCATCGTACTGGCAAGGGCCGTACTTTTGTATCCCATCTTAAATTATCACACGTTAATTTTCGAATATTTCATAACTCAAACTTACCCTGCAATATAATCAGCATTAGAGCAACCTTTATAATTACAAGTGTTTGTAGAAGGATCGCAATAAAGATAGACATCCTCACAAGAATCATCGTATTGCCAACTCTCTCTATAGAATTGTCAATCAAGAAAACAAAAAGAAAAAAGAATAAAAGCTTACCTATAAAGAGGAGTGGGATCACACATTGCTCCATAATCCAATGCTTGGACTTTGAATAAAAGTAGTAAGCTAGACAACAGTATTATTTTGTGCATAATAAGAGAGAAGAATAAAAGAGAAGAAAAAACATTAAGGACAAAAAAATTGTTAAAAATAACAATAAGCGGACATTTTTATATTTTTATTTACAAGTCAACACAAGTGGAACCTTCTGTTACAACATCCAAGATCTTGTAAGAACATTCAAAGTTACCATGTTGCTTGAACAAGGCAATGGCAGCTTCAGCAATTTCATCAAAGTTCTTAGTGGCCAATGCCAAGATAGTTGGACCAGCACCAGAAAGACAGATACCTAAAAGACCATCATACTTTTGATAGGTAATGGTAGACAAGATTTCTGGAAGACCAGGGATCAATGTCTTACGGTAGGGTTGATGAACTTTATCTTGCATGGCATTGTAAATCAATTCAGCACTAGGTGGTGATCGACCTAAAGCAGTAGTCAACACGGCCAGTCTTTGAAAATTGAAGATCTTTTCTATATCAGCAACATGTACGTAACACAAACACAAAGCTTACCATATCATGTCTCTCATATTGTGTAGGAAGCACGGCTCTAGCCTTTGCTGTAGCAACTTCAAATTGAGGAACAATGGCAATACATCTGATCTCCTTTGCCCAGTCTAAATTAATGTAATGGCCAATGCCAATAGGTGGCTGAGGTACTTGTTGAGAAAGGGCAATATCCAACAATGACTCAGAAGCAGGCACGCCCTTCATATCATTAGGATCCAACTCACGTAAATAAGAAGCAACAAATCCACCCATCAAGGCAGCAGCAACATTATCAGGGTGACGTTCAATCATCAAACAGTAATCTAATAAGCGATCTCTTGACAAATTCAATTGGCCAAGTGCATTACCCAACAAAACACCGCCAACAACAGCAGCACCAGAGGAACCAAGACCACGGCTAAGAGGAATGGCATTATCAACATGGAGCTTAAGAGGCTTGGGGAATTCAGAAATACCGTTTGCGGAAAGGACATAGAGAGCGGTCTTGGTAATCAAGTTATGCTCTGGAGTAAGTGGAACATCCTTGGCGCCTTCTCCGGAATAGGTCATTTCAAAATCCTTACCCTCTTTAAGGATTTCTGCATCGATTGTCATGTATAGTGATAAAGAGATACCCAATACATCGAATCCAGGACCAATATTAGCTGATGAGCATGGTGCTTTGATACGAAATTTTCTAGGGGTATTCATGTCTAATGTCTTCGAAAAGAAAAGAAAAAAAACCCTGATAATCAAAAAAATCAAGTAAAAAATGGATATAATGTGACCGGCTTTGTGTGAGCCGTTCTTCGTCACAGCAAAGTTCAGGCACGCTATTGGGTGTTGTTCTCTTAAATGAGTATCAGCTCATTTTGAAGCAGCAACATCTAATTTACTGATAAAGCCAAGGTTGGCGTCTGAAAAGTCATACTATTGACTGCCAAATACAGCTTGAGGTGAACACATACCCTCTTGAACGAATGGTTGTTTTATTCTAGTATTGTCTATGGCTTTTAGAGCAGACGGGAATAAGACTTGATGATTTTCATTCGACCAAGCCCAAGCAACGTCACCAAGCAAGAAAATCTTTGCTGTGAGAAGCTTTGTCAAGATACTAACCTATCAAATTGGAGAACGATTGCTGATCCAAATCAATTGTCAATAATAAACAATTCAGAGGTTGAAACCATTTCTCTTGCAAACAACAAATAATTAAAAATGATGCATGAAAACCCCAAAACTATAATCAAAAACAATCAGTTGATTTACCTTGTAATTATGAACTACAAGTATTAATGGCTTGCTGCTAGTAAATGACCATCTTTTCAACTACTTGAATTCGTTCAAGCAATTTTTTTCGAAACCCCCCCCCTAACATAGTCTAGAGTTAATACATACCATAATGAGACTTGGCTATCTTTTTTTGGCTGACTTTTTGTAATGATTTCTCTTTAATTACTATCATACCTTCTTCTCCTTGTTTCTATGTTTTCTGAAAACAAGAGAATATGAGAGAAAAGGCCTGTTTATTGATTGAAAAAAAAAGGAGGTAAAGAAAGAATTCTCTCCTCCTTCTTTTTTGTTGTGTCATGTTATCTCAAATAGGGCGCACGCATCGTTCCAATCACGTGATTTCATAGTACACAAAGAAAGAGTAAAAGTGCGCCAGAACAAGTGGAACAGCATTACTTTGTCGCCCTTAAATGTAGCAACTGTCTCACGTGATCACGTGACATGGCCCTATTAATTAAGTCAATAGAATTTAAGGTTTGATCACAAAAGAAATAAGTTGCACTCATCTTGTTTCTTTTAGAGTTGAAACAGGCTTTACAAACACATTTTCTCTATATTCACGAATAAATAAAAGGAGAAGATATATTCAGTGGGAAAGACAAATAGAGATAAAGAGAGAGAGAGAGAGAGAGAGAGAGAGACAGCAGACAAAGGAGAACATATCATGGGCGCCTCTTTTTTTTAGGTTCTTGCGTAATGTTTTTATGTGTGTACATGTAGGATACGAAACATAACAAAGCACTGGAGGACATAAACTCAGCTCTAGAATTCTGTTTAGCTCTCTTTTTTTTCTTTACATTTATCAAGCTTTCTCTCTGTTGTTCATGATGATACTTGATGATAATGAAATTGGCAAAACGATGTTGTAGCAAGTATGCAGTATTGTCTAAATCTGGCTGGGAAGAACGTTTAAAATAAATGTTTCTGCTGTGTTTGAATCTTTTATATCGATCCTTACTCTAATCAGAAAAAACAAAGCTTTTTTTGTTGCATAAAACCTTGTTATTTTCTATAATTTCCCTCCCCTTTTTTTCTGTATAATAAATAATGAGTTGAGTAAATGGGCATATGTAGTTTTAGAGTAACGATAAGAAAATGTCTATGCGTGTGTATATGTATGTGTGCACAAATAACAAGTCGGTGTTATTGGACAAAATGGGAAATAAAACAATCCAATAAGCTGCATTACAAAATTAATTTATTTGGAGGCTCTAAAAAAAAGCATGATGTACTGGGGGATTATTTAAACTTTAGATTTTTCTTCTTCTTTTCTATTTTTTCTTTCACTTTCTATATCTCTATTTTCTTTTTAATATTTAATATGAGCCCCGTAAGTCACTACAATAACACTGTCTATTACAACCAACCCTACTATCATCAAACCAACCCCTACGCATATCGACAACAACAACAAACAAGTAAGTATTGCCTTTTGTTTTTACATAGGTTTCTAATATGTTATTGCTAGCAACTTCGCCTACATTATCTACTAGTTCTCTGAAATCAAGTAGTAATAGACTGGGTCAAATTGAAGCGCAACATGAACTTGCCCGAAACTTTTATGATGATTTTGAATTTTGTCCTGTTCAGTGTTCTTATGAGGTATTGGAGCACCGCGACCGTATCCATCAGCGCTTATCACCTCAGTCTTCACCCGTTACTTCCCCTTCAATGTCTTCTGCTTCTTCTTTAGGAAGCACAACACCACCAAAAAGTACTAGAAAAGTGATCCCTATTATTGATCCCTCCAGCATGGCTCCAGTCGCTGTTCCTCAACATAAAAGTAACTCTCCTATCTTTGTAAATTATCGTGGTCAACAACATTCTAGATCGTACCATTCTTATGATGTCCTTGTTCAATAATCCCTCTTCCTTTTTTTTTTGTTATATATACATATATACCTCTTTTTTTGTTGTTTAGCATCTTAATCTCTGTCTCTTTTTTTTGTATTTATTATTAGTATCACTATCATTGACAAAAAAATAAAATATAAAATATAAAAAAACGCTCTCTTGCCTTTGCCAATTGGTCAAATATATACTAGTCTATATTAAGCACTCAATGGCTCCTACTAAATATAGAAATTTCAGGCAGCATGATTGTTCGGCACATTATAACAATGAAGTCCCTTGTCAGTAGCTTGATAAAATCAAAAGGATTCTTTATGAAAGGAGAGGGGGGTTTACATATAAAAGTTTCAGTACTGTCTAGAGCATCTTTTCTCTCTTCTTTTTTTTTTATCAATATGTTCATTTTGCTTTTTATCTTCTTAGGATTGTTTATTCTACAAACAGAACAAACACAAAGCTATTGTTTAGGTTCATTTGCCAATAGAAATACTACTTGTGATAAATTTCAATTCAACCAACTCAAGGAATCTGCTCAATGTACAGACAGTAATAGAAAAACAGAAGGTATATTTCATGGCATTGAATTAAGCAATTGTACTACGTAAGTTGTCAAATAGCTTTGTGTTTTTTTGTAACAATCAATAGCTTCTACAATATCAGACAACTACCAGACCAAAACATAGATGAACATGCTACGAAAATGGCTCAATTGATTACGAACGTGTAGGTGTGCATAAATGATGTTCCTTTGTACTAAAAGCTTACCATAGGTTTGAAAATGGAAATACCGTCATAGGATATGCTGTAAGTCGATCGAGACTATCATCATCAAATGAATAACATTCTTTGTCTAGGCTATCGAAAAGCTTGGCGATTGTAGGGGCTATACATGGTAAAATAAAAATTAAGAAACAGTCTATAGTTAATGTTTATCATTAGTGGTTATATTGGATTTACTACTGGTACCAATGATGCTTATGCAGTAGTCAAAGAATATGTGAATCGAAGCCCTAATGCAACTATCAAACAATATTTGCCAGAACTAAAACGCCTTAGTCAATTTCTTTTTGGTGATCCTGAAAGAGACAATACTTCCAATCTAACAGGTTTCATGGAAGCTTGGAAGACAGCGTCTTGCCAAGATCCCGAGTTTGACCAAACTCAACTCGATGTAGGTCATTCCATGTATTTGGAACCAGCACTCAAGTATGCTGCAAGTGTGGGCGTCCATACCAATCTCGGCAAAGCTATCTTCTATGGTAAGGATCAGGCGTAAACTTGTAGATCATTGATCCTCCCATTTTATTTTATTTTTTAAATATAGATACAATTGTTCAGCATGGCTGGCAAGTAAGTGAGATGAATATATAAGACTATACTGACCATAACAAAGTATGTTGAGCCCATGATCAACTTACCGAGAATTATTGAACTCACGGGTCCAAGAAATTCAAATGAGGCAGAACAATCGTATTTAACACGCTTCCTTACCACACGTCGGCAACTTGTTTGCTGCTATCCTAGTAGTGTATGGTAAGTCATTTCTCCACTGCCTAACTATGATTTAACATGGTGTAGGAATGATTCAGCTGACCGTATGCAAGACCTTCAATCACTTGTAGATGATTGGCTCAGGAATAAAGACTTGAATCATCCTATTACGCTCAAGATCTTTCAGGCAACTATTACGGGTAAGGAGGATATTAGCAGAGACACAAAGCGTTGTCCTAAAGACCAAGTCACCACAAAGAAACCCAAATCTGTCTCTTTACCACTCCCAGATATTTGTCCATAAGCTTTTTTCACATTGTCATACACGTTTAGGATATATTTTTTCCCTTAACTTTCAGTGTAGTGCAAATCCCAAAAATAAAATAAATCCCCTGCTTGCTTGCTTTTTTATTTTTTGATTTATTAAAGCCTTATTTTCTACTTACAAGATGGAGTTGATGGAGTACCGTTACCTTGGCAACTCTGGCTTAAAAGTAAGCGTCTTGTCTTTAGGTTCTTGGATCACATTTGGTAATCATGTCTTGATTTATTTCATGATCATTCATTCATTTTATTATTATTATTATTAGGTGGGCAGATATCTCCAGGTAAAATAAAAATAAAGAATGATAACGCGTCAAGAGCCCTAGCACTGACTTCACTACACTAGAACAAACATCGGAAATCGTAAAGACAGCTTTAGAACTAGGCGTCAACCATTTTGATGTAGCAGAAAGTCACGCAGGTATAAAAGAACAATGTTGATGCTTTATATAACCATGTTCCTAGGTGGTCAGGCAGAAATTGATTTAGGTTTAGCTTTGCGCAACCAAAAAGGATTGAGGCGTTCTGATTTTGTCATCTCAACCAAAGTATTTTGGGGTGGTAAAGGTCCTAATGATAGAGGATTATCAAGAAAGCATGTATTTGAAGGCACAGTTGCTTGTTTGCAACGACTTCAGCTAGACTATGTTGATATTCTATACGCCCAAAGACCTGGTATGTATGTTGCGTATGTTCTTTTTTTATTGATTGCCTCTATATTAGATCCTGATACACCTATGGAAGAGATTGTAAGAGCGTTTAATTGGTGTATTGATAAAGGAATGGCATTGTATTGGGGTACAAGTGAATGGCCAGCTTATTTGATTACAGAAGCCATGAATGTTGCCAATCGACTCAACTTAATTGCACCTATTACTGAGGTAAATATACCAAACGAGGAATGATGTTGTCTCAACTTTATCTAGTCACCTCAATACAATATGCTGAATCGAGAGCGTGTTGAAAAAGAATATATGCCTATGTATCATAAATATAACCTTGGTACTTGTATTTGGTCACCATTGGCTTCAGGTACATCCAGAAATAAAGCATTGTCTCTAAACTTCCATTTTAGGTCTTTTAAGCGGCAAATACAATGAAGGTATCATTCCACCTTTTACCCGACTTGCTATACAAGATCACCCAGTGATCAATCGATTAAGAGCAGGCTTCTTTAGCGAGGAAGGGAGAAGAAAGTTGGAAAAGATCAAAATGATGTGTGTAAGTAGATGGAATCCCAGGTCATAGGTTGCTTAGGATCTTGTTAGAATATTGCAAACCGTATTGGGTGTACACCAGCACAACTAAGTATAGCTTGGTGTTTAAAAAATCCTCATGTAACTTCAGTCATTATTGGTGCTTCAACACCAGCACAAGCAAAGGAAAATATCCATGCACTTAGTATAAGAAAACTATTGACGGAAGATATTATGCTTGATCTAGATAGGGTAAGCTTATGCAGAAATTCACATTGTATACTTATTTTCATTTCCTATAGCTATTAGCCAACAAACCAGAAACTGTATTTGATTTTAGAAAATCATGATCTTTTTTTATCAGATTTTAATCAGTTGTAAACATGGATAATTAAAAGAGTTATCAAAGTAAATATATAAACAAAAGTGGGGGGGTTTCCTAAAGTCAAATCGTACATATAGTAATAAAAATATATATTGTTAAAAAAGTAACAAAAAAAAAGGAGTTCATAATTAATAAGGATGCATGGTATCTGCTACTGCTGCAGAAGAAGAGCTGGAAGCACAGGTACTAGATGGTGTGTATCCATAAAATGACATTTGAGTTTGCACTGGTATCATGGATGGCACAGAAGGAGCGGAAGGTAAATCATGCGTATACATTGAATTCGTTGAGGTTGGACTTGTATGTTGGTGGTAAGGTGAATTACTGTTTGAATTAGTATGGTAATCAAGGCTTGAACTACTGTTATTGTGATGATGGTTAGGGTACATGAGAGAAGAGCAACTGTTATTATTCATAGGTGTGGTGGGCATATAATTATCATGCATCGTCTTGTTCGATGTTGTAGTCGAACTAGACTCAGAAGTAGGATGATGGCGGTGATGATGACGTTGTTGATGAAAGTTGTTCTGTTGTTGGAAAGAATCTTGCGATTGAAGATAGATGGGATGGTTTGGAATAAAGTAATTATGAGGTGCTAATTGGTTTGAATAAAAGTAAAGTGCAGGATCGTCCACAAATAAAGGATGAAGATGTTCTACAATATTAAACTGAATAGCAAGTGCTTTGGCTCTTGCAAAAGTGACCCAGACACCTTTAAGATGCATAGCTCCTACTTTAACTACAACGCGACCTTTTTCATTCTTTAGGATACCATCTCGTTTACCTCGAGACATGCCGGTTACATTAAGAAGTTTTGTACCATTAATCATGTCATTATCTAATAATAAAAAAAGTTAAATGACAATAAATAGAAAAAAAATTTTCTTACCTTGTCGGCGAGCAACACAGATACCTCGTACGTCCACTTGGTAACATACAGTGCCTTCATCATCCCATAAAGAGGTTGTAATTCTAGGTCTTTGATTTTGTTGCTGTTGCTGTTGCTGTTGCTGTTGCTGTTGCTGTTGCTGTTGCTGTTGCTGTTGCTGTTGCTGTTGCTGTTGCTGTTGAGATAAATCAGCGACATGATGTTGCTGAAGAGATGCTGGAGTAGAAGGTATTGTTTGAACAGAAGGTAAGGATTGAAGGGATGAGCGCTGTGATGGTGCACCCATCAAGCTAGAATTATTGGTAGTATGATTAGAATGAGTATTATTATTGCGTTGTTGATTGTTTGCATTATGAGAATGATGAGTAGGATAAGGTGATATCGAATTATAATGATCATATGGGGAAGTTTGGTCTATAGACCGATGCTGATTATGCAACATGTTAGAAGAGTAATAAGGGTTGGAGCGAGGAAGGGAATGCTCTTGCCATTGCTGTGATGGATTGCGATGTTGCATATCAAAGGAATGGACTTGTTGAGCTGGGTATTCTACGTTATAGGCATGTCCATGATTATTGTTATTGTACGTGGGCGTTGTTGGTGGCGGTAATCCTTGTAAGTTCAAGTCTTTAGTAGGGCTATTGTTGTTTGTTTGAAAAACTGAATCAGTATATGAAAACATGATGTTCTTTTTGATCAACTATATATCTTGCTTCTAAAATAAATGTCATTAAAAAGCAATTTGGAATGAAATGAAATATACCAAGTGTGTGTACAAGAAATGAATGGCTGATCTTCTTAATGAAATGTCTAATTTAAAGGTACAAAGAAAAGCAAGAAACCACAATTTAAAAAAAAATAAAGAAAGTGTATAGGATTAAAGAAGGAAATAAAAGAATGATTAGCGATATTTAACTAGGGGAAAATAAAAGAAGAAGAGAACTGAAAAAAAAAGTATTATTTTTTTTTAAAGAAAAGAAGCTACTTGAAAAAAAAAACCTAAATATTTATAAACAGAGTCACCAAACACCCCCCCCCCAGCTCAGAAGAGCAGTAATAATTTTGAAAAGAGGGTTCAGACTTAGATAGGATAACTAACTTTGATAAATTTGATCTCCTCTTGTAAAAAAATGTTATCCTTTTCAAAACTGATGATACCATAATCGCTCCCTTTTTCTAATGATAACGCTTTGAATTTTTTGTTCCCTTACTCTACTTGGTTGTTGGCATAGATTCTCCTGCCTCTTTGAAACAAGATATTCATGCGGTCTTTCTAATATGTTCTTAATGTGTAACCCGTTTTTTTATTGGAATAAATGTTTCTTTTAATGTGTATTAATAATGCCTTTTATGATATCCATAGACTGTTATCTTGACTATCTTTGATATATCAAAAATAAAAAAAGAAGAGTGGTTACATTTTTTTGATCCTCACGGTCTCAGATATTTTCAACTCAGAATGATGAACAGAGACAGACATTTCCAGAATCCATCTTTAAATTAATTTTCAATTCAGGTTGTTTATAAACAAGGATATTTCTACCCCACAACTCGGTTCTTATAGTCACTGAAAGAGTTCCCTTTTTTTATACATGAAACGAGCAGATAGTTTCTTTACTTTACTATCCAATCAATTCTGTTCTACTTTTGGTTTTTGTTGTATTAATTTTGTTTTTAAAATTATAGTTTTTATTGTTTCACTTTGTTTTTTTCATGATATTTGATTGGCAGTAAAAAAAAAAAGTAACATATCAAAGCTTACATATGTAGCAATGTAAAAGTGTAAGAGAGCTGTTCAAAAGACATTTAGAGATTAGATAAAGGTGCATATGGCTAGAAAATGAGACCAATAGGGCAATAATTCATAGCAACTGTCAAGATGTATATGCTCGTTTCTAAGTAAATGACTAAAGCAGGAATAAATACTATATTTAGAAATACCGTGATTTTGGATATTGTTCTCTCTTTTTCGCTGCCTTTCTATGGCCTGCTTTTGCTTTTATTGACAATGTAGAGATAAATTGGGATTATTCGTTGTAGACTAATACTATTTTTCTTAGTTCTATTATGCAAAAGTAAATGAATCTTGTGTAGTAATACATGTATTTTTCTAAAAAAAAATCCGGTTGGTTAAGTTTTTACTTGGTAACATATATTAAAGTGGAGAGAGTATTTAAAAGCTTATAATTTGACAATGCCGTGGGATTACAAGAGTGTGAAAAAAAAAACTCAAATTCAATAGAATGGTTTCAATGTTACTATTCAGCTATTTCATTATTTCGTATTTAGGACTATGGCGATTCTGCACTCTAGAACAGAAAAAAAAGAGTGACAGTAATAGATCATGCATGTATATTTTACGCGTTCATTTATTATAGTTACTCGAGTATAAAGTTTATTGTATTGTGTATAGATGATCAAGAATTAACATATATTTTTGTAAATGGTAATAGCGTACAAAATACACATGAATGACAGTGAGCTGTCTGTTTTCACAAGAAAACTGGGTACATGTAATTTTTTTTTTCAATCGGTGATTCTATCGATTTGTTGATGACTCTGAGTTTGAATGATTCTATTGGCTCAAAGGTAAACTTTGCATTTTAGTGAGCCATTTCAGGCCTATATTTTTTGTATAACTTGTACCTTAATGGAACTATGATATCGAACTTATCACTCAATCAAACATTGGCATAATTTAATATGGTCTGAAGATATAAACGATAGATAGGATTGCGATTATCCGGTTAAAGAGTCCGCAATAGGTATGATGTATTATTAGAAATACAGCATTGAACCTTGTGTAAGGCTAAATTTCCCCTATAAAAATATAGCTTCGAAACATGTGTGTGTAATGGTCGAATTTTACAAATTGATACTAATCAAGCTGCATTTGATATTGTTTTTCTCTTAAGTACAAGAAAAATAGAGAGTGTTTGATTTGTCACATGGAGCAGAAAGATGGGAAGTATCATTACATGTCATTTAAAAATATAGAACACCAAACTTTTAATATGAGCACATCGTACGAACCTCCAAGTGTTACATAAGTTTAAAGGACCTTCATTATTGTACAGAATAGTCTAAAGCACACACATAGTAGGACAAGTAAGAAAGAATGAGAAGCTTTTTGGTGTGAGTAAATTGAAACACGATTAAGTTCAGTCTCTTTTTGAAAAATGACTTTTTCTGCAGGCATTATATTTATTTTTACCAAAAAATAGATGAGCCCGACTATATCTGTAGATCTACTAATATTAAAAACCTTATCAGTAGACATTAATGGGAAACTTTTCTCGTTGTAACACTCTGTATATCTACAGCTCTATAGATAATAGGCATGTTCAGCCATTTCTTTATTGAATATGTTGGTTACATAATGTAAAACTTGGTCACATCGATGTGAACAATGTTTGTTACATTTCATGTGCTTCGGCTATTTTAATGGCGATAAAGAGAGTAATTTGGATGAAAAAGGAAAAGCAAAGTGGTAGATGCGTTAATATTAGCTATTTTTCTATTGAAATTCGTTTATCTATTTTTCGATCAGATAACCAGGAAAAAAAACGTTGATATTATCAGTTTATTTTGGCTTATAAAAATCTTTTCTTTACTAAGCTAACGAACTTTTTCGAGCAAATGAGAAGTTTTTCTTTTTCTCTTTCGAGATTGAGCTAACCAAAATAAGCTCGAGTAATTTTATTGTTTTCATCGACAAATACATTCAATCTCTCAGGTCGAAAATCTCTTGTCTGTGGCTTTCCTGGGGGCAGAATGCGATGACCTTGGGGTAATTCAGTTGTTCTTACGACCTAAACCTAAGCACATGGGAATCTCTGATTGTGTTCCATTTACCTGGTCACTGTCTAGGGCTATTTGAGTATCTTCCTCGATAATGGTTTTACCGAGAAGTTTCTTTTCCCATTCTTCACTATTCATCTATAATGTCTTAAAACAAAACAAAAAGAAAAGGGCTGAAAACTAGTATATTCTTACATCTTTTAAGCTAAAACGATATGATTTGTGCAACCTATTCAAGTGTTTTTGTTTATCTGTTTACTATGAGAAAGAAATTGCATATCTGATAAAAAAAAAAGAGAGCTTTCATTGAAAGCCACATAGAAAAATAGTTTCGATAGCACGACAAAACGGAAGTACTCCCTCTTTTTTCAAGAGTTACACACAAATTATGTCGATCTAAGGCAAATATTTGTGTGACTCTAATAGCGACGGCGAATTAATGTTGCAATTTTTAATTCACAGTTAGATATTTTGGGAAAAAATTTCGTTGTGAACCAATACTAAGCTATGATTGATGCAAATAGTGAATACATCGAATATTAGCCCTTTCTCTTTTTTTTTTTTGTTAAGTAAACAACCAAAGCTTTTATTCTACACAGTTTACAGTGCTAATCTATTATTGTGCTTTGGAGAACTTGTTCAAGGACTAAAAGCATACAATTTTTATTTGATTTCGAAAATCATTAAAAGACATCCAATATTTTGGAACAAAAATCTATCACATTTACCAATTGTTTTTTCTTTTTTGAAAGTCTTGTTTAAGTGATGCAATTGGGATCATCATTGCCAAGTATGTAAAATATCTCAACATACGATTTGAAAGATAAAGCATCAGTCAACTCCCAGATTTATTTGTTTTTTTTATTATTTTGTATTAGCACATGCCAAGTTGACAGTAAGAAGTTAATTTTAAATGTAAAATCTAGAGTAAAAATGATGAAACATGCTTTATCAAATGATACAAACAGAACAATATGCGAGGAGGACTCGATAAACTGTGGCTGTAGTAGCGATTAACATGAACTGAGCGTGGATCATAAAAAGACGACTCAAGATACTAAATGTAATGTCTTCATTCTTAAACGAACAAAAAAATTAGCCTGTTCAATCTAAATAAAGGCTTTTACAGCAAAAATAACATCTCTTTGGTTGCAGTTCTGTAACCCCTTGTTTAAAATCAAAGGATTATCATAATTGATAACAAACAAGGTAGTTTGTTTCAAGAATTGATAGACAGTTTTGCTCATATCGCTTACACTAAATATCTCTTTTTGTTATAAAAGAACGCTTGGTCGCTTTAGAAGGAAAGTTTTTTTTCTCAAACTCTGGACTTTCCATGCCTTCTTTAGTTTCACGAACCATCTAAAATATAATTGAGAAAAGGCAACGAAGGTACAGTAATAAATGGTTTGTGCTAAGGATAATCTTATCTTTCCCAGTCTTTACTCAGTTTTTGCCTAAGGGTTTTATTTGCATCATTTCTTCTGCAAAGGATGACCAAGGAAAATATGGGTCTATTTCTAAGCAAAAGATGTGTTAATGATATGATCTACTTGTCTATATATTGAATTTCCCTGCTTTGAGATGTTCTGTTTCGGCAGATTCATCCTGCAAAATAGTAGTCATTTTTTCAACTTTCGGCAAAAAAGATGATAAAATGGATGTGTGATATCGTAAAATTTTATTGCGTTTGGATTGAAGCTTCTTGAGTGTCCTAGATCTCCAGTTGTTACGCTCGATTTGGAAGGATCGAGCAAAATTTTCTACTTGTTCTTTCAAATCATCCCAGAGAAGTTGTACTGAGGGGCAATCAGGATCTAAAAGGTTGTTACTTTCCATTTACTGTTAAATGTGCGCTGTCAAACCGTTTCTATATATAGATAGTTGGGCAAGGTTAGGGTTACCTTTCCAAGGGTCACGTACGGATGGGGTGTATACCAATTGATAGTTGATGGAAAGCAAGGCATGGTCAGTCCAACTGTAGTTAACAAAATTTTGAGTCATAGAAATTACATTGTCAGCATGAGGTAGAGTGCAAAATATATAGTCAATATGTGTGCGACTACCAGTGGTACTGACAAATGTAGGAAGAGGATCACTTTGAAAACAATCTTGGAATGAAGTAAGAAGTAGATCATTCCAGCACGGATCAATGTTGGATTTACGGTAAATGTCATAGTTGAAATCATTAGCAATAATGATAGGCAAGGACATCGACTGTAGATGTGATATTAAGGAATGATTGGCGGATAACGTGTGAAAGAATGAGGAACGACTACTACGCTGAGCAGGAGCATAGATATTGAGGATATACATAAAAGGAATGGAGGGTTCAGAGGCATGAGCGATAGACGCTAAGAGAAAGCGGCCATTGGTAGAATTGATGGTGGGATGTGCTGTAATTTTGTAGTGAGATTTTAAGGAAACAATGCCACAGTGTTCTGTCCAAAGACTGGATTTAGTCTGGAACTTGAGGTTGAGCTGTTTCTGTATATTAAGTGTAGATGCGTGTGTTTCTTGTAAGCATAGGATGCCATATTTAGTTGAACGTAGAAAGCGGATGAATAAGGACTGTTTGTAAAGTTCTGTAGTTTTGGTAAGGCCACGACAATTAAGCGTGGCAATTTGCATAGAGTCTTTGGGCATAGATTGACTTATTGAGAATTAGGAGAGGTACCTGCTGATCCACTTGTATTATAATTTAGTACCACTCTTTGTCTCTCATCTTCATGATTAAATTTAACCTTTTTACGCTCCTGGATAAGCTTTTCTAAATCCAATGCCCCTTGGGTTAGATTATTGCTTGGAATACTTTGAAGATATTCATCATCATCCTCTCCATCGGAGTCAATGATTTCTACTTCATTATCTCCTTGCTCTTTCATTTCATGATCCATCAATTCAGGCTCGATTAATGGAGAGAGTTTGAATAGTCTCTGTTGCTATTTGAGTAAGAGGAACGGTAGTCAATGCGGCAGGAGAGAAAGTTTGCTTAGACTTCACACTTTGTGACAGTTTCTCATTAGGCGGATTGGGGCCTGTTCTACTAGTCTTGTCTTTTGTGATTCCAATACGTTTGTCAGAAAGGTGGCCTGATCCATGATTACGACGAGGACAATCACGGCTGATATGACCACGCTCGTTACAGTTATAACAACGACGAGTATTGATGAGTTCTATGCAGTCTGCTCTACAATGATCGGATTTCTGGCAAAAACGACAAAATTAGGGCATTTCATCCCACATAAGCAGAAGTTCTCGATCAAATTCAGACTAATCCACTACTCGACTAAGTTGCTCAGGCTCAGTCTTGTGAGGATTGTTCAGATCAAGAACGATATATTCCTGGCCGAAAAATACAGCACCATCCATATGAAATCCAAGATCCAGGACTTCACCAAAATGGAAAAACGTTTTTTCATTTGCTCACGGAGAGTTGAAGGAGGAATGAAGGGGAGTCGGTCGACCTTAACTCGAGCAATTTTGGCGTTTTGGACAAGCTGCTGTAGCCTTTGATAATCGTATTATCTTCCATCTGCAAACCGGAGTTGACCAATTTATTGTACACTTCTGAGCTGATATCCCAGCATGGCTCAATAAAGCGTCTCTGCAAATACTTGCGCTCAACAAGTAAAGTGCCAAAGAAAATGTTTAAGGCCATTTACATCACGAGTATTATTTATATCAACCAAAACACTATCTTTTTTTAACCCGACAATATAAGGCATAATGGTGCCTGAAGAAAGAGCGTTGTTACTAGCATATTTTGACTGGGAAGAACCAGAAGTGCGTGCAGATGGAGAAGTAGAAGCCAATGATGACGACTGATTATCAGACATAATAGCTCTAGCCGTTACTTACGTTCAGTTTTTGGGTGCATTATTTTTTGTTACGACGCCCTTTGGAGGATGTCCTGTTGTGGGTTGGGTTGTTAGGTGAAAGAACCATGAAATCTTGATTTCGGATGCGGCGGGAGAAGAGTTGAGTTGAATCTGTTTCAGTCTCCGCATGTAGCCCGCTTGTGTGTCCTATGTCCATTTACTCCCACATTTACACCAAAAAATGCCAATATATCTATCTTTCAATGTTTCTTTACACTTGAAATAACATAATATGCTCTAAGAAAGTCCATTGATGAGCCTATTTAGATTTTATCTAGAGCAAAAAACGCTCAAGTTAGCACCTAAACAAGCCATTCTTTGATGGCTCATTGCTCGATAATCAGACTATTTAGACACAAAGAATATTCCCGCTGTCAATGGCTGATTTATTGTAGCTTTCAGCAATATGATTGCTACTATGAGTATTTTAACTGCGTTTCTTTGAATCAAGGATTTTAATTTATTGATCTATGTACCTGACACATCTATGCTTAGGGGAATTCTCAATGCTTTTCTGATCATTCTTTTCTTATTGTCTGACGGTATGATTTCATTCTTTTTAGTTGCAACTTTTGGCATTTTTTGCTTTGGATTATCTGGCTTGAAATCGATGCAATTTATATGATGATGGCTATCTTGATACTTATTGCATTAGGTATGATTTTTTTATATTCTAATAGCTCAAACATGTGGTCGCTATTCTTAAAAATGAAGTAATTTTGAAGCCTTATGAATGTTATTAGTACAAGTGGCACTATGGCCTTTCGCACCCAACTTGATCTTAATTTATCATAGTACTCCTGTTAAAATGAATGAATAATACCTCCATAAGTCAGTGAAACGCAGTTGCATTCTTGTGGTAGGCGAAGAAGAAACGAACAAGCAGTGAATACCATCCTTAGGATTCACTGTCTACCTCTGGTTGTTAATGCATCCTAAGAGGCTTATGGCCAATGTTTCTGGCAGCTTTCATTGGTTCGTTAAAGAATTTAAGCGAAAGTGAAAGGTCCGCTTATTCATGTTGAGACGCGCCTTAATTTTTTTTTTTCTCTTTCCTTTAATTCAATATGGCATCAGCAATTGATCGTGAAAAGGTAACGAATTGGATCATGGTAGAAAGTAGCATTAAACATTGTACTAGGAGTGTCCCTTCTTATTAAGAATATTTACTCGTAACGGAGGTCATAACCCGTATGTATTTTCTCTGGTCACTGTGTTTACTTACTCTCTTTATTTTAGTCTAAGTCAATATACACTAGACTCAGTTCCTTCTGAAGAATTAAGCCTGTATACTTGGTATGCATACTGATATAAATATGGCGTGGTATTAACATAATGATAGGAAGAATGCCACTTTAGAAGAAATTGCCCAATTAATTGAACAAGTAATTCCTGAAGCAAGAGACCCTGATGCTCGAATTGCTTTTCGCTTGATTTATCTTGATACTGAGCGGGCAAGGTACGCCAGCCGAGACATTGGCCGTGTTGTTGCCGCTAGTCCTACAGATGATCAAAAAAAGACACTGGAAGAATGTAAATTTTTCATTGGGGATTACTTGGATGTAGCTGTATTTATTGGACCACCACCTGCTGCTCAACTCAAAAACAATCGTAATAGAGATGGAAGACGTTCTGATCGATTTGGAGGCGGCCGATTCAACAATAGCGGTAAAAGAAACTATGCACCTTATAATAACAATCGATTTGGCAGAGATAGACCACCACCAAGAAGATTCTAATAAAGCATTCTCCCTGCATAATTAATTAACTTTTTTTTAATTTCTGAATAAGGATAAATCAATTGCATATATAAAGAACGTTTATTTTTTTAAGAAGAAACATGTCTTTTTTATATGCTGACTAAAGGTTTTGTTCTGTTCTTGTTATTTAGTACACTTCTTGCTGATAATGGTTGTACTGGCCCTGTTCAGGTGAGATCAGAAAAAGATGTAAACGATATACGCCATTGTCAGACATTTGAAGGATCTATTACTATTCAAAATGCATCTCTTGGTGACGAAATCAATCTATCCCAATTACAGCAAGTTCATGGTGACTTGGTCTTTGATAACAATCCAAACATGAGGCAGATCATACTAGCCAGTTTAAGGCAAATCACTGGCCAACTAAAAATACAAAACAATCTCGAGTTAAAACGACTAGATTTGACACAACTGGGAGTTGTTCGATCATTGGAGATATCTGTTGAGCCTTCTTTGGATGCCATCTTGTTTCCCTCTGGATTATCACAAATTGAGAGTCTGACAGTGACTGATACCCTAGCGAATCGAATTGAAGGAATCATGGCCAGTGAAATCAAAGATATCCATATAGCCAACAATAAAAACCTTCAAAAAATCAACTTGAGCCATTTGCAACAAGTAGGCAATATGACAATTGCAGCCAATGCAGTGAATGCATCACTCGATGTAAGTCGGTAACGTAGATGACTGTTGTATTCATAAACATAACCAGATTTCTGCATTAACAAGCATTTACCATGGTGATTTCCGTAACCTGGAAAAAGTCATTGGCCTTGAAAAAATCAACCAAGTTACTGGCGGTCTCTCTTTTGTAGCCAATGGTTTCTCCTCCCTTGCTTTGCCCAATGTTACTCGGATAACGGGCACATTGACTGTTTCAAATAACTTACAGCTTGGCAACCTGTCTGTACCTCATCTTGCATTATTAGGAGGAGCACTTTCCTTGTCCAACAATAGCCAGCTCACAGAAATAAAAGTGCCTGGACTAGAACAGGTGGATGGAACAGTAGATTTGACAGGCAATTTTGATAGAGTGGATCTGCCTAGCCTAAAAGATGTTCGAGGTGGCATGAATGTTCAGACATCCAGCCAAAACTTCTCATGCGATCAAGTCAACAAGCTCAAAGGAGGTGTTACCAAGGGCCATGAATTCACCTGTAAATCAAACATAGCGAATCCACAATCCAACGGCAACACAGATTTACATAAGGAATCCATGGCATGCACTGTCCATACCAGTCATTGTCTTATCATCACGCTTGTTTTATTTTTAATAATAAAAATCTAAATTCTTCTATCCAAAACACTGTGTAATTCTTTGGCAGGTTGTTCCAAAGTACCCAACAATTTACGGGCAGGAGCTTCAATCACACCCACCAATTGAGCTCTTAATTGATCAATAGAAGGTAAATCAACCACCTTCAATACATCGGCCTGTGTCAAGAGTACATCGTCCAATTTACCACCCAACAATAACAATTTCTTGTTTTTGCCTAGTAATTCAACAGACTTCTTCAATAATTCTGTATTGTCTGCTCCATCAGTAGATAAAACACAAGTAGGACCTGTGATCAAGGGTTCTAAATTGGCGTATTTTGTTTGACGTAAAGCAGAACTGAAAACACCTGTGCGTAAAACAGTTAATTTGGTGGAACCCAATTCGCCTAACTGCTGTCTGATGCCAGTGAATTCCTTGACGGTCAAATTGTTGTGTTGGAAAATAAAGACAGCTCTGTTGTTTTCAATAATATCGGTATATTGGTCATGAAGATAGATACGTCGAGGAGGGTGTACTGTCTTCTTTTCTGTAGCGTCTATCTCATGTTTAGATACAAGTTACAAAAAGAAAAGATATATTTACAAGTACGGATACAGGGGGTTAAAGAAGCACAGTTGACAGGCTTCAAGTTGCGCACAAATGTTTGACTCACTATATTCACTTCGTTTATAAAGGAATAACTATGCGTATATGCTGTTTACCTGATCTTAAAGACATTTTTCTACGAATGAAGAAACTTTAAAGAGTTAACAAGGCTGTCAAGACAAAAAAAAAACAAAAAAATAAAGGTCACAGCAGGGTGAATCAGGCCAATCAGTATTGAAATCGGACATTCACTATCAGAATGTGAGTCTTTTGAATAGCATTCGAAAGCATAAAAGTCTATTTCCTTAACCTGTATTTTTAGCTGGTATTCTTCTGTTCATGTTTGCTAGTCATGGCTTTCAGCTGAAAAAAAGAAAAATTGAAAGAAATGCAAGTGCGGATGCCTATATGTGGCTGGATTTTTCCATCACCTTCTTTTCCCCTGGTAAAAATAAGCCCGACATAAAGAGCAGTAGATTTTCCCTCAATTTATCCCATTCTTCTTTTCCTCTCTTTTTCTTTCTTTCTTACACAACTCTAGACTTAATAATGACTCGTAAGTAACCAAAGAGATATATGTACGCAAGTATTGATCTTTCACAAGGTGGTAACCAAAGAGAACAAGCTCGTTTAAAGAACTTGAAAAAGAAGGAAAAAGAAAATAAGGGCAAAACCAATTTGAATGGTCAGACTATCACTCAAAAGAAAGAGAAGTAAGTCCATTCGCGTAACTATGTCCATTGACTAAAGCTTTTTAGTGATGCTGCTATCATGCGTGCCAAGCAAGAAGCAGCTCTAGCAAAGAAGCAAGCTGACGCAGTAAAGAAATAACTCACCCCCTCTTGTAAAAATCTACATACATATATATCTCTATAATACATTAAACATACAGTCATTTAAAAAAAAAGAAAAAAAAAAGCGTTTTTGGAATTGAATGTCCTGCAAAAAGAGTTTGTGTCCAACAATGATGAACGAGCATCATTGTCCAATAAAATTCTTGTAGATCTTGAAGTCTTCCTCTATCCATTCACCGAGTGCAATTCTATTGTATGGAAAGAAAATATTAAAGCCTACGAATAGGTTCAAAAGTGTGTTCCGATTTGATCTGGACTTTACAATAAATTTTGTCTTCCTTGATGAATTAGTCTTTCACAATTGCAAAGTTCTCTTCTTTGACTACACTATACTTCGTTTCAAGTCAACGTAACAAACAATCTCTTAAAATGGGTATTTAGCAACGAGTACAATTCAAGTCCGATTTTAATAAGACACAATAAGTTGGTCTCCTTTTTCTCTCTCTTTTTTTCTTTCTTTCTTGTACTATGTTCAATTTAATCAAAAGTGCACTAAACAAGTCTGAAGTCGACTCAGAACAGGAAAAGCGGAAAAGTAAGTCTTTCTTCTTTTAGTATGAGATAAGTTGCTTATATCCTGTAGTTACGTTGAATGTATATGATATGGTATTTTCTTGAATGTGAGAATGGTTCGACCGAGAATAGTTGCCTAATCCAATATAGTTACAGCCAGGATTCTTGACAAATTTGGGATTTTTGCTAGGCATTGGTAAGCACCTACTCTCTACCATCCGTATTCACCCATGTAGGCATTTATCACTCGGGTATTGAGATTGGGGAACATGAGTATTGCTTCGGTGGTCATGATTATGAGCATGTTACAGGAGTGTTCATGGTCAAGCCCAAAGTGGGGCCACAAGGCTTGTTATTCAAGTAAGCATAGATAATATTAAATCCATTACTGATGTCTATATAGACAATCAATCCATATGGGATATACTAACCTAACGCAAAGAGAAATTGAGCAAGTATTACAAGACATCTCAAAAGAATACATGGGTACTTCTTATAAATTGCTGACAAGGTAAATATAAAGAATAAGGAGAAGTCAAGACTAAATAGGCATTTAGAAATTGTAACCATTTCTCAGAGGATTTGTGTAAAAGATTAACAGGAAAAGCAGCACCAGGCTGGATTAATCGTGCTGCTAAATTAGGCACTATGTTTCCTTGTGTTATACCCACCGAATGGATTGAGCCCCCTGAAGCAGACAACTCTTTAAATGCACCGCTCAAGACACCACCACCCATGCGTACAAAAAAGGAATCGTCTGAGAGTTTAGTTAAGACTACCTTGGAAAATGATGCATTTGATTATTCTTTAAAAGAACCAGATACCCATAGACCAGAAGTCATTCGATCTGCTACTCAACTCTCTATCACTGCTCCTATTCATAATAAATAATTACTACCTTTTTTTATGGTCTGTGCACCTGCATTTTTTTAATCTATTATAATTCTATATTTTCTGAAGAAGGTAAGGAAACAGCTGAACGATTACGACGTAATGGGCTTGATTCTTTAAGTAAGAAGGATATCCAAGCATCTGTAAATGACTTGTAAAAGAGGGGGGTTAGTTTAGGGTATATTGAGATATGTTACTTTACCTCTTTAGGTGGGTGTTCCGTAGTGGGTGATCCTGGTTGAAGATGTGTACTATTCTTTGGTCTAACAAGACCAATTTGCTCTTTTTGTTCTTCGCTTAGTTGCAATACATTGGACATAATAGTAAGAATATCATATCGTTTGCGATCACCGCGAGGCGCCATTAGAAAACCAATTAACAAGTTGCTAATCAATTGGCTATGACAAGATTAAAAGCTGTCATTTGTTTACCTGTTCTTACCGATCCACATTGCTTTCGCTTGTCTCTTCTTTTAGCTTTCGCATGGCTTCTACAAGATGTTCGTTCAAGATAATAGCTTCATGTCTTAATTTGCCAATCAGCAAATTCTTTTCTTTAATCTCTTTTTCATATTGTTGTGTCTTGCCAATGTCTTTCTGTAATTTCTCTAAAGCAGCCTATGAAAATTGAGATACATGATGCTTCATCTGCAATTACCTCAGCCAAATGCGCTCTCTCTTCATATTCAGCCCATGACTTTTTTGCTACTTGTAACTGTCTTTCAATGTGCTCCACTGCAGTTTGCATCTCTACATCTTTGGCTATACGGGCTATAAGTTCTCTATTCAGCAGCAAGTAGGACTACTTACTCGCTTGGAATTCTTCTAATACAGTCTGCAGATTAGACAGACTTGCTTTCTGAGACTCATATTCCATTCGGTCCACTTCCATCTTTGCTTTGAGTTGCTCTAATTGAGTGGTTTTTTGATCTAATTCTTCATGTAATTGATTGCATTGAGCATCTAATTGCATAGATAATTGTTCATACTCTTCTCTTTCTTGATGTACTTGCTCTAACTTCTGTGATAGTTGTGCTATCACGGCGTCTTTCTTTTCAAATTGGATTGATGTCTCCTCATCCCGCACCATCATGTTGGATCGACATTGTTCTAGTTCGCGTGTCACAGATTCCAATTCCTCTGTCAGTTCAGCCACTCTCTGTCTTAGTTGCTTATCTTGTTCCAATCGAGGCACCAGTGTTTCTTTGATGTGAGATAATTTGCCCAAAAGGGATTGATGTTCTTGACTCAATTGTTTCTCTCTTTCTTGACTCTTGGCCTTTTCTTTTTCTGTCTCTGTTAATTTCGTTTCAAGCTGATTGATTTTGTCTTGAAGTGTATCAACGATAGCCATTTGTAATTCAATATTCTCTTTTTCTGATATGGCCTGTTCTTTTTCCTCTGTCAAGTTATTGATGGTCATGTTGAGTTGTGTGATGTGGCGCTTTAAATCTTTGGTTGTGTCTTCTACCAGAGATTGGCTTGCTTTGTTGGCATTGTCAATCGTACTCTTTTGTTCTTGTAGTATACTTCTCAACCGTTCTAACAAAAGTAGGATAGATGGTGGTGCAGAACTATCCATGTTTCCATTTTCTGGATCCTGAAGAACATCTCTAAGACTGTTTTCAATGGCTTCGATAGGATGTGCCTTTTTTAACTCTATTGACTAGTGAGCAACAAACAACAAAAGCATTGGGATTACCTTGAATCTCCTTGTTCAGTCTCTCTATAGTTGCTTTTAATGTCTCTTGTTGTTCTGTATAAAATGAGTAACAAGCAGAGATAGTTTTGTTATACCTTTTTTAGGTTTATTTAACCGTTTCTGCACAGATTTGATATAGCTATCCAACAAAGTCGAAGTAGATACATCAGGTATTGTTTTTTCTTCGGGTGCTGTTGATTCCTCTAGGATATCTACCAGTTGTTTGATCTCCTTTTGATGACCTTGTTTTGTCTCTTTCAGGCTGGTTTCTAGTTCCTGAACTCGAGATGACAACTCGTCTTGCTTTGTTTTTGTTTCTGTCAAGGTCTTTTTGAGTGTTGTGTTTTCTTGAGCCAGTGTCTTCAAGTGGCTCCCTGCTTGAGTGAGCTTCTTTTGAAAGTTCAAAAGTTGAGCATGCTCTTCTTTAAGTTTTTCTTTTAAAGCTGCCTCGCGTTTTTCGTATTCTTTCAGTCGCGTATCTATATCAAAGTGTTATAAAAAAGACGCTTACAAAAAACAGAGCTTACCTTCATCTGACATTATGTGCAATAAAAGACGAAACGTGTAACTTGCAAGTTGATTCCTGTTTTCATGGAGTCCGAAATTAGGTTGATGTAACCTTCTGCATTTAACTTAATGCAGGTAAAATTCTAATAATGCACACTTCTCTTTCGAAAACTGCATATTGTAAAATTCACAAGACATGGTCAATCAACTTTGAATAGAGAAACAGAAAAGAGACAAGTATAGTTTCATAAATCCTAGCAATAGGCGGCATATCTCTCCCTCTTTATTTCTCTGAGCTGAATCCAATTGAAAAATTCAGGTTCCTCAAAGCTGCTGTCAAGCAAAATGTATTTCAAGAAGCCGAGGATTTGAAAACTAGAATCTGTGAAGACAATAGAAGTGCCAGTAGAAAGGCTTTTCATATCATCTCTCAGCGCTCTGTTGAGCGTCTTCAAAACTGCTTTGATAAAGAACTACTTTAATTAGCCATTTAGACCTTCAATAACATTATTAGATACCATAAAATGAACTTTTAGAGTGATATTAAAGCAAATGTGGGCTATTTGTAGTATTTTTTTTTTAAAATCTCTTTTTAGAATTTATTTGCACGGATGAACCAAACATTGTTCTCTTAACCTTTGAGTTAACTGGATTGCGTACTGAAGGTCCAAGGTGATTGTCGAAAACGGTATGTCAAATCGTATGTCTTCTTAAAAAGGAAATTCAGATGAGATCCTGATTTAAGCTATTTGGAATGATTGCATTAAAAGATTATCTTGCTCTTTCTTTTTCTCTTTTTACCTTTTTTTTCCTCCTTAACCAACATGTCGAAAACAGATAAAAAAAACAAAGACCCTATTTTGTCACTTCTTTCTGGTACATTTGCAGGTGCAATTGAAGGTGTGGCTACATATCCCACAGAATATGTTAAGACGCGGTTACAACTTCAAGCAGGCGGAAAGCTTCAACCAGGCGAACTCAAGTTTGCAGGTCCTATTGACTGTCTAGTAAAGACCGTTAGGACACATGGTGTTAGTACTATCTATACCGGTGTTTCTGCCTTGGCTATTGGTAACGCAGCTAAAGCAGGTGTGCGTTTCCTTACTTATGACCAGATCGCAAACGCCTTGCGCGATCAAGACGGTAAACTTTCTGGACTTCGAAGCGTCTTGGCAGGCTTAGGCGCAGGTATGACAGAGGCCGCATTGGTTGTTACGCCTTCAGAAACGATCAAGACAAAATTGATCCATGATCGAAACAGTGCAGCACCGAAATATAAAGGTTTAGTACATGGTACAAAATCTATTATAGCCCAAGAAGGTTTAGGAGGTATCTATCGTGGCGTGGGTCCTGTGATGGCTCGACAAGGTGCTAATAGTGCTGTTCGTTTTACGTCTTACTCTTATTTTAAATCGGGTTTACAATCATGGCGGGGAAAGGCAAATGAACCATTACCCTCTACATACACTTTTGCAGCTGGAGCAATGGCTGGTATTGTCACTGTCTATTCCACTATGCCTTTAGATGTTGTCAAGACAAGAATGCAAGGCTTGGATGCTAAAATGTATAAAAACTCAGTGGATTGCTTGATTCAGGTAGTGAAGCAAAACGGTATATTTTCTTTATGGAAAGGAACAACACCGAGATTAACTCGATTAATTGTAAGTAAATTTGTATATGCGTTTCTGTTGCTCAATATTCTTTTTCTCTTGTAGTTTTCTGGTGGCATTGTTTTCACAGTGTATGAAAAAGTGTATCATACATTAGAATTAGTTAAAAAATAAAATAAGTTTTGTAAATCCTTTTGTTAGAGGGGTAAAAGCCTTCTCTTAAGCTATACTTTGTAGATCTTTCGTTACTGTACTGTTGGTTTTGATGACCATTTGAATGGGCTTTTTATTCTATTATAACACTTGTAAGAATGCGAAACAAATGCTTTGAAATAACTTTTTCTTTAATAAACTTATGACGCTTGACCTTTGAAAATATCCAAGTTTGCTCTATTGAATCAAACTCATAGCAATAAGTAGGAGAGAATACACACCTTAATATCCCTAATGTACTCTCTATGTTCTCGTGCACATGAATGGGTGCATTATCCATAGCTATGGAATGGCCCTCTTGTGTGTTCCTCATCTTTTCTTAGCATATCTTTTTTCTATATACGCCAATTAGAACCATATCAATAGAAGAGATAGTCCCCCAAAAGTTATAGCGTTTGCTTTCATATTGGGCCAGGTAGCAATTGTACAAATACCTTCATCTCATTCTAGTACAGGTTTACCTCAGTTTCAGGGCTTTGTATCACTAAGCGGGATTTACTTTGTTAGGCTTTGCATCATCGATAAACAACAGCTACTGCGGAGACTTTTTTTTATGCATCTTCTCTTTTTTTTATATATTTTACATGAATATTGAAGTAGCGGATAAACTAGGACAGCTGATAAAACAAATCACAGAAACAGGCGAGTGGACACTGAATCCCGAAAAATTAAAGGTAGATTTCTTTTTGTATGACAAGAGCTAATCTTGATACTCCAAAGACAATCAAGTCCTTTTGCAAGCGATCTGATGTAAATGTTCAGATCGCTTTTGATTGGGTTATGTTCCAACTGAAAAAGAAACATGCTCAGGCAAGTCATGAAAGAAAATTACCATTGAACAAAGCTAAATTTTTTAAAGATTCGATATTCGGCTTTACAGTTGATTGAACAATTATTTGACCGGTCAAAGTACTTTAGAGATGCTCTAACAGAGGATTTCCCGGTCTTTACTCAGCTAGTGATAGGCATTCAAGGTCGAAAACTTCCTCCACCAGCACAAGTCGCTACTAAATTAAAAGATTATGGTATTGCATTAATCAAATCTTGGTACATACGGTATGGTGAGAAACATCGTCAACTCAGCATTGCATATGATTTTTTGTTGGATAACGGATTCTTGGACCGAGAAGGAGGTTCTTTGTCTTCAATCCATGCAAATGATTACAACAAGTCAAATATAGAGGTATGTTAAATGACACAAGGTGGATACTCAATATGATTTTTAAGGCACGGAGAAAAGCAATTCATGCAAGTCGATTTGAACTCTTAAAATCAGACATAGACAATCATATTGAATTGATCCGAGATAATTTGACCAATATGGAAGGATGCTTTGAAATATTGATTCCAAAAAATGTGTTTGAAAATGACGACCTTGATTTTGATGCTTTATTAAGAGGTGAGGCAGCAAACACAACTGAGTCAGGAGCTGGTGATACATACAAGCAAGTAAAGTAGACATATCCATGCGTACATTTGCATTACTCATACTGCAAACAACTAGAACATTATATCCCATGGCTTGGGCTCAAATCGGTATAAAATCACAATTGATATGTCCGAAGAAACCCTTATGGACGATGTGAAAGAAACAGAAGATAATAAAATAGTATTTGATCAACTAAGGGAAGCCTATACCTTGCTCGAGACAAAGCAACTGTCTCATCTGAATACGTGGATCAATGCACTTATCAAAATTGAGTTGGCTGTAAAGTAGAACATCATTTGCGAACTATGTTGTTTGACTCACTGTCTCTTTTTTCTATAGGATAGAGTAGGAAAAGAAAAACTAGTCAAGGAACTCTTGAAACTGAAAGAAGCAGCGAATGAGGCGATACGTAAATGCAAGCTTTTAGGGATAGAGGTCTACCAACCAAAGCCAAATTCTACATCAAAATTGCAAATCATTGAAGATAATGATGATGATGAATATATGGATGAATTATTTGAAGAAGTAGATATTGATACCGAAAATAAAGAATCAGCAAAAGACACGCTTAGCAGTTCAAAGCTACCACCTACACAACGTATCTTTCCTTTATCTTTTGAGCCAAGCATGATGGAAGATGCTACGTATAGTGGTCCACCTCCTATTTTACCAGTGTAAGCATTTGTGTTTTTTTCTTCTTCTATCTAGCCTAACTTTACTTATAGTGAATCAAGTATAAACAAGGAGGACAAAGGAAAGACAAAACTGAATACAGGAAAAGAAGGTTTGTATGTTTTTACAACCTTTCTTTATTTAACAATCCTACCTAGAGTTGTTGAAGAGGGCACCTGTAGTTGAGGTATAATTGAACCATCAATAAGAAGTATGATACTGATGTTGCCTATTCTAGTGGGGAGATGATTTGTATTATTGGGACAAAAATCATGTTCAATTCAATACAAGTGGCATTGGTAATCTATTACACTATCTATTTGTAGTCTGATTTTTTTGGGGGCGAATAGAAAGAGATCATAGATTTATGGGTATTGGAGAAGGCACAAACGAAATGCCTGAACATCTTTTAGCAGAACTGAGAAAACGCCCTGTTTATTACAAGTCAGAAGTGACGAAACCATTACAGGTAAGGCAAATGCATAAATCATCAGTGTCTCTTTATTAACCATGTTCTGTTTCAAAGGCATGTAAACATCCACTACGTAACGGTGGCCTCTGTCCTCGTAAAGATCTTGTAACATGTCCTTTTCATGGAAAAATTATCCCTCGCGATGATTTTGGTGTTCCGTTAAACAAAGATGTACCCTCCAGCAGCACTTCTCTAAATAATCATCATGATCAAGATGAAGTGTATGGTGTATCAAGTAAACCTCCCGATCAGCAAATAATGAATAATCTGTGGGAACTACTTGAAACCGATATAATAAATCAATCAGGAACGAAAAATGGCAAGAGAAGAGGAAAACAAATAGAAAAGAAAAAATCGGCATTGATAGATATTCGAAAGAAACCAAGTACACCACTTACTCGGCTAAACAGTAAAATAAGTTCTTCTAAATCCAGAAAGATGGCACAAGAAGCAATTGAATATGAGCGAGAAATGAAATCACGAAACAAGTCAGAAAAGTTTTAACTTGTCTAATTGACGAAAAAGTCTTACTGATAGCGTATCCTTGAAAATCGACGCAATTCATTGCATATCGCTCTTTATAATAGAGAAAGATCTGATGCATATTATTTTCTATAGCTTACATTCATATGTATTTACCAAAATAAACAACTGTAAAATAGGGCTTACACAAATTTAATAATGCAACACCATGTACTATATATGGTATATCATCTTACATTTTTGGTAATGAGTACTTACTATTTTTGCTATATATATTTTTAAAAATTAAACTTAACAAGAAACGCGTTCTTAGTTTAATGGTAGAATTTCACCCTTCCAAGGTGAAGGCCGGGGTTCGATTCCCCGAGGACGCATTGTTATTTTTTTCGGTTTCTCAAACTTCTTTACATTCCATTTGCATATGGTTTTTTTTTTTTTTTAGAAAAAATGACTTTTTAAAGCTATTGTTATAAGGCGGTGTTACAGGGCAAGGTTTGATTTATGTACCAGTAACATATAGAAGAGTTTATACAATAGAATCCAAAGCAAAAGGAACGATTGTATGTAATAAGCATCACGTTGTTTAGGTAATAAACCTTTAAGTAAATGTTTTAAAGCAAAAGAGAAAATAAAAGTTCAAGTAGAAATGATAAAGTAAAAGACCTTCCTATGTCAATATCCAGGAAGTCAAATAGACAAAAGTAAGTATTTAAGCCAATACCAACGGCCTAATAAGTAACCCAAACAATCAAAATAAAAGTAAAATGAGAAAAATCTTCTGGTCTTTATTGATTAATAATTTGAACGGTTTACATACTCGTATATCGAGAAAATGGTTACTAACTCTAAAGTAAAAAGATGTGAGTCATAATGAACTCGTTAAGATAAAGCAATTCGATTTGTAATAAAGTAAAACTAATTGAGTTGTAAGACTATTCTAATAAGCAAAAGTATCATATATGAAAATGATCATGTCAAAAAGTAGGAGCTTCAAGTAGAATAAAAAAGTAATACAGAAATCAAGTAACAAACATAGGTTTTAATCATAATAACAATAATAATAACAATAATGTAGCAAAAGAGAAAAAAGAATAGAAAGACTACAATTGACGGCAGCGACTGGAATGTAACAGCAGGGTTTGATTCTTACACCGGTAGCGTATAGAAGAGATCATAGAATAGAATCCAAAACAAGGAGTGGTTGTATTCAACGAGCACTATTTACTAAGGCAACGAGCTTTTAAGTGAAAGATTCAAAAATAAAATAGAAATAGTTAATGTCTAGATCCAAAGTAGAAGAATAGACGTGATATCTAACTTTTATGATTTATAAAAAGTCTAAAAACATATCGCATGTAGAAATTCAATTCGCAACACTATAATTCCAATGTTTATTCATCTTCATCGGAATCCAGCAAGATAGGTCGCTTCTTTTTACGAGGTTGTTCTAAAGACCATTCTTTTGGACATGTGTATGCTACTAAGTTACCCAGTTTGAATAGATCAAAAAGCACTTTTTTATCAAGCTTGAATGATTCTACAGGAGAACATTAAACATATATCTTGCATAAAAATAGATCTTACCTGAAGCTGACTTTTGATCCCACCATATCGTCAAGACATGAAGTAGTTGAGTAGCCATTCCAGATCGGTCTTCCTCGTTTTCTATTTGATCTGTTATCCATTCAGTTAGTTCAGAGAGTGATGACAAAAATTCATCTGTTCTCTGCTGTGACCAATACTGTAAGGATGCTAAAATAAATTGAGTTTGTGGTTGGGTCACTTTGAGTGTGGCAGGCATGATCTGAAGAATGGCATACATTAAATCTTTGGAAGGAGGTATTGATGTCAGGATAGAGAAAAGCGAAGGTAGAATTTCGATTTTAACTATGTCTGGTAAGTCAATGGGTACTTTATCGAGATGTACTCACAGTTTGTCTTCATGGCATGAATGACCTGAGGTTGCTGAAACAACCGGTAAATTTCATCACTTTTGCCTTGTAGTTCTGCTGCCAGTAGTTGCCACAAATGAGTTGTTTCGTATGTAGTAAGAGCTAATGAATCAGAAACGAAAAATGTACTTATTTGATTGCCAAAGATGCGAGTCGAATCAGAATATAAGTTGCAAGTGAGTTTACCCACCTATCGCATTTCATGAGCATCAAGCAAAAGTATGTTAGGTCCAACTTACAGTTTCAGGCAAAAGCATTAAAAGTGTTAGTTTCAATATATCCAGGTCTCCAACCGTTACATTGGGTAAATATTGGTATAGTAATGGTATAATATCGTTAAAATAAACTATGTTTTTATCAGCCAGAGCCTATTGATAGATGAGCTTGATGTTCGATGTTACATTTGAGTCTTACCTGCAAGTCACCTTTGAGGTACTCTCTTAGATAGTCTGATTTATCTATAGTTGACTCTTCCACTGAAAATGCATGTGAAACGTATGCTTTATAATTGATAATAATACTTGGAAACCATTCCGAAATATCAAGGGATTCCGTCACTTGTTCATTTCCTAATTGTCTAATAGCTATCATTAAAATGCAATTCCCTTGTTCTTTTGTGATATATACCCTGCAATGAAAGACCACCAACGCATACCTATAATATGACGCTTTGTTTTGCTGGTTTTTTTGGTATGTGCGATACAACCAATCAAGCGAATCACTTTATCTCTTGAAGCATCATTATTACAGCTACTCCAGAATGTAGCCATAATTAGATCAAACACATCCTTGGTGGGGTCCTGTACAATAGTATCCTCATCCACAGAGTCCATGCTATTCGGTGTGCTGTTATGTATTAACAAGTTTGATACGACAATGTTTCTTATAGGTGCTCCAATTGCTGAACCCAATGTTTCTGCAGGTATGGCCTATAGCAAAACAAGATTAAGTATAAATTCCATTCTCGTTCGCACTTTTACCATGCGTAGAAAGACAGCCAATATTTCCTTCAAATTCTTTTTTGATGTCATATTAAGTTCGCTGTACTGCTCTACATTGCCTTCTCTCAATGTAGCAATGGCATTCGCAGAAGCTTCTTTGAATCGTTTAAGAGAGTCACCAAAAATCCAATAAGATTGATGTGATTGCAACCCATCCGTCTCTTCCTCTTCTTTTTCATCCTCTACTACCAACATTGTATCTTCATTGGTATCATTCATATCAGTATCTTCAGAAGGTGGCAAGGGTGTATCTTCAACTGATTTCTCTGTGTCGTTCACTACTGTGTTTTCCATTTCAGTATCTGATTGTCCATAAAGATAGGCATCTACATCTTCATCGTCTTTCATGGGTGTCATGATGGCTAGTTTTGGTGTCTGTTGAGACTTTTGATTACTGTCGTAGTCAATGTCACCTTGTTGTTGTTGTTGTTCTGATGGATACTCTACATTTTCTGATTTAGGCGTAGAAGGCATACTTCGCATAGCATTTGATTCTGATCCACTACCACCCGATGGCTGCATAGACACAGAAGAAGGCAAGACAGCAGACTGCTGTTTGTCCTCTACCAAGAACTCAGAAAACAGCGCTTGCATGTAATCCCGTGTGATGGATTCAGTGGCAGGACAACGATAGATGGGAATCAAACTACGAATAACACCTTTGTTCAGCAACACGCGCATGCCGCAAGTGACGCAGGATGCCATGTAGTCACGCAAAGGCGGAAAGTATTCGTCCACTGATTTTTTCAAGAATTCCATGATAAGGGCTGTAATGCCTGGATAGCGCTCAGCCGATCGTTCCATCAAAAGCATAGCAGGCTCTATATTTTAAGAGTCAATGGTATGTTGAACAGTGATCTGTCATTATTACCTATAAACATGATATTGTCTGTAGATGTAAAGAAGAGCCAATCATAAACAAGTGCTGTTTTGACATTGGTCAAGACGACATTACTCTACAATATTATCAATACAATTCGATAAGGGAATCAACTACCTTAATGGATCGCATCATACTTCCAATAATAACATATCGAGGAACAATGTCACTCTGTAAAATCTGGTTTGAAGGATACCAGCCAGCAACAATAAATCGTATGACATCTGCATAAAAAGGTTCTGCTTCGGGTGTATTTAGAAAACGTTGTACAAACCAAGTCAAATTGCGTTGATATTGAGTGATTCGAAGCTATAGATTACATAAGCAACATGTTTGTCTGTTTGTTTGTGTATTACATTCTGAAGAATAAAGAGCAACTTGAATTCAATATCAGGCGTGATTCGACATCGTAAAAATTCTTTAGGTGTTGGTGTCTTGAGGACAGTGTCAATGCCTATTGGAATCATGAACATAAGGTCTTGTTTGATTCATTACCTTTGAATTTGGGTGATATGCTTTGTGGGCTGTTTAATAAAGTATCCCAAAACTGCTTGATGTCTGGTATTGCTCTCAAATCATACAGAATTCGAATTAAATCTCGACCTATTGGTACACAAAGCATCCACTTTAAAGGATGTTAGCTAGCCAATCGCACATGACTGCATCTCACCTTTTCTCGCATTAAATTAATCACAAATCGAATCTCTTTTTGTTGAAGTGATTGAAGCTGTAAAGTCCTATGGTCTGCAATTGTTCTAAGGTAGGTATAAACAGCAGTCGCAATCACTCTCGGACTGGTACCTAACCAGACCTTATGTACTTCAAATAATTTGAGAATTTGCTCGCACAATAAGACATTGGGCTGACCGACATCGCCTCCACGGATCTGCCGCATTAGGCAGAGATAGAGTGTATCCACATTCTGCACATTGAGACTGGTCAATTCGCTTATAAGCCAAAATATCTACAGAGGGTTCACCAATATGCTTTTGTATCCATCCATCTTACCTGATCTCTAACAGCGAGCTTTAAATTTTGAAATTTAATTGATGTGGTCAACACTTGTAATTTAGTGACAATGCTTGCAAAGTTATCTCTATTCACAAAACTAATGGATTGGAAAAACTAGATACTTATCAGCTATCCATGTAAGACGATGGTCTATTTTTACCATACGCGCTTTACCAGGTTCAGTGAGAGCACCATAAAGTAAAGCAGACACGACGTCGTTATATTCCTTTTTGTTCTGAGAAGCCTTGTCTTGCAAATAATTGTGTATTTCTATTTCAGACTTGTTCTCGGCTGCATCGCGATATCTTGCATAAGCTTTGGCGAGTTCCTGTTGTTTATTAGTCCCGGCTGATAAGGTTGTGCTTTTTACCGTATCGAATTCATCATCAGCTTCTATAGAGTCAAAGTCATAGATTCTAGAGCGTGTTTCAAGATTGAGTCCCATCCTAAGCAAGAAAAGTTAATAATGCAAGCTCACACCTCACCATGCATGAACAAGCCACAGATCCCCAGGGACGACTGCTTATACCATTCTATCGATTGACACTCAGTCCCTGCAAATTTTTTTTTATATATAGAGCCTCAGAAGGAAAGGGGTTCTCTCTCTCTCATAAAAGCAATGCAACTCTTTGTCAAGTCCCTTGCCGGCAACACCCTCGCTCTCGAGGTCGCCCCTTCCACCACTGTCGAAAATGTCAAGTCCATGATCGCCACCCGTGAAGGTATAGAGTGAACAATTAGGCATATACTCACCCAACATGTGTGTGTATAGGTATTGATGCTGAATACCAATGTCTCTCTTTCGCCGGTAAGCCTCTTGTTGATGGTGAACTCGCCCTTTACGGCATTGCCAACAACAACACCTTAAACCTCAACGCTGAACTTCTCGGTGGTGGTAAGAAGAGAAAGAAGAAGACCTACACTACCCCCAAGAAGATCAAGCACAAGCGTACTAAGGTCAAGTTGGCTATCCTCAAGTACTACAAGGTGGATGAATCTGGCAAGGTTACTCGTCTCCGTCGTGAATGTCCTAATGCCACCTGTGGTGCTGGTGTCTTCATGGCCAAGCACAAGGACCGTCAATACTGTGGCAAGTGTCACTTGACTTACGTCTTCCAAAAGGATCAACAAGCTTAAGTCTTTTTATTTTTCTAATAAACCAAAAAAAAAAAAGTATACATCTATTCAAAAAGTCACTTGTCCAACCCAGTTACGTCTTCTATAACGAGATGTCTTTCTTTGATAGTCAACGAGTTTACGAATGGGATACACAACCAAAGCAGCCAGCACAAGTCCGAGGGAAATAGCTACGGTGATAATCATCATATGGGTGGCAAAAATAATACCTTGTTGGCCTGCATTAAGAATAATGCTTACCTCAGTAGCATGGACAGACGATGTGAGACTGTCAAGTGATGAGGCCACACCGACTGATCCAGGCACAAGAAAGAACAAGCCAATAATCATATCGACAAAACCAATCGTAGGTCGAAACCTTGCATACAAGTTCGACACAAAAGCCACAGAAAAAGCTGCCAATACAGCTGCCACATGAGGATATGCACTGAACCAAACAAGCGAGAAATAATGAACCGTATGAGACAAGGCTGCCAAGCTTAATGTGATGGGGAATTTAGAAGGATGGCCTTTAAGGACAACAAGACTTGCAAGCGTATATAATGGGACAAACAGGATGTGATAAAAAGAAGACATGTCGTCCTCGCATTGCTGTGCTGTGATCAAGACTAATGTAGGGAATATGATTTTGTGACAACTTGAGCCAATAGCCAGTCCAAATCCAATCATGAGTGAGTAGACCAATGTAGTAGCCAACCGAAGTATGCCTGAGGCCGCTTCACCTGCTGTTATTTCGAGTATAGAAACAAGAGTAGCATAGCCAGGCAAAAGACTAATGACACCCCCAATCGATAAGGCATAAAAGCAACTAGAACCAAGGTGTGCACTGATGACCGAAGCAATAAATCCAACGACAGTACTTGACAAGACATCAAAAATACTAACAAAACGTGTTATTTTCTTGGACAAAAAGATAGAGCCACTAGCCACAATCAGACCTAATACAAAGCCAAATGCCATATCCATGGGCCCGCCAGAGAAAAATAAAGGCATACTAATACTTGATGCAGTTGCATAAGCCAATAATCGTAGCCATGTAGGGTAAATGGAGGGTGTTTGAACAATTGAATCGAGTCTATCCATTGCTTCTTCTATGGATACTTCATTGCAAATGACAGACTCAAATAATTGATAAGTCTGTGTTAGACTATTCAAATTCAGACTGAATTGTATCTTGATCATTTGAACTGAGGCATCCAATCTTTCTATTTTAGAATTTTTCCAATAAAGTGTAAACATAATATGTCTATATTGTTTGTACCTGGATCGCCAAAAGAAACTACAAGAAATCCTGGAAAATAACTGAATTGAGCCTTTACATCTAGTTTTTGAACAAGTACTTGTACACAATAATCAAGTCGATGTGAAGGTGCTCCACACGACAAGAATACTTTAGAGAATTTCAACAGGAAAAGACAAGACAGACTGGTTGTTGGACTCCTTTCCAAATTAGGAGAGCTCATTAGGACTGTATAAGGTTGTTCACTAGTACTATTTTCATCTGCAAAAGGATTGTCCGAAATAAAAGACATTGACTTTGTCCTTCTCGTATGCTTTTCTTTAAAGTGGTTCATAAAGAGAGAGAAAGGGAAAAAGCAAACATTCCTCTGCTCTCTCTTTTGGTTTTATTATGATAATAAATCCCTTTATTGATTTACTGGTTTAGGGCGATCTAAATGAGATAATGAGGTTAAAAGAAATAAAATAATATCCATTTTTACCTTTATAGACTGGTTGACGTTCATATGCATTTGGGCTAACATCTCTGGGATTTCTCTTCTTTTTCTTCTTTCCATGTCTATGGCTGCAGTGGCCTGTATGGCTATCTTCGCTATCACTGTCATTTTCACTACTGCTACTACTACTACTACTATCTGAAGATTCTCCAACAGGACGGGGTTTATGATAAATACAACAAACTATGACATGTTAATTCTATTCATAGCATAGTACTCTTACCCTTTGATTTCTTTTTGTTCATATGTTCGTTATCAATCACATTTTCATCCCACTGAATAACTCTTCTTCTTCTTGAGTTCATATCTCCTCTTAGACGAAGTATACCCACATGTTCACCTTCGTCTGATGTTGTTTCTTCATCGCTTGGGTTAATGACTTGGTTTTCTTCTATAGCTATTGTCCTCGAGCCATGACTGACTGTTGGTGTAGCGTCTCTTGTTCTTGTAAAAGTTTCTGGGTGTGCTGACATGTTTATCAAAAAAAAAAGAAGACTTATTTTTTCTTTCTCGAATTTGTATACTTTCAATGTCCGACATGCATTCAATGAACAGCTTTAAACGTATTAAAATTTTAGCAGACCTAACCACATTATAAAGCACTTAGTTATGAAATAGAACAGCTTGTCACAAAATGTAGATACCTACGATGTGAAAGCACAAACAAAGCTACACGCAGCTATGATGTATTCATTTGCATTGATTGAAACAAAGAGAAATTGAACGATATGTTAACTTTCATTTATTTTCGATGGGAGCAATGATGGAACAAGAACACTAAAAATATACAGGCCTGTTGATTGTCTCATTGTAGATCTATTAACTGAAGCTATCATCAAAGTTTACCCTTCTTTTTTTGCGTTTTTAGGTGTAGTTTCTAATGAAAACTACGACTTATTGAAAAAAGGTTTTATAACACACAATACATGTTATTTTATGCATGTATACTTGTGTCACTATAAATCATTTATATTCTGGACTTGCTTAGGTTCAAGAAACTCTTATATTATTCTATAGCAGTAAACTATAATTGAAGTAGTAAAAACTATGTTGCAGCTAAGTCTCAACACAAAGTTTGGTTACTATCATCTTTTGTTATCATAAAGTGATAAGTAGAACAGAGACAAAGCTAAAAGGCACATAATGATGATAACTTTGGCGCTAAAATGAAGGTACATCTCAGATCTGTGTCTACTGTTTCCAGAAACTTCAGCATCCTAAGTAACTAGTCAGAAGGTAGGAAACAACAAGATACAGAAACATGAAAGGTGCCTTTAATTTATTATAGTTCTGAATATCTCTCAGTCAAAAATGGTCATAGTATAACTGGAAGAGAGAAGGTATCTAGCTTTAGCCATTGATATCTCAGGCATAGCCACTTTGCTCTTTCATGAAACTCTTCCTGCTTTCTTCTCAAGTGTCAGTCACTCCAACACTGAACTGAATTTGAAAATGTCAGCCTTTTGTACAAGAAGCGGTGTATCGGTCAAGAGTTTAGCATCTCTTTAGCGGATCAAGTAAGTGCTTTATTCATTTTTAAAATCTTAGCATTTTTTAAAGTTTCCGGTTCTCAGTTGTTGGACATCAATGCACCTTAATTTCCGGTCAATAGTAACTATAAATAACCCTTCTTCTTACTCTTATTCTTATCTTTCTCTTTCTCTTTTTAAAGTATGCCAAAATACAAAGATCAGAAATTAAACCCTTCAACATATGCCATTATTCGATGGTTTGGATTTGATCAATTAGTGCCTGAACACATTGTCACTTCACATTGGATGTCCACTAAAGTATTTTTTATGGTCCGGTTCACTATAACTTTATATTCGACCATTGTTTTCTGGATCTATCTTGCCATATTAGCAAAAGCCGGGAAATTCAATGGCTTTTTTGCTGCATTTACAACACTCAATTTTATTGGAATCCATGCATATTTTGTTGTAATTGTCTTGATATATACATACATCTTTCTTATTTTTTAGACTACTTCTGTGCATCATATTCGCTATCTGTATTCGAAAAATGTAGATTTCTTATTGAATCAGTTTGCTGTTTTGAACTATATGTTATTGTATCTCTATAGCACTGTAGTGACATACAAGTAGTGTAGTGTCGTATATATTCCAATCTTAACATGTAATCCTATAGTATTCTTACGCCAGTTATCTTTTGGTCGATCTTGGTGAATTCAAATGGTGTTGGTAAGAAGCACCAAATGCATTCTATTTGTTGATATTTTGTTCCTTTAGCATACCCCGTATCAATAGAAGATCCTATCGTTATGTGGATTAATTTGTCAGTACATGGCATATCTCTCTTTATGATCATGATCGATACTGTTCTCAATCGTATTAGAATCCCTATAAGAATGGTTCTTTTGGTCTTTATCACACTTGTACTTTACGTCCTTTTAACGTTCATTATTTATGCAAGGTAACATAAATATCTGCAGAAGCATCTCCTAATCATGTCATATAGCACTGGAACTTGGGAATATCCATTCCTTGATTGGAGCCAAGGACCTATTGCAGCACTATGGTATTTTATACTATTTATTGTATGTATAGCATCCTTTTTTATTGTAATTTTAATACAATATGTTCGGGACTGGATTGCACACTTTGTTCATGCGGATAAAGAAGAGAAACTACAAGACCAAAGACCAAAAGATGAAAGAATATCTGTCAATATAGACTAACAAATGCTTTATTAAATTCAAAAAATGCGATTTCATTGAGTTCTTGCTTGCTTTGTCAACTAAAATAAACTGTGAATACGAAAAAGTCAAAGAGGGCGCATTGTTACCTGTTCTTCTTGATCATCTAGTTTACGTTTTAAGGTATTTACATCTTGCATTTGAGTGTCTGCTTCAACCAAAGTTCCACTCTTGATGGCATCTGCATGACAGGTAGCATGGTAAATCTGTAGCATGTCAGTTTGATTTGTCAAAGGAGATCTGCTGTTTTACCTTGTCATTCACCATCACTGCGTTTTTATACATCCATTCTTCTTCATCGTCATTCCAAAAGTCAACAAAGCGTTCACCACAGATAGCACAAGGCTTTCTGTTATCGTCATTGGGCATCACAACTGTATAAAGATCGGGATTGATCGTGTCTTCATTGCTGGCTTGGTTCAATTTTTCAGTGGATTTGGGATTAGCATGACCCATACCATCATGCAAGAAAGTAGGAGCTTCATACACGATTAGCTTCTTCGTCTAATGTGAGCTTGACTTACCTTGTTGATGTGTCAATTCGCCTCCTTCACCATTGATCCACTGTTCAACTGTGACAAACCAAGAGCGAGACAAACCGCGTTTGGTTCTCTCTTTCATCTTGCGATTTTGTCTGAAATGAGAGTCGAGATGAGCATCCATCTTGGCTTGTCCCTTTTCCGTCTTAGGATATCGAAAACCACATTGCTTGCATTGAAGCGGTTCTGCAGAATAGAGTAGTTCAATCGCACCAGGACGAGGTATCTGTAAATCTTTCGAGTCCAGCAAAAAGGGACCAAAGACATCAAGCGATGGCGTGGGTGATAATGATACAGGGGCTGTGGTCATTGCAGGTTCAATCGTGGCAGCAGCAACAGGAGGAGGAGCATGAGGACTAAGATAACCCATGGAAGTCAAACTTTTTAGTAAATCAGCTGTATCTACATTTGAATTCAAAGAAGCAGAGGGAGTAGCAGCAACACGAGGACTCAAAGAAGTACTCACAATAGTATTATTTAATAAAGGAGGAGTGGGTGTGTTTACAATATTAGAAGTAGGAATTGAAGGAGAAGAAGAGGAAGTAGGATGTGATAATCGAGGGTTTGGCAAGGTAGGAGATGGGCTTGCAAATGCCGTACCAGCAGCACCTAAGGTTGGAGAAGCAGTAATTTGGGCAAGATATTGCTCAATGGAACTGGCTTGTGCAGGAGGTAGAGTGGGTAAGATAGCTTTGATCTTTAAGTAAGGTTTTAGTATACAGCAAACGAGAAAAAAAGTAACTTACTTGACTAATGATTTGCGTAACAGGATCATTTGTGCTTTGCTGAACAGGAGTTGAAGGAAGTATGGATTGTAATTGAGAAAGAATAGGGTTAGACATACTTATTGGTGGGGTTTCTGTAATTTGCGGACTTCTGTTACGAGGATCTCTAACACTATTGTTGTTATTATTGTTTGAAGCGAAATTGGCACGCTGATCCTAAATATGGATAAGTAATTACAACCTTCCTCCTTCTTTTCTCTTACCTTGTGAACAAAATTAGGATTCACATGAATAGAGTTAACCATATTAGAAGAACCTTTGTGACCTTGTGAAGGTTTGTTAGGAGGATGAGGATACTTGGAAGTAGGCGTCTTTTCGCGAATATAGACAATGGACCTTTCGATTGGTTCAATCACATGACGAGGAAATACAGGTTGACCACCAGGCATACCATTCTTCCAAGTCTGAAGCAGCCTTTCAAAACTCTTTCGAACAGTCGTGTCAGTTAAAGTATACGCGTCTAAAAAGACATTGACCATGTTTCTTGAGAAATAGGAGATATAGATGCCACCAACATTCTTACAAATAGAATCAATCAAATAAAGAACAGGTAGTTTTTGTCCAGAAGCATTCTATAGATAAGCAAAATCAGTTTGTTGTTTTGAATGGAAACTTATTTTATGATAACAATAAGGGATTCCTTCTAATTTTTATATATGCCATCATTTCAAATCATAATATATAATAAATCCCTTATTTTTTTTGTTCAACTTGTATATCATTTTTATATATATAAAACATAAAATAGATTCTGGTTGATAACTTACATTTCTTAATTGATTTTCAATTTCTCTAACAATGATACTTGCAGCTGCCTGGTTTTCTTGAGCCATGATGGTCAGATTGGTGATAATGGGCTTGCTGTTGAACGTAAGTTCGGAGAGTGCTGACCTGTAATTTCTCTTCAATTGCTCCAGATCTTTACTATCATTACCTTGTTGTTGTTGTTGTCTACCACCAGCATTCATTGTTGTATTATTCATAAACATTTAAAAATAAGAAAGAGTATATATATATATAGTATGAAAAAGAAAGTATAATAGATAAAAACGTTTATTCTTTTTTTCTCTGCTGTTTCCCTTGTGAGCGTGTGTATGTTTTTTTTCTTTTTTTATACTTTTTTCCTTTCTTTTTCACAAAAAAATTGAACTAGACAAGCTATAAATAAAAGAAAGACGTCCTTAGTTTTTTTTTCTCAAGGTAGTAATAATAAATGACGACTTACTTGTAAAAAAGAGTGATTGATAAAAAAAAAAAAGAGAGAGAGAGAGATAGAGAGAGAGAGAGAGAAAAGAGAAAGAAAGAAATGAATTTAAAAAAATTTTCATTAGATATTTAACCCAATCGAAACGGATATAAATAGTTGACATCATACACACTGCGGGTTTATAGCTATGATAAAACGGCCTTCTTTTTTCCCTTCTTTTTTTATTTCCGGTATTCTTTTATACTTTTTATACTATGTAAGTATATAAAATAAAGGTAGATAGGTATATTGATAAACTCACTTAAAAAAAAGGGCTCAGCCTTATGACCCTTATGTTCCTAACCTCAGTGCTGGTGCCAGCAACCAAACTGGAAAAGAAAATTCAAAAACAGCCCGAGTTCAGCAACAAGTAGACGAAGTCGTGGGTATTATGCAAGAAAATATCGACAAAGTTGTCCAAAGAGGTGAGCGATTGGATGATTTACGAGGAAAGACAGGTATTTAGGATGAAGTGACTCGAGCATGTGTTCATATGTTCGCTATAGAGGATTTACAGGCAACAGCAGGCCATTTCCGCCGTGGAGCTAATCAGGTGCGTAAGAGAATGTGGTGGAAAGATTTGAAATGGAAAATCATTATTGCTGTAACCATTTTGGTCATTCTTGGTATCATTATAGGTTCGATTGTCGGTACACAGGTAAGAGAAAAAAAGCCATATGATTCTTTTTTGTTGATCCAGTTTATAGACAAACAAAGGCAACCAATAATGTATATATATCTCTTTATCTGTATGTTTGTATTCCCTTATGAAAAAAAAAAACTTTTTATTGTATAAACGAAAATCTGAGTCAGTACCAATATGGTTTATAATGTGACCGTGCATCATATGTCAATATATTTCACTCTCTTTTTTTTTTTCTTTCTTTAATTTCTCAAATGGAAGAACTAAGACAAGAAAACGAACGTCTTCGTCAACGTATTGCAGAACTTGAAGCAGCTCAAACATCAATCCCAGTTGCACTTTCCACTAAAGACAAAACAGAACCCTTTGAGACAGTAGGCGACTTGACAAACAAGGAAATATATCGCTTTGGACGTCAACTTATTACTTTTGGCTATGAGTGTAAGTAGTTCACAAAAAAAAAAAAGCAGGCCTAGGATAATGACACTCTATAGCTCAACTGAAATTACGCAACAAGTCATTTTTAGTCGTCGGTGCAGGCGGTTTAGGCTGTCCAGCAACCTTGTATTTAGGTGCAGCTGGTGTTGGCCGTCTTGGTATTGTTGATCATGATACAATTGATACCAATAATCTGCACCGTCAAGTAACGCATACTGAAGCAAGAAAAGGAGTCAATAAGGCTGTATCTGCCGCAATGGCAGTCAAACAGTAAGCATTGAAACTGTGTATGCATCTATCTAAATTTTTTCTAGAAACTATCCCGACATGGATGTGATTCCTTATGCCTATTCGCTAGACAGAACAAATGCACTTGATCTCATTAAGCAGTCAGTAGTTGACCTTAGCCTTGTGTATATAGTAACCATTGTTTGATAGGTATGATATTATCGTTGATGCAACAGATAATATTGCTACAAGATACCTGTTAAGTGATGCATGCGTATTGGCTGGGAAACCCTGCGTATCAGGAAGTGCTCTTCGAAATGATGGGCAATTGACCGTCTATAACTATAAGGGTAGTCCATGTTTCCGTTGCCTTCATCCTGTTCCTCCTCCTGCTTCTACAGTAGGCAAATGTGTAGACAATGGTGTCCTTGGCGTAGGTAAAGTACAATAGAAAATAGACATGAGACTAATCTACCCTCAAGTACCCGGCGTCATTGGTATCTTAGAAGCATTAGAGGCTATTAAAGTGGCTTTAGAAATACCCTGTTTGGATCAACCTAGTTTTTTGATCTTCAGTGCTATGAGTAACCCTATGTTTAGAACCATGCGTCTTCGTGGCAAAAAGAAGGATTGCGCTATTTGTGGTGAAAATCCTACACAAGCAGATCTCATCGATTATGTTCAGTTCTGTCATGGAGTAGCAGACGATAAAGTGGTGGATGAAACCTTACTTTCAAAAGAAGAAAGAGTCCAAGCTAAAGTAAGTTTGTGTACAAACTTTGTGTTACTTACAGTCCACAAGGAATACAATGAGATTGTCAAGAGTGGGAAGCCACATTTGCTTGTGGATGTCCGACCTGATGTTCAGTTTGGTATTTGTAGTCTCCCCGACAGCCTTCATATTCCCATTGAACAATTGGACAAAAAGATGAATCTTGTTAAAGAGGCCATGGAAGAGAAGAACATTACAGACAAAGATGGTAAATAAGGGCCTTTTTATTAAGAAGAAATATACTAAAATTATATTGAATAAGTGTATGTGGTTTGTAGATTAGGGAATGATTCGCAGATAGCTGTTCGTATGATGCAAAAAGAAGGTATTCAGCAGCCTCGTGACGTAATAGGTGGATTATTGAGTTGGTCCAAGACGGTTGATGATTCTTTTCCTATTTATTAAAAAAAAAAACTTATTTTCGTTTGCCTGCACACATGCCACCATATAAATCCCAGCCAACAACCAGAACATAGAGTGCAAACGAAACAAAGCCGAAAAAGATGGAAGTATTGTAAAAATTACACCAGCCACTCAAATGGCCTGGAGGACAGGTGTACTTAGCAATTTCTACAATAATACCAATCCCCCACATCAATGCCATAAATAAATCACACATAATCAAAATGGGTCGTTTTAACTTGTTTGCTGATCCAAATCGTCTGACCAAGTAAAGGACTACATGATAACCAGAATAGATGATAGACAAAATAGCCTAGAGAATACATATATAAGCAAAACATGAGTTTTAAGTCAAAATACATACCACGGCAAAAAGGAAGTAAAAGCAAGCACTGCTGTCAAATGGTACAGGTTGTCCAGAATACTAATCATAATCAGAAGGTTTCTTTTGCTTTTTTTCTTTCTTTCTAAACTTACGGGAGAAGCGCCGGCTGCAAAACCGAGGTGGCCAACAGCAGCTATAAATAAAATGATACGCAACAGAACTCTTATTCTGCTTGGACGTCCTGTACTGACTGGCGAAACACTAGCATTGTCATTTATCGACATTTGCGTTTCAATCTTTTGACTTGCTGGCTCGGGATGGCTGACAGCAGGTGAATAGGCATTTTCTACGTTGGAAGTATTACCATAAGGTGTGCCAGCGTATTGGTAGGCATTGGCTGGTTGTGCAGGAGCAGGAGCAGGACTGCTGGACCATGCATTTCTTTCATTTTCGTCCAATGTCTTGTTGGATTCTTGCCAAGCATTTACTACAGGTGCGGGGCTGGTATAGTCGGAGGGTGAAGGCATACGTTGTGTATTGTAAGGTGAATTCGCGACGTTTTTTCGAGGTGGAAGTGCAGGTGAACCAGCAGCCATAGCGGGTGCTGGTGATGATGACTCATAGGCATTGCCATATCGTGGACCAACATCGTTATGGTTTGACCATGGATTTTGAGCTGTTGTTTCTTCAAATGGATTGCTCATAATGAACGAAGAATAAAAAAAGAAATAAAAAAGAAAAATGAAATAACTCGTGCTTTTAGACTAAACTAAAAACATTTCTCGGAATAGTTGGTACTTTTTCTGATACTTGACAAATCTAGTGCCACCAAACGCTTATTTGTTTCGATCAGCCAATGAGACTAAATCGTCATTATTTCATACTCTACCAAAAACAGACCTCTTTTTTATTGTGTTTCTCCGGAATGATATGACAAAAATTTTCCTTTGTCGTATATGGAGATTATTCATAAAGACATCGTTAAAATGAATATGAAGGGATTTGTTATGTAGGGGGGGGGGAGAAATCTGTGCAAGGTAAAGAAACACTTTCTCCTTTCATGCAAAACAAAACTCAGTAACCAAGTGACGGGCTTTCCTTGTTGCTACTTGCAATTGTGGCGTTTTCTGATTTTCAATGTAGGCTTTTTTTTCCTCTCTCCCCCCTTTATATCGTTTCTTGGTTTACTACACATATGGTTTTACAAGTAACAACTGCAAATAACGTCAAAGTATATACCGTATCAGGTGGTCTTGGTTCGAGATCTATTCCTGATTGGCTTGTGCGTCAAAAAAAGAAAGCCTTGAAAAAGGACTTTGGTAAGTGAAGCATACAATAGATCTCGCAGCTAAAACTATATCCGCAATAGACTTTCGTACTCGTGTCGAACTCATTCAGGACTTTGAATTTCCCGAAGCTTCTAACCGTATCAAAACAACTCGAGATGGAAAATACGTTGTTGCAACCGGTACCTATAAACCACAAATGCGTGTCTTTGAATTTGCAGATATGTCCATGAAGTTTGAACGCCATACAGATGCTGAAACAATCAATTTTGAGGTATGTTTCTTATTCTTATCTGATTGCTCACGATAATATGACAGATTTTATCGGATGATTGGACAAAACAAGCACTTTTGCAGAATGACCGTTCAGTTGAACTTCACGCTCAGGGCGGTATTCATTATAGAACACGTATTCCCAAATTCGGCCGTGATCTCGCCTATCACTTCCCTTCTTGCGACTTATTACTCAGTGCATCCGGCTCCGAGATTTATCGTCTTAATCTGGATCAAGGTCGATTCTTAAACTCAATTCAAACAGATGCAGAAGAAGGTGTTAATTGTGTTGAAATCAACCCAGCACATCAATTGTTTGGTATGGGTACAGCAAGAGGCACGGTTGAATTATGGGATCCTCGTTCAAAGTCACGCGTGGGTCTTTTATCAAACCTAGAAGTACCTGCTGCTTATGGTAGAGACGATAACACAGTTTTGGAAGTATCTGCACTCAAATTCCGCCATGATGGGCTAACAATGGGTGTCGGTACAACAACGGGTCATACACTATTATATGATTTACGTTCAAATGTACCTACATTGGTCAAGGATCACCAATATGGTTTCCCTATTAAAACAATTCATTTCCATCGTGGTACTGTTGCTGGTGCTAGTGACTCAGAAACAGGCGGTGATAAAGTCATTGTGGCTGATTGTAAGATCGTCAAAATTTGGAATCGTTCTACAGGCAAACATTTCACTTCTATTGAACCCGAGACTGATATCAATGATGTCAGTCTGGTAGAAGACAGTGGTTTGATCTTTACAGCCAATGAAGGCATTCAGATGGGATCCTATTTTATTCCCCAATTGGGCCCTGCTCCTCGATGGGCTTCTTTCCTCGAAAACTTGACAGAAGAAATGGAAGAAAATCCCAACCGCGATGTATACGACGAATACAAGTTCATTACTCGCAAAGAACTTACTGCATTGGGCTTGGAACATCTTTTGGGTACCAATGTTATCAAGGCTTATATGCATGGTTTCTTTGTCGATTTACGTTTGTATGAAAAGGCTCGATTGATTGCCAATCCTTTCGCTTATGACGATTATCGTGAGCGTGCTGTTAAAGAAAAGATTGAAAAGGAACGTGGTTCACGTATTCGTGCTGTCAAGCAATTGCCTAGTGTTAATAAAGCACTTGCTAAACAACTTATGGCTGAGCAAGAAGGTGGCAAGAAGGCCAAGACTGATAAAACAGAACTCTTGGGCGATAGTCGTTTCGCTGACTTGTTTGCTGACCCTGACTTCCAAGTGGATGAAGGTTCTAAGGAATACCAATTATTGCATCCTCAAGTTGTAAGTGTGTATATGCATTACCATGATTGTTAACTTGTCTTTTTAGAAACAAAGTAGACATCAACGTTCAGACGATGAAGACGAAGAGGAGGAGGAGGAGGAGGAGGAGGAGCAAATGGAACAAGATGAGGATGAAGATATGGATTCAGACAAGAGTGAAGCCATGTCTGGTTCAGATAGTGAAGATGATATTGTTTCCAAGATTCGTAAAGAAAGAGGTCTAGAAGTGCGTGATAAAAAGAAAGCTGCTACTTCTCTTCGTACAGGCAATAAGCGAAAACCTGAAATGCGTATGGGCACACTTGGCGGTAAAATGACAAGCAAGAATGAAAGCAAGAAATCATTTGGATCAAGATTAAAATCAGATAGTCGCAAGAGCGAAGGCCACAAGATGTCTCGTACAGCTATGGGTGGCATGGAAATGTCATTTACTCCTCAATCTATCAAAAAGAAAAATGATAAGAACAAGAATAGACGTCGTGCATAAATAACTAAAATTCATAGAGCCTCTCATTTAATCACATTTTATATCATTCCCTCCAAAATAAAACTTATTCATCTCTGTAGATTTTACTTTGTTTATTTGAAAAAGATGGATATAGAGGATTATAAGTCATCAATGTTGATGTTTCCTTCATTTAATTCCTTTTCAAGTGCCTTCAAAAGTTCCTCATCTTCATCATAGTCCTTCAAGGTTCTAACAGGCTTGTTGGTAGATCGAGTAGGTCTCAATTGAGGCATAGTTTCGATAGGTGGCAAAGAACGCATAGGGCCAGCCAATTCTTCATTTAGTTCAGCCTTCTGAATAGCAGCTCTTTCTTCAGGAGTAAAGTGGCGTTCTTCAGCAGCATGCAGCAGATCTTCAAGCAAACCATCGTCAATAGCACGGACGACATCTTCATATTGCTATTGACAAGTTGTGTTAGTCAGGTTAAACTTAATCACATTATACTTACACCTCTATATTCACCACCAACATAAATTTGAGGAAACTCCTTAATTCTACCTTGAGATCTACCATTGTTGTTGCACTTCTTTGCATACTGTCTAGCAGTCTCACTCTGTGCAACATCAACCAAACTAAATTTGATATTGTTGTTCTTGAGCAATTGCTGGATTTGCTCTTGGTTCCTCTTGATGACAGGATTTGAACTGACAGAAGAGTAATAGATTTGAACCTTCTTTGGGTCTAAGGGTGTCAAGACAGGTTCAGGCTTTTGATAAGCAGGCATATTACCCAACACTCTTAACAAAGTCTTGCTCTTACTTTCCATAAGAGGAGTAGGTGTAGGCTTCAACTTGGCAATGTGACCACCGCTGGGTGTGGGCCAAGAGACAGCTTCTGTAGGCAAGTAACGGCTTGTCCAACTATCTCTAGTTAAATCCTGAGTGCGCTTCAGCTTGTTCAACTGGGCCTTTTGGTTGTTTTCCAAGTTGTTGAGTTCTGATTCATGAGATTCCTCTAAGTTTTGGATTTCGACAGCATGCGTATGTTCAGCTTGTTCAAACTCATGAAGAATGCGTTCTAAATGAGCATCAATATCTACAGCAGGATTGGCTTCTGCTTCCTTTTTGGCTTCATCTACTTGTTGTTCTAAATCAGCCTTTTCTTGCTTATGCTTCTTCTTGAGTGCAATAATGCTACTCGATTGAGCTGTCTTTAATTTACGCACTTCATCTTGATGGTTTTCTTGGAGAGAATCAAGTGCTTCTTTTTGTTCTTTCAAAAGTGCTTCTTTTTCTGCTAAAGCTTCTTCATGAAGACGTAAACTTTCTTCATGTGCCTTTTTTTGAGCCTAATTGAAAAAGATCAGAAAAAGAATACATTGCTTCTTTCTTTTCTTACCTCAAGCTGTTGATTCAATTCTTCAATTTTACGAAGAGCTTCTTGCTTATCTTCTTCCTTTTGCTCTTCAGAAGGTTTGTTGTGAATCAAAGCTCTTAATTCTTCAAGTTCTTTTTCCTTTGATGCTAATTGGCTCACAGCATCCAAATTCTAAAATGAAATATTTAATATATATATATATATATATTTTTTTTTTTTCTTCTTCTTTCTCTTACCTCTGTTTTGAGTGCTTCTAATTGAGAAGCTACTTGATCAAGCTGAGGCACTTGTTCTTCCATCAATCGCTTTTGTTCCTCTAATTGAGCTGCTCTTTCCTCCAGTAATTTCTCTTTTTGTGCCAATTCTTCAGCTTTACTCACATCTTCAGACTGAACCACAATGGCAGGAGGAGAAGGTGAAAGGCTTCTTTCTTCTAATTTAATTCTAAGTTCTTCAATTTCCTTTTCACGTTGTAGTAATTGTTCTTCTTTTGATTTGAGTAATTCTAATCGTTGAACTTCTTTATCTTCAGCTTCTTCTGTTGGACTTGCTGGCTTAGAGGCTTCTTTTGCTGATTCTTGTAATTGTTGCTTTAGACGTTCAAGTTCCGCTTTTTGGTCAGCAATCAACTTTAAATTTTCTTGATTCTAAAAAGAATTGGTCTCTTTGTATGCCACACAAATCTTACCTTTGCTTTTAGATCCTTCACTTCCTCCTTCATTTCTGAAATAGGAAAACGCTTTGTGGTAGAAACATTGCTAGGTGTTCTAGAATGCGCAGCTGTCTTTGCAGTAGTACCAGCAGCAGAAGCTGTTGTAAGGTTACTTTTGATAGAAGCCATACTGGTTGGTCTTGACGCAGCAGATGTCTTTGTGTTATTCAGCGGCGAAGTGGGTCGACGCCCACTAGGACTTGTGGCTCTCTTTCCAGTTGACAAAAGAGAAGTACGAGTATTAGGTTTTGGTAGACCTGTCTTACTATCGGTAGAAGTACGAGCAGAAGCCTTGCTGCCCAAAGTAGACGCCTTATTACTCAAAGTGGAAGCCTTCTTGTTAAGTGTAGAAGCAATAGACGGCGCTAGACTTACAGCAGCCTTGGAAGGACTTCGTAATTTTGAAGTAGGACTCTTTTTCACACTTCTTTTTGTCGCTGTTGTGCCATTGGCATCATCTGGGCTTAAAAGGTTGCTTTTCTTTTCTTTTTTTCTTGGTCCTAAACAGACCATTTTTCGTAAGAAAATGTTGAATGTATATTAAAAAAGTGAGAAGAAAGTGAAAGAAAAGCAAGAAAAATAAAAAAAAAATAAACATACATACATATTGTTGTTGTTATCATTACACCAAATTGAATTATTTTTACTTGTTTTAGTATCAACCACGCACAATTGAACCTGATACTTGTACGGAGTTTCAAGTCATTGAAGCTTTGATCTCTTTCAAAGTGGTATTGGAAAACGTGATTTGTTGTTTAACAAGACATTTCTTGATAACGTATCCATTCCCGTAGAATTCAATATGCGTATATTTTAAAGAAGAGAATGAAAGGAGGTGAATAGTTGCTATAAATTGATTTTCTCCAAAAAAAAGGTACAGAATTAAAGATCAGTTATTGCTTACAAACCCTGGGCGATCTCTTCCATCCGAATACACTAATATAAAGACAAATTATACCGCGTGATGTCTTTTTCAAAAAAGGTGTTGTTGATGCTGAGAAAGCCAGTCTGTAGCAAGATAACCCCAACCATGAAAATTGGTTGACCAATTTGTTAATCTCACCATATAAGTTTTGCTTACATATCCTTCTAAAGACAATTCTCATTTCGTTTTACCGAAAACACAATCAAAGAATATACATGGAAACATTACTTTCTGGGTCAAAGAAGGCCCTGAGTATCTTAACCTTATTTCCTGCATACATCCTCCTTGAAGGTCTAAGCCACCCAAACGATATTATAATTTTTTCTTTACCTTGTCAAACACTTTTTTTCTTCTTTGTTTTTTTTTTATATTCTCTTAAAATATGCCTACCGTCAACATCGACAAGCAGCGCCTTTTCGAAGCTCTTGAGAGAGAATATAGTAAGAAAACATAAGCTTATCTTTTTGAGCAACAACTCAACACTCTATAACAATAGCTTCTCAAGAGTTCTTTGAACTCTGTTTCCGTTTCGGTATCGAACTTGAAGAAGACGTAAGATATTTGCATTTATGCAGAACATGCTAACACGCCTGTTCTTATGTAGACTTCTGAGAGAGAAGTTGTTGAAAAGGAAACTAGCAAAGACGCTGAGCAAGTTCCTGAAAGACCTATCTTGAAGATTGATATTCCTGCCAACAGGTAAATAAAGACATTGTGCAATATCAAGCTAATTTGTATCAAGATACGATTTGTTGTGTCAAGAAGGTCTTGCTCGTGCTCTTCGTGTCTTTGAAGGCAAGTGCCGTCCTCCTGTTTACAAGGCTGTTAAGCCCGCCAGTGGCAAGCTTGAACAAATCCGTGTTTCGGAATCTGTAAGTGTAAATTATAGTGTATGGATAGCTTATAATGATAGACTCAACAAATTCGTCCTTACATTGTTGGTGCCATTTTGCGTAATATCAGCTTCACACCTGAAAACTATGCCTCTTTCATTGACCTTCAAGACAAGCTTCACAACAACATTTGTCGGTAAATATGACTCATTATCAAAAGACAGTCCCTTAAATATATATTATGCAATAGTAAGAGAACACTTGCCTCTATGGGTACTCATGATTTGGATACAATCAAGGGTCCTTTCACTTACGAAGCTTTGTCTCATAAGGACATCAAATTTGTGCCTTTGAACAAGGAAACTGAAGTAGATGGCGATGAATTAATGGAACTTTATGCTGTAAGAAAGGACAAAAAAAAGAGAGAAGGATTGTTAATCGATATGATAGGAAGATAAACATCTTGGTAAATTCCTTCACATCATTCGTGATTCTCCTGTTTACCCTGTTGTGCTTGATGCCAACCGTACTGTTTGTTCTCTTCCTCCTATCATTAACTCTGATCATTCCAAGATTACTTTGGATACTAAGAACGTCTTGATTGAAATGACAGCTACTGATGAACACAAAGCCAGTACTGCCTTGAATGCTTTGGTCACTATGTTCTCTGAATACTGTTCTGAACCCTTCACGTAAGTATTGTTTATATGACGATTGGATTATTTATGCAAATAGGGTAGTATTGAGCCTATTGAGATTGTTTACCCTGATAACACCACCAAGGTCTATCCTGAAATTGAATCTAGAAATGCCACTGCTAAAGTTGATTATATCAACTCTTGTACCGGTCTTGATCTTCCTGGTGATGAGATCTGTCGTCTTTTGAACAGAATGTCTTTAGATGCTAGCATAGATGCTAAGGATAGCAACCAAGTTCTTGTCAAGGTCCCCCTACTCGTTGGGATATCTTGCACGCTTGTGATATTATGGAAGATGTTGCTATCTCATACGGTTATGACAACTTGCCTAAGAAGATGCCTAGTGTTAACACCTTCGGTGCTGCCTTGCCTTTGAACAAGTTGAGTGATTCTGTTCGTAGAGAACTGGCCATGGCTGGTTTTACTGAAGTTGCTCCTTTGATTTTGGTAAGATAATGGTTTATCAGTATACATAGCTTACATTTGTTTAGTGTTCTCATGATGAAAACTTCAAATTCCTTAATCGTAAAGACGATGGTACTACTGCTATCCAGCTTGCTAATCCCAAGACTGCTGAATATCAAGTTGTACGTACTTCTCTTTTACCTGGTGTCTTGAAGACTTTGAACTCCAACAAGAAGTTGCCTTTGCCTCTCAAGACTTTTGAAGTCTCTGATGTTGGTTTCAAGGATGAATCTCGTGACCGTAGAACTAGAAACGAAAGACACATCTGTGCTACTTTCACTGCAAAGACATCTGGTTTTGAAGTGAGTTTGATAAAAAGAGAAAAAAAAAGTTTATGCTCATATATGATAGATTATTCACGGTCTTTTGGAACGTATCATGAACATGCTCAGCACAAAGAGAATCAGCAAGGATGATACCAAGTCACTTGGTTATTGGATTGAAGAATCTCAAGATGCTACTTATTTCCCTGGTCGTTCTGCTTATATTTTCTTGAGATACCTTGACAGCTCTAATGAACGCAAGTCTGTTCAAATTGGTTCTTTTGGTATTCTTCACCCCGTTGTTCTTGAAAACTTTGAATTGAACAACCCTACCACTGCTCTTGAATTCAACTTGGAACCTTTTGTTTAAATCATTTAATTTATGTAGCTATATTAATAAAAAGGGAGTAGATTGTTGTACAAAGTCTTTGCATGAATAATGAGACTCTAGAGAACATTTCCCTTTACATTAAAAAATTGTGCCTTCCGTTTGTTCTTTTGTGTTTCCTTTAGTGTACTCTTTATTTTGTAAATGCAATACATATGCAAAGTAGACCTATATGATTGAATTCACGAAGTTAGACATAAAGTTAGCTTTTTTGGTGTTATTCAATGCATGACACGAAGCTTTATAATGTAACTAATAAGAGAATAATGAAACAGTCATTTACCTATGTGCTTTTAAAGAAAACATGATAGCTTGTTGTCGCTCTTTATCTTTTTTTTTCTTAATGCTGACAGCAGCAAAAAATAAAGTGTTTCCATATCGAAAGCTGCTCTTCTTAACCTCAAAAACGACAAGTGTTATAGTAAAATTTGTTCGTCTATTTTTCTGTGAATCGAATGGCGCTATAAAAACCATCCACTTACTAGTCAATATCCACTGAAAGGGGTCTCTTTAATACTGATTACAGTGTGCAATTAACTTTGGATATAGATTCGAAGGCAATGCTCAAATCAAGTCGCCTTTTTCGTCTTAGCAAACTCGCTTTCTTTTTACCAGAAGTGTCTAGACATGGTCCTTCCTCATTTCGGTTGGATCAGAGTTCTTTTTTTTTTTTTTTTTTCATGAATCCCCCAACGGTCAAAAAATGAATTTCACAAAACAACCAAACCAATCATACCATTTAATTCTTTGACTCAAAAGAACATGTTTTGAATGAAAAAGGGGACCATTTTAGTAGTCTGGTTGTCGAGCAATGGCACATTAAAGATTGTCTTGTTTAAGCTGTGATTTGGTCGTTTTTACTCTAGGTGACATATAGAACTTGTTAGTAATGAACCTACAGAAACAATCATATGCTATTCAGAGTGATTAAGAACATGGAATAGTAGAAACATGGTCGATTCACAATGCAAATATGGGACTAAATGGACATAGGACATACAGGATGGCTACATGCGAAGATTGAAAGCCGATTCAACTCGACTCTTCTCCCGCCGCATCCGAAATCAAGCTTTTGCTGAGAACTGCATAAAGATGCAGTTTTATGGCTTTGGTATAGTGACAAAAGTTGTACGTCTTTGCTTTCTGAGTCTATCAATGTAAGAGAAACACCAAGTCTGCTGCTAAAGTATTGAGCAAATAGGCAAAGATGCTTATGAGTTTTTCCTCTCATATCTCGTCTTTTCTATATCATGATTAGCAAGCAAACATATCCACCAAAAACTAGAGCCTTTGACACACATTTTGAGTATTTGTGCTGGTCAATAGCTTCATTTTTTGTCTTGTAGCATCAAAAGGAAGCTCAAAGAGTTGTCAGCTTGATGATTTTCATGAGCAGTACCTTTTGGATTCGAGAGGTTTTGGGTCATTTTTTACATGTCGCTTTTTTCTTGTCCAAATCAACACCAAAGGTACCCTGTATGTTAGTAGGCATGGTTTGTAGGTATATGTATGCATAAACAGGCTTTATACCACTCTCATATGTCCAAGAAAATGACAAAGTCTGTATGAATTGTTGTCTTTTTTTTTTTACTGTTGAAGCATCTGGTTGTCCGGTGTTTTTGTTCAATCAATAAGCAGTGCTCAATTAGATGGATTATCCACGTAAAATGTCTTGCTAAAAAGGCATGATCCCTTAAATCACAAAAAGAGAATAGTTGCTTAAAAATGTCAGACTGATGGAATTTACTTCCATTTTGTGATAAATAAAATATGACCTTTGGTGTACACATTGGATCTGGTACAAACTATTGTATGCTCACAGCGTCGATTTTGCCATCCACTTTTTTTATAGTAAAGATACATCCAGCTCAGAAGCTACAATGTCATTTGCGTGATTTAATAAAATTTACAGAAAGCAGCGGTCTTTCAAGAACACACAAAAAAAAAGCTTTTTTTCTCTTTTCAAATAATAGACCTAACCATAACATGAGCTCCATCGCACCTCCTCTTCATAGAGGCATGCTAGAACTTGAGCGATCTGCTTTTAGAAAAGTAGTTTCTACCTTGGCTATCAAAGTTCCTACCACTAATGTGGGTGTTGTTATGAAATCTTTTTCCAAGTAAAATACAGGACAGATTCGTGTTTTTTAGGCTCACATAAACATAGAGATCTATTCAACCTACCGAGATTTAGAAACGTTCTGCCTGTACCTGGATCAAGAGAGTCAAAGCTTGTGTTATTAAGAAATGATTTGAGCCGCATTGGTAAAAAAAAAAAAAAAAAAAAAAAAAATCAAATGACAGACACAATTAAACTAATATTTCGTACAGAGGATTTAGGCGAAGAAAAGATGGATTTGATTCAAAAAGAAAAACTAGACGTTGTTCAGCATAAAATAGAACTTGGTTATGACTATTGGACTGCAGGTAACCAAAAACAAAAGAAACATAAACCATCTAAATAAGTATATTATAGAGCAAATTCTGCATGCTGTTATGCCTGAAGAATACACAGATGTTCCTGCTTCTTTTACTCAAATTGGTCATATAGGTAACAAATGATGGGGGAAAATATTCAATTTTCTTATGTTTTATAAACAAAAAAGCACACATGAATTTGCGCGAGCATTATTATCCTTGGAAGCATTTGATCGGACAAGTCATTTTGGATGTAAGGTGGTTGTATAGTTTTCAAAAATACTAATATTAGATAGAAAAACAAAAATATCAGTACTGTTGTCAACAAGACAAATAATATTGATACCACATTTCGATTCTTTAAAATGGAGATCCTAGCTGGTGAAAATAACATGATTGCTGAAGTGGTAAGAAAGTTTTTCTTTTTCTTTTTTTTAAAAAAAAATGATGTCCAAATAGAAAGAGAGTGGGTGTAGATTCAAGTTTGATTTCTCAAAAGTATATTGGAATTCAAGATTACATACAGAGCATGATCGCCTGATTCAACTCTTCAAGCCCAATGACTATGTTTGCGATGTATTTGCAGGTGTAGGCCCTTTCGCTTTACCGGCAGCTAAGAAAGGAGCTAATGTTTATGCTAACGATCTCAATCCATCTTCTTTTCTCTGGATGAATGAAAACATCAAAGCCAACAAGATCACTCAAAACATTCATTCTTACAATTTAGATGGCCGTGAATTTATTCGACAAGCAGTAAAAGATTTACAAGCAACATCCAAAGAATGGAAGACATTTGATCATGTTGTGATGAATCTACCTGCTACAGCTATTGAGTTTTTGGATACATTCCGAGGATTATACAATGATCAAAAGCACCTGTTTAAAGAAAATCAATCCAAGTTACCAATGATTCATTGTCACTGCTTTACAAAGAGTCCAGATGCAATGCAAGATATTTCAGAGGTAAAAAGCGAAAATAAATACACACTCTCTCATACTGATTTTTTTTTCAGCGTGTTGGCCAGATTATGGGTGGTCAGCCTGATCCTGTCAAAAGTAGCGTTCATTGGGTACGCAATGTAGCACCTAAAAAGGATATGTACTGTATTTCATTTCCTCTGTCTTCCAGTATTGCTTTTGCAAGGTAAGTCTATCTCTTTATTTGATGAAATGTAGATACTTATCGCTTCTATATAGTGATAAACGCAAATTGGATGACATAGAGCAACAAACGGTAAAAGCAGCTCGTCTAGAATAAAAGCTTTTTTTTTCTGTAATGAGTGCATCCAAAAAGAACTCTATGATAGCTATAAAAAATAATGAATTCAATATAGAATACTTGACGAAAAAAAAAAAAAACGACAAAAATATACTTTTATCAAAGCACATAGTAGCATTTGTTTAAACTATAACAATTAATGTGTAACTCAAAACACTCAATTGATACCTCATCATCTTTACTATCCAAAGAGACTATATGCAGTGCAAATTGACAAGAAGACAAAATACCTATAAAACGGATTATGGGAGATACTTGTTAGGTGTCTAATGCATCGCTTCTTTCCTTGTCTTTCCATTTGAGAATCAAATTCTTTTTTATTTTGTTGAATGCAAATAAACGAATGTACAGAAACAAACACATATCAGACAACAAAGAACAATAAAGTACTTCGTCTAAATAAAAGCTTACTTTCTCTTCCAAACAGCAATTTTTTCTCTGCCGAGACGGGTAGAGTGGCCTACAGCATCTTTAATATAAATGAGATCAAAATTCTCGTCTAAAAGATCATGATATCTAAGTTAAGAAAGATTAGCACCTTTATGCATATTTTATTACATACTCACAATTCTTCACTGACTGTAAATGGAGGACCGCCCTCGTGAACATCAAGAGGAAACATGAGTGTAATTAAAACACCATCTTTTGCGATAATTTCTCCGTATCTCTTTCCCCAAGCAGGTCTCATATGAAGATCCATAGCGCACAGAAATCTAAGTTTATGTCAATGTATGCCTATTTAAACCAAACTACTTACGTGTAATCATATGCAAGGTTATAACCGCCATCAGGAACTTGGAATTTATAAAAGTCAGCGCATACAAAATCATAATTTTGAGTAGACGCATCGGGATGGTTCTACATTAGCAAGCATGAGTTTTTTATATTTTACTTCCTACTTACCTTATGCAACATATCAACACAAGTCTGACTAAAATCCATGCCGGTCATATGTCTGTCTTTACTTGCTAAAAATACGACATCATAACCTTTTATATTGGATATGCACACAAATTAACAAAAGAGGCGGTTATGCTCGTGCCATTTTAATAGTTACCTGATCCACAGCCCGGAACTAAACCTCTTCCGTGTTTGGGAATAAGTGATCTCGTTTCTTCTTGCTCAAACAATGCCACTAGTGCAGGACTTGCCTCCCCATGGTCCCAGCCTGTCTGTCCTTCTTGCCATTTCTTTTCCCAATCTATATATTGTTTGGTATTCGAGAAATGTAGTTTGTAGGTTACCAATGTTTTGTTTCAGTTCACTCATTGTTTGTTTAGACAATAATAATAATAGTAAATAAAAGAAGCATGAAATGGAAGTAGGAAACATCAATTATATACGGAAGCGCCGGGAACTATGTCGAGTCACAATGGCTATTTCTGTGTAACATATTAATGTATGGATAATCCGGAAAGATTTTACCTTTAATGAAATTGTGCATAAAACAGCTTTGGACATGTGTCTTGCTCATTTTAGCTGCTGTTTCATTCTTCTCAGAAAGTCTGAGAGTTATCGGCTAGAGATATGTATTTTGTTCTTGTTAATCATTTTATTTACAGAGCAAGCATTGCTTTCTTTATGTATAAAATAGTCTCATTCAAATGGTAAAGTGAGGCAATTTCAATTATTGAACTCCTAAAAAATCAATAAATAAGCATTCGGAGTGATTCCTGAATAATTTATCGTAAGCTGGAAGTACAATAATAGCAAACTTGTCTCAGGTATGTTTTTTTTGTCGACGGCTAAACTCTTGAACCCTCAAAATTTTGCGCTATTTACTAATATACTCTCTTTTTTTCATTTTTGAAGCACAAGCGAGTCTTCCAGGGAAAAAACACACACACACACAAAAACAAGGTAAATAGAAGACAAAAAAAAGCCTTGGTCATGCTTTTCAATTAAAATCTTTCAATCATTCATGCTGAGGGGTATCAAGAGCTTTACGGATCCTCCGTAAACTTTGGAATCAATGCTCTTAACCTTTGGAAGGATGTCTATGCATATTGAATTTTTGAACGAGATATTTCAAGAACTATTACGTTGTGTTTTAATTCCAATAGTCGATGGAAAGCTGTGAGTGTCGACTTTATAAAAACGGCTGTTTATTGACAAAAAAACAATTGATGAGAGAAAAGACTTGGTTAAAAGCAAGTGGTATTGATGTATCACAACCACATATTCAAAAAGATGTAAGTACTGGTATCGTTGATTGCATTGTTCTCTTGAAGCAGCCTGCTTCTCAAAGGCCAAACTTTTAAAGAAAAGTAACGCGACTAAAATTGAGAAAGAGCTTCCGGTGTCATCTCCTTCAAAGAGAAGAAGAACCGGTGCTTAAGGTACTGTAAATCTTCCCAAAGGTACCACATGTTACCATATCGTGAAGTTTGTGGCATCGGTAATGGGCATCTTGGATAAGCGAGATATACAAAGTTTTTTTTTTTTCACATCCGCAAGCACAAAACCGCCGATTGCTTTTTTCATTAAACAACCGCGCCGTATGTCCGAAATATACAAAAAAAAAAGATACCGAAATTTAGATTCGAACCTTGGTAGAAGAAAAAGAAAGCAGTAGAAGTAATAGTACATTCCCACATTGTCTTGTCAAAAGGAGTGCTCTCCTGATATTTGAATAAAAAAAAACCAACAACAACAGTGAAACAATCCAAAAAAGATACAGGTTGAAAAACGATCTTTGAACGTTCCTGTTAACCTCCTTTGGTTTTTTCGTATTCCCAATTTCCACGTTGTTTTTCCCCTTAAATAAATATAAAATTAGAATATATAAACCCTTTATTTATTTCTTTTGTTTCGTGTATTTATCTTTCTCTCTTTCTTTTTTATACTCTCCTTCTTATTCATTCCTTTACCATGCTTCATAATACAGTCGCAGAAGCAACAAGTGTACAAATGCCAGTTGACAAAACCAGACGCAAACGTCTTAAAGTCGTCAGTGCTTGTAGTGAATGCCGTCGAAAGAAAACAAAGTGCAACGGTGAGAAACCATGCGCTGGCTGTATAAAGACAAACATGGAATGCAAGTACGCCAATTCTCCAACAAGAAACAATGCAAAGCAATCACAACCACAGCCACAACAATCACAACAGCGTTCTTTAATTTCAAGTAATACACGTCCTCAACAACAAACTCATCAATCATCTCCTTCTCAATCTAATGAACTGCAAGAACAACAACAACAACAGCAACAACAACAGAAAACAACAGCCGTGATTCAAGCCATTGAACAACGTCTAAGTGTCATTGAAGACATTTTGCAAGTCTTGTTAACAAACAGTAAGCAAAACTCCGTTCCACAACATTATCAACAGCACCAGCATTCCGTTGTCGGTCCGTATTACGGCGATTATTATCATCATAACAATAATAATAAGCGTAAATATTCAGACTATTATTCACAAGATGATAATCTAAGATTACCACCTCCACACAACTATCAGCCTTCGTTGTCTGAATCCTCTTCTACATCTACCACTTCGTCAGTTTGCTCTTCTGGTTCTTCCCCTAAAATCAGTACAATACAAACACTGTTAAATGACCAAAAGGAAGACCATCCTTCTTCTGCACCTCTCAAGAGACCTTCTGCATTTTTTAGGCCTGTTTCCTCTAATAGCACTAGTAATTTAGCAAGTGGCGCTGGATCACCACCTATTATAATTCAACATCGATACTGATAATACAGTGAATTTTGGCACTTCGAAAAAATTAAATGTCACTTTACTAAAGATGATTGTCCCAAAATAAAAAATCATTTGTCCCTTTGTGTGCAGAGATTTTGTCCTTTTGAACAAACAGAAAGGTCTAAAAAATGATGCTTATTTATATTACATTAGGTTTTAGAATAGAGTTATATTATGACAATGAATGATTTGCCGTTTAGAGTATCTAGTGATGCTGTATAAAATTTCAGCTGGTACAACATTACATGACTCAGTAAACCTTTCAGACATTGTTTGTGATCTTTCTATTTCTTCATAGTAAGAAAAATAAAGTAACAATGATAGTAATACTAGTAATACAAATAATTTGACACTACTTATCCATTGTCTTTATTAAACAATAAAATGCGAAGGTATTTATATAATAAATGTGTTCAGACTATAGGTGTTCTCAAGTTCAGATCCGGGCGAGTCCCAGCAGTTTTTTCGAACTCTGAATCCCTAAAATTTCTTAATTTGGTGCGCTTTGTACCTTCCTTTTTAAATAAAAAAGGTCACGTTTTTATCCAAAAGTCCAGTTTTTCTAAGATGAGAGAAGCATTTCTTCTGGACATTTTATTAATAATTGATAGGGTGAATATGAGTGAAAAAAGTTCTTTGATTATTGTGGAATAAAAAATATCTTTCGTTCATCTAGAAAATTTTTAATTTCCTAAAAAGACTCGAAAACGAGCTTGAAACCCTCAAATTCGAGGGGTTTCGTTGAACTGGACTTCTCGTCTTTTTTTCTATTAAGAAAAGGTTGTAAAAGCACAGGTACATTTATGACTAAATTTAGAACGTAAAAAAAGTCGTAACGACTCAATTGGATCTGAACTTGAAAACACCTCTTGAAAGTCGTTATTAGTCTTTAGAGATATCACTTTTCTACTTTTGCTTCTTCAGAGTGTATTAAAGAAGCTTGGTAAAATGCTTACATAACTATAGTTTTCAATTTCTATTTCATGAAATAAATCTGTTTTGTACTTTATATTGGAGAGAATTTATTACATAGAGAAAAAAAACGAAAAGTCAGTCCATTGTCTTAGTTTGTAGCAAACAATGATGACGTTTGTTGCTGTTTTCAGTTGAGTGAAACACTAGTTCAGGCTGTCTATCTCTTGGTAGTATAGATCAAATTGTCGATTTTGTAAAGTGTTTGCTTATTGAACACTGCTTTTATTTTTCCAATTGTAAAGAAATGAACTCCGCTTGGTGCTGTTGAATACATAGCATGGAGAGCATACTTTTGTTCAACAGATTCAAGTCCAAGCGTGTCTATAGAAGGAACATCCAATGAGAACTCATCAGAGAAGTATACCTGACAATCGTCTTCTTTAAGTTCTGAGTCATTAATGCTTCTAGGATTAAAATTTGTTGGATCTACAATAAAAAAGAACCCGAGGAGACTTTCCTGTGCAACCAAGTTGCTTTTGATCGCGTATTTTCTTTTGCATTTAGCACAGTAAGAATCTTGATTCAACTGGTATAAAAGATAGTGACTAAATGCCTCTTCAGAATGTTTTCTTTAGGTCCGCTAACTTTAGAGCTTGGCATTTGTGATCTCGAGTGTTTTTTGCCGAAAAGTACCGTTTCGTTATAGAATAATCCCTTTTCATGAAAGGCAACATATCAGAAGATTCGATTTCAAAGGTCATTCCTTCCTCTGACAACGAGCACAAACTGAATCCATATAGTGGATTTACAGAAAAAAAGGAACGCAATACAGCAGATACGTTTTGACAAAGCCAATGCATACAATAATAAGTATCATCCATGTCTCCTTTTTTGAACGGTGTCGCTTCAGCCCAGACAAAGCCTCTTGTGATTTGATTATTACCAATGTTATTACCTTGCTGATATTGTACAAAAGCATCAAACAAGATTCGATCAAATGAATTCTTTTTGTCACTAGAGGAAAGAAGCAAATGTTCAGTTTGCGGAACAACGCATCGAAACAAAGGCTCAAAAGGAACACCGATATAACAAGAATTGCTACTATTGCTGTTGAGTTGGTGTTTAATACTGGAAGCATAGCTTTCAATACTTAAGGGCTTATTATCTTGAACAGTTGATGGGTTTGCGACGCTAGGGAGCCTGACACTATCAAGAACACAAATATCATCAAATAGTACTTCTGTATGATCTGGAAGGTCAAAAGCATCAAATATGCTGCTGTATAATTCAAGCCGCTCATTTTCGTTGAAAAATGCGTCTCCCTTGGCAATGTTAGCATGATCACACAAAAACTAGCCAAAAATATCCAGAATATCTTCTCTGCCATTTTCAATGACGATCAGATCCACTAATGCATCATAAATTAGGTCTCGCTCATCTTCAATACCAAGAGTATTGTCGGTTGCAAATCTATTGCTTTTATCATCAAACTTATAAGCAGAGCCATCAAAAATACAAGCAAGATTTCTTCAGCGATACTGCTAAAGTATTGCTCTTCTTTCTCTTCTTGCTGCTTCCTTTTTTTTTCTTGGTTTAACTGAGAATCAGTATCACCAAAAAGTGCTTTAGAGTTGTCAGGAACGCGGCCGTCGCTTTCTTTGTAAAAGTAGACAAGCCTTCTATTCTTTCTGTAGCGCTTCTTCTTGCCATAACTAAGTCACCTTTTGCAAATTGCAAAATGTATCTTAGAGCAAGAGCGAAACTGTTGTAATTGGGCATTGCTTTGTACAAAGCACCATGGTATGCCTCGATAGAGTTGGAAGTACTGGTACGATGAGAGGCAAGTGGATTCTTCATCAAAGATTGGCTTTTGAAAGCCATACTACTTACAGCAAACCTCATCCACCATCTTAGCCACCTTAGCCATCTTCTGCAATTAGTAAACTTGCTGTACATCAACCCAATTGTTTCCAAAAAGGTTGACTGAACCTCAGTTCTTTTTAAACAGTAAAAAAGTCCTAAAGATTCATTTTTCATATTAGTAGGAACAACCGTATGGTTTTTCACCAATCTTTGCACACTTTGTATGCGATGCATGTAGCTCTCTTTAAGATGGCTGATGCCTTCATCTAGTTGCTCTTCTGATCCATTTCCATCAGCATTATTATGGAAGTAATAATCATAGGCGTGCAAGAAGCCAAGTCGTTAGCTAGACGAATAGTCCATAACTACACCTAAAAATTCATTCTTGTTGATCTTGAAGTGTCCAAACATTTGTATGAAATAATCAGCAAAATTTTTTGACTCTAATCCGCTGATGATCGTTTGGAAAAACACTACACTTTTCCTTAACTCAAGCATGTAGATGACAGACGAACAAATATCTTTGTTTGTCCTTGAAAACTGCCTTGTATGCAACATCCGTTACGACTAGATGCTTCAAAAAAGGAAGACGATAGTTTCCAATCCCTGGAGAAGAAAAGGAGATCATGAAGCTCTTGAGATTTGTGACTTGATCATACAAGATATGACCTTTGAAATCTTCCATGAGTATGAGTACCCTCCCATTTGACATTGCAATTGGTAATATTCTTGACATCATCATATATCAAAATGAATTTGGCTTTCACATGACAGCTTCTGTGTTTGACAGTTTCTTTATAATGTATACACTTCTTTTTCTGAATCAAATTCAAGGAATGAGAAGATTGAAGCTCTTTATTATAAAAAAAAACGTTCATCATTATCACAGAAAGCAGCCCCAAAACAGTTTTTGTATCGAGTAGGGTAGCCTTTCACTACTTTTTTACTCCCACTTCAAGGGCCCAACCAATGTCCAAATTACACTTCGAGAATGTCTTCTCTAATACATTGCAAGGCTCAATATCAAAAATTTCGAAATGCTGGTCTTTGGGATAATGTTTTTTTTGAAATAGTTTAATTTTTAGTATTCTTTATCTTTCAAGAAACTGGTTCTAAGAGAATATAGAGCAAAAGGGATCAAAAAGTGTAAAGATCCCTAAGGGGTTTTTAGAACTATAATACAAGAAAGGCACGGGCGTAAAACCAAAACAAGAAAAAAATAATAATATTAAAGCTGCGCCAAAAAAGCACCTCTTGTCTCTCTTCTTTTTTTCTTTTCTTTGTTTTTCTTTCCCTTTCTTTAACTTTATTTCATGTCTGAGAAATACAAGAGCCTTAAAGTCCCAGAACTCAAAGGTAGATAGCATGGATGTACCTTCATGATGTTTAGCTTATAATATGATAGAAATTCTACAAAGAAACGGCCTTGCTGTCTCTGGAAAAAAAGAAGACTTGATAAGCAGACTCGTCAAAAATGATGAACGCAAAGCCTTGGAAAGCTTAGAAAAAGAATTTGAGTTAGACGGCGATTTTGACGAGTCAAAGCTTAACTTGCAAGTATTTTAGTTTCCTTTCTCTTTCTTTCCTAACGCGTGCTTTAGGAACGATATTCCCCAAGATATTTTTACACCAATTCCTATTGAAAAGCCCAGTACAACTGAAAAAGAAAGTGTTTTGTCAGATGATGAAGAAGTTGACTTTGTTATCAATGACAAAGCTAAAAATAAGGATATCATGGCAAACAAAGACTCAAAAGAAACTACGCCTACGCCTTCTTCTGTCCCTGAAAAATCAACCAGCACACCCAAGCAAAAAGAAATTACTGAAAAGCCCTTCACTACTACTACTACTACTACTACTACTAATACCAATACTGCCAACACAGCAAAAACAATTGCTAGCACTGCTACCATTGCTACTACTACCAGCACCACTACCATCACTACCATTACAACAAAGAATTCCTTCAAGTTCACACCTATTACATTTGACAAACCAACCGTCAGCTCTGCTAGTAAAGCTATGGCAAAGCCCACACCTGCTGAAAAAGATAAAAAGATACAAATCAAAGTAGATCCAAATGCTGAACGACTCAAGAAGGAAGCTGAACGTCGACTAGAAAGATCAAAACGTTTTGGTCTCAAGTTGGACGAAAAAGAAATGAAAGAGATCCGTGCCGCTCGATTTGGTTTAATGAAAGCAGAAAAAGAAAAAGAAAAGGAAAAAAAGCCAGCAACAGTAGAAGAGGTTTTGAAGAAGAGGGCTGAAAGGTTTGGTTTACCTTTGGAAGAAAAGAAAAAAGCAAGTAAAAAAGTGAGAAAGGCTGCCGATCTCAAGAAACCTGTCTTGAAAAGGATTCAGCAAGGAAGGGTGGCTAAGTCTACTGTTGCTACTGCTGCTGCTAGAAATAATAAAGTTACTGCAACAAAATCAAAAGTATTAGACAAGAAACAACAAAATATCAACAAACTTGCAGAAGGTGCTATTCGCCAAACAAAGAAGAAGATAATCGACCAACGTAAGGTCAATAAAATCCCTACGCCTAGTACTGTCAACAAGATCAACGGGCGTACGATTACTATTCAGCCAGAACCTACTGTTGGTGCTAAGGTCGTATCAGTTGCAAAGTCGCTGAATACTAGACGTGTTGAAACCAATCCTTCTGTTAACAATGGCAGAAAGATTGTGATCAATCCAGATAACAAGCGGAAAGTCTCCATGATCAAACAAAACACCAAGCCCAACAATAACAAAGTAGTAAGTAAAATAAAGTTTGATTTTCTGTTCATAACATTCTATAGGCCAACAAGAAGAGACGCTATTAATCTTCTTTCAAACATAAGGCATATGTATAATACCCCCCTTTCTTTTACTACAAAATAAAAAAACGATCTTTTTTATTTTCATTGAATTTAAATAAGTTTTTTTTATACAATTATAGATTAAGAGATAATACATTCTTCATTGGTAGAAGATTGTCTACGATTAGTTTGCTGTCGTTTCTTCTTGTTTTCTTTATGCAGGCTGTCTTGTTTTTGCTGTTGTGCCTTTTGTCTTAGGGTGCCCAAACCAATTTTATGTTGCTGTTGTAAAGACAATGTATGCGACAACAAGGCTTGATTACCATTGAGAGCCTCTTCTTCCTGCCGTGTAAGTCCAAGTGCAATGGCGCACTGGCGAATACTTTCAGCTTGTTCTGGCCTTAGTTGGGCAATAGGCGAAAAAGGGCGTATTCTATTCTTGCTGTTCTCGTTTGCTACTAGCTTGCGACTTTTGTTATTGTAGATTTTGGCTGAGAACACCCACTTTATTTTTATTAGTCAAAAACATATAATCAAGATATCACTTACATCATAAGAAGGTTGTTGTTCATTGACTTTGGGTGGACAAGAAAATGCTGATTTCTTACACTCTTCATGACAAATCAATGCGCATACTTCACAGAAAATCGATCTTGTGGTCATTGTGTGGCCACACACTTTACATTCAACTACTATCGTATAAATCAACAGAATGTTAACCAAACAAAACAAAGTATACCTTTTCCGAAAGATGTGTGGATAAACCGATGAGTAGTATAGTCTTCTTGGTTTCTTAGACCTAAAACCTCTTTGGTTTGCTCTTCATCATCAGGGTATAATGTCAATTGGCTTTCATTTGTAAAATAGCCACTATTTCTTAGCGTGAGATTACTTTTCACTGCTTCTTCTTGATAGTCTTCAATTTCAGGGTGATTTTGTAGATAACTCGATAGATCATGTGAGTATGTTTCTGTCTTTTTTATGCGTTGCTTGTTAAGTGTGATCCATGAGTGCTGCTTCAATTGGCTTGCTGACGGTCTTTGTTCGGGATCTTTTTGAAAGCAAGCTTTTAAAAAGCTTTTCATATCGTCTGATACCATATCTGGTAATGGCGGACAGATATCTTCCACAATTCGAAACATAGCTGACATAGCAATCATGTCTGCATAAGGTGGCTTTCCTGTCACTAGTTCAATTAAAGTACAGCCTAAAGACCAGATATCTGATTTTGTTGATGCACCTTTCAGCTCAATGACTTCAGGTGCCATCCAATTAGGCGTTCCTGAGACTGCACCTATATCTATCCCCTTGATTTTTAAGTTAAGCGAAACACCAAAATCAGTCAATTTGACGTCGCCTGTCTTTGTCGTCAGGATATTAGCTGCTTTTAAATCGCAATGGACAACTTGGTTTTGATGCAAATACTCCAGCCCATTCAAGATCTTGATACAGAAAGATGCTACTAATTTTTCAGGAAATGCGCCAAAAGCTTTTAAGGTAGACATCAAGGATCCATTTTCTGCATACTCAAGCACAATATTGATACTGTGTTGGTTTTGCACAAGACCTAAATAGCGTATGATGTTGGTGTGTGAAAGTGTTTTGAGTAATGCGACCTCCTTCATTATATCTGTATCCAACTCTCCATCTTGTAAATAGAGACGTTTTATAGCAACGATTTCTCCAGTAGATAGATCAAGAGCACGATAGACAGAGCCAAACTGTCCTTTGCCCACACAGTTACCTACTTGCTATACGTTTTTTTTTATTAGCAAAGTTTTATTTAAATTCTGCCCTTACATAATGCGTTGTATGACCATCCTTGTTAGTGAACGAGAGTTTTTCTTCGTTTTGGTTCTCTGGCTTTTTAGAAACGATTTCTTCGGCCGTTTCTCTGTATTGACGATCAAGCTTATGACCTAAACTGCCTCCCTTTACTTCTTCTTTTATGTCTACATTGTGACTACGGTTAGGAAATGTATGGTTATGTCTTCTTGTGTCTCCATCAGCGGGTGTGGATAAACGTCGATGCTGTCTCTTTTTAGGATTACTTTCTGATTTATTGAGCTGTAAAACAGAAGATTGTGAGCGAGGTATAGGCTGTATATCTTCATGCCTTAGAGAAGGTGGCCGAAGAGGTGATTTGGGTGGTCTTGGAAATGGTGGAGGAAGGTTTGCATGAACAAGAACTTCTCGATTGATTCGAAGCAACTTGTTTGTATTGAAAATTTTTCGCACATCTTTATGCCTTTTATCTTCAATATTATGATCTGTAGAATAAGTTATCTAACAAGAAGCGTTTAAAGACAAAATACCAAAATCTGTTTCAAAATTGCTTTCATTTTGTGTATCTTGCTTTGGCGCTTCCTTATCAACTTGATCTATTAAACGTGATATTGCTAGAATGGTATGGACTACCTAAATAACTCAATTTAAGAATACGGCTTGATTAAAGCATAAAACAAGGAGAAAAGAAGAGAGTGAAGTAAAGGGGAAAGTAAATAATCCATTGCGAGGAGAAAACTTACAGCTGGCATATCTTTTGCTTCAAATAAGTCGATTGTCTCGAATAGTTGTGCATTATTTAGCCCGAGCTATTGTATAAAAAAAAAGTTATTAACAAAATGAATTTTGACACACTTGATATGAGATGAAAGAAAAAGTGAGCAAAAGAAAAATAGACCTCTCCCTATCTTTCATTGACACTCCTAATATTTCTATCTTTTTTAATCTACCTGACGAGCTCCTTGTAGAAATCGAGTAATGTTATCCATCTAAACAAACATAAGCAAACATGAGCAGATATGCCTTGTGTCTACCTTGATAAAAGAAAGGTCCTTTTGACCCACTTGTTTTATTGTTCCTGGCCGTAATTTATTCACAAGACTAGATGTACTAGAGTTAGTGTTTTATTCAATAGTCTCCTTTTTTCTAACTACTCACTTGCATAGTAAAACTCCATCTCGCAACTCTTTCTGTAGAGAACAGTTAGAAGAGAATGAAACATCTAAGGTCTTGTTCAAAAAGTCAATGGCTGCTTTTTCGTCTTGTTGGTATTGTTCATGTCTCATTCGATCATATAGTAAATCAGCTCCGCTTTTTGATCGAGGAATACGTGTATTTGCATAGCTCATTATACGATTAAGAAGAAAAAAGAGAGAAGATAAAAGAAAGAAAAGAAAAAGGAAAAAAAAAGAACAGTTAAAAAATGAATTCAAATAATGTATGCTCTCATAAGACATTTTTTTTTCTCACTCCTTTGGAGTGTGTACAAAGTATACAGTGAATAAAGTTAAATCTAGTCCTCAAAGAATATTTCTTTCACCTTTTTAAATGATTTCTTTATTTATGTAATTCATTATATCTCTTGATGACAACAATGGAAAAAAAGAGAGAAAAGAGAAAAGAAGAGGAAAATAGAAAAGAAATCGAAATAATAATTTTTATAAATCTTAGTCAAATAAAAGGAGGCATTTTCTAATTGGAAAAAAAAAGAGGAGACAGTTGATCGATCAAAGAGACATTTAGCAACAAGCAGAGACGTCACGAACATATGTCAAACATCTTTTTGACAAGAATTGTCATGAACTCGCAAGATTTCTTTTTGTCAATTCAGCAAGAAGCGGTAAAGAGATTAATTAAATATAAGCCTAAAAGCAGGTCAGAAATATAAATCAGTGCTCTTTTGTATATATTTATAGCTTTTTTAATCGAGATTTTATCCTTTGACTCCCTTTTTTATGGTATAGAAACAAATAGAAATGGTCCAGAAGAACTTTGTAATTTCTTTTTTAATTTACACCCTTTTGCATGCATTAATCAATGTATATTTTCAAAGCATGTATCAGAAAAAGCTCCTCTTTACTTTTTCTCTCTCATAATGTCTCCTCTAATTTTTCTCTAGCTTATTATTTGTCTCTCCTACCATAATATATTCTTTAAAAAACAAAGATATTCGCTAATGTCGTACAATAAATTGATCTACATACTCAAAATGTCCATCATATCCAATGATCAGGCAAAAAGTAATCCTGTCAAGGTAAAATTAGATCAATCGGCCCGGCTAGCAGATTCCTATATTAGCATACAATGTTTGTTGCTAGTCTCGGTTTGAAACCTCTCCCTTTCCGAAATCCCCTTTGTTTTTTTCCCTCTTTTTTCTTTCTTTTTTAATTATTCATGAGTGCTCCTTCACCTCATGTCTATTCATCAACACCACGATAATAAGATATTAATTGACATTTTATAAATATGATATTTTATAAATAGTCCATACTATAAGTGTCGATCATCTCTCATCTAGGTCCCTTTTAGAAATCCCTGTATGTATACCTCCTAATTGTTTACCTCTTCTCTGTCTCTTTTCGCTGCTCACTTTCATATGTAGCTCTAATGAAGTTTAATTTTAAAAAAGAGTAGGAGTATAACGAGTCTGTAAAAATGCAAGCATAAAAATAAAGCAAAGAAAAAAGGAGTGTATTTTGGGGGTCAAGGTAGGAAAAGCATCAGCGTCATATATCATCACTTCATGAGTGTTGTTAAAGACAATCCGTTTTCAATCACATGAAAACTACTTTATGAGTTAAAAAGTTCGATGTACCAAGGTGAAAAATAAAAAGAGGAGAAGAATATTGAGGAGCATGTTCATTCGAAAAACATGTGAGTCGCACTTTATTTCGATCTACAGTTGAATAAATCTAATGCTATGCTTTCACATATGCAGCACATAAATTTTCTCTTTACAAATATAGAAAGTGTGTGTGTGTTTGTGTGCACACATTATGTGATACACTAATTACTGACATTTTGATCGTATAAGGTCGATCAATTAACCAATTGCCACTGTCTCCTATCACTATTGTAGGTTTTCGGATGTTGTTTCTTTTTTGATCTCCTAAGCAAGCTTATATTCCCCTTAATTCGATTTTTTCATCTTTATTTCCGTCACTTTTGTCTTCCTCCCCCCCCCCCTTACTCTTGTCCCTTTTTTGTTCTACCTTCCTTTCTCTCTTTCTCCCCCCTTGTTTACTGTTCCCCCAGCATTCCAAGTTTAATCCAGATGTATATAAAGGTATGACTTTTGCTACACCTCTCTTTTTTCTCTCTCTCATTCTATTCAAAAACCTTTTTTTTTTTTTTGTTTATATATCTATATATTCTCTATATTTTATATACCTGTGTTCTATATACCATTCAAAAATTTATGTTTATTTAAATAATGAATCAACAACAAGTCAATGACAACACAATCGTTTTTTCCTCACCTTTTTCAGTTTATGAAGGTGTACCTTTCTATCAACAAGAGCAAGATAAGATCGACTTTTATCATGAGCAAAAAGAAGGCGATCAAAACCAACAAGCAGTAGATGATTTCAAACCCACATTCTACAACCCATTTGAAATCAAACATCGCAGAAGAACATCTAGGGCCCAATTTAAGGTCCTCGAGAAAACCTTTTTGGAAAACCCAAAGCCCAATGCCGCTATCCGTCGATGGCTCGCTCAGAAACTCAGCATGACACCTCGAGGTGTTCAAGTTTGGTTTCAAAACCGTAGAGCTAAAGAAAAGACTGCCACTTCAAAAAAGATGGAAAAGAAATCAGTACAGACCGAGGCTCCCGTTGCTAACAGCACTACCACGTCTGATACTATCTTGCAATATCCATCTCTCATCAACCAAACAACTCCTACCTTGTCCATTCCTTCCTCACCAGTTCATTCCATCTGCGCTTGTCAGGATTGTCAACCTCTTTTTGCTACACCAATGAGCCGCACTACTTCCTACCCTCCATTTTATAGTAGTGATGGTTCCACAACAGCTGATGAAGAAGAGTTTTTAATGACACCTGTCACTCCCTTTGTTGATCAACAGCAACAACAACAATTTGTTTATGATTCATACCCTATTTTTATGAATAACGACAATCAAATTAAACAACAAGCTTGGATCAATTCTTCATGGCCTGCTTTGATGAATGAAGAGCAGACAGCAGCGGCAGCGGCAGCAGCAGCATTGTCTTACTTCAATAATAATAACATGCGACGCACCATGTATCCCGATAATATGATGTTTGATAGTCGCAGATATTCTTGCTCATTCACACCTGAAGCTCAATCAAATGAGGTAAGCATAGACCGCTTTGTTTACATTCAACTAATTCTTTATAATAGTTTATTCGTCGTCTTTCAGAACCCATTTTCGATCAGGGCTTGGACTTGATTGATACCACTCAGTTTAACTTATTGCCTAGAAATACTGGCTTCATGTAAACAACAACAACTATCCTTATTTTTTTATGATTCTTTCCTTCTTTTATGCCTCTATCTATATATACCAAGAAAATTATTTATGTAAATACTATGTAATCATTTCATCCCCCCTATTTTATTCCCCCTTTCATCTCCTCCTTACTTTTTTTATTATTATTATATCCCCTTATTTTTTTCTGCGTGGTTGTATGTTATCTTATGCCTTTTATTTTATTTTTTTTTAATTTATGCTTTGATCGGCCGGTTCTGTCTCTTCATTATAAACAAACACATACAGTCAAACCTATAGAATTTAGCGTTTTCGAAAAAATAAATGACGGAATCTTAAAAAATGTTTGTCCCTTTGGTTGTAGAGAAATGTCACCAAGTACTAACTAAACTTGTATCAAGCCCAGTATGGCAGTCTTATACTTTCAAGCGTCTTTTTTGAAAATTGCCTGCATTACTATATGCACAAAGCTTGTCTTTAGGTGATTTTCTAGGATCGGAATATCTTCTTCTGCTACCTCATCCAGCAAATTGAAAACCATCTTGACAACGCGGAAAACTTCTTCATCTTGAACTTTTGTGATAAATCATTAACTGCTTTTTCAGATCCAAACAATTTTTTTTCTTTGGAAAAATTATTTAAAACGTCTTCGAGTTCAGCTTTGATGGCTTCAGAAAATCTTGTTTTCATGGATTTATACAGTGATTGTTGATGGACTCGAAAGCCGTGAAGCGAATTTTGAAGGGCATCTTTAAATAATTGACTTGTATCCTTGAAAATGTCTGGATAAAGAACATTGTCGATTGTTTTACAGCGAATACAAGGATTAAATCAGGTGGGCAAAATATTTTTATTCAATAACACTTATGCAATTTCTTGAAGGCCAAAAGAATCAGTAGTGTTCAAGATGAGGTTTAGACTTCGTTATTTGCATTCATTGAAAAGAGATTTAACATCATTTTCATCAAATAAAAAAGACTTGTTGTTAATACAAACTTCCCATTGAGAGATATCAGAACAGGTCTCTTATACACCAATTCTTTTTTTTTTCTTAAGGACCACAATCTATTGGACATGCTTGCAGAGTACCGGATAGAGAGGGGATAGCTTGAGAACACTCTATCCACTCCAAAAAAAAAGTGGCCACTTTTGTATAAATATACAATTTTTTTAAAGAAGTATTTCATGAGAAAGAAGGTAGCTTATTTGTAAAAGATGTTTTATCAATCGACCACATTTCACACAATAAACAAGTGTTTTATTGTTTATCACACATGAAGGAACGAGTAATTTATCAAACGAAAGATAAATGGTTTATTTATGCTAAGAAAGAACATTATAGAACAGCATAAAAAAGATAGAGATACTTTGAGACTAATAGCAGTTGCATTCTCAAAATGCTTCTTTTTGGACGAGGAACCAAAGTATTCGCCATTGATAAACATAGATTTATGCATTTTATGTTTTTTAGGATCGCCCCTCCTCTAGCCACAGTGATACGAATTATCTCTACGAATTTCGGTTTGAACATATCTGATAGAGGATGGTCCATAAGAAACCTGTTTTTATTAATAAATAAAAAAAATTCTTAATTAACCATGTCTTTGATCAACATTGATAATCAGTCTTTCTGTGCTCGCACAACAAAAAAAAAGCCACTGAGATAGAATATGGACTATCGACTTGTTGGCTTAATTGTTTAGAGCTTAATACAAGTGTTTACAAAGAAATTACGATGATTTTTTTTTTCAGTATTCAATACAACAGTATCCTTTTTTCTCTAACACTTTTCAAGTCAATAAATGTCGACAACTAATCCTTCTTTTTTCTGGTTTTATGAATGAGATACTTTATATCCCAAGCTCTCTTATTCTATCAGCTTGAATTCAGTAATACTCAATTGTTCAGTCAGATCATAAATGTTTATGTAAACTAATAAGCGACTTAAAAAAAACGCGTATGCACACAATTAGAGACTAGGATGCTTTTAAAAGAACAAATCGGGCGGTATAAAGGCTTTGATCCGAGATGTTTGGTTTACAAAAGTAAATTGAGATGTTTGGTCTACAGAAGCAAAAGGAGATTTGGAAGTCTTATGTTGTGTCACTTTCTTTTTTTCTTTGGATTCGATTTGAGGCTTGAGCGTGATTGGTTTATGCTAAACAAAGTGATGAACAATCAATATAAACAATACTAAATTACCTCTATCTTGTGAGATTTGTATTTCTGTAATGTTTCTTCATCCTCTTTGCTCAATTCCTTGACATATTCAGTGAAGGTGATTTTCTCTATAGAATACATGAGTCATAAACAATATGTTGATGGGCTTGCCTGGCAAAGGATCAATCTTAATATCTTCTTGCTTAAGCTTCTGGAGAAAGTCTGTGTCTTCTGGGCCAATTAAATTGACAGCAATACCAGATGTACCTATGTCTCTAGTGAGACATGGGCCTTTTTTTTTTTTTCATTTACCATATCTTCCTGTACGACCTACTCGGTGGAGATAAGTCTCAACTTCCCAAGGAAGATCCAAGTTAATGACAAGGTTGACTCGGTCAATATCAATGCCGCGTGCAATCTATGTCAAATGCATAAATACATGTTTCTTTGTTATTTTCTGTTACCAAATCACTACACACTAAAACTCGAAGCTTAAAATCACGCATTTGTTCCATGACAGTAATTCGCTTATGTTGAGCTAATCCAGCATGAATATGACCAGATCTCCATCCCATTTCGTTTAACCAAGACGAAAGCTCCATGGATCTCGACACATTGTTCACAAAAATCATGCACTGATAAAAAGGAACGGTTCCTAATAGATGCTCAACAGCTTCAAATTTTTGCCTGTATATGGACGTCTTTGATGCTTCTGGTGATGCATGAATCGAATGATAATATTGTTGAACTTCATTTAGGGTAGGCACGCCATCTGTTAAACGTAAGACCTGAGGCTCTTTAAGAAAACTGGATAAGGCATGCATGAGTTCATCTGTAAATGTAGCCGAGAAAGCAATGCATTGATATGTTTTTCTGTCCAATTTTCGGATAATACAGTCTACCTGAGGCTGAAAGTTATCGGACATCATCTTATCTGCTTCATCTAAAACAACTAGTTTGATGTGTGCTGTATTGATCTTTTTGGCTTCTAAAAGAGCCATCAGTCTACCTGGCGTACCCACTAAGATATGACACCCCATCAAATGCTGAGTATCCGATTGTAAAGAAAGACCTCCAATAAACGCATGGCATTGAATATTCATAAAAGCACCGAGATTACGCACGACATCCCTGATCTGTAATGCGATCTCACGAGTAGGCGCCATCATAACCACTTGTGGTAACTTGATCGCGGCATTGATGGCTTCCAGTGCAATTACGCCGAAAACAACAGTTTTCCCCGTGCCTGACTTTGCTTGCGCGATCAGATCAACACCGAGACGACCTAAAGGAATCGCTTTTAACTGAACAGGCGAGGGAGTCTCATAGCCAGAACGCTTAAGTCCCTGAAGCAATTGTTTGTTTTGTATTAAACTGTCGAATTCGATTTTTTCATCAATGGCTACGTCGTGTGAGCGCTTCATAATGCAAAGGAAGAAAGATTTATTTATTTATTTTTTGTTACGTTTTTAAAGTTTCCGTCCACACAGTAGATCAGACTATGTCTCTTAAGCATACTTTGCTCCATATCGCTCTCTTTTGAACAGACAAACTATTATATCATATGTTTTGATATGTTCTTACATACGATATGTGATCATTATTGCGCCTATCATGCCATTCCTTCCTTCAAGTTTCATCTATGTGATCAAACAAGGAAAAATTAGTGAAGATGTCACAAATAACAATGTCTCTCTTTATAAACGAACTGATTATATGACATGATTTCTTTGATTCTTTGCAAAAGAGAAGCATACATCCTGTTTGCATGACTCAGCCACTGTGTGACTCGCTTTATTTCTTGAGTAAGTAAATGCTTTAACTTTTTTTTCTTCTTTTATTCTTTCTTTGTATTTGCTCCTATGGGAAGGTAAGATAAGGCAATAAAACAACTGTACCTAACCATATGTAGACTTCGTCGTAAGAGAACTCACCACGGTATCCGTGACAATTATCGTAAACAACGTACAAGAGCTTATACTCGTGATCTCGACCAGATCCATGATGACTTGAAACCCGAAAATATCGATAAAAAGAAGCACCAGGAAATCGATACTGACTTGCCTGGTCTTGGTCAACATTATTGCGTTGAGTGTGCGTAAGTAACTACAATAGCATGATCTTCAGAAGTTTTGAACTGACAGAAAAAAAAATAGACGACACTTTATTACCGAAACCCACTTGACAGAACATTTGAAGAGTAAATTGCACAAGAGAAGACTCAAGAAATTAGAAGATGAACCATATACTCAAGAAGAGGTAAGGAACATAAGAAAAAAAAAGTTGGGAGGTTATTTACAATACTTAGGCTGATCGTGCTGCTGGTCTCGGTAAGCCAGACAATGGTAAAAGAGGTGTTCGAGTTACAGTCACACAAGATGTCACTATGGAAGACTAAAGTTTATTCTTTTTATGCATTTTAATTATTTGCTTTTTTTTGTACACTAGAGAGGAGCTATACACACATTTATCTATACATATACACACGCATTTACATAAATATACATTTATTTTATTTGGGATAATGCTTTAGTTTTCCACCTTCTGCAAGATAGTCTTGCATGTAATTCTTGAATCGAGTAAACACTTCATCTGGAGTTGTGTCTCTTGCATAACAGTCTACAAATTTACCATTGGGATCCATCAAATAGATAAAAATCGAATGATCTACTAAATAATCATCGTCTGCAGACACATTGGGTGGTGTATAAGCATAAACACGGTATGATCTTGCCACTTGTTTTAATTCGTCTGCAGGACCAGTAAACCCAATCAGATCAGGATGAAAATCTTGAACATATTCTTTGACTACTTTCTCTGTATCACGCAAAGGATCGCATGTAATAAACACGGGCGTCAAGATATCCTCGCCAAACTCTGCCTTGACAGTATCTACTACATCAGCCATCTTGTCAAGTTCTTCGGGACAAATATCGGGACAATGCGTAAATCCAAAATAGATCATAGTAAACTTGCCATTCATTAGTTCTTCAGAAGACATCAAGCGATTTTGATTGACGTTTAAAAGCTTGAAAGGTTGACCAATATTGGGCCTGCCTAAGGCTCGAATACTATCGCGCTCTTGTTTCTTACGTTGTGCTTGAAGTTTCTCTTTTTCGTTCTTAAAGTAAACAACAAGACCTGCAGCTGTCAAGGTTAATACGGCTGCTGATTTCCATGTAAATGTCTATAGCTAATGAATAATCATTTCAAAAATAAATTGGGCGTCTTACTTTAGGGGGTGGAGGAGTAGGGGGTGCTGTAGTGCCAAAAAAGCGTTTATGGGCAGACCTAGGTTGTGTTCTTAAGCATGTTTTATTGACAGAAGGCTAAAAAAAGTTTATAAGGAGATCATGTCATTAGATAATAAGATCATTACCTTCACAAATGGTGTTCTGAGTGAAGTTTTTATAAGTCTATTGAAGAGTGACATAAAGAAGAAAAAAGATTTTTTTTTTGAAAGTAGCAATGCGGCCCTTTAAAAAGGACATTTTATTTTTAAGCTTTGTCTATCTCGATATTTACATCTTTCATACCAACACTAAGTTCTGATTCTACTCTGTCATCGTATTGATATGTATATACTTTAACACACCCATCTAATTGGATTTTAAATGTCTACTTCTAGTCTATTATTCGCTTACCATCACCACAAGAGAATATCAATGGTCGGTAGGGATGGAAAACAACATCACGTACTTCCATGTCTAATCATAGGGTTATATCACTGAAGAATAAACACTTTACTCTTTACCTTGGTGTTCTTTTAGAATGGCTGATACACTGCCTGTTAGCATATTGAATACAAATATTTGACCGTAGATAGTAGGTGCTAGTATATATCGACCATTGGATGTAATTTTGACTAGCCATGAATTTGAATGGTAGCTACATACAAGATGAGATATAATTAAGTGATTAATTTACTTACTCTTCACTTTGGTATCGCTTGACTTCTTCCAGTTTAAACTTGTCATTAGGTTTTGTAGGGTAAATTAGTTTATGTAGAGTACAAGTATTTGGTTTTGAAGCTAAGAGAAAGTCAACTCAAGTCATTCTATCGTTTGATACTTACAGACACCATCACTCACATCGCATAATTCTGCTCCTCGACTGATATACCAAGCGTATTGACTGTCATTGGCTTCTTTCTTCTCCGATGCATCTTCATCTAGCCATGTCACAAATTTACCACAATCACAATAAGAAGAATATAAATGATCAAATGTTTGT